ATTTATATATAATAGTATAAATATATATATTATTAATATTTTATTATTTTATACTAATTATAAATTTAATTTAAATATTTATTAATACTTAATTTTTAATATAAAAGCATTATAAGCTATTAACTATATAAAATAAATTAAAGATATTTATAAAAAAATTATAATAAACTTAGGATTTATTTAAAAATATATAATAAAATAAGTAAACTAATAAAAATTAAAAGGATTAACTTTTAAAAGGAAAAATATAATTTATTTACTTTATAAAAAATAAATTAAAATTAAGTAATTTAGTAATAAATTTAATTTTAAAAAAATTAAACTATTTAAAATTAAAAAAAAAATATTAAAAATAAACTATAAAATTATATTATTAAAAAAAATAAAAATTTACTTAATTTTTTATATTTTTATATTAAAACCTATATTAACTAATATAATACTAGCTATTAATATTAAGCTTAATAACTATAAACTAAAATATAAAGTAAAATATATTTTAAATTACTAAATATATAAGAAAATAATAAAATATTTAATTAAATAAAAAAATTATAATAATAAAAATAATTTATAAAAACCTATTTAAAACTTAATAAATTATTAAAAAATATTTTAAATATACTATTAAATAACTAGCTAAAAAAATTTATATTAATAAATTCTATTATAAAATTCTAATTTATAATATTAAAACCCTTATTTTATTAAATATTAAAAATAGCTTTAAACTTTTTAATTATAATTTAATTAATAGCTTTAATATAATTAACCTTTTTAAATATATTTAAAATAGCTAAACCTTTATTTATTAAATTAGCTTTATAATAAATTAAAAACTTTCTTTAATAATATAAATAATTTAAATAAGCTATTACTTTATTTACTTAATAATAAGCCTTATATAAGGCCTTCTAAGCCTTAAGCTTTTAAAAATATAACTTCTTTTTTTCTATAATAACCTAAAATATTAAAGGAATAGTTAAAAAAAAAAAAAAAAAAAAGAAAATAGAAAAATAAGGAAAACTAGAACTTATAAATACTTATTAGTACTTTAAAACTATTATACCTTTTACTTTATTTAATATAAGCAAAATAATAAAAAATACTTTTTATTATTTAATAAAACTACCCTTTTATAAAATAAAATAAATAAAGTATAATTTTAAAATTTAATAACTTAATAAATATAAATAGTTAATTATACTAATTTAATTTTTTAAAATATAGTTTTTTTATATATAATAATATAATTATTAGCAAAATAAATATAATAAATATATAAAAGAAAATAAAAAAGAAAAAAACTTACTTAAGTTTTTTAAGAATAAAAAAGTAATAAAAAAGGGAAATAATATTATAAATATAATAGGAATAAAACTAAAAAAATACTATTAGTCCTTTAAAAGCACAAATAAACTTTACAAGCTAATAAAGTAAGCTTAAAAGGATTTGCTATATAATAGAAGCAGGTTATATAATAAAGCAAAAAAATAACTAAAATAACTAAAATAATACTTTATTTTAAATAATCTAAATAATCCAATACTCTTATTACTTTAAGTAAGCAATGCTCTAAATAAGCTATTAAAAGCAATACTTTTATTGCTCTAGCTAAAAAAATAAACTATATAAATTATACTTATTACTAGTAAATAGTATTAGCTTAAAATAGCTTTTTAATAGTTAATCTAAGTATTTATTTAAAATAGCTATAAAGCTTTTAATCTACTATTATTATATATTGCTTAAAATATTACTATTTTAAATATTCCTTAAATATAAACCCGCTTATTAGGTTTATTAGCTAGGAATTAGCTATAATTATTATAAGTTATATATAATAATTTACTTTAATATAATATTAAAGTAAAATATTTAATTTAGTTTTACTAAATATATTTAAAAAGTTATAATAATAAGCTAATACCTATTTTTTTACTTTAATATAAAGTTTTTTACTATTAAAAAACAATACTTTATTTTACTCTTTATTTTATTTCTCTTTATTTTACTTTACTATAATAACCTAGTTAATCTCGTTCTAAAAGTACTCTATCAGCTTATTAATAATTATAATACACTTTAAACTAAATAATTAAATATAAAGTATAAAGTTAACAATAATAACTCTTTTTAGCTTAAACTTAATAGCTAATATTTTAGCCTTCTTATTAATAAAATAATTTATATTAATAATTAACTTACTCTTTATTATATTAAACTAATACTTAAATTCTATTATATTCTTTTTAAAATTATTATAAAAAATAACTAAACTATTAACTTTAATAAATTTAAAACTTTTACTAATAGTAAACTAAAAACTTAAAATATACACTCGCTATTATATAAATATAATAACTCAGTTATTAATACCTTATAACTTATACTTAAGCTTATTAATTTAATCTTATATACTAAGCACTTTTTACTTATAATTAGTAGCTTATTATAAAAGTTAATTTTAAAAAAGCTCTTTATTAGGAAGTTCCGTAAAGCAAAAAGCTTAAGCCTCCTTTAACTCTCTTTAAAAATTATTAACCTCATACTACAGCTTAATAATCTAATTTAATTTAATACCCTACTATTTATTATACTAATAACTAATAACCTAAACTTAATTATTTAAAAAAACTTAGTTTTAATTAAACTTTTATATAAAAAAATAAAAATCTTAACTTTATATATAAAAAGCAGTTAAAGTATAATAATATAGCTTTATCTTATAAAATAAAGCCTTAAGCTCCTCCTTAGTTCTCTTTATAAAAATAGCTAAGCTTATAATAAAATTAAAGTTAAAAAACCACTTTTATTCCTTTATAATTAAAATATTAAAATAAAATATAAGTTTAATTTTATTAATACTACTATATAAGCTAGCCTTATATATAATCCTAACCTATAAGTTATTACTTAAAATTACTAATAAGTTTATATAATATTTATTATTTAATAAACTATTAAAAAAAGCTTAACAATAATTATTATAACTATATAATATAATCTAAACCTCTTTAATAAAGTTTTTATTTTTAAAAGTATTTATTAATTATTTAATAAAAAGTAAAAAAGTATTTAACTATAAAGCTTTTTAAATTAAATAACTATTTGCTTAATATTTAAAGTTTTATAAAAGAAATACTTAATTTATTACTATACTTAAATACTATATATTCTTTATAGCTTAAAGCTTTTTCTTTTAAAAAAAAAAGCTATTAACAAAATTACCAGCATCCATTATACTTATATTATAAAATACTAATTACTTATATTATTTATTAAAAGTTAATAATAATAAAAATAATTATATATAACAAAGGTATTTATATATATTTTATAAAAGTAAGTATTATTAAAGTTATATATAATTAGTAGTTATTTATTAAGCGTTATATATTAATACTAATTATAATTAATTGCATTTATTACTTATATTAGTATAATATTATATTATAAATTATATTATAATATTATATCGCAAATTATAAGTTATTAAAAACTTAGTATTTAAATTTATATTATAAAAAAAATATAAAAAAGGTAAAGCTTTTAAGTTTTACTTATTATTATAAAATTCTAAATAAAACTTTATTTTATTAAAAAAAAAGAATAAAAGGGAAAAATACCTCTAATTGCAGTTAGGCCTTAAAAGCAAAAGGCCTTAGGGCTGCAAGTAGTCTATGCACTGTAGCCCACCTGCAGTCACTTAACCTACCCACAGCACCATCACATGAATCATAAGAACGTGGAAATCAAGTGTCTGTAATAGCAAATAAATATTCCTTGTTTAAAAGACTGAATGCCCTAGGCAATTCAATCTTTAGTCCTTCAAAATTTGAATTCGAACGATAAATTCTCTTTTCAATTATACCTCTATCCTCAATCATACAATATACAGCATCATAACACTCGTCTTCATCGACATCAACGATTTCCATCTTCATCAAGAAGCGGCTGGCACTGCTGCCATCAGCCATCAACACGCTTTCATCTGATGTCCTAACTCACAGCTGATGGTGGTCTCCACCTACGAGTTGTCCAATTGTGGCGGTACTTTTAATAGTTAAAAGCAGAGACTACCTAGATATAATACCTAGATGCTTCTGATAAGATTCTTTTGTCCTTGCTAGTATCGGCTCCGTAGAGGGTGTTTATTACAACAAAGAAACAATGTGGCGAGTTAGAGCCACGTCCCAGACATCACGGAGTGGCGATTGATAAGAGCACATCACTTTCAAGAGTGGTTTTAAGCGGTATGGGCATAGAATCTAGCTAAGATGACAAACGTTTTACTTATTGGTACAAACGTGACTGGTCAATGTGGTGATGCACAATACAGAACCTTTACACATACCGGCTGGGAATACTCAGGAAGACACAGATCTTCGGGTCTGAACTTTCAAACTTTGCTGCTCCTATACGTGATACAGGGAGTGCGGTGATCATCTGAAAGCATTCGTCGTATACCTAGTTACACAGGTATACTCAGTAGTTACATATAGTGCTGTTTAGCCCTCCTGTTCCTTTTGAAACGCTGCCAGTATTTTTCGATAGTCATCTGCAAGTGATCTTGTCACCGGTTCAACTGTCGGTGCTTTTTGCAGAATATCATCAGTGGCCCTAAGCAGATGAGATTCGAGCTCAAAATACTTTCCCTGGGACGAATGGATTATCTCTCCGTGCCGGGACCTCTCGGCCATGAGAATAAGGGCTGATCGTGCTGGAATCTCTGGCCCCTGCGATAGAACCCCTGCTTTGGCACAGAGGCTTTCACTCACAAGCCCAGTATTAGTCCAGCCTGGTGCGATGCCATTGAGCCGGACAGGAATATCTGTTTCGGGTCCAATCTCGGAAAAAAGCCCTCGAACCAGACCATGCACACCATGCTTTGCAGAAGCATAGTCATAGCAGGGATACCGCTGGTACGAAGAGGCTGACGCTGTCACTACGATGCTGCCTCCGCTGGGATTTTTCCGAATATAATAGATTCCTAGCTTGACGGTGTCAACGACGGCTGCAAGGTTGACATCGTAAACGATATGATTTGGCCGTTTGAGCTCGCCATCCTCATCGAACTCATCTGAGAGCAAGTTCATCCGAGGGCCAATACCTGGTGTCATGGGTCAGTGAAAGTGTTTTTCTCCAGCTCGATTTTGTCGGGCAATACGCACCAGCGTTCGCGAACACATGATCAATGTGCCCAAATTTGCTTATAGCGTGTTTGAATAGATTGCATAATGCCTTCCAGTCAGTCACGTTGACTTGAACAAATTCAAAATCGCGACTGTCAACCGCAGACTTCATATCAGACAAATCTCCACCAACGACCTTTGCTCCGACCTTGAGAAGCTCTTTCACTGTCGCTAGACCGATACCACTTGAACATCCTGTTAGAAGCACCACTTTGCCACTCAATGGGGCCAAGTCGTCATCGGATATGGTGAATTCAGGCATTGCGTAGCTGGCAATTTATTGCCGGTGTCGTCGAAACTATACAGTTTGTGGGGAAGAGCTGTTTTCGATAACAGGCTTGCACCTGATATTCATGCAATCTATGATGCCTAGCATTGACAATTAAGCAATGACAGGACTACGTTCTTGTTGCCTTATCCAAGTCACGAGGGCCGAAGAAGCACTGCCACGTAACCCCTCTGCTCACGGGTTACACACAGCCCCTCAGAGATGCATGTCCGTTGAGGGGAACCCATTGTCATTGAGCATAGTATACTTATTCCAAGGCCGATCAACCCATAATATGCCGAGGCTGATACCGAGGTCCTTCTGTAGTGAGGGGAAACCCCTCTTGACAATTCAACCTGGGAGCCAAGCTGTATACCTACAGAAGTAATATGCGCAAGCCAGCATGCTACCGCCTGGAGTTAGATACTTGCTGTCCGCATTTAAATATACAGAGGATGCCTAGTACAATTCAAAGAAAGCAAGTCCGTAATACTTCATTCACTTGATTTGGTCTGGCTCATGCTTCATACCGGACTCAAGTACTTCATATTTAGAAATTGATATCTTGTGTCTTTGGACGTGGGAACCTTCAATCCCTTGTTGACTCCATTGAGACAATACTTCGGTCCTCAAGAAGATGTCATCCACAGCAGCAAAAGACGGCTATGCAGGCTACCCCCAGCTATCTGTTCCGAGGGGTAGAGACTTCAGTGGCGGTGACCTCCTGGCTCAGACCCTAGTTCACCTAGGCGTGAGCGTCGCGTTTGGCCTGCACGGCGGCCATCTCGACGCTTTTCTTATGGGAGCACATGATTCTGGAATTCGCCTCATCGATACCAGACATGAGACGGTTGCTGTGCAGGCTGCTGAGGGCTACGCCAAGGTCAAGGGCCAAGTCGGTGTGTGCTTCTTCACTGCGAATAGTGGATTCGGCAACGCGTTGGCCGGCATTTCGACTGCCATGGCCGATAGGAGTCCTATCTTCTGTATTACAAGCTCTGCGCCGCAACGTGATGCCGAGATGAACGTCCTGCAAGGCTTCCACGACCAGATCGTTGTCAGCAAACCTGTCACACGCTTCTGCCATCGCTGTGTGCACGCTGAAGAAATTCCAAGACTTGTGTCCCATGCCTTTCATATGGCTACCGCGAGTCCACCAGGGCCGGCACTGATTGATTTCCCCATCGACGTCCTTTTCTCTCCAGTAGAGCCGAAACGCATCTCCTGGGGCTCGATCCGGATGAAGCCGTCCTATCAAGCAGGTCCGCATCCGGAGGCTATTGAGAAGGCTGTGCAAATGTTCTCTGCATCGAGGCGCCCGGTCATGATCACTGGCGCAGGAGCTAGGGGCCTTGAGGAGGACTCATGCTTCCATGACTTTGTTGCGAAAGCTCAAATCCCTACCTTTCATAGCAACGAGTACTCGGGTGCTCTGCCCAACAAACATCCTCTCCGGGGCGGCGTTGCGAACCTCTTGAGTGGCCTTAAAGTAATCAACCATCCGGCCCCGGATCTTGTGTTATTGCTCGCAGCGCGGACAGGATTCTTCCTGGGGAGCCGAGGCTCCCCTTGCATACCCCACCCGGATGTATGCCAGTATATCCAGGTGGATGTAGACTCTGGGGAAATCGGCAGGGCCCATGAAATCCACCTTGGCATTACATCAGATGCCAAGCCGGCCATGGATGCTCTGGCTAGCGGCCTGGCCAGCGTCCACTACACAGCACCAGCTGACTGGGTCAAGACGACAATGGGACTGAAGGCCGGGCCGATGCCTCAGGAAGAAGACGCTGAAGAATATGAGCCCGGTAAAGTGCATCCATACCATGCACTCAAGCGGGCATTCTCTTCTTTGCCCGAGGATGCAACCTTGTCCATAGGTAAGTTTTGTCTGGGAATTCCTGCCAGAAGCCACTTCGCCTCGTCACATATCTAGGTAAAGCAAATACATGGACGCCGACTCGCGGATTTACGTTCGTGCCCATCTACGCAGGGCTTGAACGTGAACCCAAGCACTTAAGCCCCTGCATATGCTCTCATCACTGCACACACCAAGTATCTCTCAGCACTTATTCAGCATGCATTTAAGCTCCTAAGCCTGCCCATCGCTAATTTGCTTGCTGCTTGAACAGATGGTGGCGAAGTCGGCAGCTGGACTGCCATGACCAGCGAGTTCCTGCGCCCGAAAAGAATCATCTTCAGCTGTGGGTATCTCGGGTTCCTTGGCAATGGCTGGGGCTACTCCTTGGGCGCCAGCATTGCTGAGCCGGACCGCCTGGTTGTAAACATCCAAGGCGATGGCTCCGGAGGTTTGCACATTGCGGAGCTCGACACCTACGCCCGCTTTGGTGCCAAGATTCTCACGATTGTCTGTAACAACTACTGTTGGGGTATGAGCCAAGGCGGGCAGGAGATCATCTACGGTTCTGTTACAAAGACACGCCCTGCGGCAATACTCTCACAGGAGATGAACTTCAGCACCGTTGCTGGAGGCCTAGGGTGTGCCTCTGAGCGCGTCAGCAGACCAGCAGATATCGATAATGCTGTCAAGAGACTGGCTCAGAGTGCGTTGTCGGGCAAGCCGGCTCTCTTGGAAATCATCACGAGCTCACACCCTATCCACCCCGGTACCATTGCCATGGTTGGTAACACGAATGACAAAAATGTCATAGTTGTACCTTACTATGACAATGTGCCAAGGCCTCACTACAGCTGATAGAGTATCTAATAAACGTTATTGCTCATTCAAGTGCATTAGAAGTTTAGTAAACGGACTTTAAAAAGTGATAGGTAGTTTGGGTGGTTGTGTATGCAACGGGTGCGGCTTAGTTAGCTAGGTCGGCGCAGCGATTTTAACACTCCGTCCAGAAAAGCGTGGTGGCGAATATCATCTGTCACTTGCAATTCCATACAATTGATATACTGCAAAATTTGAGTCATTAGGCTCAGCATAACGTCTTGAACATTCCAGCCGCTTTCGTCAGATCTTTCAAAATGACCGAAACTTGTGTGTTTGATTTGGTTTGGGACAGAAAAAGTCTCGACGTTCATGCTACCCGTTTTCAATCCACGGGTCACACATCGGTTCCTTGCTGAGACGTCACTTGGGCTTTACGACATGTGGGCTTGGGATTTGCACCAAATCGTGTGGATTTTAAGAGTAGGCTGGCCTAAGAAAGAAAGGAAGGAAAGAGAGCTCTGGCGGAGCACTTGGGGCTGCAGCTGTAGGGGAGGCGGGCCTTATCGATAAGGGGGCTTCTGCTGGGACCCACCCGGGGGCCTGCAGGGACCAATCGCCCTAGCCCACAGCCACCAGGCTTAACTATAGACAGCATGTCGTACTACACCTCGAAAAACTCCTGATCTAACGACTCTACCTCTTCAGTAAACCGTAAGAACATTACTAATCCTGACTGGCAGCCGATGACCACTCGACTGCCCTGAATAAAAACAGCCCTAGATGACGGACGATACCGTTTGGGGAGGAAGATCGCTTCTTTGCCCTTATACTTGATCCAGTCCCTGTTGGAGTCTATACTCCAAGGGGCCCAGTCGGGCCAGGGCTTCGGAGATTCGGATTCACCGACATATTCGGCACCCATCTCAGTCAAGATCCAGCTCTCATCTGTATTGGTGCCGTTCGTGAAGCGCAGCCATTTGGAGGGCCATACTTCTTCTTTTAGAATATACCCATTGCTGTCCAAATCCCAGAGACGCAGCTGGTTGTTGGAAGCCGAGGCTGCAATGCGCTTTCCATCGGGAGAGAAGGCTACGCTATGAATGCGCGAGACGGTAAAAGAAAAGCTCAACATAGGCTCTTTGTCGCAAGAATCTTCCGGCGGGGCGTCGGTCGTGGTTCTATCCCATATAAAGACCTCTCCGTCGTCCCCGGCGGAGGCGAGAAGGCGGCTATCGGGTGAGAAGGCGACACAGATGGCATAGTCGGCGTGGCCAGGGAAGGTCTGGAGGGGTACACGGAGCGTCGGGGCGCTGCAATTGTCCTTGTCCTTTTCTACGACCTTCTCACTGAGGTCCCAAACTCGGACAGTTCTGTCGTCAGAGGCGGTTGCTAGCAGACGATTGCTTGAGGAGGGCGGCGAGAAGGCGCCGCCTCTGATCCAGTCGTCGTGCCCCTGGAATTCGTGCGTCAAATTCCCGGACTTGGTGTCCCAGATCTTTATCATGCCGTCTGTGAAGGTGCCTGCTAGGGCCATGCCGTCATGCGAGAAAATAAGCGACAGCATGTCGTCATTGTCTGCAAATTGGTGGAGATGCTCACCGTTAACGCCATCCCAGAGACAGATCAGCCCGTCTACGGAGTATGAAGCAAGAAACCTGTTGTCCGGTGAGATGACGACGATGTCGACGGGCTGTGTGTGTATGATCGCCGTTGGTGCCTCAGTACTGCTGCTAAGGCGAATCTCGCCCGAGTTTTCCCGCTGCCTGGCGTCCACATCTGCGACTTCGACGGATCCCTCACGGCCGCAGGATGCGATCCTCCACACGGCGTCTTTGGAGTACACGGAGCCTTCAGGGGAAAATGAGATCTCGAGAGGTCCCCTGGTGTGTCCCGTCAGTATCTGTTGGGGTTCTTGATCCGCTCCTTCATGCACCTTCCAGATCCGCACAGCTTTGTCTTTTGATGCCACACCGAGGAGGGATCCGTTGCCAGAAACAGCTAAAGAAACAATGGACGAGTATGTGGAAACCTGGAAGACCACATCACTGATTTTGGTCTTTTCGTCACCTAGATCCAACCTCCAAATACGAACATCGCCATCATCGGAGCCCGCAGCCAGGAGCCTCGATGAGGGACAGAAGGCAAGCGCACTGATCCTATAGTCTGATTTCTCCAGCTCTTGGAAAACCTCACCGCTTTCGCTGTAGATGACGACCCTTCCTCCGCTTCTATGACTCATGGCGAGTAGCCCACCTTTGCTAGCCATGTTGGCATCACATTTCACGTCGGTGTTGTTTGCCTCGCCGGTAGCTAGGTATCTGACGCGAGTCGCATCGGGGCAGCGCCAGTGGCGGAGCGGCTTCTTTTCGGACCCCTCGACATCCCAGATGGCAAGCTCGCCGTCTCCCATGACCACGGCGAGCCTCGTTCCATCCGGCGAGAAGGAGATGTCCAGCATTAAGTCGGCCTCAAACTCACTGCCAACATCGGAGCCCTCGATAGACAAGAAGGGACGCCATGAAGCTGTGTCCCATATCTTGACATGCCTTAATTCCATGGTAGCGAGACGAGACGGGCTGCCAGCCGAGAACCTGACGCAACACGGCCAGCTACCAAAGTCCTTCAGAGTCACCTGCAGCGTGCCGGTGCGCGGGTCCCAGAAGCAGATCGTCTCGTCGTCCGAGGCCGAGGCGAGCAGTCGACCGTCGGTCGAAAAAGCGCACGACCGCACCCAGTCAGTATGCCCTTCGAGAATTAATGGGATGCCCGGTTCCACGGCAGGGGTCGATCGCAGCCACGGGAACGCTGTGTATAGAAGATCGCTGCGTCTTGTCCGGAGGCCGGGACAGAAAAGGAGGCTATTCTTCGGCGGAACTTGGGGAGGGCTTTGGGTGGATTGATGGAACTGGAGAAAGCGGCTGCCATACTGGACCTGATCCAAGAATCTCTTGAGGGCATCGTTGGACTCACTGGACCATTTCTGAGGAGAAGAGCGGTGTCAGTTCTGAAAAGTTGGGCAAAGTAGAGAAGGAAATAAAGGAAGAAGGATGAAATGGAGACAAACCCGCAGCATGCTCTCCAACTCAACCATCTGTGTGAGTGCCTGAGCTAGACCGGGGGACGGAGTCAGGGTCTCGAGCCACTCGAGGAAATGCTTCTGAAAGAACTCGGTCACTTTGTCCGTAGTCTTGTGCTCTTTCTCTAGAGCGCCGTCGTCATTGAGCTTAGAGAGGTGTTTCAGCCAGTACCACGTGGCGTAGTGATGGAACTCCTCAATCTTCCTATCTCTGATGCCGGCAGACTTCTCCAGCTGATTCGACAGGACTCCCAAGCAGTATAGAGTCATGCTAGAATGACGCTGAGCTTTGTCCGTCATCTTCCTGCGGAAGAAGTCCTTGGCTGACTTATGTACGAAGAAGACGCGGTCGCCGCGAATCTCCAAAAAGGCGAAGCACTGCTTTTTGATGATGGTAGGCAGGTCGACGTTTGAGAATCTTTTGCTCCGGAGTACGAACTCGTCCAGCTCGCATAGCCGCAGTGGCTTGTACGCCACCGCCAACGTGTTGATGATCTCGCGGCAGTGGTCGGGGCTGTCCCATGGCAACTTTTCAAGAGCTGCCTCCATGTAGGCGTACAACGGCTCCACGCCTGATGGCAACGCCTCATTGGGGAATGTCTCCGAGTCGACAAAGCGGATCGCATTCCACGGCAAGCCGTGTGAGAGGATCTGCTTGCAAGCGATATCGATCCATAAGAAGTTCCCCTTGGATTGCTTGAGCATCTTGTCCTCTACGTCCTTAGCCTCACGCATGCCACTCATGAGCTCCGCTACCCTGATCCTGACGTATTCAGCCGCGGCGCTGAGTAGTACGGACTCCATAGTTTCGTTAGACTCGGTAGACGGAGATTCCAAGTCGCCGTCGAGACTCAGTTCCAATTTCCGGTACGCACCGTCTGTCCGAGGGGCGTCTCTCTTTATGGCGCCGTTGGAATCGGCAGATACGAGCCATCTCACGCCGGTGTATTGCCTGGTGCTGCTGATCAAATCCATGAGCGCCCACATGGCCTTTTCAGTCTCAGGCTCGTCCCCGTCGCTGCAGCACTCGTCGATGGCGTCGATGACGAAACATGTTGGCTGGAAGGCGCCATCGCTGAGGATCGCCCGGAAGACCGCGGATATGACTGGGATGTCCTCCGGGCGGTCGAATTGGTCTCTCCTCGCCGTATGGCAGGCCTCCAAAAAGTGTTCACGGAGCTGGGTCTGCCGATCGAGAACTTGCGAGACAAGAGACTGCACGATAGCTGCCGCATTATCCGCCCTCTCCTTGCCCCGGTTGCAGAAGAAAATCGCAATATGAGCTACTACGGGCTCTGTATCCAGTTCAAGGTCGAACGCTTGGGGCTGGAACAGATCCTGTGCAATGGTCTCCAGCAGTGTCGATTTGCCCGTTCCGGGCCTGCCAACGACCCAGAGCTCTCGGTCGGGCTCCGGGGCCTCCGAGTGCAAGAACTTTGCGTATTCAGTGGTTGATTTGACCCAGCTCTGGACATGGTCTTGAACACGTTGAAAGTCCTCTGAGGCTTCGGGCAGCTCGTCTCTGAAGGAGTAGATCCGAGTCTCGGGAGACATGGAAACGGTGTCTGACACAGATGCTTCTTCTGTTACGTCATTGCTTTTCGTGTCTGCGTGCGGGCCGAAAGAAGTCAGTGATTTAATGAACTTTCCAAGATCCGATTGGAAAGAAGACCAGTCGGAGCAGGCCATGACTGCTCGCTCCTTCTCGATGATGGTGTATGGGAACTGGTGGTTCTCCTTCGAGACGAACAAGGGGTCGACCCCGTCTTCGGTGCTCGGATCTGCCAGAACAATTAGATGGAGTAGAATAGCTTTGTACAGATCTAAAATTGCCATTCTGTTCTCATGGTCTCGGGCCGCTGGCTGCTTGAGTAAGAGGGCTGGCAAGCTGCAGTACCATTCCATTGCCGACATGATGTCTACGAGATCTTTCCAGGATGCCGGACTGGCCGAGGCTGATGTGCTGATCAATTTCTGCAATTTTCGTAAACCCTGGATCAGCTCAACAATATTCAAAAATTGGGAAGCATGATGACACTTACACGTGCGGCAACGCAGACGGCAACCCACGCCACGGCAGCACCGGCTTGGGACTCTCGCAAAGCGGCCTTGCGAACGATGGTCTTGAACTTGGAGAAGCGAGTAAGCTCGGTATCACTGTTGCTGTTGCCATCTCCCTCGTCCTCGCTCGAGTCTGGTTCGGCAAGCAAGAACTCAATTATTTGTCTCATCTTGTCCAGCCGCACGATGGGATCCGTCAGCTCAAAGCAGCCCCTGTCGCTCGTGTTCGAAATGGCCCCAAGCCGCTGTCGGTCCCCGTCAAAATGTAGGCCCCAGAACCACAAAAGATCGCGAGCAAGGCGAGACAGCTCTGGAATGCCGTCCTTCAAAAGAGCATCGTAGGCTTCATTCCAGAGAAGAATCAGGGTATCATCCTGGGCGGGCGTCCAGTCAACTGTCGGCCTTGGTTGTTCTTCCTGCGTTTCTTCCTCCCCATTTTCTTCCTCCACCTGTTCTTCCTCCAATTGTTCTTCCTCCACCCCCGCACTACTTTTATGTTCTGGCGACGTGTCGGAGTCTGCCCGAGTTGCGGGCGTCTTCATGTCCAAGGAGGGATCTGGAGCATCTTTGGCTGGCGCCGTTGAATCTGATTCCAGCTCAGGTTGACTTGCTTCGATGGGGTCGACCGGTGTGCTTGGAATGCCCATATGGGCGGTTACGCTGGCCCCGGGGGCCAGGATGCCAGATGGTCGTGCAGCACTGTTATCGCGCTCCCATGTCTTCTTCCGAGGTTTACGTTTCTTCACTCTGTCCAACAATCGTGTAAGGGGGTCCAACATTATGTTCGGCTCTGGGATGTCAGCGTCGTCGGTTCTCGCTGTATTTTTAGTCATGTTATCGCGTGTCTGGATAAAGTGATTTGTAGACCCGAGATTCAAGTCGTGCGTGGTACGTATAGCTTGACAAAGACACCCTGTTTGGAACAATTATCGCAGCTGAAAGCTGAGTGGAGTAACCCAAGAGATTCAGGCAGGAAGCGCACCTGGGAAGAAGGGGGGTGGGTAAAAACATACCGGGGTCTGCAGCAGAGATTTTGCGAGAGCCACCGTCGCCAGCCTGATACACACAGGAGGTATGTACCTTTAGTCTACACATGTACCTGGAAGTACCATCAGGCTGAAAAGCTCATGAGCCTTCGATAAGACTCGTTGGAAGCCCCGAGGCCTGCTCATGCTTCCCGGCAACGCTGCCTTCCGGTTCCATTCCCTCCCATTTTCAACACATTTCTACAGCATGCCGCAGCATTGCGGGAGCTGCCACTCGACGATTGATCATTGGTCAGCGGTCCTGTTGCCTGGTCCACGTCAAGAAAGCAGTAACAAGCTAGGAACAATGGTGGAAGGCACCGGGGGCAGCCGCTAGCACCTTCCGATGAATATATGTAGGCCATAATGCCCCGTGAGTTGAACAGTTGCCAGTAGGTTTGGGACAACTGAGCGAGGACTGATCAACGATTTACCTTGCCTTGCCTACTGCCAAAGTATCCAAACTATTATCTGAGAGAGCATTGCAACCAAAATGGCCTACGTGTATAACTCGGGGTACGAGTATGACAGCGACGGAAGCGACGTGCGCTACGAAGACCTTGATGAGCGTGGCTCGGATGATGAGCTCAGGTTCGAGCTCCAGGAGAGTTTCAGCAACCCTGCGCTGGTCGAGCAGGGCGGCCTTCGAAGCTACGAGACCAAGAAGGACGGCACTGTGCTCTACTACGCCGACAGGCCCTCGGATTATTCTATTGTGGCCGACCGTCTTCTCTGGGTCGACGGTTACGAGAGTACGATGGCTGACGGTCAGCACGGTCGCGAGATGACTCTAGTCGTGCTCAAGATCAAACTTTTCTCGGCGGACCGCGACTCCAAGTTCAAGAGCTTTACAGCCGAGCTATCCTTCAAGGACAAAGTGACTGGCGGCGAGCACGAGCCGTTGGTCGAAGCCTGGGCACCCTTCCGCACGCCCGCGAGGTGGAACCCGGCCGTAGCCCAGCGGGAGGTGACGGATATGAAAGAGGGTGGGGCCAAGGCTGGCTACCAGGGCGCTGAGTTGTCGGCCGCCCGCAGCCGCGAAAAGAAGATGTCTTGGGATCAGGTCGACTTTGATGAGGGCAACTCAGGCGAAATGATCAGCCAGAAGACGGGCCGACGCAACGGCGTGCGGTGGTCTGTGACGCAGAACGACGTGAGCGACCTTGGCGTCACCCCTGAGATCTGGGTTGCCGTTCTCCTATCCCGGACGTCGCAGCAGCCGTACGGGGTTAGGTTTCGACTTTACTCGCGCGGCGGAAGCCTACGTGAGGTCGTCGAGGGAACGAAGCGCTTCTTTGGGACGAAGCCGGACGAGACGAAGCCCTTTTCGCTCACGCCTTGGAAGCGCTCCATCTGCCACAGCGAGGGGAAGAGCATTCTCGAGGCCATCGACCTCAACAATCTCGGGAAGCTGAGGGGTGTCTTGGGCACCGACCTGATTCTACCCTTGGGGCCCGACTATCGCATCGTTCCGCCCGAGTCGTCCAGGAAATCTGCAGCTGGAGCGCCCACGCTAGCGCAAGCACCCGCACCCGTCCCCGCACCGGTCGAGGTTGTGGATCCCCGGCCCGCAGAGACAGGGGTGGGGCGAGGCGAGGAGAAAGCGAGCGAGCAGGGGTCTTCAGCCGCAGCCCCGGCGAAGCCCACTACGCGCTGGCATATTCCGGCCGACCCCATCCGTCTTGCGGCCATGGAGAGCCGCGTGGCCCACGCAGAGGCCCGTATCGCTACGCTCGAGTCAACCATCCTCGAGCTGCGGGAAGCTTTGTACGACATCAAGATCAAGGTCTAACACTCATTGGTTCAGGTCGCATCCATGAACTGTGCAGCGCAGCGCAATGTGTGAAGGCTCGATACGCGGGGGGGCTGGACCAGACCGCAGGGCGCAGTTGGGCGTCGAGTCGACGCCGTCGACGCTCCTCCCCAAGCTCAGAAAAGAAAAAGATCGCAGCGGTGCATCTCTAGCACTGGCTTGGCTCTCTGTAGGATTCGCCAGCGATTGGTTCTTGTCAGCTCGTGTTTCCTTGCATAATCAATATGTACATTTCGGATGCAGCCGGTGTGCCAAAGGCTCCCAACTCGTGCCCCCCTTAGTTAATGTGACGTGCGGTCTCATAGGCGCCTGAGGGGCTGGTGAATGCCGTAACTGCCGTATCACGGCCAATGAAAGATCTTCTCAGACATCTCGCAGTCCGTTATACGAATAGAGCCTTCCTTGTATGCATGATTTGCGGCTCAGCGCCGCCCGGACGACTCCGGAGCCTTGCAAATTGGCAATCCTTACCTATCTAGCTACTGCGCATGTAGAACACATACCTGCTCAAGGCCAGGTACTTCCAGATACATCCGTCTGCAGACTGTAGGCAAAAGCAGCTAATTTTCATTGGTATCAAAGAAGACCCGAGTCGGCAAGGAAAGAAAGTAGGACAAATTCTTCCAATGATGGCTTTCTTTGAACAACCGGTTCTCATCCAACTCACCTTGAAGACCAACTTGAGCCAGATTGTTCTTGCTTGTCTTGATTGATCGAACCCTACTCCCTGAGCAGTCCATTGGAGCCCTCTGCAAAATGGCATCACAAGAGCAATTCAAAAAGCCCGATGCCAAATCTTTCAGAGACTTCTGGGAGAAAGACCGCCAAGTGCCAGGCCTTACTGACAGATTGATTCAGACGCTTCGATCTGCATCTGCCGTGAGGAAGAAAGAGACCGTCGACCATAACAGCCTGAATGCGATTATCAACGACATCATCAAATTTCTTTACCACGAAAACAGTGAAATTGATAGCTGTGTTCGTTGGGCGATTCTCCACCGGGCTGTCCAAGTGGAGATCGAAAAAGGGGAGACTCCCCAGGACAACGCACCGGCCCTACTAGTCGGCGCCATAGCAGATGAAGAAAAGTACCTGGCTTTCGAGACCTTGAACCCTATGAGTTCCGCCCTCCGGCAGGAATGCAAGAGACGACTGGACTCGAAGTCACATAGTCCGGATCACTCTCAGTTTGGAAAGGATCTAAAGAAGAGCCCGTTCTTCGAGGCCTTGGCCAATTTGGAAGAACCGGACAGTTCTAGCAATCCAGCTGCTTTCGAAGCCATGGTTAGCAGGTTGGAAACGTATTGCAAAGAGCAGATCCAGGTCCTTCCGAACAAACGACGAGGTCTTCTTCAAATAACGTCTCAAGACGCCAACTCCAACCCACAGAACAACTCCGATACTGCGCTTGGGCTTTTGTTGAACGTTCTGCGCAGACCATGCAGCTTCGGCGGCAAGAAGTTCACTGCTCTCTACCTTGCCAGTCAGGATGAGGTTGAAAGGACTGGGGATTTAGGGATTCTCAAGGTGCTTCTAAAATACCCTGGAATCACCGATCTGCCCTCCGACACGACGTTCGATGACGCCATGCAGGGTGGCAAAGTCAAGGTTATAAAGGCGATGCTCAGTGTAGAGGAACTGCGGGGCAGGTTTGTGACGAGCGAGAACATCACCAAGGCCATGGACAACATCGTTTTGGACGGCGATTCGGACATTAAGGACCGGATGGAGAAGGTCCTCAATGAGCTGCTCTTGCACTCTAACAACCTACCGAAAGCTCGCAGCGTGTTCGACGACCAGGTGGCCCAGAAGATCATTGAAAGGAACCTCGTGGAGGCATGGGACAAACGGCCCGAAAGCGCCAAATTGAACGATCAATGCCTTCTACACATCGCGGTATACCATCAACGTGTCAACTTCGTTGAGCGCTTTCTCAAAGATTACCCTGCTTCGGTGTCTTGCAAAGCCCTGGTTCCCGGTACAGGACCGCCGAAGCAGCCCATTAACAAGAACAGCAGTGACAAGACCGGTGCCGAACAGCGTCAGCCAGAAGGATATTACCCACTGTGGTATAATCGCAAGGAATGGGATGGGATGAGGTGGGTAGACCGCACGTCTGATCCGAACGAAAGTTCCTTCATCCGCCAGTTGCTCGCCCCAGCAACTATTCGACAAGTGGAGAAGATGCAACGTCTATTGGGCATATTTCGCGAAGCCGAAGGTATGACTACACTAGCAATTGTTCCATATGCTTACATGTAGAGTCCCGTCTGCTAACATATGTGTTTCGAACCCATAAGAACCAGGTAAGTAGACACCGAGACACTTGATTTCCCCCTTTTCTATTCGTGGAGTCAATCAACTTAGCAACAAATCGACTATTTGTAGTGGACGAGCTCTGCTTTGAGATATCTCAGTTCAACTCCAAATTATATCGGGTCTCTGAGTTTATCCATTCTCTCATTAACCACCAAGAGAATGCGGGCCTTCTCTGGTACGAGCCTACTATCAAATACGCTCGTTTCCCACCCTTGGATGTCCACATCGATGACAAGGAGGTGTTTGGTATGGGAGCCCAGGAAGAGCACACAGAAGTCTTTGACATCTTACAGTGGCTTAAGCAAGAGAAACGGGTCAAATCCATCATCGAACTTAAGGTCCCCGATCGGCTCGTCAACCCGCATAACGAGCTGCTCATTGCCAAGTATGTTGATGACTTTGCCATCGAGGTCCTGAACTGGAGGTTCCTCGACTTGTCACTCTCCGTTTTCTCGGCCGACACCGTCAAGCCCAGAATCCGGGAGCTCCACCTGTATTCGAGCGGGAAACGGGCCGCGATAAGCCACTGGTTCAGTGACGAAGGGCTAATCACCTTTCCAAATGCAAGTTTGTCCTGACCCCGATGAATTAATAGAATAGACCACTGTGACTGATTAGCCATGGCCTCAATAGCTCCAATATCTTCGCATTTACGTCATCCAAGAACTGATGCCGAAGCGGCATTGTGAGATAACGGTAGATTATATCCAAAAGAAGTTGGCCGACTTCGAGATCCGATGGAGGCAGAGGAGGGAAATGCAGGAGACGAGACTCAAAAAGCCAAGGGAAAGCGGCATCAAGTTCCTGCTCAACAAGGATTGCAAGTCCCAGCTGTGGAATCCCACACATGAGAGACTAACAAGTCTGGACGAACTGTAAGTGCAAAAGCTTGGTTGACCTCTCTGGCCATGGATATGTACTGCAGAGCTGCTAACCAACCTTTCTACGCATAATATAGAGTACAGAGGGCTTTCCCGAGGATATCCGGCTTCGTTAGAAACTACCGCAACTACGTTAGTTCCATACCGCACGTCGACAGCAGGGACCCGGACCCTGACCCGGGTGCTGGTGGCTCGAAAACCTACCAGAAGAAGCGCAAATTCAGGCCTACAAAGGTGGCAATCATTGATAACGGAATTCTGAGCATCTCTCCAGTCTCCATCGAAACATCCCTCGGCTCAAGCGCTGTCAAGAGATTGGGCAAGAACAAGACCTCCACAAAAGGGGCGACTGCTCCCTCATTGTCGTTGCGTACAGACACTGTTGCACCGTCGCTATACCAGAAAAATGAAGTCATAGCTACCCCGACAAGCCCGCCAAATGGCGCAGTCAATGGCGGCGGTGGCTCGATGCACAAGGCCGGGATGATGTCCAGTGGCAAAACTGGCGCGAGGAATACCGTTGCTGCTGCCCATCGTGGGACCGAGGACGAAGACTGCCGGGCCACAAAGGGTCGCATCCCCATGGAGCGCCATGGAACGCTCTGGTCACGGATCAAGGAGGGTAAGTCGTTCGTGGATGACGACTCCCGCGTCAGTCCGTGGCTCTTTGCCTCGGACGCTCATGGAACCCAGATGGCCAATCTCATCTGCTCCATCGACCCGGCCTGCGAGCTATATGTGGCCAAGGTTACCGATGGGAACAATTTTGGAATCAGTCCCGAGAGGGTGATCAGAGTGCGTTGACGCCTATCCCTAATCCCCCCCCCCCCCAATTAGGGTCAACAAAGAAACAGCTAACGACGATGGATTGTGTGCAACTAATTAGGCCATCGAGTGGGCCATCTCCAAGGGTGTCGACATCATCTCGATGAGCTTCACTATGTTCGAGGACAGGCCTGCGCTGGGCGACGTTATCGAGCTTGCCAAGAAGCGGGGTATTGTAATGATGTGCAGCAACCACGATGAGGGCGCCAACTCCAAGATCTCGTACCTAGCCAAACGCCGCGATCATACTTGGGTCGTAACGGCGTGCGATGAATACGGCTTTACACCGCGCGACAGAGACCCGCCGACGGGGTGCGACCGCTATATGTTCCAGGGCTTCAACGTAGCAGCTGGCGTGATTCCCTTCCTTGAGTCCAACGATCGCATCTCGGGCAGCTCAGTGGCCACGGCAATCGCGTCCGGCATCAGCTCGCTGATTATCTCGTGTGCGCGTCTCAACACATGTGACCCGGACAACGACTGGCACGGCGAAAGCTGCCCGGGGCCTTGTGCACGCCTGGACGGGTGCAACCCGGCCCGAAACTCGCACGATATGAGGTGCCCAATATTCCGCCGCAGCGTCTGTGTGGCTCGTACCCAGGACTGCGAAGGTGAGAATCGCCGTCACATCGTTGCACACTTCCTCAAAAGCATGGTGTCGGAGCAGAGGAAGGATGAGGGCTACGTGCTACTGGAGAAATTTGGCGGGATAGACAACAAGGTAAAGGAGGGCGAAGATATCTATGTTGATGGGATCTTGGAGACCTGGTTCTCCCCCGCGAAGCTCAAGGAAGCCGTCTCCGGTCAAAACAAGGGATCTTAGAATAGTATCAGATAATTACCTCATTACCTTCACTAAGTACCTACCTTAGAGCAGACTAACATGAACGTGCTGACCAAGAAGCGTACTGAACCATTACGCTCTAGCTTGTCTTCCTATAGTTTACTGCCTCAGATTGTCTAGTTGGTTGGTTGGTATCATTGTTCTATCCTACCCTTTGCTGGAAACCTGTGTGGAGCTGCGTCAGCAACTGAGACTACCCTATAGAGTGGGCGGCTATTCCAAGCCGATCGACCGAGCCTTACCAAGCAAACGAACGAAAGCGCGATATGACAGTCTGAAGAGATTATAAGCCAATGCGATTTCCCGGCAAGACAGTTTTGTTGCAGTTCTGTCATAAAGATAGACACATTCACTGTACATAAACTATCGACAACCACTAGTGTGACTGTCTAGAAGCATCCTGAGCGACTACGAAGCGGATGTAACATAATCTCGTGCTCCATCGAAAATAGAAAATACGCTTTAGCCGCCCTGACCCACAACACACTTTCAATGTCAAGGGTTATATGTAGGCAAGAGCCGCATACGCCCTGTTATTTGACAAAAAACAAACGCGCAGTAGCTTTCCAAAAACTAACCTCAGCTTTGCTTGCGCGAATCCTTACATTTGCCTCAGTAGCGCAAATTTCCTTTGCGAGATGTAACAACCTTATGTACTTTTTCTGTAGATATGCTGCAAATCTTACACTGAAGATGGAGAATAGTGTATCGCTAGCTTATCAACTACCTTGGTGGATTCAGGCGCAACATCCGCTTCGACTGCATGCAAGCCAGCTGTCGCAGCAAGTAGACTCCTTCTTGTGTACGAGACAATTTTTTCCTAACTTATGCTGTCACAGAGTTATATAAACTCCAAACTGCTAACCACCAGCCGTCCTTCTGCAATGGACGATGTCCTTCGAATTCTGGTGGCCAGCCCTGGGTCTCCATTACTCAGCCCATAGCGGAAACCTGCCTAGGTGAAAATAACATCGATGAGATTTTACCACTCAATTTGAGCTAGGGTATCCTCATTTTTTCGCAAGACGCCTTCGATACCTAAATCCTTTGCTGTCATGTATTGATAGGTATGAGGATCCGTTTCGTAGTTGCCATCGCCGTGGTCGTTAAAGTATTTGAACATCAAGCCAATCTCTGTGCCTAATGCACCCCAGAGTTGTTCAAAGTCGCTGAGGGAACATTCCAGGAAATTCACTTTTATTTCCTTCCCTTGACTCTTCAAAGCGGTCTCCAACGTCTTTGCGTATTCTTGGATAGATGTAAGCTCGGCTGTTGCATTTACATAACGCCCTATTGTCTTTTCAGGCTGGGCAAAGATGGCCTTGACGAACTGCCCGACATTGAATGGTGCATCGCCAGCGAAGGGAATTAAACTGTCGGCAGAAATTGGAAGCACAAGCAGACGGATATTAGCCCCATCCTATTCTCAATTAGCTACCCTTCAGAGTCGAGGGTTACCTGAAACAACTGAAAACCAAAGCAAGTAGCCTCTAGTTAGTACTCACCGAGTAGAAAGGGGTATAAGGTGGCTTCTCGATGACAGATCCATACAGACCTACGCGAAGAAAGGTAGTCTTGTTGCTAAGTCCGTTTTTGGGGTTCATTATGTACTGCTCTGCTGGGATCTTTGACTGAAAGTGCGGAATATCATGTTTACCCGCACTCTCCTTAAGAGCATCCGGCAAAGTAGACCAAATCAGGTGTTTCAAAGACGGCGTCTGTGAGGCTGCCTGAGCAATGTTCAGCCCCTGACGTGCCTCAAGCTCTTGACAAGCCGCTGCACCCGATCTAGCAAACACAGCAGGTTGAAAAGCCGTATTTGCAAATATAAGAGATGAGCCCTCGAAGGCTGATATAATGGTATCGATAGAGTTTAGATCAACACCAACGACGCTGATATTTGGCTTGGTTGCTAATCTTTTCGCTGCAGGGCTTTCAGTGTTGGACGTAAGGGCTCGAATATGGTACTGAGTTGTCTCTTGTGACATGAAAGCAGAACCTACTCCGGCACCTTGTTGACCGAGGGCGGCGCAGATCGTGAGGACGGGAAGACTCATTGTGATGGTCGTTAGTATTACTGGACGGCTTCTTCATGCTGACTTGCAGCGCCTTAAATCATCAACAACGCAGTTCCATCACCCGAGGTTATATTTTCACGTCTTCCGAGGCGCGGATAGATGTTGCTCCGAGGCTCCGCAATCTAAGAGGTTGCTGTACTATTCTGAGTGGGAGTCGGGAAGTCTGAAGACGTTCGGCTGACAAATGAAAAGACACCAACGTACATGATGAATAATGGTACATGTTGTATCGTGCCATGCATACTGTTGGTAACAAGGGGAAACAAGCGAGCGCCATACCTTGCTCACCAACCAACATAGAAAACACCAGAGTAAGGCTGTACTGTTCTTCAGATGTCAGAACAACTATCTGACAAGTCGTTACATCGTTTCCGGTTTTCCCACGCCTGTATAGCATCTTTCCTTCGTTTATACTGACTCTTTTAGCCATTACTGCTTAATGATTAGTTTACCATTCATATCGATAATTTAAATGATGGATTACAATCCCCTTTCCACGAGATTTCACAAACAAGGTTCTTTCCTTTATTTCATTGAATGTCTGTATTAAAGCCTACCTCTTTCAACAACTCGCTTTATCATCGGATTGTATTTGGGTTGGCGGCGTCCTACAAACCCCTCTGCACTCCAAGAGATAAACACCAGCTGTATAAGCTACATTACAGGGAGGGCAGACAATTATTTGCGGCTCCGCTTTTAGAGCCGCGTCCTCTGACACACAAACCATACTTCAGGCATTCAGCTTGATTACTAAGCACAGTTGCTTCTCACAGCTTATCTAGACAATGCCTGGCCTACAACACCTGTCAATTGGGAAACGAGCTGATAAGGTGACCCGGGGAGCCCGTAAGTGAGCTGGTTTATAGTTATTATCAATCACTAAACAAGCGGGGCTATAGACCTTATTTCCAAGGGACCCACGGCAGTTATGTCATTTGCTATTTCGATCTAGCCGGGGATAGTTATAAGTGGGTCTACCGAGGCCATTGTTGTCCACCATATCGTACCCTCAATTTGTCCAGTCTTTTATTGATGCTCCGGGATGAAGTGGTCACTACTTTCTTCAAGCGAAACTTTGGCCAAGAAAGCCGTAGGAATGCTTCGGAAGCTCGGTTCGCTTCTACAATGCATCTCACATGTGAATTCAGGCGCCTGGGGGATCACGGCTGCGAAGTTTCAGCTGTTTCCCTCGGAGCTTCTCCCACAGCCGGTCTATATAACCTCGTTACCTAGCTGCCTATATTTGTCCGTCTCTGAACATCTCATACCATCTCACAAGCTACCTTACGTTAACATGTTCAGCATCACAAACGCCGCTGGAGGGGAGGCTATCCCCAGGTCCGCTGCCCACGAGGTGGCTGACTATGAGCAAGCTGTAAAGAACCTGGTTGCAGAGACGTGGTGCAATTGGCCCAACTGGGCCGGGGTAGGTACCCTATGCTTCAGAAATAGCGAAGCAACTTCTGACACGGTAGACAGTTCACTGGTCTTCGCGAAGAACGTGGGCCTTTCCGATGTACTGTCCATGGCAACATTCCTGCCTGGGCGGCTGGGACTTTGTTCCGAACTGGCCCCGGTTCCTGGCAAATCGATGACACTCCAAGCGGTACTCTCCAGTTTGGACACTGGTTTGATGGTCTAGCCCACACCCACCGGTTCGACATCATCTCATCCGGTGATACTGGAGGTGTCGCAGTACTTTACTCGTCTCGCCATCAATCTCAAGCATACGTGAAGTATATTCAAGAGCACGGTCAGGGGGACGTTTTCACCTTCGCTCAGCGTCGTGACCCCTGTGTTGGGATATTTGGCAAAATGATGAGCAGTTATGAGCCTGCAAAAGCCAAGGACAGTCAGGCCAAGGACCGTCCAACTGACGAGATTAAGAATATTTGCGTCGCCCTTCACGCAGACGTTCCCGGTCTTGCCTCTGCAACTGAAAATTCTGTCGAAAATCAGGAATCCTTTGGTCATCGTGGGATGCCAGGAACTGTATGGATCACTAGCGATAACTCCAAGATGCGTCGAATCGACCCTGAGACTCTCGAACCGCTCGGAACCGTTAATCAGACAGCCTTCCACCCGGATCTGAAGGGCCCCATATCTTGCACTCATGCTCAGCGTTGTCCTCGTACCGGAGACTTTTTCAACTTCAACCTCGACCTGGGTAGTGACGCAGCCTATCGTGTGTTTCGCGTCAGCGCCGCCACCGGCAGTACTGAGATCTTGGCAACCATCGCTAGCTCGGATGTCAAGCCGGCGTACATCCATAGCTTCTTCCTGACGGAGCACTTTGTCATATTGTGCATCCCCAGCACACATTTTCTCGAGGGTGGTCGCAAAGTTATGATGGAGCGCAATATTCTCGATGCCATTGCCCCGTTCGACAAGTCACAAACCCGTCGTTGGTTAGTCGTTGATCGTGTCAACGGAAGGGGCGTTGTCGCCGAGTTCGAAAGTGACGCTGGCTTTTTCTTCCATAGCGTCAATTCCTTCGAGACAACGACCGAGTCTGGAGCAGTTGACGTGTTCTGCGACGTCGTCGAATATCCGAATCAGGATATTCTCCGCAGTTTATACTACGACGTGCTGATCAACCGCAATCGCGAGGGCTCCAAATTCTGGGGCGATGAGAGCAAGGGTCGCGGTTCTCTGATTCAGCTGGTGCGCTACAAACTCCACGTTCCATTGTTTGATACAGCCGCCAGCACCCCACCAGCCAAACAGTTGAAGGTCCAGCGAGCCGAGCAGCAGTTGGTCATTCGTAGTCCACACGCTGGTGAACTGGCCTCCATCAACCCGAACTTCAACACCCGCCGCCATAGGTACATGTACAGCCTATGTAACCGGGGTCTAAGCACCTTATTCGATGGCATCGTGAAGACTGATATTGACACGAGGGAGGTATGTTTTTGGGGTAACCCCCGGGACATACTCCTGGTGAGCCCATTTTCGTGGCTCGTCCGGGTGGTTTAGATGAGGACGATGGATGTCTGTTAAGTTTGGTATTAGATGGTCACAGCAAAAGTAGTTACCTACTGTGTCTGGACGCAAAGACAATGACTGAGCTAGGCCGTGCTGAAATCGGGTTTGCGGTGGGCTTGGGGTTTCATGGACTGCATACTCGTGCCAGAGCTATAGTCCAACCGGCAAAGTTGGCCTGAAACTGATTTACCAGGCTGATTGGCAAAATAGCCATTTAGTCATTACCGCTTCGGGCCGAGCGCAGTCAGTTCTCGTAGGAGAAGTAAATTCTTGGTATAATCCTCTGTGAACTGTGAATAAAGGCTTTGCATCTTTTGTGAGATGGAGAATCCAGCTCATGTATCGTGGTACTAACCCAATTATAGACAAAGCTAAAACTATTATTGCAGGGTGCACGGTAAGCTTCAGGCTTACATAATCAAGGGAAATCCTGATCTAAGGACTTTAAAAGAAGCGTTGCTTTCAAAACACAGTCTTTGCCTTTACCGTACACAATCGACTAGCCTACATTCTTTTATTTACTCGTGCTTATTGCATATGATAGTAATCTTCGTACTCTAATCAGAGACTAGAACCTTTTCCCCGCTCCCTTTACTAATATGTCCATTATCTTATTATTTCCTTACTGACACGCTTTCAAATACTCTAAAAGGCTAGTGAAATAATGTTATATTCTATTCTATTTCTTGTAATTAATTCTTATTGTAAATAATTGATCAATTTGTAGTATTTTATTGTATTGGATTTTGAACGTTTAAGTGAAATAAATGTTTATTTTCAAGGGTATATTATATAAAAAATGGATGTCTCTCGTTAGAAAAGTGGAAATCGAGATAATTCAGGTCAATTTCGAAATCAAGACTTTTATACAAGTCGCCCGCCAACTCGCCTTGCCTCCCGTCGAGGCCATTTTCTGGGCTAGCCCAGGACTCGAAAGCATCGGCTCTGGATGGGAAGGGATCCCCAAAAGTCGGTGACAGTGCACACGTTGAGATAGCCATTGAGGATCGTTGGTTTATCTTTACGTGGACCTGATGCTTACTGAGCAGCTGCAACAGGCACTTATAGACCTTAGCCGCAGGATGTGAATTCTCAGAAGCTCGCTGCAGAAGACGAAATGCATCTGTGACCTCTGCAACATAGGCTGCATCATCGTTAAGGGACTGATCCAAGCACAGATTGATGGCGAAGACGGTGCTGGCCAGCAGTATGGCGTACAAAATACTAGAAAGTCGCAGCCGCCTTTCCGAGAAGGGGATCTGCTGTTGCTCAAGCTCCAAGTCGGCAGAGAGGATCTTTCGGGCTGCGTCGAGACATGCGGCTCTGGCAGTGCAGAAGCAAGCTTGAGTGAAGGCGCGGGCGAAGTAGGGGAAGTGAAGCCTGCAAATGAGGGAGTAGACATGAAGTGTGAGAAGGTATCGCTGGACCGTAACTCCTTGGGATGGGGCTAGCGTCTGAAAATTTCCCGACTTAGTCGTGCCCCCACTCAGACGGCGAAGTGAAAGCGGAAGGTCGTAGATGAACTGTTTAAGCCGGTGATTGAGCTCTGTAATCTCACGATACTTGGACTCTTCTGTCAAAGCATTGCTCAGAGGTACGCGGTCTGTATATGTTCGACAAATTTCTGCAAATCGAATCCGTAGCAGGCAGTATGTCATAGATGTGGGATTCGAAATGTGCTCTGCCAGTTCATGTCGGCTACTGGGAATGTCCTCATCATTGACATTCCTCGGCTGCTCGGTAGTCATTTGACGCGGATTTATTGTATAAACTCCCTCAAGCATACCTCCGTGACAAGACAGAATCCTGCAGATCAGTCAGCACAAGTGACGACCGCGCAAATTGCAGGACTTACCAATCAGTCGATACTAGGTACCACCATACTCGGCGAATCATCTCGGCCTCTATCGCGCTCGAGCCGGCTTCTTCTTTAGATTGCTGATGTGGGCGGTCGCGCAGATGAAGCCCGAGCTCACGGGCAGTATCCACAGCCACGGACAAGAGACTCCGGAAATTGGATGAGAACCCATCCAGATTACATACAACACAGGCTAATAAAATCAGAGCCTGGACGTGCGGAAGAGACAATCTGGAGCTTCGCCTTGAGTGGTCCATCACATCAAGGGCAGCTTTGATCCACGATGCCGTCTGCCGGGTCGCCGCGTCCGGGGTTTCGTACAACCGCTTCTCTTCGGAATCGCGGCACGTCCACTGGCTCGTCACGTTCGCGATGATACTGAGCAGCAGCATCGCCTGCCCGTGTGGAACGGTGCCCTGTGAGTCGATGACATCATAGAGGGCGTCTATTGTTCCTGGAAGTGATGGAGTGTGTAGGACATGGCACGTGAAGGCTATGTCAGTGATATACTTCTGTAGCAGAATGCGGGCCTCTGGCTGCGTAGGAATCCAGACACGCCTCACGGATCGCCCGTTAGGATGAATGGCAGAATCGAGAACGTATGTCGTGGATCCTGGGAGCTGGCGCACGGAACATGTCTTATATGAGATCGGATCGGCTATGGTCGATGCCTGTGAATGTCATTTTCAATAAAAGGTCTGATGTCATTTGCAAGGCTCGGGAATAACTAACGAGAAATGCACTGCTGCGGCTCGCCTGCTCCAGATACACGGCATCGTTCGTCAGACCTTGAAGACGTGGGCTGATATCGGATTGTCCTGAACGACGAAAGGACGAATCCTCTGCGTGAGACGCGGAGTGGGGCGCTCTCTGGCGTGCGTCATCTGTGCCAGCATTCTGTGCTGCTACGAGCTCCTCGAGCTGCTGTAACCGATCGTGGATCCCAAGGTTGGAATCAAGATTATTTGATGAGCCCGCCTGATCCTGAACGGAGTTCTGTAGCCCGGCGAATTCACAAGGAATGCCACGACTAGTGCAATTAGGACAGGGTGCCTTGCGGCTACAACGCAGCTTGCGAGATCGACAAAATGTGCATGATTGCGGCCGTGGCCACGTACGCTTGTTACTGCTGCGCAATCCGGCTCGCATCGCGGGCCCGAGCTGCAAAGATTCAAGTGGAAGATTTGAGCGCCTGGTTGATATCTTCGGTGATCTGGTGAAGAGACGAAAATGTCAGTAGCAACGGATATCGATGTCCCTGGCAGCGGGCTCGCGGAGACTAAGGAATTGATTCATGTCCGCTGCTTCCGCGGAGGCAGACAACGCCGCGGAGGCAGACGGCGCCACGGAGGCAGACGGCGCCAATCATCTGTCGATTCGCTCTGCCTTTTGTGGAGAATGTTTTTTAGAATGGTCTGAGTGCGAGCTGAGCCTGCGGGCTTTCATGACCGCAACATTCCCTCCCCTCGCCCCTTTCTCATAGGAGGTATCAAGCGAGTCAGGACTGTGGGAAACCTTAGCCTCCTAGCATCCTCGCCGCCCGATCCACCCAACGCCCTGTGTTGTTTGCAGGCTGACCAAGAGCGAGCTAGGAGGCTGGGCTAAACGAAACACTCGCGCCCGCTGCGGCGCCACATGCTATCAGCCAGGACAAAACTAGAATGTATGACACACCATGGCATGCACAGGGGCCCTACAAAATGGTCAATCTGAAAGCTGCAAGCTTCTGAGTCCTCTCTCTGAACGCACAATCTTCACTAAACCTATAGAGCCTAATCCTATTCATATTGAATAAAAAGCAATGTTACCAATAAATCAATTAACGAAATAACCTCACCGGGCAGCTCTACGCAGGGTCAGATGTACATAAAGAGGATCTTTCTGCCATGCCAAGTAGACCTTGCTCTGCTTGTACCAATGTTTGCTCTGTTCAGCAAGATCTAGATCGAAATTCCAGACCAGCCTAGCGAGAATCAGGCGCATCTCAGCGTAAGCCAAACTAATTGCAATGAGAGTCAACAACCGAGCATGTACTTGCGCCGCACAGTGGAGTACTTACTTCCTTCCAAGGCAGTTCCGCGGTCCTATTGAGAACGGCTGGAACGCCTCCTTCTTATCCCCGGCGAACTGTTGGTCGCCGAGCCATCTTTGGGGTCTGAACTCATCAGGCTGAGCGAAATGCGCTGGATTGTGATACAGCGCCCAGTGCCAAATTTCAACCACGGTCTGGGGAAGTCAGCAGGTGAATATTGCTTTGTATAGCGAAATACCATAACGCACTCCGGGAGGTATGTAACGATTAAGGATTGTATCGCCCAATTCATTGATTTTGCGCGGCGACCCGCTGGGCACCGGTGGATAGAGGCGCATCGACTCGTCCAAGACAGCCAGCAGAAAAGGCAGATTTTGTACGGTAAGTAAGTCAATTTCCTCTTCCGTGGAGAAGGATGAACGAACTTCCTTTGTCAGTCTTGAAAGAGCATCTGTATTTGTCGCTAAGAAGTAGGTAGCTGCAGAGAGCAGCGTAGCTGTCGTCTCAGAGCCTCCTACGATAAGTGTCGTGGCGTTATCTGCCAACTCCTCAAATGTCATTTCCTGATAGAATGTCAGGTTCAGGCCCAGAAACCGAAGAAAAGCCGGAGCTGCGATCATAATGGAAATACCGTCGAACGTACCTCGCTCGTGGCGCCACCACGTGAAATCATAACCTCCATCAGATCCGGTCGCTCGTAGGCCATGGATAACCTCTTACGAACCTTCTCCTCCGTCAGGAGTTTGTTCTCGGCCAGCTTGTTAGCAACTTCCTTGGGAATCAAGAACTTGAGAACTCCTGCCAGGGCGGGATAGCGGTTCATATTAACTGCCCAGGCAGCGTTTTTCAAGCTATCAAAAATGAGACGAACCCATGGATGATAGGTTGAACTCTCCAAGCAACCAAACGGCTCGCCGAAAGATAAATCGCCGATGATATCAAAGGTTGTATAATTGAACCAGCTGACAAGGTCGATAGGCCCTGACCCCCGCTGCGCAAGGTCTCGGAGTCGTTCGAAAAGCATGTTCACATACTTGAGAATAATAGGCTGCTGATTCAGCATGGCCTGCGCAGAAAACCCGTGGGCCATGACCCGTCTGTAACGTGCATGGTCGTGGCGGTCGGCGCCAATGATATTCTTCCGCGCTCTCGCCATATGTATAGGGTCTTTCCCGTTCTCGCCCGCACCATGCTTACGGTGACCTCGAATCTCTTTCATGGCGTCTGGATGGTTGAAAGACAGGATCTCGGGTGCGATTCGGACAATCGGGCCGTACGTCTGATGAAGCTTGAGGATACGCTGCGGAGCATTGCCCGAAAGGTACATCCGAGTATAAGGCACGCGCGTGGCGGCCCACGGCTTTGGCCCTGGGAAGCCACTCAACGGGTGCAATAGCAAGTTATAAAAAGCCGCCCATGACATGGAAGCAAGAATCTGCCTCGAAGTCAGTTGAGATGCATACATTTTCCCTGCTGCCAAACATATCCTTTAGAGCTTACCGCAACCAAAGTGAAAACGATGAGACGAGCTATCGATCCAACAAAGGCGGTGGTGCCATCTGGGCCGGCTGTCTGATCCATGATGCGCAGGTGCTTCATCTGGTTTCGATGATCAAAACCACTGTTATCTTAGAATTTCGAGATGGTAAAAGTCATAGTGCGGGATTGAGCCGGCATTGATCTGACCTTTAAGTGACAACGCCAAAAGAGTCCGCGGAGGCAGCTGCGCGTGGTCCGCGGAGGCGCCTGCTGGTCCGCGGATGCTCTTTGACGATAAGGGCTATAAGTGCGGTATTAAATGTAACTCTGCGGTGGATTTTGTCAGACGGATATTCACATTGCACTGAGAATGGACGCGTGATCTCCATGATAAATACCGGCTCCCACCCCTTCCACACGACCCATCACCCTCTCACTTGTCCAACGGCGAATCCACTATTTTTTGCGCCATGGCCAGCTCGAAGAGTCATTCCAGCAAGATTAGGAGTGTCTTGACACCTTTGAAAAGATCCACGATTGCTAATTCTGCGGAATCCTCTGGGAAAGCCGAGGAAACGGAAACATGCGAGTCGAATATTGTTGACTGGGACGGCCTAGATGATCCCGAGAAGCCCCTTAATTGGCCCATGTCGAAAAAGTGGCTCAACATCGCTGTTTTGTCGATTCTTTCGTTCATCACGTAAGAGTCCCAATAGCACACAGACCGTGCACAATTCTGATAACATCACGCAGTCCACTCGTGGGTAAAACTTATGGCCATGTCCCAACTGCTGCTCACATTCATCTAGGGATCTTCCATGTTCGCCCCCAGCATTGGTGAGATCATGATCGAGTTTAACAGTACATCAAACATAGCCGCAACTTTCGTCTTGTCGATATACGTGCTTGGCTTCGCCTTCGGACCCTTATTGATAGCACCCCTGAGCGAGATCTTTGGCCGTGCTCCGCTATACAATATTGGTAACCTCCTTTTCACCATTTTTACAGTCGCAGCTGCGGTCAGTAACAGTCTGGGAATGCTCATGGCTTTTCGGTTTCTCATGGGCCTAGCTGGCTCCGTCCCAATCACGATTGGTAGTGGTACTATTGCCGATACAATGCCTCTCGAGACACGAGGCAGAGCTATGGCTGCATGGATCTTGGGTCCTTTATTTGGACCGAGTGTCGGCCCGGTAGCTGGCGGTTACTTAGCCCAAGCCGCCGGTTGGCGATGGATATTCTGGCTGCAAGCCATTTTGGTAAATCTGGCGGAGTCTTCTAAACAATGGGAAAAACTTCGCTAACATCGTTCAGTCCGGAATGTTCATTCCTGTGGCCTTCTTTGGTATGAGAGAGACATATGCCCCGGTCTTACTTGAGAGAAAGGCCGCTCGGCTTCGAAAGCAAACCGGCAATGGGGCCTTGCAAAGCTGTTTGAGCGGCGGTGTCAACCACAAACGGACCTTTCAAAATGCCATAATTCGACCTCTGAAGCTCCTCGCGGTGGTTCCAATCATTACCCTGATGTCTATATACGTCGCGATCGAATACGGCATCATGTACCTGCTCATGTCGACGTTCTCAATCGTCTATGAGGGCCAGTATGGCTTCGATGCTGGTACAAGCGGCCTCTCATATCTCCCCCTTGGCATCGGTATGCTCATAGGTGTTGTCATTTTCGGCAGGGTCTCGGACAAACTCGTTCTGCAGAACAAAAGCAAAGGTGGCGAACATAGACCGGAGATTCGTCTCGCGCCATTACTCTCGATTCCCTGCGGCTTAGCCATCGTCGCCGGCTTGTTTATATATGGTTGGACTACCGATAAGAAGACTCACTGGATAGCATCTATGATCGGTATTGCTTTATTTGGTGCTGGTCTGATGGCAATCATGGTGAGTTTCTTTTCAAGAAAGTTGAATGATAGTACTGACGGTGACAGATGTGTATTCAAAATTATTTATTGGACGCGTATCCACAGATTGCAGCATCTGTTACTGCATCACTTACTGTGCTGCGGTCAATTGCAGGCGCATTACTGCCTCTGTGTGCACTTGATGTTTATGAAAGTTTGGGTTTGGGATGGGGCAATAGTTTGCTTGCATTTATATCTGTGGCTCTGGTACCGATCCCGTTGGCCTTCTATCTCTTTGGAGAGCGTCTTCGTCGAATGTCCAGTCATTTGACGATATAGGAGCGGTGTGAGACATCAAAACTATGCTGAGGGTGGAGAACCGGTTGAATTGACATATACTCAAAAGGTTTCAAAGCTATTAATAATATGAAGACCATGTGTTATATTATGTATTCAAATGTTATTTCTCAATACAGAGTAAGCTTCAAATCTGAAGAGAGAGAAAAAGAAAAAAAAAAGAGCTTTGGCTATTTGAAAATGTGGTCGCCAATCCATCTTTCAAATACTCTTCATCCTGGGGCGAAGGAGAAATCTCATGCACTCAAAGTCATAGTCCGTTTACTTGTCCAAATCGTACTTCCAGCTTTGTTCTTCATCCTGTTCGGTGTATGCTGACACGATACTCTGACGACGAGTTTGAAACGTGTCTACAAACTTCTTACGGCGTATCATCGCTTCTTTTCCCCACTGTTAGTATCCCAAGGAGCAGAGAAAATTTCGATCAGTCCCTCACCGGCGACGGTGTGAGACAAACATCAGTAGGAAAGCACACCATTTTCGTCTGCGTATTTATTCTTCTCTCGGACTTCCTCAAATTTGGATCGCCAGTCGCTAGGGAGCGGTCCCACCTTCTTGATCACTTGTTTGAGAAAGAAGTGTTCATCATTAACACGATATATAAAGATGCGCTCTCGATAGATCAGATCGTATATCTGGAGAGACTTTGAATACGTGTAGTGGTTTACTTCTCAAGGATGACTGCATGAATCTTACCACGCATCCAACTTTCCACAAATCAAGTCTGTAGTCCAGAGAGCCAACAACAAAGGTCTCAGGGGCTCGAAGATCGAGGGGCTGAGGTAGTACTTCTGCAGTCACGGTTTGGTCTACCGGAGAAGCTGCACCCCAGTCAATCAGCCGAATGTCTTCGTCAGGTCCATCGTCCCATAATCCCCAGCGCGAGGTGGCCACAATCTCTTTGGGGAAATGCAGTGAGGGGAGAGGTCCTATAGCTTTGGCGACATAGAGATCGCCGAGTATGTCAAAAAGGTCGTCATCTTCATCATTCGCGATGGAGTCCCAGGTGACAACGATATTTGCAGCTGAACTATCTATATGATAGAGAAATGATTTAATAGACAAAGGAGGAAGGAGCAGTGATCAACTGTGAAAAGTAACTTACCTCCATGTGCCAGACCAGCCTGGTGCGCAAAGTCCAATCCATCAAGGATCTGCTTCGAGGCTCGCAAGGTGGTGTCCGGACGGAGTGCCTGCTCGAGGTCTCTAAAAAAGACTTATCACATCGCCGGATGAGGGGCCAAAGAGTTCTGTAACAAGGCAGTTGTGGGTTTCTGCTCGACGAGCCTGAATGTATTCCGCTATTATCTGAGGCTGAACAGACGGTGCAAAATCCACCCCAGCCCAATTTGCGAAGGATAGTGTAGCAAGTGTCTCGGAAAGTATCTCCTATGGCTACTGGGTGAAAATCACCGGGGATGTAGTGTTCCAATGGCTCGTGTGGATGTATTTGACCTGTTTGGTCATCGTATAAGGACCAATTCACTTGTGCTGCCATTATTGGACCTCGGGATGAAAGGGCAGATCATGGACAAATGACCGTTGTCCTGTTGCGGCCGCCATCTTTTCTGTTTTGTTCTTGTGGGGCATTGTGATAGCAGCCTAGATGGGGAACAGGCCAAACGCTACCCAGGCTGCGGGTTCACATGCATCCACATTGCAGCCTGCTCATGCGAATTCCCCGCCCTTTTGCTGAATGCAGGCGCGTGAATGTTCCTAGCATTACTTGAATGAAGGGAAGCATCTCCTCCAAGACCAGGCTTTTACTAGCAGGCAGGCATCAGGCCTCCATAGTACACAGAGGGCCAAGAAAGCGGTCAAGAACATTAAGAAAAGGGCTGAAAGGACCAGGCAAAAACCAATTGCAAGCCGCGGAATGCTGGGCAAATCAGAACAATTTATTTTTGCGAACAATTTATCCCTTTAGAAACCACGTGTATAAGATGAATGCAGTATGCCTGATGTTAAAATATTCCGGCAACAAGGTTGGACCACGAAAACTTCTTCTCCCGTAAAAACATCATCGCAGCGCCGAGAGGCTCAGATGGCTTGATCAGATCCTCTTCCTAGAGTGTCCTTCTCTTAATCTATATGAAGACTGTATGGATCCATACAATAGAAATGACACTGGTGACTCGAAGTGGCCTAGACGATCTGCACCGGCTCGAAATTGGATCCTCTTTCCTGCGAAAGCTTTCCATCCATGACTCCATGAACGTAGGCTTCCCCAATGAAGGACGATTGCCCGTCACCATGTAGTCCATGCACCGGCCTTAAAATGAAGGGAGTCCGGGCACCACTCAGCAGCCACACCGTGTCTCCTACCCGCGCAGTTCTTGGTCCCAGACCAAAACACCCGGTTTCGGTCCTGAATAGACATCGTGCGCGGTAGTGCCGGTAGAAGGCGGAATGGAAGCTGCTCACTTCAGAAACTGCATCGGGTCGGCAGTTGTGACCTGCGTCTTCTGCCCTGAATTCCTCGATCTCTTGCAGTGACGGAAGGGATTGCGAGGTGTCGGCCGCCTGAAGCTCTGAGTATAGGCTCACTCTAGCCTTGTCCTGCTCTGATTGGCCATTTCCCATTCGTAAATTCTCGCTAATAAATCTTCTGAAAGACTGTTTCGCAGCTTCCAGCCCGCCAGCCCATAAGTGATCGAACATCAGCGTCCGCCAAAGAACCTCCATCTGACTGATTTCCGAAGCGCCTTTTTCACCAAGCTGCACCAGGTTAAGCCACGAGAATATATCGTAGCTGATACCGTCACCGATTTCTCTTTCATGTGGCTTATCTTCCATTTCAACAATCTTATCAAACTCATACCCATCGAGCTTGAGTACCGACGGGGCTGAAGGGTGGATTTTCGGTTCCCGGGCAGATGCAGCAGTGAAACTTGTTCTCCACAGTCTTTCAGTTGTGAGCGGTTTGTTGAAGGCGGGCACCCATGATGGAAGCCCGGTGGGGCGTTGATTCTTATTGTGGGATGGCAGCACGTTGCAGTAGCTGTTCTCACACAATGGTGCCTGGACAAAGGAGAGGCCCTCAAGGGGTTCAAACTCCTCGACATCCCCGCTGTGGAAGCTCTGAATCTTGTTGTTACCTCTGGCCACGACAAAGACCCTACCAAGTTCCGTGAAGACATCTTTAGTTGATCTCCGGTAGTCCACAACAATCTCGTCGCCGCAATCCAGCGGCGCTGCAATGCTCAGAAGTGCAAAGACCTTGTCCTTGGGATCTGTGACCTCAAAGTTCCACGTCAGAACTAGGACTGCGCATAAGCTGAGCTTCTCGTCCCAGCTATGGTCTACCCGCCCCTCCATTTCCTCGATTTGTCGGACGTGCTGCCGCTCAAGCGTGTCAAACCGCAGTCGAAGTCTAAGGTCCGTCATGACCCACGCACCCATTCCCTTGGCTCCCTTGTGACGGTTGCTGTTAGGATGCTGTGGTAGTCCCATGATATGTACATCTTCGTCGCCGCCTAGTCGGTGCTGGACGAGCTCGAAAAGCTCCATCCATGTAAACCTCTGAGACCCACATAGGATCTCGACGTCCTTGGCAAGAACTACTTCCTGCAGGACCCAGGTCCGCTCAAACCAGGACCGCCGGATGAGGTCCAGAACAGCCTGGAATTGTGGCACCGAGATTCCGCCAACGTCCTCCGTATCATGTTGGTGGCCATCGTGGCGGTGATCATGACTCTTGTTGGTAAACTGCCACGCAGCCTCCCTGCAGGCTTGGAAAGAGGCCGCGTTGAGACGACTGACGGCATCCCGGGCGATGCGAGTGGTATTATCCTCCGGCCCAAGCCATACGATGCTCGAACGCGCGCTACTATAGATTCGGGCCATCATGGACACCTGGGCGTTTCGCTCGTCGATGTCCTCTTGATTGATGCACACTGCATCAATCCAGAGGTCCCTCACCGTCGAATACTCGGTAGGACCGAGAGTCACTGACGTGGGAGCACGAAGAACGTTAGCGACCTGCTCGTGCTGTCGACGCTGTCGCTGGAGGCAACAAGCCAAGGGCGTCCTCCCCGAAGAGTCTATCCTCTCTCTATCCGCGCCGTGCTGCAGTAGCATCTTCACGATATCCAGATGACCATTCTCAGCAGCGTAGTGCAGCGCCGTCTCACCGAACACGTCCTGGCTGGTAAGGTTGGCACCCCGATGGATGGCGGACTGGACATCGGCGAGGCGTCCCTCCTCGGCGGCGCGGATCAGCTCAGTCTTGTTGTACGGCGGAAAAGTCTCATCTGCCCCGTCGGCCTCTTCTCGAGCAGTCCAAGCCTCACTGTTGAGTGCAACCAGTGCCTCGTGCAGGCTCTTCGTCACGTACAGAAGTCTACCGTTGGCGATGATGGGCCACCGGTTCGTGATGGCGTAGTCATCCGCCGAGTCTCCCTTGACGGCCTTGGGGTTGCCCCAGGTGTAGGACAAGGCATCGTATGTTGGGTTTTCGGCGAGGTCGACGTGTCGAATGACGCATTCAATGAGGTCGTGGCCGCATATCGACACAGGGCATTTGTTAGCGCCTGCCCTTCGCACAAATGACAGAAGCCGTATGCATGACGGTGATGTCAAGGGCTTGTATTGGAAGAGCTCGAAACTAAACGGTGGTACTTCGGGTTTCATTTCCTAGTGCAATGTCGGTGTGTCGGCCTATATCTAGTCGAAAACAACTCGGAGAATACATGGAAATGAGTCTTCACGTCTGACTTGATAAAGGGGAGAAATATGGCGGCTGCCTAATCGGACCCGGGGAGCCCGAGTCCGACTACGCAGCTTACAGGACCCTGGCATGGGGTGGCCAGACCGGCCCGTATAGAGTCTAAAGAGATTCAGCTTATAATCAGATTCTGTGGCTTTTCAATGTCAACACGTCATACCCCTCTTGTCGAGACCAAGTGAATGGTAGCTATTGTGAGGCGAGCATTGTAAATCATAATTAGAAAATCGTGCCAGAGCAAAGTAACTTACTCTATTTGATTTTACGGAAGAAATATATGATAGAGATTCTAGAAAAGACAAGAGCACCAAACAAAAGAGGTCATCCTAGCATTAGTCATTCTGGTCATTCTTCTAGAGTCAGTCCTAGTGATCGACCCATAGGATCTAGATCCGCATGATCCTCTTCTTCTGACGCCCACAACCCTTGCAGTCATCGTCTTCTTGGGATCTAGCCCTCTTCTTGACCACAGTACCACCACTAACCCCACTACCGACGTGACGACCTCGAGGTCTGCGGAAGTTCTGCAAGAAGCATTTCAAAAGGGGATCCTTCTCAGCCACTTTCGCGGGTATGGTCTTATCCTCGCCTGGTGAGTGAAGTGTGTACGCCTTAAATGCTTCAAAGTTGGTCCATGTTAACACTACTTTCGTGGTATCCGTCCGGCGGGCATCGATTAGGTCGACTATGTTGACGAGCGTCTGCTTGAGGATGCTTTTGCATTCTTCTACGGTATCTCCTGGGCGCTTTCCGACAGCTTCGCACATGGATTGGAAGCCGTGGAGTTCTACCACTGCATCATGGCGGCGTTGATGTTCGGGCTCGGCGAGGCACTCCACCTGGATACCCTCTTCCTCCGTCTCCTCCCTCTTGATGATGGGCAGAATGCGAGACGAAGAAGCGAAGAAGTGTGTCTGGAGTTCATTTCGGAGGGCGGAAGCCCGCTGCTCGTTATAGTGCTGAGTTCCACGAGTCCAGCCCTGTGACTGCGACAGGTGGGCCCACTCTTCGCCGAAGGACGCCGTACCGTCGGGTTCGAAGGCATCCGACTGAAACTGCGAGAAGTGCCCGCCACCGCCATAGACAGCCAAGTACTCTGTAGCATCAGCGAGGGTCTCGAACTTCTTGTACCTAGCGTCGAAGAAGCCGTCTACCTGCGCGCGACACTCGTCCCATGTGTGGTATACGCCTGACTGTCGACCTCTTGCTACTGCATATATTGTGGAAGTGCCGGAGCTGGAATCGACACCCGAGATGGGGATGGTTGATGCAGATGAGGTTAGCGCGGACGAGAGCCCATTAATGGTTCTTTTAGCCGGGGTTGACTGGTGCAGCAAGAGTCCATTGACGCTTCTTCTGGCTGCAAATGGTGTTGTTGACACGGACACTTGCGGTGGCGCGGTCGCCGCTGGTCTTGGTGCAACATCGAGCACGGGCTCGTCTGCATCGGCTCGGATCCAGTTCACAGCTTCTTGACGCGAGGAAAACCGTCTGAAATCGGAGGCTGAGTATCTGTCGACCTGTGCTTTGCACTCCTTCCACGTTCGGTATAGGCCAGGTGTCCTACCCCTGCAAACAGCGTACCAAGAGTTTTTGGATTGACCCATCTGAATCGACTGATACGGGCAGTTTGATTCGATGCTTCTAGAACCATATGTAACAAGCAAGTAATCTTGAAAGTTAAGGTGATGAGGTGGAGGACGCGTCAACGCGTTTAAAAGTGGTCTTAGTGGTCCGTGCGTCCCCAGGACGTTGGTGACATTTGCCCCAGGCAGTAATGTAAATGCCTGCTTTTGTCTCAAAATGAATAAGGCCCTAATTTCTCTCGAAGCCTATGACATTCTAACTTTTCTTCCAAAATTGTATGGGGAGCCGATAGTAACAAAAAGGAGAAGGGGAAAGGCTTTACGTAGCTCCTTGCTTTCGTGTTGTTAAATCTGGCGGTGGCGATTAGGGTATGTGCATTTCACATACACTATTGGAACAACACCGCCACACTCTCAAAAATGACAACACATCATTGCGGAGTCCTCTGTAGCTTACATACCCATACAGGCTTGGTCTACAAGAAAGCATTTTATAGCTGATTATCTTTAAAGGAAACTAATTCTCAGATGGTTACCTTATATAAGAGGCTATCCCATAGGAAGTTATCCCATGGGACGTTATCCTATATTCCCACTATCTCCTTTAAATCATTCCAGAGATACTGTGGTCGCCAAGCGTACACTCGAACTCAAGCTTGTGCTGATAAAACATCCTTAGTGCACATTTACCTCGCAACACATATTAGTTTCAGCACAATTCAACAAAATCAAAAGCCTTACCAGTTACAAACTCTTATAAGTAAAAATATTTAATTTACATATTTTTTTAAAAAAGAAATTTAACTTTTTAAATAAAAACAGCTTATTTAATTCCTTTTTATATGATTTATAGTAAAGTAAAATATAAATAATATAAATTTCTTTAAGCTTAATTTTAACTTTAGCTGCTTATTCATATTAATATATCTACTTATTTTTTTATTTTAGCAGCTATATTAGGTAAGTAGTAAGCACAGACCCCTGCCAAATTCCGTTCCAGATCTGGGTGCAACATAAATAGCACGGTGGGTTCCTCCGCTTACTGACGCCTGTGAATCCGTCCAACAGCCTCGTTTGCCTCGTTCTTGAATCCCCATTTCCCGTTGACAAAGAGGAGCATTGTCGCAGAGGCTGAAAAGCTCTCCATTATATCCGATCCATCAATCTCCCAGCTCCCTCATTACTCTGATTCAACACTCCCTCACCCCTCACCTCCACAAGCATGGCCGATAACCTTCGCAAGAACCTGGGGAAGTCCCAAGTCCAAAACCACATGTGCGAAGAAGAACAGCGTGCAAGATCGAGCGATAAATTCAGCCACTGGAACCAAGCCCTAGACGCATATGCCAATGGTTGGAAGCGGCCGACCCCCCAGTTCCCAATCGTCATCTCCGCCAACAGCCCAATATCAACGCCACAGAAACTGAAGGAGATAGCAGGGCTGGACACCACGTCTGAGGTCATCGAAACAACCTACACGACCCTTGATGGGGACCCCGATCCGAACCACCTTGACGGGAACGGGAAGCCGGCAAAAGTCAGGGTCAGCTTGGTTGGCTGGGACCAGCTACAGACTATCCGAGGCAAGACTGACTTCGAGCACTTTTCGTTTGTACGGCTTGAAGGGAAGGTTCGCGGGGTGACTCTGGTTACATCGTTGACCAAAAGTGATAAAACTTAAGGTTGAGGGAAGGTTAGCCCATCAGTATTGGACCTAATCAAACTGAGCGGCGATTGATTTGGCCATTCTGACAACAAATACTCATCCGAAAACTTGAACTGGCTTGGAGGACTCAAGAATTCAACGCTTTGATATCTGCAAAAGAAACGAGCAAATATGGCCCCTGACTCCCAAGTGTCCACCTCTCAAATTGAACGCTTCTCATGCAAGGACAAGAGACAAGATTTTCATGTCACGGTCGAAGGTCTATATTCTTTATCCGATTTTTTGCTTTGGTCTTCACTGCATTACCATGGATTGCGCTACCTCAAGTGTGATATAGCTGATGAATCTCTGGGCACTGGGATACCTTGCTGCTCAACAAATTACCTCAGCAGACGGCGGAGCTGCTGTACGCATACCTAACACAATTGCACTGCATTCCCAACAGACTATTGAAATTGCAAGTTGCGACTCTCAAGATATTGACAATACATACCTAGCATACCGTTCGGTCCCCATCAAGCAACTTCGCCTCGACCTATATAGTAAATAGTAAAGAATAAATAAAAATATTGTTGTTTTAGTTAAATTTACTTTAGTAAAGGGTAAGCTTTTAAAGTGTAATTTATAGGTGCTCTAGCAAGTGCGCACTCCTCTATAATAGCTTCCGGCAGCCCGCACGCACGCTAAATTTGCGACACTTTCATACTCATACCCCCATCGATGCCATCACCGCCTCTTGCAAGTACACAAACATATACCTGATTCTGAAGATATCCGTCCGCCGCCACGCCTTTTTTGCGTTCCTTGATCTCAACGTCTTTGCAACTCGTAGAACATGCAGGGCTTCCCCTGCCTGTCTCCTTTCTTTGCCAAGAATCTTGTGGTGAAGAATCTCTTTCCCTCAACAAGCGAGAAGCCCCAGATTTGTTCCCGCCATCCAACCAGCCTTCTTATGAACCACAGACACGTGTATGTTGCTCGGGGACGATCCTTTCTCGGAGAGGATAATCTTGTCCGTCCAGCTTCTGGACCTCGGTCTCGCCCTTGATTCCGCCTGTGGCTGTCTGTGCAATCTCAATTGTGACTAGCCGTTATCATCGTTGACCTGAGACAGCTTGCCAGTGATGGTTGCTTAGGACACCGACTTGCGTACGAACCACGACCTTCCTCAAAGCTCTAGCGATGGGCTCATGTCATCTGACATCTTTTTGCTCTATGCAGTCCAACTCGATATCAGCTCTTAGTGTAGAAAGACAGACATTTTGCTTAGGTGATTGAAGTATAAGGGGGGAGAGTATGCCATTACCCAGACACCATTTAGGTTCTGTTTAATTACTTCCGCGGGTGCTGCCATTGTCAATTGGCAGAATATAAACAGAAACAATCGCAGTGTCCCTTCTTGCTATACAATGTTAAACGTGCGAATGATCTGTCTGAGTACGGGGGTGTTATTAAGGTCTACTTGCAGTATTTTGAGGGCCCAGCAGCAAACGTAAATGATGTTACGCTGGAAGCAGTAAAACTGAGGTGAAGCGCCGGACGAGTAGTAACATTGTTACACACGCTGCCTGCTCATATGTGCGCTACACTTAAGACCATATTAGCTGGATTCTTTGTGCTATAGGGGTCACTTAGGTATCTCGTTTGTAAGCCTCCAAATGTGCAGTGGCTAATGGCTGACAGCGAGGCCGACCAACAAAAAAGCCTCCGAATAAAAAGCCTCCGAACAAAAAGCCTCCGAACAAAAAGCCTCCGAACAAAAAGCCTCCGAATGTTCGACCTTATTTACATCTAAGGCGGGGACGTGCAAAACTAAATGAAGTGGTGTCCGTGTTTCCATTCTATTGACATCATACTTAAATCTCTCCTCACGTGTATTGAATTTGGTAATATATATCGCCTGTTGAAAACGCTCCGTCGCCAGAATTTGAGCGTCCCCCATCAACCCCACCACTCGAATTGTTGTTCGGCGGATTTCAGCACCATGTCGGCTTCTCGATTTGAGAAGGATGCCAGTGCCGGATCCGAAACTTCTCCAGACAACGGTGCCAGCGTCCGTGCCCATGCCAGTGGTAGCGGTCAAGGAACCATAGACGTGCCCGCGTCCGACAAGCCACAGGCCGTCGAATTTCACAAGGACATCCGGTTCTGGGCCATCTTCATCGCCCTCGGATTTGCGGGTCTGCTTACCGCCCTCGAGGCCACAATCACGTCGACTGCTCTGCCGTCCATTATCAATGACCTAAACGGGGCAGAGCAGTACATCTGGGCCAATAATGGCTACTTCCTAGCCATGTGAGTTGAAGGCCTTTGCTGGAAATATCCAAGTCGGATATGACCGGAAATGGGGAACCATTGGCTGACACCTGGTTGCTTTTCAGGACATCGCTGCAGCCACTCTATGGCCAGCTCTCCAACGTCTTTGGCCGCCGGTGGCCCACCATCCTCGCCACCGCCGCCTTCACCCTGGGCAGCGGAATATGCGGTGGTGCCAACAGCATAGGCATGCTCATAGCTGGTCGTACTGTCCAGGGCATCGGCGCTGGCGGAATCAACGTGCTGATTGAGATTATCGTTTGCGATCTAGTCCCTTTGCGCCAACGTGGTCAGTACCTTGCTATGATGTTCGGCCTCGTCGCTCTTGGTACCGCATTGGGCCCTTTCTTTGGGGGCCTGATTGTCCAGTACAGCACCTGGCGTTGGGTCTTTTACCTCAACCTCCCTGTCGGCGGTATCGCATTATTATTACTTATCCTTTTTCTCAATGTCAAATACAAAAAGGAATCCACATTCACTAAAAGCTTAACCAAGATCGATTGGATCGGCAATATTGTTTTCATTGCATCTATCTCGGCTATTCTTATTGCTCTCTCCTGGGCCGGAGCTATATACCCGTGGAACTCGTTTCGGGTGCTTGTACCTCTGATTCTGGGTATACTTGGGCTCGCAGGCTTCCTCATATTGGAGAAGCTAGTAGCAGAACCGATGATTCCCCTCCGGCTGCTTTCGAACCGCACTTCTCTAATTGCATACATCTTAACATTTTTCCATAGTATCGTCACTATGTGGGCACTTTATTTCCTCCCTGTTTATTTCCAGGGCGTTAAACGTTACTCTTCTGGGTATGCCGGCGTGGCACTGCTCCCGACAATTCTTATCTTAATACCGACAGCGGCCGCAGGGGGCAGTATCATGTCCAAGACAGGCCGGTACCGCCCTATCCACCACATAGGCTACGCCCTACTTACTGTCGGTTTCGGCTTGTTTACGCTTCTAAATGAGGGTTCCAGCACGGGCAACTGGGTATGCTTCCAGATTGTCAATTCGGCCGGCGCCGGGCTTATTATCCCAACGCTTCTTCCTGCTGTGCTGGCATCATTAACAGATGCCGATACCGCCCTGGCCACGGCTACCTGGGCCTTCTTGCGCAGCTTTGGCCTGACCTGGGGCACCGCAATTCCGGCCGCTATTTTTAATAATCGTGTCGAAGAGATCGCCGCCCGTATTGTCGACCCCTCGGTACGGCATGATGTCACCGGCGGGCGAGCGTACGAGCATGCGGTCAGGGTCTATGTAAATGCCCTTCACCCGGAGACCAGATCCCAGTTCATCGGCGTGCTTGTGGATGGCCTGAAGCGCACCTGGCAAGTTAGTATCGCCCTTTCTGCACTCGGCTTCTTGCTCGTCGTGTTACAGAAGGAGGTCCCTTTGCGGGAAGAGTTAGACACGGAATTCGGGATGAAGGATAAGAAACAGACGCCTGACGCTGAGGCTGTAGGCTAGGCAACAAGCTAAGAGATCCAGCTCGAGGTGAGCTTCTAAATTTGCCAACGTTTGAGAATTCGCACAAGAAAGGGTGGGTGCCTAGGTATCTTGTACCCTGGGGACCTCGATTTGGATGTTTGGGTATTAAAAAGTGTTAATGTCTTGATAGATAGGCTTCGGGTGAGCCGTCATTTATTATGTTGGGCCGGTGCGGTGAAGGTCGTAGGCGGTATTGTCAGGGAAAGCTAAAACAGACTCCACAAGCACCGAAACATCCTAGATGGATTGCCCAGGTGTAACATGGAGAATCCGCTGGCAATCCCAAGTTCTTCAGCCACATGACGTTGAAAGAGAGACACGGTACTCACATTGTCTACATATGTATGCCACTCGGTAAGCGATGCTCGGTGGTATCGTGCTCAGGGTCGCCGTGAGTGTCTTTAAATTTTATTATTTAATTCTCTAGCTGCATGGTAGAATCCGCTTATATATCGAGGAAATGCCATGTATGACTCATCTAGGCTGTAGAATGTCTTGTATTGCGCTGATATTGTCCACTAAGGACCTCAGGGCCGTCTTCCCTCCATTGTCTGCCATTTGTTTCATAACCGTTGGAAGTAAGCCAGAGAACTGGTGGTTCCACAAGCAATTAGGTCCAGGGGAGGCGGGGCCATCCCTCCTCCATATGCAAAATTCATCAGGCAACCCAAGAAGGACTTCGACTTTTTCCAGGTGGTGCTTAATCACTTGGATCATGAGTTTCACGTACAGATCTCCTTGTATGCCGGATAATCCTGGCACTCGCAGGTCGACAGGGCCCCGGAATGCGATGATGGCATCACGAGGTATTTCAGTGAGGCTCTCATGAGCGTGAGTGAACAATGTGTTGTACAGCTGGATCAGCCCCAGCCAGGTTGATAGCGCGAGCAGGACGGTCGATGTGTCCGGTTGCTGATTCGCTAGACTGGCTCCGGACATAGACGTAGCAAGTACTGGGAGGGGCGCGGCAGACTGGGTTGGTGAGTGTTCGAGACTGTTTTGACTGCTGCCGGGATCTCTTGGAGAGGCACACAACTGCTGGAGGATGACTGCCATCTCCGAGGTGCTCTGCATAACCTGCGCCAAGGGGTTCCCATCAGTGCCGTTCATCCTGGCCGTGCACGAGCCCTGGACCAGAGGCATTCGCCACGATGAGGACTCTACGCGGCCAAGCTGCTGGATGATGCTCTCGTTTAGTTGGCAGAGTCGGATCCGTGGGTCGACCGCAGCTCCGAACACAGGCGTCTGTGCTCTGTCGCCGTTCACACCAGAAGTTGGCTGAATTGCTCCGGGAGATGTGCGGGTGAAACTTTCAAAGTCCATAAGCATACCCTGGCTAGACAGGGGCTGGTTCTGGCTTTCAAAAGCCTGGCAAGAAGACTCCGGGGAAGCCTGTGGATGCACGGTGACTGGCTCTGGCTCCTGAGCCGCGCCTGGCATATGCAGCCCGAGGAGGTCAGCTACATCGAACTGTGTCCAACCTGGGGCGGAAGAGATGGAATGGGCATCGTCAGCCGGCGTGAAATCGCCGTGCCCCAAACCAGAGCCGAAGAGATCCGAGAAGTCGTCGGGACCTGCGCTCCGTGGCCAAGCGGGTGAGTTGATCATCCCCGGTGTGGTGCTACCACCGGGGGGCGAAAGGGTCACGTGGGTGTGGCGTTGCTGACCCTGCTTGGGAATCTGCCAAGGGGCCTGCCGCGTCACACTGGAGGCCGCGGCCTGTTGTCTATGTGTCTTGTTGATTCGGCCGTTGGTGTCGGCGGAGACAGCGGAAATAGGGGAGATACGGGGTCGGCCGAGGGGCCTGGTGTTGCTGGTAACACAGACGGCGCATGCTCGCACGCATCGAGCACAAGACTCATCGGTGGGAAGCTCCCTCGGGCAGCGAAGCTTGAGATCGCGGCACCGGTCACAGGCGAATCGCTTGACTGCAGACCTCGGCGCGGTGCTGCTGCTGCTCATGACGAAGATGACTACGACAGACGCGTGGATCGTCAAGTAGTAAGCGCTGTCAGTTACTGGGAAATACCGGGTACTTGTGGGTATGTGGGGTATTCGAACACAAGACCTGGAGACGGCCCAGCTGTGAGCAACGACACGAGCCACGCAGTCAGAATGCTTGGGAGGTAAGGAGGAACAGGCGGCTGAACCTTTTGTGGCCACAGTAGGTGCGTACGTACTGTGACCGTACCACCACATAACGCTAGTATGCAAGTCGCCGGTCCTGGCACCAACCGCTGTCTTTCCCATGCTAAGCGGCATTCTCGGTACACATTTACCTCGCAACGTGTGTTGATCTTCGCACAGTTTAATAAATAAAACAAAACTCATCGCTTGCAGATCCGCATCAGTAAGACAGTCCCATCAGTCGATTCTCTAAATTTGTTTCAATCTCCAATTTAGGGGGGAGCTAATTCTTTTCCTACATATTCTATGTGAGGTGAGATTGAAATCAAATGATTTTCCCTAAGTTGAATTGCACCTCTAGCCGCGTATCCGTAGTCGTAAATCGAGAGATTTTCCTATCTCGAATCTAGAAGAAATATGGCGACACGTCGGCTTTCACTACCCTGTAGCTTTCATCAAAAGCTTTCACAAGCTCATCAGGCAGCGGACCCATTTCCAAAGCGGCAAGATTTTCCTTCAGTTGTTCGGCAATGCTCGCCGAAGTAATGATAGCATCACCAAAGTCCGTGGTCAATTTACTGTGGTGATTCATCCATCTGAGAGCTGCCTGCGCGGTTGTGAGCCCCACCCTGTTGGCGAGTGGCCGTATCTTATCCAGAGCATCAAAATGCGCATCGTTCCAATACTTCTTTCGGTACAGAGCACCTTGTACATGACTAGGGTCAAATCGACCGCCCTCATGATCCTCGGTTTCACGCTGATAGCGGTCGGCCAGGAACCCTCCAGCCAGAGGATTATAGGCGTAGAACGCGATGCCGTAGTGTTTTAGTGCCGGGAAAAGCTCTGGCTCGACAGCTCGGTGCAGCGCGTTGTAAATCCCTTGGTACACATCAATCTTCTTCCATCCATTACGAGAGATCGTGTCGCTCATCTGTGCCACTTCCCACGCTGCGAAGTTGCTGATACCAAAGCGCGTGAAGTAGCCCTCGTTATATAGATCGTTGATTTCGTGAAGTGTTTGTTCGTACGGTGTGTTCCGGTCCGGTCCATGGAGATACAAGAGATCCACTTTATCAGTCTTCAGAGCTCTCATGCTCTCAAGCATCAATTCGCGCAGTGTTTTGTTTCTCGTATCCAGAAATGGTGGTATATGGACGCCAACAGGCGGCAACTTCGTAGCCAAGGCAATACCACGAGACTGCCAATCTAGTTGTGCCAGGTAAGCCTCCGAGCTCCCTCCGCCATATATACGTGCCGTGTCAACTTCTGAGTGTCCATGGCTTTGGAAAACGTCTACAATCTTGGCAGCAACTTCAAGATCGTGTACGCGGGCTTGCTCGGCGCCTTAGACTCTTCATGATAAGCAACTGTCGGAAGTCCTGAGAGGAACATGTAAAAACTCACCTTTGCGGCCAAAGGTCATTGCGCCGAAGACAATCTTCTGCCTTGACTGAGAGGAAGCCGCCATGTCGTGAATTGTTTATAGATATCGGTCGATTGTTGGTTTGAGAACGAGTGTTAAATCAGTGCTTTCATTTGCGTCGATTTACAGCCTTTATAGACTGCTGATATACGATGTCCCTGCACAGGCGTTTCATTCTCAAGGCCTGATGGAATTCGGAGTTAGGATTTCACTGACTCTATCAGCCGCTGTAAGCTAAGCGTCACACGGTCAGCAGCTACATAATGCCAGACGTGTTCTTCCGAAATACCCAGAAAGTGTCTCTGACGCCCAGGTTAAGTCTTCTGTACGCACGGAAAACGGATTAATGATTTTCCCCGAGCTCCGTGTCGAGCTCTCGTCAAAGCTGTTGGAGATTGTGTATGACTTGTTGTTGTCGGACTTAAGGCCCGGACTGAGCCTGCTATCGGTATATGGAGAGTATCGACATGTCAGTTCAACGTAAGCAGGGGCATGACCGATGTTCCACCACAGTGAACAGTGTTAAACAAGCTCAGAAGCTGTGCGGGGATTTAGTGCTTGGAATAGTTTCAATTCCTGTCGACCCTGACATACGAAACAAGCCGGAGAGAAGGTCGTCTATCCACGTCAACCTTGTCAGTGAATGTGAAGGTCATGGGGATCTTGAGTTGTGCGAGGTGCACGCTCTTCTTCATTTCTTAGCACTCTTATGCAGGTGGGAATTATCCCAATGGCCTCCATATAAATCATGCTCAAGCTGCATGCTTCACGCATATGCCTGCCCAGCTGTGGTTGTACGGACCCATGTCCACTTGAGCAAGTTGGTGAGCAAGTTTTGGGGGCTGCATCCGCACTGAATGTAATGTGAACCTGTTAATGGAGTACTTAGTTTCGAAAACAACGCCATTCTTGAAACAGATAGCTCATTATAACTTACTTTACGTTCATGCTAAAATGGTGGCAGGCCATCAAGGTCCTCAGTCCTCAGACCCCTCAAGGTTCTCAAATGAATACGCTCAGACTAGACCAGCCAAGACAATCATCCCTCTTTGCCTTTCAACTTCCAGCTTCACCCGGTGAAGTGGCGCTGTCAACCTCAACTTCCTGAGAACTAAGCATCACCATGGCGGAAATCTTCACCCTCCCACCGCTTCCGTATGCTTACGATGTGAGCCAGAAACCTCATAACATGAAGTTCTCTAGTTCGTATCTTGCTGATGACCCCCTCTACAGGCGCTTGAGCCCAGCATCTCAAAGCAAATCATGGAGCTCCATCACTCCAAGCACCACCAGACCTACGTCACGAATCTGAACAAGGCTCTGCAGGCAGTCGCTGATGCTGTCAAGTCGAATGACATCGACACTCAGATCTCTCTCCAGCCAGCCATCAACTTTAATGGTGGCGGGCATATCAATCACAGTCTCTTCTGGCAGAACCTGACGCCAGCATCCAGCCCTGAAGCACGGCCGGACGCCGCGAAGGATCTGGTGGCGGAGATTGAGCAAACTTGGACCAGCTTGAAGAGGTTTCAAGAGGTATTCTCCGCAAAATTGCTCGGTATCCAGGGTAGTGGCTGGGGATGGCTTGTCAAGGCCGAGGGCAGCAAGCAGCTGCAAATCATCACGACCAAGGACCAAGACACGGTGCCTAAGTCGTTCGTGCCGATTTTTGGTGTTGATATGTGGGAACATGCGTATTACCTTCAGGTGAGTGAGTTATCGTACTTTTAAGATGATCCATGGCTGATGAGACTACAGTATCTGAATGGAAAGGCTGCGTATGTGGAGAACATCTGGAAGATCATCAACTGGGCTACCGCAGAGAAGCGATTTCTTGGTGGGCGTGATGACGCTTTTACGGTCCTAGAGGCGTCTATTAAATGACTGTTCGCCGTACAGAGTACGCAAGTATATTGCCAATGCCTCGGGGACGCCACGTCTGTCTCGGGATGTGGGCTGTGGTTCCTGGGTGTCTATAAAGACGTGATTTCTCTATAACATCCAAGTTCAAGGAAACCGTCCACACACCGCGTATTTTCACGACGCTGAAACTTAGGTCCTCTAGGAAGAGTACGTCTGTTGAAGGAATGAATAAATGCATTAACGCCGCTTCTCCTGCACGCTGACTCTACGGGTATCTATGTACAGATTCCAAACTACCGCTGTCCCATGATATAATCTATACTCACACATTTCGGCTCCCACAGATCAGTGTCATCGCCCATCCACCTCGGCTCTCGTGGTCCCGGGCGCCCGCGCCTTGTACCATTACGTTCAGGAGGAGGTGGCGACGGCAAGCCCCCATCGTCATCCCCCGGGGGATGCCTATCCCCCGGCCCACCTCCTGGTCCTTCGCCCGGAGGAGGACCTCTGCCCCTCCCCGGCCGGCCTGGATATGGTCCCCGGCCAGGACGTCCTCCCGGGCCGCGTCCGGGGCCTCCGCCCATGTGCATCAACGGCCACATGGGGATATAGCACCGCTCGTCCCACGCGCACATCTGTTCGCAGCCGTAGTACTCGCTCTCCCATCCCAGCCAGGCCTGCAGCTCCGCGATGTTGTCGTGCCACTGGTCAGCTCTGCCACCCAAGACTGCTGCGGGTGTACTTGACTCGGGTCTCTTGCCTGCGATGGACTCGAACCATGCTTGCTCGACCCCAAAGCCCACCGTTAGTAGAACCGAACAGATGGTCCCGTAGACATCTTCCACGGCGAGGCGGATGTCTTCTTCCTCGGGGGACAAGGAGGCGTGGAGTTCCTCTGGGACGAGCAATCTCGTGTATCGATACTTGCAACGAGAATATGTCTCCCCGTAGAGTTTCGATTGCGTAGACCAGGTTCCCTGTTCAATTCTGGGCGGGTACTCCAGATATCCTACCATGAAGAGGTGGATCTGCGCCCTCAGGTCATAAAGCCACTCGGACACGGTCGTCTCGTTTTGGGAGTCCCACGGGAAAGAGACGAGCTTGGTGTCTACCATTGTCAAGTGGTTGGTAGTCCTCTTCACGATCTCGGATGTGATCAGGACCCAGTCCGCGCCAGTGCAGTTGCTTTGAGGCTCTAGAAGACTTCGCAACGCTCGCTCCGAGTTCTCCCTCATCAGCATGGCTTCATCGGACACGACGTCCTCGAGGTGGTGGAACCGCCGTCTCCGAGCCAGCTGCTTGATGGCGTTTGTCCTGTTGCCCTGCTCACCTGGCCCCGTCCACAGACCGTCAGCCGTCAAGTTCAGGCTTTTTCGCTCGTCTAATGCTCGGTTGAATGACTGGTTTGCAAATTGGGGAGAATAGTAGCTCAGGAGGCCGCAGCTCAGCACCTTGGCCTTGACTTCGCCCTGCCCTGGGCCGTTGCGGGTTGAGCCAAAGTGCCATGTGGCGCTATCGAACCAGCCCCAGCCCTGAATTCTCAGGAATGGTTCTCGACCAGGATCATGGCGCCAGTTTGGTGGTGCGGCGGGATGAGAGGGCTGGGAGTCTCGGTCGCTTCTTGTCGGTTGTGGAGGGAGGGGATAGTAAGACGTCGCGTCCTGTTTCCTGCTGGGGATAGCGGTCGGCGCGATGTCATCTGCACGGTCGACGACGGAGACTCCCCATGGAGAGGTGTTCTCCGGGACCACCTTCTGTTGGACGGCCTTTTCGCCATCTTCCTCCTCAGGTAGCAACGGCGCAGTGACATTCAGCCTCGACACCAATCTCAGACTCGGGCTTGAAAAATCACACCAGATCATCTCGAACCCAGCGTTCATCCTCACCACTCCCTCGAAGCCCCAACCCCGCCCCCCAAGCATGGCATCCTCAAACCACTGGCACAGCCCGTGCGCCCTCATGTACTCCTGCCCCAGCCCCATGAACCCGTTCCCCGGGGGGCCGCTCACATTACCAAAAAGCTGCAGCATCTGCGTGTCCATCTGGCCTAGGCCCATGAGGGCAGCCGACTCACCGTCAAAGTAAAGGGCCTTGACGGGGCGGGTCGTCTGGTAGGTCAGCAGGAAGGAGTTGCGGGTGGATCCCATGATGCCATATGCCATCTCAAGATCGAAGGCGAGCCACTCGGGACTCGGCGGGGTGGGGTTGGGCTCGTCTGGGGATATGAGGCCGTGGTAGAAGAGGGCGTAGGTGGGGATTTCAACCGCGGCGAGAGTGTGGCCGTTGGGGAAGATTGTGTTGCTCCATTGGTGCAGCAGGCTGGGGACGGAGGCGAATAGGTGCGGCGCTGGGGAAGTGAAGTTCAGTGTCCACGGACTTGGCTGGTCCTCTCTCCCTCGCACCTGGTCGTTGACCTGGGCGTCGTCAAGCAGAGGTTTCTGGGAGGGAGGAGAAGCGGCGATGGCGGAGCGAGGCAGAGTAGCCACGACGGACAGTATTAGACGCCGCAACATCATGACTTCGACACTTATTCACGACGAGCCATGTCTACGGGGGCGAATACGAAAGTTTGGTGACCGCAAAGTCTGTCTTTACTGAGATGCAGTGGCGATTGGAGCAGCGTATCAGAGACCATGGTGGCTGTCAGAGATAACGGGAACGCGCGTCGTGCCGAAACAGCCTTGTCAGCCCCGGATCCGAACCCGTGGAACCGGCGAATTCCGAGCAGCCCTTACCCACGACATGGACCACCACTCTCAGCGAACCACATCGTCATCTTTTGGCCAACACTCCTCGCATGCACAGAGTCTATCCGCGCTGTAAGACCTTGTCGAAATCTGACGAACAGAAATGCCAGATAACAAGAAGCAGGCTTCATAGCAAGAGCGCAAGGCCGGTATGCTACGACTGGATCTCCGTTGTGCACAGAATCAATAGTCCAGGTTGGATTGTACATCTTCAATGTCCAGATGCTTCACAAATGACGCCCTGGCTCTGAGGATTCCTTTATGTATCCCACCCCTTCCCGTTGTGAAGAGCTGTATCGACCGTATCCATTTCATGCTTGATATCATTTTTCAAGACTTCATTCACTTGATCACGGGGCAGGTTGGCCTACTGAGATACATGCAGAATATACCAAATCTATTTTTTTATGATGTCTCTTCTAGATCATCGATCTGATATTCACATAAAATGCGAGATTGCTTCTACAATATCGCGGCCCCTCCCCCCTGGTAGGGACTGAGTAGCACTTGTGATCGGAACGTTGGCAGGACGGGGCGGACAGGGTCCGCCCAGCCAGCAGCTATATGCACGCGGAACAAGATGGAACGTCTTGCGGGTGTGTCCGTGTGTCTGTGAATCTTTCGTTCGAACGCGCTGTCTTCGAAGATTAGCGGTTGCGAAACGACCGTGCCGCGAGTATGCTTACTATAGTAGTAGTTCACTATGTGGGATCTCGTCAGCTGGTAGACAGGTTCTTGGTGTCCGCAGCCCAGGCACGCATAAAGCACGATTTCTGTCTCTAACCTCTCCGACGCCTTGTTCTCGGAAGCTCGCCTACGGCCCATATTCATTCGACAATCGATTGCTGTGCACGCTGTGATATGGTAATGTATGCTCATGGAAGTAGTGCGCAGCGATTATGATTCTGCACTTCCAAAGGGCCTTTCCCAACCACTTCAAGGTACTTTCATGTCGACTTCCGGCTACTTCACTATATGCAGTCCCACCCAAGCGGCTTTCTGATTTCCCAAAGCCCGGGGTCTGCTTTCTGCCTCTCATTTTGTATAGTTTAATATCACCGCTAACAAATTCGTACAACAGATAATTATTGCCAGCCCCCTTGTTTGCTACAGCTTGCCTGTTTTCACCGTTAGAAATCCATTAGAATTCGATCTATCAATGTATCAAATTGTTGTAAAATCTCACATTGTGCACTGTAGACCAGCTGATCCCTATGTAGACTGGCAGATTCCAGGTCTCAGTACGAGACGAGCTTAGGGACACATTCTTGTCTGGCTATCGCCCAGCTTGAAAAGCCCATTCGCACTGACTTAGTCTTGGCTGTGGAAAATCATGTTGCGCAATTACACTCTGCCCTGGAAAACTAAACGAGCCGAAGGAACTTCTTCTCTCGCTTTATCTGATCAAAACTCTCTTTTGAAAACAAGGTTACGATCAATAATGCCTGCCTGCGCGTTCCTTGGCTTGCTTTATCAAGTGCGAGCAGAAAAGTCGTCTCCTTTCGCGTCTTCGAACTGCGTATTTTCTCTGTTTGTCGTTGGATGACCAAGCAGTGATAAAGACCGGTCTGCAGAGTATTGTTGTGCCAAGAGTCTCCCTCTTTCACAGTCCCAATTGACTGATCCTGCCCGGGAATAAGGAGCTCACTCAAGGGTTCAGTACGAATATCGATATCGACGCACCAGCCCTCCACATCAATGTAGTTCCCTTCAGATCCTAGGTATTGCAGCTCGAGATCTATGACTGTGGTTGAGGGGCATTTGCCATCGGCAGTGTCGACCAGCTTTTCCGGATACACGACTGTTCCCTGCCACCCTGTCCAGCTCCAACTTGGAAACTGTGGTCGGCGTTTCGGACGGGCGTGCCTGGAATGCATCCAACCCAAGGAGAAGGCATGACTGCGCAGTGGAAGACCATGCACGAAACCTTGCGGGAACAGATGCCTACCCAGAGCCGAGAGCACGCCTCGAAAAGCATTGAGAGAGTCGTTGTCATTGGTCATGCGGCGATTTGTATAGGCACTCAGTTGTGCACTAAAAAAGATCATGCGCTGTTGGAGATGTGAATCGTCAACTGGTTGGTTGGCCTTCTTGTTGTTATCAATCGACATTAGCTAGGATCAATCACAAGCATTTTATAGTGGAGCTTACAGAATTTTGGGAATAGATCAAGTGCATTGCCGGTTGTACTGGATGTTGTGGGGGAGATTTGCTTGGGAATGTGTTCACGTCCATTCCTTCATCGACTTTACTCAAGAGGCAGCCAAATGACACCAGACTCTTTGTAAAAATCAGTTTCCGTCGTGACAGGAGATCCTCTTGCAGTGTCCACGCTCGACTCGAGTATGTCGCAGCTTTCTCCTCCAGAGTTACATGCTGTGGATTAGTGAAAAGAACGCAACCATTGATGCTTTCTTTAACCTGAGCTAAGCGTGGGCCGGATACGCCTGGCAGACCCGCATTCGCATGTCTGCCTGTCAGTGCGATAATCGTGACTACCGCACAGCTGTAAATGTACGACATCATGTCCAGCTGCCTTATCTTTTCTTCCATTTGTGCAGGGGTGGGATTCGGTGATTGATCAATGCACAGAGCATCAACCTCAAGTTTTGGTCAGCAGGTGTAGAAATGTTCAAGTGACGAGCCCAAGCATACCCATAAGAACTTTCTTCCCAAAGCTATCGTCACAGAGATGGCATCTTCGATCGTTTGCGGAAGGCATCTATTCTCCAAGGCTCCAGGTGAAGGCTGTACACCTCCCCAAACATAGCTCAACGCGACATAGTCGCAATTCTTTGGGCAAGGAACAACTGTCCGGCTCGCAATATCGATCATGCGAGTCGTTTGGAGCTCCTCTGGCTTCTCGACGTGACAATGGCTGCCATGGTTTAATATGCATTCATCCAGAGGTTGTCGAAGCAATGACAGATCAAGCGTGGTCTTGACTGGCTGAAGATTGTGCAAAGTCCGATCAGGCTTGGCAAAGCAAGACTCGAGGGCTATTGCAGGACCTGTCAAATGCGGGCTTCTTGTAAAATTTGTATCTGTCTCAAGAGTACTTGTACCGACGCCTGTGAACAGCCCGAGAATGACAGCATGCTGGTTTTTAGCTGTTTCCGTAAGCGTTTCCCAGCCATGACTTCGCAAGTATGACCGGCAGGGCTCTATATAGACATCCGGCTCCCCAGTGCGCACCATGCGAGTTGCTTTCATCCCACCACCGTCGTAACGTTCAGGCTCGTAACGTCTTGGCACAACGCAGTAAAGAATTCGGCAGAATTGGCAGGATGGGGTTAGGAAAAGTGAAGAAGGCCGACCGAGAGAAATTCTAGCTTTTGCGAAATCTTCATAATAAGATGCCGAATTATGGCGTTGGGTTTGGTCCAATGGCTGGAATTCGTTCAGTACCTTGAGTAAATCATACCTTGAGCATCGCCCGCACAAGGCACTAGGCTGCTCCTGGAGAGTTCTTATCAATTCAGCATCCTCAGGTAAGAGGCCGGACACTGGTATGTCTTCGTCGACAATGTTGCCAGAAACTCCCTGTGAGGTACCATTTTGGTATTTACAGGGCTTTTCGATGGATTCCAGAGTCCGACAGTAGACACACAATCTATGTGGAGGCACCGCTTGAGACATTGTTCGGAAGGTGCTCATACCCCGCTTTAAGTGAGCGTGGTCGAGAGTGGCAGAAAAGTTGGAATTCGAGTTGCTTCCCCATGAGCGGCAAAACGAGGCTTCTACTTTTATTTCACCTCTCCAGTCGACATTCCTCTAGGCTTGAGGCATCCAATGAAGCGTTGCCACATTGGCGCGTGATAGACTTGGCGCAAAGTACGAGGCAAAAGGAGGCAGCCTCACGTAATACACCATCATGCATGACCACATGTAGGCAAACATTGGTGCCCAACACGAGTTCGCGAACCAATAATCCCGCCAAGGCTTTAATAACATCGCCGTGTGCCGCATATGGGTCGTCGTCTTTTCCTCTTCACATGGGGGAATGTCAGACCCAAGATTTTGCCTTTTCCAATCACCAAAACTGAGGCGTCAGTTTGGAAAGGCTGCTGTTAGCCTTAAATAAGCACATTAAATCTCCTCATTTTTATATCAACAAGGACCCATGTAAGCGGTCCCTCGAGCCGAACGTTATTTCCCATTCCCACAAACCCTTCTCTGGGGTACTAGCCCCGTGATCTACGCACCGGCTTTCATGACTATTGCATGTTCTGAATACAATTCACGGTGTTGGGTACCATTTCAACCACTTCTAATTGAGCGATAATATCATTTCAGCACTAAAGTACGTGACACAATCCAAACAACTCAGCTTCTAAGAACTAAGAAGAGACAAAAGAGAACAGAATGTGCTTGAAAATTGTCACGCAGCGTAAATTCAGCTGCGGGCACGCTGATGGTCAACCCACCACTAACGTACAGCATTTCCCTGGGGGTAGCTGCAAAACTCCAGTCGTGCAGAGTGCTATCAAGGTTGGCTCGGTGAAGTGTTTAAGTTGCTCTAGGGCTCAGCCTGCAACAGTGGCCACTAGAAGCAGGGGTACTAGTAGGACTCGGACTGGTGCTAAATCAAAGTCTTCGAAACAACGACGGAAAAAGGCCGACTAAAGGGAGACGGTAAAACTCGATACAATATTAAGGATCATCGGCTCATGTATTTCTTCGCAGAAACAGACAGTTTATAAATACAATGGGACTTTACTAAATGTCTCCAGTCGGCCGGGTCCTGGCCTAAGGTGCCGGTCCATGGGCCGGGAGCCGCTAGGCCCGAAACAGTCTCACTGTGGGAATAGTAACAGCTACGCAGTAGGCACAGCAGGATATGGTGGCAGGCAGATGTCTGAGATACATGCGCTGGCGTTGTAACATGTACGAAGGAAGGCACGTGGAAGGGTATGGGACACAGTTTCAGATACTCCCTGGCGCCCTTCTGTCTGTGCTCTCAGTAGGCCTTGAGAGGAGGAGTTAGGATGCCCTTATATTGCACAGTTAATCCAGCTACTACCGCCCTATGAAGGGATTCTGAGCAGGTGGTGAGTTGGGAGCTGGCTGCTGAGTTGGGACAGGGGTTGGGACCATAGCAGATGCAGGTGGCGGCACGGTGGTAGGAACTTTCTGCTTCTGGGCGTTGACGAGCGGGAAAGGCTTGGTCTCTAGAGCCAATTCTGATATTTGGCGCCAAATTGCTGCCTGGTGCTAAATTAAGTGGGCGCTGTATGGTGCCACCTTTGGCGCCAAACCACACAAACCAGTATCAATCTTCACCATTGTATAAGAGGAGGCAAGCTGGGCGTCAAGCTGAGCGTCAAGCGTGGTATTGCCGCCTCTCTCCTTTATGCTGCCATTTGCCTGTGTATCTCATTTTTAGCTTATCTTGCTTATGCTTTGGTTGCCTTGCCGATCAAATATGTCACCTCCTTATTTCTCAGGTGTCTTCCTAGATAAAACAATAATTATTTCTATTATCTTATCCACACTTTATTCTTTGAACCACATGCGTGGCCTGTCTGCAACTATGGCGTAGCATTCAGCAATCTGAAAGGCCTGTGTCCGATGTGTTAGAAGTATTTTTATGGTGATTCCACAAATATTGAGACGTTGGTGTTCCTCCGAAAAGAGGACGTACTATTAGGAAGCATTAGAGACATGACTAATACTCTGAAGTAGATAGCAAGAAACACCGTCTTCCATACTATACAAAGGGGCCATAACCTACGTACACAATTGGGGAAAGCCCGTTGACCCAAGACCTTTTCCGCTCAGGAGAAAGAAAGACCCTACTTGTTGTTAGACCATGGCAGACGCATCTTCGACTTCCTCATCGTCCTGGTCGGTGTGACCGGATTTCCAGACGGTGGTTGAGGAACACTTGGCCCTGCCGCTTGGATCTCACTTGTTTGTCCAGATCTCTTCTCTGGAGCGCCATTCTCCACCTCGGGAGCTGCTTCTCGATCTACCTTAGCCTTCGTCTCCACCATCTTCTTTTCAAAATCAGCCAACTCCTTCTCCGCTTCAACAAGCCTCTCCTTAGCTATTTGCACCTGCTCACTGTCACCATCCACCTTCTCCAAATTCTTCTGCAAACTTTGTATTTTACGCCTCCTCTTATTTATTTACTTTTGAGTCTCAGTTATGAAGTCATTGGCCTTGGATAACTCTTCCGATCCTATAGTTTTCCGTGACCTGGAAGTCTGTACTTTTGACTCCTGCATTATTCTCTGCACCTCGAAAACTCTCTGAAGGCCTTCCTTTACTTTGTTACTTATCTCTTTCTTCTGATCGCTTACTGCAGCGCAAACTTGCGCCCTCAGCGCGATCTTGTAGTAACAATGAAGCTCCGATGATGTAATCGAGCTGTACATCTTCGAAGCCCCCTAGCCTACGTGCCTCTTCTTCAGATATGAAATCTTTTAGGGAAAGACTTAATTTACATCCAATAGGCATTTCGTCGTGACCGATACACATCTGGCCTCGAAGGTTAGTATCGGGACGATTGCGACGAATTAACGACTAGGAAATCGCTACACCTGATGGTCAACCGTTGTAACTCGGGTCCACTCGTTGGTTTCCTCATCAAACTTAGCCGTCCATATGGAAAACTAGGCCCATTGCCCGCCTTTATAAATATCATTTAAACTTAGACCAACAACAGTTCGAATTGCGCTTTTTATCCCCTTGATATATTGCGTAGCCCTCTGTGGCAATTTTAAATTACTTTGAGAACATGCTACTTCAACTACCAGACCAGCTTTCTCGCTATCGTCGTAAGTAAAAGAAAGATCTGGTTCCAGTCAGTCCTCACGATTAACGTCGACGCGAGTAGCTAGAGTATTTTCTCTATCCGGCTCGCAATCCTCTTTATCTCTTCCGCAGTGCTATCGACCGTGCATTGTTGTCCTTTCTCGACCTCCCCATACCACTAAACAATCTGGTCACTTAGCTTCCCAGCCATCCGTTCATAGAAGTGAGACGGCATATGAATCACGAACTGTCGTTCCTTTTTTGCAAGGGCGACGGATGTAGTCAAAGCTATTACTATTAAGCAAAATCGCCGCACATCAGTGAGAATCAGTAAACTTACCGGACTCTGTGCTTGACATAGTCATCCAACGTTTCGATCTTCTGAGCCTTCTTTTTCGAACCCTTCCCCCCTGATCTTTCTTCTTCACAAATCTCCTCTTCCGAACTCTCCTCTTCCGAATTCTCTTCCTCCGAATTCTCCTCCTCCAATCCCTGCTTTTCCAATCTCTCCTTTTCCAACCTTTTCTCTTCCAATCCTTCCTCCTTCACTTTCTCTAACAACAACTTCTAGCCGGCCCGATGAAGTTTCCGTTCAACGAGGTACTTCCCACGTGGCCCGCCTTTCTCAACCTTGTACTCGCCACGCCTGACTTCCTTAATAAGTTTCAGCACGTTGTTTGCATCCCTTTTATCTACCGCTCGGGCAGAAGCCCGAGCACTGCTCTGATCGGGTGCCAGACTGCCGGTCCTGCTGTGAGAAGCCTCGCAGGAGATCAGGCAAGAAAGCTCTTCCGAATCGTAATCGGTCTTTGGGTCAAGGGCCGCCCTAGTGTCTTCTGAGACCGATGATGGCGGGCTGGGCGGAGCTGAAGGTGACGGGACTTCCGAAAGGACGGCGGGTCCGGGCTTGGCGACCCTGATGGGAGTATGGCGCTCCGGTAGCTCTAGATCCGGGCGCTTGCTTGGACACCGGGTGGTCGTCGGCGAAGAAGGTGCTGAGGTCGAAGCCTTCCGCTTGGAAGAAGTAGGATCCGGTGTCAAGGGCGTGGACTGCACGCGCCGCGGGGGGATTCTGAAGAGATGCCTGACTCCAGTAATGGGCCGGACGACGCGGGAGATGCTCTCACGCCTCTTATTTGTTGGCATTATCAGGGGCCTGGCATTTCAGCATATGTGAGTCCGTTGGGCTTGTAGGGGTCTCAAGTACCATTGAAGTTGAGCATAGTGGAAGACCTGTATAAATTAAGCAGGGTTGAGACCCGAGAAAGCCATGATTGGAAACAGCTTGTTCTTCCTTTGCATGACATCGCATCCATCCTGCCCCCGGGGAAACAACAACAGGACGGTTCGCATGCCTTACCTTCTGCATATAATGCCTGGCTGCAAGACGAGTATCACACTACAGGGCCGATAGCACGGCGACATGGCCTCGGCACTATCGTCCCTACAAAGGCGAATGCGTCGAGCCGGTTATGTGAGTAGCACTTGCGAACTCTCCCATCCTGCTTGACCATTTGGAGCTCAGTTCACCACGGAGGCCCTCTTGTGCTGGCTGGCCGGTTGCTCTACGCCAACTGGGGGCTCCGAATTCGATATCGCAGACCGACTTTGGGCCGACGGTAGAGGAACAGACAGGTAGCAAGTACCATGTAACCCCACCCGGCAGGACACCTATACTATTTAACTACCTGCCTTCTATGATCTTGCTCCTACTGGGGCTTATATGGGCGGGCTGAAGCTGCCAGTGGGTGTTGCCACATTAATGGTGGGTGGTGTGATACTTGTGGCAGCAGGCATTCTGGGGACCATGCGGCCGGCCAGCTATCCGTGGCGCTAGTGAGACAACCTCCGCGTCATGCAAGTGGGAAAAAAGGATGCCCAGTGGTGACAGTAACAACTCTCTATAATACACACTGTGAGGACGTTGACGGTGTACACGGTACTCTCCCGACCTGTCCTCCGTTTCCCATTTCTGCGAACCGGGGTACGCACTCTGGGAAACCCGACGGAGAGGTACATGAGAACCCCAAAAAGGTACCAAAAGAGAAGGCGATTGTCGCCGGGAATTGAGCCCGACGTGGGGGTCGAACCCACAACCTTGAGATTTATCTCTGTCAGAATCGTGAGGTTCTTTAAGAGTCTCACGCTCTACCGATTGAGCTAGCCGGGCGTCTGTTAGACGCCAGTCGTTGAAAACCTGGTTCTGGCGGGACATTATGTCAGCAAAACATTTTCATTGTTGGTTTTCCACTGCTTAGGGCATCGCCTTCTGCTGCTGGAAACCGTCTCACAACAGGTTGTGTAATCGCTGGAGGGCCATCGGTGGAATATCAGGAACATTGTCGCCGTGCGCTAGATGAATCATGTGGCCGTTCATCCGACGCGCTGGAGGGTCATTTGGCTTCGTGTGGGCCAGGACAAAAGGCCCTGCGACTTGCCCGCGTGTGTTTCGAATGGAGGTCGGTTGACGCGTCTCAGAGACGAAAAGACATGTGTTCGCTGGTCGACGACGGAATTTCGTCGACAAAGAGGTCGAGTATCGATCGAGTTCCGGTTGCATTGCACCCAGGCGTGTCGCGCATGAGCTGGGTGCCCAAAGTCTCCAAGCTGCAGCACGCGCTGCGTGGGTGAGCTCCAATGCGACTGGCCCCTCGCGAGGAATCCGCGCGGCATCATCTCGGACGTAGGTGACACATGGTGACAACGTGTGGTGGAATTTATGGAGCAAGAAGAAATTGGTCCCAAAAGTTGAGGATAACGGTTGGAACCAGCGGCAGTGTTTGAGGCAAGGGCACGAAGGGAAGGAGCCGCTTTACAACCGTCACACCATTTCGAGACGTCGCTTTAAACGGACACTGCCGTCAACAAAACCGAGCGCCATTAATTTACTTATCATCTTCAATTCCACCCCTTATGGCAGATGCACATGCACTCAGTCTTGAATATAGTGTTAGGGTTGTGTCTCGAAACATCAATTACTTTGCGAGTGGGGAGTTGATGATCACACAGCCGCTTGCACGCAGTAACATACATAAGAGTTTCGGTGGTCATGTACGTTATCACAAAAGTAAGATATTTTAAGCCACCAAGATCCAGGGATACCGACAACAGGAATTTTGAATTTTGAAGAAGTCTGCAAATTGTATAATACCTTAGCGCTTCCTTTGCTGCTTGGCCCCAGCTGCCTCAAGCTTGAGTCCTTCGTGATCACGAATTTCAGCAACCAAGAGAGACCACAATCCGCCCACTCATATGCAATGGACTTCATTGTTTTAATAAGAGGTTGAAATCAGGACAGAGCACCTAGTCAGAGGGGCGATTTACGATTTGATGAGGACTTGAACCTCAGGCACCCGAGCACTTGAAGCTAAAGCACTTGGAATTCATTTTGGAAGTAAGGCGGCTAGGACATCATAATCATTGGATGTACGATGCAGATCTAGCTGCCCTAGATTTCTAAAATCTCTGGCATTTGAAACTTATTTGTAATTATTGACAGGGTTTCGTGGGATGTTAATGTCCTCCTCTGACATCAAAGCCAGAGAACGTCTCGATTGAGGAAATGTCCGCACAGCGTAACGACCCCTGAGAACAGCTCCAATATATCCCGAATCCGGCCTTCACGATTACAATACCGATTGACCATTTGCCCTAGGTATTGTAAGTTGAATCCGCATCCTCACCACGTTCAAGCAGACGGATCATATCATGATTACCTGAATCATGTACACCAATCAGTTGTTTGCAGGCCCATACCAACTTCGGATCAGCCGACGTCAAATCAAAGCTCTCCCACTTCTATGGAGCAAAAGGGGTCGGAATAACGCGTAAAAGATTACCAGTATGTTCTACTTCATTACGCATGACTAATGTCGATCAAATCTCAGGATACATAAGTGACAAGGAGTACTTTCGAACCAGATTCAAAATGAGACAAAGTCCATCATATCGGAAAATAAAAACAGCAATCCACATCGATCCCAACACCACAAGTCGGGCTTCACATCGACGAGACGCAAAATGCAATTTCACGCCCTGATCCTCCTGTTCTCCGCGACTGGTGCGCTTGCCGCGCCGCGCATCTTGGGCTGTCGTATGTCCAATGGATCTTTGAACCCGAGTGGAAACATTTGTACCGCTGCCGGTGGTACAGTTGCGGGCACGGTAAGAATACATCCATGCCTGTCCCTATCAAAATAACAACGCATGCTGACGAAGGCTATCCAGGGGAAATGCTGTACCAATGGACCTGAGGGTGAGGCAGTTACGGAAGCCCGCTTCGTAAGCGGCTGCAACGACAATGGTGGCGGCGTCGGCCCAAATGAGGTTTTCGGAGGCTGTTAGAAATCGCTTGTCTTCTTTTAAACACATCTAGTGCCTTCAAGCATTTTTTCAAGCGAGTTGATTCATGCATGCCACGTAAAGTCATGAATCAATCTGTATTTATCACGATACCCCTTAGGATGATAGACACGGTCACTTGCGTGATCTCGATATCAACGAGTTGTCAACCAGAACGCAATATCCAACAGTCACTCGTCCCGTGTCTGCAGCTGTGAAATTCACTCAACCTACAGCACAAGGTCGAGAGACTTCATTGTCGCTTTTATCTCAGCCTCGGGGATGATCTGGAGGTTCGCTGTGACTAATGCCTGCGCAATCTCCTCGATCTCGACCAGTCGAGGCTTTGGCATCGGGGGCCGCATCACAGGCGTCTTGATGAGGCCACGGAGCCCTAGTACTCGTCAATTACCTTCCGTAGGTCCCGAAGTGATACACTCTAGACCATTCTAAAGCACAAATATCGGGGAACTGTAGCAGGAGAAAAATGGTACTTACAAACCGCTGTCTTGTAACGAACATGAAGGCGGCCGATATCGTCAAAGATGCTGCATCGTCAATAAGTAAGCCGCCAATTTCTTCGACCACTGCAGAGATGAACGGACTTGAACTCACCACTGCTGAAGTTCGGCAAGGCCCCCATCCTCCCATAGATCAGTCGCCGCCTTCCAGTCCCCCTTCCGCCAAGCCTTGAGATGCTCCATCATAGGCTCAAGCGCATAGTTCCAGGCACCAGACGACGTGCCATCAAACATCCTGTCGGCATGATTCTCATGCATGTAGTGCCCGACAGCAGCCAGGATGTTGACGGGTCTCGAGTAACCTTGCAAGAAGCGGGCGATCTTGCGGTAGCCGTCAAAGTTGTACGTCATCTTCCAGCCAACAATGTTTGGGCACGCGTCCAGGATGGCCTTGGTGGTCTTGATGGGTAGGCCCTGGCCGAAAGGGATTGAGTACCGGCCAACGGGGTGGATGATGATTGGCAGGGGCACGGCGGCCGAGACGTCCTTGATGATATCGCTGAAAATTTCCGGGTATTTGTCTGAGTCCCAGATGGCGACGATGTCACCGGCACCAATCGGAGGGAAGATGAACAGGCCGTCGGCGCCACTAAGACCATCTTGTGAGTCGGGAAAGCAGTATAAAGATGAGGTAAGGTGAAGACTTACAGCGCCTGGGCGTCTTTGGCTGTCTCAATATAGCCCTTGGTATGAACATGAACTACACCAGCCATGACTGGGCATCTTCCAGCGGCTTCTTCGACACATATCTGAAGTACTTTGTTTCGCTCATCCCGCTCGAGAGTGAAGAGCTCCCCTGCTTCCGGGTTGGCAATGATGGCGATCCCCTGTTCCAGGTACTCATCCTGCACTGTGGGTATCTACGTCAGCTATTGATTTGGGATGGGAAACATCTCGATGAAACTTACTGAAGCGACGGATAAAGCTTCGATACCCGTCATAGTCTATTGTGTAAGGATCATCATGCAGGAAGGGAACCACGGGTGTGAAGAAGAGCCTCTTGAATTTCTCGGGGTCAATGGCAGTATTGCCTCTATCGGCTCCATTGTTCCCGTTTGTAGCCATGGCTTCCCTCTAGATGTGAGTTTCCTCAACCGCTGTGATGTATAATAATCTTAACCTCTTCCAAGAAGTCTCTGGTGAGATGTCCTGGTCAACAAATGAAGACGATGAGAGCCTGGCTCTAGTTGTTGCGGATAATCCGATACTTCAGCGGCGAATCTGAGGGAAGTCCGGATCTGCAGAATGCTGACGTCGACTATTCCATTAAAAGGCACTGTTATCACCAGAGACCATTGTACTGCTCCTCTCAGGGGCGTGCCTGCTGGCTTACATCTACGTAGCGCTGAGTTCTCACCCCTCACCTCGGGATGTCCGCCCGGCCCGGCACTTTCAGCGTCACATAGTCAAGCGCGCCCGACCTAACGGCCAATATGATTCCTTGATCTGTTTTAGGAAGTTCGGTTCGGTAGCTGATGTTTTAGGAAGTTCGGTTCGGTAGCTGATGTTGTGCCCAGGTCCTGGTTGTTGCAGGAAACATTTGCCTTTTCCAATGTCAAACATACCGCTGGAGGCTTAGACCTACCTGAATTTCAACAACATCAGTCTGTATTATATTGAAATTACGGGCACAGATGTAACTGTTGAGTCCAGACAGATTTATTTCCTAGTTTCAAAAGACAATATTATTATGGCTACCATGGAAAAGCGTGATTCCGTGGAGCTCGTCGAGAATGGCTCGGTTCTCGCAACGGGAGGCGGTACCGCAGAGATCATGCAGAATCCAGACGATCCCATGACATGGAGTTGGCTCCAGAAACACAGTATTCTGGCTTGTATCTCCTTACTCGGCGGAATTGGTACCTATGCTGGTTTATTCATTGTTCCCGCGTGAGTGGCATTCATTGCTCCGTCGACCGGCTTTAAAGGATTGCTGAAAGCCCGTTATTTTACAGTTACGGCTTAATGTCCATGCAATTCCAAAAGTCCGTCACAGAAGTCTCATATCTGGTCGGGATCTACATATTGGTGCTCGGTGCCGGGCCTCTGATTTGGAACCCCTTCGCGCAGACCCATGGCCGGAGACCTGTGGTAAGTTCTGTTCCTGGTGCCTATCTCCAGGGAAAGGTTCATGAGCACCGACTGAAAAGTTCGAATAGTATATCGCATCAACAGCAGTGGCACTTGGAGGCGCCATCTGGGGTGCTTGTGCGCGGTCATACGGGTCCATGGCTGGTGCTCGTGTTCTTCTAGCATTCGGTCTAAGCGCCGTGCATGCGCTCGGAGGTATCACTGTCGCAGACATATTTCCCAGGGAAGTGAGAGGTGAGAAGATAGGATGGTGGACACTCCTGGTATGCTTAAATCTCTGCCAGCTTCCTCGCACGGCGTAGTGACAACGGTAGACTACACTGGGACCATTCCTGGGGCCCATTCTCGCTGCGTACATCGTCCAGGGCACGGGCAACTGGTATTGGATATTCGGACATCTCGCCATCGCTTTGGGTGTGATTTTGATCTATATGTTTGTCCTGCGCATTGGCCACCTTTGCGAATACTTAAAGGCTTACAAGGTAAACAGCATCTTGTTCGTCCCAGAGACCCTGTATTTCCAGGGCAATATCCAAGAACAACACCGAGCGCGGAGGCTCACGATCAGACTCAAGCCGTTCAAACACGCCGAAGTCCCAAAATGGTCCACAGCCTTCTTTAGACCCGTATGTGTCCACTGACCCCCGAGCTCAACGACCCGACTAACATCACCCGTTCCCAGCTCATCATGCTCCGCTACCCAGCATGTTGGCTCCCCGCCTTCTGGTTCGCATGGACGTTCTCGTGGTCCGTCGGTATTGGCACCATCATCACCATCCTGTTTCGGCGAAACTACCACCTCACGGCGCCCAATGTCAATCTCGTCTACATCGCGCCTCTCGTCGGAGCAGTACTGGGCGAGCTGGCCGGGGGTCCCTTCAGCGACTTTGTGGTGCAGCAGACGACGAGACGGAACCAGGGGCAGAGGCGCCCAGAGATGCGGCTTCATGCCATGTATCCGGCTCTCGTTTGTATAGTCGTTGGGCTTGTTGTGTTTGGGGTGACACTGCAACAGGAGAGACACTACATCATGTGAGCGAGGCTCTATCCCCAGGCGTTAGGCTTTTCTTCGTACTAATTGCGCCTGTACGCTACCCCAAGACCGCTGGTAGGACTCGGAATTTTCATCTTCGGGATGCAGGCCTCCACGACTGTTGTCTTCACGTACCCAGTCGATTGCTGTAAGCTCCCAGCTACGAACTGCACCTCCATCCCTTTATCTTTCTCATACCCCATGCTTGTCTCTCATTCTTTCTCTCCCACCTAGCCTGTTATTTGAAACCAAGATCTCTGATTAATCCAACCAGACCTCGCCCAAGGCGCCGACGCTCTAGCCCTGATCGGCGGCCTGAAGAACGTAGTCTCCTTCGCGATCCCCTTCTATATCAACCCCATGGTGGACTCGATCGGGATACAAACTACCTTCGTCGCGATGGCCGTGATCAGCCTGGGGCTATATTTCGTCTTCGTCTTCCCGCTCATCTTCTGCGGGGAACGCCTACGTGAGTGGGCCGGCCAGCCGGGCTGGAATCGGTCCATGGTCCGGCCACCGGCTGCTGGGGTCGATGTAAATGAGGGGCGGGCGCGTTGATTAAGAAATTACTTGCTGGCTCCGAGCGGAGCCTCGGTTCCTTAGTTCCCCGAGGGCATGGTAGGAGCAATTATCTTGATCTAGATACACCTGTTGAGAATTTGAATCGCGTTGTATAGAAAGTGCCATTTTTGAAGGCACATACGCTGTTAGGAAGCACTGGGACACTGATATCGCAGCCCGTTTTGATGAGCTTGATTCATTTGTGAAGCCGAAGTAATTTCTACCGTAGTGAGGAATGTTGGGCCAATATGTTCATGATATATGATAATGATACACTTATACAAGGCTCTGGCTAGCCGATTTCTATTCCTCCTCAGTCGTCTCCTTGAGTCTGTCGGCCATATCCATATAATCAGGCCCGTCACCGACGCTTTTGGAACCAATTCTATCGTTTTCAACTTTTGCATCCCTTTCCCATGCGGGTTTACGGGCCATGACCTGCCTCCAATCGCTCTCAGAGTCCCCGCTCCACCCACCGTCGGAAGCCCAGCCATCGAAGCCACCATCCTCGGCCACGGAAACCACCTTGCGGAAGCTGAGGTAATTCTCCTCCAGCTTCCCCAGCGCAGCGAGGATGTCATCCTCGTTGCTCCTCTGCAGGTCGTGCCTGGGCGTCGCGTCAGCCTCGGGCCCCTGGTCCCCGCCCCAGGCATCGGCCCAGACCTGGGGATCCAGGATGGCAATACTCGTACGTTGCGCCGACGTCCTCGGGGCTCGATGATATGTATGCGGCCTTTCGGAGCCGTCGTCTTGGCCGTCCGCTGGTGATTGTTTTTCGCTACAATACGACGGCACATGCAGCGCCGTCAGCTTCTTCTTGCCATGCCCCAGCATCCCATCGAGTTCCCATTTGTCGTCGGGCCAAATAGGCCCAGACACTTCGTCCTCGACCGGGGCAAGGTCACCATGCCCGAGCTCTTCCTTCAGTCTTTTCCGCAGCGGCATCGCGTTGAGCTGGAACTTTCTCACATCTTCGGTTGGGGAGGAGCACCTCCTTTTCCTTATCGAGAGACAAGAGCGATCCCTCAGGAACGCCTGTGTTAAGACATGGCCAAACGAGACCATCGGCCCAAAGTCATTAAACGCCTCTGGCCAGGCTTTTGCGGCAAGGACGCCAAGCTCCGCACGGTCGCGGCCCTCGGCGAGAGACCTGATTTTAGCGAGGGCCTCCTCGCCGCCGACGAGGTCCCGCGCTAGCCTCTCGCCTCCTAGCTGGGTGTGTGTGGACTCAGAAATACCGAAGTCCCCGACTTGCTTAGGCTTGCCGCTGAGCAGCAAGGCAACGCGCTGGCGCATACGCCAAGTGGTGAGGCGGACCAAGGATGCGTACTTCCAGATGATGGAGATGGTTGAGCGGAGGCGCGACTTCCACGCCAACTCGAAGAGGAGACCGAAGATGACTCGATCCACATGGGTCCTAAATGCGCCCGTTCTCATCTTGCGGACGGCGTTGATAGCCACGATCATCTTTCCCTGCGTCTTGGCGTGCGAGATGATGGTGATAAAGCTGATGACGTCCGGTTCGTGTGCGATCCGATCGGCTTGGAATTCCATGGGTATTGACTCCAGATGAGCGTGCATGCGGTCCAGCACCTCAAAAGCATCGCGGAACCGTCCGTGACGGCAGAGGACGTCCAGGACTGGGTTGGCTGCGTCGCGTGTGAGCCAGTCGGGCCCATACCGATCATTCTGCTCCTGCACGAAAGTCGCCAGGTCTTTGCCCTGGGTCATCGCATGCTCGGCGTCGAAGGGAGCCATCTCTTCGGCGACACGTTGGATGGCAATGGGCGTTCCCAAAAGGTTCTTCGAATTCATTTCTTGGAGGATGTAGCTCTTGACTTCGACAGACTCAACCATCCGGAGGAAGAGGAGCCATGTGTCGAGATTCGGCGAGAAGCCTCTCCTAGTCATGAGAAGTACGGTCTGTCGGAACTTCCGCAGGTGGCGTGTTTTAGTCGGGGCTCTCAACATCGTGTTGAAGACGTCTGCATCCATCCGTAGACCGAAGCGGTCCATACTGACAAAGATGCTCCGTACTTCTGGCAAATACTTGTCGCCCCTTCGGCAGAGAAAGGACAGCGCGACCTTGAGCGCCGAGCACGAGACCCACGGCCGAGCTTCGTAATTCCTGAAAGCCCGTTGGAGTCGCCGCGCAACGGCTCGCTCGTGGTCGAGCATAACCGCATGCTTGGTTGGATTGTAGAGAACAGAGTTGAGGTGCGGAAGCATGACGGAGTCCGTAAGAGAGGCTACGTATTGCTCAAACGAGGCGTGTGACATATGTGTGGGCCACGATGTAGTGTACACGTTGTAATCGACTTTGAACCGATGCCAAAGGCCGCCTTCTTCCCTAGTCAAAGGTGGGACGAAGAAGTCGTTGTCGCTGAAAGACTCAGTTTCGACCTCGCCAGGAGCCAGTGGTGCCCATAGACGGGTGATTGTGATCCTGCCTGCTATCCTCCTAAACTCGGCAGTTGCACTGTTGATGGCAGCCCGAGTGCCAGAGATCAAGAGGGTCGAGGTTTCGCTCGGAGTTTCGGCCCTGGAAACTTTGATAGAAGCTCCCGTCCGCCTTCTGATAGCTCCTATTTTCTCATCGCCACCATTGCTCATGATCACAGCGAGCTTCTGTTCGATTAGCTCAATCTTCATACCGTCCTCAATCCATTGGACCGACTCCTCGGGTGTTCTGGACACCAGCAATGACAAAACGTTGCGCCAGTCGGTGGAGTGGGGATTTATATAGATTCCTTCCTTCAAAAGATTCTGGACATTTCGGTCGAGGTGAACCTGAGTCGAAACGCTCTTGTGGTGTGCCCTTAAGCTCTGGCGCGATTCTCTCTTGTTCGGATAATTTCGGGCGGGCTTGACGAAGACAGAGCGGGCGAGCTTGCTGCGTTCCAGGGATTCCTCGAGGTCATCGAGATCGCTTTTCGGGCGCTTGACACGCTTTCTCTCTCTCTTGGGCGCCTCGGAGAGCCAGGTCCTCAACTCTTTGGCCTCGTCGCTTCGACCAACAACTTCTACCCGCCGAACCAGGGGAGGCTCGCGAGATTCGTTCGCATCGTCCCGCTGCTCGTCACCCGCTTCTCGTCCTTGATCGCCAGAGCCTGTGTCTGTGGCTGTTTCGGGAAAGCTGAGACGCGCGCGAGTCGAAAAGAAAGAGCTCGTGATGGAGGGGTGGTTGAAGGGCAACCGCAAGACGAGAGGAGACTCCCTGGGAATCAGAAGGCCGAGCTGTCGCTGAGGTCGAGCCCTCCATAATGCAGAGATCCCCAGGGACATTTGCTATGAAGGTATCATTCTGTGCAATGATTATTGTGTGCGCCAAGTCCGGGTGGCAGGAGGCGCAGGTCGCTTTTCGTCGTCAGAGTCGAGGCCGACGAGGGTTTGGAGGTATGGGCCAAACTGAGATTTTTCGGCGCCGATCGGCTGCCAGACGCAGAACCTGGCAGACAAGCTGCGAGCCTTATCGATAACAACTGCGATGAACGGCCAGGACAGGGACAAGGATAAGGTTGACTCGCAAGCCCGACATTCATTTATTTTTCTTTGTCTAAACATCGCATATCGTGGACAGACTTTATGCAGTCGTCTTTTAGTATTTGTATTACTTATATTAGCAGTTTCACCTATCTCTGCTTGGTTCAGCAGGTCCGCTCTGGTCGAGTCCGCGCCAGTCCTCAGTCCACCCTTCACACTTATCCGTCGCCATCGTGTTTCCTTCTCTGACGAGCTTCTTGACATCGCTCCAATACTCGAGCCGCCTGCACTCCTCGTCCGCATGCCGTATCGCGCCCTTCAAATTGTTACTTCTCCGCTGTAGCTTTCCCGTGTCATTCTCCTTCAATGCCTGCTGCGTCTCATCAAAGACCTCGTTCAGCTTGGACAGCAGCACTCTCCGCGAGGCCTGAAACACAAAAATGGCCATGATGTCGTGCATCTTGTGTTGGAGGTGGACCAGCTCGTCCCCTCCGTGCTGCAGGAAGTTCTCCACCGCCTCAATCTTCTCGCGGTCAATCCGTGACCGGCTGAGTATGGCCATCAGGGTCTCGATGTCCTCAATGTCCGGCTTTTCCCCAGCCTCAGCTGACATCCACGACGAAACGCTGGGGCTGGCCCGGCTATGACGGCTGCTTGCCTTGCTACCGCTGCGTGCCGTGTCCACGCTCCGCCGAACAGTGAAATACTCTGTATTTAACATGTGAGGGTCGTTTGACTCTGGATCCCTCTTCACCCTCTGACGCGTCCATGCTCGCCGGCGCACACACGAGTTGTACCATCTAGGCGGGTGCCAGGAGAACACCTTGGCGAACATGAAGCTGTACTCCCAGCCGTTCTCGTCAACACCTTCCTCCTTGTTGATGTGCCATTCGGGCCACGACCAGACCCAGCTTGGATCCGGCACCTGGGCCGTGTGTATGCTGGTCGGGCTCGGCTTGTGGGCGAAATTGGTCCAGTTGGGTGGGTCTAGCTGTCCCAGGGCCTTTGGGGAGAACAGGGGAATCCCACAGAGCAAACCGCCTCTTTCATTTTCGTATAATACATCGATGGCAGTCTCGGGGGTTGGCTTGCGGCGTTGGGCGCCGTTTCCGTCTGCTTGGGGTAAACGTGGCCCATCTAGTGGTGTAGGTTCTGCTTGCTGTCAGACATCCGAGCACGTTGACACTACGCTGCAAGTCGTGTAGGTAGAATCTCACCTGTGACCTCGAGATGGGGGACGGCTGCCTTCCCAGCCAAGCTTTCCCGCGAGGTCGACTTCTTGGAGACTATTTTGGAATTCCTGGAGGTCACAGAGACGCTACTCGTCGTGCTATGTCGTGGTGAGCGGCTCCGCGGCCGGGCTTTCTGCGATGAGGACGGGCCAGCCCGAGGCTCGGCCTCTGGCTCTGACTGCGGCGTGGTAGATGTTGGACGCGTTTGCTGCTCTGCTTGCTGCTCTGGCTGCTGCCCAGGCTCTGGAGATAGAGCCTGTGGAGTCACGGCCTCGGCGGCGTGGTCGACAAGGTTTATCTCGTGATCATAGTCACTGTCTTTGAGAGGCGGGGCTCGGCGCGAGCGATGTGCTGAAGAGGGCTTTCGCATGGCCAGTAGTCGACCCGAAGCATGACGAACAGGAGAAGGGGCCTCAGCTCGGAGGTTTGCTAGATATGCCAGGCAGGTCGGGTGGCTGAGCAGAGGCGACAAGCGCTACTGATTGTGGATGGGAACTCCAGGGCCCGCCCAGATGCCAGGTCTGGACCTAAGGCGTGCACCAGTGCCGATTTAGTGGCGTCGTCTAAAGAGATTGTCCCAAGTCCATAGCTTCGGTGACACCGCCACTGTGCTGCAAAATAATGTGCGCTTCGTGGTGTGGTGAGGGTGAGGATAAGTAGGGGGTTTCTAGGGAAAGAGAATGGCAGGATGGGCAGTTGTTGAGGTCATCAATGGGTATGCAGAGTCCAGATGATGGATGATACACATTCCTGATGCCCGTGTCCCACCCGCCGACCGAGCAGGTTGAGACACCTGGGCAGAGTTGGAGGATCCTTGTGGCCTTTGGACGCTGCTGTGGCTGCAGATGCTGGCTGCATGATGTAATAATAACCCTCGAGACCAGGAAAGGACCGCTCTAGACGCCTGTCGCCTGTTTGCCCGCCCTCGCGCCTCCAGAGCTAGCTGCATCGAGCTCCCTGCACGTCTCCACACTGCAGCTGCGGTTGCGGCCGCTGCTCGTGCGGCTGCTAGACCTATTGAAAGGCCATAGACCTGACCTATCTTTGTTTTCATTGTTGATTCGACTCAGGATTTGGACCTCCAATACTCAGGATTGTCTCTACGAGTATAACTCGATTAAATCAGATCCTTTAAAGTGTTTTCCCGGGGCAGAAGCCACGAAGCATGATTCCTGTCACCGATGACATGTTACCGGGTCTCTTGTGGGAAAGAAACATCAACGCACAGACCATGAACAAATCATGCTCAGTACCGTTGACTGGGCCTTTAACCAGAGAAGACGATGACACAACCTGCCCCGGATCGAGGTACCACAAGTGATTCCCCATTCCTACTTTTGCAACCTCAGTTCCATGCAGTCAATTCCGACTTATCCACCTGACACATGTAATAAATAGAACAGGCTGGATGGTCCAAAATAGCTCTTACGCGTTGTGCCACGCGTTGACTGAGCTCGCGTCGGAGGGTTATCATACTCTCAGCCTTTCGACTCATACGAGAGACATTTTGCGACCAGTCCTGGCCTGTACTACGCGGCATTGGAATCTTGAAACGAAGGATGCGAAATAAGCTTCTCACACATACTGCAAATCTCACTTGGTCCGAGCTCCCCAAGCATACCATAATGCCTGGGCTGCGAATATGTGAGCTCCATCAAAGCTTTGGAATGGCAAAATCTGTGGCAAGTGAGGTCAAAGACCGTATCTAGACCACTCCATAGCGAAATCACGTACACTGAACGTTGCATGCCAGATAGCTTGTGTCGCTGCAGAGTGGGCATACTTCTTAAGAACTGATATCCAACCATCAGCTACAGCAAGGATTGCGTTTTTGATCTGCCAAATTTGCAAGCTTCAGACTCAATCCATGAGACTCCATTCAAATATGTTTTCATTTGATCTTAAAGCTACGAACAGCCAGAAATGTGCGGCTTATTGAGTTGGAGTCTGTATTGAAGTGCGACCAGTCCTGTTGGTGGTAAAACGACTGGTGACTCTTTATCTTGCCAGCTTGGTTATTTTTACAGGTAAATCTCAGGACACCGATGTTCCAAAGAGGAGGAGGAGGTGAAGTCGCCGAGCTAAATTAGTCTGCCGCATTGGATGACACCAAGGCGGCAGTCAAGTGCCGGCCCAGTCGGGAAGTTTACGAGGAAGGACGAAAACCTTACGCTTCGAAAGCCTTCCTAAGAATTAATTGGCTTTCATGGTTCAGAAATTGACAAACATACCTCGGCGCTGCTTCTCAGGCTGTCTCGTGTTGTATGTTACCTGCAAACATGTCGTTGGTCGTAATCCTTGCACCATGGTAACCACTAGTGAGAGCGCAGTTAATGTGCACTTGGCAAAAAACAACCAACGGGGAAAGTGATAATGCTTTGGTTCCTGAGCTCACAAGTAGGCGTTGATTACATTAAGACGTGACCCACAACCATCAGCGGCGTCAGCACTAACCTGGTCCCCTCCTCATATCAAATCTAAACTTCCGGGGATCAGAGCTGTCCCTGAGGCTTCTCAATCTTATTTTCGTTGCTTCATTCTCTGTGCGAGTAAGAAATCTCTAAGCCATGGCGAGTAGACTCAAGAAGCAGATCAATCTGCACCAGACATCACCCGACTGTTATATTGCGTCTTGGCACCAGGACTGGACTGTCGGCTCCGGTACGCCGACCCATCAGAACACCAATGTCAAAACCATTGTTGTATCTCATCCGAAAGACTCAGAGTTTGACTGACATTGGTCTCTTTATCTAGCCCTACACGGCGGATGTGTCGCCGCGCTCATTCACCATGTGGCCGCCACTCATATCGTCACGGACCCCAAGCTTGCAGCCCAGAACCAACCAGACATCTTGAACTTGCACTTAGATTTCCTGAGATCCTGCGAGCGACTTGACAGCACCATCACTGTTGCCGTCCTCAAGACCGGTGGCGCCACGAGCACCCTTCAGCTGCAGCTATCTCAAAAGGGGCGGAACAAGGTCATCGCCCTTGCCACGTCGACCAATTTCGACAAGTCTCTCGGGCCCACGGTTCCGAGTGACTGGACTCTGTCTCCTCCGCCGAAGCCCAAGCCCGACTTTGACCGTATTTTGGCCCACAAGCCAGAAGAGAACTGGATCCCGGCAATACTCGACGGCGAAATAATCCCAATCACCAGGTTCATTGTGGGGCTGCTTCCTCGCGCCGGACACCTGGTCAACGGGATATGTGACTTTTGGAATGTCTACACGAACAACGAGCGCATGGACGCAACAGACATAGCGCTCATGACCGATATCATCCCGTCCATGTCCGACACGCTCATGCGCAACGGCGGCCTATACGAGGCCCACGAATACCATAGACGAGTCCTGGAGCGTGTTGAGAAGGACCCTGGCGTCCCCGCCCTGATGACCAACTCCCTTGCCGAAGGCATGCAGGCGTCTACGTTCAACTCTACTGTCACCTTGGATATGATATTCACGCGACGGCTGCCCGATGAGGGTCTGCGCTCTATATTCAACCGGACGGCTACTAGAGTGCTTCAGGACGGAAGGATGGACGTCGACGTGACGATCTGCAATGAGGACATGGAACCAATATGCATATCTCGCCAGCTTATTCTTGTCCTCGAGGCTCAAAGGAAGTTCCGTGAGGGCAAATCACAACCAAAGATCTGAGGGAATGTTAATCGGTGGCACGGACGAGTTCCCCCTACAATATGCTTATCCGATAGCACGCTTAATGGTTTCTTTCAGCGTCAACAATGCCTCTGGGACGACTCAATCAGAAGGCATCATGGCTTCTTTGGTATACCGAGAGGGACACTCATGTCACAGACTTCCGCATGAAGGACAATGCATAATCACATTTGCGGGGACTGTCGTCCATATAGGTGGCAAGAGATCTAGCTCTGGGCCAGAACTCCTGCTTGACCAGTGGTATTTACAATAAACAAAATATTCACATGAACGTTTCTCCTGCCAATAGCTTCAACTCGCTACGGTCTAATGTAGCGGGACATCAAATCGAGATTTAATCGCAGCTTAAGACATGGCGGGGATTGTGATCTTCTCGATGAACCACTGCGGCGAGAAAAATTTAGTATTCACGCGTCTACTCGTTTTCCGGCAAGTATTGAAGTGCGCGCGGAAAGGAGAAATTGTATGGACTCTAATGAACTTACAGTCTTGCCGTCATCGGTGGTGGTCATGTCAGTGTAAGTCGCACCGTTCTGGCTGTAAATACCAGAGGAGTAGGACTTGTCAGCCTCAGCAAGGGTGATGGTCGTGTTGACGTAGTACTGAGGCTCGGTTGTTCCACTGGGGTCGTTTCCGTTGGAGTCCTGAATCTCGATAGCCGTGTTCCAGAGGGTCATGGCGCCAGACGTCTTCTGGTAAGTGGCCAGGATCTCGCCCGTCACGGCGTCGGTCATGGTCTGCTCCCACAGGTAGGTGGACTTGTCGACCAGGGTGTAGTTGAAGACGATGCCGTTCTCGTAGTTGACGTCGGCCGTCCGCTTGTCCCCGACGAACTGGATCAGGGAGCCCGAGCTGTCCTTGCCGTAGACCTCGGACGAGATGCACCAGGTGGTGTCGGCGTCGGCGCCGGAACACTCGCTCGAGCCGGCCGGGTACGAGCCCACAATACTCTGGATCAGATCTCCCTCCTGCGCTCCTGAGCTGGACGTGCCCTGGATGCCAATCCACGCGAACATGAAACCCTTCTGGCCCTGGGGCATCTTTCCTGGGTAGATGGTGCTGGTCGTGCTGACGATCTCGGAGTTGGTAGGCTGAAGGCCACAAATAGGGCCCCAACCCAGATCCTCAACCCCGGACTGGCGGCTGCTCAGGATGGCCTTGCCTGTGGCCGTCGAGGCCGAGAACAAAAGGGCAGCGACTTGGGACTTGCTGAAGTACATGATGCCTGGCTTTGGAAAAACGAATGTGTGTATTGAAGTAATGAATGACTGTGAAGAGCCTGCTTCGAATTTGGAATCTGGAAGTTAACAAATGTGCTGCACAAAGCCCCAAGAATTGATCATGTATACTGGATATCCAATCCTTTATACAGCAAGCCCCCTGAGTAGCCTTAGTGGGCTGAGTGGTGGGTTGATGTTATAATAGAAATAGGTGCCCTATTTCCCTGATTCAAACAATCCACAGTTGTCCCTAGTAATCTAATGTTCTGCATGGGTACACAGTGGGGAAGTGGGCCTCGCGGGCCTCGTGCAGCCACCGGGATGGCATAATCCACCTGTAGGACAATTTTCCTGAAACGAAACGAACTCTCCACGCAGGATTAAGCCTTACTCGCTGTGGCATGGTACATTTTTCCGGGTAGAAATGGGGGCTGTCATGCCCTCGCGTCTCGGTTTAAGTCCATAGGCGCTTGCTCGATCGCTCTGTCCCGGCTTGCGGCAGGGGATCCCCGGGCGGCTATACTGCCGACGATACATCTTATGGGTAACCTTGTGTGGAGAGCTTAAAACGACCTCATGGCTTCAAAGTTTGTTAAAGTAGAATAGGCCTGCAAAAGTCTTTGGGTCAGTTTCTAAACAGTCGACTGACCGTACTACACAGGATGCATGTCACGACTATAGACGTTTACCTAGGCAATCGGCACTATCGTCCACGTTTGATATTTTGAATTTTGCCTACGTATCCATGTTGAATCATGATTTCTTTCTTCGTATAGGATTTCACAATGTTTTTGAATTTGTCCAACAGTCTTTGATCACTTTTACCGGTCCGTCCATCAATCCGCATAAATGATGTTGAGGGATATTCGTGTGAGCTCCGCCGACATATCGACGGCATCCCGTCCCTTCGCAGAATCGCATCATCCTCATCGAAGATTTGCGATTTCACTGCAGTGCTGCAGGTTTCAAGAACCTTTTCCAGAGCACCCTTAAATAATGTCATAGCCCATTTACCCATTGAAGCAAGTTCTCATAAGGAGAACATCGACCATTGTCTATTGAGTACTTGCCGCTATACGTCTAGTCGATTAGACAGAATGCAGTTACATAATTTGGCAGCCCATACATGGAGAGGTGATTTGCAGGATTGTTTCAAGTCTGAATTCAGCCCAATTCATGCATTTCTGCTCCAGCACCGAGAATTAACCCTTGCAAAAATATTGGAACCATCAAACACGACAGCACGGCCAACATAAACACCCAACACTGGTTAGCACAGTCGTATGTCATATTTGCACAGGAACTGCAGTTTCCTGATAAAAACTTCACATACTCCTTCACCAGCTTCGTCTTCCACTGTATAGACGACCATGATACCGCTGCGCGCTTTATCTACCGCCCTGGTTGACTCAGCTGCTGGAGGCTTGAAACGCCACTGATGAGTCGTATTTGGGCTACTGTGGCAAGCTTCGGCCACTGCGTGATTTACTAGCTCAACACTGGCTGGATGCAGCTGAGAATGAAGCAAGAGAGAGACTGCTTCTTCGAGGCAGTGCTCTCTGCTCTGCGCCGCAAGCTTGCATGCGCTCTTGTTCGATTATTTGTGCATGACAAATCTCCACCAATGCTTGGCGCTTATCCGCCGTAAGTGCAAGTACACCCTGCAGGTTGCAGCCGATTGGCAATCTTCGGGCCGACTTATGTGCTTATGTGGGCGTTGAGACTGCTGGGATGAACCAACACTGCTGACATGAACCAACACGGTGGGGCAGTCGGAGCACAAATCATCACTATTGAGGGCTGAAATCGTCCTGAGATTCGACATTCTGCATATCATTGTATACGCTTCTCTATACGTCTATTTCCCTGGAAGCTCCTGCCACAAACACTTCACTACTTCATGTTTACTCAAGTTTGAGACGATTGTATATTTTCATCATGGTGAATGTGTCAGCTTTCGCCCCTCTCGCAATGCTCCTCAATCAATTCTCCTTCGTCCCCTCGCCCGCACTCACGAGCCACACCACCAATGGCTTTTCAAATGGCAACATTGGCAGATCCACTGGCGGCGGCTCGACCTGCATCTATGGGAACGTTGGTGTGTCTGTCAACGCGACCGGAATCAACATCCTCTACACGCCACCTCAGGATCAAATGCGCGTGACGGAGTCATTCGTCGAGATCAACCGGATCGACTCGACCTTCGCCGCTAATATCACATCTGGTGGGACTAGTAACATATCCGGTAACTACAGCATCTTCTGCAAGCTCTGCGTACCCAGTGACCAAGACCAAGCAAGCAAGGTGAAGACAGTGCAGCTGTTGACACATGGTGCAACTCTCGACCACACTTATTGGGACATCGCACCAGGCTATAGTTACGTCGACGTTGCCTCGGCAGCTGGTTACGCGACGCTCTCATATGACCAGTTGGGCGTGGGAAATTCTGACCACCCGGACCCCATTCAGATCGTGCAAGCGGCCTCACAGGTGGCCGTCACGCATGCGCTGGTCGCGTTGCTTCGTGAAGGAAAATTGGGCGGATTCGATTTTGACAAGGTCGTCGGTGTTGGACACAGTGCAGGAAGCACGCTGACACAGGCCATCACCACGAAGTACCCGCAGGATTTTGATGCCGTGATTTTGTCCGGTACCAGCACCAGCGCGGCTTCGGTTGCACTGAGCATGGCCGCTTTCAATTTCATCAACGCAAACACGGACCCGGCGCCAAAACTCAAGAACTTGCCCACCGGATTTCTGACGCAGCAGACGGCAGTTGGCATACAATTCGCTTTCTACCGGTACCCCAATTTTGACCAGAACGCGTTTCAGCAACAGGTTGCGAACAAGCAGACGAATACGCTGGGCATTCTGCTCACCCTGGGTGGTATTATTGCTCCGTCAACACAGTTCACTGGACCTGTAGACGTTGTCAATGGCGAGAATGATCTTGTCTTCTGCGGCGGAAACTGCCTTTATCCAACGGACCAGAACAAGGCTGTTTTGGATATTTTCTACCCGGCGGCGTCAACTGGAAGTCAGACATACATTGCGATAGGCTCCGGTCATTCTATCGCGGCCCACAATAGCGGACCGGATAGCTTCGCGCAGATGATCAAATTCTTGCAAGCAAATAGCCTGTAATCAGTACGGAAGATAACATCTTCGCAGATTCAGCAAAGCTAGCGAAATTAACATTTTTATCGAGGATATCTATATGTTTATATCCTCTCGATTTACAGGACATTGATTGAAAGAGTGTGTTCGTGCGTGCGTATCGCACTGGCCGATGGGGGTCAGTACTGTTGCTGTTTCCGTTTCCCAGACAGACCCCTCAGTATCGGGGCAAGCACATGGCCGAACTCCAGGACGATGTCAGCGGACAGGCTATCAATTCCATTCTTGGCATGATGCCCTTATTCTTGAATGGTGAAGTGATCCACAACAACGCATGTGGCTCCGGGGCGGTCACGGACACCACTGGAAGCCATTGCTCGTATCGCGGAAAGGCTGGGGAACGGAGAAGGAATCATTCAGAATAAGCATGGCGATGTTGTGTTTAAAATTGTTGCTTGTGTGGCCGTCGCCGGAATATAATTTGGGCAAGCGAGTCCTCGCATCCTGCAACCTTTAAACTTGAATGGACAGTATTTTCGCAGAACTTGCTAATATAAATAGAAACTGAGAGCACTGTAAATGGCCACATGCTCGGGTTTTCTTGGCGCGACAATCAACCGCGATATAATAAGATCGTGGGAATTGCTGATTCGCGAATGGCTGCCCTTGATTCAGAGTTTGGCGATGACACTAATTAGACCCGTTGAGGAATGCGAGGACAGGCTGGTCTGTGCTGTTTCAGTTCTGCGTCATCCTAAAACTTGGCTCTTTGAGTTCACTCCTCCCTTCCCAACGCCGACCGGCGGACAGATTGATGATCAAAACCCACAATTGCAAGTGCATAGAAAAAGAGAAGCCTATATTTCTCGAACCGAAGTGCGTCTGCCTTGCTGCGAACCAGTAATTGTCAAGCGCGCAACGCCGGGCCACTTGTAACCGAAATGGCCGAGCCAGCAATAAGGTGCCTACGGCAATTGGCGAGTATCTTTCACTTGGGCTGCGGTAAAGGCAAAAAGAACACGGAATTTCTTAGGTACAAAGGCACCAAGCCTGGAAAAGCAGTGAAGCCTGGCACGGAGTTGCGTATCCTCTGCGTGGGGGACTCCATAACAGTCGGTTTCCTCAGCGATCAGGATGGTGGCGACGGAAATGGGTACAGGCTGAGGCTGCTTGATGATCTGTCCCGTAAGACATCTTCTGCGCTTTATCCCAACGGGACAGATAGCTGACTGGGCTTTAATCATTGCAGAGGACCAGATCGTCTACGCTGGGACGGAGGTGACTGGTACAATGAAAGACGGCTACTTCGTAAGTCCACTCCCTAATTACCTTGATCTTTCACAAGACATCTAACGCTCCCCCACTATTACAGGCGGCCTGGTCAGGCAAGACGATCCAATTTATTGCGGATAACGTGGGGCCATCACTTGCCCAAAACCCAAACATCGTCTTAGTCCATGCCGGCACTAACGACATGAATTCGAGTAACGCGATTTCCACCGAAGGAAACGACCCGGCCGCCGCTGCGGAGCGCCTCGGCCAGCTCATCGACAAGATAGCAAATTCCTGTCCCAATGCGGTTGTTCTAGTCGCCATGATCATTGGGACTTGGGATCCGGTTCAGGCGCAAAGAACCAACCAGTTCGACGCGCTGATCCCGGGCGTGGTGAGGCAGCGACGTGACGCGGGAAGGCAGGTATTGGCTGTGGATTTCACGTCATTCTCGAAGAAGCTCTTGCGGGATGGTGTGCATCCTACTAATGAAGGTTATCATGTATTTGGGGACTACTGGTATGATTTCGTTACACAAATCCCGGTTGAGTGGATTCAACCCCCGGTTGGTAATGATCCGTACCGCTGGTGAGCGGAATTTTTTAGAATACTATGAAAGCCTTCAGCTTTGTTGCTTACCTAGATCGCCTTCTTTAAAAATTGTTATCATAAGCACTTATGTTGTACGAAGTCGATTCTTCTGGTCTTCTATAGGCTGGGTATCTGAAGATATCAAGAACTCCTGAACTCTGCGCCCACATCAAGCTGAACAAATACCAGCCAGTGACCTCATCCGATCTTTATCCGTTGTTCGAATTTGCCAAAATCAGGCTGTTTCCATGACTAGCTTTAGCACACAAGCTTTCCGCCCTTGTTGCCCACGTAGGAGTCTATCATAACCTGGGTCAGTGACTGAAAGTGGTTTTGAATCGGGTAGAGATGAGCTCATAAGGTTGGTCTTTACACTTACTCAGAGCGAAGACGTTGTAGACCTCGCCACATCCATTGCAGGGGCCGCGGCAGCCAAAGTTGTTGCCAAAGTGCTCATCGCCACCGGTGTAGTTGTTGTCGCAGCTGGAGACGGAGTCGGTGAAGTGGCCGGAAGGCGGGTAGGTGAATCGGCAACTATCAGCCGACCAGCCGAAGCAGGTGTTCAGGTCCAGCTGGGACCAGCTTTTGTTGTTCTGGTCGACCTTTCAATTGGCCTGAAGCATCATGAAGCGGCCAGCGTCGCCATTCAGGTTGGTCAAGGCGAAATCGGAGCAGGATGTGAGGAAACCGCTGGCGGCTGAGCTGGTGCCATCAAGGGCGAGAGTGACGATGGTGGTGGTAAAGACCTTCATATCGATGGAGTATTGATTACGAAGAAGTATCTAGGTGTACTTCTGTTCAGTGTTGATCAAAAGCAGTGGATCGGTGGACTGGTTAAGGGATTCTTGAGTCTTTCTTGAGAAAGCTGTACTGGGACTTTTATATTGGACTACTCAGACACTGTCAGACACTCCCATTAAGATTCATCCAACCTCGCCAGTCATTCCCATCGTTGACAGCGGAACCACAAAAGAGTTCTAAATGGGAAGCACTGAATATAGGGTAAAATTGCCGCCACTTACCGTGTGACCCATATACACGGATAGACAGGATGAAATTAATTTGCTGGCCTCTGCCCTCTGCCAGTCCAACATCATCTCTTCAGAAAGTGTCTCGCCAGGCCAGCAATTGTCTCCATTTGGCCCAAAAAGTCCGCATTCCGTCTGTGTTCGTTTAGTCTTGTAGTCTTCGCCTCGAATAGCCGCCACACCTCTAGGTACTTATGGCCCGTGTTCATGTCAGTGCCAATGGACAGCATCGCCTGCTTTAGTGCCTGTGGTTTCCGAATCTGCGCCAGGTCATTGGCCGTGACAGCGATGTCAGGATCATTCTGCTTCTCGGGGTTTTCGTTGGTGTGCACGACACCCAGCCGCACGCATTCGATGATGAGGGCCGCGAGCCCCGCCGCCAGCGCCGTGGCCACGGACGAGCCCGAGTGCGCGTCGAACTCATCTAACGTTTTGCGGTCCACATCCTCGTACCAGTGGTCGATCACTACCTCGTGGCCTGGGAACACAAAGTCCAGTTTGTCCTTGTCGCCCACCGTGTCCAGCGTCTTGCCCGTCGCCGTGGCCCCGCCGATGCGGAAGCTGCCCTGGTTCCCTGCATGCGGGAACGTGCGGTCGGCAAACTTGCCCTGATCCGATGCTGCACAGAACATAGAGATCCCCTGGGGGTCAGTGAGGGCTGAGTGGAGAGCGTTTCTGAAGCTGGTGTCGTCCTCCTCAGGCGGCTTGACCGTCCACGACATGGAGATGATTTGCGCACCCAACTCTGTCGCATACTTAATGGCTTCAATGGCACTCTTCGTGTCGATTTGGAGCTTTTCGGAATCCTGTGCCGCAAACTGGTGGCGGCATAGACAAAGTTAATATACTTTCAAGTCGCTCCTTGAACGCATTGGTGATAGTACCAGTCTGTAGAAGAGGCACTCACCGTTCGGAGTTTGATGATGTGAATGACAGCGCTTGGGCAGATCCCAGCAATAAGACGGGCCATAAGTGTACCGTGGCTATGTGTTTGTTAGTACGCGTCGGCGCTTTTGACTCATGAGAATGTGATAAACACATATACGAACCCACTTGAAGAATGCCACCACGGCGAGACACCTCGGTATCGAGATCCCTGTTGGTACTGTTCGAAGCTTGTGCCCCTAAAGGGCCTGTTAAAGCTGAGGTCGCTATGGTCTTTATCGGTACCTAATGCCACGTAGGTTAGAATGCAATCTTGAACAGTATAGGATAAAGTGTATGCAGTATGGGCAGAGAGTGGGCAGAGAGGGCCAGGACTCTACCATCATCGATCAGCGCGACAACCACAGGGCCTGGGATAATTGAATCAACAGGTCTTTTCATGTTTCTCAACTTCCCAACAATCTGCCGGAACTCCTCGCTGAACCTCTTCATGCACTCCATCCACCTGTGAGGGTTGATGTTATGGCTGCTGAACGGAGAGGGGTGTACGTCCCCGCGCTGAAGTCCTCTCCGATGAGCTAAGGTATGTCCCAGATGGGCCGGGAGGCTCGCATCAATCTCAATGATTGGCAGTCGATGCATCCCAGCTGGCAAAGCTTGAGACCATGACTTCTCGAGTCGTTGCTTAAAACTGTGCAAATTTTCTTCTGTTCTCTTGCTCAACTGCGTGCCCTACTCAAAGTCATCAGAACAATGCTCAATAGCGTATAAGGTACCTTCTCACATGGACTCTAATAATTTTGATTCTTTCTAGGTTTCGCAGTTTGCAAAGGCCTTCGGCTTCTGACCACGCTCGAAGAACTGGATTCCTGCCGCTCCAGTACAAATTGATCTCTCTTAGAGATTGGCCGAATTTTAGAAGGGATGAAGGGCAAATGTCTGGTCTTGCCCAGTCCAATATCTCAACATTCTGAAAGACGGTAAGTTAAAATTTGAAAGCTCGGATGTGGCAGTTCAACTTACAAAGCCGTCGAGTGCTTGTTCTATACCTTCATCACTGTGAGAATTATGCGAGGCTTCGTGGTCCTCAAAGTCATCTACTATGACTCTAATTATCTTCTTAACCCCTCGTTTCTTGTGCCTAAGCCAGTCGAAGAAAATGACTACTGGATCAGGGATCCACTCAGTTCGACCTTCCGTGTGCCCGCTCTCCTCGATTGTTTTCACATCAATCTGAGGAAATGCTACGTATTGAAGGACGGACTCAAACCCGAGGTGGTCGAACACTTTTTTGAATTCTGGTTCGGACATTTTCTTTCTTGGGCCGAAGTCAAACCACAATACTTTGTCTACGGGAAATATCAGGGCACGATTTCATCACATCTATCATGCATGGATTGGAGTAACTCACCATCGTTTCCTTCAAGCTTTCTAAGAAATTGGGAGGCTTTATCCGGATCTTGTGTTCTGAGGCATAGTAGTCTAAGATGGTGGAGGATCTCATCCGAAGCAGCCTGTCGTTCGCGGTGCTCTTTTTCCTCCGATTCTCGTCTTTTGGCATAGGCTGGGATTTCATTTGTTGTTTTTGGTAGAGCCTCTGGTAATGAATACGTCTCAAATTTTGAGCCAGAGTCTCGCCTTGACGAGACATTCGCGAGAGGCTTGTTTAGGTCCGGTGCTCGCGGTGGCCTCGTGGAGCGGTCGGGTAACGTATCTGCTTTCTTGGAGCCGCCGGAAATGTCAGTCTCGCGAGTCTTCGGCATTTCCGGTTCCTTTCCAGGCACGCTGATTTGAGAGTTCCCTTGGGTGTTGGATCTTTGCTGCGGTGCCCGAAACCGTTCCTCATTTTGCTTGTCTTCCTGCTCCTTCAACTCATTCTGCCTTTCCTTGTACCTGTACTCGGCTTTCTTTCTTGACTCTTCGTGATACTGATAGACAGAAATCCTCCTACCTGAGTCAAGCTTCTTTGCAATACTCAAGGCTTCTGGTCCACGTTGTAACAGCATCTTGACGATATTCACTTGGGAGGGTAAGCTAGAACAATCAAAGTCTAGGGCCAAGTGGAGAGGCGTGCGTCCATGAGAGTCTGTAACGGTGAACATTTCTCGTGGGGCCATACTGATAAGATTCAGTAGAATCTTCGCTCGGTGCGATCCATTTTGATTGGAGAAATGACGCGGCGTCAAAGCGGCGTGCAAACATGTGAGCTCGGAGTCGCTGATATTAGACGATTCCCGTACGGTGCACTCTCTTCGTAAGTACTTTCCCAACTCCTCAAGTTTTCCCGTTTTCTGTGTGAAGACTGCCAGACAGAACCGTACGTTGTTCTCGGCAATTGCCGCTGGTCCCGCGACATATTAGAAATTTACATTTTTCAGAGGTACATGACCGAATCCAAGATTTGGACGTACCTGTCAACGGTGTGCGGCCCTTGAGATCAGTGGCATCCATTAAATCTGGTCGTTCTGATACCGCAGCCGTCACAACCCATGCTGGACAGGGCCTGCTGTCGCGGACCCATGGCTGATATGCGAGATGATGCAGGAAGTTTCTTCCTTCCTTGGTCAGGCAATGCCAATTGCTCTGTCGCTCCCGCCCAAAGGTTTGCCAACAGTCGGCCAGGATCTTGTTCTCCTCCGACTTTGTCAAAGGTTTTATACCTTCTATGCTCAACTTCTCATCACTGTGCATAGTCTGCTGAACTTCTCTTAGTTTCTTCTCCCTTAACTCGTTTATCTTGAGGTCTTTCTGAGCGTTTCTTTCTTTTGCGATTTCAATGTCTGAGTCAAATCCCGATAGCACATGGTCAATTTGTCCTGTTTGATCGTCAAAAGGGGTATTCGTGTAGTCATCTAGATCAGCAATCTCCAATTCAGCGCTGATACCGCCGGTCAATTGCCGCGTCAGGGTCGCGAGGCTCTCAGCTTGCGAGTCCATCGCCAGGTGACAAAAGTTTGAGTGCCGGTGAATTGATCATGCAAACAGAGTTTGGAGAAGGTCCGGTCTCACCAGACGCTGATTGCAAATTTTCTACGGCAATTAGTTGTCAGTAGATCATTTGAAATGAGTGTGTACCACAGGCTGAGAGCCGCAGATTAGGGTTGCTCAGCTGCTACCCGGTTAGGCGTGTAAACGGGAATGATCGCCCTTTAAAGCTGCTTTTCTGCATGCAAAGACAATCCTACGCCAGGCTGTCGCGCTTTTTTATTGGCGTGTGATGGGTTGGGGCACCCACACTTGTCATACAAGTGTTTCTCGTGGACAAAATGCGTGCTATCCAATGGTTCCCTGATCACTCACCGGCTTGCGGGGTATAATTTCGTCTTACCTGTGACTTCAAGTCCCGAATATGTATCTTGGTACTTCGTATGGTAAATACATTACACACTCTACGCACGACGGTAATTGGGGCAAATCTGCGAATTATGGTATATAGCTCGTCGGTTATATATATGTCGTTCTCTGCGGAATAATCAAGATGTGTTGAAATCCTTCCCTTGTTTCCTTTTCATCCTGCCTACTCTGCGTTTTTGTTCTACATCCTACAGCGAGACTGATGTATCATGGATTACACGAAGGAATCACAGTCTTTGTCAGGGGACATGGAGGACGACCCGTTGCTGGTCTCGGATGTTCTCCTTGAGGACGTCACCGATGGCGAAGATGACACGTTCAGAACGCAGAACACATCCCTGACAGATTTCGAGCGCCGCAACATTATCGAGCGAGCAGAATCAGACGTCCATACGCGCGTGATCTTGCAGGAGGTAACGCACGGGACTTACGATGAGAGCGAGGACGGCGATGAGGCCACAATCTTGGTTTTCCGCTTCCGTTTTGACCCTCAGAGAAAGTCGAGTCGTATCCTCCGAGCTCTGATAAACATCGAATTCTTCGCTTCGAACAAGGATGATGAGCCCCCCGTTGTCGACATGATTGCACCTGAAGGGTGTCGAATGGTATCTCCTACGACTGACGAAGTGACAGTTACAAGAGGAGGCGAGCTAGGGTTAGGGACGTCCATGATAGTTGAAGCCACCACAAAGGCCAATCTAACAAGAACGACCACCCGTCATGTCAGCGATGCCGCGACTGTAACTGGTAGCATAAATCTCGGGACGGGGCGGAACAAGGGCGACTCAACAGTGGCTGCGTGGAATCTTCTCGAAAATAAGCGACATAAGACTGGTGTTGTTAGAGCCGTCAAAGTTTCCATTCTTCTTCGGCGAACAAATCCTCGGCCTTTTCATGCCAAAGTAACTTTAAAGGCCGACTGCGACCTCATGACTGGTCTGAGGCAGAAATTCAAAAAGGTTCTCCTGGACGACCCTGTTCTGTTCAACCCAAAATCAACGGACATGAAGATCAAGAAAGGGCGGCATTATGGAGCCAAGGATTTGAGCAAGGTCCAATTAGACTTTTCATGTGATGCTATCATAGCAGAAGGAGATGCTTCGGAGAATTGAGCAAATGGATACATTGCTTATGATTCTTCATCAAAATGTGTCGCTGCGCGCTTCTCCCAAAGGTGCTGGGCCCTAAAGTGAGGCGGGCTCAAGTCTTTCTGTCATGCAATGCGTAAGTTAGACGGATCCTAGCTTGACACTTATGTGGGTCACTAGGCTCGAAATCATGTATCTGGTACTGGTGCTGTACAACGTACTGATTTACAGCGGCCTTTTTGGCCCAGAATGGAGTAGTCTTGGCAATTACACAACAGCGACAAAACGTAAGCACTAGATCACCCTGCATTCCAAGATTTTGCCCACTGTGACGGTCCAGGATTCGAGCGTAAAAGGATGGTTCACATGAAGATGGAAGTCCTAGCAACTTCAAATCTTTATGAGTCCACTTGTTGCGATCGTCGACGGTAAACCATGAGCGAGGTAGGGCAATCGGGCCAGGAGGCTGGCACACAAAATCCTTTGGTGCAAACCCCCGAAAACATAGAGGATGCCTCAAGAGATAAAGTGGTCGATTCTGAAGCCGAAAAAGCACCACTTTCAGAGGAAAGTCTTAAAAATGACCAGGGAACTGATCAGTATGGTGGATGCCCTGACCACAGGACTAACGTGGTAGTTCTTGATCCGAGTCCATCAAAAGATGCCATCATAGAGTGAGTTTTACCCCTCATATATCCTCTAACTATTCTCAGCCTTATTGTATTGCTCACGCATCTCAACCTGAAAGTGTTGTTGCTATCCACGGCCTCTGGGGCCATAGTAAAGAAACTTGGGGAACACGCAGTGACCCTAGCGGCATGTGGCTCCGCTCTGCATTTGGCACAGGAAAGTCTTGCAGGTTGATATTGTTTGGGTATCATTCGAGTGAAAATACATTTAATGGTGTCTATGAAATGGCGGAGACACTTCTTTCCAAACTCCTCGAGCTTCGGGGTCAAGAGATCGAGGTGAGTTTGCTCCAGGATGAAGACACTGATCCCGATACGAAAGCTGACGAGAAGTTCATCTTGGAGACCGCCAGACGCCCAATCATCTTCATATCCCACGACTTGGGAGGCCTAATTGTCAAATCAGTAAGAGGATACTGTGAATTAGTGCCTGTTGCGAAACAAATAGCTGATTTATCACTCAGTGTCTTGTACTCGCACATTCGAAGGCAAAGTATGCCGACATCTTGGGATCTACCCGAGTGCTTGTAAGTATCAATGAACATTGTTATGGGTTTAGAATTGAGCTACGTACCGTTCTAATTGAAAGTATTCAAGGCATTCTTTGGATATCCACATAGAACACCAATCAAGACAAATCTTGAAGAGCAATATTTGAGACTGGTACGCCTTCACAAAGAGCCTCAAGAATTGAAAGACGGCTTCCGGATGTCACAGACACTGGCAAACATGACAAATCAGATCAATGAAGAATTTCTCCACACGGGAGTGCTCATGCAGACAATCCAACTCAACGCGTACTCCACGAAGCCGGATATTTCAGATCAGCTTTTCGACAAATTCACCGCAACGCTTGGCATCGACGGTGAGCTTCGAGTTGGCGTCGACGCCAGCCATCAGCTCATGACGCAGGGAATCTCATCGGACGAAACCCCATTCGAGGGCAAGGTGGATGAGGACTGGTTCGGTACGTTGTCATATCAATTCGATTCGCTTCAGGAATCTTAATCGGATATTAGAAAGCGATTCTTCTAGAGGCGCTCTCCGTGCTTTGAACTGCGTGCTTAATCAAGCACCACCAATATATCCTCCTCGCAACGACAAAGTACTGAACAAGGGCGCGGAGACCCTACGCACGGTACTGAAAAACGATTCATCGACGTGGAACCATATTCACCATTTGAGGTGCAAAGAAGGGGCTATAGAACCAATTGCGGAGCAATGCCGCAACTTTCTAGATGGAGAAAAGGCAGTTTACCGGTTTCTCCACTATTTCCGCTTCAACTCACATGACGTTCGATCCAACTCGCTTCGACCTTTGTTCACTTCCATCTTAGCTCACACGGGCTACAACCGGATATCAACTTTCTCCTGGCAAACCAATATTGGATTAATAGGGACTGGCTAGTAGGTCCGCCCAAACTTGTCTGTGATAGGAGAATTATTGTCACGAGAATAGAAATACATAAGTGTATACATATTCTTTAATGCTTCAGAGTCTTTGCTAACTTCTCAGTCACTGGTCTTCTGAAGACCTCCTTGCCTGCTGGAAGGCCACAAGAACTGCTCGTCCCTTGCAAGATGCTATATACGTATTGGCAGGCTTCGATGAGTGCGAGCAGGCCGAGTCCCTATGGCTGCTTAACGAATTCGAAGAAACGAGACAGCGTTCCGAAGAGCCCCTGAAGATCGTGCTCCTAACTACTGCCGGCACAACGCAAGATAGTCGGATTGGCGAAGCACTTTCTCAGATGCCTGCGGAGGTCGTCACCACAATTGACTATTCTTGCGAAAGCCTTGATGCTGTCGAAGCTGACATCGAGGTCTTTGATCTGTTGAAGGAGGATCCCCGATACAATGGCCGATCAATCTCACAAAAAGTGAAGCGTCTGATTTCGTCATTAGAAGAGGACAAGGATCTTGCTCATTTACTCGTTTCCGTTATGAAGTCAAGCGAAAATCACAAAAGTTTGATCAAGAAGCTGAATACACTGACGCCAACCCCAGACCAAGTTTTTGCACTCGCACTTGGGGAAATGGCTCATGAGAACCGACCCTGGGCCAAAACTATCTTATCGTGGATGACAGCGTCAATAAGACCACTGAGAGTTCATGAGTTCCGCCTCTTGTCTGAGCTATGTGCTGAAAACAGCTGCACTGACGCCGAACAACGATCATTTGATCAAGAACATCCATTGGTACGGTACGAAGCGAATGGAGCCGTCGCGAAGTTTCATGGCTTGCTGCGTGTGGTGAACGATGAAATACATTTCAGTCATAGTCGATTAAGGCTTTGGTTCGCATCTCGAGGCATGGGACCGGGCCTTTCTGGCTCTTATATCCCGTGGTATTACAAAGAAACCGATAACAGCCATCACAAAGATATCTTGGACACGTGTCTCGTTTACCTGCGGCGTCTTCCTGAGTTCGAAACACCCGGCGAATCGTTCCCTTACGCCGTTCAGCACTGGATTCATCACTACAAGCTTGCGGATGGCTTTGCGGGCGACCTTGAAAGGATCATGGAAGAGGTTTTTAATCATGAGAAGGTCCTGAATCTCTGGATTACTTCCTACAGAGCCTTGCCCACACCTCCTCTGAAGCCACTAACAGATCGTGCTGAGCCTTTGGTCATTGCAGCACACTTCGGCCTCGACACTATTATTCGACAACTATCAGACAGCGGCTCATACGAGCCCGAGGTGTGGGGGAGGGCACTGCTGGAGTCTGTGAAGGTGGCAGAATTGTCAACTGTTCGGCTTCTGTTTGGCTCAATGTCGTTTTCCTTCGGACTTAACAACCACATTTTTCACGATATAGTCTTGGCAGCATCCGACCGAGGACGACGGGAAATTCTAATGGAGGTGGTCAGGCGCATCCCAAAACCACCAAAACCAGCTCCACACTTGAAGTCCTTGAGGGCGAAGGGTCGCACAGTCGCAAGTGATAATGACGCTGAGAGGGTCGATGACAAATCTGCGTCAAAGAGTGAACGCCGTGCGGATCCTGCAAATGCCATCGCAGATGAGAGCGACCAATCTCACCTCGGCATGGCCGACAAGGATACCGAGCAAGACAAGTCAACAACCTTCTACTGGATCGATCATGCGCTTTGCCAAGCGTCAAAGTTCGGATACAGGGAGGCCGTCATCTTGCTTCTAGACCTCGGCGCCAATCCCAACTCCATAATACGGTTAGAACAAAAGACTCAGTCAGCTTTGACGGGGGCCTGCGCCAGAGGTCATGCAGACGTCGTTGAGATTCTGCTTGACCATGGAGCCGACTTGGAGATGAGAGCAGGAGAGGTCAGCAATCCCCGTACTCCGCTATTTATAGCCTGCACCTGGGGCAGTGTGGAAGTCGTGAGGCTTCTCTTGCAAGGCGGGGCGTCGTTAGAGGCCAAGGACACTGAAAATTGGACTCCACTACACGCAGCTTGCATATGGGGCGCCTTCGCATGTATTGACGTTCTTCTGGAGCACAAGAAGCTTGACGACTATTCTACATCAGAAATTATCGCGCCCTTACCACTTGCAGTCGATGCCGGCAAGTACAAGGTCGCGAAGACGCTGCTCCGGCATGGGTTAGACCCCAACAGCCACGACGCCGTCGGATGTGCTTTATGGTACGCTGTGAAGATGGATCGCGTAGATCTTTGCAAGCTTCTGCTGGAAAACAAGGCCGACCCTAATGCAAGTTCCGAGAAATCGGCGCCGCCATTAGTCCAGGCCATGATGGCTGGTAACATGGAGATCGTTGAAATGCTGGTCGAAAGTGGAGCAGACTTAGAAAAGCCGGGAACGTTGGACGCTTTCCATGGGTCCCCATTATTGATGGCAGTGATATGGGCCGGAACGAGAAATTCGAAGAACATACAGATTATTCGATATCTGTTGGAGAAGAAAGCAGATCCCAACGTTACCGATAAGGATGGATGGGCTCCGCTCTGGCTTGCGGCGTGGTGGAGGGTAAGCTATCCACTCCGAGGTACTCAATCTTGATCACCAAGCTGACTCTGCAACTAGGACGAGGAGACAGTGCGTATTCTGTGCCGAGCTCAAGCAGATGTAAACATGGTATGCAATCAGCGCACACCTTTGCACGCTGCTATCGGACGATCAAAGGTCGATCTTGAAGTGGTCCGCGCCTTACTAGACCATGATGCGGATGTCAACACATTCATTGAAGGACAAGGAACTCCGGTATGCCTCAGTGTTTCCCAAGATTTCTCATCAAGTTAAGTCTTGTTGGATTAGAAGGGTCTTCCACCGAGCGTGCAGACGCGCCAGATCTGGTAGCTAACATCACCAAAGCTGTCTTCGGCAATTAGACTCGGCCGCGTGGAGATGATTAAGATGATCCTTAATCATGATAAAGCCAAACCAGGCATGACACATCCGTCCTTCAGATCTGCCGTGCTCGATGCTACTGGCGGAAATCGAGAAGGGATTCACGAGATCCTGGCATCGCTTCTCGAAGCTGGAGCAGATGTCGACATGCGAGATGCATCCGAACGGACCCTTCTCATGCACGCCATGGGTGCAAGCCCCGCAGCAGTCCGCACGATCCTCCAGTATCAGCCCAATTTGCAGGCAAGAGACCTGGAAATGAACACAGTGTTGACGTGCGTCGCTTCTACGACCACGGTCGAAGTGGTGAATCTGATAATTCGTTGCGGTGGGAGGCTCGATGTGGAAAATAAAATCAAGGACACGCCCCTTATTTCAGCCGTAAGAGTCCAGAATATGGACGTCTTGCAGTTTCTGCTGACCAAGGATCCCATAAGCGCAAATATCAATACGCAAGGCGTGGATGGGCCGCCACTACATCTTGCCTGCCAGAACGATGATCTACTTGCTGCAAACCTTCTCATCGAACACAAGGCCGATATCGACTATGTCATGGAAAGCTCGAGTTGCGTCTCTGGAACAGCCATAATGGGAGCGATCATCTACAAATCTGGGACATGCGCCAGAATGTTGATTGAGAGAGGGGCAAACGTGCAGTCTCCATCGGGTTACTACCGCTATCCTATCATCGCAGCGAGCCTGGCGTTCATAGATGTCGAATTTATCAAGCTACTTCTCCGTCAGCCTGGGGTCTCAATAGACGTGGCCGACACCCTAGGCAGAAAGCCTGCACATCTAGCTTGCGCCAACAGCTTAGACTTGTTCAACGAGCTCCAAGTGCCAGACGAGGATCTTGCTTTGAAGGACTGCGTTGGCCGATATCCGCTTCACTACGCTTGTTTAAGCGGTGATTCTGCCCTTGTCGAAGAGGTCCTTGAGCGGTCCAAACGCGTCGGGGTCGATATAAACGCCAGGGACGAAGATGGTTGGACGCCTCTTATGTGGGCAGCTAGAGCTTGTGATACCTGGGCACACAGTGATCCTCCTCCCAATCACCATGATACGATCAAGCTCTTTCTCCTCAGGGGCGCTGACCCCGCACTGGAGGCTGAGGTTGTTAATTCCGAGACCCCTACTGAGAAAGAACAACTGACACCCGCTAAGATCGCCTGGTACCACCAAGCGGATGCCTCGATAATAAGCCTCCTCAACCAAAGCGTTTCTCCCGAGCGTGAGAGTCTTCCAGTAACGCACAGAGTCGGTGATCCTGCAACGGACTCTAATGGGGGCAAGCTATACTGTGACTGTTGTTTGGTTGTAAGTCAGAGTCCCAAGAGCTATCTACCCAGTTCAGTTGTGTACTCAGGTACACAACAACAGTCACAATTAGAGGGTAGGCTAAATTTTTGCTGATGTACCGCAGAGATGCTACGGGATCTTCTTCACATGCGCAGATTGCCGACCGAGACTTGACCTATGCTTCAAGTGCTCCCGCTCCAGGGCAAAAATCCACCCAGTCCACGAGATGGTACAGACCGGCAGCACCTCGACGTCTGAGAACCTACTAGGCGACGCAGCATCGAAAGAAGAGACCTCAGCTGCTGAAGAAATCGCTACTGTCGGCGACAAAGGGACGTCTTATAATTTTGACGACGAAATCCTCGACCTCGCTGCAACACTAGACACTTTTAGCTCGGGCTCAAGTGTGGGAAGTCAAGAGGAGTAGGGCGAAGAAGAGAGCATGTCTGAAGTCAAGGAAGATAAATCTTAGTGGTGAAATATGACGTTGAATTGGTGACCTTGATGTTGGTGGAGGAACCATAGACGGCCACAATGCTTGAAAAATGCCAAAATCTTCAAATGGTCTGTCAATGATGGAAACATGCAATATCGCACAGTTTAGTACATCATTATAGTGTTGCTACAAAGCAATCTATCTCCCGTCCGTTCTTTTGACAATGTGCAATTCCTCTTCCCACTTTTCAGACTATTATTTGTTCTCTCCCGGTTTCGCGCAGCCCTGCCAATCACTCGCTAACATACGTTATGTTTCTTTGGGCCATCTTTAGTAGTCAGCTCAGATAAATGCGTTACGATAGTTTACACGGGCCTACAATGTTGTGTCCAAACGACAATTGTCGTTTTCTCAGTACTCCAAATCTTGCTGTATACATTACTCCCTAAAAGAAAATATCATTCAATGTTGAAAGTTAAATGTGATAAGGAAAGGTGGCCTAGCTTTTTCTTTTTTTTCTTTCTTTCTTTCTTTCTTTTTTTTTTTAAAAAAAAAGGCTAAAACAACCCCCCCCCCCACCCCCAAACAACAACAACAACAACACCTAAGAACCGGATAGCTCGATGCGGCTGCTCTTTTCTTCCGCTCTGTTGCAGCTCTACGTCTATCCGATTCCTTTTAGTCGTAAGATCGAAGGTTGAGTCCAAGATCACTATTTCATAACTACATTTAAGCAAAGAATTTGAATAATTTGGTCCCATAGCACTTAACAGCGGGTTAGCCGTCCAGCGTGTCCCCAAATCTAGAAACCCTGGCCCACCCTCCCCCCAATCATCGGCGTCGACCATCGCGAGCATGGATGATGCGTGGCCCGGGCTGCCCTGAAGACGACCAGGTTGCACCAGTCCTGTCTCAGGCTAAAGACCCATTCTCCCGGAAAACGTCGTTCCTGATACTCGACTGTCGATGAGAGAGGTTGGTTGCATCTTCTTATTTTTTGTTTTCTTGACGGTGGTTTTCCGGAATCATGCGAATAGTCCATCCGATCACGATGATTAATGGACGTTTATTACGCAACTTCGGTTACAACTAAGCGAGCAATGATGGGAGCAATTCACGGTGCCAACAAGACACGAAAGGATTACGAGATGGCAGAAACACACAGCTTGGAAACAGGTAGAGAACGGCAGACTGCAAGATACATGACCGCCGAAGTGCAAAAACTGTGTGGAGCCCCAATGGCGTATCGAAGACTACCTCCTAGACTGTATTCCCCTCTCCGTAACTCTGAGCGAGGTCCGAGACGATATCAGCATCCATTTGCCCCTCTGTAAAAACAAATACGTCCTCATGCATAAAGAAAGCGGTATGACTACTGCTGGGTCAGGTGTTTGTACTCTACAAAGTAATTCTTCCGGCAAGCGTCGATCAAATACTCGATGGAAAAATAAGCTCCATCCTAATCGTTGACGATCGTAGATCCCCCTCATGGAGCTCATCAGGACAATTGCGCCTGATTCCCATGGCGTAATGTTGTGGTTCGGATCCACAATAGCAGATGGCCACTCAGGTTGGCATCAATGAAAGGTTTCTGCTTTGAGCCATCAAGTTCAATCCACATGACTCGTGAGGGAGGTTGGGTCATCAAGTATAATTAGATCATGGGAAGGGTCGAGAACCTGGTCTGTGGAGCTTTTAGCGGTGGCGTAAATCCCATTGCAAAATTGAAATCCTGTTACACTCACTCTTCTGATACGGATTGATTGGCTTGAGGCTCATTGTAACAACTACTTCCAAACAATTTGAGCAAATTATTAGCATCGGATAGAGAACATAAAGTTATTGAGCTCAGTTGACTAACAGTCAATCAACATCAGACCATATTTGTATCCTCTGTGGGTCTGCCAAGGCAGGTGCAGTATGTTGGCTGCAAGCGCCAACATCAGACAAGGGCTCATGTGCGCTACACAGGCGAACAAGGATGGCGATAGCCAGGTACCAATGCAAGATCAGTCAATGCCCCTTGGCGATCGCCAAAGGCGGCAATTGGGTATTACAAATGGTATTACTATGTTAATGTGCCTGCCTCTCGTATTACAAAGTTTTCCCGCTGGTCCAAATGTGGTTACAGTATCGGTATCCGAAGTATGCTCGACTAACATAGTGTTATTCGCTTAAGTTTCTTGAAACCGAATGAGTCTTTGGAAGGTGCCATGTGACTCGGGTTTTGGAAATATACATCTTCTTGAGTACTTTGGTAACGGTGATGAGTTTTGGTTAACCATATCGTCTTTTCTAGGTAGTGGTCTAACGAGAGGCAGTATATTGGCTGTTGGTTATGTATAAGTCGGGCTTCATCTGCGTTTAAAACGCCCAGGGGCATTTATCTCGCGTGCAATGTGGTTCCTTTACCTTACTCGTCTATCGAGGGACGACTAATGCACGGCACCAAGGAGCTACACGCTTAAAAGCTCCTAGTCACTTCCTCCTCACGGCGCAACTACCAAGTTCAGCTGTTGGCCAGAATCTCTTGCATCACCTTGACAGGTTGAGCGCGTCTGATCAGGGTCATATAGCCGTGCTTGGGCTGGCTAACGGATGCATTGCCCCCGAAGTTGAGCCGCGGGCGACGGCGACTCGCTGTCTTTTGACAGGTCGCGAAAATGGCCCCCCACAAGCTCCATGAAAACCATACGCGAGCGTACAGTACGCAGGGACTGTATCTGCCGACATATGCGCGTAGATGGGGATATTGTAGTACCAACTTTCGAGCTCATCCTCTGAGCCACAAATCCACCAAGGGGTGGATCTGAATAGATGTTGGTTGCAAAGTTCCACCACAATTGATAGTCTGAGTATCCGCGGTTGGCGACCATGAAAACTTTCATGTGCAAGAATTCAACTTTAAGAAGGGAGTCCCTCCCAGCTTTTATGCCTGAGGGAACGGTCTAGTCTTAGCCTTTAGAATCACAATTCAAGTTGTTAGGCAATCTTTATCACCGTCTTCGTTTTTCAGTGTTATTTCTAGCCCCCCAAAGATGGCCAGTTCCAGCCAGAATATCGATCCAATGTCGCCTAAGACCGAGAAGTCTAGGCTCCTGAGTAGACTACCGGCAGAACCAGAGACGGAAAATGCACAAGTGCAAGCCGACCTGAGATCGAAGGTAAGCAACATGAAACAAATTCCAACATGAGAGCAAAAATATTGACCAATGTACCAGTCGCTCCTAGGACGCCTTTGGGGCACCATCTCACTAGCCCACCTAATCACGGAGAGTAATCAAAAGGCCTACGTCCAGCCGGTCGTGCTATTTGCCATGCTAAGCACCGCCTCGGGGGGAGTTACATCCAACCCAAACCCCAGCTGGAAGGATATCGCTATGTGCTTCCCCCGCGTCTTGCTCTACATCTGGCTTTACGTACTCTACTTCGACTGCAGCAATCAGAAGGATCCTGAGGCTGTAAAAGAGGACAAAATCAACAAGCCGTGGCGCGCCATTCCCTCGGGCAGGCTTAGCATCGAGGGGGCGGAGCGCTGGTACATCGCGGCATGCTGCCTGTTGTTGGCGGTTAGTGGCCTCTGGCTCGGTGGCTTTCCCGAAGCAGTCGCCTTCATGATTGAGACATGGACGTATGACTATGCGCGTGGCGCGGATTTCTGGTGGTCAAAGAACATCATCAACTCTTTGTTTTACGCGACGGGCCAGCTCGGAGCAACCCGCGTGGCTGCCGAGTCCATGACAGACACAACCATGGTCAGAGCTGGCTATGAGTGGTGTGGCATCCTTGCGCTCGAAATCTTGACGACCATACAAATCCAAGACATCAAGGATGAAGAGGGTGACAACGCCCGTGGGAGACGCACTATGCCCATAGTCATCGGACAAAAGCCAACTCGCTGGCTTACGTCTCTGACTATTGGCTTCTGGTCTGTCGCCTGCCCTTTGTATTGGGCCACCGGCAGTTTGCACGCCGGATTCATTTTGCCGTTGTTCATCGGGGCTGTGGTGACGATTCGCACGCTTTTCTGCACTTCCGTTCCAGCCGACCGAATTACCTGGAACATTTACACTTTGCTATGGCTGCCAGCACTTTATGCAACACCTCTTCTTAGCAGGTTTGATCTCTTGTCCTTTTACTAGGCGTGCATCATGTCGGGAGAGAAAGAAAGGGAAGGGGTGGAGGAAGGCAAGTATGTATATTTTTCGTTGAGGTCTATCTGGGACACCGTGGCCTCAGAAGTCTTATATTCTTTCAATCGTTTCTCTCATTAAATTTCATGAAATATGTGCACCGGTGTGCGGAAGAAATTTCGAGGATCTACTTAAGTGCGTTCGTCCTGCGGGATCATTGGGGACTACTGAAGGTGGTAGAGACTTGCACCAAATATTTCAATCATGGCTATAGTTGTACGCTGCGAATGTGGACTCGGAAATTATCTACCTTCTGGTAGGAACATGGAGTAGCTATAGATCAACAGTTTTGCCCTGTGGCAGGCCATCAAAGTGGGCCCGATCGTCTTGCAGCGGCTTGGCCATCCATCGACTCGTTTCTGAATATTTGTAGTTGAATCCATTCCATGCCGACGTGTCTCAGGTTTTAAGAGGCCCCTACCTTTGCGTACGTGAGTCGCACAGGAACCCCGTCCCTGGGCTGCATCGTGAATGTGATCGTCTTTCTTGGCTCGCCTGCCCCACCAAGCCAATCGATTTTCTCAAACCTTTGGAGCATCCGCACAATCAAGTAGCCAGCCTCCGTCAGGGCATATTGCTCTGTGTAGCAGGTCAGTATCGCATGCGGTGAGTGATAACGGCCTCTTTTAGGTTTGGGGGAACTCACGGCCGAGGCAGATACGAGGTCCGCCACTAAACGGCACAAAGTTCCAATCCATCTTCTTCTTTTCCCACCGTTCCGGCTTAAACTCATCGGCGTCCAGGCCCCACAGATCTTTGCGCCTGTGTAACAGATGCAGGACGAAGCTGACAGTTTTGCCTTTGGGAACGAAGATGGGCGTTTTGCCATCCGGCCCCCCTCCGCGAGGAAGTGTTGTATCGCGAGCCGCGAAGCGGACATTGGCCGGGCTTGGATCGTACAGACGCAAGGCCTCACGCAGGGTGAGCTGCAGGTATCGGCACGACTTAAGCGTCTCGAAGGTGATGTTGGACGTATCTGCAGTATACGGGCCGAAGTGTTCCAACGCGGCGGCACGGAGCTTGGCAAATTTGTCCGGATGACGTGCCAGGAGCAGTACCGTCCAGGACAGTAGTGAGGCCGTGGTGTCTCGGCCAGCAAGAAGCAAGCCCAGTATCTGGTCACGGAGTTCGTCTGGATCCCGTGTGGACTCAATGAGGGCCTCGAGAAGGCTGTAGCCCGCAGACGACGATACCATCGTTGATCTTTTGTTGTCATTGGCAGCTTTTAGTGCTAGCTGGACGTAATGGGCGGCGTACTTGCGCACAAAGGCGTTAGCCGTGCGACCTCGCTTGCCGGGTAGCAGCCAGTGAAGGCCCTGGAGACGGATGCGTTGCGTGATCCACAGCTGCGCCTCGGAAAGAGCATCGGCAAAGTCCATTCCAGGACCAAATTCGGCGGCAAGTGAGCTCGCGGCACTTGTAAGCTTCCCGGAGTCTCCCGTGGCGGCGCTGATTTGCGTGTTCACGCTCTCGCCAAAAAGGAACTTGGTAGCTGTGTCCATGGTGAAGCGGTAGAACATTGGCAATAGGTCAACCTCGACGCTATCGCCATTTTCGCTGTCTACACCAATGAGATGCACAGCTCTAAACAGTTCTTGAACGGCCACTTCTGTCTCTCGGAGGTTATTAATCTGTTCTCGTGCGAACTGTGGCTTGAACATGGCACGCGAGTGCTCCCAGAACGGCCCGTCTTCAGTAAAAATACATTTCCCAAGCAGAAGTCGTCTATTCAGCTGTTAACCTAGCTCAAAATCCTGGAACTGCGAGGCCAAGATGGCCTGGATATTAACCGGGTCGATAGTGTTGAGCCGAGACTTTGTGAATAGACCAGGCGATTCAAAAGTCGTACCATTCTTGGCGTAACTGTCCGCCAGGATAGTGAATATATCCTCGTCATTTTTAGAGGCATTGATAAAGCGCCATAAGAAGTCCAGATTGAATGGTAGTTTTGATGTAGCGAAGATTGGGAGACTGGCTCGATGCCGAATGGCGAGTCGCCGAATTCGCTGTCGATCAAGTAAAGAAGTAATATAGGTGTATACTACGTAGATCACCACCGCACCTACAATGACCTGTAGAGAGAAGACTGCCATTGTTTCTGTATGAGCCTTTATGTTGGACGGAATTATACGAGGTTGCTTTGGCCGAGGATACTGTTTCTTCAACCTTCCCTTTCTGTGTTAATAATGCAATTGGTGTATGAAAGAATTCTGAAATTTGAAAAGGCACGTACTCCCATATAATTTCTAACTGATTAAGTATCCTGAAGTACTTACATGTGATTTGATTGGCTTTACAGATCCGGTTAAGTTCTCTTGTTGCGTTCATCCACCGAAAGGCGCATCTCAACTTGACTCGATGGTCTGACTCGTCCCATTATAAGCTTCGAATCTAACATTCCATTGACTCATGAATTTGAATCCTAACATGGACCTGCCCCATGCAGAACTAAAGAGCTTAAAGTTTACACAGCTTTTGAGATTGATTTCTTGCCCGGGAGCATTGATATACAAGGTGTTTACTTAGGGAACAGCGAAAATACAGAAAGTCAGGCCTCTGGTGAGAATTGACACGGTTACATGGTTGAATTATCAAAAAATATTTGATTTCACATCGGCTTCTAATATGAATCCCTGACAGAGGTCTGATAACAAATCAGAATGTATATTTCTCGTAGATCAACAAACGTATATTCTTCATGTCAAAATGCTTTGATGATTTTATTTGCGACGTTGCTTAAGTGAGTTAGGAAGTCACTGTAAACGTAGTAAGATAATGGGTTTTGAGACAGTCGTCGTCGTCGTGGACCGCCTAGTCAGCGCTAAGCTACATTCGTAAAATGGTCTGCTTCTCCGCTCACAGGGACCTCTGCCTGCTAGGAATCCCCGGAGTACCCTGATCTGTCGATGTTCTGTGAGCAGCCCACCGACATCGACGCCTCCCTATCCAACTATCTACTTCATCAATCTTAGCTTAGGATTATGGCAACGTCACGCCTGGAGTCCGCTGGCGACTCTCCTTCGTCGCGCGCTGCGGAGTATCTTGCGCAGGACCGATTCCATCGACGGTTTACACTGCCTTCCACAGCAGACCATGGCGAGCTGCAAGTTAGTTACGCGGACGCTGGACGCACTCCGGAACAAGGTGGCGATGGCATTCATTTGCCGACAGTTCTATTCATCCCAGGAATGTTCGCATCGCGCTATCTCAGTGTCTGGATGCATGCTATCGCAGAAAAGCTGGGCATCCGGGTTCTGATTGTTGATAGGTAGGGCTCTTTCACAATGCGATTCCTCGATCTAGATGGACTGACCGACTTGTATCCCTCCAGGCCGGGGATGGGACATTCAACTGATGTACCGCTTCGCCAGCGAGTCACTGTTTGGCTTGAAGTGGTGCCTCGACTTCTGGAGCATTTACAGATTCAACATGTCGCGTTGGCAGCTCACAGTTCAGGCACAATTTACCTTCTTAACACTCTTACGCGCTATCGTAATATTCTTCATCCGACTAGGCCACTGGTCGCTTTAGTAGGTATGGTTCTCATTCCAGCCATGAACACCATGAGGTGGTGAAGTACATGAAATAACTCGGCGACAGCACCGTGGGTCGATCCGGCCCATTCTCGCGTCGTGACTATGAAGATGGCACAGAGCCTGCCCACCAGTGTATTTGGGATTTGGCATTATATGCCCAAGGTTGTAACGGCTGGTGGCACGGCGTTCAGCAAGATCTCTAACTTGCTGCCCTCCAGCAGCGGTGTCAACGCAGCAGAGACTCCGCCGCTGGAGAGAAATCGCCAGAAGATAGAGAGCGAATATGGGCTGCCTGTCGAGATGCAGAGGGAGCTGCAAACCCTGACACTCAAGTCTATTTTCAGCGAAAACATGGTCGGTGCGGATAGCGAGGCCCTATGTTGCCTTCGAAAAGGACCTGTTGGGCTCTGGGGCGACTGCGACGACTATGCACTCTTTGTCAGGAAGCTAGCCGAGCTCGAGAGAACCCGGCGAGCAGACGAGGGCGTTGGCGACAGAGAGAGTCTGAGAATCAGTGCTTACTTTGCTGAGAGCGACTCTATGATCGGTAAAAGAGGCCAAAGCTACATGGAGAACTGCTGGAAAGGCAGTGGAGGAGACGAGTTTCAAGACGTGCTGAATTTCACGGCCGAGACGGTCAAAGAGACAGATCACGACAGTGTTGTGCAGTCCGTCGAGGTTTTGAAGCAAATATTCCTCAGTGCTGGTGGTGCTGCGCCGGCGAATCTTTGAGATAGCGTTATAAAGGCCCAAAACACGGCGTTTATCTCGTGAAAGCCAAAGAAATTTCGGCCTGCGCGCCGCGACATGCTATATCTTTCATTTAACTTTAATGTTGCGCTGGGATTCGACAAATCCTTCCCCGTTAAACGACCTCGTCGGTCCTCACTTCTCCAGGGTCTGCCGAGCCTTCTCAACAGAGCTGTTGTAGAGCCTGACGAGCTGCTCACTCAGCCCGGCCTCGGCCTCCGGCGTCACCTCCTCAGCAAAGCCCTTCCAGGTGATCTCGGTCTGCGAGTCGCCCCGCCGCTGCAGGCTGACCAGACCCAGGCAGCCGCGCGCGGGGAGACCGGGCGTGTCCTCGATGGTGTACGCGAACGTGTGCGAGCTCGGATCCATGTAAAGGAGTGTCTCACGCACCTCGGCGCCGCCGCCACCAAAGGCCAGTGCTCGGGTCGCGCCGACCCCATACCCCTCAAGCCGGGCCGACGAGCAGCCGTCGATATAGAGGTGCGCCGCGCCGAAGGACGACCAGATAGCCCAGGTCCGGTCGATGGGGCTGTTGAACGTTCTGGATACCTGCGCCAGCGCGCGCCTCCTGCCAATCACACCTACACATGCGATTAGCGCTTCCTCGTTTCCCAATTCCGCTCCCGCGAAGGTGGAAGGCATCCGGGACACGTATCGAGGCTGCGGTGAGTTGCTTACCTGCCAGCGATGTCATTTTTCTGTCTGATCTACTTGAGCAGCTGCCGGTGACACTTGACGGGCGTCAAGAAACTGAGTGGATGAATGAAGAGTAATCAGGACAGAATAAATCTAATTAATATACTGGAGCTGGAGCGCAGATGGACGGCGCAATCCCAACAAGGAGAGAGTAGCAGGGCCACAGGGCTCAACGACCTCGCAACCCTCGGGTGCCGAGTATATCATCGGCCCTCCGAGTCCCCTCCATCGGCACTCTTCGGGCCCACCTTTGAAGCCGCTGATAGAGACCTCAATGCTATATGAGACGTAGTAACAGAGTCGCCTGTAAGGAGTTAATCTTGACTAGCTCGAGTGTAGTGGACACAACCAAGCTCGCGGCTATATCATAGTTATCGAAAAGCTGTAAATATCATATCATTCTACACCTGGTCGCTTTTACTAAATTTGCGTTTGTTGGACAAAAATATCAATGTGCAATGATCATCGAATGAAACTGAGCGTGTTCTTGATTCTTTTAAACTCCGCGCGCCAATTGTTACAAAGTCCGTTTTCTAGAAAGCCTTTCCATGCAGACCAGACCGGGAAAATCCTTGAGTGTTTCTACAAGTCTTACAGCAAGCCGGCTATCTGCCCACCCAGTCTAATGTACCTGCTTTATATCCACCCAACTGCCCTCTCGCTCACTTACTGGATATGCTCCTTGGAACCAACGATGGAATAATCGTAATCCCGTATCATTTCGGCGCGTTTCTGCGCGCGTATCTTCCAGATCTCAACCTCGCCGCCTCCGCGGATGATGCCAACCCGGTACTTGGCCAACAGGTTGCGCGCCGCGTTCGAGTGGTTGTAAACGCCTCCGTTGAACATGGAGGTAGCGTCCTTGCCGACGGCGGTCAAGATGAGTGCTTTACCGCCCGGGTGCTCGTGGGCAAAGTCGGTCACGTCGTGCACGAGGCCGGCGACGGCTATCAGGGCGCGGGTGCTCGATTGGTCGACAAAATCCTCCCACTCCATCAGGGGCAGCATGGTGAGCGGCTTGCCCCAGTCGAGGACGCCAAGCTTCCGGTCCAGCTTCTTTTGCTCTTGCTGGAGCTTGCCCTTGTCGATCTCGTTTTGGGAGAAGGTGCGCAGGTCACTTGCCAGGCCTAGCCATTTCCAGGTGGCGATGCACCACTTGTTCGGGTCGTATGTCAACCATCTCGTTGTGTTACGGTAGTCGGTAGGAAACTGTTGGTGGAAAAATTAGTGGAAGGATCGATACTCATGACGTCGGTGATCTCAAACCTCATGGTGAAAGTTGTGGTATCCCTCGCCGAGACTGAACAGGGAGGAGATCCAATGATCGCGGGGAGAGCGCCTGTCGTCGAAGGGCTGATCGCCAAGGTAGTGCCCGAGGCTGTTGATGGTGAAAGAGCTCTGTTGAACCGTCACGACACGGAGAACACCAGCGTAGACAAGTCCGCCTTTCCAATCTCCCCAGCCGAGCCCCGCGACCAAGGTCGGCATGACCCAGGCGAAGAATATAGATATCGGGGCATAGTACTTGTGTTGCCAGACGACGAAGGGGTCGTTAGCTAGGTCGGAGATGTCGGTGCGGCCGTGTTTCTTGTAGTCTTGGTTGAGGAGGAGCCAGCCCATGTGTGCGTGCCACACTACGTTGTACCGTGATCAGTATCGTGTTCGTCACGGGAAGATGAGCGGCGTCTTTGGCTGCTCAGAATACCGCAGTTGCCACAAGCAGCCTTCCTGGCTTTACACAGCCAGGCGATTGACATAGTAGGGCTGATGGGAGGGGAGCGCGGGGGAAAGGCAGGAGGAGTCGTAATATGAGCGGTGGTGTAAATTAGACTCGCGATTGGATTTTGACTCACGACCCTTGTGAACCGTGTACGGGTCCGCGTCGGTGTCGGTGAACCTATGGTGGGCGCGGTGACCCCAACTCCAGAAGCGAATCGAACCCTCGAGGGCGCTGGCGCCCCCAAAGCCAAGAAAGACCTGGAGGGGCAGAGTCGCCGTGTAGGAACAGTGAGACCAGAGGCGGTGGTACCCTGCGGTGATACCTATGCCGGCCCAGAGATGCAGCAGGACAGACAGGACCAGAGTTGGGCGTGTCAATGGGGTGTAGCATGCGTAATAAGCGGCGACGATAGGGATGAAGACAAGCAAGCTCGTCTTGAACCAGTCAATATGGAGGTACCAGTTGGAGAGTGTCCATGGCTGATCCGAGATGTGTGGTCCGCGGCGCGACATGTAACTGGGCTGCTGGCCAGGCTTTGCAAGGGACTCGTTGGCCGCTGGTATCAGAGACCCCGTCCGCGCCGTCGACGTCGTTGTGGCCATTGTGGCCGTTGTCGAGGACTGCTGCGCCATGGTTGCGCAGTTGAGAGGTGAGAGGTGAAAGGTTAAGGGGTCGGGAACGAGGACGGCATAGGAATAAACAGTCTCGGGAGATAGTAGGATAGAAAGGGTCTAGCAAATTGCCACGAACATAGCCTAGTTCTAGCCTGTGTTTCGACTTGGGAATGCCAAAATCGAAAAATTCATGCAGGGCAGGACGCGTGCAGGACAGATTACATCATTGAAACATCCGATACGTTGTACAGTAGGGGTCTCCTTTTGTGGGGCCCATCTCCAAATACGATAGCGCCTTCTGTCCCTTTTCTCGTCGCTAGCCTGCTGCGTCAGCGTGTCTTGGAAGTTTGATTAGCTCTCAAAAACGCAGGTGCGGACCGAGGGCCTCGTGTCAAAATATAATTCACATGCTAAAAGCTTATTCCTGAGGCTCTTTAGCCTAACATTTATAGCATCGCGCTTCTAGAATAAGCTACATCTGTTAGGACTGGTCACCTATAGATACCGGTCAGCAACTTGCATTATTTGACCAGTATCGGATCCGTGACTGGTCTCAATAAGAAGACTTCGCCCCGCTGGGACTAATCTCGCCCCCAAGGCCAAGCTAGCCGCCTCCTGACCAGTCATAACTTTTTCTGCTGGGACTACTTACACCCCACGCAAAGACCACACCTGGCCGCCTCCTGACTAGTTACCGCTCTTCCTATTGAGACTGGTCACATATAGATACCGGTCAGCATCCCCACATCATTGACCACCGGCTTCAATGACTTGTCTCAACAACCTTTCCCAATACCAGTCACCGTACGGGCCTGTGTGGACGCTGCATACCAGTATCGCATTATATCGCTTCTAAACATTACGGCTACCTCGGTATTATTTCAATAAAAAAAATCACACATGATATTTTCTTTTTCATGCACCTTAGAAAACCACACCAATCCTAAATACAACCCCGGTGTGACAGCATAAACCAAATTAAACATCAGAGATTTGAGCATTTAGTGCTTGCTAGCTGTAATAATAACTCATGATAACTCAAATTTGGTTCTTTGTCAAGGTACTACTCTTTCCTCAATAATATGCATCCAAAAACAGCATTGTAAGCGCTTAAGGAACTAAGGATTCTTATAAGTTGTGTGAAGCAACGAGGTTGCCAGAATTCCACTCGGTCAGCTATGTAGGCTGCCACTGGGACTGTTTAGGAAAACGATAAGGACGGTCAAATATCTGCGCAGAGAATTAGGAGCGATCGTCAAGAATGCATGTGCGGCGGTCGTTGTCGTTTGGGAAATAAGCTTACGTTGCACCGGCCGTCGCCAGATCTATCGTCTTTGCTTTCGTGAGGAGAGAGATGGCGGTAATGAAAGCAATAGACGCTATGGCCAAAACCGTAAGTCTTTTCGACGAATTGCTCATCGCATTGCAGATCATTACTGGGACGAGAAGTAGAATGGCCAGCAGAGGGGTCAAGAGTAACCGTGCTATTTTGTTGGTAGTAGGCTGATTGCTTTGGGTCAAATATTGTAGGCCGATCCGAGCCCAACGATCGTATCCAGTTTTGGACCTCTAAATGGCATATTTTGGTGGGAAAATCTTTTGCATTGTGCTTCCCACAGGATGGGGCGCGTGTTTGGTGACATCGTACGGATAAGCAGGCAGAGCTTGAGGCAGGCAATTTAGAATGGTGATGGCCATGGCTCAACGAGTGTATGTCCAAAATTCTTTTGAGATAGACCTGTGCTCTGATGCTCGGGTTGATATAATTTTCGTAGCGGATGATTTCAGATTGTAGATGAAGGCGATGCGATTCGATCCTGAACACCCAGGAGGAGCATCGCCTTTCTTAAATAGGGCTTCGCGATGTTAGGACCGAATTCTTTGAACATCGCATGATCCATTATTAACTTCAGGTCCTAACTGTGCCCCTACGCCTTCACAGGCCAGGCCTGTTGGATAGCTGTCGACCCAGTCGTTTCTAATTCTGAATTGTGATATTTGACACACTAATACGGCCAATGGCTCGGCTGCGTTGTCCTGCGGATGTGTTCCGAGGCGTGGATGTTGTGGCCATATGGTGGTCATCAGCTTGATTGTCCAAGTTTAGTGTCCGGGGCGGGGCTGTTGGCTGGGTTGTGGCCGGCAAGCGGCGAGGTATGGCAACCAACAGACCGCAGTAGTGGAACCAGGAAAGAATTAGGCAAGCGGAATCTTGCCTTCTGACTGCTTCGCTTTCTACAGACAAATTTACAAACCGTTCCTAATCGTGAACCTCTGTTTGCCGCGTTCCAGTTCCCGCTCGTCTGCTATCATCTGTTCATTTCTGAGCCTTGTCAATTGATTATCCAACTCACAACATGTCGTCAGAGCCGGTCGAGAAGAAGCACAGCAGCCACCCAGCTCCTCTGATGGATCTATCACAGTTCGCAGAAGTTCTTAATGAGAGGTTCAGCCAGCCGCTTGCAGCGGATGTGGCATCATGGTTGCCGCCTCAGGACCCCGACAAGCCAAGTCTTCCATATCTGCCTGGCTTTAATGTCACAATCCGTCCACACAACATTGCCGAGAGAGAACAGCCAAGACAAGACCTCAAGCCAGAATACCTCAGAACAGTGACTCAGAGTAAGGCAGTCGTCAATAACCCTTCTCGATTCTCTTCTCCGGACCCAGATGACGCAGAATCGGCTGCACTAGCTATTACCGCGTCTATTTCTATCGGGACAACTCGAGGTGCCCAAATCGTCGCTTGTACCATTACTCCATGCCAAAAGAATGACGAGGAGGTTCCAAAGCCCTTTCAGGCTGTTGCAAAGATTTACGACCCGTAAGTATCGATACATTTAATCAAAGTTCCTCGTCTAGTCTCTTCCAGGAACATTCAGCGTTCATTGCTTTAAGCTCTTCGGCAGACTGCTTATCAAAGGGATAACTCCAGGCTATACTACAATTTCAAAAGTAGCATAGGACGCTATCCTCGAGATACTGTGCGCGAAGCAGATAAGGATTATGAGAACGAGACTGCGGCATATGAGCACCTTCGGAAGCACGGGATCACTGGGTCTTTCGCTCCTAAATATTATGGCTCTTGGATCTTCAGACTTCCAATCACTATCGGTGACAGACATCAGTCCAGAAGTATCCAAATGATACTTATAGAGACTTTAAATGGGGTCAGCATCCAAGAAACGCGGGTTCAAAACAGCTCAGACAGAAGTGGCGGGACAGATTCGTTCCATTACCCAGAGGAATACCGATTGGAAGTGCTGGCACGAGCTATGGATGCATACGTCAAGCAACTCAAAATAGGCCTTGAACAAGGTGACTTTGCGGGAAGGAACGTTATACTTGTGGCAAACAGCCCAGAGGAAGACAAGGTGGGCGGTTTGGTACTGCCCCGTGTTGTACTTGTTGATTACAACACAGCGAAGGTCGTGGAGATGCCCTGTGAACAAGCTAATTGGCTTCCTTCCAACCCAGCAGCAGTCTTCTGGAATGAGTATGTTTGGGAAGACTTTGGTGGTTGGGTACCTAACGAATGGCAGGACTGGAAGACTCAGCAGGATTGGTTGATGCGGAGGTTCAACGGAGATGACCACAGGCATCACTATTATCCTTCTCAGGAATTCTTTAATAATATGCTTGCGCAAGGAGATGAGATACACATGCAGCAGTACCAGCGAGGAGGTCAACTTACCCGCTCACCAAGCATGGCTCAATATCAGGCTTCAGTTTAGATAAATGAAATTGTCATACAGATATACTTGCAGGGCATGCTAGAAAATCTGATTCTGTTTCAGCTGAGAATATGGGTCAGAGCGAAAGAAACGACCGCGGCTTTCGCAAACACTATGTAGCATAAGTGGGATTCCTGCGTCGGTTGGCTACCGGCGCCAAGAGAGTTTCGACGCTCCTCCGAGGGGCAACTGAAGCCAGTGTCGACAGGCTATGGAATGTATCGCAACGTGGCTTGACCGTGCAAGCCGAACGGAATCAGGCCCGAGGGTCAAGACAATAGTTTACAAAATTCTACTCATCACAGTTCCGCTTGTGTTGATATGGACCAGGTGTTCTATAATTAAATTAATCCGCCTTGTGGTAAGTGTTCTAATAACAGGTCCTGCTACAATGAACTTCAGTGGGGATTCAGGATTGGACCGCGGCAGGTACACGGCGAAAGTGACCTGTTTACGACCCCATCGAGTGTCCACATGATAAAATTAGAGACCAAGACGACCATGTGTTGGCAATGTCTAAATTTAGCTTTCCACACAAGAGCAGAATTCCACCGCTTTGATCAAAGGCCGTGTACCACACTCTCGTCTCCAATAGTTTGCGGTCTTGGCCACCTATGAAACAACTTTGGGCCAAGGAGGCTGTACAAGAGCTCTGACACTCCAAGTGCTGTCTCTGCCTCGTCAAAAACCCTTTCCATACATATATATATATATATATATCAAGTAATTCTGAATTCCAAACTTGAAAGGGCTTTTCTGCAGATCTAGACTTTTTTGATTCAAGCATAACTGTTCGCACAAAGCAGCAAATTCCGCATTTATTCAACACAACTTTACAGAGGCATTATTTCTCATTTCATTATTTAACGATGCCTGAGCTTCTGCCTAGAGCTACTCCGATTGCAAAGTCCTCAGCCACCAAAGCTGTCCCAACTTCGAGCAGCCGACCCCAGACCGGGGGTCCCTCACTAGGACAGCAGCAGCAAAAGGGACAAACGCCGCTACAGGCACAAAAGCAGCAGCAAAAAAATAAACAGGAAGTTTCATTGACCGACAGGGCGCGGACTCCGCTTCCAGCCAAAAGTAATAGTACTGCGCCTCCCAAAGAGTCTCAACGGACCTCAAAATCGGATGCATCCAGAGGCTCTACAGCAAAGACGGTTGAAGACCCTTCTGACCGAGTGGTCGTCAACTATCAAGGACCGAATAGATTCTACTCTTTCGCTGAGAAGGAGAAGATGTGGGACTACGTTATGAAAAATGTGAAGCTTTCTGCTGGCACTAAGAAGCCTGAGGTGAAGAAGCCTGAGGTGAAGAAGCCTGAGGTGAAGAAGCCTGAGGTGAAGAAGCCTGAGGTGAAGAAATAAAAAGGGCCCGTATCCTGTCGTTCAAGTTCTTTTGTTAGCCTACCCTAGGAATGAAGGCGGGAAGGAGGGAGAGAATAAGCTATATCGCATGTGAGATATTGAGGATAGTTATTGAGCCGGTCCATACGGTTGTTTTGTGCAATAGTTATGAGCCTGGCTTGCTCAAGTTCGCACCTCTGAAAATAAAACCCCACGTTTTTTAAGATAATGGCGGTGGCTTCCTTTTCTTGCCTTTCAATGATCCTAAATACATTATATTCGTCGAAGAGCGTCATTATGCATTCATTAAGTCTGACTTAACACTGTGTAACAGAGACAGAGCATTCGCAGGCACTTTTAGCATCAATGATGTGTTGCACCTCCAAGACACTGCTGTTTAGGTCAGGTACACGCGAGCCAGGGCAAAGGATCGGGGGCAAGTGAGGACAGTATAAGTAAGAAAGAGAGACATCGACAAGAGACTCACAAGAATAGCTCAAATATCCCTTACTTTTTCAGGGCCTGGACAATTATTTTGAGAGCAGTGCATCTTGTAGGGATAATCTCAGTAGTATCTTTTAATGGGAGCCGCTCCGGAATGTTAAACGTACCAGCACAACCCTATTTTCTTCCTTCATCTATATCCATTCATCGTCACATTGATTACCTCACGACGTATTCTCATATTCTAACATAAATATTTAAATGAAGGATTCTAAATCTCTTGCTACAACAGTGCTGAATTTGCCTATCATCACAACCCCTGTTAAGTTAAACATTTGCCTTTAAAATCTTACTAACAGCCTGCCCAATTTACTGTATTATATATGTTTCGCATTTCTCTAGGTATATACTATTTGTTTATTTGTATAATATCTATAATTAACATTATCAATATATATTTTACTTTTTTATTATACGTTAATATAATCACCTAATTACTATTCAGCAGTTGAAAAAGGTGTTGCAAGGTTTGCTAACCAGGTACCTCTTAAGGCTTACAAGGCTGTGAATGCAGCGCGGCTAGCATAGCCAATTACAAAAGCGGCAGCGCAGATTATGTTACGAGCATTATACCGAGCGGGGTTTGGCCTTGCGTTGCAAGAGACCGGCCTTCTTCCAGGGTCCATCCGTAAAGATTGCATGTACCAGAGTATCGGCTTGGGTGACCTCGGAGCAAAGCCGACTTATAAGCATTTCTTGATGGAGTAAACCTGTTGGAGATGACTACGCCAATGGCATTTGTAGTGGAGTACGACCTTCATATGCATGCGATGAACCCAAATAAGATAGGCTTGAGCATTTCACATTGCCATCAAGCAATAGAATCGCACAACTTTTAAAGTTTATGAATGAAGTTCCAAGGCCCCAAAATCGTCCCTGAAGGTGCGTGGGACACTCACCACCACATCTTCGAGCCCGATCGTTTCCCTTTGCCGCAGAGAGGCACTTCACGCCGTCGGTAGCCACATTGGAGCAGCTCCACGATTTCGAAGCCTCCATCGGCGTCCAACATGTCTGCATCGCCCACGGGCTGTCCTACGGGCCCGACTGCACCTCGCTTCTCTACTATTTAGAGCAGTTGCAGGGAAGAGCGCGCGGGATATGCGTGATAGACGAGGAGAGCGTCACGGACGAGCAGTTGAATAAATACCACGCGGCCGGCGTGCGTAGTGTGAGACTCGATTTCCACAGGGCGAAGGCGATGAACGACGAGGACAGGCAAGTGGAGCTCATCGAGGCCACCGCAGCCAGGCTGCGGGGTTGGGACGCCCAGGCGAAGGGCTGGAGCATACAGATTCAGCAGCCACACCTAGGTCATTGGAAGAGGCTGAGACAAATAGCATCCGTGCTGGGTGTTCCTCTTGTGGTGGACCACATGAGTTTGGTCAAAGGGCAGAGCATGGCGGCGGAGGGACAGGACGCCATGGTACCAGTGGTCGACAGGTCTGAGTGGCAAGAACTGCTTGGCGCGCTGCGCGACGGCAACGTATGGATCAAGATCTCAGCACCGTACCGCAACTCGCGCTTGGAACCGAGCTTTGAGGATCTAGAGGAAATTGTGAAGCAACTCGTGCGGGCAAACCCGAAGAGGTTTGTGTGGGGCAGCGATTGGCCGCACACGCAACGGCACGAGGACAGGGCTGGGCGTGATCCCAAAACCACTGAGCCGTTTTTGAAAGTTGACAACCCGAGTTGGATCAGGTCTCTCGGTGGCTGGCTGAGTGACAGTGAGTGGCTAGATATGTGGGTAAATAACCCGCGTACATTGTACGATTATCATATCTGAGCTTCAGATTCCCCTTTGGGGCATGCATGGTAAATAGAGCGCTGATACAGTGTTTCCGCTGTTGTACTGACTGTGTCAGCTACGGCGCATAGGTGCAAATACTATAGATATAACATATATTGAACAAAATTGATCATATATGTTTTTAACTGTGTATTGGCTTCGCCATCCTCCTTCTCTGTGCGCAGGCATTGTCTGCAATCACAGACATTCCTTACACAGCAACAGAGTCCGGCGGCAAGTGAGGTTGCATCAGCAAACCTCCGCGGCAGAGAATGAAAAAGCAGCATCTCGTTGAGGGATCGGTGACCGAAAGCTCGCCCGTCATGAGCCGAATATCCTTGTCCCATGATAGCTCAGCTTCTTCGGCTGTTGTGAAAATGTCTATATGCTCTTGGTTCACGTCGGCTTCGAAACCGAAATGATCTATATGATGCATGCGCATGCATCAAGTGTCAGCCTGCAAGGCCAGTCTAGGCTTGAACTTTTCCACTGGGTCTCGACATCGCAGAAGAACGGTGATGTGCCAATGAGCAATGAAGAGCCAGACTGTGCCGTCTGACCGAGTGTAAGTCTAGCAAAAGGAGTGGAGGACGCGCAGCATTCGTTTGGGAGTTGTGGGGAATGCATGCAACAGTGGTCTGTTGAATGGATATCATGCAATCCACGTGAGACAGTAGAACGAGAGAGCTATTTTCAGGTAGCGAAAATCTTTCCGGGTGCATATAGCCCCCGTGTGTGGATGAGATATCAGACGAGGAGGTATTCCCAGGTTACCTTGATGCACATTGCAGGGTTATTGTATAGAAACCCCGAGTCTTCTCTATTCAGTGGAACGCTATGGCGAATCGCGTCTGCAAATAGAAATATGTGGGGATTGGTTTCAAGCTTGAAGAGGATGCCAGAGACGTTGGGAACAAACAAATCAAGAATGTAACTACGCCAGCCTCCCTTGTGGTTCCCTACCCAAACTGGAGAGTGAGGTCGGCTTGAGGCCGAGCTCTTGTATTGGCACTCGGGATGAACACGAACACACCCACAAATGGCTCATATGTACACTCTAGTAATGTTCATTTGAGTCGCACTGTCGATTTGAAGTCCGACGAGTACAACTACCTTCTCGAAACAGTGAGTTGAGAATGATTTGATTCTAAAACGAATGGGCCCGTGTTTGAGAGATAAACAAGGTAGTATGAAAGAGGTACTACCTTGGCAGTATAGACAGAGATTGAGGATTTCGAAGTGTTTCTCTCTAGCTAAGAGCTACTAAACCCGCTCTCGCTTCGTATGACTCTCTCTACGTGATTTTTCTCCCTGGGTCCCGTGTGATCTGTGAAGTGTACTAATGGGTGAACGTGGGAAGTACAGAACGTGAGATCAGACTTGGTTGCTAGGAAAGCCCATCCAAAGAAAGGAGTGCTGTTTACCCCAGATTCACCAAACCTGGGGTTCAACCCCTGCCTTGGATACCGGTAGCGAGTACAGGGGTGGCCTTGTTGTATAAGCCGTACCAATGCGCCGGACATGGCCCTGATAAAGGAGGCAGACGTACTGCAGCACCTTTTCCCAGAGTTTGATAATGGTACCCACAACGACTGCGAAAGGAATGCCCCTCTCCCGGTGAGCCACTGGCCCCGTGCGGAGTTACTCAGACATCAGGCCGTGTCTATCGCATTTCAGTCCCATACAGACGTGATATCATAATTTGTCGATACAGAACTGAGTACTTGGTACTCAATGTGTGGTGTGCCATGTCCGCACAGACGAACGGGTAGATCATCAGACAGACGGGAAACGAACGGTAACAGACAAACGCGCATGGGTATACTGGTATATAGTTCATCAAGCGCTGCCACATGAATTGTTCGCGGTTCTCCCAACACGCACCTTCTCTTCTTCTTAGTCTCCTTGCTTTCTCCTTTCTCTCATCATCCTCTGCCCACTATTGAAAGTTTTTACATATTTTGAACGGAGGGAAACGTCGACCCAGCACATCATGTCTACCCAGCAAACCATTGTAGAAGACAAGCCCATCGACCAGTTGATTGAAACGCAGAGTTTTGCGACCTCCGACAACAGACTTCTGCTCGCTCAGAATATGTCCGAGGAGGAATTCCTCGAGGCAGAGAAGAAAGTTAGGCGCAAACTGGACTTCCGCCTCCTGATGACTGTGTGGTTCATCTTCATCCTGAATTACCTGGACCGTGTAAGTTCCCCGAGCACAATTCTCTGAATTTGGGAGTTGAAAGCAACAGCCAGCGTGGTTGCACAAACCGTAAACTGACATTTGGTTGATGATGACAATAGAATAATATCGCGGCCGCGAAGGTCGCCGGTGTGGCCAAGTCTCTCAACTTGTCCCCGTCCCAGTACTCCACAGCGGTTGCAATTCTCTTCGTCGGTTATGTTCTGATGCAGATCCCTTCCAACATCTTCCTCGCTCATATCCGACCTTCTCTTTACCTCCCGGGCTGCATGGCCGTCTGGGGCGTCTTGTCCCTCTGCACCGGACTTGTTCAGAACGCCGCCGGGTTGTATACAACCCGTTTCTTCCTTGGCTTCGTTGAGGCAGCCTTCTACCGTAAGCTCTCTTCCTCAGCCCCATTCATCTCTCGTCCATCCTATTTTGCTTTTCCTTGGCAAGATTACCAATAATGAGATGATGTTTCGGATGAAAGCTTGAGTGGTAGTGAATTTTACGAGACTGACGAGTAATGACACAGCCGGCGCTCTGTTCCTCATCTCGTCCTGGTACAAGCGTTCGGAGATGGTGTACCGTAGCGCCCTGCTCTTCTCCGCTACCCAGATTGGAAGTGCATTCTCCGGCCTGATCGGGGCGGGAATACAATCGAGCCTTGACGGCGCAAGGGGCCTCGAGTCCTGGCGCTGGCTATTCATCATCGAGGGCTCAATCACCGTGTTTGTAGCATTGTGCTCGTTGGCCATGCTACCTGATTGGCCGTCGACGACACGCTGGCTCACGCCTACTGAGCGTGCTGTTGCTGAGTGGCGCTTGGTGCGCGACGCCGGCCAGATCGACGAGGACGACGAGCGCTGGAGCTACGGCTTCAAGCTCACTTTCAAGGACTGGCGTGTCTATGTCTTCTGTGCTATGTTCCTCTGCATCTAGGTCTCCTCGGCCACGTCCAACTTCTTTCCCTCGGTCGTCGAGACACTCGGTTACACCCGCGTCAAAACATTACTGCTGACTGCGCCCCCTTACTTCCTGGGCATGACTATCTCCATCGTCAACAACTACTCCGCCGATCGCCTGCAGAACTCGTCTTTCCACATCATGTGGCCCATGGCCCTTTCTATCATTGGCTTCGTCGTCGGCGCGTCTGCGACTGCTGAGGGCGCGAGATATTTTGCTATGATGGTATGTTCTCTGCCGCTTTCTTTTTCATGTCTCATTTGAACATCTCCTAGCAGTGGCTAGAAAGACTGTTTGGGGGAATGAGCTTTGCCAGTGATACTAGGCGACAAGCTGACTATCAAAAATAGCTCATGATCGGTGGTGGCCACGGCTCCAACGCCGTCCTGGTGGCTTGGGCACAGAAGACCATGCTCCGGCCGAGAATCAAGCGAGCTGCCGCAGTCGCCTTTATAAACGCTATTGGAAACACATCCCAGGTCAATCTGTCCTATCCTCCCCAGCCTCATCTCCACCCACCCCCTTCCCCATCCCCTGATGCCAACCATCTGCTTACTATGCAAACGACAGGTCTGGACATCGTACCTCTACCCTGATATTGCACAGCCCCGCTAAGTCCTCGCCATGTCCGTCAATTCGGCCTTTGCACTCGTAGTGATCATTCTGGCTGGGTTCATGCGCGTGGTACTCCTGCGCGCCAACAACAAGCTCGACCAGGGCGCCGACGTGGCCCAGGTCATGAAAGGAGAAGCGCAGGCCAAGGTAGAGGGTTTGTCCCAAGACGAGGCACGTGCCAGGAAACAAGCTTTCCGTTACATCGCTTGATTCATATCATCATTTGCTTAGCATTATTGGCGTGTGGGAAGGAGAAATTTATGGGTATGATCCGGTACGCTATGGTATGGTCACGTTCGCTTTCATCAGAGCATTAGTCACGCAGGCAGGAAGAATCAACCAAGATTACGGCATGCTGCGACGGAACAGTCGCTACATCAGTACAATGGAGCAAGGCATTTTGCGGCACAGTATTCAAGTATTTCCTTCAACTCCTGACCAGACGAGTCTTCCAGCGAATGGCTTTAGACGTAGGTTGTCAAGTCGTACCAGTTTGTTTACCACGCCTCTGATCAAGGGAAAAAAAGTCTTCAGTGACATAGCAACGATCACGCCTAACGAACGTAAAACAGTTCATGTGTCCTACTTGGCGAACAAGCGACCTACTACAAAGCTAATCCGGGCGGTGAATTATGTGAGGAGTTCTAGACTGTTAAATTGAGCAGGCTTGATTTCCGTGAAGAAGAAAGATGAATCGGGAGAATGAACGGCAGCTAAGACTCCCTTGCATCACATAATATTTCAAACTCAAGCTAAGTAGGTCATATGGATATTTCCTTACAGATCATGTGAGAACAGATCAGTTGAAGACAAGAGTAATTTGATTCAATCTTGTACATTTGAAGACAAAACAGCTTCAGAACCCCACTTCGACAGCCCCATTTTCACTTGCAAAGGCCCTCTCATTTTCCCCTGAAGGTCTTGAATGCCTCTTCAACTGACATGCCGCCCCGGATAGCCTCGGCAGCTTTTTCATCCGCGCTCGCGATACCAGGGATCAGATCGAGCACCTCCTCGGCCAGGTCGCTAGGTAGAACGACAACGCCATCCTGGTCAGCGATTATATAGTCACCGGGGCTGATAGTAGCGTCCTGGATTGCCGACTGCAACTTTACTGGCACGTTGATCTCGGAAGGGAAGCAAACAGCCCCTCCCGCAGTGGTTCCCGTGCCCCTGGCGAAGACCTGAGGTGCGGGTTCTGGTCAGTCGAGTATGCACGAGGAAGGGACCCAAAAGAAGAAACTAGAGGAGCAAGGGATACAGAACTTACTGGGAACTCGAGGTCGCGATGCTCCTGAATGTCACGCAAGGAGCCATCGATGACGACGCCAGCGGCGCCGAGATATTTGGCACGTAGCGACATCAGGCCACCGTAGCAGGCGTTGATGTGTGGCGCGGGTTGGGAGATGAAGACAACAGCGTCCTTTGGGATCTGGTCGATCTAGCGAACCACCTGGGTCAGCCATCACACATGCGTACACGCAATGGGCTGGTGATTTTGCGTGCAGGCACGTACATAGTTACCCTGTACCTTGGGTGCGTCCTTGTCCTCCTTGGGTGAGAATTTGACAGTGAAGGCCTGACCGACGAACTTCGTCTTGCCCGTCCTGTACTCTGGCGAGTACATGTGCAGGCCCTCAAGGAAGCCGCCGTGCTTGTGGCCGAGCTTGGACAAGCCATCTGATACCTTTACCCCCCAACGATCATACCATGTCAATACGTCTTCCACTCAGTTCTCTTTAGTATGACCGGGGACAGCGTACATCACAACTGGACCATTTTTTGAGTCTGTCTGCGATGGATGAGGATGCAGGTGTGTGTGTGGCTGACATAGTGCGAATGAATGTTCTGGTCAAGACTGGGAATGATCGCATGTGACTTGCTGCTCGTGCGGTGGTAGTAATTTCAGTACAGTGCATTTCTGAAGCGGCCTTTCCTAATCTACCCAGCTCTTCCTCTATTTTCTTTGTATTTGTTCTGACCAGCCATACAGCTCTCAATGCCACAGAATTCTTACCAGGGTCCCCTCCGAGCCCGGGACAATCCCGCGACCAGGTAAGGAACACATACATCCATCTATGTCGCTACTACGCTACCCCATGCCCGGTCCACCCCTCGCTCGGACCGGTACCGAGCCGAGTATCCCCTCAGCGTCACCTCCTCAACCTCAACCTCACCTTAAGCCTTGTCTGCGGATTCTAGGATGACACTTATGACAAGCTCGACCGAACAGGAAAACCTTTCTCGAGATCCCAATGCGATCATGGGATTTGCTTCCCGCTTTTATGCTTACAATGTTGAAATGTTTAGTAGCCTGATGCTTTGTTTTCGCCACAGCTACAACACCCATATGAAATGGCACCACCAGTGATTCCGAGACACTGCTATCGGAGACTCATCCTGACTAAAATAAAACGATGCGGTCTTTTCATACCCACAGGTTGCAACTGCGGCATATCCCAATCTTATGATCGAACATTGGGCCATTAGATGATACTTGGTCGTGCAATCGGTGGTGGCCCAAGTCATTTCGGTCCCAAATTGTGCCCTAAAAGAGAGCCACATGGGGTAAAGCAAGCCCGGTTGACGAACACACCGACCCTCATGCTTCGCAAAGAACTCCTTGACTATCATTTTGACTGTTCTAGATTGTAAACCCTCGGCGTGGATAATTTTTCACCGTTTCGGTAAATTCTCAGATTGGCCAATACTAAATGGTGGTCATTTGGACCATCATGAACTCATCAATCACAGTGCTGGTCTATGGAGTCGGCGCACTATTATCGCGCACGAGAATGACGAAGCTTCGGGCAGACCTGTGATATGGCTGTCACATGATGGTGCTCAAGAGCAATCGACTACGCCGAAGACAATTCCAAATTCAGTCTCAGCCTTCCGGTGGTGGCTGTGCTTGACATTTAGTGCATCCTTGCTCAGTGCCCACGTGCGTATGTGGAGACGGGACGAGCTGGTATTGCGAGGCGACAACCGGCTCCCTGTCCACGTCGACCCAGCTCCTTAAGCTATTCGTGTTGACAATCTCGCTGCGGTCGAGGCGGGACAGCGCCCGTGTGAAGTCCCGCATGTACTCAACGGCCCGGCGGGCAGGGGGCGTGTGGGCTTCGAAGGGGCAGTTGAGGAGCGTCACGGCCACATCGCGGACCTTGTACGCCTGGAGAGGAGTTACTTAGTACTCGCGGGGCCTTGCAAGCGGGCAATCTTGGCAGAATCAACTTACCAGATACAGGCCGTTGGGTTCGAGATAGACATGTGGAATGCTGTGCAGTAGGTGTAGCATCTGGCGACAAATATCCTCCCTCTCGGCCCAATTTGCCTTCAAAGACACCAATACCTCTTCACTCCTAGTTACAGTGCTGGCACTGCCAATCACATTTCCTTGGACGACTACATCGATCTGTTCCAGAAGGAGGCTCTGCAGCCAAAGGTGAGTAACATGGAGATTTGCCCGCATGATCTCAGCCTGCCCCTGGATCACCTTAGAGTGTAGGGCAGTCTCAGTCGTGCGGCTGTACTCACCCGGACTACCGTAGCTCGACGCAGCGGTCTGGTCGTCATCGTACCGCGGGGTGCTCGGGGCGTCATTGTTGTCGGACGAGGCCCATTGGCGCATTGGCCCGGGCGCGTCATCGAGCATGTATCTCATTTCCTGGAGAAGCTCGCGCAATCGTGCAAGGCGAGTAGCCGGGCTCCGACGAAGCTCACATTCACACCCGACTGTGGCCAAAGATTCCCGGAGGCCCGTCAGAAAAACGCGAGAATGTAAGATAAAGCCGCTTGCAAGGGTGAACGGCGGTAGTGGGTCTTGCTGGGTGGTGGGTGACGTGTTATGTGTTGCCATCGGTGAGAGAGGATCCAGGATTCTGTCCTTGAAAATGTGTTCGTCGTCCACTTCGAGGGGAAGGAGAGCATCGAAGTTGACTTCGCGCAGTTCGCCCGGCCCAAAATATGTTAAACGCTCCCAACGGCCACTCTGGACTCTTGTGTGACTATTGTTCGTTAGCACTGATGTTAAAAGAGTGCCAAATCAGTAGATTTCACGAAGTTCCTCTTACGAATAACCATAGAACAATAACCAGAAGGCCTTCTTCCGTAACTGAGTCTCGACACAGTTCAGACCTTCGTACTCGGACATGCGGTGTAACCCCAAAAGACGCGAAAGCTGGAGGTACTCGACGTCAAACATGCGGCTGCGATTGACCTGTCCTGTCTGGAAACAGGCGACAGAGAAAACATAGCTGACAGCCCATTTGCGGTGATTGACTTGATCCCAGTAGCTGGCGTTCCTTTGGCGAGTGCAGATCTCCGCACAACAGTTGATCAGAGCCGTCCTTGTCTCAAAGTGCATACCAGCTTCGGGGTCAACGGCACGGTATTCACGGAACCGGGACGGCAACAGCCCGACCGTGAGTGCGCAGAGGCTGACGAGGAGGGCGAAGAAGTCGGGGTCGGTAACATCGCGGTTATTGGCAAGGTCATGGCGAAAATTTGGTCTATGAACAACCGGCACAAGTGAATAGATCAAGTCGAGGTAATCGGCCATCAAAATGTTGATGAGCGCCCTGGAACACAGCTCATCTGTTGGAAATCCCAGGCCAGCTGTGGAAGGCGTTTCAACTGGGGCAGTACTGGCTGTATGTGGAGAAATGACACTGGCTATTATTGGACGGGAGGTTTCGAAAGGAGATGTGGCCTGTAACGCTCTGGGGAGAGGAAGTACATCGCCCGGCAAGACGAAGCCAGATGTATTTCTCAGTGCGACTGCCTCAGAATGTTGCCCTTCGACCTGTTGATTGGCTTGTTCATTCTGGCGCTCATTGTCGCGCGTATCTGGCATGTCTTCTGATAGGCGTTTCCTGCAGATCCAAGCATATTGTGAGCAAACCTTGCAAAGATAAAACCCCCTGCTCATGCAGACCGCGTAACATACCTGCGCTTCGGACCCCGAGGCCTCGAGGGCAGCAGGAAGCTGCATACTATACCCAGCCTGCGACAATTATGGCACTGGGACTGTGGCTGAGATTGGGACGGCCCGGTGGCATTGGGCGAAGACGAGTCGTCAAATTGACATTTCCTCCTCCGTGCACGGCAAGCGTCACACGCTCGGCTGGAAATGGTCGACCTCGCGGAACCAGGCTGAGGCGTCCCGCTATTTCTTGGAGTCGCCGGCGAGGGAGAATCTTGTGGGCTCGTGTGACGCATGCTGGTGGACTAACGACAACAGTGCGCCTATGTTGAAGGAGGGGACTGTGATTGTGGCGGAGAAACACAGGCTGCGGAGAATAGGGTCATAGGGGGGGTGGACAGAGTACCTTAGCTGGCTAAGTAGAACGAGTGTCCACATCTTTCACCTCCCCACAGTCCAGAACATCCGGGGTTCCCTAGCTTTTTTTTACGGTCATCTAATGCAGCTAGACATGGGGTACTGGCTGGGGATGACTCGGGAGACTTCCGGACCTTGCGGAATAGGGGCATTCGCTATCCCAAAGCGGATATTGCATGCCCAAAATTGAATTGTTTCCTCAACTGAAAGTCCTTATCATCATTCATTGTCTCATCTAAATTTCATGTTTGAGACTCCAATTCTATGTGATCTAATGAATTGATGAAGTCTCTATCATGTTTCCAAACACTGACCAAATTAAGCTCGCAGGCCCTTCCACTTCCTCGTCTTATCAACAACGACCGTCTTCTCAAGGAACTCCCCTCGGCTACTCGTGCCCACCAGGATGCCGTACGAGCCAGCATCGCTACGCCAACAGTCTTCCATCTCGCTCCAGTAGCTAGTCGCACGTAACACATCCAGCGTGACCTCCGCCGTAGTGCTGGCTCCGGCCTCGAGGGACACCTTCGTGAAGCCCTTTAGCTCCTTGGTGGGCCGGGTGATGGTGTCGCGGTTCGAGCTTGTGAGCGGCGTTCGCGCTGCAGGCGTTACATAGACCTGGAGCACCTCTGCACCAGCGCGAGATCCCGTGTTGGAGACCTTGACACGAACGCTTAGGTTGTCTTGCTCCTGGACGGTCACACTTGTGCTACCGTTGACTTGCTCATTGGTGTGCTTGGTGGCCTGACTCGAGAACTTCTCTATCTCGAGACTGGAAACCTCAAATATGGTGTATGACAGGCCATGTCCGAAGGGAAACAAGGGAGTGATGTCGAGAGTATCGTACCATCGGTAACCGACGTACACATCCTCGCTATACAGTGAACGACCGTTATCTGAGCGGAAACTCAACGCGGCGGGGTTGTCTTGCAACCGACGAGGTATCGTAAGTGGGAGTTTGCCGGCCTGTGAGATGACTGATTAGCAATTTTGATACAGTGCTTGAGCATCAAGCGGTGCAGACTCAAAACGTACCGGGTTGACCTCGCCAAATAGCACATCGGCAATGCCATTTCCGCACTCATTCCCACCAAACCATGCATGGAGGACAGCACCGGCTTGGTCGATCCACGGCATATCAACTGGAGTGCCGCTTTGGACGACGACGGCGGTATTAGGGTTAGCTGCCAAAACGGCCGCGACAAGCTCATCAGTGCCGGGGGGCAGCGCCATGGTTGTCCTGTCGAATCCCTCCGACTCCCACTCGCCACTGAGTCCAGTGCAGACAACAACTTGGTCAACACTCTTAGCAACATCCACAGCCTCCTGGATAGCGACTGCTGGGTCGAGCTTTGGGCATCCGCTGAAGCGGACACCGCCCTGACCGAAGTCGACGGTGCCTGATGCCTTCACCTTGCTGGTGGCGGAGCAGCCAAACCGGACCAGAACTCGATAGCTCTGTCCAGCTTCCAGCTGCATGCTGCCCGTCTCTTCGACCGTCCCGCAGCCGAGGAAACTGCTTCCTAGGCGCTGGTTTTCCACGTTCGACACGACTAGCCTGTCGTCGATGAACAGCTCGCCGGTGCCGTGCACTGACAGGCCGAATTCCCACTCCCCTGACTTTTCCGGGACCAGCACTCCTTCCGTCTCTGCCCACCAGATCGGAGCCAGATCGGCGTTCTCATAGTCGACGAACCAGATGTTGGCATCATCAAGAATGCGTTCCTCAAGCGGCTGGCGGGTGTCGGCCGCACGCTTGGTGTCCTTTGGCGGGCAGTCGTTGTAGATTCGGAGTACGAATCCTTTTTGGTTGCCATCTGGTGTCTTGAGAGATTTACCCAGAAGAGGCAAGGATTGGTGACCGTACGCGCCTTGTGAGAATACGACATCACTCGCCAGAGACTTCACACCCTCTAAAGGCGTGACTGTCTTGTATGCCCGGAGTCCCGCGCTGCCACCACCGCAGTATGTCGCGATGTTTGCATTGGGTCCGATAACGGCGATCTTCTTATTCTGGTCAAAAGGAAGAATGTTTCTATCGTTCTTCAGGAGCACCAGCGACTTGGCAGCAGCCTCGCGCAGCAGAGCAACATGTTCAGGGGTGTTGGCCTCAGTCTCCGGCGCATTCGGTGGGATCGTCGTGTTCTCCAGGCCGTGCTTGACCAGCTTCAGGACGTTTTGCACTGCCGAGTCCAGCTCAGAGAGTTTAACCTTATTGGACATGATGGCATGGGAGAGGGCGCCAGCGCGCCAACGCGACGGCCCCGGCATCTCGAGGTCGAGGCTAGCTCTGATGGCTTCTGATGTGCTGTAAGTGCCGAACCAGTCGCTCATGACGAGTCCGTCCCACTTCCACTCCTTACGGAGGATGTCCTGCAAAAGCAGTTTGTTCTCTGCCGCGTGGCAGCCGTTGACCTGGTTATAGGCTGTCATGATAGCTCGGGGTTTGCCCGTCTCGATGGCGATCATGAATGGCAGCAGGTATATCTCACGCAGGGCGCGATTTGTGACCAGCGCGTTGATAGCCATGCGCTCGCTCTCCAAGTCGTTACATACGAAGTGCTTCAGGGTGGCTGACACGCCTGACTCTTGCAAACCGCGCACATAGTGACCGGCGAGGATGCCCGACAGCAGCGGATCTTCGGAATATGACTCGAAGCCACGCCCACCCAGTGGCCCGCGCTGGATGTTGATTGTAGGCCCAAGAAGGACATGGGCGCCCTTTGCGTGCGCTTCATCCGACAGTAATCGGCCAAGGCGTGTGACGAGGTCGACATCGAAGGTTGCGCCGATTGCAGTACCGCATGGGAGGCAGGCAGAAGGTGTGCTGTCGAAGAAGTGTGTGCCACGAACGCCGTTAGGTCCGTCCGATAGGCGGATAGGGTTGATCCCTAGGCGCTCGATGGTCGCTGTGTGCCACCACCCGACGCCTGACTTTGCATTAGATACGGATGTGAACGACTTCAGCTTGAGAGCACCTACCAGCTGTGAGGGCCACCTTTTCTTCCAGCGTGAGCTGCTCTAGTAGCGCTTCGACATCCATGGTAAATCAAGATGGTCAACTGAGAGATGTGTTGAAGGAAAGGAACTCAGGCCAAAAAGATGACAGATGATTCAGAACAGCAGTGGGACGCTCGGGAACGAAGAGCACGGCACCTCCATGAAAGCAGGCCTGTGGGAGCAGGTGTATATGCGACGATGAATACGCATGCCGGCGTTCTACAGTACAGGTCGACATTGCTCCACTGACCGATCACATGGTTGGCAACGAATGCAATCCGCTGACAGTGACGTACAGAATCAAAACTGAATCAGGTTCTTTTCTGGGTCTGAACTATCCACTCAGTTTCATTTCTCTAGACTTTGCTGAAAATAGCTGGCGAGCCGACACGCCGGTAACGATCTGGGGAGGGATAAGAGTCTGGAGGCGGAGAAATACCGAAGTACAAGAAGCGCTAACGTTAAAATAAGCACGGAGCATCGTTCGTTCATGCATACAGCCAAGTAATTAGCTAGCCTATTTCTCCGCCCGCGTCTTCCTCGTGAATTGGCCAACAAACATCGTTATTCAATCTACGAAAACACATGCAACTGACTCAATTCTCCGCCCCCTTCGTCTTGGTTCCTAGCCCCAACCTGGCGAGGGTGTGGGGCCCCGGGACTGTGTTGATGTTCTTCTTCTCCATGGGGCGTGCTCCCCCAAAGTTCGAGAGCGTGGCTTCTCCCCGAGGGACCCAGTTCGCGATCACCGGGCCATCGGGACTCAAAGCTCCACCTCCTCGCTTCGTCCTCTGAGGCTAGGCCTGAATTGATCTTACACACAGAAGGGGCTTCAGGAGGCTGTACACTATATATTATAACCTTGCCCCTGAACACTTGAATGCGACGTTGGTCTAGGATTTTCGCAGGCTCGGCAGGGACCAGACAGTTCACAAAGTGACAACTAATTTTGTACGGGAGTCGTCCATCCTTTCGCTACCCGTCACTTCATACCTCTCCTCTCAGCCTCGCGGACCGCCTCATCACGCCACCAGCCATCGCCATGGTCAAACCCGTTGAAGAACTGGCCGCGCTGCCGGGCGACGACAAACCCTGGTACAAGCATGCTCACCTGCGGAAGCTCAACTTTATCACACTGTCCATGGTCCTGTTCTGTATGTCAGCCGCCCAATTCTCACCAATACCACATCACCTAGTCTCCAAACTTCTGTCATACAGATCATGTGCTGACCTAAGCCACAATAATAGCCTCTGCCAACGGTTACGATGGATCCATCATGGGTGGCCTCCTCGCCCTACCAAACTGGAACAGCTTCATGCACAACCCATCCGGCGCCTACCTGGGCTGGATCACCGGTATATACTGGCTGGGCAACGGCATCGCCTTCCCGGTAGCCGCATGGGTTTCCAACAACTACGGGCGCAAACTCGGCATCTACGTCGGGTACCTGTTCCTAGTACTAGGCGTGGTCATGCAGGCAGCAGCACAAAACGAGGCGACCTTCACGTACTCGCGGCTGTTTGTGGGAATCGCGGCCTCGTGGCTGGGCAACTCGGCGCCGCTGCTGATCAACGAGATAGCGCACCCGAAGCAGCGGTCCGTCGCGAACGCGCTCTTCATGGTCGGCTGGTACTTTGGCGGCACGCTGTGCGGCTGGGTGACGTTCGCGTGCCGCAACATCCCCTCGGACTGGTGCTGGCGCATCCCCGTGCTGCTGCAGATCGTGCTGCCCTTCGTCGCGCTGCCGGGCTTCCTGCTCGCGCCCGAGAGCCCCCGGTGGCTTATTAGCGTCAACCGCGTCGACGAGGCCACCGAGATCCTTGCTAAGCACCACGCCGGCGGCGACAGGAACGACCCGCTCGTTGCGTACCAGGTCGTCGAGATCCAGGCCACCATCACGGCGGAGAAGGAGGCTTCGTCAAGCGCTTCGTATGCGGATATGATCAAGACACCCGGTAACAGGCACAGGCTATTCATCTCCATCAGTCTCGGTATCTTTGCGCAGTGGGCTGGCAACGGCGTCGTCTCGTACTACCTGCCCCTTGTGCTGAACTCCGTCGGGGTTGAGTCGGTCACGGACCAGACCCTGATCTCGGCGTGCTTGAACGTCTGGAACCTCCTGTGGGCCATCGCGGCGGCGACCAATGTGGACCGGCTGGGCCGCCGGTTCCTCTTCCTGACCTCTGCGAGCACCATGTTGACTAGCTTCATCATCATCACCGGCCTCAGCGGGGCGTTCGCCGAGTCTGGGTCCTCGCAGATCGGCCTGTCCGTCATCCCCTTCCTGTTCGTCTTCTTCGCCGGCTACGACATCGCCATGTGAGTTTAAGACCCCTCTCGCCTCCTATCTTGCGGGGCCATACTGATGTAACAACCACCCAGGACCCCTTTCCTAACAGCTTACCCCTGCGAGATCTGGCAGTTCAGCCTGCGGTCGCGCGGGCTGACGGTATCGTGGTGCTCGACGGTGGTGGCTATCTTCATCAACACCTTCGTGAACCCGATCGCGCTCGAGGCTATTCACTGGAAGTACTACATTGTCTTCATCGTTATGCTGACGCTGCTGCTCATCACCGTCTATTTCGCCTACCCGGAGACGCGCGGCCACACACTGGAGCAGATGGCCGTCATCTTCGATGGGCCCGATGCCGCTGCCCCGCCGCCGGCCGTCGTGAGCGAGAAGACCGAGGTCATGGTCACACACTCAGACGTGGACAGCCGGCCTTATCAGGAAGATGCGGAGCACAAGGTCTGATCTATTTGCTCCGCATACAATTGAATGAATCAGTTGCATACTGACGAGAAGTGAAAGAAGGGATTATGTTAGATCTATTAATAAATGTCTCTGTTCGCACTTTTAGAGGGCCTTTTCTATTCGAGTGGTCCTTCAAACGCTACTGATGAATAATAACGCCCGCTGATGAGACTGCACTCCACTGTAACTTTACTATGACTGCTGTTGTCTGAAGTCATTTTCTTTCCGTCGCACCTTGGTAGTTTTATTCATTTTGACCGACTATAGTGACCTAAGTAAGGTTTGAGTGCTATTCATCACTATATGATGTCAATTATGTCACAATAGTAAGTTGCACAGTAATCTTCTTCTGAGAGTGAGCGAGAGTGAGAGTAGCCTCGCGCAATTAAGACTTGCCCATGTCACCCAAGTACCTATCCATGCCATGACTCAATAGCTTCTCTTCATAGCTTTGATCTGAAGGTCAGCACTAAATCGCTGCAGCGATCTGGCAATGTAAGCCATCACGGTTCCGGAACACGGACCCTCTTCTGCATTAGATCATGCCTCCTATCCGGTCATCTTTTCCTGGGGTCGGTACGTTACATATTCAACCTATAATGGTTACTAGGCCTGGATCCAAACCACGATTTGCAGAAGCACACTAATCTAGCCGCAGCCACCTTTGCGACGCTCTTCACCCGTCACAACTCCCTCGGGCCAATGGCGCGCCTACGCGCGCCTGAGAGCTCCCTTCAAGGATTCCTGCGCGGCCCAACAGAGACACATGTGTGGCTGGCAGTGATGAGTTGGTATTGCTGCATGTCAGACTACCATTGCGTAAATGCTTAATGGCGCGAGTGCCGTCAGCTTGGGGGGGGGGCCTGTATCCACACAATAATCGAGCTGTATGTCAACTAACCAGTCAAATCTTTAACAGCCGATCGTCAGACAATGAATCTAAAGTTACGTATATATCCAAATTGAGAAGTATTTATGACTTTGCTCGTTCAGAACATGTCTTGAAAGAAAACGATACTATGAGTCAAAATTGCGGATATATACAAGAAACAATGTAGCTAAGATTGTTTGTGCCACTTGAGCAGTGCTTCTTCATCCATCACCGGCGCCGCCATTTCAAAACTCCGCAGTCCAAGAGTCAAAGCGAGCTGCCCCTGCCCACCAACGGGTAATGAGCCCAGTGCGTGCGAACACATATTATCTGTGCTAGCTCGTGGCACTGGGCCCCCCCCCCCCCCATCCATTGACCTGTGTCTACCTGTCCTCCCCTTCTCCGGAAATACAAACAGGAGAATCACCAGAACAACTAACTGAATACCAGTCTGTAGAAGCTACCCAGGTACGGCGATATGGCAGGGGCCATTTGAACCCTCTCAACCACTAATGGAAACACAGAGACTATTCATAACAGTATAAGAGCTTTGTTAGCCGCACTTCGGTATCTTCTCTGCATTTTGTCTGTGTCTGAGAATGCTAGCACTACCGTCAACATTTAACTACTACTTAGAGAAATTCCAAGGATGGAAAACAAGTGTGAGTGCGTAGATATGGGGCATTACTTCGGTACAGTGGAGTGTCGAGACGCATAAGCTGACAAGCCGTGTCAGTCCCTGAGCCACGATACAGCTCGCAAGACACAATTGTATTTGTCTCGAACAAGGTGATCACTCCAAAGGGAAATAGGCACTTTCGAGAAAACTGTCACTGTAGGAGCGCATAAAACAGTGGGTGGTAATATATAGTGAGCACTCAAAATCTTATTCACACTCTCAGACAAGCCGCGCAAATCGACGCAGCACTGAGCTCCAATCTACCACAATACAGACGGTTTATTCTGTCTCTTCCTCTCCAACGTCTTCAGAGAAGTATGTAAAAGTCTCGTTTTTCCGACGCCTAGCCACTCAAAAGCACTATGGCGACAGGCGGAGAAGAGTCAAAAGTCAGCAACTTGAAAAGCAAGACTCGGAGCCTCTTCCACGGATATCGGCCGCTCTTAAAGCTATCAAACATGCCACCCTCGCAACAGACAAATCTCTTCAACCGGGAAAGTGAACTTAGGCAGAACCGAAGATGGTCTCCATGATGATACCAGTGATCTGGTAGGGGTCGGCGTTGGATGCAGGCCTCCGGTCCTCGAAGTAACCGCTCTGTTTTACGGCACACTCCCGAGGAATACGGATGGAAGCACCACGGTTGGCGACACCGTACGAGAACTGCTCGATGCTGCCAGTCTCGTGACGTCCGGTGAGACGCTTCTCGTTGCCCTCGCCGTAGACAGCGATGTGCTCCTTGTGGCGACCCTCCAGCTTCTTGATGGCAGCCTCGATGTGCTTCATGCCGCCCTCCTCGCGCATCTCCTCGGTGGAGAAGTTGCTGTGCAGGCCGGCTCCGTTCCAGTCGCCAGGAATTGGCTTGGGCTCGACTGAGACCTTGGCGCCGAACTCCTCAGCGACACGGTGAAGCAGGAACCTAGCGAGCCAGAGGTGGTCGCCCATCTCGATGCCCTCACATGGGCCGACCTGGAACTCCCACTGGGCGGGCATGACTTCGGCGTTGGTTCCAGAGATCTTCACGCCGGCGTAAAGGCAACACCGGTAGTGCGCCTCAACGATGTCACGCTGAACAACTTTCTGGATGAGACGGTCAATATATTGCTGCTGAATCTGAAAAGACACAGATTGGCTTAGGACAACTTACTCCTGCACCAACACCGCAGTAGTAGGGGCCCTGAGGAGCGGGGAATCTTTGAAAATTCGTTAGCAATATGAAAATGTGAAGGAACCCCAGGATATGACCACTGGAAGCTCGCCATCTTGGTCTCTGGTCGCAATAGTAGGTAATGAGGGCTGGTCGACTTTCGATTACCACCTTCAATCGCAAGGACTCTTGACAGCGGGCGGGACTCTTTGGTCGGGAGATTTCTTGTGGCGATGACGCAGTCCCCACAGCTGGCCTTGGCAAAAGCAGACCTGTGGCCAACATCACTCGTGATGCTCTTTGCCAAGACGGTTGAGGCGATGGGAATTCAAGACTCGTTCTCCTGCGGCCCCGTACCCGACAATGTGGCGCAAGAGGTCATTGGCCCTGCCTGTGACATCATCGTGATGGGGCGGCAGAACCAGCCAAAGTCCCTCATTGTGCCAGACTGCCAGAAGGCCACAGAACGAGTACTAGAATCCTCTGCCAGAAGCCGGCTGCAGCGGGGATTGTCGGTGCCAAACTGTTGTAGTCTATGCCAGCTGCTCGGTTTCCCAGCCGAAAGAGTCCTTGCAATAGAATGCAGCATCCTATAGACGACCATCTTTGCCTTCTCTTTCCCCAAGAGACCAAAGACGGAGACAAGTGCTACGGCGAGCGTCTGGAGGTCGGCTTTCCGAGTCGTAAGAAATGACTTACCCGTTCGCGGGCCAGCCGTACGGCCTGTCGTCGAGGTCGAGAAGGGTGTACTCCTGCTCAAGACCGAACCAGGGCTGATCGGAGAGTTAGCCCGTGAATGAGTTCAGTTTGCGCGTGCGTGTTATGATTTCTGCATACCTTGTGGGCGGCATGAGCCTCCATCAGCTTGGCGGCTTGGTGCCTGTAGTTGTACTTGTTGGGGGATCCATCGGCGTCCCAGCTGTGACGAGTGTCAGTACCACCGTGAGGGTGTACATCTGGTGCGTCGGAAACTCATTACCATTCGGCGAGGACGAGGATGTTGCCGTTCCTGCGGAAAGGATCGGCGAAGACGGCTGCACGAGGTTTCAGTCAGCAAATGATTTGCTGGGCCGTAGTAGGACATCGAAGTAGTACGAACCGGCAGGGCGGAGGTAAACATCGCTGTTGTCACCTGGTAGAGAAGTAAACATCAGTTTTCGGTCACCAGCGCAGTGTTAGAGGGGTTTGACTCACCTGGTGCCTGACCCGTGCTGCTTCCGTCAAAGTTCCAGATTGGGACTAATTCACCGTCAGTACGTCTCTGTGCAAAGGCCTTTTGGGCCCAGAATCCCCTTTAGGAATCCCAGAATCGAGTTTGGGTGACTCACGGTCCTTAGGTGTGTAGCCACTCTCCTTCGCATCCAGAGTCTATTATCGAGTCATGGAGTCAGCCCAGTTTATTTCTCCCAGTTCGGACAGAGTTCGGGGGGTCTTGGCGATATCGTGGAGCTTGCCACTGCAGTTTTGTGGGACGCGTCCACTCGCGAGGACGGTTTCTAGCGGCACACCAAGGTCAAGGGTGAGTCTTGGCCGCCGCGGGTCTCAGGGAGTCAGAACAGCCCCAAAAACTGCAGTGGCATATTTGGTTGGGTTTGGGACGGATCGGCTTCTAGTGGCAATGCCCAAGAAGCGCCTGTGTCCAGTGGGCAAGGTTTCGTGGTGTCACGGCATCGTGGTGTCGAGCAGGCTCGGGAGAAAGGAAGTGATAGCATACCCTCGACTTGGAGCGAGTGCCGCCCTCGGCATCGATCCAGATGTACTGAAAAAGGGGTCAGTTTCGTGGAATCCAGAAAAATGGGCTTTCATTGTTGGGTTGCTTACCTCGGCCATGATCTTGCCATTTTGGGGCAGCTCAAGGTACTTGGCCAGCTGTGTGGAGAGCACATGTCAGTCTCGCGTGGTTTATGGCCGTTGTGGGCCATTCGTGGTCCAGAGGTGTTCTTGAAGCTTACAGCCGGGGCATTTGAGGTGACGGCAGCCTTGGTCGCCTGTTTGGAATGAGAATCGTCAGTAAATCGCGCTCTCCCTCGTGAGTTGGTCAATCGGTGGTGCTGATCGTAACACCAGCTGGGACTGGTGCTTGGCTGGGCTGGAATGGAATGGAGGGTGTTTGGTGGGGTTGCGACAGACCATTTTGGAGGTAGTTGCTGGGTCGGTGGTGGGAAGATTTGTTGGAGAATTTGCAAGTTGGACAGAGACGCAAGCAGGTGACTCTGACAAGAAAAGAAACACTTGGATTGGGCTTTCAGTGAAAGGAAGAGGTTGTGAAAAGAGGAAATATGCGCAAGGCCCGGGCGAAAGGTTATCAGGCCGGCGCAGGAGAGGCTTAAGAAGGAATTGCCCAGGTAGTGGGGTGAGAGTGAGAGCGAGAGAGGTCGTACCCTGCAAGCCCAAGGCCGACTACCACTACGTAGGTACAGTACCTACCTAGACTACCTACCTTACCGTACTTTCTCACTCACTGCGCCCAGTCACAGACCAGTCACAGATCCAGTCTTGTTCCTCTACGTAGATACGTACCCTGCCCGGACTGCCAAAAACTACGTCCTGTCCTGGTTGTTGTAGATACCGCATCGGCCACTACGTAGGGTACGTAGCCACTAGCCCCACAGGGACCCTCGTTTGGAATGTGGGGGCCCGGGTTTTTCGAGGGCGAGAGTGGCAGAAGTGGCAGAGGGAGATCGCTGGGAGCGGATGAATGCGTCCCCCAAGCCCAGCCAGGCCCCCAGCTCGACTGCCCTTCACCCGCACAAGGACCGACACACGACATGACAAGAGACATACGATAGCCGTGGTGCCGTGCAGCCAACCAGTCCGGCTTGATTTGATTTGGGAAGATAAGCAACGACGCCAGACGCCATCTCCCACGGCTAGATATCTCCAGTGACCCCTCTTTCTCTTGGGTCCTGGGTTGTCGAGTGCAGAGAGGATCGAAGGTCGAGGGTCGACGTCTCCACAGCGACAACCACGTTGTTGACCGAGAAGAAGCATGCATGTACTGTACTGTACTATACTGTACTGCAGTAGTATTGGATGGCACGTTGGGCTGTGTGTGCTCCGTACACCTGGGCCCCGTTTTCTCGTCAGGTACTGGCTCCAGAGCTGAGACTGCAGTACAGCAAGGCGAGCGAACGCTCAGTCCAGCTCAGTCCACCGTCGAGTCCAGTCTTGTCTTGTCATGCACTGATCTACATAAGACACAAAAAAGGAGCCGGACACGAACTTCCTTCACCCGTTCCTGGCCTGGTTTCTCGTGGTGTCTAGCCGTGTCTCGCCCTCCCGAGGTTAACTATGTTTTAGTCAAAGTACGAGTCTGGAAGGCCTTGGAAGGCGTGGCTTCGTTCGTTCTAGGCGGTACGTAGATGGCTGTGCTGTGCCTGTTTACGAAGCCGTCTCTGGCCGGACCATGACGACGGACTGGCGCACTGATCACCAAGCTCCCAGCCCTGCTGCCCACGGCTGAAAGGAAATCCTGCACCAAAGCTCTGCACCGGGCCACACCAGCCAGACCAGCACGATGCCTATAGCAGCCAGACAACCGACGGACACTGGGACCTGGACCTGGACCTGGACTTGTCTTCGTGCTGACAATGTCTCACTCTGTTCAGTCACTCACTCACTTGTCGACTCGTGTCGGCCGGTACCATGCTGCAAACAATATGCGATTGCTTTGATTGCGCCAACTTATTACCTAAGAGTTTGAGGACACGATCGAGTAAACATGTCTAAACTCGGCCCCCTGCGCTTTAATTCCCGCTCCGGTTCTCGGGCTCGACCTCATCACACTGCCCGGAAACCTGGATTAGCCTTCTTCCCTCTCCCCCCATCCTCTCAGCCCCCCTGTCCCACCACCCCAGGTTTCTCTCTCTCAGCTCACACACAGCAGCAAAGCAATACAATGCAGCCTTGATCAGCCCGTCCATCTGCTCCCCCGTTCCTACTCCTACCGTCCTGCCGTCCTGTCAAATGGCCGCTCCGAGGGCTCGGACCAGCGCTGTCCAGCCAGACCACTCAGGTCTGTCTTAAAATAGCCAGTCGCCCTACAATTATCCAATTCGAATGTGTCGCTTTGTTATCAGCCCGTCTCTGGTTGGTCCCACCAACCCCCATCGCCACTTTACTCTCCGCAGCCTGGCAGCCCAGTCTCCCCTCCTCCTCCTGCACCTACAGGGTCTCTTATCCGCCGCTGCTGATTCGCTCCTGAGACGGGCTTCTTTTCTCTTGAATGGATTTTTTGGGCAGGTCTCGTTGCGCGTTTGCCTGAAAATTCAAATCCTCAGCATGCACGCGGGTATGTATGCCTGCTGATGATTTTTCCCTCTCTCCATCAGCTTGAAACAGGCTTGATGCAGGCCTGTACTGTGTAGATCTACCCACGCGTTTTTTTTGCTTTCCTGCCCCCCTGCAGCCAACGTGCTGCGTAGCACGCGGGGGATGTGTGGGATGTGACATGTCTTGACCTCACACGACCGCCATGCGGCCTTAACCATCCATCCAGCGTCCCAGCTGGCTGACTATTTTAGCCGGTTGCCTACTGTGTAATGTCAATCTTTGTTTCGCGAGTTGGTCGCATGGACAGCGAAATGATGAGGTTGTCGTCATGCCAGCATTCGCCTGTTTCAGCCAGCAGGAATAGATATATCTCTCATTATTTTTTGTTGGGGCAGCAGGATCAGACACCAAGAGTGAATATCGATCAGTCCCGGATCGGATGCAGTAACCGAAGCTGGCCCCCTATCATTCCACCCTCATGCAGCACGCAACGGCCTGGGACTGCAGGGGTGATTACTGTACAGTAGTGCCAAGTCTGTGCAAATCCTTGGCCTGCTTCTTTCAAGGTTCATTGTTGCAACGCAAACGCAGTTTTACACTTTATTACCGCCATGTATCTAGTCCAGCGGTCAGCAAGCCAACGACCAGCCAACGACGGTGCACTCGCCCCTTTTGAGGCTGTTGCACCGAACGAGACTCGTCTCACCTCGGGGCTGGGCGTATGTTCTCGCCTGATTCCCGGAAGCAAGAAGGGGGAAAAGGCCTCCTTTATGCCTCACTGTGTCCCATCTGTCCCAGGAGACTAGAGGAAAATGCTCCGACGAGGAGTAGCATGCTGTCATAACTAGCTAGCCCAATTCGTGCGCTACATTAATCCCAACAATGCATGCCCCAGGCACGCCTGGCATATGGCCAACTTCATCCGAGGTCAAGAGAAGCTTTCCCGAGGTCTTGATAGCTAAGTGTACACTATAGCTTGCTGCTGACTTAATCGTCGATCAAGCGCCCGATTCACGTGTGGGGAAGCAAAATCCGGGGAAGAGGGAGGGAGAGAAAAAAGAATCCAACAACGTTCCATTCTGGCCCCCAGGGGTCCCACAACCACTACCATCGGGTCTCCCGTAATCGGTTGTCGGGGCTTGGGCAGTCGATGGGAAAGGTCCACCACAGATGGTATCAGCGTTCTACTGGGAGTCTTCCAATTAGATAGGCCGATTTTCCAACATCTTCACACCGAGCCTTTTGTCTACTTGCCGAGAATGACGAACCGTACCTTGAAATCCCGGACTGATAACACGTCTTAGTAATTATAACGACTTGGTAAGGTGTGTGTTTGGAGGTTTATGAATCCTCAAAGCTTATCAAACCTGTTCTAATCTAATGTTCAAGCATCTCCCACTAAGAATCTTGATTATGTTATGATATATCACTTGTGGGAGCACAATCGTTCTAGGCGGATATAAAACCATATCGTGTACGGAGTGACCCGCTCCTGTGTATCAATCTGCCTGCGTCTTGCATCATGACTGCAGCAGAACACTTTTACATTGTTCAAGGATTATAAGCTTTGTAAACCTGAAGCGCTCCCTCAATGGACTGTACGAGCCCGAAGAAAATAGTGAGTCCCAGGACCAGAACCGCAACCCAGAATGTGTACCACTGCACCCCGTTCCGACGATCATGCCACCATTGGGTAAGTGTAGTAGGAGTCGCCTCATCATAAGCCTGCTTGAGAACCACCAGCCGATCTCTCCAGAATCTGAAATTCTGCACTTGTCGATCACTAGTAGTCAGATTCCCACACCTGGTCAGCCTTCCATCCACGAGACAGTTGCTCTTCTCGTATCTTTCATAAAGCTTCTTTAGCCAGGCTGTTTTGTTGCGGTCAGCCCGTCGCGCTCTGGAAAACTCCGCTTGAGGAAATAGCAGGGCGAGCGTCCTCAATGTCTCTTCGGCGAGGCCTTTGGGTAGAATAGAGCTGCGTTTGCAAATCAGTCCACCATGATGGGGGCAAAAACCAAAGACTAGGAGTTTCCACATAAAGACCATCATTGAAGGATTTCCCATTACTTACCTTGCATGCTGACATTCCAGAAAGGAAGCGTGATGAAAGATAAGCACCGTGGTGTCATCTTCAACAAGAAGCAGATGATCGGCGAGGTTGTCGATTAATCTGACCTTTATACCAGCAACTGTCTCAATACTCCATGCGTTGAAGGCTTTAGGCAGTTTAACGCTCTCGTAGCTCATTTGAGGGGTCTCAGAAAAGAAATCGTCCACACAGTCCCTGAGCGATCTTGACCCCCATAAGATATTCCGTCGTTGGTGTGCTTCGCTCATGAAGCGCCCCATATTCATCATGACCAATAGCCGCGCAGTGAAACTTACTATTTCCTCGCAGTGTTGTGCAGCCACTTGGCCTTTTTCCAAGTTGAGCCGCTCTTCGACAACTGAGATCACTTCCTGGTGTGTGAGGTTGCTTCGAAGCAGCTTGGCGACGTCCGACACGAAGCGCACGTCTTCGACGCTGTCTTGTATTCCAAGCTCATGGGCCAAATAGGTTTGCTGAATGAGATAGTATCTTGTGTAGGCGGCATGTTGTAGGCTTGTGACAGGTTCCCCATTGCGAAGACGATGACTCGTATCTTGGATCTGTCTATCCCAAAGAGCCTCAATAATCCCATGCATTGAGAGGGCTGCTTGGTTAATTCTAGTACCCAAGGATTTCGGAGAATTGGTAAGGTTGACTACAAGATATTGTCAAGAAACTGACCAACTCACACCAATGTCAAACTATTAGCAGACAAGTACACCATGACACACAGCTGGTCGGGAAGTTTTGAGACAGATAGAAGCAATTCTTAAACGCCAGCAAGCATGGGCTGTAAACTAGCCACCCAATAGACATGTCAAGCAGCTGCCGACCGGATGTGGCGCATCCTCCTGGTTAGCTCATGCATACTCCGCCCCTTTTAGACATGGGCCCGTCCCACGAATGAAAAGCACACTCAGCCTGCCTTTTTCTACTTCAATTTCTTACTTTCCGTTAGTTTGGTGAGAGCAAAAGTCCTCGATCCATTTCTTCAACAATTCAAACTCAAACTTACATAATTCCGCCCTAACTTAAGCATATCATCATTGACGCATGGTAAAGGCTGCGTGAAGTCCGAGACGGCCTTATCAAGCAAGCCTTTGGAATAGAACCCTTCTTATGACTGTAAATTCCCAAAGGGTTTAAAGTCGTACTATTCACGTATGACCAGGCCTCGCACAGCTGTATATGAAGACCTGAAGCAATTTACGAGCGACACCTCTCGCAGCTACCCTATCACTTCCCTGCAACGTGGGTGGTCCAGGCATGCAGCGTCTACGTCGGAAGACTCTGCCAGCTTGGCCTGACCCAATGGACTCCATGGGCCAGAAGGTAAACACGCGGACGAGGAAGATGGGCGGATCCATGGTGTGGTTCCCTCGCGGACTAGCGTTGGAACGGTACAGCACGAGAATCCGTCCTGAAGTCGAAGGCATCCTGAATAACATCGAAATACCGGAAGGCGAGAAGTTAATCATCAAACTGTACATGATCGGACGAAGCGAGCAGAAAGCCAACCCGATGATTATGATCTGCTGTTCCGACAAGGCGACACGAAAGGAAGCCGAGGCATTAATTCGAGAAAGTGGGCTGCTGGATAGACATGAAAATTCCGGATTTGGACTTGGTTCGACTGGATTCCCCTTAGAGTCTACTTTCCTCCCTCGTCCTCTCGGCAAAGAGGCTCACTCAGAGTCCAATCCATCTACGAAAGAGTTCATGAGAACCGAGATATATGGCTTAACTGAGCCGGGTATCGGAAGGAAATTATGTTTCGTTACTTCAAGCCGTAGTGGCCAGACTGTTCAGTATGCAACAGGTGGACCAATCATGCGCCTTGGGGACCAATTCTGCCAGTTAACGGTTGCTCATGCTATGAAGCACGATCTTGGTCCGGAATCGCCAACGGCGCATGAATTGGACTCAGATGAGTGTGAATTCGACGGACAGTCCGACGAGGAGGATGATGAGCACCTCATCCTCAGTAGGGCCAGCCTCAGTCCCCGGGACTCCATGAGAGACGTGGATCCCGACTCAGATCAGCAGGATTCGCAGCCTTCCTCGATCTACTCGGACCCGAATCCTGAGACACCATCACTTGAAAGTCTGAAAATCAGTGAAACACAGCAGCCTCTCAAATCGGTGCGAATGGGACAGATAGATGAGGATTGGAAATCGTCTACTCGATTATGCTGGTTTTCGACGCCAGTTGGTTATAGTAGGGAGCTGGACTACTTTTTGATCGCACTGCCAACAGAGCCGTCCGAGTTGGCCAAACGATCTAATCAGATAACAATCGACGACTCGCCAAAGTCCCGGACGATTCAGGTTGACAACATCGCAAGTGTCAGGAACCAAGACATCAGCATCTTGGCGATTACATCTCGAGGATCCATCCGTGGAACTATTTCATCACATCCGACGTCGTTCAAAGCCGCTGGATCATCTTCATTCCAGCAGTTGCTGACAGTTCTGCTCTCAAAAGGACTAATGGAGGGAGACTCCGGCTCGGCCGTCATCCATGCCCAGACCGGACATTTCTACGGCCATGTGGTTCTTGGATTCGAGAGTGATTGTGTGGCGTATGTATTGCCTTCGCCAGATATAATGGCTAATATAATTATCGTGGATCGGCAATTACCTTCATTCTACCGCGCCGACGAGTATGAGAGGTCAAATTCACCACCGACGGCGCAATTCCATCACACGATAACGAAGAGTGGGTCAACATTGAGCCACGATACCGCGCCTTCATCTCATGTCGGCCGTTCGCGCAAGACTGTCAGGTTTGGCGAGGATACTTCCTCCCGGACTAAATCTTTAGGTTCTTCGAACCTATGGAGTGGTTCGGACGCTAGTTCATCGAGCAAGGGCATCACCTACTCAGGAGCGGGACAGTCTGGTCGTCAGACAGATTCCCTGCATGAGACGAATCTTCTTCGAGAGATGATTCAAAAATATTTACACGACGCCTCAGAAGCGAAAGCGAAAGCGCAGAATCTCGCAGAACAGCTTCATCTGAGAGAAGACAAAATAACTTCCCTGAACGACAGATGCGCCCAACTGATTAAAGAGAAGGAGAGCTTGAAAATCAAGCTGGCGACGCTCGACAAACACGAGGGTGAATCCAGGGCACTTCATAGAGCCCTGTCTGATGCTCAGAGGGAGGTTGAGAGACTGAAGACTGAAGTGCGAAAAACGCATCCGGAGAGTCAAAACATCCACGATGAAAGCGAATTTATGCTACGCTACTAAAAAAAATAAGGAAAATAAGATCTCGGACAGGGAGTTCAGGATCAGTTGACAGGGTTTAAACAGTGGTTTGTCTGTGGCCGCTCAAGCTTACATGTAGCACTTGAGTGCCTACGCTCCTCGAGATGATGGCCCTGACATTAGACGAAGTAGCCTTATGCTTGAGCTTTGCCACATCATTGACACTCTGCTCGCGGAGCAACATTCCTTTTCATGGGACTCGATATCGGATCATTCTCGGCGCAGGAATTGAGTTCGTCATATTTGGCGTGGATCAGCATCGATTTCGAATGACTAGTACGATTCTTTGGGTCAAACCTAGTCCAGTATTGAATCAAGCTTTCGATTCCCTTGCACCCCCTGCACATACATATATGTAAGTTGGCCGTCTGTGAGTATCGCAGAAACCGGTTCATGGGTGCCCATTTGGGTTCGATATGCCGACAAAGTTTCATGAACACATTCTGTTCTTGGATAGATTCGATCATGTGCATGCGAGTAAATTGAAGATGTTAACGTAAATCCGCGGGGCACGTTGAAGACTCAGGGGATGGCTGATAAGGACGCTTTGGGTCACTTTAGGTAGGGAGGCCAATGACAATTGCCAGATAGAAACAAAATCTAAGACAGGGCCCCACCGCATTAGTGTGTGGCACGGTACATTGCTGCATATCCAATAGCTTTGGGAAAGGGATTCACGATGCAAAGACTTGATGGCTGTCAAGGGGTTGCTTAAGCATGGGTTTGTTGGGCGATCTGCCATCGCTTAGCCATTCAATCCAGATGAACAGCCTGTCGTATTCACCATGGTGGTTGAGATTATGACTGAACGTGTCACCTGGGGTAAATATTAAAGAGCGACCACGGCCTTCTATTGAGTTGTAGCTGTTCTCTCTCACTTCAGCGTATGCACCGTAACAAATATATCAATCAACAGTAAAATGGCACTTACGATCTGGTGGGGCGCTGCCCACATTCTTGCTACCATCATTCACTTGATCATGGCCATCGTTGGAATTGTCGCGTTCTTCCAGACCGGACTCCAAGCTACCTCGTCCTCAGAACCCTCGCCAGATCCATCGGTGGCGCTGCAGGCGGTAGCTAGTCTAGCACGGAATGTGTTTCTAGCACAGGGCGCATCCGCGGTGGTAAGTCAAGTCTCGCCGCGCCCATTTTGACTTGAGCTTGCAAATGGATCTCGAAGGGAAGCTGATCACAAAAAGTAGGGTGTACTAGGATTCTTCTTCAACCTGGCATACTTCTTGATCCTCCTTTGGCGAGACCACAAAATCTCCAGCGACAGCTCTCGCAGCGCGTACTTCAAACGTAAAGTTGCCGTTTTGGTTGGCGTTGTCTTAGCTTGTGGCTTTGTGATCGGAGACATTATACTGGCTTCGATTCAGGGTGTGAATGGCAAGACTCAGGCAGTTGGGTTGGTCGCCGTGTGTGCCATTGCTGGGTAAGCCATATTTCTTGCGACCTTGGCGAATATTCGAGGCTGATTACTTCTATTTCTTAGGTTCCTGATGGTCATTGCTATCATTGCCGACGTTGTTAAGCTATGTGTCCTGGATGGGGGACAAGAGAAGTCATTGAGAGATACAGTGAGCAATCAGCAGGAGGCGTAATCCATCTTGTTTTGCTGGCTTGGGATTACGCGCTTTGAGAAATACTTCAGGCAATCTAGTAATAGTTTCTTTCGGTTTCCAGTCCGATTGCAAGTTTGATACGAGAGACGCATTTATAAGCATCTTGTTTCTTTCCATCACTAAGTAGAGAAATGCTTGAACTTCACGTTTTCGCCCTTTTCACCTCTGTATAATCATCCATAGCCAGATATCTATTTGCTTGAATGATGATTCTCCAGATAGAGCCACAACTACAATGGTATTTAGAGATTGGTTGTCAAGAGCGGAACACCAGAGAAAATGATATCGAATGCAGTAAAACAAGCAGAAGAATATCTACTATAGTATCTGAATAGATACTACGGGTTCCTTTATATATAATCATGACTCTGATGAAGAGCTCGTATACTCTCGTCTATATTAAACATATAGATTGAGGGACACGATCCGAAGCTACTACTGTAAAGGGATAATTCAGACAGAGAGGCTTGAATTTTACAGATATAGTCGTTAATTACAGGGTTCCACATGCAGGCTTTTTTCACCGAAAGAATATTGATTTAAACAAACTAAGATAGAATAAGATACTTTTGCCTCTAAAATGGAGGACTTAATCCTCTACCCCCAAGGATGTCACTGATAATACTAGCCTGACATTACAGTAACGGTAGTTGTCAAATTGAACGGCGCAAGCATTGCTTGGTCAAGGTTTGACAGGCGCAAACCGGATGTGAACAATAACCGCCCGCAGACGACGCGTAGTCAAGTACATAACTGATTAGGCGATAATGTATTTCAAGATTAGGCCCGGATTGGCCTACTCTTGGAACTGCGTCTTAGTTATCCAATGGATATTTAGTTGCGTTCAGCCACTGCTGACTAGGTGGGGTGTACCCTTCTCACGTGCCTTCTCATCATGTCCCGCACAAGAATGCATCGAGATTGGGCCCGTGCATATTGAGAGCCCATTTAAGTGCCGTAATAGGTGCCGCCAGTACTACTATTCGTCGGAAATGGCAAATTCTCTCTTCTAGTGGTATCCGTCACATCCGTCTCTGTGCAAAGCCTTCCAGAGAGGCTACGTGCCCTGTCGTATTGCAAGGGCAACTTTGAAGTAGGGTATCAAGTATAAGAGGTCAGGGTTTTGGTTTTCTTTGTTCTGGTGTGATTGGATCGGACTCCTCCTGCCAGCCCTGTCCGGGGCGTCGGTCCAAAGCAGGTAGACGCTGCAAGTTGCTGACCGACGTCCACGTCAGACGACGTGTCAGGTACCAGCACCAGCCGCTATGACAATCATGCGCTTGGAGTTCTGCTCTGTATCGAGATCTATCTAATGCAGGCTGTCAGATGATGAAGCGGGGAGAGCAGGGCCCAATGTGAGACCAGTTGTTTGGCGGAATGTGACTCCCGATCCTCCTCCTGTATTCTTAACTCTCCAGCGCAAAAGGCTCTGTTACGTCGAGTAATGGTAAGTATTCTGTATGAATGCTTTCTGAACCATTAAAAGAACCAGGTAGCTAACCTTTTGGGTTTGTCTTATAGCCGGCTCTTCGAGATCTGGCGTCCGGGGGAGAGAGGCCAAAAGTCGAGTGAGCACTGAACCCAGGACAAGAACGCGCGGACACCGAGAAGTGCAACTCATTCTTCTACCTAGCATCGTCGCAGTACATGGACTTAATCCGAGGGGCAAATCCGTGAAAGATCATGCCTGGGACACCTGGAGAAAGCCAGACGGGGCCAGCGGCAAGCTCTGGATGAGGGACGACTTGCCCACGTCCCTGCCCGATGCAAGAATACTTCTCTACGAATACGATTCGCGAGTGTTTTCTGGAACCCATGGTACTTTTGTGGATGCAGGAAACGAGTTTCTCGACTGTTTATTGGGAAAGAGACGAGGTGTCAGCATTGTTCCGGCTCTATTATGATGACGGCTGGCAGACTAACGACACGCAGGACCCTCTACGCCCTTTGATCTTGGTGGCACACAGCCTTGGTGGACTGCTAGTGAAACAGGCTCTCGTCAATGCTCATGACAATAGACACTACGCCTACATTGAACAATCCGTGTAAGACAACTATATCGGGCTCTCAAATGATTGTCTCCCTCGGCCTCTAATGATTACCTAGAAAGGGCCTTGTTTTCTTTGGGACACCCCACGAGGGCGGAAATTTGAAGGATGCTAAAGTAAAGCTTGGATTCACTGCGGCGAGCATTGCCCAAAGTCTTGGACTGGAACCTAATGAGTCTATTGTGCAAGCGCTTCGACCAGGTTCCCTCTTCAGTGACTTTCTTAAGGAGGCATTCAGGCATCAGTTGGAGAATTACAACATTGTTTCCTTTTGGGAGAAGGAAGGCACAGTATGTTTCTCTTGACTCTATGTTACGTATTTTTTTCTCTCTTCCTACTTCACTCTACTTCCTATCCTTCAATTGTGATGTAAGGGAAGATCGCTCACTGATTACACGTTCTGTTCTAGATTGTCACAAAGGAATCCGCAACTTTTGGTCTCCCCGGACATCGAGAAAACATCATCGGTTTGGAAGCCAAGCACAGCAGCATTTGCAGATTTGATCTCGACATAGAACAGGACCGTGATGTCTACGAGTTTGTGAAAAATAATATGTACTGGGTATACGAAGAGGCGCTGAAGGAAGCAGCCCTTGAGCAAAAACTGGAGGCACTTGAAAAAGGAACGCCGGCCCTATCTCACCAAAGTGAGTCTTTGCCGGAGTAATGATCTTCGCTCGGTTGTTTTTGTTCTACCGCAGGAATATTTGAACCCAGGGTTTAATTTCAGTTTTTGGGGGCTCCAGGTGTTCTATTGATCTGAGTTAAGTGGATGCAGCTGATTAGTACTCTAGAAGTTCTCGAGATTGCCAATCAATTTGACGGAGACATGTCTACATGGAAAGACCATTTAATCGAAATTTTCATGGATCGCTCTTCAGAAAACATTCTAGACTGGATGCTGTCCACCTCTGGTTATCGGAACTGGAGCGGCGCTCGGACAGACATGACCAAGCAGAAACCGATGATTTGGTGCCAAATCGACAATGCGCTGCCTACAGCAAAGGCTCTGGGCCAATTACTAGTCCGGACAGAAAATGGTTCGCTCATACATATCACCAACGACCACCCGTTACTGCCAGAATTGCCGTTACTGAAGGACATGGGATGCCCAGAACATGCCATATCATTGCTGTTCTCTTTGCTACAACAAGCGTATGCTCTCATTCACCAACCGCAATGTAGATACTTCCCCTCTTTTGTTGTGGAGAGTGGTCTGTTCTATCAGAAGCAGGGGTGGACTAAGAGCATGGGCATGGAGGTGAGTAGAGTCTTTGCAGAGCTCCTGAAGGGAGATCCTCAGAAAGATTGGACAATTCTCATTCACGACGTGGATTCGCTGCACGAAGATGCAGTACCAGAGGTAGGAAGGCTACTCGCCAGGATTCTAGGGGGATTTTCCGGATACAACGTCGACCGACTGAGAGTAGTAGCCATAGGTCGGGATCCTGGCAAGATGCCGCAGGTTGCACGGCATTGCACGGTCATCAATGGGGATACAGAATACCTTGGTAGGTATCCACATCATAAACGCAAAATAATTCGCTATCTTACCAGGTCGAGTAGAATGCCTTGCGAGCCTCCAGTTCGACAACATGACAGTTCGTCAAGACCGAATTGCCTCCGCTACGGTTGGCACCAATCAGTGGATTTGGAACAACCCTTCCTACCTTTTCTGGAAGGGTAGACCATCATCTGTGATCTGGATCTGTGGCAAACCCGGGAGCGGTAAATCCGTACTTGCGAAAACCATGCAGACTCAATTCCTCGCTGGGTCTAGTTCAAGGCAATCCATGGTCCTCTCGTGGTTTTACAGTATCAGAGACAATCTTGTCCTACATCGAGAGATGTTCCTAGCGATCCTAAGTCAGCTTTTATCGCAGAATCCTACAGTATATTCGTGTATCAAAGGCATGTACAGGTCTCTCTTGATCAGCCGAGCCGATGTTTCTTCGACCCATTGGTCGATCACCGAATTACAAGCGGCCATATCGACAATTTTCCATGGTCTTAAAGGCAGACCGGTATCAGCTCTGTGTATTGTTGATGGGTTGGACGAAAGCAAGGTTGAATATTCTGAGAATGATTGCTCCCGATCGGACGCTCTCAAGTTCCTGACCCATTTGACATCCAACGGGATGCCTCTGCGAATCACTTTCTTGAGCCGACCGTCTGATGATATTAAGAGGGCACTCAAGAACCAACCCTCTATTTTCATGCACGATGTCAACCGTCCCGACATCGAGAATCTCATCGATAAAGGCGTGAAATCCCTAGGATTGCAACTGGACGGATACGATTCTGATAACGAATCACAGCGAAGCGGGTCACCAACAAGCCTTCGCGTGCCGTTTCCTGGTCATTCAAGAAGGGACAGTATACCGGATGAGTATTTCAATAACGCCGACTCTGAGAAGAGAGAAATACTCTCTGAAATAGACCTATACCTGAGAATGAATGCCAATGGGGTTGTTCTCTGGGTCATCACTGTGCTAGAAATCTTGCGGAAGCGGTGCCAAGAGGTACCTTTTTGTGATATTCGATCACTCAAGAAGCACCTGGAGGGCATTCCTTTCGAGATGAAGGATCTGTACTCTCAAATAACTTCCGATCCATCGCAGCCCTTTCGGAAGAGCCCGGACGCCCTAAATAAAGCTCGTCGAGTCCTCATGTGGGTTTCTGTTTCCTCCAAATATAGGATGCAGTTGCAGGACTGGCGAGAGGTCATCTCGTACGATTTCGAGAACCATGAGACCAGTGAAAAGCCCAAGTTTTTTGCAGGAATCACCGAATGGTCATCATTCAGACGCCAACTCGAAAGACTCTGCGGCCCCTTTGTCGAGATCGTTCCGATCCTGCCCCGCGGCGGACACTTGCAGGACCAAGAAACCACTCGCTGGGACACACTGCAACTAGCCCACGAGACTGTGAGAACCTTTCTACAGCAAGACAACAGCTATCCAAGGCTTGGATTCTCCGCGGCTGAGGCAGAACGGGTAGTCCGGGAGGAGAGGCGCATATATATGCGACGAACCCTCCCCCCTTTGACGGGTTTGCTTGTTTCAGGCCCAGCCCAACATACAGACAAGGATATTTCCATGTTCTGCAACTACATGGAAAGTCGACCGCTCTTATGCTTCATACTGCAGACATTGAATTTTGAGCTGCAATATTTCGCGCTCCAAAAGGACGGCAAAGCGCTTCTTGCCGACGCAATCAACCAGTGTGATTCCATCACAGATAGATTGCATTCACAACGACAAAGGAGTGGATTGTTACACGATTCCGAAACGACACCCGTGCAAACTCCGGAATGGTCGTTTCCATTCTTATTGGCAGGCTCACTGCTGAGAGTGCTCGGATTCCTTGACTTCACTGACCCTGTCGGTGGTGGCTCCGGGCCATGGTCGCTTTACAGTCTTTTCTCTTTGACCTGCTCACTTGGCCAGCTGAATGCAGTGAACGCCCTTTCGTCACTGTTGGTATGTCCCCACAGAATACAACTCTTTCAGATTTTAGGAGCCATGAGACACGCTGCAGAAGAGGCAGGGCTTAATTATGAACATTCTGTGTTGGGAGACGCCCTAGCCTTCTTCAATGATATACCAGCGGAGTTCACGTGTGTCCTCAACGCTAGCCATAACCCAGTAGCCAGATCTGATCGGGTGCATGCAGCCATTTCCCAAGTCTTTGGTCACCAAATCTTCAGCGGGGGTTCTGCCGGCTTTTGGAGCATACTTGCGGAACTGAAAGCCGATTCTCTGCTCTTTGAAAGTCCCCTTCGTTACCGCTCGCAGCCACTGAATGGGGATGAATATTCTATATACCAACGAACACCCTTCACCAAGTTGATCTCCAAGTCGCCGAACGGGTCAAGAAAGAGATGGGATGACAATAGGCATTGATCGGACCGGGGGTCTGAGGTCCTACATGTGAATACTCAATATGAGAGGGAACTTTGTTGCACTGCTCTATTGATGATCGAAATGAAAAGAATGAATGAACTCCCATTCTCAGCGCTACCTCTATCTCTATGGACGTTTCCTCAGGCGCACGTGTTATCACCAGTCAAGGGAGACATGGGTATCAACCCACAGATCCGTAGCTCAAGTTCACGAATCAAAGACCCTATCCATGGCCGTCGTAACTTTGAAAGTGGCGAAAACTGTCAAGTTCAGGCGCTCAACGTTATTACAGAGGGTACGTCTAAGCAACACCATCAGATTCTCTATCACGCCTGTCTTCAGAGCTTCAACATAATACAGGCACATCGAGCTTATCTTAAAATCAGTATTAATAGCAATATTCCAGACGAAGTTGTCATTCAGTTCTGCATTATTCTCGTCGCTTTCCGGCTGTTCCGTTTCGAAATTAGGTAGTCTCAGATTGTGAAGTTTCTCTGTCATATCAGCGCGGACCCATTTGGGCGGGGATAACTTTCTGGTACCGTGCTGCATGTTTTTTTCTTACAGTGCCACCGCATAGGTTCCTATCTCGGCCGACCCTCTAAAAGCATATTGCTGGCTGTGCAGCTTCGACTCCGAAATACAGGGCGAACTCTTTTGCGCAGAGTACGAGTTCGAGCACAAACAACGGGTGGTGCAGCGATAAACCGGAGACGGAATGAGGAGGGATCCAGCTCGATGGAGTTGGGACGGAAGAAGTCTACTTCCAACCTACTCAAATGCTATTACGGCCATAATTCTAGCGATCACGGAGTTCGCACTGCGAGAAACCGAGACACATGTTTTATATCAACAAGTGTGACTGGTCCAATAAACATATACAATCAAGAAGCAGGTTGGAAACAGGGTTCGGAAGACATAACTCGGCCAAGAGGAAGGAGTAGACTACTCTCAAAAGGAACTGATCCTTGATGAACACAATGCAATAACATAATCGGCTATCAAGTATGAGATTCCGTGGTTTGTTATAGAATTTGGTGTTCCGAACACAATCAAAAGAAAGAGGAATAAATCTGCCTCTAGCACGGTAGATGTCATTCTTTTTTAATCCCACGGCCATCACTGAAGATGCTCGTCTGGCATCGAAGAATCTTATGTCACTGAGTTGTGCGACTTGAGCGGTAAGGTGTGGTTCGGCGCGGGCAGACGTCGATCCAATGTTCCCACAATTACTGTTCGTCGACGACACTGATCGAGCAAAATACAGTACGATGAGCGTTCTCGATTCCAGTGGAAACGATTTGATCGTGAAGAGATTCTACATTCACTCGCAACTTTAGCTCAATACCGCATCTATCTCTAAGCATTCATGAGTCCCCTGTTGTCTGGGGAACCTTACACTCGATAGGACAACAAGGGTGGAGCCCGAGCTATGGGAAAGAGATCGACGGCAGTGGAGACCATCGAATGGAGAAGTGGGGAAGGAGCACAGGCCACACTCAGTCTAGGCCCATCCTGCCCGTGCTGCCCTCCCCAGTCAGATGTCATTGCCGCATTTGTACGGTAGCGGCGTCGACATGACGTAGTGGGCAGACCAGCCATCAAGCTGAGGAAGTTCCCCCAGGCCAAGTTGCCAGGTGCGACAACGGTGACACCATTCTTAGGTAGCTAGCTCACTCGGTCACTCCCTGGGTACACCAGCCAGGGCAAGGACTGAGACTGACGGCATAGGTATATTAGCCCGACCGTAGCAAAAGCCAATGCCATCTCAACACCCAATGCTTCCCCCCCTCCTGTGACACAACTGCCTGCCTCCTCCAACAACCAACCCCCTCCTCAAATCAAAAGCTTGACTTTGTGGTCTGATTACCCTCCATCCAACGCCTTCACACATTCCAAGTCGTGCTCACAGTCGCGCTTTCAACCACATCCAAACCATCTCCATCTAAGCCAAAATGTCTCGATCAAGAGCTCCTCTCCTCCTCGGCCTGACCGCTGCCGGTGGAATTGGCTACTACCTCTACGGGGCTGGAGGAAACCCCAAGGTGGCCGAGAAGCAATTTGAGGGTACGCCCCATTATCCCCCCATCCATTCCTCCAATTAAGCATCAGCAATGTCGAGAAGCTCAAGCTAACCATACACAATCCCAACAGCCGACGTCCACAAGGCCTCCGCAAAGGTCAAGGGCGAGCTGCCCGGCCGCGGCCAGCAGTACGAGAAGGAAGCCCAGGCCACAGGCCGCCAGGTCGGTGCCAAGTTTGACGAGGCGGTATGTTTCCCTTCCTAACTCTGTTCCTGTCTTCTCTCATATAACCACCCTTCAAATCCAACAAAATTGATACCTCTTACTGACATGACCACATCACAGCTCGCCAAGACCCAGGCCGAGCTCCAAAAAGGCAAGGCCGAGGCCGCCGCCTACGCAAAGGACGCCAAGAGCGCCACCATCCAGGAGATCGACAAGTTCGACAAGAAGGTCGAGGAGAAGGCCAGCCAGGCCAAGAGCGGCGTCTCGAGCTGGTTCGGTGGGAAGTAAAGGGATTTTCACGGGAGGAACTCACGTTCTGAACGATTCTATACTTGACATGACGGGTGCAAGGCATAATGGAATTCATGATACTTTATAATGGCAATGCATCTTGCGTCTCCTTGATTGTCTATCCTTCGACTGTGATCCCAACACTCTGATGTGCCACTGCGTATCATACAACCCTGCGTCCATCTAAGCCGGCAATGAAGCAGTGACGAGCCTCAGGATCTGTTCGACCCCGGCCCGGGCGTTGCGAGGGTCCTTGGCGATGGGCTGCCAGTACTCGCCGTGGCGAGGGTCACTGGCCACACACTTGCTGATGACCTCGCCCCTCTTCTCCTCGGTGCCGTGCTGCAGCAGGAACTTGAAGTACCACGCCCAGCTGTCGCCGACGTCGCCGTCGAGCACGATGGCCTTCTCGAACCAGCTCTGCGCGCGGTCGAGCTTGCGCTCCATCCAGAAGATGCGCGCCACCGCCACGAACAGGATCGGGTCGTTCTCCACCTCCTTGATGGCCTGCAGCGCGAGCGGCTTGCGCTGCGTGCGCGCCTCGAGGTGCCAGATGCGCTCCGACCACAGCAGCCCGCTCTTGGGCATCTCCTTGAGCGCGGTCGCCATCAGGTTCTTGGCCTGCGCGATGTTGCCCGCCCGCCGCTCCACGCGGATGAGCTCGCACCACAGCTCGGGGGACTTCGGGACCGCCGTCCGCGCCCGGTCCAGCACGCTGCGCGCCTTGACGATCGCGCCCGACTTCTCCTCCAGCCGCGAGTACAGGATCCACAGCGGCACGCTGCGCGGGCACGCCTTGACGCCGATGCTGTACGCCCCGCGCGCCGGCGCCGCCTCGCCCGCGTCCTCGTAGATCTGCCCCTTGAGCATGTGCAGCTTGGCGCTCGCCGGGAACAGCTGCAGCGCGTCGCCCACCAGCGCCAGCGCCGCCTCGTTGTTGCCCTGCTGCCGCTCGAACACGACGCTGCGCACAAACACCCGGTCCGTCGGCGCCTGCTGCCGCGCCGTCTTGAGCAGCTCGCGCGCCTGGTCGGGGAAGTCGTGGTCTGACTCCAGCTTGACGGCTGCCAGCCAGATGTCTTCGTTGTTGGGGTTCTGCTGGAAGGCCTCGCCGAGAACCTTGCGCGCCTCGTCCAGCTCGCCGGCCAGGAGCTTCTCCTTGGCCCGCATAAGCCACAGGACCTCGGAGTTGGGGCAGGCCTCGGTAGCCTTCTTCAGAACATTCCATAGAGCGTCTTTGCTTCCGTGGTTTCGCTCCAGGTCCACTGCCTCCTTCCAGACCGTTCTGCTCGTAGGGAACACACGTAGTGCGTAGGCATAAATTGCTCTTGCTGTCTCGTATCTGCCCCGAGCGATACTCATCTTGGCGTCCTCCATCCATGTGTCCTTGCGGTCGTCGTCTTCGTCTAGGCCCCAGCCCAGGGTCTCTTGGACAATATTTGCGCACGTCAGGACTGCACCCTCGGCCTCGCACTTCTCCGCCTCGGTGATCCATTCCTCCCGCTTGGGCATGGCGCCTTCTTTTGCAAGAGCGAGGACAGCACGCTTCATCATGTTCACCTTGGTCTCGCCCAGCTGCTCCATCAGACGTCCACCGGCGATCCAAATCTCGTGGCTTTGTGGATTGGCCTTTTGTGCCTTCTGAATGACCTTTCTTGCGTTCTGTGGTTTCTCAAGATGAGCCAGCGCGAGCCATAATTCAACACTGTTGGGTATCTCGTCCACCGCCTTGGCGAGCAGGAGCCGGGCATCCTCGGGGTCCTCCTCCAGATTGACAGCTTCCTTCCACAGCATCTCACTCTTCGGTATGTGTAGAAGCGCTTGCCTGATAACCTTCTTCTTCGATCGCGGGTCTGTTTCGAGCTTCATTGCTTCTACCCACAGCCTGACTGACTTGTTGTTCGCCTTGATGGCATCAGCCGCAATGATTTTCGCATTGCGAGCCTCATTCAGTCTGATATTCTCCAGCCACAGGTCTTCCGAGCGAGGGTTCTTGGCGCATCCTTTGGCTATCAGGTTCCTCGCGGCCACGGTCTTGCCTGCCAGTTCCTCAACTCGGGCGGCGGCGATCCAGGCAGGTGGGTGCAGAGGGTTGGACTCGTAAGCCGACTTTAGCAGCTTCCGCGCAAAGTCTACATCCCCGACGCTGACCTCTGGAATTTCACCAGCCCTTGCCATGGAAGTAAGATAGCCCTTTGCGTCTACACTCGTCGAGGACCCCAGTGATGTCGCTGTGCCACTGCTTTGTGATGCCTGGTCGAGTCTTGCCTGGAGCACCTTGTCCCTCGCAGCACCGATCTTGGCAAAATTTGTCATCGAACCGTCCTTTGCATCGCCCCCGTCGTCTGCTACCGTAGTGCCCATCTCGCCGACATCTCGCGCAGCTGCCAGGACCGAGTCGGGGACGGCGTAGAATCTCTGTCGGCGGGCTTCTCGCTCTCGCTTCGTCTTGCCGGTCATGTCCTTGACGTCGGGCAGGTTGGCCCATTCTTCGTCGGTCACGGAGCCGAGGGCTCGCTTCAGGTCGGCAAACTGCTGTTGGATCTTTGGGTTCTTTCGCTCGTACTCGTCGACCTCTTCGCGTTCGCGGGCTTCCCTGTGGAGAGAGAAAGTTGTGTCGGTACTCTGCTCATCTATCATCACAAACGATAAACCTTTTGCATGATGACGAAGGGGAAGGGGCAGGTAGAGGAAGGGAAGGGTTGGGTATGAGGGGGACGAACCTTTGCTTCTGGCGACGCCTCGCCATCTTCTCGTCTACCTCCTGCCATATGCGATCGGCCTCCTCGTCGTCCTTCTCGTATATGCCGCCGGCGAATAGACCGACCTCGTTGTCGGGATCCTGGTAGCGACCATCATCGCCGCCGCCACCGGCATCGTCGTCGCCGCCACCTTCCTTGGCCTCGGTGAGACCAAGCTGCTCGGAACGCTTCTTGATGGCGGAGGAGATCTGTTCCTCGCTGGGGCCGTCGCGCGCAGGTCCCAGGTCTGACCGGGTGGTAAAGCCGACAGCACCACGGCCGATACCTGCGACATAGTTCTCGGGTGCCGGCTGGCTCAGGAAGTCTCGACGACTGGCCATTGTGTTGATGGTATGATCAAGTTGGCATTGTTTTGGCTGGTTTGGACGAGCAATGCGAATGCGACAAACCCAGGCATCAAAGCTAGAATGACATGGGTATCACCAAAAGAAGCTTCTGATTGGTGGGGTCGGAACCGAGGTCGGCCACGACTCCACAAGGGGGCGCCCAAAGGGCCTTGATGGCCCGGATGAGATCTGTAAAAGGATGACTGGAAGAGGACTGTCGCCCAGAAGTTGACTGTCAGCTACAGACAATGTCGAATACTTGTTGACATCACAAAGACCAACCTCACAAAGCAGTCCTTATGAGCTCAGTCGCAAATCTTTTACTAGCTCACGGCACGCATGGTGTTATTCAAGAGTGCTGCAACACACAGTCACCAGAGCAGAAAATAAATAAGAATGACGTCCACTGATTGATTCAGCTTCTATGCATTCAACCTTCTACGGCCTGCAATTCTCAAGTTTATGGCCTTTCGTCTTCTATTATGTAACCCTCCGTCGTCAGCTTTGTGGCCTTCCGTCCAGACTGGAAATGGACTTTCTTCCCGAAAAGTAGGCTACTATACTTGACTCTAGGCATCTTCTGCTTCCCTCTCAGCTTAAACGCTCGATCCCGTTGACAAGACATCGCCTCTATCCTTGTGATTTTTAAAGTGGGCACTGAAGCTGGACCACTGAGTGTGGTACCGAATTAGGTGGCAATGCTGGTAAGGGCAGCAGTAGGCCCGAGTGACGTCCCGCAAATGCATCGTGTTCATGTGACGAACAGAGTGGCTGGCTCTCTGGCTCCGGAAATTGCAAGTAGGGTCTCCGCACTTGCGACTAGTTATGGTCTTGCCGTCGTCCATCACAGTGCTGGATTTCTCGTTAGCATCATCGATATCATGCGGGGATGCTCAAGAACAGAACTAACGTGACGGGCTGCTCATAGTCGTAGCTTGGGCCAGGTGGCGGTGCGAGCAAGCGAAGAGCGATAGCGTTGGGTGTGTTCTGATGGGATCTGTCATAGTTCTGTTGACCGAGATTCGATACAACGTCGTTCAGTCGTGCGACCAGCACCTCAGCAGTTATCGATAAATCGCGGTGGGCTATACTGGAGGCGTGAATTGCAGCAGCACGAGAGGCAGCAGAATCGACACCGTTGTTGATCAATTCGGTAATGACTGCCTGAACCGCAGGATGAGACCTATGAGGGAGAGCAACCACCACCTGATGCTGGTTGGCAGGGGAAGAGTCGCTCGACACGTTGCTGTCGATATCTTGCGGTCCGAAAGAATCCTGGGCGTTGCTGGCCTGATGTTGGCTGACAGGGGAGGAGTTGCTCGACATGATGCTGTTGATATCCCGCGGTCTTAAGCAATTCTGGGTGTTACTGGTTCAAAAGAAGATGATCGTCTCGAGGCTGCTGGCTACAATTTGATGGAAAGGTAATGGATTCAGCAGCTGTGGGCTTGAAGAGGATAGTGTTCGAGGCCTGTGACTTGGAGGATTCCAGAACAGAGAAACAATGACATCGTCCACGCCGAAGAGTTTGTTTGGGCAACCACCACCCAGCTGGGTTCATGGCTGGTCGGGGCAAGGCTAAAATGAAACGCAGCGACGAGCGACTGATAAAACCCAGCTGCTTCCGTGGTACCTTCAGATGTTGGGGTCTCCATCCAGTCTGCAGATATCGTGAATGCTCTTGTCCAGATACCTCCATCTTATACAATTGACACATCAAGTTTGAGGGTAATGATTATCACATAACTGGCAGTGCAGTCGAATAAATCGAACACACTGTTTGTGCTATTCATCTAGCATGTTGCTTATTGAATGGGCCATAAGGCTGAAATACTCACGTATGCCGAGAGACTGTAGACAGAAGCCCAGGAAAACTATCCTGGTCCGTAGAAGTACAACTTGGAAGGCTCTGTGTGTCCTATGCACCTTTTAGCACTTGGTTACATAGCTTGAAAGGCTTACTTGAATGGTTACGTCTTCGGTGATTATATATGAGTGCCGACCCGGACATAAATCTGGGATGGTATGCCTATGTGGGATGGAACTGCTCTTGATACTGGAAATTCTTCCTACTCAGAGGGATTGAGTAATCAGATATAAGAGGCGCTGTGAGTCAGTTTATAGCACTCACCATGAACGAAACCCACTGGCCCAGAAGATCACAATTCTCTTGTCTAAAACATCCCTGGTGGTAAAAAGTTACTACCTGCTTGTGTTGCGCATTCGAATTGCACACGCATGGGGTATGTTAGTCTGGTGGGGATACACGGTCAGAGCAAAGAGTTTGAGCACACGCCCGTCTCGTCGGCGATACATGAGTTTGTATCTGAACCTGTGTAGGGAAATATCGAAGGACTCTGCTTGGTGCTGATAATAGCTCGCGGCTAGGCCCTTCTTCCAAACCCACGCCAGGCCCACAAGTAAAGAGGGCAGGGCACAAAACTCAAGAATGGACCTGTAAAAATTCGAGTTCACTGGACTATCCATTTCCAAACGTCTCTCACGACATCAAGGTCGTGCTCCATTTCTCGGCAAAAGGATTACAGCCTTCCGCAGGACCAGATAGAACACAAGTTGCCATAAAATACGGCCATCTCTGTCAAGCACAATAAGCATCGAAATGCGAGGTTGGCTGCTGGAAAGTCGTGGTCCCATCAGTCATAACCTGCTTGCCGTCCTGCTGAAGTCCACCTCCCGGAATGTACACCAGACCACCCACCGCAGCTGCTTGCGTCCCATGGCGGGGCACTTGCATGGGCTTTAACTTGGTCCATTCTTGAGACTCCGTATCCAAGACCTCGGACTGGTTGAAGACTCCTGTGGAAGATTCCGAGTTTCCCTCGCCACCGAAAGCATAGAACTTCGCTCCCACTGCACCTCCATTCAAGCCCCCACGAGTCGTCGGCATACGGCCTGGACTTATTTGCCAGCCAGCTGTTTGATTTGCCAGATCAAGCTTGAAGACAGTGTCACGAGTGTTCAACTGGCCATATCGTCTGCCGCCGACAACATAGAAAGCATCACCGACCACTGAGCCAGCGGCGTGTTGGCGGCTCTCAGGCAACTCGGCGGCAGCTGCCGATAGCCTCTGCCACTCGCTGGAGGTGGTGTTGAAGGATATGACAGAATCGACCGCGTCCTGATATCCGGTCTGCAGCACTGTCATTCCACCAGCAAGATAGATCACTTCCCCGTGGACTCCGACAATCGCACTTCCTCTCTCTGTCCCGTTGGGCATAGGAGGGAACTCGGTCCAAATGTCGGTCGAAAGGTCATACGCGTGACAAGCTTTGGATGCCACCCAGTTCATAGAAATGCCTGGACTAAGGGCACCCTCGACCAAGCCACCGAGCAGATACAGTGTTTGGCCTACTGCGGCGACATTTGGATGGTTGACCTTGTAGGGGGCTGCTGATGCCGTGGCCCAGGTGTTAGAGTCAATATCATAGAGCTGCAACAAGTCGGTTGTCTGTGTACTGTTTCCAACAGGGACAATGCCACCAACAATGGCAATGGTCGTGTTGTTTATTGCCACGGTACCGTGCTCTTGGCGAGGCTTCGGAATTGAGGCCAAATCGACCCACTGCCCAGACGTGCAAGACGTGGCTGTTGAGGCAATATTGGCCAAGCTAAGCATGGCGAATGCAACGTAGCAAAGAGAAGAGAACATAATATCCTGGGCCTTGGGAAAAGTACTGAAAGAGATGACCGGCTAGAACAGAAAAGTCGTTTGCAAAATAGATGCCCGGGTATGCTTGCCCGTGAGTGTATTGATCTGTGTCTGCTTGTCTCTGGTTGTGCACTAAAGTATTGCACTTGAAAGGAAATTACATACATTTATATACGGGCGCGAAGGCACGGTGCTTACTGATTAAGTGAAATTGTCGATATAATGTGTCTCCCTTTCCTCCCCTTCGATCCTCCCTGAAGACATTCGGAACTCCCTCGTGAGGTCATGAGTGGATTAAGTGCGACGTATCCACTGGTAGGGACCACGGTCAACTTCCACAGCCCCATATGAAACCGGTGGAGCATATTCAGGGCTGCCAACCATGAACGGATTAGGAAGATCAGATTACAAGTCAAAGATGGGGCATGCTCAGAGTTCCTAACTATAATCAGGTTAGTGAAGATCAGATAAAAATTCAAGCTTCTTTTGTGGGGATCTCAATCTGGACGGTCCGGGTGACCTCGGATCCGGTTAAGTTCAGCAACCCGGCCGGTAAAATTTCACGTGGTGATCTGAGTTGAGAATCTGAGTTGTGAGTGTCTGATAGACCGTGGAAAGGCTGCTCTTCGAATATTCATGGCGGAGAAAAATGACTATACTAAGCGGGGAGGGGATGCGGCCAATTATTTTTGCGAGCGAGCTCACATGAACACAAATACATGCTTTTTGTCTTTGCTTATTCTCTTCTGAGTGCTTCATTGAAGCTATTATCGCACGTAGCCTTGGGAAAGGGGATGGGTACCTCTCGGTGTGCGGTCATGCTTACATCGATTGCATTCAGAGAACGCGTCCTGTGTTGACCAAGTTTCAAAGACTTGGGTCAATCCATCAGTGGGATCAAACAATTATCGGTTTCCATGATTTCTTTGCCGGTTGCCGAACCCGATGCCTATCTCATCTGGGACCTGCAAGGGGATAGGGCTAGTCGCATCCGGTCTGGCTCAGAAGGACCTGCAGCTTTCGAGAGGCAGACGACGGACTCACTTCTGGAATAGGGAATGTCACCTCGGACACCCTGGCATTCCCAACCACGTGCAGGCACCTCAGTGGGGTCAACGCCTGCCTGGTACAAGACTGCAGTCTTCCCCAGGCGTTGTTTGACCATCATGCGTAGCAACTCGTTCTGTTTGACAAAAGTGTGCCTAGGCAATCAAAATGGCAGAAATCTCGGGCGTCCCTGTTACGGTTGACGCCGCGGTGGCAGGCCGCGCGGGGGTGTTTGCATGGCTCAACAACGCCGGCATCGTGAAGCTCAATCTGATCCTGGTCCTGTCGCTGATCTCGAGCTACGCAACAGGCTTCGATGGCTCCATGATGAATGGTCTCCAGAGCCTGGACACGTGGAAGGCCTACTTTAACAACCCAGGCGCCAGTGATCTTGCTCTGTAAGTCCCATGCAATTTTTCAACCTCGCCTGGTTGTTCATTGGACCACCAAGGTATTCATACGCTGACGGCCAATAACCACACAGTTTGAATGCAATCCAGAACGTGGGCCAGCTAGCTGCCCTTCCCTTCTGCGCCTGGGCCTGCGACCATTTCGGGCGCCGGCCCGCTCTCCTGACGGGTGCATCAGTAATGCTGATCGGCGTCGCCCTGCAAGGCGGCGCCCAGAACACGGGCATGTTCATCGCGGCGCGTGGCATCATCGGCTTCGGCCTAGCCCTCAACATCACCGCGGCCCCGCTTCTCATCATGGAGCTAGCTTACCCCTCGCAGCGCGCCCCCATGGTCAGCATCTACAACAGCCTGTGGGGGCTCGGCGCGCTGGTCGCGGCATGGACCACGTATGGGACGTTCCGGCTGGGTGATGACTGGGCGTGGAGGATCCCCAGCCTGCTGCAGGCCCTGTCGAGTGTGGTCCAGCTGCTGTTGTGTTTCCTCGTCGAGGAGTCGCCCAGGTGGCTCGTCTCGAAGGAGAGGGACGAGGAGGCTGAGAAGCTGATCGTCAAGTATCACGCCAACGGCGATGCGTCAGATCCGGTCGTGGTGCTCGAGATGGAGGAGATTCGGACTGCTCTGCGCCTCGAGATGGAGGCTGTGCGGTCCGCGTCGTACCTGGCCTTTTTCGAGACTTCAGGAAACCGCAAGCGGTTTTGGATCGTGCTGTCTGTCAGCTTTTTCAGTCAGTGGTCGGGCAATGGGTTAATCTCGTACTACCTCACGCTTATTCTCAACTCCGTCGGCTACACTGCAGAGTCCACGCAGACCCTCATCAACGCTCTGCTCACGCTGTGGGGCCTCTTATGGGGAATAGCCTTCTCTCTCATAGTCAACCGGTTTGGCAGACGAACGCTCTTCCTCACTTCTACTGCCGGATTATTGGTATGCTATGTCATCTGGACCGGCCTCGAGGCAACATATGAGATGTCTACCAACCTTAATGACGGAGCTGGCGGCCCTAGCGGGATTGCCAAGGGCGTCGTTGCCATTATCTTCATATACAACATGGTGTTTGCTCTGGGTTGGGGAGTCCTGCAGGTTACCTATGTTGTTGAAATACTCCCTTTCAACCTTCGCGCCCGCGGCCTGGTCTTGTACAACCTATTTGTTGCCCTGGCTCTGATCTTCAACCAGTACGCGAACCCCATCGGCGTGACAAACTCCGGCTGGAAATTTTACATTACGTACGACGTCTGGCTCCTGTTCGAGCTGGTCGTCGTCTACTTCCTGTTCGTCGAGACAGGCAAGCTCAGTCTTGAGGAAACTGCTGCAGTGATCGACGGCGAAGAGATGCAGAACAAGCTGGCTGCTGAAGTCATCCGAAACACCGAGAAGAGCCTCGGTCTCTCAGAAGTCCAAGTGGCCGCCCAAAAGTAGAATTTTGCCTTGCCTTCGCTAAGGCAACGGTCCTGATAGCTTCCTTTGGCTTGAGCAGCAACTTCATAGCCTTGGTTCAGATAGTGGAATAGCTTCCGCGCTGTTGGATTGACAAATCATACAATCTTGTGTTTGGTGTTTCCTCTATCAACTCAGGGCTAGGCGCATAATTGCATTGCGGGTATCCACATGTACTGATTGGTTCGCTGAGCTTATACTCCTGCCTCGATGATAGGCCACTTGGTATTTGCAGCCACAGCAGTCTTGCACAAAGTACTAGGTGACATCGATAGCATAAGTTCCATCTTCAAAACGTTCGCATCATGTGCAGGTAGTCTACAGGTGACCCGAAGCGCACTGACAGGAGCCACGCCTCAGACCAGCCGAAACCTCATATCCATGGCGTCTTCAGGAAGCTCCTCGAACCCATTGAGCACACAGTCGCCAACAACCTTCCAGGAACGGGGTCCGACCACCACGTAATCACCCAGACCTTCTTCAGACAACGCGTCCACATCCGAGCCTTCTTCAGACAGCGAATCCTCGTCCGTAGTGGCCACGGTTTCCGACCAGTCATGCTCCCTGACCACAAAGGGAACACGCGCTCCACTGATCTGAATCACCACGTCTCCCTTCCTCGCCTTTGTCGGAACCAGAGCGAGTTGTCCCTCTGCCTGCCTAGAACCTGCTGACTCTGCACTCGTGCAGGGCTCACAGATAGCTAACCTCCTCGAATCAACTATGGATCCCTCATCGATGAGATACATTCTCGCCGGGGGAACATCAACATCAAGATTCTGACCCGAGCCGCGCGCAGTCCCCTGTCCTCTGCGATAGAGATGTTGTTGCACTGGAATGTTAGGTGATTGTATGGTGGCCTGCTTTAGGTGACGATAGATTTGGGTCTCAACATTTTCTGCCTCCCAGAACTCTTCCGATAAGCTGGGTCCATCTTCCTTGGGACTGGAAAGTTGCTCCCGATGGACACTGTCCGCTTTGACCTTGTTGATGAAATCCACAGTTGCTTTGAAGTTGATGCCGTGATCAGCAAACAACAGTTTTCGAACCCACACCGCCATTTGCAGAATGAAACTCTCGGCCTCATCTTCAGCGATGTCTTTCGCATGCTTGAATAAGGCCTCATAATTCTGGTCCAGCCATATTGAATGCGAGACAGCTCCTATTCGCCCTAAAATCCGGCCAGTCACTTCCATTGGACCCAAAGAAGTGGCCTCGGCTTCAGACTGAGACCATTTGATGTTACTGTTCGCAACTCGAATTCGGCGTGACTCGATTTCTTCTTCTGATTCCGTCGGGAGAGTGTCGAGGATGGTTAGGTGGCTTCGATAAGAAAGAGAGCGACTTGTAACCGGCCCACAATAATCCCAGTTTGGTATCCAGGATGGTGTTGTGATAGCCGCTCTGTGTCCGGCCCCCATGGCCGAGAGGGCGACATAGGATAGAATTTCGAAAGAGCCAGTCGCTTCGATGACGTTCTTTGCGAAGTTGGTGTACAGGTCTTGCGGAGACAGTCTGTAGTCAACCCTAAACCTGGGGTCGTTTGTGTCAATGCCTTCGGCTATGCCTAGAACCCCAAAGATATTGTCTCTTGCATCTGAGGTCTCGAGGTATCTGCCTCTTTGAAGTAGCTTGAAGATTTTCAACACGCCCGGGGGAGAGCCGTTTGATTCAGGGAGCTGCCAGGAGGGCAGAAATTCGTCGAGACCACGGTGCCGTAGATACTCAACCCGTGCGCGGTGCATATGCCTTACGATATTCGTTTTATCGTCATCTCGTATGCTGAATCCATAACGGTCATGGTGCCTCTCCGAGAGAAGGACCGCCTTGCAGAAGCCGTCCCAAGGGATACGCCGATTGCCGCACTGAATAGATAGATTCCGTGAGACCACAATCTCCTGGACGGCCCACTGCCGTCTAAACCACGGTCTGGACAGCACGTCAATCTCAACGTCTCTGAGCTCGCCGCGGAAGGAGAGCAATTCTTCGTCTAGCTTTGCCGGGAGTGTCTCGTCACGCTCATGACGGTCGTTCAAGGCCCACGGGCTGTGTCTCTCCAGGAAATTCCAGGCAGCGACGCTAGTGTTGCCACCGTCTTGCTCCCCAAGCCAGATGATAGTTTCATAGGCGGCAGAGAAGATATCGCGCATCTGCTGTACCTGATGGTTCCGTTCATCCAAATCCTCCGTGTTCATGCAGACTGCGTCGACCCACAGGCGGATGGGGCCGTCCTGGCGACGAAGGTGGCGTAGTGCCGAGTCCAGGTTGGCGCCTATGAGGAGCCTCTGATCGCCGATCCAGATCTCATGAGTGAACTTGCGATCACCCCACGCGTATGAGAGAGCTGTGTATCCGTCATCTTCATTGCTGATATTGGAGAGGCGTACTTCAGAAATGTATCCCTCGATGTCGTCCTGCTCATTGTCGCACTCGAATACGGTCAGAACGCGTATGGAGTCTGGATGGGACAACGGCTCATAGAAACGCGCGTGGAACAATTGGTAAGGAGGGGCCGAACTGTCCATTCTCAACCGCCGTGTTTGTGGTGGATCAGGTGTTCTAAGCCAAGGATGCAACCAGTGGGCAGCCCGTAAGAACCCTGAAATGATTGATGCCGTTGACAATGTCCAAGTCAGATGTGAACAGAAACAAAATGGGTGGGGCCGGTAGAAGGGGCAAACGCTTGATGAGGCTCTGCTTCAGCTGACAGAGCAAGTGCTTACTGCATGCAGCGTGCATGCAGCGTACGGCTAGGCTGATTCGTCCATTACGTCGTCCTCTCCGGAGCTCATTCATTGAGCAAAGCTTTATTACTCGTCATCTTATGGCCGCTAGAATCTGCCTATGACAGCCCAGCCTTAGTGAGCGGGACCAATGTGGCCTGCAGAACCGATTGGTTTCCACAGGACAGCCGATGTCTGCCTTGGCTTCACCCTGCGTGATTGCTAAGTTATAGGCTCCTGTTTGAGGTAGAAAGGGCGATTAAAGCACGGATGTAAGCCTCAAGGCCAATTGATGCCATACTCAACTAAGACCAACCCAAAGAAGGGTCCGAGAGATAGCAAACGAAGTTGTGTAATTTGGACGGCAGGAAGACTCTACCATTGAGCGCACCTCCCCTGAGAGACTAGGCTATTATCTTCTATACCTGCGTACCCAACATTTCTCAGCTTTTCTGTGACGCTCTAGAGCTTGATATTTGCTTCAACATACACTGCTGCACACAAAATTATCATGATCATCCAGCACTCTCTACCGCGGTTCTTGCATTTACTATGCGTCCAATCATCCCCTTCATCGCTATAGTCCAGATCGCGGTATTTGCCGCATGGGTTCCTGCGCCACCCCTGCCTGCTTCGTTGCACACCATCCGACACAAGCTCCACGAGATCTCCAACATCAATCCCCACGGCGATGATGACACAACTGGATCATATTCCTGGGGAGGAGACAATAACAATAGGCAAGCCAGTATCCCAGAGATGAACCAGCCAGTTGAGGACGGTCAAAACTATGCCGACTGCGCGCCACAGCCCGAGGGACTTGGCCCGCGCCCGGAGCAAGTCATCAGTAAAACCCATCGAAATTTCTTCATTCTACTGACATCGCTTAGAGGAGACACTCCTACCGCCTTTCGTTACTTTGAAGAATTTTACCGGGCCTCGACCTCCGCACCGAACCCCAAAGGCTACGAATTGGCTGTTCAGGGCTTGGATGGCGCAATGGAGAATGACTTGGGCTTCCTTGGCAGCCATCTTCTCGAGCAGTACGACACCGAAGAATGTGCAAGATTCTGCGACGACCTGCCCACCTGCGCCTCATTCAACGTGTACTTCGAACGAGACCCCACCTATGAGCCCAACACGACCGCCGGCTGCCCCAACCCGCCCTCGACCACAAATATCATCTGCGTGCTTTGGAACTCTCGTCTCAACCCGGACGCAGCCATCAATTTCGGTGAGATCCGCGAGGAGTTTCAGGTTGTAATAACGGGGTCCAACCTTTACAACAAGATCAAAGGGCCGCTAGATCTTAGCGACATGGGCTTCAGTGGGCCATGGACAGACGTCGACAATGATGCAGCCTTCGAAGTCCCCGACGAGCCGACGGGCGACTACAGTACTCTTTTGAGGCAGCTGCCAATGTACTACCGCTCCTACGATGACGCCGCCACCCTTGACCAATACGATCCTACCCTCTGCGCCTATCTTTGTTCAAACATCACAAATGAAGCAACACCTTCTTTCCCATTCACCAACAACGCCTTCCCCGTCTGCAGCATGTTTGTCGCGTACGAACTAAGATACAAATCTCCTATAGCTATGGTGTGCGAGTTATACTCGTCTGTTTGGAGCAGTCGTTACCAGACTCTACGGGAAGTGATCGCCTTCAGTGGCGAGGGTGATGAAACAATCACCCTGCAACCCACAAAGATATCGGTATACCAACGAAACGACTACCAATACCCACCCATATGCGCGATGGACGACCATTGCGGTACAGATTACTATGCTGGTGGCGACTGCTCTGGATGGGGCCAAGGTTACTGTTAGACCGGCGACAACCTCATAAATATGTATAGGTGCTAGGAAACCAAGTGGAGACCTTCCAAGAACCTAGAATAAATTGAGAAGAATTGATATCGCGTCCTGATTTTGACCGCACTCGCCTCGCAGGGAAATCTTCAATCTGCAATTAGACCCCCGATCGCGTTTGCTGTTCCTGTATCCGATCCAGCCGGATCCATTGGATGTCCTTCCCCTCTCGTCACATTGCTCTATTCAGGATCGTCCCGAGACGCGGCCGCACGCAATGAATCGCGGTTTATCAAACTGGCCGACGCTATTAATTGATGTAATTCCTCCATCCATAAAATCAATCGTTCAGCCATCAAGCACCGCCCTCCCTTTTCGCATATTCATCCTCCATGCGCTCGCGATACAACCGATCAGCCGCCTCCTGGTCGTGTCCCTGGTGGCTCACATCCTCGATGCGCCTACTGCTGCTGCCGTCGGCCGGAGCAGCACCTCCCAGGCCCCTGTGCGCGGCTCTCTCGGCAGGGATCTCACGCCCACCCGCGTCGAAGTACCGCAGCTCCTGCACGGGGTGCGCATTGGGGCCATTCTGGGTGGTCGAGCGCACCGTCGTGCCTTGCGGGTTGGAGTGTTGCTCCTCGGCGTAGGAATGGCTTGTTGTCTGGCCGTTGCGGCTCTGGCTTGAGGAGAAGGATGTGGAGGAGTAGCTGAAAGAAGACATGGTTGTGGGCTGCTACTGCGAAGTCTGCCGTCGTGTTGTGTTGGGAGACTTTAGATGAATGAATTCCTGGACATGGATTGTTCTGGGTGAGAATGTCAGGATGGCTGTTTTGATCGCCACCGAAGATCTGAAGTCATTATGAGGGATGAGGTCATCGCTCGGGGTGCACGTGCTTTGGATGCAAGGGTCGGTTTGACGTCACCTCAAACAGAGGTATAAGCTGCAACTTTCTCTGCTGCTTCATGTTGTAAGCCGCGATTCATTTTGAAACACAAACTCTAATGAAGAGGAGAATGAATGCGAGCTCGTACATAACGACAAGCTTACGATATAGAATCCCTTTTAAACCACTCTTATCATATACCCTAAATGTATAGAGAGATTTACAATTTTGAGCGGCAAAAGAATAGTTCTATCGATGGTAATTGACCCAACACACTTCTTCTACCAGTGAGAACAGCTCACTGGAAAACGACAGACTTGAAGTCCCCCTTCTCCATGCACTCTCCACCTTTGATATGAATCGAATCGCCATTGCATCCGATATCCTTATTAGCTGTTATCAAAGCAGTACATTAGTAAAGTGTGTCTAGCAGATTCGAGACTAGATAGAATTGAAAGCAGCTTACCAGTGGCGTGGAGAAAGCCAGCGGTATTGTAGAAGAAAGCGCCAGTCTGGCCGTCGAGGTCATAACAGTTCCCGAGGACGGGGGCCGCGTGGTATAATATATCACGATCGTTTTTGCTGTGCCACCTGTTTAGCCGAAAAAATATGTCTCGAGACAGGATGCCTTCTCTTACCAGTCATCCAGGGTCCGGTATTGGTTCAACTTGGGCTTGTCCCTTGCGAACAGGCTGCCGGGTTGGGTTGGAGAAGCCATAGCAAATGGCAAGCTGAAGGCTGTTGCGACAAGGAGGAAATGCATGATGAATGATTATTCTGAGCTTTGAGATATGTGTCAAAATATGTGAGTGAGGTAGTGAAGATGGTTGCGAATTAGAATGTAAAGGTGAAGCAAGGTATTGCCTTTATACTTCTTGAACTGAGCGTCGGGTTGCAGCTCTTCGTGATTATTAGAGCTTTAGGTGCGCCGACAATGCACTGCTTTTCGTAACAAAATGCTCAACACAGGCAGGCTGCCGGATGTGCTGAGCACGCCTCGAGGAGATCGGACATTGCAACCGACCGATATTCTGACATTCTGTGATCTAGGCACCTAGAATCTAGGAAGGCATTCCTCCAAGCAAATACGACGCAGATCGAATTACGAGAAAAGCAGCAAGTTCATTGTAGCCTGCGAAAAAGCGGAGAATATCTGTAGATCGATCTGCCATTTTGAGAAATCTGACTCGCAAGCTGGGGACGATCTGGGGCGATGTATTGGGGCCGATCCTTACAGTGGACAGCCAAATACACTTTCACATACCATAATACGTGTAGGAAGGTCGCATTGAAAGCTAAGGCGTTCCTTATACATCTTAATGAGGCTGTACAAATGTGGAAGAAAAGCGATCGCCATTCCCAAAGGACTAACAGACCATATCAGATTCCACAACAGGAGTGAATGAAGGGCGCAGATGGTGACCCGAGCTTTTTCGGTACCGGTAAAACGTGGCATGCAGCAGGGCTGAGTCCCTTGACGGACTTTATCATCCAATGAGCAGAGACTTGTGGGTCGAACACTGCCTTTGTGTCTGGACCTGACAACCGGTAGCTTTTGACTTCTCCACCCAAAGTCGCTTTTGTTATCAAATTTGGTAAAGTGTGACCTGGTCAGTCCAAAATTGCCAACAAAAAAAAGCTGTACATGAACTAACGTTTGCAATCTCTATGGAGGTATACGAAGTGAGCACAGAAAGTTACACTGGTGAAGGCTTCACATGTTTTCTAATTACAGGTGCAAACCATGTGCTGCGGACACATTCCATCGGTCGACGGTACTTGCACGATGTACGTGGAGCCGACAGGATGATTGACTAGCTGGAAGGACACGGGTCAGAAGATGTGGTCTTTGCTTCTGCAGTAATACAGGATCTACAATGCCCCCAGCCTTGCCGATCTCCTTAGGCAGCATCATGAATGGGAGAAAGATGGCCAAACCAAAGAAGCAGAGAGCGCTTTCTAGTATACGATACGTGGTGATCCTTCGTGTACTTGGCCGCTCTCCAGATCTATTTATTATATATAGAGTGCATCAACAGGAGCTTTGGAAATGGATTCATCTCAGTTCAAGCCAACGCATTACCATCACTCCTCACCAGTCAATCATACACTTTGCATCTCTCCAGCCCAAATACTGATAATTAATTCGAAATGAACTTCCTTCTGTTCACCGCCGTCTTCACCATCTCTGCCTTTGCTCTGCCAGAACCGGTATCTGGAGGTGTTACTTTGTTGGCCAGAGACAATGTCAAACTGAACCAGTACCGCACTCTGGACGACTGGTAAGTGTACAGGTTCTGTCCCTTAATTCAAAATCAGCTCTCTCTAACGCATAACACTCAGTGAGAATGACAGAGACATTCTCTATCATGCTGCCCCAGTTTCGGGGAAGTGTTATGAGCTGGACGATCAAACCGGAGCTTTCTTCTATAACACTGGAGGCTTCTGGCAATCTTATTGTAAGCGCCAATTCTCGAACTTTTTATTTTCTTTTGACGAAAAATGTATGAACTAACACAAAGACAAATTTAGCCTACGATGACCATGGGTGCGGTGGTACATCACACAAGTTCCAGCGCTATACGGGCAAGTGTGTCGAGAGAGGCTCTCAGAACTCAGTGAAGTTCTCTTAGACGGCCTGCTGAGAAATTTCACTCCGCTCGCACCGCGCCACAAGAGGACTCGGAGGGGAATATCGTCTCCTATTTGTGTCAACAGGATGTCTTGGGACTCGCCTAGTTTCCCACCGTTGCCGAGGAGTGGAGAATAGTCAGCTACTTCGTTCACCAAGGACCTATTCATAGCTACTCAGTCCGCTTTGTTTTACTTAGTCACTCAATTTATTCTGTCGTCCTGCTGTTACATTCATTAGCATCAAAACTTTAGACAGACTAGTGAGATGTTTTTGTCACGAGGGACAGGGCTACATTGACCCCCAGCAACCTGCGGACTGAGCCGCATGTCGACTCATATATCTACCTATTTATTAAAAAGGCTGCGAATTGCACTTGAATGTTCTGGGAGAATCGATACGGCATCGAAGTCTCAAAGTCAACAAGTTTGTTTTACATATTTTCAACTGGATCACCTTTGCACAGGTTTAATAATATATATTGACATTTCCATCATCTTTCAAACTACAATCGGTATAGTATATGATTTAGTATTGATGGTCGATTTTAAATACGATACTTCTGGGAAATTGGAACCGTCAAGAGAACTATATCTACCTAGGTATAAGTCTATATATATTGCTAATTCACTTCTATTTTGAATGATATTCATTTAGTAACCCCTGATGCGTTTCTATTTCTCTCTTAATCGGCATACAATCGATATTTCTAAGCTTTTCAGTAAATGCTGTACCTGCAGACCCCGTCGTGGCTTTTTCACCCTCCGAGAAAATAGCCAACTTGAAAGTCATCATCCGTCTCTGTCTTTCCTATATACTCTTGCATTAGTTTCATTCCCCAAGCCTCCGTATTCTCTTCATATATTCGACGTTCTTCTCAAAACGGGAAATATATACGTCACCTTGTACATGGCATACGCCAGCGATGCAGGAACCCAAGAAATCATCTTTGAAAGGCATCGTCATGGGATCGGCCGCCAGATCCTACCTATGTTGCCAGGTCGAGCAATGAGTACGCCATCGATGAAACCAGTAACCGGAAAGTTGACCGGACCAGCCCGGTATGGAGCCGAGAGAGTCCTGACATGTGTGGAAATTATCAAGATCTAGTGATTTTCGAAAGCATCATGTGGTTCTTATGAACCTGAGTTGCGTGGCTTACGAGGCTCATTCGTGTCTCAATGCCTGTACTCTCAAGGCAAGAAAGTGCGGCCTGTTAAATTCCCAAGAACCTAGGTAGCTGCAAGGCTTATGCTCACCCGCTCCCAACCCACTGCGTGTCCGCCAGAGGTTTCAAGACAATATTAGGACATCCATTCATCAGTGTACCTAAGGGTGCGGCGGAGCGCAGTTCCTAGTTGGTTCTGGTCTAGCATTGAGGCCCGTGCTTTTCGCTATGGTCCGACTTCCGAACGGTCAAGGCTCTTCAAGGCTCTTGTTGTTGGCGACAACGCCACTCACTGGCCCTTTGCTCCAAGCCCTCACACGGATCTGGAACCGGAAGATCAGGCTAAGTGCCGCTTAGGCCTACTCCGCTATGCATTTAATAATCTACTTGAGAACATGTTGCCGAGTTCACATTTTGAACCCGCCCAAGGGCATGAGAGAATGAAAGAGGAATTAAAGACAGCGCAGCATTGTATTCCATCCTTACAAGTACTTCAACGTTGTACTTGCATATTGTGAGCTCCAAGATGTGGACTCTCTTGAAGAGAGTCTGCTATCTTGAAAATGCGAGAAACTGATTTGGGAGACTTCGGGAGTGCGAAGATGACGGATCAGCATGGGATACGAGACTAACTAGAAGATATTTTCGATTTAAAATATTGGATCTGGTTTTAGAGCGTACTACGTCCCTTTAGGTTGAATTAACTAAGATCAAATGATAGCAGTCTGTGGTGACAGGTGTTCTGCACAACGAAAAAGGTCATCATTCGACGCCGCTAATATGTCGGTACCATGCTAGCAAGTTTCGTTTTGACCCGGCACGCATACTGTAGCAAACCTCGTTTTTGACCGGTACGTGTGACAGGGAGCTTGAACCGGGCTTCAGAACTTAGCAAAGCATATGTGAATCCATTGATAGAATATGTCACATTACAGCCTCTCCAACACACGTGTGCTGGACCATCAGTTGCGGGCGTCTCAGCGAAGCGACCGCAGCAAATCATCACCTTCAAGACTCACTGAGCCCGGGTATACATGGATCCCGACCAAGTTCAAGGGCTAGTCGTTTGACAGAAGCAAAACTAGTCAAATCAAACTTTTGCACAGACTGAATAGTCATTCCTTAGTGTACTAGCTATCGTGTCTACATACACAGCACGAAGGACTGTTAAGGTTATCAGTCATGCACACAGACGACCTTAGTATTTTATTGTTGAATATAAGAGCGCCTTCTTGTGACGCTCTTCTGTTCTTTTCTCCTTTTTTTTCTTGCGACTCTTTCAACCATACGTTCAAACGAACGTTCGCTTCTAAGGTCACTTCTGAGTTCACATACTATCGAACCACTAGGAGCATCTACACAATCGAAAGACCCAATATGCATCTTCCTCTCAATATCACGGCTGCTGCGGCGGCGCTGTCGACCGCCATCCTGCCCAGCGTCCCCTCAGCCACTAGTCACTCACCCGCGTCTGTTTCCGTAAGTGCTTTCTATCTTTTGCCAGTCATTCTCAGTCACTTTAAATTTAATTCTGTTGTCCCCTCAATACTCTGCGTCACAAGAACTTGGACCCCGATGGAGTGGTGTCTGCGACTTCCTACAAACTATCCAATCTCACTATCTGCAGCCGTCATGGAGTGCAAAATGCTACGCGAAACCAGAATAGGCACCAACTATCGGCAATCATCACTTCCAAGAAGGGATTTTTGTTTGCCCCATTTCTGACCCATGTGACCGCTAACGAGACGCGCCGAACAGTGTGAACCCCCAGAGTTATGCAACTGGGAACCAGACAAAGTCTCTAGAGGATTCGGCCAGAATGATCCCATAAACCCAAATTTCCCTCCACCAGACCAGGCCTCTACGATATTCGGCCCAGCTTTGCCCGACGACCGGTTTTACCATATCGATGAGGACGCGTTGACGGGTTGCATCAGGGCTGCCGTGAAGACAGCCGGCAATAAACGGTGGCGGGAGCTCAAGATCCGGAGAGTGTGGCTCAAGTTCCTCGCCAAGAGCAGAGACCAGGGTCTAGTCGGCATGGATTCCAATGACGACAAAAACAACGTACCAACCTTGGTCGAGAAAATCCGAGGTCAGGTTGGTGACGCCCTCGAGCCTTCCGAGACAGACCCCAAGGAATGCGACGCCGTGGTAAAGAAGTTCACGACCACGCGAGTGTTCGACGAGATTCTGCTGGCCTGGGCCGTTATACACGGCGACATTGCGGCTTTGCCGCCAAAGCCTCCACAAGCCAAGAGGGCTCATCTGGTATACAATGAGACTGCTATCGCCATTTCCATAAATAGCCACTTGCGCAATCTTCTCGACAAGATCCCTCAGATCCCTGACCACTTCGGCCGTCACAAAAGCCACGAAAAGCGTGTTGTTCCGGATAACTCGACTGTCTCTGGCGACTTCACTATCCCTTACAATCTGACTATTCCGGAAAACTCGACCATCAACTCAATCGAGGAAGCCGAGAGGGAACTTGCGCTGCTCGCCAAGTCAGCGACCCTCACCAACGCTGACCTCGTGAAGCAATTCAAAGGCAACCAGAGCCTGATTAGCAACTTCTTTGACATTCCTTATATCCGTGCGCTTCTGCACGAGTTTGTCATGAGCGAGACACTCGTCTCGGTTTTGGACTCGCAGGAAAAGGAGTGGCTTATCCCCGATGAGTAGCGAAGCTCGCCCAGAGCATCCCACGGCTTTAATGTTCCCACCCGTCGTGGCAATACTCCTGTACCGCAGCCAAGGTTGGGTCTGAGAGAGAGTTAATGGGGATACCCAAGGTCGAATAAGTGCAATGTCGAGTGAATCTTGATGAGGCCGTCGTGTCTCTCTGCTTTCTTTTACATCTGTATAGTAACTGAAGTACTGGCTTCCGTGCTAAATGCATCCTATTGCAATTCCAATATCTGTCCTCGATTTCAAATAATCATGCGCTCAGTGCTTGTAATGAGACACTTTTGAGTGCACAAAGAGGGAAACACTAGATAACGTGGTAATTGTGATTTTGATTACGACTATTTTGAAAATGCTTCACAGCCTTGCTCGCGCTATATGTGCCGCCCATGGAATCAAACAAGGTGTTGGCATTTCGTCATTCCTCAGCTCAACAACCGTTATTTTGCGATCTCAATTTTCCCACGTTTCCGAAACATTTTACTTGGCTGCTATACCTTCCGTAGTGTTCACATTCTTCTCGCGGTCACGGAGCTCGGATTCGCTGGGGTCCTTGATAATCATGCCATCGACAACGTGAGCTTCGGTTCGTGGGCCGACGTAATATTTCCTGCCGGCGATAAACCAGTAGACGAGAGAGAAGAGGAGGACGAAGGCCAGAATCACGACAGCGTAATTCATCTGGAGCCAAGGATGTTAGCATATGCTACAAGGACTATAAAATAGGACGCAGCACTCACAGTATCCGCAGCAACGGGCCTAACGGTGGGGAAGAGGAAGATGACAGAGACAAATGCGGTCCATGAGCAAGCCCAGATGTTGACGAAGATGCTCGCGGGACCCAGGTGCCAAGGCCCGCGCTCGAATTTGTTGAATAAGAGCTTGCACAGAATCGGGATGCAGTACGACCAGTCCAGTGCGATGGCGCACAAGTTGAAGATGGCCGAGATGGTGATGTAGCTGCCCAGGCCGATGAGGTTGATCAGGATGCAAATGAGCGTGTAGAGCCAGACTGCCAGGACGGGGGTATCAGTCCGGCCCCAGATCTTATACCAAATACTTGAGCCGGGGAGCATCTCGTCGCGCGAGAAAGCCCAGATGGTGCGGCTGCCAGCCTGCAGGGCCGTGATGCAGACGAAGTTCATAATGATGAACGCGGCGACGGCGAAGAAGATAGCTGCATGCTTTCCCATGACATTGTAATAAATTTGTACGACAGGCTGCTCAATGGCCGAGGCGAGGATGTTGTGGGCCGGGTCGTCGGAGGTCAGATCCAGGGGTCCCATGCAGAAGGACAGAACGATGGTGAATAGCCATCCGACTACGTAGGTGAAGCCGAGGGCCGATGAGATGGCCGTTGGGACGGTGACTGCTGGATTCTTTGTCTCTTCGGCGATGCTATGTTGGTGGTTAGCATCTGCTAATTGCCCCATGAAATGAAACGAAGCCGCCAGTCTTCCGTAGTCAAACCTCGCCACAACAAGACCATTCCGAAATGTCCAGACCAAAATAAAAGAGTACTTACTGTGCTGCAGCATCATAGTCGGTCATCACTATTTTTGAAATTTGTAAGTAAAAGTCGGATAATTAAGCCTTCGCGGGGGGTACTATTGTCGTCGGCGTGTACAGAAACTTACCCCATGCGACCGACAGGAAACCAAACAAGAAGCTGAATCCTGGCGGGTTCCATCCAGAGTCGGGCTGGACCTCGGTAAAGACATAGCTGGCCGTGTTCTTGTCCTTCTGAAGAACAAGGAGGGCTATACAGCAAGAGAACAGAACCGCAATGTGGATCACGGCGTAGGTGCTGGCAATCTTGGACAGCCAGGCAGTGTTCAGGCAGTTGACAAGTGCGTGGAAGATGGACAAAGCGGCCATGACGCCGATGATATGTCCCTAAATTTGTCAGTAATTAGCGACATAGTCTATAGCACGTAGATTGGGAGGGACATGATTTTACTTGGGTCGGCGAATAGGTGAAGTCGGAGCCGATTGCTACCGCAGCCAACAACATCTGAGCTGCGCCGTAGCTAGATGAGGCACTACCGCAGATTTGGCCGATAAGGTTGAGCCAGCCTAGTATTTTACCCATCGTCAGCTATCGTGAGGACCTGGCCAGGTCATGCGGTGTAACATTCCGGGGGACTGGTATGGAAGGGAGGGGCCGATCCGGTGGTACTGGGCCGGAAATAGCGTAAAGAACATACCATCAATCCAGGCGATAACAGGCACCCACTTCTCCGGCGCGAGGTATTTAATAGTGAAATACATAGCACCTGCGTAAACGAACAAAACTTGTTAGCGTTTTCCGCATCCTCTCCTGTCGATTTTCAAAGACAGTCAAATATGATCGGAGTCAATTATCAGCAGTGATTGCGTACCAGAAGTCGGATAAGCTGAGGCAACCTCGGAAATTGACAGGGCCAGGCACATGGCCCCAATACCAGCGATCAACCAGCACCACACCGCCGACGCGGCGCCGCCAGCATAAAGGGGGTAAGAATAGGTCGTCATGACCGTGCCGTAAAGCCCTGAGATGGAGAGGGCGAAGCTGAAAGCGGACCACAGACCAAACTCGCGCTTAAAGACCTGTTGGTGTCGAAGAGAGGGTGCATCGTCAGACCGGATGTAGCATAGAATGTCCACGCCTGCGAAAGAACGCGGTGGCGGCCGGGGTCACTCACAGGTTTGTAACCCATCGCCGCGAGGGCAACATCGGCATCGTCAGCGCTGACTTTAACGGGATCTTGGTGCTGGTGGTTGGCCGCTGGCTCAGCGGATATCTTGTCCGGTGAATCGGCCATGGTGACGGCTGTCGCGTGCTACACGCGAACAGGCTTGTGAGGACGGATCGGTAGTGTTTGCTCGTCAGTAAGACGTCTAGGTTGAGACAGTCACAAGAATTGCGGTCGAGCGAGCCTTGTCCGCGATAAAGGGTTGTAAGCAGAAGGAATTCTGCTTAAAGGCGGACGCTCAGTGGGATCAGAAAAAAAGCAAAGAGAGACTCGACCTTCTGCGAATTGGGAGCGAGGTGTGGCTAGAAGATAAGCAGCGCCGGCGTAAGCGAGGAGCCCCGAGGGGCCTTCGCCGGCATTTAAACAGGATGAAGGGACGGAATGTAGCACTCTGGTGTACCCTGTCCCGGACGTGGCTGCTGCTAGTGGGGCCCGAGGACCGATCAACAAGTGGACAGAATAGCTTCGTACTCCCGGAAGGATTTGCTGAATGGGCACCCCCATCCTTGTCTCCTGACCGACGCTGACGAGATTGCCGAGATAGGGCCATTCTCGATATGATATGCACAACACCCAGTAAGCGGCTACCCATGTGCGCTGTAGCCGATAGCCGCGTGTCATTGTAGTCTCTAATCTAGAATGTGTGGACGAACTCACTGTGTTCCCCACTCGTCAGGTCGTCGGGTACATTGTGGGCGGTTCGCCCGACCTGACGGCTCGCCGTGAAGCTTGTCGAGGCTTGACTGTGACTGGCATCTTGGCGAGGACGCTAGAGACGTCTAGACAAACAAGCAGATGACCAGTGGCGGACTCGGGTGGATAGGACAGAAGCGGCTAGCTGCTGGCCTTAGTCGGCTACCTAAGTAGAACGAACCTTGGCGAACACCGCCGCACGACTGGGATTCCTCGCTCACCAAGCACAAAATTGGGTACCAGGGGACTGCGCAAGGGTAATTAATGATGGCCTCCGGCAACCAGATACTGATGAATGACCTGTGAGATAACAGCCGTGCTGGGTCCCATTGTTTCAGATAAGAATCCTGGATTGGTACCGCATTCAATGACGGCTACTTATCGATCATCCACACCTGCCACCCACACTCACCCACACTGGCGGTAACTTTCGTCTCCGGGCTAAGCCTAGGTCTAGGTCTAGTCTCAGCTTTCAACCGCCATTAATGCAAATACTGAGTCTTTTTGTGGAGAATTTCCTCAGGCCACCAGGGTGACAAGAGTCTTGCAATCTCCAAGGATATCGAGGAGATTGATCAGCGGATATGATTTCTCACAGAGAAGGCAGAGTCTCAGGCTCTAACTGCATGCAGAACTTGGGCGGAAACAGCATTGGATTTCACCGTCGTGTCTGGCGATGAAAGAACAACGATTGGAACATTGAGAATTTGGCTACATCATAAGTGCTCAAGCGCGATTATGTTTCACTTCACAATGAATAACATGGCTATTATAGTAATTGTCAAAAATGATTGCAGCCATCCTCAAAGCTTCGGGTCCCCTTTGCCTTCGACCACTTCCTCTTGGGCCCTGGTCTTCATGGCTTCCAACTTTTTCTCGTAGCTCAGAGAGTAAAGGACTTCCTTCATGTCGCTATTACAAGGCTCCGGCTCCTCGCGGAAGAAGATCTGATCCATAAACACCTCCACAGCCAACCCTTCCGATTGCTCGGAATCAGTCTCTTTGCCTGTCGAGTCACGCATTGGCCTGCCTTGAACCAGCATCTCTACAGCGGAGACGACGGTCTCAATAGGTGTAAACAAGTGCTGTGGGTATGTTTCCCACATCCCAGGGCCCATCAGCGGTGTCTTGACAATGCTTGGCAGTATTGCACAAGCTCGGATGCCGTCATTTCTCTTCAGGACCGGCGCAATGGAACGCATGAAATTCAGCACCCCTGATTTGGCTGCTGCGTACCACGGTGTGAACTCTTGTTTGTACTTTGCACAAAAGTCAGCAACGTATGCGAATGTCTTGACACGTATCCAATTGGGCAGCTCACTAGACCAACAATACTACATGTCATGACTAGCACAGCACCCTTCCCTTTGTCTGGGTTCGCGCGGAAGTAATGCTGTGCCAGATAACTCGTCGCGATAACGCCTTTAAGGTTAATCTCGATGGACAGGTCCTTGGGCTCGGGGGGTGGACCGTTAGTCACGTCATGCCTTTCGTAAAAATTGCCCTTCTCGAGAATTCCCGCGTTGGCGAAGACAAAGTCCAGCCTTTCGTGCTCCTGTTTGAATACAGCAGCGAAGGCCGAGGACAATGATGGCCACGACGTCACATCCACCTTGTGGAAGATCGTGTTTTGCAGCCGTGAACTGACCGCACTGCCTGCGAGGCCGTTCAGGTCGAATATGTGCACCTTCCAGCCCTTCGAGATCAAGGCCTCCGTCACGGCCAGACCGAAACCTGAAGCTCCGCCTGTGATGATCGCTACTTTGAGTGACGACATGTTGGAGCGCGCAACAAAAAATCAGGTACCAAGCCAGGCTCCTTATCCGATAGGCTATCCAGAATTGACGATAATAGGGTTCGATGATAGATTTTAATTCATCATGGCATGTGTAATATGGGTTCCGATCTCTTCATGAACAGCGCATTTGTACATGATTTCACGCACGGATTTAGAATTCCGTCTAATTTGATGTGGCAGGTGGGGTACAGCAGCCCAAAGCAAACAACTTCATGGGGGCAGCTGCAAGGACGATCTCTAGGACCAATACCGATATGATTGAAAATTAGAGCAAACAAAGTCATTCTCCTTTTGTTGCATATGCGGGGGTGGTAGTGTACTGTATACCTACCTATATACATCAGTACTGTGCAGATCGACCAGGAAGATCAGGGCGGGAAGCTTGCCATCGAGATGAAGAGATGCTCTCCTATGCTTGATACTATCTGTTTGAATGGCAAGGTGTCAATGCATCTTGAGTTTTGCCGCAAGCTGAGTTTTTACTGAGCCAGATAACCGCCATCCATTACCAAACAAGAACCGTGTACAAAATTGCTCCGAGAACCCAGCAACCAGACGACGCCTTCAGCAATCTCTTCCGGTAGTCCAAAACGCTTCATAGGTGTCCAGTGGTTGATTTTAATGAGGGCGTTGTCTCTCATTGCCCCTGGCGCATCCGTGAGAGGCGTTTTGATGTACCCGGGAGCAATAGCGTTGCACTTGATCTTGGGATAGTCGAGAGCTGCTGTTCTTGTAATTCCTGCTACTCCGTGCTTGGCAGATGTGTAAGCACCTGAATGGCGTAAGCCAACGATGGCGGAGAGGGAGGCTATGTTGACTATGGCGCCTCGTTGCATTGGAGCATATGCTCTAAGAGTTCGGTTAGCACAGTTCATACAAACCTGCCTATCATTTAAATCAGAGACTCACCCATATGCGACTGTGGGCTCTTGTGCCATCATTTGGTTAATCTCGGCCTTCATGCAGAGGAAGACACCTGTCATATTGATGCCCATCATTCGATCCCAATCTTTTAAATCGGTGTCGGCGAGGGGCTTTTTCAACCCAATACCAGCACAATTGACCGCGTAATCAATTCTGCCGAAAGTCTCAACTGTTGTCTTGATTAGGTTCATGACTGAGCTTTCATCCCTGACGTCGACATTGACTGTAATGCATTTAAAGTCCTTGCCAGTAGCGATCGCTACCAGTTCCTTTCGCGCGGACTCAAGAGCATCAGTGTTGATGTCTGCCACTGCAATGCCTGCACAAGCTTCTCGAGCAAGCAATAGAACGATCGCACGCCCTATGCCTGAAGCACCACCTGTGACCAGCGCATATCCTGGAACTCCTAACGCCGACTGAGGCGTACTGGACAATGATGGATTACTCATGATGTGGTGACAAAAGTTGAGAAGGAAAATCAAGGGTATGTTGCTGCAAAGATCTGAATGTTGTTGATTTAGGCCACTCATATCTTATACTATCTGAGACAGGTGACGGACGCAAGAGTAAAACAATTCATGATGGATTCCGCACTTCTGCGTGGCTGTGTAGGTAGGGACCTGGGTTCCTGCCTTCTCTCTGTAATTGTACATTTCGGAAATGCAAAGCCGCAGGTCATCTGAACCAACCCGAAATGAGCAGCAATGCCGAGGATGGTGACTCCATTCAGCTATGTGCGAATTCAATGCTGGCAGAATCTCGACATGATTTTAACCCAACCTAGTTTCATTGTCGGACGGAGAACGGATTGTTCTAAGTAAATTCATTTAATGGAAGGAGAAACTTGATTAAAGACCTCAAACGCAACTCTAAGGGGCCTACGGCTGGAATTAGTTTTGACCGATATTCTGAGACTGGTATTTCAGTATTCACGCTATTCTACAAGCCCGGAGAGCACCGCGCTGCCCGAGTACAAATGTACTAATGCTGATGTCAGGATTATAACCATGATCCATGTCCAAATTGATGCGTTCTGGACTTTCCGAAGAGCCCTTCGAGAGATCCAAGTCACGATTCCACCCTGGAGCGTGAAGTCACCCCAGCGCGGAAAGAAGGTTGCCCTCCAGAACGAGGATGCCATTCCGGGCCAAGACGCGGAATTTCGACCAGCAGAGTTGATGTACCAGTTGTTATAACCGGAATTAAAGACTGTCTTCGCAAGAGTCTTGTCAAGATCCTTGACAAACCGCGTCTCAGCTTCCTCTCTGACCTCTAGCACGTCCGCGTAGCCATCAATGATGGTCTCGAACAGTGTCTTGGCTAGGTATTCAACCTGCACTTCCACCGCGTAGATGACTGAATTGAACGCAGGAAATGTGTTTGGCCCAAATAGAATGCCGAAGTTTGGGAAGTTATGGACGAATGTTCCCATGTACGCTTGTGCTCCTCTCTGAGACTCCCACTGGTCTTTGATCCCGACTCCGGTTTTGCCCACGATTTGCATGGGTGTCAAGAAATTAGAAACCTGAAAACCAGTGGCCAAGATGATGATGTCGAAATCCTCTTGGTACCCATTCTCGCTGATTATTCCAGTATCAGTTACTTCACGGATTCCCTCTGCTATCAGATCTACATGGTCTAGATGCAGAGACGACAGATAGTTCGGATCAAATATGCGTCGCTTACACCCGAGTGCGAAGTCTGGCACCAACACTTCATGATATTTCTTCGGCGCTTGAGAGTAAATATACTCTTTTGCGTTCTGTTCGATGTCTCTGCGCTGTTTGACTTCCTCATGCGACGATCCATAAGATGAAGCGAGGTTATCGGTGTCCAAAAACGTTTTGAGGCGGTAATACCTCTGCCAGAGAGGGATGTACCGGAAGCAGAAGCGTTCGAATGGGCTGAAGCGGTGGTTTGGCCGCGGATGGTACCATTGCCGACCTCTTGCGAACCTGTAAATTAATGTCAGTCACGGCAGGCTATCTATCAGGAACAAGCAGAGTCTTACTGAGTAAGCTTGGAGACATGCTTCGCTATCGATGGTACAACTTGAGCAGCACTGCAACCGTTTCCAATCACGGCAACTCGCGTGCCTCTATAGTCGCAGGTATGGTCCCACTGTGCCGTATGGAATACCTTCCCTGTGAAAGATTCCAAGCCGGGAAAATGAATCTCTCTTGGTATAGAAAACCCCCCAACGGCGGTGAGAAGGATGGCACAGGTCTTTGTAAACCTCTCTTTCGTCGTGGTGTCAACGAATTCAACCTCCCATTGTTGCTCTGGCGATAGCCATATGGCGCCAGTGCATTCGCTGTTCAGCCTAAAATGTGACCTCAGTGAAAATTTATCGACAGTGCTCTCGATGTCTGTTGCTTCCGTCAGCATTGTACTTAGTAGTCTCCTCGAATCTGGAAATGGTGCCTACATTGCAGTATCTCTGACTGATCACACAGCTCCTCACTCCAATCAGGGTTCAGATTGAATGAAAAAGAGTATAGATGAATAGGCACATCGGAGCCGCTTGAGAATGGTCAGTGAGTTGTCCAATAAGTCATTTCCTCCATGCATACCATCCGGGATATGTATTTGCTTTCCACGTGCCGCCGATAGAGTCACGCTTTTCAAAAATCTACAAAATATGTCAGCCAGTACAACTCTTCTATACGGCAGTGAGAGCCTACCTCAAAATTAGTGTACCCCAGCTTGTGTTTCAATGTATGAGCCATGGCGATACCTGACACACCAGCTCCAACGATGATGGTGTTCTTGGCAGGCATTTTGAGGTGCGATGCAAGGCGGCTAAGACGCAAGGGATGAGGTCGATGATGAATTGGTATGCGAGAATGTGACAAAATCTTGATGTATTTGAAGTTTTTAACCGAATGTTATGTGGATGGTGCTGTTGATCAAGTGTCGAGTGGTCAAAGGTCCTCCGTTACTCTCCATCGCCTCAGGAGTGGCGTTGCTTGCAGTGCTCGATACGCCTTTGGATGCGGCCAAGGGTGAATTGTAGAAGTGAGCCACTCCGTTTCCACTTGAGCCAATTGCTTCTTTGCCATGGTGAGACGTGATTAAGGAGCTTGTGTGGGTGCAGAGTTCACACGGAAATCGAATTCCGTCTACAACGAAGCTAGATTCCCCACCACTGCCCACCAAGCGGGATATACGTTTACGCGGGTACGTAAATGACGTCTTTGAATCCTTGGACGATAGTATTCCTGAGATGTATTCTGTGCGGTATTGTGTATCGTAGCTAATTGACATTCAGGAGTTCATCAGAGCTCGTAGTCTCCTCGTGTTAGCCACTGTTCGTATGAGACAAATGCCTTGACTGACCCCTGCAAGACGTTCCCCAGGCTACCCCGGATCTACCCCGGATTTTGGTGGGTCAGTATTTGACGGCTTGGAAGACCCAGAGCCCACTACCATCCACTTGAGACCCTCAATAATTCAACATCTAGGGGTACACTCTCGCTACTGCCCTCGCTCAAAGGTTGAAAGTTCTAATTTCAATCTCACAGTCGACATCAAAGTGACAAGATGTATTTCAAGTATGCTCAAGGACGCTTAAGCAGCCGACTCACCTATCGGCTCATGTCAACAAGTTGTGCTCTGGTAAGCTAACAGCCGCTACTGAGGGATTGAAACTCATCACACACAGGCATTTGCTCTCTACGGTTACGATGCAGGAGTTCTCGGTGGTGTTCAAAACACCAAAGCATTCCTAGATGCAATTGGAGTGAGCCCAATGTTCTGGAAATTAAGGGCACCAATGACTGAAAAGCAATAGAATCCGCAACGGACATACGATATTCCAATGGTCGCCTCTTCGTATGTGTTGGCAGCTACAGTTGTATCAGCCCTGGTCTTCTTCGTAGGCATGCCACTGGGTCGACGAGGCTGCATTCTTATGGGTGACGGTCTCGTCATAATTGGGTCTGCCATTCAAGCTACTGCGTTTTCTATGCCCCATATCATTGTTGGAAGAGTTCTTTGTGTAAGTGGCCCAAAATACAAAAACTGCTATCATAGGTCGCTGTGAGTGCTAACATCTTTAGGGATTCGGCATCGGCGTAAGTTGAGTCCATGCGCGTGTTAGTCGTTTAACACTGACCACGTTCAGTTCATCTCCAGCACAGTTCCCACTTACATGGTAAATATTCGTGTGCCTTTCCTCGTTGTCTTTATGATAACATTTAGTAGGCCGAAATGGGAACCGAAGCATCTCAGAGAGGCCCAGAAGTCGCCAAACAATGTGCGTGGCTGATAACCGGCATAGCCGTGGCTTACTGGGTACGCCAATTCCATAACCACCAGCTGAGGAGCATACTGAATGTGAGCAGATTGATTTTGGTACGACAAGATCAAACAGTCAAGCATCGTGGAGATTTCCAATCGCATTCCAGTCCTTTTTTGCTTTTGTCTCGGGTATATGCCTACTATTTCTTCCCGATACTCCACGATGGTACTACGCCCGAAACAGGATCGAAGAAGGAGATGCCGTTTTAGCCCTCTTGAATGATCGCAATCTCGATGATCCACACGTGCAGGAACAGAAACGAGATATTCTTCGAAGCATTCAGGTTGAAGCTGAAGACGAGAACAAACTCAGCCTTATAAGCCTGGTGTGGGATAACACAGAACTGCAGGTCGGACGACGTATTAGAATATCATTCTTGATTTTATCAATTCAACAGATGATGGGTAGGCATGATATATATGTTCCTGTCACACCCCAACAGTGCTGATCACTACATAGGTATAAACATGCTGGTTTATTTCAGCACTCGCATATTTGCAAATATTGGATTGACTTCTTTCTTGTCGCAGCTCTTGGCTGCTGTGATGAACACTTTCTTTGCCATTGGGACATACTGTAAGTCACGCCAGGAATCAAGCCGGAAGCAAGGGCTAAAATTACCTTCAGTTACTCCAGGAACAATTGAGAAATTCGGTAGAAGGGCAATCTTGCTCTGGTCAGCTGTGGTAATTGGGATTTCAATGCTAATTTTTACGGTCATGATTGCGTTGCCAAACCCCACGCTGGCAACTCAGTGGACTGCTATCGCATTTATCATTATATACAATTTAGCATTTGGCTATGGGTGGGTTGGCTGTCCATGGCTGTACGGCCCTGAGGTAAATTCACACCTAATCAAAGGTTCTTCATTGATCATTTAGCTAACGTGTATCAAAGATTGCGCCGCTTCGATATCGCCATGTTGCTGGAGCCGCTGGTTCCTTGGGCGAGTGGCTTTTTTCCTTCATCACCGTCTTCGCTGGTGGAATCGGGGCTGAAGTAGCTGGGTGGAAGATCTGGATTTGGCAAATCATCTTTTGCATTATTGCAGTTTTATTCGTGTATTTCTACTGCCCTGAGGTAATGAGACCACTGAACCTCCTCAGAACTTACTCACAGACGCTGACTTTTTCATGCAGACCAAAGGCAAAACTTTGGAAGAGATTGATGAAATTTTCGCAAAGTCTGGTGCTTACCACGATGCCGGAGTTGACGAGAAAGCAATGGAAGGTAGTAATCAAGCAAGCGACATATCGCATGTCGAGCACTCGGGTGACTCTCAAGTACGAAAATTTTGACAGTGTTGAGGGAGGCCAAACCAGGCAAAGGAAAATAGGAAGTCGATTCTGTTACAAGTCACTTTGACACGGCGATTCATTCTTATTCATATCAGTAGAACTATCAGATTAATTCTCGATATCTATCATGGGATGGAATCATACACGATGGAGCACCACAGCAGTGGGGCCCCGGTTTACCACAGTCCCACCATGAAATTGACAGGTTAGTGACTATCTAACCACCCAAATGTAAGTCGACCCATAGCCAGCCCATCAAGTCGTCTAACAGACTAGTCCTTGAGGAGTACAATCCTGGTCCAGAAATTCGCCAAGTCAATACTTTTCGAGAACCTTAGAGAGTGAACATCGTCATCGACCGAAATCGGTCTAACGCGTGGGAGAACCCAGCACTCTTGCATGTACCCCAGATTCTCAGATCCACACCTGCAGATCCCCTAATCACCTTACCCACATGGACACATTGCCACGCTAATGTAGCCTTTCCCCGCAATGCAGAGGGATAATGCTTATCCACCACCCCTCCATTTCCGCTGCGGACATTATCACTGCCTCTAGATGCATGTGGATTCCAGCACACCGTCGGTCACATACCCGAACAAAATTACAACCCGGATCTTGTACCGCCATGCACAGCACATCTGCAGGTATGGATGGGAAGAAACATGTAACGACTGCTTGTACATATTGCCGCCGAAGGTAAGTTCAGTATCCTCTCGAGTTTGACGACCTCATCTACTGATGAAAACTTGCGTGACAGGAAAATTAAGGTTCGTCCAGTGACTTCTCCTCTAGCTATATTCGAGTGTTCTCCTGATTCAATCACTTACTGCGGAACTGCCAGTGTAACGGCGAGACACCTTGTTCCAACTGCCATCTGAGTAAACAGCCGTGCGTATACAACGCAGCTGACGACAAACGAAGGTACAGTTTCTGTACTGGAAGGTCGCAAAATTTATATATCCATTTTACCTAACGCAAGATGGCAGAATCCCGGGAAAGAACACCCATGCTCTACGTGCCCGACTTGAACAACTTGAGCAAACTTTACAAGCACACAATATTGAGCTTCCACCTCAGGCGCCTGCTGAACATGCACAAAATCGCGGTCAGGATCATGCGCGAAGGCATTCGGCACGAAGCATCTCATCCGGCCGCAGCAGTGAGACTTCGCCGCATGCAGATGATCCCATGGTACCTTCAGGTAGTTACAAACGATCTCAGGATTTGAGGAGAGCCTCTTCGACCAGGATCATGGACTCAGCTCCGCCTTTCGACATCTCAAATCAATGCACAGCAAGCAGCCATGTCCAAACCCAGGTTGCTGAGCCTATCGAGATACCTTCAGAGGGCCAAAGCAACCTACGAGACTTCGAAAAATATACAAATTTTGACGATGCCGTGCCCCTTGGCACGAACTCGTCACCTAGTCCTAGATTGACCAATTACGCGGGAAACATCCAGGCAGAGCACACTGATCCAGATAACATGACGAGCTCTCTTTCTGCGCGAATGGGCTCACTGCAAATCGCTGAGGATGGCCAACTTCGCTATTATGGGCCGACCTCGAATCTCCACCTTTATCACGCTGGTCTTCATTCCTTATCACGATCTACAATTCGACATGTTGCCACAGAGGGATCGCAGGTTTTGGCCCGAGCCGGTATAGATCAACCCGTCGCTTCGGATGTTGAACGCCACCTAGCGGATCTATACTTCTCATGGGAGGATCCAGCAATACATGTGGTGGACGAAGAAATACTTTTCCTGGAAAAGCAGAAATGGAAATCCGGACAAACAAACACACCTTATTACTCCGAGACGCTAAACAATGCCATGTAAGTACCCTGTTCAAATGATCACTTCGATGCTATTCTGAGACATCCAGCTGTGCAATTGGCGCCAGTCTTGCCAGCAGCAGGATGGAAAGTGGCCATTTTCCAAATCCCGAATTCTTTTCATCACGAGCGAAGGCCCTGCTTGATATCGAGATGGACAGTCCGAGCGTGGCAACTGTGCAGGCACTGGTTATAATGAGTGCCACTGAAGCAGCCTTCACTCGGGACGCTCGGGGTTGGCTGTATAGCGGTAAGTTGGTGACATCACGAACCGAAGCAGTGAGCAACTGATGGATCCTCCAGGCATGGCTGTACGGCTTAGTGCTGATCTCGGGTTGCATCTCGATGTGACAGAAGAGTACCGCAATGGGATGCTCAGTCAAAGGGACTTTGATGTTCGAAGGACCACCTTTTGGGGAGTTTTCATCCACGACAAGTAAGAATAACTCTACAGGATTTGCACCCCGGTGCTGACGGTGTAGCAGCATGTGGAGTATGTATGTGGGACGGCCATGGGGCATCAGCATACGCGATATCTCTGTGTCACGGCCCATGAAGGAACTTGACGATATCAGACGCAAAGTTTGGAAGGCATATCCTGCAATCAACAGCCAACCTCAAATTCCCGAAGGAGGCTTCCAGGATCCGTTGGAATCCTGTACAGACGCCAACATCAGTCTGTGCGAGTTCATGAGACGGATTAATAGGACCTTGTGAGTCTGCTCTATTCTATACTTGAGTCATTCATGTTTTAACATTAGCTAGGTACGCTGGACGCAAGGTAGGAGTGGACGACCTAGTCCAGTTCTTGCGTGAAATGCGCGAGGAGCTCGCATCCTGGAAAGTCGGTCTGCCTCGTCAATTGCAGATTGACCCATCAAATAAACAATCCTTATATATTCCGCATGTAATGCAACTACAGTAAGTACGACTCTACTTGGAGTGGATCATGCGAACTGACACTATGATTACTAGTATGCAATTTTACGCCGTGGTCATATTCTTATTGCGGCCCTACTTTTCTCGAGACCTTCTGCGTCTCACCCAGGCAATGCCGTCACAGGAAGACCGCCTAGCGGTGGCTTCTGTGCGTTCCGAGTGCATTTCAGCGGCACACAACATGGCCGAGGTCTTGAGATGCTATCGGGAGCAGTATTCACTCAAGTACACAAACGTCCAGATCGTACATCTCATCTTCACGGCGTCATTGGTCCACGTCTACAACGCATGCACATGCAGTCCTCAGGAGTCACAAGCAGCGACCGAAGATCTGCAGTTCTGCTGCCAATCACTCGGTGAGATTGGCGCCTACTATGGAAATGCCACCCGAGCTTTGGACGTCGTCATATTCGTGAAACGAGAGTGGCAGAAGCTCGCAGCCGTCCGCACCGCAGCAAGTAGCCAGAAGAGGGCAAGGATGTCAGGGCAAGGGCCGGGAGACCACGAAGAAGAGATTAGCTCGAGGCTGAACAAGAGAAGGGAGTCATTGTCGATTTTCGACCCTTCCGACCCACCCCGCTTCACCACTCCAACCACTTTCGAGACATTCAGGACACCAGCAGACAACAACCCATCATTAGGCAATTTCCGGAGAGAGGGCGGGGACATGTACGACGCTTGGCATTTCCTCAACTGGGCGGAGATAGACCCCGATCTGTTGAACGGGGTAGACCCGACTGCACAGGCGTTGAATAGTGCGATTCCTGGCATACTCGATGGAGAGGACAGTGGCTCATTCTCGATCACCTAATCAATCCCCTGGAAAAAGCCAGTCCCGGGCTGGCTGCCAACACTTGTCCACATGAGCCGCCATGTCCATCGCATGATCGAAATCTGCAAGTTGCGTTGCGGTAATCTGCAGTGACGTGGGGTAGAAACGGAAATCCAATTTCCGCCGCCACTGTCTGTGGCAAGCGAAGTGCAGCCCCCCCCCTGTCGTTTTGTCAATGTTGCTAGCAAATTTGCATTGTTTTTACAGCACAGCTCACTCTCAAATATTTTCGTACTAAGCAAAACTTGATTACTAATCAAATTTACAACTATCAGCTCAAATTGATCATTATTCATCAAAATCTTGTTGCGCATTATCATTAATCCTGTTTTATATATATCTTTAGAATGCTCTAAGAGTATAGAATCTAATCCAATTGACTGCATCTTGATTGAACGTATACGCAGCGTGTTATTAGAGGATATTTATGAGTTGCCGATATTGCTAGCAAATTTGTGTCGTTTTTGCGGCAACGGCTCAAGCGACAGGGGGGGGGCTGCACTTCGCTTGCCACAGACAGCAGCTGTCGCCCACCTCGAGCCGCTACGCTAATATGCGGGAACTGCGAGCCCCGCAAAATAGTCGCGTCCCTCTCACCAAGCCATATTGACAACCCTGAAGGTCCCTTTCTCCGGAAGGAGTTTCCGCTACCTTTGTCGCGTCGCGCATGTGTCATCGTTGCTATTGGATTATTGTTATTCGCTCCTAGTCAAGGCTCGAGCATTATACTCCATCTACGACCGCGGTTCAGAGATTCTCATCAATACCACATAGTCATGACTCACAATTTTCCTAAATTTGACGAACTTCCAACGGTGCCAAACACGCCTCAAGGATGCCTCTGGGGGTTCTATGACAAGAGTGGTGAGAAAGATGAGGTAGGATGTGAGCCTACACCCACGCAATCAATCCAAAGATATAGGTGTCAGCTAATGATATGCGGAAGCCATCAATCTATTGACTCCAGAGGTCGTCATGAATGCCAGTAGCGAGATTCGGATAGGCAGGCATCTCCAACTCGACTGGCCACTTCACTCTCTCAAGTTCCCAGGCTTCGCGCGTAGAGCTCTGCAACATCAAATCCTGGACAACCACGCCACGCTCAATGAACACGCATTTGACGATGAAGTATACTTCAATACTCAAGCTGGCTCGCAATGGGATAGTTTGAAACATGTGCGTGTCTGCTGATATTCAGACGATTTTCAAAAACTGTTTCATGCTGACTTGAAGATTGCTAGTATGCGTACCAGAAAGGCAAGGTTTTCTACAACGGGCTGACACTTGAGGATGCCAAGATCTCTGTCACCAATGGATTACACAGTAAGAGCAGCCAACTTTGCTGCCAAACAGTCTGCTGACAAGCGAATCAGACATTTGTGATCGTGGTGGCATTGTCGGCCGTGGAGTCCTTGTAGACATGGTAAGTTGGAGTAAATGGCAGCGAACCCCGTTTTATACTGATGAAATTGAAGGTAAGATACTGGGAAAAGACTGGTCAATGTTTGCCGGACCCATGGTCAACCTACGCTGTCAGCTACAAAGAATTGGATGCCGCTCTAGCAGATCAAGGGACGCAGACGAGACAAGGTGGCATTCTTCTCATCCGATCTGGTTACGTCAAAAGACACAACGAAGCTTCGGATGAAGAGAGAAAAGTAGGAACCCAAGGGAGTCAGTCCATAGGACTTGCGCCTAGCGAAGATACCGTTCGCTGGCTCTACAGCCGTCACTTCGCCGCCGTGGCTGGCGATACTGTCGGTTTTGAGGCTCTACCAAGGGATTTTGAGAACCCGTTCGCGCTTCATGAGTGGTTGCTGGTCTTTTGGGGTACGCCTATAGGCGAGCTCTGGAATTTGGAGGGTCTGAGTAAGACCTGCGAGGAGTTGAATCGGTGGACGTTCTTCCTCACCAGCGCGCCGCTCAATATTAGAGGAGGCGTCGGGAGTCCACCAGGGGCCATTGCCATCTTTTAAATCACAGTACATGAACGACGCACATTCAGCTGTGCCTGCATGAAGTCTTTCCTGTATTGTTGTTGATAATAGTGCGTCGTATATAGACTGTCCCGAGTGGTTACTCAATCACCCTCAAGGCATCATCACTAACGGAATTTTCCGTTGCAGTGGCTCCACTCCATCCCCATTCTCTGGACGACTGGAATTAGAATTTGCCAGCTCCGGTTCGCCCGGGCACATACACTAGCCGCGGACATCGACATTGACCTAAGGCAGCTAATAACTTAGAGGGTCGGCCATTGGTCCGGGTTGTAAGCATCGGTATCACCGTTTGACTGCCACACTTGTAAGCTGCGATTAGCGAGCACATGCCAACCGAACACCATGAGGATGAGCCAATGTCTCAAAAACAGGACATCGGCCATCGTTGACCGAGCGACACCGGTGGGTACCGCGATAAGCGCGTATCTAAGTTATGGACGTATTTCCAAATGCGGTCTAGTCAGACATGCTGCCGTGCGGCCAAGCAAATAGGTTGTCATTTGACATTCTGCAGTTGGTTCTTTGTTGCGTGAAAAAACGAGGGGAATGAAGAATCTGATTTGCTCACAATCTGGGTTCAGAAGGGGGGGCCCGTTGGGCCCCATACTTTACCCAAAATTATTTTCGGAGCAGGCGTTTGCGCGACCTAAAAAACGGCCACTTTCATTGTCGCATGTTCAAAACTTATTCCTGGGCACATTACCTCAAAGCCTTCTACTCCTCGAAATCAACACTCTCCCTTCCTCAAACGTTTCCGTGCTCCGCGAAGTCCCAACCGATCCTGTCAGCCTGTCAAGAGCAGCGCCAAGCGCCTATCGAGAAAGTCCGTCAAGTCTCACCACGATGGTCTACCGTGTCTACATGCTCGCCTCCAAGAAGGCAGACGTAACTCTGGAGGAATTCAAAAGTCACTGGGATAACGAGCACCTCAACCTGCTCAAAGAGATCGGTGGCGACGCCTACCCCAAAGTCCATGCGCACAGATATCCGGCCCAAGTGCTGGGCCCTGAGGGTGCTGGGTTCGACGGAATCGGGTATCTCGAGTTTGAGAAGAAGGAAGACTTTTTAAGATTGACAACGATTTTGGGAAAACCAGAAAATCAGGCAAGAGTGAATGAGGATGAGAAGAAGTTTTTGGACATGTCCAAATTTCAAATGTATGTGGTGGATGATGAGGTGTGATATAGCACATGATTATGTATGTCCAATCTTTTGGTTTTTGCAACAGTATGATGGGAATTTCAAGGATGAGGTTGGAAACTGTTGTGAGCCGGAAGCTGGGGCTCAAGTTTTCGCTGTGTTGCAAAGCTTGACGGTCAGTCTCAAGGTGGTATCTCATGCGCCGGCAGACGGCATTCATACTGCCGGCCCCCGAATACCATATTGCGTGTGCGCCGGAATTATGAAGCGGAAGTTATTCACTGACACAAAGGTTCCGATGAAAGTCAGGGATAGAAACATGTATAAATTTGCGGATCTACGTTGGCAAATTATCCCGTTCGATGAAAAAATCGACTGAAGGAGTACGATAATAGCATCGAAGTCAAAACTTGTTTGGCCGAAGTCACAGGCCAATGCAGAAACGCCCATTAGTGAATGAATAGCAACCAAGACTGGGATGTATCTTGCTCTTGATGATAGGTCGATCCCGTGCAGCAAATGCATTGAGCTTTTTGAAAAGAGACCAAGCTCTCGATCTCTTAAGCCGACTCCGAGTCCTTCAACACAGCACAAGCGTAACGCCGATCATGCCAAACCTGTAGCCACGTACAGGCTCTTCCACAGATAGCATGGCACGGCTCTCACCATGATCCTCCGATTCTACTGAACGAATCAGGAGTGAATCTGTTAAATCTGACAGGACAGGTCATCATTGCGGATTAGGATAAGCGGACCCACCATTGGCATCCGGCTACCTGAGGCTTTGAAAACATCATTTGATAGTGAGATGCAATCGGTGCATTGTGGATCCCGGTCACAACGCGTACTCTGCTCGAGTTCAAGGCCAACGTAGCATCGGAAAAATGCTGAGATGAAATTTTGAGACGAGTTTGAGACGCCAGGAGTGCATTCACTGATTGAAATCCAACGGACTACACCTCCGGGCCCCTCCGCAGCACGCCGCTTACTCGGCCGAACCTGTGCCACCAGATGATCTCACATCAGCCACCAGCTCCAGCCGTCTGACAAGAGGATCGCTGCAAATAGGTATCATCTGGTCTCCAAACGGTGAATCGAATTCGTTTCATTGAATGTGAGAGACGAGCTTCTCCACTGCCATTCTATTCATGGGATTTGCGTGAGGCCCAAGGGCCGCTGTGCTGTCCGGTCGAGAGACGGCCTGTGACCGTAAAACAGCTAGTCCCACCAGTTTGCCAAATGCCACCTGGCTCAACGTATTGACAAGCGCGTGGAAACAAAGAGAAGAGGTTTTGAAGGAGGTCTGACATGACGCGGAGGCCATGAAACAAAACCCATCGGTCGCGATCCTGACCATGGCCACCCAGATATGTTAGGCAGAGTGGTGGAGTATCGTCGTCGTGAACTCGAAGTCGATTTGAAATCCACAACAAGCAGGATCTGCCTATTATGTATTTAATGTTGGCACGATCATCTCGAGTCCCATCAGCCTCAGTACAATCCATTCCATTCCAATTCACTTCTTTTCTACTTTACAACAGCTCTTTGCCTGCCGGACAGTCAGACCAGCTCTCTTAAACAATCTTTACTTCAACCTTTGTTTCAATTTCATCATACAATCCATACAATGGCTTCAACACAAAAGGCAATCATCATCTCCGGCTTCGCCTGCATCGGAAAGTCGTCTCTTGGTGGACAGTCTGGCATCTACAAGGGGTACAAAGTGGTCGACCTCGACTCTTCCGGCTTCACCGCCGACCCTAAGACGAAGGTCAAGCGGACACCTGCCGAATTCGTGAAGTACTACATCGCCCAGATCCTTAAGCTGGCCACCCAGAAGATCATCCTCATGGTGTCTACTCACCAAGAAAGTATGTTTCAGCCAATATACCCCACTCTGCGTGTCATGAATTGCAACTAATACCAGGGTGTAAACAGTCCGGGATGAGATGTGCAAGAGGGGCCTCAAATACACGCTAGTGTATCCCAGCGCCGCATGCAAGGCCGCATGGCTCGGTCGCCTTGAGAAGAGGGCTGGAAAGGACGGTCTCTACAATATATTCAACAAGAACTGGGCTGTATTTGTGGGAGGGCTTGATACGGGATACGAGACCGAGAAGAAGAAGGGTGCCAAGAGGCAGGTATTGAACAAGGATCAGTATCTCGTCCATGTCATCGACAACGTTATGAAGAACGCTTAGGGGCCAGGAGGGTTGGATCCCGAGTAGGGCACGTTACACTATTTGTTACTGCAATTGAGATCATCGCTAGCGATGGTCCCCTAGCAGAGTTTGGCAGCTAGACTGCAAAATAGAGTGTTTGAAACACGAAGTCTTGGTTATGTTTTACTTCGTGACTACTTTACCGTTCTTTTGCCGTCTATTCTTCCACGACAGTAACGAATTATAGATATGATTGACTCTGGGAAGTCCCGCGCACAATTAAGTGGATGCCACATGTCCCACACGAGATAGAGGCGGGTGCAGTCAGACCGCTGGCAAAAGCGAACTCCACCGTGTCCAGACAATTGGTGCTCACAAGCTATCGAGTACCCAGAGGGAATTGGGGGACAGGATTAGACCATTTGATTCAATTATATACCAAGTGGTCACGTCTCTTTACGACCTTTCGGTACAACGACTTGAATGCTTTCCGCCGTGTCCTCCAGGTATGTCACTCTTTGAACAACCTCCAAGCCAGCTGCAGACAAAAGATCATCCCACTGCTTCCGAGTCCTCTCCATGGCAGCGAGGGTTGTCATCATGATATAGTCCATCTCGGTCGTACGCGGGTGTGCTCCCTTATCAGGAATGATGATGTCGTCGATAAGGATGAAAGAATTCGGGCCCATAGCTGCAATTACGTTCTTCAAGATGGTCAGACATTTCTCATCGGGATAGTCGTGGAGGACAGTCCGCAGATAATATGCACTTGCTCCTAAAAAATAAATAAGACAAGGTCAGTCTCAAGTTTCTACTCGAAAACTTGTCCCTCTTTCAGCCCATACCTTTAATCGGTTGCTGGCCCCAAAAGTCATGAGCCGTATTCTCCACGCCCTCGGTGGGGAGCGCATGCTGGATAACGACTGGGAGGTCCTGCAAGATCACCCGTCCTGGTATGTGGGACAACCTGCTTTTGAAGAGCGCACACTGGCTGCCAATACCACCACCCACGTCGACAAAAACGGGCGTCTTTGCATTTATGAAGGCGCCGTTGCCGTTGCTCTTTATGAGGTTCTCAAAATCGAGCGCATCCAGCCAGGTGTTTCGGCCGCGCAGTGCCGTCATCCACAGACCGAAGTCAGCGATGAGGTCGGGGCGGTGCTGGTGCGCCCACTCGAACGCGGGACGGTCCGTGTTGTTGGCGATCTGGAATGGCGTCTTGACGACGTTGTCTGGATTTTGGAAGCTGGTGTCTTTGAAGAACTCGGGAGCTTTGATGACGGCGGGGGCAATTATGTGATATCTGACGTGAATTTTAGTGACACCAGCCACCAATCATCACGCAAATTTCTAAGGAGCTCAAGCTTCGATGCACTTACGTCTGGTTCATCCCTGCGCGATAGCCATTGACGCTCAAAGTCTTGGTGAGCCTGTTGGCTTCAAATGTGTCTTCCGATACCTCTGATATCAGGCCATGTGAGGCCAAAAACCGGAGAATGCGAGCTGAGGATGAAGCCAAGTCAACCTTCTAAAATGTGGCTGTTTTCATTTCCAGTCTCGTAGTTTTGAGGACTGCGATACCGATTTTCAGGATAGAGACGCACCGGTGAAGACAATGTCGGCATTCGTGGGTTTGGCTAGCTCAGCAACTGTACATGGTTCGCTTTTCTCAGCCAGTGTGCTGAATATTTTCATGTATGTCGCGGTCTGGGCGCTGCTCAGAAGCATGGGCTTGAAAAGAAAATCAGTTAATTAGTTTCAAGGTCCATCTGTCTTATCAAACTTCTGCTTCTTACCGAGTATATCACCCTGTAGATCGTGTCCAAGGGAGCTTCCACCGCCAAGTTGACCTTCTGCGTTGCATTATACAAGCGCTGTTGAGTTTCAGCGTCCTGGGGAGGCGATGATGCCAATGACTCGAGCTGTTCAATTAGCTTGTTGATATCAACTGACGCCATCATTACTTCTCTCTTTTATGTTTGTCGGTAGAATGGAAATAAAGTTATCGTGCCAAGGAGAGGCTATTTGAAGTGGTAAGCGATGTTGATGTTGAATGTTCGAAAACATTTCCAAAGAGAGGTACATGAAGTTATGATTTCTAATATTGGACTCAGTTTCATGGGATAGTAACCTAGCCAACACTCTTCCAAATTCCTCCTGCCTCGGCAATGGTTGTCCTGCGATGAGTCCCGGACCCACAGTGAGGGTCAGGCCTTTGATGTTGGTCAGCCGCAGCGAGTCCGTATCCACAATCTCTGCGATGTTGTGAATACGCAGGACGCGCTTAAGCAATGAAAATTTAGCAACAGGATCCACTTCAATCCTGACTATCCACCAACAGACATAGCAAGATTGGATTGAATCTGATGTTGGTGCCTTGATCTCCAGACTGAATGCGACAGGTCGAATCCTTCGTTCTGTCGATCAACGAGAACATCCCGATCATCATTGTCCTAAATGTCTTGCGTTGGTGAGATGATGGTCCCACAAGACGAAACAATTGCCTATTTCGAGCAAGCAATCGTGGCACACTGTTAGCAAATGCGAGGTTTAGAGTTGGTACGTCAGACAATGGTCCACAATGGCAGTGTTGGTGGAAGGCGCAGCGTCGAGGAGCGAGCAGGATTCCTGTGCCTGAAGTATGGCCAGTTTGATGCTGAGGATTGTAATTGATGTCGTGCCTTTTCTAATATACATAATACAAGTGACTAGATATTCTTTCTTTGCTTTCAATATGCCTCAAATATCGCCAGCCATTTTCCTGCACTTTCGCATATTTTGGCGGATCAGGGCGCCATATTTGAAGACTATCGTTGTATATGACAAGGTTGTAGAAGACGACTCGAATAATGGCCTCATTTCGCGACGCAGGCCAGGAGGACAAAGGGCCTATGCTGCTGGCGCTTTGGTGGACTGAGGCGGGCCTGGCTACAGTCGTTGTCGGTCTGAGATTTTATACGCGTTATCTTATGCGAGGCATAGTCATTGAAGACTGGCTGATGCTCCTGGCACTTGTACGATGAGACATCCCGCCATTAACTGAAAAGCTCTCCTACTCTGGGAAATGTAGCTAACCAAATTTCATTCCGTAGTTATTATTCTATGCAGCTCTAGCTTGCTCCTCAGTCTTGGTCTACTACGGATTGGGCCGGCACGAGGAGACTCTGACTGCAGGCGAGATCCTCCAGGTCGCCAAGTGGAATTGGATACCGCAGCCTTTCAGCATCATGAACCTCGCTGTTGTAAAGCTGTCAATGTCGTTTCTGCTGCTACGGATACTAGGGCCTCAGGCCAGATGGTCCAAGTGGTTTCTCTACGTCAACATGGTCCTTTTCACTACCACAATGATCGTCGCCAGCATCATTACCTTTGTCCAATGCGATCCACCTCGGGCCCTGTGGGAGCCGGTTCCTGGCGCCAAGTGCTGGGACGCCTCCGTCCAGGCAGGTTACGCTACTTTTGGTGGCGTCTACAGTGCATTTATGGATTTCGCTCTGGCTTTGTTGCCACTTGGTATCCTTCGTGGACTGACCATGTCGCTTAAAAGGAAGATAGCGCTGGCTCTGTTGTTGGGAGCTGGGATTCTGTAAGTTAAGCCATGACTTTACACGACTTAAGCACTCCTCGCACGAAATTGAAGCCATTTATCCATTTATCTTGAACGCCATCTCTTCCGAAGTTGGTTTGGCACAAACGTGAACCGGAACTAATTGAGCTCTTCATTTACTAGGTCTGGAGTGTTTGGCATCGTCAAGACTACATTATCTAACACCCTGGCCATTCGAACCGACATCAGTTGGGAAATAGTCCCGCTGTACGGCTGGGCGGGTGCCGAGGTGTTTATCAACATCGTGTGCGGGAGCGTGCCGATCTTAAAGCCTCTCTACGACAGGCTCGTCCATAAGAAGCCACTGCGCACAAGCAGAGCCCAGTACGAACACTACGACACAGAACACTCTGAGAAATCGAAATCAGAGTCCAAGGGTAACACCTTTTACGGGCGGCACAATGACCTTCGTGACATCTCAGCCGTTGAGCTCAACCATCCAGGCAGTGGTCTATCTCATGACGTGGAGCGGTTCGTGCCGCGTGAAGACTATACTACCACCGTGCAATTTAATGATGGACATATAGATGACAGGGTTGGCACGGCATTGTAGCAGTACCCCCGGCTGTGAGGGGTTAAGTATTTTATCACGGGAGGGAAACCATATCAACAGTCGTTCAAATGTAAGCTTTTGGCATGCTCTATATCTGTGTTCTTCAGTCTATGTACCTTCGTATTCTCTAGATCCCTTCTAGCCACTCCGTCTATCAGACTGGCAAGAGAGCCGTAGAACTTTCACCTCGCACCGCTCAGATCTTGAATCTAAACCCATGTGCCGCCGCCGCACCCGGCGCGGCATTGATAGCACCAGGAACATACTCCCCCCTCTCAAGCTTCTTGTTCAACCGCACAAGCATGACCCTCAGCACCGTAGCCGCACAAATAGCAATGAAAGAAGTAGCGCTGTTCACAATGAAAGCAACGGTGTACGCCGGTCCCGCACTGTTGGGGTACATATAGCTGGCATAGATACTACTCGAGTTCGACACAGCATTGATGAAAGCCAGGGCAGCAGCACGCTTTGCCGGCGGGCGGGGGATGGTGTTGCTGATCCAGGCCAGGGCTACGACGTAGCCCGAGTAGACGGAGGGCACCATGAGGCACATGCTGACGTAGCGGGGCGCGAGGGACGAGGTGGTGGCCGCGAGCACGAAGGAGGCGACGGCGGCGAGCAGCGGGACGGTGATGTGCAGGTAGCGCTCGCCTGTGCGGTCGGCGTGCAGGGCGTTGCAGTAGGTTGCGATGACGGCTATGACGTAGGGCGGCGCCGTGAGCAGGAGTGAGTAGACGTTTGAGTAGCCCAGTGTCTTGACGACGGTGGGGAAGAAGTTTGTGACCGAGCCGGAGGAGACTATGCAGAACAGGAGGATCATCTAGACCACGGTTTGTCTCGTGTCAGTGCAAGAACCATGTCGGTGACGGGAACCCGCGGGAATATTGGTGGGAGACATACCAGCACATAGGTCTTGACATCCAAAAACGCCAGCTTGGCTCCCTGCCAGAAACTCTGGTGCTCGCTGTCGACCCAGTCGTCCTCGCCGATGTCCTCCTCCAGCCTCCAGACAGCCAGCTGCCTCTCCTCCTCAGACAGCCACATCGTCGTCCGGGGGAAATTGGGAAGCACAAAGAAGGCGCCAAAGGCCACCACAACGGTGACCACGCCCTCGATTATGAAAAGCCACTTCCAAGCCCGCAAACCTCCGGCGCCATCCATGTTCCCTGTGATACCTGCCGATATCAAACCAGAGAAAGCGCCCGAGATGAGAGCCCCACTGTAGAGGACGGATGTTCTGAATCCGAGCTCCTTTCGGGTGTACCAGCAGGAAAGATAGTAAAGGCATCCTAACCACAGCATCAGCATGAACCGCAGTCGAAAAATAGATGGGTTTACAGAGTCCGACCCAAGAAAACAGCCGGGCAATACATACCAGGAAAATAAGCAGCCTCCACGAAACCCAAAAAGAATCGCACAGCGAGGAGCCCGGCGGCATTGTAGCACGACGCGGTGGCGGCAGAGATTATGCCCCACACGATCATGCACGCGGGCAGGTACAATGCCGGCTTCCCCAGCTTGTTGAGGAACAGATTAGAGGGGATCTGCATCAGCAGGTAACCCACAAAGAGAATAGACACAGCTGTCTCATACTCGGTGGACGACAGGCCGAGGTCCTCCTCCAGGCCAGCGAGCTTCGCAGCCGCGATATTGTTCCTGGTGCGCACCTTGTCAGCGGATGTGGGTCCACCTTCACAACACCCCGCGGGGAAAAAAGATGGGACCGAGTGGAATCCGGGGTGGCGGGTGGAGCTCGCTCTCTGAGCGGGACAGAACAACAAACTGGCCAAAGACTCACCTGTCGATGTAATTGAGGATGTACATGAGGATGATGGCGGGCATGAGGCGCAGGTCGATCTTCCTCTTGAGCTTCGTCTCCAGCTCCAGGCGCTCCTCCATCGACATGTTCAGCAGGAACTCTGGCGGCTGCAGGCCGCGGCGCACGCCGCTGCTGGCGCCTGTCTGCTCGGGCGGGACGTGCGATGCGTGCGCCGTGAAGGTCTTGTTGTCGTCGTCGCCGTCGCGCAGCTTGGGGCTGCCGCTGCCGCTGCCGCTGCCGCTGCTGACATGCTGCTCATTTCTGAGCTCTTCGACCTCGGCGATCGAGCCGCCTTTGTCGGACATGGTGGGCGCAGGAAGTGACTGAACGTGTGTCGCTTCTGTTCAAAACAGGATGTTGAACACCGGAGGCAAGGTTTCGAAGTGGCAGACAGACGAAGTGAAAAGAACAAGATGAAGATAAAAAAAGGGAGAGAGAAAACAAAAAACTTCCTCGATCCAAGAATATGACAGCAGGACACACCGCGTCGACATGCGTATTTATCGCGGCAGGTCACAATCCACTCGCCGATTAAGGCCAGCTTCAGGTAGCAGTGGCACACAACCCCCTAGTCAGTTCCCCGCAGAAGGTTCAGGGTCGGTCTGCCGGTACAGGACATGCCACCCGACAAAGTTGCGGGAACGGATAGCGGGACCCTTAGCAGGCCACGGCTAAGCTTCCCGTCCCTGAAGCCATCGAATCGTGTGTGTGTGTGTGTGTGCCTGGGGTCGGTAGATAAACACCGAGATCTGTGGGTCGATCTACTGTCTGTAGTCGTCAACGACATGCTCGGTAGAACAAGGTGGCTGCTACTCTCCGCCACCCATCTTTCATCTTTGAGGAAGGTTCTCAACTTCACAACATCTACTTGTCGTCTTCCAAGGAGGACCCAAAGCGCACCAGAGAAACAGAGGCAGTGCGAACGTCTCTATAACCTGTCACAAACAACGCAACCCTTTACCCGGGCCAACCGGCCTTCCTTCCGGATAAGCTCCCATTGCTTTCTGTAAAGGCCCGATAGAGACGAGCGAACAAGACGCCCGAGTCAAGTTACACAACCTGCAGCAAAAACGTGTGCCGTTACCTCGTCGTACAGAGTAGTACCAGGTGATTGCCTCAGAACCAAGCACGCCAAAGCTTGTTCCTGGCGTGCCGAAGTCCCACCGCCCGCCCGCGCGCATGGCGGGCACGGCACGCGGCACGCACATGCCTCTTAAGTCCGACTGTGCCTGCGATATTACCTGACCATCCTTGCTGGCATGGGCGATCCGGCTCGGCAGAAGCTTGTGTCTAGCCGTCTGTGCTCGTCAGACATGCGGGTGCCCGACTTGGCCTCTCCATGGCAGGGGTCCTATGGCATTCCACACAAGCAAAAACCAAACACCATGCGCTGGCAGCTGTCATATCACGTCAAGAGTAATGGGAGTTGCACACAGATCATACCAACATTCCTCTATTATCAAGGTCCAATAACTATACACTGTACATCCCCGCCTCAAAAATTGAAATGCTCCATAGCCACTCGGGTATGACCAGCCATTCAATATGCTCGATGATCGATCCCAGATCTCCAGCCCGCCGAGATATCCGTGAATGGGGTTGATTAGTGTGCACTGTGTTATGTATTCCATGGATGGCACTCATCATCATACATGGCGTGAGCCCTTGGCCCTGGCTGTCGTTGCCACCGATAAGTCTACTCAAAGGTGCTCCGGGTAAAATGTGCGACTTTTCGTCGCGTGCCTGCTGTCTTGCATTTCATATTGCCCACTCCAGGGGGGCTTGGCGTCGTTTTCATCCCATCGTACATGCTGTATTTCGTTCGTCGCGCACAAAGAGCTACGACGCCTCTAGTTCGATTAATGCGTAATGACCCGCATGCCTTGGAGCATGATTCCAAACATGAGTCCTCTTGCCACCTCTTCGATCTGCAGGCAGTCGAATATGCGGCCCAGGGCTTCGTTGGTGGCATTCTGCCCCATAACGCCAGACAGGGCAGCAGGAACTCCACTTTGAATGAGGAGGCGGCGGGCTTTTTCTCGGAGCTTATCCTTCTCCTCCTGGCTTGACTCCGGCGGCCAAGCCTTCAGCTCTTCCTCTGTCGGTAGCGTGTTCTCTCGCATCTTGCGCAAATGGGCGGCAATGCCTTCATCAGACGAATTTGCCTCGATCACTGAATCCTGAATCATCTTTTGGATAGACACTAGTGACGGGTTGCCCGGACGCAGCAGGAACGACTTCGCCGCAGCAAGCAGCGTGCGGCGGAAGTTCCAGGCTGAGGAGAGGGAGTAGAGCTCGTTGATGATGGCGAATACAAGCTCAACAGCAACTCTCGTCTCTTGCTCGGTGATTTTCGAGTGTTGCCTCGTCGGCCTAGGTTGCCTAGATCCCCCATTCGGTGTCCTTTTGCCCTGCGAAGTCAAATCCAGAATGTTCTCCTGAGACCGAGATACCTGGGGACTGACGGGTGAGCCCCAGTCATCAGGCATCGCATCGGGAGGCGGAGGAAGTCGAAGCGCATCGAGACTAAGTGTTGAGGGAGATTTGAGAGGTGAGCGAAGTGGCGCGATACTGGACGCCCGGCTGTTAGCCTTGCTGCTCAACGCGCTTGGTGAAGCCCTGTCCCAACGGTCTGATCGAGCTAGCTGTGGGTTCTCGCTGTCCGGTTCGCCCTGTGACTGATAGCTTGGGCGACGTTCCATGGGAGGCATCTTCCCAGGCTGTGTGGCTATGATAGAAGATCGTTGACTGTCCAAGCTGTCTCTTGGTTTCCGCGGGCCGTTCAGCGTATTGATCGCAAGGGAACTGTCGACTCGAGGCGGCGTGGAAACAGAGAGCCGATTAGAGTTGCCGTTGGCTGCAGTCTCGGGTAAGGATTGGGTCGTTGGCTTTCTCGACAATCCGAAATTCCCAAAGACCCCAGTCACGCCACCTGCGATCACCTTCCCACCCTCAGCTACTCCTTTTGGCGCGCTTGCCAAGGCACCAAACACATTCTTGCCAAAGCTCTCGACCGCCTGGAAGCCGGACTTCGATTCCGTCCGGGTGTGGCCCTGGTCCTTGTCCAGGAATCTCTTCATTCCTTCACTCTCTGCGAGGGCCTTATACCAGCACGCGTCGCGAAGGTAGCGCTCCAGCTCACCACGAAGGGATTCACGCGTATGAACCTTGAACTGTGGTAGCTCTTTGTGTTGCTCCGTGAATGCGGTGATGCCTGAGATTGTCGCTATCCTGCGAAGAACCTCGTGTAGCTTTTCGAAATCGAAGTATTGTCGAACAATCATCCATCCAGAGTAGTGCGATGATGACGGTTCTATTTGAATCAGGTAGTCCCACGTAGGCTTTGTCTTAATTCGATTCTTGTCAACTGTTCCGTCATCGTATATAGTTATCTTGGCGTTGTGCAGGGTGAGCGGCGTGACTGTCTTCGGGTCTGCATCGCTCTGGTCGCTGTCATCCTGGCTCGGGGGAACAATCTGGTCGAAGCTAGTGAATGACTGCTGGTGGCCATGTTGCGTAGCCCCTTTCGGGCTGCGGGAGTCTATGCTTTGAGGTGTCGGCGGAAGCTCTTTGCTGGGTCGTCCTTCACTCGAATTTGATGTGGCCTTGTCTGAGGAAGCAAGACCCGAAACACTTGCAGCTGGTGTGTCTGTGTTGTCTGGAGCAGGCTTCGGGACAACTGCAGGCTTTGACTGAATGTCAAGTTCGTCAGCGTTCCTCTGAAGGGCATCCGCCAATCGCTGAGAGACCTCCGCTTTAGAAGCCTGCGATTCCTTGCCCTCCTGAAATGCCCGGAAGTCCTTGGACCTGCGCGCATCCTCGTCGAGAAGCATCTGGTTCATCCGTTTCATCTCTTCCAATACCTCCATCTCTTCATCCGCCTTGCTGAGCTTCTTTTTGTGGGCCTGGGCGGGTTCCCTGCGGCGTGCCTTCTCTAGTTCGAGCGAGTTGCGATTCCCCTTGGTCAGGCCGATGTTTCCGACATTGCCATCCATGTCGGCGAACACGGCATTGTTCGCCTCCGGGCCTGTCTGCATTCCGACGTCGATAGCTTGGCTGAAATCAGGCTCCCCGGCTTCGAGAAGGTAGACTATCCAGCCGTTTATCCACTCAGCCTTGGAGCATGTCTGGAGGGACATTTCCAGGATAACGCTGGCGAGAATCTCGCGCAGGAATGTCTTCGCCGGGTCGCAATCATGTGTTGGTCTGTCGAGGAACCCCAGCAGGTCATCAGCCACAGACTTGAACTTAGAAGCCTGGTGTCTTTGACTCAACAGGTGCGACAGATTTGAGTCGGGGTTTGAAGCGAGGTAGTTGTAGACGGCATCGGCAGCGGTCATGGTAGAGTCTGGAGGTAGATCGGCGAAGGCTTGTGATAGCTCGGAGAAGAAGACGATGACGATCGACGAAGTGTTTGTCAGGAAATCGAGGAAGCTGTCGGCTGGTCTCTTCTTGCCCAAACAATTCCCAATAGAAACGAGGAACGAGGTCAAGACTCTGCGGCAAGACAGAGGGAACGACCTGTCAGACGGAACGATCGGATCATACCACCATTTCACATAATCCCTGATCACAGCATCAACAAGGCCATTGAGGGCTTCTTGGGTCTCAGGCTGGAAGTCTGCAAAGCTTTGGGCAAGGAATATGGCCTCATCGTCTTCCGTCGCCTTTCGGTCTGCGTCCACATCCCTCAGAGCATTTTTCTCGCCCAGCAATCTTGTGACGATGTCTACGCCATTCTCTCCACGAACCGCTCTCGCATAATCGGGGTTCGAGGCTTCCCAGTGTACATACAGCGCAACGCCCCCAAAGGCACCGATCAAGAGCAGGCCGATCTGGCCGAGGACAAAGTAGGTGACGGCAGCAAGGCCGACGGCGATGCCGGATAAGGTGCCCGGCGTGGCAGTGGAGAGGAACTGAAAGATGCGAGTCGTGACATCGTCGTCGGGCTTCGCGGCCTGTGGATTTTTGGGGACGGGAAGCGAGGATTTCGTCTGCGAATCGATCGAGACGGGCGCGCCGTTGATGGCGGTCCTCGGAGAATTTGGGTCTATCTTATCGTCGGCGGCCATGTTGTCGGCAGTTGAGCGAGATGGTGCATCACCGGCAGTCATGACAGGAAGCTTGTCCTCATTGCAGGGATAGTGGTGGACCTGTCGACTGCCTCAAGTGGTCCGGAGCATTTCTCGTCGGTGAGGATCCGACAGGAATGTGGAGGGCGCGTGCGGGTGGAAAGAGACGAGAGTGAAAGGCCGGTGGTCAGCAAAGGGAGGGCCACGTGTCAGTGTGGGTTGTCAATGGATTTAACAGCTCAGATTCAGATCCAGATTGGAACAGCGAAAAGACGAAGCAAACCAGGTACGGCCCAAAGAGAGAAAGACGATGCGCAGCCGGTCAGGGACTGTTTCGCAGATTCGTGAATAAGTCAATCAGGACGAACCCCTGGCTGGAGTCGAGGTTTCGAGGGCGGACAGCCGATTGTCCAAAAACGTCTGTGCTATTTCGGGAGTTGCATCCCCAATTTTCTTTCCACTGTTGCCAAGATTGCCTCCAAGATGCAGTAATTGGGGCCCCACTTCTGCGACTCCCTTCTGCCTCCTTGCTGCCTCCTTGCTGCCTCCTTGCTGCCTCCTTGCTGCCTCGGCTTGCCTCAGTCCTAACCCTGACACGCACCCCAGGTATGTAGACTAGGTGCTGCTGATAAGGATAAGGCGGGCAGGTGCATGTGCAGCTCTTGGACGCGCTCTCTCCGACGCGTCTCCCCCAATTCGAGCTCTATGTGTGTGCGACTGCAAACAGAAGGCAGCTTCCCGCTTCGTTTGACAGGGTGAAGGGAGCGTTTGTCATGCACGTGTGTAGCCTCTGAGCCGTTCAAAAACATACTGCACGTTAGAAGCTTACTCAACCTCTTTCATCTGCTCATTCAGTTTCGATCTTTTCATCCCTGGGACGCACCTCAACTCTATCCATCACATCCTTCCTTGACAGTCAAAACACTGACGTCATCACATCTCTGCACCACCAGCAAAATGGGCAAGCGCAGCTCTAGCTTCGTTGTGAGCGACAACTCCAGCGGTGATGAGCGGCCCGCAAAGGCGTCCAAGAAGGTCAAGAAGGAGGTCAAGAAGGGGTCTAGCTCAAAAAATGGAACAAACGTCGACGACGAGGGCAATGCCTTTTGGGAGGTTGGTTCGCTTTCTGTCAATCGCTCCGACGCTCACCCGAGCTTACTCGTGTATCCGTACAAGACACTGACGAGACCTTCATGAAGCTGTCGGGGAAAAGGCGCATTGTTGTTCAGGAGTTCAAGGGAAACTGGTTCGTCAACCTCAGGGAATATTATGAGGACAAATCCGGTGAGATGAGGCCCGGGAAGAAGGTAGGCGAGAACAGTCCAAGGTACCTAGGATTTAGACGGCGAGTCATGTACGCTGACAGACATGCAGGGCATCATGCTCTCAGTTGAGCAGTATCAGACTCTCGTCGGCAACGTCCCAGCAATCACCAAAGAGCTGCGCAAACATGGTGTCAAGATCGCAGGCGGCGATGCTGCCGAGGACGACGCCGAGGTGGACGCTGAGGAGGAGTTGGACGAGAAGCCCGTCAAATCCAAGAAGAAGGATTCTAAGGCCAAGAAGGCCAACATCGAGGCCACCAGCGACGAGGACGAGGACTCAGACTGAGAGTTCCATCATGTGGCCAACCACTTCGGGAACATTAATGAGAATTGGCTTAATGAATAGGTTTCACGGACGGTGTTCATCAGGGAAGACTTTTCTCCCATAAATCGAAAAGATTGTACTGGCAACGGCGTCCGTCATAGGCTCGGATGGTTGTGGAATGCAAGAGATAAAAAGAAAGAGGCACTCTTCCTCTCGTCTCTTGCTCGTACTTTGTGGCATGGTCGAATTGATGTCTCGGGACAGTTCTCTTCTCACCTAGGGGGTCAGGTTCACTCTCAAATTGAATGATACACTTGACGTCACAATTTACCAGCGGATGATCGGCGATGGGATACCAGGTGTCGTCACTGGTTCTATCAAGACCAGATGAATTAGTCAAGCAAATGATAGCTTTCATCGAGACCATGTAGAGAGGGGTTTGTGACAATTTCTCGAAAGTCATATATTACTTTGTAAAGTTGTTCATCTTACCGTCCCGTAACTTGAAACGGCTATAAAGATGTGTTCCACACGTTGATTAGAAACTTCATTCACAGATTAGTCGTCTTGTTGGTCGGTTCAGTATTTTATTAGAATACTGCTCTGGCGCTTTGTCAACGTTCGTGGCATGGCGCATTCTTTATCGCAAAGTTGTGTCAGACGAAGGCAGTTCCGCAGTGAAACGGAAGCTTTCAGCTCACTGTTTTATTGTTTGGGCTTCATTACGAAATTCATGTAGTGATACAGACAAGATCGAAGCTATTTTACCGAAATTCCCGGCTGGAATACCTAGTAGTCTGCTGCTGTCTGTTCAGGAGGCCGTGGTGGTAAGTATACTACCCAGCTGCCCAGGTGAGGAGGACTCGCCGAATGTTGACTGTTCTAAGCGCGTAGTGTTATCTTGGCGCGGCAGCAAACCTCCGATCTCCCAAGCCGCAAACAAGAAACGGCCAGAATCCTTCTCCATAGAAGGACGTAGGCCCCTGCTCGCGGACATAAAATGATAGTCATTTCATCATGCTAAGAATTGCCCAGACTACCAAAATGACTTGTCCGGGTGAATTCATGGCGTGCTGCGGGGAGTGGATTTCTCTCGGTGTAAAGCCCGCCGTATCATCGCGACGGCGGGTCTTGGCATATCACCAGGGTCCCCTTTATGTATAAATGAGCCGATGGCCCAAGCTGGGAGGCAACGGACGCCTTCCGTGATCCGAGAAGGCAGCGCCTGAGTTCTTCCAGACAACCCGACTCGCGATGTTGCCTCTCCGCCTCCTGTGCATCACCGCGGCGTGGACCGCCACCTCGACGGCACGCTATATTGTGCCAGGTGGGCGATGGCGTGACACAGATGGCAACCTCGTCAACGCACACGCAGGCAATGTGGTGCTCGATCCGGCGAGCGGCGACTTCTTCTGGTTCGGCGAGTACAAGACTGAGGGCCAGACAGAGGGCGGCGGCGTTTCCGTCTACAGCTCCAGTGACCTGGCGACGTGGACTTCCCACGGGCTCGCGCTCGCGCCCATCGAGGGTGACCCGCTGCTCGGGCTGGACAAGATCATACAGCGGCCCAAGGTGGTCTACAGTGAGGTCACAAGCAAGTATCATATGTGGTGGCACGCCGACAACTCCACATATGGTCTTCTACTGCAAGGCTTGGCAACATCCGACAACATCACCGGGCCTTACGAGTTTGTCTCGGCTACCAAGCCTCTCGGTAACTGGTCCCAGGACTTTGGGCTATTTACCGATTATAAAGACGGAAGATCGTACGCGCTATACTCGAACGGTGATACCGTCGAGGGGAGGGACGACTACATCACCTCCTACAACGATGCAGTCACCGAGCTGGATGAGGTAGTCTACCGATTCAACAAGTTCGATCTTGAAGCACCCGGCATAGTGCAGACAGATAACAGTTACTACATCCTCATGAGCCACAAAACAGGTTACCGACCAAATGATGTCGTGGCCTTCCGTGCTGATAGCCTCCCTGGACCTTGGAGCCAGCCCTTCACCGTCGCTCCACTCGACACGCGCACCTACAACAGCCAAAGCGGCTTCATCCTGCGCATCAACGGCACAAAGCAGGTCACACATCTGTATCTCGGCGACCAGTGGGACAGCAACTCGCTGTGGGAGAGCCGCTACATCTGGCTGCCGATAGACATCGACGACGAAAAGAAGTCCCTCGAGCTCGTCTGGAACGACGTGTACGACCTAGACGTCAAAACCGGCGAGTGGAGCCCTGTAGAAGGCACATCATATTATGCGCACGACGCCGCGGTCGCTGGAGACGCGTTCCTGCAGGAGGCCAACTTCGCGGCTGGTGGACTCATCGCCACCGGTATCTACGGCAACGACAGCACCGTCACTTTCTCCGGCATCGAGGGCACCGGCGAGCCGCAGTGGGTATCTTTCCACTACCAGAACACGGATGACATGGGCTTTGGTAACCAGCCTGGTGGTACCCCCGACCGCATCGGTGGGAAGTGGCAGCTGCGGCGCATCAGCAGCGTGGTGGTGAATGGAGACACGGAGAACGTCGAGACACTGTTCCAGAGGGACACGAACAAGGGAATTATCCTGTCGACGCCACTGCTCCTGACCCTGGAGAAGGGCAACAACAACACCATCACTGTCGGCGGTCTGTCGAACGGGTTCGATTACAAGGGGGCTGATCTGGAGCGTGTTGTGGTGTACCCGACTGAGAAGACTAGCAACTTGACAGTCAGTGCTACGCGCCGAAGCTTCTAGGGCCACTTGTTTCCATGTATATATTCTTCGTAGCGCATATGTGTGCTCGTGATGTGGGTTGTAGATATTCCAATTGTTCAATGTATTGTCTTCTCTGCCTTTCCTAGATCGTCTAGATGAATTTTGTAAATGAGGCGAATCGCAGGATTGATGAAGCGACGACACCGTGGCGCTGGGCTGGTTTTCTTCTGCACAGAGGAAGAGCACTAGAAGTCTAAGAATGTTCGTTTCTTGAGGCCCTCTCGGAAATGCATACTAAAAACTAAAGCATCAGCAATGAGGAACATACATTGTGCAGTAAATTCATTCAAGAGATCAAGTCTCATAGTTATGATATGTATATATACTACGGGTATGTATTGCTAAATGTGCTACAAAATAAAATATTTATGATGGCGCAAGTTATCTTCTAACTCAAATTCCGTAAACACCCCAACTCCAGCCACCTGGGCATATTCTAAACTTATCAAATCATAGTCATCACGCCAGAGCCTGGCAGAGCTTACTCTTGGAGCACACGGCCTTGCTGAGGAACTGAATGCTCCCGCTGCTCAGCAACTCCAGCACCTGCAAGTTCGCCTCGAACTCACGCGTCAGGAAGTTGCGGATCTCGATGGCCACGAGCGAGTCGAGCGGGTAGTGCGACAGGGTGCGCGTGACATCAAGATCGCTCTCCTCTAGCATCAACAGGGCCGCGATCTTGTGCACCAGGCCCTTGCAGATGACATCCTCGGCTTCTGCCGTGTTCTGCGCCGTCTTCAACATGGCGTTGAAAGACACCGATGCAGCGCCACCGTTAGCCGCCGAGCTTCCCTCCTCTTCTTCCTTCTGTTTGATTTGTATTTCGGCTTCCTGGCGCAGATGCTTGAACTTGGCATCTGTCGTCCAGAAAGGTTGCCTACTCCTATCTGCTGGAATTCGCACGCCCGTTACAATTTGATGATTGCAACTTGACGTGCGGCCTTCGATGGCTGCGCTCAATAGGGCGAGCACCTCAGCTTCATACATTGTGCTTTCTGCGCCCAAGTTCCTGGCAACTTCGGCGGCTCGGTCGGCTCCATCACTGTCGCCTGTGCCTGATTCTGCCAGGTAACCCGCATCTGCGACAGCTGTGAGGTCCAATGAGACGGCGGGAAGTCCTTGGGAGATGCGGTACTGGACAAAGCTGTCCAGGAAAGTGTTGGCCGCAGCGTAGGCTGCTTGGCCACGGTTGCCAACAACGCCGGCTGTCGACGAGATGGCAACGAAGAAGTCCATCTTTGTTCCACTTGTGGCTTGGTGGAGGTTCCATGCACCTTGAACCTTAGACTCGATGACTGACACATAATCACTGTAAGACATCTTCTCGAAGAGGACATCCTGAAAAGATCACATTAGCTGAGTTCCTACTTTTCTTTCGCCATCAAGATCAAGTGACATACCTTGAGCACCATAGAGCCGTGAACAATTCCTCGCACAGGAGGCAGATCACTGATGCCACTCTGGAACAAGGCATCAACGCTTGATTTATCTGCCACATCACAACGGCGAAGAAGAATATTGGCACCGGCCGTGGCTCTTAAGTCATTCATGAGCTCTTTCACCTTTCCTGAGGCAGAAGCGCTCCGAGACACGAGAACAATGTTCCTTGCGCCGTTGGAAACCATCCATCGAGCCATGCTACGACCAAGGCCGCCTGCACCGCCGATGAGCACGTACGTCGCGTCTGGGCGAAGCATCGACTTTGGTGGATTAGTACGCTGAGTTGCCTGTAAATGTGGTTAGCTTTTCTCAGACCTTCGCTTGAGGGTGGCGACTACTTACGAGGATGCTACAATCGGCTTCCACCGTCACTACGACCTTCTCCGACTGCTGACAACTTTGGAGCTGCTTGAATATGTCTTCCACTTCTGACAAAGATGCTGTCTTGACCATTGGCAGTGAACGCAGCTTGTCAGCCCCGATTAGACCCGCAACCTTGGAGACTAGATTTCTCAATAGGTCTGGTCTCTGGGCACCTAGTTCAAACATGTCGAGGCTGAAGTAGGAGGTGTTTGATCGAGACACATTGTTGCTGGCCGGGCTGAATGAGTGGGCCCTATCGACCGTCTTTCCAACGTAGACATCGACCATGCAGCCAAAGGGAGCCACGCACGACCATAAGTCTTGAGCCACATGCGCATTATCCCCTGAAGCGCCAGCTGAGCGTCCCACTGAGATAACGGCATCGACTTCTTTGCAATGCTCTGGCCCTCTGCTGTCATGTAACAAAGAGGAAATGTTACCTCTGCGAGACGAAAGGAAGACATGGTCCTCCAGAATGCCGTATTCGCTTGCGACAAGCTTCTTCTGCTCCTCAGACTGAACAGCCATGTATATTTGGCCTGTTGTGCCGAGCAACACTTGAGAGAGACAGATAATCGCGTGGCCGACGGAAATAGCGTCGGAATTGTCTCCGTACTGGATGAGAATGCTCTGTCCTTCTTGAACACGAGCCTGTGTCATGACTGCGTAGTAGGCGGTGCAGTACGCCAAAGGCATCGCGGCGGCATCCTTAAACGACAGGGTCGACGGTATAGGGACAACAGTGGCAGAGGAAGATCGTGCACGAGTCCTGTACATGCCACTACCGTGTCGGCCTGGAACAGGAAGCGCCAAGCAAGCGATGCGCTGACCTGGCGTGAAATTGGTGGACTTATTACCCACCCGAGTCACGATTCCGGATGCTTCGATTCCAAGTTGATGACCCGCAGGATTCGCATCAACTTCGATATCCGAGGAGTTAGTTCCGATCGCCTTGACTTCGAATTCAATCTCATCTGGTGAGAGAGGCTCGTCAACAGAGTCATCGTCAATGAAGTGCAGATTGCCAGTCGAATGTCTGGATAAGCCGCCGTAGTTGAGCTTCAGGAGCCGAGCATCCTTTCCAAATGATTGCAGCTCCGGTATGCTTGGATCCAACTTTCTCTGGACATAGCCATTCATTGAATCGTCATTTTCGATCCGTGGCGTAAGGACGGTGCCATTGCGGCACATGAACTCAAGCTCATGGCTGTCCCGGCTTTCTGGCCCATCTGCGAAGGAGCCAAAGACGAGACCTACAACAGAGAGGATGGATTCAACTGCCTTTTTCTCCTCACTGCTCTCGAGGTCGAGACTTGCAAACGGCAGTAGAGTCTCCGAGCGAACAGTCCTACTGAGGCCAGTGATCATTCCGGAGTCCGGCTGAGCGGCTCCATTGGTCACCCAAAGCACGCCATGTGGCGGCTTGGTATCGCCAGCTCCAAGAAGGGCGCTTTTCAGCTTCTGAAATTGGGATTCAGTTGGATTTGCGAGGAAGGGATGATCGATTTCGTCAAGAACAATCACGACCTTGCCCTCGCACTCGACCTCGCCCAGAGGGCCCGTGATCGCACGCCGTGATGTCGCTCGATATAAAGCGTCAGACAGAGTCTGAGACAGAACATGTTGGTATTTTGAAGTTGCATGAATGATCACAAGCTCCTGTTCGAACTTCATCAAAGATGAGTCTTGCGCTTCAACAGGCTCCCACTCAAGCTTGTAGCAAAGCTCTCGGGGCGCCTTTGTGAGACTATTCTCCTCGTGGGCTTCTCCACCAGCTACAGGAGAAACCTTGAGATCATCAACTTGTATCAAGTACTCGGAGGTTGACTTTTTGCCGTTTGCTTGAGAAGAAGACGCTGCTGCAACAATGGAAGCCTTGCTTGGCCGAGGCTGTTCTCCAATACTCATAAGTGGGAAGGCGGCCTTGCAATACGTTTGGAATGTTGTTCCAGGCTCTTTGGCCAGTGACACGAGGTCGTTCGAGACTCTCAATCTGCCAATAGAAGAAGGCAGATAGACAGTCGCATCAAGTCCCTGGCCGGCCCCATTTGATAAAGCAACTGGCCAGTACATCTGAATGATGGCTTCAAGCAAATTTGGCTGAATAATCTCGCACGACACACGCTCACTAGGCATGTCGTGGGCAACATCAATGACGGCAATATCGCCTGCAGAACATTGCAGTGTAGAGTTGACCGTCTTGATTCCTTGGAAGGATGGGCCGTAGGAGACGCCAAGATCTGAGAGCTGTGCGTACATTTGCTCGCAATCGAATGAAGCAGGACTGTCGCCAAACTCGAGCTCTTCGCTGATTTCCCGCTTCAACGATGATCCCGAAAGCTTTGCCTGTTTCGCTCCGTTTTCCTCGGCAGCTCGAAGCTGCGCGGCAGCGAGACCAACGCAGTGTCTTGTCCAGCCGGCATCCTGCACCCAGGAACAAATTTGGAACTCTAACCAGGCGTCAGGGTCTCGAGGGTCGGTTGGCTTGAGAGATACCGTCATCTCCACGTCAGAGTCACCGCCAGAGAACACCAACGGCTTGAGGACATCGACGTCTTTCAACTCAAACTCAATGACTTGCTCCCGAAGGTTTCTCTTCTGGCACCACTTTGACACTGCCTCGAGAGCCATGGCAGCGTAGCCAGAGATGGGGAAGATGGTTACCGATTGGATCTCATGGTGGCGGAGCCAAGGCAAGTCGTCAAGGCGAACGATGTTCCTCCAAGTCGGCTCCAGATCGTTGGAGTAGATAGCCTCGAGGCCGATCAGGTCATTGTGGGCCGAATCACCACGGTACCTATGCGAATGTGCGAGTCGTGGCTCGTGCCAGAACTTGTGCTGGTGATTAAACGGATACGTCGGCAAGTCCGTCAGCAGCGATGGCAGCTTGCCATTAGCACTGTGGTGGTTATGGCTTGGAAAGTTGATGGCTTCCATGTTCACGAAAGCACCGCGCGTGAACAGATTGCCTGCCAGATCCAAGGTAGTTTGCACTGCGTTTTTCCCTCTTGCCAGCGCCGAAGCATAAGGCAATTTGGCAAAGTCGCGATTAGGTGAAGCGCTATTGTCCCCGTTGGCCGATGTAGCTGTGGCCTTGAGGATTTGCTTGACTGGCCCTTGTAAGGCGGAATGGGGACCGAGCTCTACAAGCATGTCCAAGTCTGCCTCCTTTACCATGTGGTCGAGTGCTTCCGAGAAGCGAACTGGGTTGGTCAGATTGCGGACCCAGTACTCTGCATGAGCGCACTCAAGACCATCAACTCTATGACCATGAAGAGAAGAGAAGAATTGTGGTGGCTCGTTGCTGTGGGGTTGAGAACTCTGTTGAGAACTCTGTTGCATCTTCCGGACAATTGATTCTCGATATTCCTCGGCGATCATGTTCATATGATGGCAGTGGTATGCGGTATCGACCTGTAGCCGTCGACAGAACATGTCTGGGTGCTCTGACTTCAGCCTGTCTTCCAGCGCTGTCAACGCGGGGGAATCCCCGGATATTGTAAGGCTGGAAGGACTGTTGTAGCATGCTACTGATACTTTGCCCTCGATGTCTGCATTGTTCGTGAGGTCATCGATAAGAGGCTGGATCTCTGAAGGAGTCCCTCCCACCGCCATCATAGCTCCATTCAGGCCGGAATGTCTCCTTTTCAGGACAGGCACCAAACGACCTCGGTGGTAAGCGACTGCCATGGCTGACTCGAAAGAGAGGAGGCCCGCTGCGTAGGCCGCTCCAATCTCGCCACTAGAGTGTCCGACAACGGCAACTGGTTCTACATCCCAAGAACGCAACAAGTCGATCAGAGCAAGTTGAACAGCTGTGCATGAGGGCTGACTAATGTGTGCCTCTCCAACCTTTGTGCTCTTGGCATCTCTCTCCAAGAGTTCTTGACTGAGTGACCAGTCCGAACCAAGTTCGCGAAGGCACTCATCCGAGCGGTCTATACTGGCGGCATAGATGGGGTACTGATGGTAGAGCTCCCGACCCATGGCGTGCCATTGTGCACCTTGCCCGGTGAAGATGAAACCTAATCTGGGCTTCTCTGCAGACTGTTTGCAAGGAACAACCTTGTCGCTGTTGATACTTTCGATCAAGTCAAATGAAGTGTCGGTAGCGATAGCAGCTCGCCACTGAAGCAGTGAGCGTCTTTGGCCGAGCGTGTACGCAAAGTTGTCCATCAAATCCTTCTGGAAGATTTCTGGTCTTTGCTCCAGGTACACGACCATCCTTTTCATGACTGACAACAGCGATGTTTTGTCGTTGGCTGTCATTATGAATAATTTTGTGTTGCTCTGGCTGACTAGTTTAGAGTCCTTGGCTTTCGCTGACTGCGCGCTTGTGAAAAGGCGTAGCATGGACATGTTTTGTTGTTTTGGGATTTCTTGGCTGGGCTTGGGAGGCTGAGGCTTCTGGATGGAAGGGGCCTTGCCTAACACAACATGTGCATTGGTGCCGCCGAACCCAAAATTGTTGACGCTGATGTATTTCTTGGCCTTTGGCCAAGGTTGTTGGCGTTTCAAAACCTTCAAGTTCCATTCTTTCCACGGAATCTTCTCATTCGGCTCCTTGAAGTCATGGTTTGGAAGTAAGAACCCTCGTTCAAGCATCATGACAGCCTTGATAACGGCGGCTATGCCGGAGGCAGCTTCCAAATGGCCAATATTGGACTTTATGGAGCCTATATATAGAGGGTCCCGGGCTGTCCTACCTTGGCCAATGGCATTATGAATAGCGGTGGCCTCAATGGGGTCCCCAACTTTGGTGCCAGTGCCCTAAGCGTGGAAATCAGCATCGTTCTGACGAGAGAAGTATTAGGAAATGTTGAGAAGTTCCCGTGTGTACTTACATGGCACTCTACAAAACCACAGTCTGCTGGCGAGATGCCAGCATCTCTGTAAACCTTGTTGATGAGCCGTTCTGAAATCGACATATTAGCACTAGGACGTTGAAATTTCGTTTTTTGGGGGGTGACTTCGTACCTTGTTCAAGACCGTTGGGCATTGTGATTCCTGGTGTTTTGCCATCTTGATTAATTCCCGAGCCGTGGATGACAGCCCTGATAATATCGTTGTTTCTCAGAGCTTCGTCGAGAGGCTTTAGAACGATGACACCACAACCTTCGCCTCTTCCGAATCCGGTGCCCCGCCCATCGAATGCGATGGATCGTCCCGAGTCAGAAAGTAATCTACTCGAAGAAAACGAAGACCAGAACTCTGGTAGCATGTTGAGATGGCAACTCCCAACAATGGCATGGGTGGACTCTCCGGCTCTCATGCTTTGGCACGCGAGATGAAGCGCAACAAGACTTGCTGAGCATGCTGTGTCGGCAGTGAAACTGGGACCACGTAGGTCGAAAAAGTGCGATATCCTGTTGGATTGCATCGCCTGGGCGCAACCAGTGGCTTGATGCATGGGCATAGAATCGATGTCGCGGGCCATTTGGTGCTCGTACTCAGCCAAGCTCCCGCCAACGAAAACACCCACATCCTGGCCCACGATGGAGTGCTTTGGGATGCCCCCATTCTCAAGCGCTTCAAAGGTGCACTCAAGTAGTAGACGCTGTTGAGGGTCCATTGAGACGGCTTCTTTCTCGGTCAAGCCAAAGAAGGGTGCATCCATTGACTTTAGGTCAACATGCGTCAGGAAGTTTCCACCCTGAGCATGATATGAGCCCATCTTTCCTGCATTTGGATGATAGTATGCATCATGGTTGAAGCGATCCTTTGGGATTGGACCGAAGCCAGTTCGGGCGCGGGAGCACAGCTCCCAGAATTCTGCAGGGCTTGACACATTGCCAGGTAAGCGGCAGCCCATGCCCACGATAGCAATAGGCATTGTTTTTGGTGGAGGCGTTGGCTCTGGGTGTGTGCCGTTTAGTCCGTTCGTGTGCCCATGTGAAGATCCATTTTCCGGTTGATGGCGCCAAGATTGGCTATCAAAGGGATAGTCCCCTGGACCGTAGAAGTCAGATGGAGGAGTGACCATGATCGGACTGTCGGTAGTGGGCGAGGAGTCCGTGGTCGAACAAGTTTTGAGAACAGCGGGCGCCATAGTAAGCTCGCAATTATTGTATTACTCGAAGCAGAATGAGCATCGTCTAAATGTATGAAAAGACGGCAAATGACAAAAGTTGTCGATAGAGATGAGATGTCGCTGAATGAAAGTTCTCAGATATGAACGTATACTCGATGAACAAAACTAAGTCCCGCATCGTCCGTGAACTACTCGTCTACATCGGTCAGTCTATCAAGTCTTGGCAGGAGATAGCAAGACAGAGGGTTTGACCTAAGGAGGCTCGGGACAGTATCAAATTGGGACCCACTCCTTCTCGCCACTGGCAACCAACGTTCCGGCTAATACACGGTGTCAGATCCCGTTTCTTTTTGTTCTTCTCCCCATGTTCACCAGTGTTCTAGAGTAGGGTCTATATTAGGGGCGGTGCGCTAATACCGACTTGGAAGTCGAAGCGCTCCTTTGAATCGAGGAGGCAGTGTCTGTGTGTATCGAACGCTGTGGCGTCCATGCAACGATAATTTAGATCCCGGAGACGTGTTTAGCAGTTTGCCGTGCAAAACGTTTACATGACACGGTGATTGTCAGCTTTCATCTTGTCATGGTCTGACGCGCAAAAAGTCGAGCGATCATCCCGACCAATGCCAAGAAGTTTCGATTGATGTTGGGCGGCGTTCAGCCACGGGCCGAACGGGCCCAAGCTGGAAACACCGGGGCTATGCTAAGCCGGGGTGGGGGTCAGGGGTAGCCAAAGTAAATCTGCCTAGTAGCCGGCTTGGACGTGAGATTTGTCGCTCAGATGAATTGTCTCGGGGGTTGCAACACCATTGTAGCATGGTTGCACAAGCCGAACACGATTGACTGTGGGACTCCTGGCGTCCAATGGGTTGATTGGACTGTCAATTTCGGGTGATATCCTAAGATGTCAATTGCAGGGTGTGCTTAATTTCGGACGGCGGCGAGGTTGATTCCAGTGTACATGAGACTTCATATGTGCTTTCGTGCTCTCTGAATCGTGCTCGTGGGCAGACATTCATAGAAGATGCGTGATCCCATCACTTCAGAATTCCCCGGCTCCACGATCATATTCCACAGTCATTAGTATTTTCTTCTACTTCACTCTTTCAACATAACTCTGGTGCTGGCATCAGGCATCGCAGCAATTTCTTTACTCACATCCACGGTGCCCTCCAACGAAGCCAAAATGAGGTTCCTGTGTCTGCCTGGTGCATATGGTAGCGCCGACGTGAGTTTTTCCGTCAAAAAGAGTTGTTTTTTGTTCTAATGCAATTTTTAGAAATTCCAAGTTCAACTAGGTATGAGCATATTACTCTATACTGCACCCTGATTATAAGAACATTTTATCTAACATATCATGGCTTCACTCGATCAGCTCCCTTCCTGAAGGAGCTTACCGATGATGGAACTGCCTCATTCTACTTCTGCCATGGTCCATGCAAGGCAGTTCCACCTCCCGGGTTTGAAGACTACTTTGGGCATCCACCATACTACAGGTTCATTGAACCAGATGAGAAGCCAGATGCGCCTCGAATTATTAAAAAAGCCAAGAAAGACGATGTGCTCGCTCGAATCCGCGAATTTCCATCATGGTGTGAGACTCCAGAGGACACCATGCGAGAGTTGATGCGTGAGGGTCTGGCAACATCCCACCGCAGCACCGACCGTGCAATCAAGTATCTGTCAGAGGTGATGGCCAAACATGGCCCTTTTGACGGGATAATTGGCTACTCAGAGGGTGCGACTGTGGCTGCGACTATGCTTCTGCACGAGCAGAGGTTGTTCCGAAAAGTGGGACTCGAGCCCATGTTCAAATATGCCATTTTCTTCGCAGGCTGGCCTCCTGTCGATCCCATCTCTCACCACCTTGTTTTATCAGACGAGAGTGAGGACAGGATAGACATTCCAACATTGCACATTGGTAAGCTTTCGGTTGCCCCTCCACAGAATTGATCTGAATGCAACTAACGCTATGCGTTCTGGAAGTCGGCTCTTTGGACCCATACATCGATGGTTCCATGGCCTTGTACAACGTTTGTGACGCCGACACCGCGTATCTTTTTGATCACGCAAAAGGACATACGCTCCCCAGAGACAGGGAGACGAATCGTGAGATTGGTGACATTGTGCGAGAGGCGATCGAGGAGATGAGGGACGGGGGCATTTTACCATAACCAATCGCATGTTTCTCTTCTTTCGGAATCTAGATGATAGATTTACGCCATCATGCACTGTATATATAACATGCGGGAATTATATTAATTATGGCATCAATAAATCAATCCAGTATACCAAGAAATGTGCTTTTGCGTCGAGGCACGTGGTAAAAGTATTCGAACTTCGCCTCGAAAAAGCATCCTCAGTCTCCAGTTGCTGCGACTGTACCACCGTGAGTGGAGTAGGTGTCTTGGAAATAAAGACCCCTTGCCCGAATTGGGTTGGAGCCGGGGTTGTGATTGGTGAAACTTTATCTTTAGGGGTGGAGATCAAGTTGATCATCTACATCTAGACGACCAACTCTAATTCAACATCCTTATTTGTGCAAAATATAGGAAGAAGCTGGCAGTAATCTGTCTCTGAGACTCATTTCTGCAATATCGATCCTAAGTGATGCTCATTTCAGCGCCATATTCGAGCCTATCGCATTCCAAATCACGTTGGTCAAGACTTCGTCTTCGACACACACTCTCAGGGACAAGGACACTCCTGTGGTTTTACCTGGTACCCACATAATGTGGCTCAGCACGTTACACGCATCGGGCCTTGCACCATGACTAGAAGGAATTTGTATCTCCCAATTGAAGCAGCCTTCAATACGATTACGACTATCTTCGATGGTAGATATGCCGAGACCGAGCTGATTGGCAGGGAGCTCCAGACCTCACTAAAGGTCCGTTCGCCACGTTTCATCGCTGACACCCGGTGGTCGAGCGCTACCTTCCCCACGGGACACAAAGTGCTAGGGGGGTAGAAAAACAAATCACGAAACAAACATCCCTCTCCCCTAGCGTCCCCCTGGAATCAACCTAGCATATGGCATGGTTTCGGAAGCGTCTCCGGGATCAGGCCCAGGCATCAGACGATCGCTATGGCACCTGTCATACCAAACCGTGCTGCCGTCACATGTTGATGCCTCAGGATTCAGATGCCCGATCCAGCCTCGCCAGTCGAATCTGCCTTGCCACCAAAACGGGCTGCGCCGTGTCCCGGTTTGAGCATGCGCCGCCTACTGTGCTTGTTTCGACACAACTGCCTGTTTCTTTTGGTTGTCCTGGAATAGCATGTACCGAGAATCAGCACTGCACCGTATTCTCAGTGAACCGAAAACGTCTGATGTGGAGTTCTGCTGGAACTTGCTGTATGGTTAATTGAAGCCATCATGAGTGCTAACGCAGCAAATGCCTCACCCTCGGCGGGGACTGAGGTCCGCGTCTTTGGCGTCACTATCCAGCAGAAACACATGACAGCTGCGCTCAACTTTGCAGTAGGTTCGAGTGTATATCTGTGTCATCGCGATTCCCACAGCTGACCTTGATAGAGAATCTTCTCGTATGCGACAACATGGGACAAATTCGTGTTGATTCTATCAATGACGGCAGCCGCAGCGTCCGGCTTGTCAATGCCATTACTATTCCTGCTCTTCGGTAGGTTTGAAAGTCCTTGAAAACAGATGTTGGAGTTGCTAAAGCTCATGGTGTAGGTAAATTGACGGAGGAGTTCACGGGTTTCTTCCGCCAGGGCGCCGACGAGACTGAAGCAGTCTTCACCAGCACGGTCAACAAATATGTGTTAGTAGTCTCCTACCGCTCACAAAAATCACAATAACAGAATAGCTGAGTCGCTTTGGAAAGTCTGTACATAGTTTACATCTTTTTTGCCAAGATGTGCTTATTGTACGTTGCCAATGTAAGTCTCACTGCCCTCTCACTGAGGCCGCAGTTTACATGACGACTAATCTGCCGGCAAAGCTCGGGTTCCGGACCACAAGTCTCCGGATATCATCCGCTATCAGACTTGCCTATCTCAATGCTCTCTTTCAATTGCCTATTTCAACACTGGATATGATCCCGCCGGGGCAAACAGCCGCCATCGTCACCATGACGGCTAATTCCCTTCAGTCTGGGATCTCAGAGAAGTTGGGTCATCTCTGCTCCAGTCTGTCAGTCGTAGTCATCGGAGTAGTATTATCTTTGATGTACGACTGGGCGCTTACCATAGTCGTTGGTTTGGGTTTGGTCATGGTGGTGTTCGTGTATACGTTTGCCACAGGTGCTGTCTCTACCAAGATGGCCGATATACAGAACATTGACATCCAGGCTGCTTCCGTTGCCACTGACGCTCTCACTTCAATGAGAATGCTGGCAGCATGCGGGGCAGAATCAAAGATGTTGGATCGGTACTCGGAGGTTGTAGACAAGACACGACGAATCGGTGCTCAGATGGCATGTTTGTTAGGTGTGCAGCATGGAATCAGTGAGTAATTTGATTACCCACTCTCCGTTCACAAACGTATGCGTTTGTGTCTTGGGTAGATATATAGCTGACAGATGATCCTCTCAGCGCAATTAATCACGAACATGTGAGATCAAGACCGACACCTCTTCAATTCGACCTGGCTGCGATTACTGACTTTTCTCACTCCCTACTACAGAACTTTCGCCTTCGCATTCTGGGTCGCTCTGGAAATGTATCAATATCAGCTTCTCGGGGGAAGTGGCCCCCAATCATTGATAGTGTATGTTCAAGTCTATCAAATGAGGTATCACAGGGTGTGGAACTAACTGAAATGGCCAAGGGTACTTCTTTGTGTGATGACAATTGCCTCTTCCGTCGGTCAAATTACCGGCCCCTTGACCGCTGCCTCACAAGCTGCCGAAGCATGCGCAATTTTCCACACCATCATCGACGCACCAAGGACCACCTATGGCAAAGATGTAATCGAAGATGCCGGTGCTGAAGATGTTGTTCTACACAATGTTCATTTCACTTATGCATCTCGGCCTGACGTTAAGATTTTGGATGATCTTTGCCTTCGATTTCCTGCGGGTAAGGTAACTGCCATCGTGGGTCCATCTGGCTCCGGGAAGAGCACTATCGTGGGAATATTACAAAGATGGTATGAGTTCAATGGAGACCCAGTTACAAATCCCATGGTAGGTTTCTGCTCAAAATTGACTTCCTTTTCTTGAACCCACTTTTTCAAATGCTTTTCGCGAAAATGCTGATCATTGACCCTGATTCAGGTCCTGTGGCTTCGAAACGGAATTGTTGCCATTGGTAAACGACTGTTGTCAGAGCTTGATATCAAGTGGTGGCGGAATCAGATCGGCCTAGTTCAACAGGACAACGTACTCTTCAACACAACAATCTACAAGAACGTCGAGTACGGTCTGATTGGCACTCAGTGGGAAGACTCGAGTGACCACAAGAAGGCTATGATGATTCGAGCTGCTTGCCAAGATGCATTTGCAGATGAGTTCATCTCGCGGCTTCCTGACGTACGTACTTCCTATCTCGATGTACCAAGAATTGAGATTGATGTATTCACAGGGATATGATACTATGGTCGGGCAATCTGGCCTCAAACTCAGTGGTGGCCAGCGCCAGCGCATAGCGATTGCTCGTGCCATTGTCAAGCAGCCCAAGATCCTCATACTTGACGAGGCAACTTCCGCAATCGATGTTCACAGCGAGCAGATAGTACAGCAAGCTCTGGATCGTGCGAGTCAAGGGCGTACAACGATAGTAATAGCACACCGCCTTGGAACCATCAAGAAGGCTGACAATATTGTCGTTCTGCGCGGTGGCCGCGTCATCCAACAGGGAACCCACCAAGAGCTGATGAGTCAGATTGGCGAAGGCTATCATGCTCTTGCTACGGCCCAGACCGTCACCACGGGGGACTCCGTGGCCGGTGACGATGCTCTGGTGAAAGACCATGGAACATTTCCCTCACCCATGGGACAGCCCGACGATGTAGCCGATGCTTTTTATTTCGAGGAGAAGACAACCGATCGAAGACCTGGATTCAAACACGAGATGGAGAGTGACCCAGGAGATGACTTCAGCGACGACGATGGCTCTGATGGCACTCTTCTTGGCGATGCAGACATTGAAGAGGGTTCACGTCCAATTGTGATAAAAATGCCGGAGAGTAGTCGGCTTGGCAGCTTCGGCACCTTGCTGTATGAGCAGCGATCCAGATGGGTACCATATACGTTGGTAGTACTCGCGGCTTTGGGCGCAGGTTGTGAGTAGCTATCATGCGAGTTTAATGGTCCTGAAGGACGATTGGAACTGACTTCACCCGTCCTCACAGCAAGCACGCCATTCCAGGCCTTCATTTTCGCCAAGCTCATATCCCTATTTTCTATGTGGGGATACAGCTTGTCGGTGCTCACCAATTACTGGTGTAGGATTTTCGTCTACCTTGCTGTTGGTGCCAGTCTGAGCCACCTTGTACTCGTCTGGTCGACCACCTCGGTTGGTTTCGTAAGTATACCATCAATGTCGTCCGTTCTTGAGACAATCCACGCTTGATTACACCATTTTGCGGCCTCATTGTAGATGTAGAAGGTCCATTGTCCACTGCTGACGTATAATATTATAGGCAATTACTCGCGCATATCGTAAGGAATACTTCGGTAATATCCTGAACAAACCCATGTCCTTCTTTGACGACAGCCAAGAGAACTCGATAGGCGCTCTGGTAGGCCGTCTTGCGGCGGACCCCTTCCATCTGCAACAACTGCTAGGAGCCAACATGGCGGCCATGCTCGTCTCATTTATCAACGTTTTAGGCTGCGTCGTCATATCTTTGGCCTTCGGGTGGAAGCTTGCCCTGGCAGCATTTGCCACTTCGATGCCCGTCATCATCTTCGCCACCGTCTACCGTATCCGCCATGAGCGGAAATTGGATGCAATGGGCGCCGCGGTGTTCGGGGAGAGCGCAACATTTGCAGCTGAGAGTATAGCGGCAATGCGCACCGTGTCAAGCCTGACGATGGAGGCGAGCGTTTGCAAACGTTATGATGACGTTCTCCGCAAGCACGTGAAGGATGCTTTTCGTGAGGGTGTCTTCTCCGTATGGCTGTTCTCATTTAGCGACAGTATTGCGCTACTTTGCATGGCGTTCGTGCTCTGGTAAGTACAGTTCCTTGCAATCGCATCGTCAGGAGCATCGTCAGGAAAGCTTGAATCTAATGGGCTGCCAACTCTAGGTTGGGAACACGACTCTTGGCGACACATGAGTATACCCCGTTTCAATACGGTAAGATTAGCCCTTTCAGTATTGTCAGAGGTTGATACTGACTTTTTCAGTTCTTGTGTATAATGCCGTCGTACAAGTAGGTTGCCTTCGATCTGGGGCCTATAGCTCTGTAATGTTGACATCGTTTCTCTCAGGGTGCTTTAGCTACTGGAACATGGCTCAGCTTCGGACCGAGTAAGGATCCCCTAAATGTTCCAGGCTACCTGCTGAATTTCCTCAATACTTACGTATTTCTTCAAAATAGACATTGCAGCTGCGACAGCTGCGGCCGACCGTGTGCTGGCAGCTCGAGAAGACCATGACGATGATGAGTTTTCCACTTTCAATGCAACCAGCGGCCATGATGAAGCCATCGATGATGATTCAGAAAAGGGAATTGCTCTTGACTTTAAGAATGTTTGGTTCAGCTACCCGACAAGACCAGAAGTCCCGGTGTTGAAGGGCTTGGATCTACAGGTCAGTCATGTCTCATTTCCAATCGAAATCCAGCGTCGAAAACCTGACTGATCGGCTCGCTGCTCGTAGGTCAGGAAAGGAGAGGTAGCAGCGATCGTGGGATCTTCTGGATCAGGTAAAACCACGGTCATTTCGCTCATCGAGCGATTTTACAAGGCCCAGTCTGGCAACGTGCGATATGATGGGCGATCTATTGACGACATAGATCTGGCGTCTTACCGCTCGAACTTGTCTCTAGTAGCGCAGGAACCGTGTCTATTCAGCGGCTCTATTCGCGAAAACATCATGTTCGGGATTGACCGGCACGAGCCAAGATATGAGGATGAGATGGCTGACGAGGAACGTGTGAAGATCGCGGCCCGCGCTGCTGGCATACACGATTTCGTGGTCTCGCTGCCCGAGGGCTACGAGACTGACATAGGCACGGCAGGTGTTGCATTGTCAGGGGGTCAGAAACAACGCGTTTCCATCGCACGCGCTCTCATCCGTAACCCCAACGTGCTTCTCTTAGACGAAGCAACTAGCAGCCTGGACAGCGAGACGGAACGGATGATCCAGGAAGTGTTTGATGCTGAAAGAGGAAAGAGGACTGTTCTTATGGTGGCACATCGGCTGGCGACTGTGCAAAACGCCGATGTTATCTTTGTGATGAAAGATGGCGCTGTCGTGGAGAAGGGGAATCACACAAGCTTGCTTTCCAAGCGGGGATTGTACTACCAGATGGTAAGTTCCTTCTGCCCATGAGACTGTATCTCATTGTTTGCTAACTGTTGAGAAGTGCCAGTCGCAGGCTTTAGACAAGTGATTTGGCAACTGATAGTCGCATTCCTTTGTTTAATACAAAACGTTATTACTTCATCTAGAGGCAAAGCTCGACCAAGCCAACCACATTCTGCTGAAGGTCGAGCCGGCGTTTTCTGAGTGCGGACCCTACCTTGAAGTGCCCCTATACCGTCCAACTGAGTCATGTCTCAGCCTTCGAATCTTCTTTCACTTGGGTACACTCGAGTCTAATCCCACAGCCAAGTCTGACCCCTGACTCGGGTCTTCCTCCACACGATGGCCATTATTATCAAACCTCTCTGACCCAAGGTAGGTTACTTGCGGTCGTCCGTCAACACGCTCCATCAAGCATTGGCGTAATATGGTCCGACCACGACCGTCAGTTTCGGTAAAGCGAAGGTACTCCGGGAACATGAAAAAAGACTTGGCTAGGTTGCTCTCCCGTAAACCCTGCAAGGAGTTGCAGAGGCGCCATTCCCAAGACTTTAGCTCGTATTCGCGAAAAACCAGGCCCAGTGGCAGCCCCCGAACCAGAGGTACGAAGGCGTCAGTGCATTCGCGAAGCAGTCCTTGGAAGAAGAGCATATTCGGGCATTCCGAACTCAGCCAGAAATCTGCCAGAAAGATTGACAACGCTCGTTGGTAGATCATCCGTCGAAGAAGAGCCCCGAAGTCCTCTTGGACAGAGCTTGCAATCGCTCCTGTGCCGAATCCGAGAAGTTTATCCACGCGAGACATCTTTTCAGCGCTGACAAGAGGTAGTCTCAGGGGTTCATTTATGTCGTGGGTCATCTTGATGCCAAGAGTCTTCTCAAATGCAAGTAAGACCATGGAGAATAGCTGATTCGCAATCGGCGCACAAAGCAGGGGCTGGTCGACCTCCTTAATCTCTAGTGACCTGAGGATATTCTTCACTGGTCCTCTCTCTGACTCTATGAGCCAGGTGGCAGCCTGGACTACCTTCTTGCGAAACAACGTACAGGCCTCTCTCATTTGCTGGTCAGTCGTGTCTGGCGGTGCCGATAGTTCTTCCAAGTGATTAGCTGAACGACAGGTCAGTTTTCCCTTGCCAATAATTAACGCCGTCAGAGTCTTACGTGGGGTTGCGTGACCATTTTCTAGCATGCTCGCCTCATTCGCCTGCTCAAGCATTTGTTCTAGATCTTTGATGGTTTTGCGGGCTTCCTCAAGCGCCAGATTCGCCTTCCCATTATATTCCTTAGACTCCTCGAGCTCGTAACCCCTGACGCGGTACTTCCCCTCTAAAGCAAACGTTTCTTGTCGTAGAGTCTTGATCTCCAAAGCATTTTCCTGTGCAAGCAATGTGCTTTTAACAAGGTTAGACTGCAGGGATCTGAATTTGTCGAGGAGCATGGCCATTTCAGCCTCGAGTTGTGCCTTCGTTCGTGTTTCGGATAGTCCTGGGCTGTGCTCTTCTTCAAATCCGAAGTAAGGTGCAGGAGATTTGGGTCGCTTGGTCGCAACACCAGATCCTTTCTCTAGGTCAGCCTCAACAGGCTGTGTACTGTCCTGTTCCGTGCCATTGGCATTCGGTGTTGAATGATGTCGCCGGCGTCCTCCCCATTGACGCAGCTTTTTGAGCCTGTTGAGACGATCCATATGGCAGTGGCAGACAACCTGTCATAGAATCGGGGACAGAGAGAAATGCAGTACGGAGGACAGCAGCTTGAATGCCGAATTAGAGTAGGGGTGATGGGTATCCCGAATCCCAGAAAGCTTTTCCAAATGAGGCTGGTCAAATAGTCACAGACATTACCTCATGTCGGGTCCAGAGGATTCCGAATGTCGCGTTTAGAGAGCCCCTCTTTCTCGAACCAGAGCGCAAGTTATATCGCATTTCACGATCAAATTTTTCTAGTCCTTTTGTGTGGCACTTCATTTGGTGGATATCTCACTAGCAGTGACCAAGCAGCTTAGCGCTCACAAGCTTCCGGAAACTATCTTCAGCATACTTTATCTCTGGCAGCTGCTGGTTGTCATGAGTAGCCAAGCATTTGAACAACTGATTCTACCCAAGACAAGCCACGTAGCTCTCTCGCCGTGCCGCGCCATAATTGGTGATATCAAAGCTGGCCCACTGCGGATGACCCAGGTGGTGATTCGGCGACATATCTGCAATCATCGTCAGAATGCGGATCGAACAAGTTCCCCAATTGAAAACTAGAGCAAATTTATGCTCGCCCATTCAACGAGATAGCGACTAATCAATAGACTCAAGGACTGATTGTATGATTACCAGCACTTCGGAGACTAGCTCACTAAGCTTGTGGCACATGAAAAAGATTAGGCGACATTAGGTCCCGTCTAGTTTACCTTGCGTAGTCTGTGCTAAGAGGAAGGCCGAGGATGGCAGTGAATGGTTAACTTTAAAAGTTGCAACCGTCTTACCTGGCATATTGGCGGTCTTTTCCTGGCTTCTGCTGTTCCGCGGAAAACCGAGAGCTCCAGAGCCTGGCTGCGGTCCCTGTTGTGTAACAGTGCACAGCAACATGGCAGATGCTGTGCCTCTTACCTGCTTTCTTGAACGACATGAGGGGAATACCTTCCTAGGTACCCAGGTACCTAGGTAGGTAGGAAAGTGGGTAGTGAATTAACGAGTGCCGCGAATTGTTTTGCTTTTGATTCTGAAGCATCGGTTCTTAATTATCTGTTGATTGTGCTGATTACTTGTGATCTGATTGCCCCTCAAGTGGGCCAGACTGTGTGACCTCGTCTTCTTTAACCACCCGCAGGCAACTCTGTCAATGGACGGGCCCAGTGTCGTGCAGCACCATCGTTCAGCTCATGGATATTTTTGATATTCCTTACATTTGATTGAGGGCACTCGAGCCATGTTGAATATCACGAACTTTGGGCACACAAGTCAACCGACTCGATAATCTTGTTGATTTATGCCACGCATGAGATCTGCTGCATGCAGACTGCAATATTGAAGCCAGTGTAAGAATCAGTGCTCGCCACAAAATGACGGTATACCCAGAGGGAACGCACCCCACTCTGAGAGAGCTCCATATCATGGGTACGGCGCTTGCTTCGTATGAATGCCGGTGTTGCTACTCGGCAGATTATACGTTAGTACCTTAATAAGAGCCTGAAAACGGACAGATTATTGCAGCTTCTGGCTCCCACCCCACAACATTCATATACCCAACATCATCCCCAGCGGAACCAACAGCCCCCACCAACCAACCTCCTCCCTCACACCACCTCCCAACCCCTGCCCGCACAAACTCCCACAGTCTGTCTTCTCGGTCCCATTCCACTCTCCACAGCCCACCTCCACCGCCGTGCCCCCCGCCAGCCCGGTATTAGCAGGCGCCAGCAGCGCCGCGTGTGCCCCGTCGTCATTGCACAGGTTGAAGTCCACCACCCCGCCGTACTGGTTGGGCGTCTGCAGGTCGGGCTGCGCGCAGATCGGGTCGTCCCCATCCGCGGGGCACAGATTGTTCACTTTCACCACGATGCTGCTCCCCGCATTAGGCACAGGCTTGCCGCTCTGCGCGTCCGTCTCGACCGTGACGCGGTAGCATGTCCCGCAGGCGGGGCCTTTGCCCTCGCCGGGACCTGCGCCGAAGAGGTTCTGCGATACGGCTGCTGCGTAGCCGGGCTAGTTTAGAAGAATGATTTTGTCAGTGTGGGTGGGTGTGGGATTTGGTGTATCTGATTGGTTTGTAACATACATAGGTGTAGAACCCGCAGGCTACTGTGTTGCTGTTGCAGTTGGGCGAGCCCTTGGGGTCGTTGGTCCCGTACCAGGAGATGGTCACGTTGTACGTCGTCGTGTTGCTGTTTTGTGCGGCCGCGAGGGCCGCCAGAGGCAGTGCGACGAAGTATGAAGGGGAGATCATGCTGTTTTGCCAAATTTGAGACCTTGCCTGGCTGTCTCTGATGAAAAGGGCGGGGAACCGAGTCGGATTGAAAAGGGCCACGAGCAGCTTTCAACCGAGTTCTGCTTTGCTTTTGTAGCGAAGCAGCGACAGAACATTATTTCCAGCGACGTCACCTTGCTATATCTCCCTCAGGCATGCGGTCGCTATCAGTGAGAATGAGGTCGGTGGTCCGGGATGCTGATCATCCGACGTCATGTTAAGGTTATGTCCAAGGTTTCCCCAACCTGGCTCGTGAGGCTGATTGGTGTGGTGTTTCTAGAGCTTGGCATGGCCACCTGTGCGGACCGCATCCAACGTCAGGGAGTGATCTGCAGACATAGCAACAACCGCTTGATATCAAAAAGAAACCTTTAAATCTTGGTCTTCAACCCTTCGCTGTAATTGTTCTGCTGGTCTTGAGGGTGTCTAAGCAGCCTAAGTCGACGATTTCTCGGCCATCTAAAATGACACACTCTATACATTCTTACATCCCAATTGCTTTCTTCTCACTAGTGTCACAAGAGGGACATAGAAGAGGCGATGCTCCCACTTCTAGCTCATTGTTGTACAATTCTGAATAAGATCTTGTCTTGCTAAGAGAAAAGAGTAAGAGGGAAGGTTGCCTCTGATTGCAGTCAGGCCTTAAAAGCAAAGGGCCTTGCGGCTGCAGGTGGTCTGTGCGCTATGGCCGCCCACCTGCATTCACTGAGCCTGCCCGCAGCGTCGTCACAACTAGCTATTCTTAGCCCATTGACAGTCTTTGGGCAAGTTGCATTGAACTTTAAATTTTCTTCATGATATATTATGTATAGCCCATACCTGGGTAGATTCCCGCCAAGTGCGCGGAACTCAATTATCCGCATGAAATGAGCATTCCCTGCTTGCTTGTAACCCATGGCCCTTGATCTGAAGTGTTTGTCCGCGCGTTGTACGCGATGTATGAGGCCCTGGCTCCTTGGCGATGGAACCCGCAAGCAGCTCAAACTCGTGATTACTGAAAAATTTAAAAAAAACTCTATAGAAAATTAAAACTAGAATAATACTCTTATACATAAAAAGAATATCTGTAGATTTATACCACTAATTATTTAAGCCTTTTTTTTGTATTTAAATTTAAGCTTACTGCCATCAATGCTGTTCAATTTTGCTGTCGGCCATTCTCAATTTAGACACATGCAGCAGTAATTCCTCTTACAGGTCAATTCTGTCCATGAATACATGAGCCCATTCCAAATCAAAGTTGTTTTGACGACGAGTGGGATCATTGGCCTTTCAATGACTGTCGGATTTAGCGAAAGCAATAAATCCCAACCACCTTGAACAGACGGCCAGACGTCAAGAAGGGAAAGGGAAATGATGACATAAGCTACGCCGATGTTTTTTCTTTAGTTCTATCCAGTGGATGAGACAGTGCGCCTCCTCTTCCAGATCAAGCTGGTCACCAAGCGCGCTACTCTGCTCCATGTTGCGATGGCTATCATTTCCAAAGTCCACCTCCGCTGAGTCCTGGGCTGGAAATGTCGTAGCCAGAGAAACCATCCGCCCAAGACGAACAGAGTGAATGGGAGAGCGATCGCCCACAGAATCCAGAACTGCGGTGTGATGAAGGTTACATTCTCGACAGACCCATCCGACAAATCTATGGTATTTGTTCCGAAGAATTGAGACCCAAAGATGGAGCTGATGATAGAAATAGGTAAAAAAATCACAGCTATGACGGAGATTGTCCTCATGATATAGCTATCTTCACGCATGACTGTGCTATCGCGCATGCTCGTGACGTTGAATGCCTGCAGATATCATTTCGTCAATTGGATGTTTTCATAACTTGTCGCGCCAAGAAAAAATGCACAACACATACGAGATTGATCACATTCTTTAGCCTCTGGTCGACACTTGTCAGCCTCAGTTTTGTTGACTGGAACATTTCGATACGATGGTTGAATGCGTCATTCGTGCCTCGCCATATAGGATCCTGGTGTGTGGCGGTGGCAGAGTGCGCGTTTAGCACACATTGTAGGGATCTTAATGTCGCGTCGACACCTTCCACTAAGTGTATGGCGTCTTTTGCGAGAGTATGTATACGAGGGTAGTCGATGTTCAGCATGTGGTGTCTCTCTATATCATCTGATGAGGACTGCCGGAATATTCCCTGCAGAGTATGTCAGAGAGAAGGGAGGGTTACAACGTTAAGATGTTGTATGAAAGTCTGGGTGACTTGCCGTCTCTGTTTCGGTAACGTTGTCAAGGATCGTCCAGGCGCTCTCGTCTACAAGCAAATACCACGCCTCGAAATACATGGCGAAGAGCAAGAAGGGATTGTGCAATACATCCTGCCAGTCATCGGATTCGAATAGCCGGTGCACCAAGTCCCAATAAGTATAAGGTGGTTCGAACACGACTGCCGTAACTGTTCGATGCCCGACCGTTGTTGGGGGTGACAGTGTGAGAATCAGCCCTGACGATACCCACCCAGATCTGGTGTTGCCATTAATTGAAGGTAGTATGCTGAGCAGTCGAACCCATAAAGCTGTCATCCCCAGGATTAGTGCCGTCATTCACATCACAGACGTCACGAGTGTCAATCTCAAGATAACTGCGTACCACGTTTTTCGTTCTCTGAGCCGCTCGTTCCGAATGAGTGGGTTGTCGAACGAAGGGTTGCGCCAACGAATTGGCTCGGAAGGCTATACAGATCGTACAGGTGGCCAAAGTCGGTGAAATGTCGGGGAGAGGCCCTGGGTAGTGTGCTGTACTCACGGTTTCAGCAAACTGCGGCCCAGTGAAATTCGAGAAAATGGCCGCCTACATAATTGCCAAGTCATAGCCAGTGTGATGATCCAGCTCCCGAACTGAAAATATACTAGTCATCCTTGGATTATTCCCTGAGCCGAAGATAAGAAGTCAGACCCTGTCATAACATCCACCTTACTTCTTCACGCCAGTCTTGCATGATGCACAAATGGATTTGCCTCTGGAACGATGTGTTTCGAATGCGTGGGGTAGTACACGAACCCTTACGCCATTGTATGATCCGAGCCGGCGGCTCTCCTAGCTCTTGGGTGCGAGGAATCTGCCGGTAATAGCCCTGGGCCTTTTCCTCGAATTCCTCAATGTATGTGGGATTCTCCGTGAGAGCTGTCATGGCTTCCGAGAGCATAATCACCTTGAGTAAGCAAACATGAGCCGTTGTGAACACTGTGCCGCGGGGAAAAGTAACCATTCTATTTCGAGAGAATCGCCCTCGGTCACATGCATGGTGACCAGTGAGGGGACGTGCAGTCTAAGCCCCAATCACTTTGCGAAACTGCGAGCCTTGTGTTGCCATCTCTTTTTAGAATGAGACATTCAATTTCACAAAACACACAGAAGCAGTCGGATCATATCATACTTGCAGCTGGTTTGGTGAGGCTGAGCTGTTCTAGCCCCCTTCGCACCCTGAAGCCCCTCCACAATCAGATTACACAGCATTCGGATAGGAACCAGGACTTCCTGCGAGCCTATCAGCGTAAAATTGCATGAGTCTCTCCAAGGTATCTTTGTTCCGGGCAGTCACGGCAGTTTATCCATAGCCACTGACGTGTCATCTTCATCCTTGTCAGGAGACGAGACGTAATGGCCATCGACAAGGCAGACAGGAGGGTTCAGTTGCCGCCGTCAGAGCCTTATCTGGATTTTAAACTCATGCTGCAAAGTTATAACTACCGTCGATATGGCCGCCGCAACCAGCAACCATTGTTCTCGTCAATTCCTTCATCCACATCCTCTCTCGTGTCTTCTTTTGACCTGAAGATCTTGGTCTTTCAGATTCGATCGGTTGCGAGGCTCTACTGCTATCCACTTCTAGTTCTCCCAACCTACATGGTAAGTCCTAGAGTTCACATCTTTTGAGTAGGGTGAAATATTGACTACTCATACAGGCTGACCAGGAACGACACGCCAAGACCCACAACGACGTCAACGCTGAGAAGGCCCAAAAGAGTGTGGTAGGTTCTACTTTTGTAAGATTAATGTCGAAAGAATCCGCAGCTAACCCGTCGGCCAACAGAAGAAATATAACTGGACAAACGGTGGGCGTCGCAGCGGCAATTCGAACAACGGACACCGCGCCGGAGGTTCTCGCACCGGGGGTCAAAACTCCGGTGGGCAGAGCTCTGGTGGGGGAAGCGGCCAGACGAATTAGTTCCTCCTAATTTGCCGCTAGATGCTACATCATGAACTTCAAAATTTTCAGCGCCTTTCGGCGATACATCATCCCTGCTTGCATCATGGCTTTCACAGCAGCGTACAACTTCGTGAGTTGGGCCACATCCCGACTGTCCCGCAAGTCTCTGCGCAATAATGGCCCAAGCCTGGATGTCGTCGGAAACGAGATCAAAGATGACAAAGGAAGGTCCTTGTACACAGTCAATCCAGAGTCCGGCGACTTTGAACGGCTGGTCGTCCAAGCCCGGGAAGAGTGTAAGGGAGCAGGTGTCACCTGGGAGCAAAGCTCTTTGACCGTTGGCACCCCACGTGTGTTTCGTGCTGCATTTTGGCATTACAAAGGTATCCCAATGGCCAGGAGGTGGGATCAAAAGAGCTATCGATGGTACGATTGGTTGTCGATTACGTGTCGCTGGGTACCCGGAGGCGTCGCATTGGCAGCAGTTGTAAGTGTTAAAACATTCGACAGCGAAGATTTCCTCTCTACTTTCATCACACTAATGTAACATTGTCTAGCTCCCTGTAGCTTACTTCAGCAAGCCTCGTCCAGCATATAAGGATCCGTATGCCTATGTCGAGGTGCGTTGCAAATGGTATTTCTACCCGCGCCTGGCAAGGAACATCTCAGAGAATAGACCGTCCGTTCGGAGGCGATTGGAACAGAAGGGTAGACACGAGCCATTTGGAGACCCTTGTCAACCATATCGGGCTTTTAGACCCACTCGTCTGTGTTTCGTTACTGAGAAGACCGACAATTCTGTCGCCAATGAGCAAGACGATTATTGGTACGTCGCCAGGGATTTGACCAAGGTGAGCCCAATCAGTTAGCATGAATTCGGAAGCGCCGTGATTTGTGCTTTCAAGCTAGTGCAATGGAGAACTAAAAGCTAAATAGAAAGATGATATGGAGTATGTCTTCATATCATACTCATTCTCACAATTCGAAGTCCAAGATGATTCAAAGCGAGAAGAGAGCATCGGCCTACTTTACGCTACCGCCGTGAATATAACACGCGAACTTGGATATAAAGCATTCTGGCTCGTCAACGAATGTCAACGTCAACTTGATCCCAACCTTGACGCTGAGAAGAGAAAGGAGCTTATAGATCAAGACGTGAGTGTACCATAATCTAGTTCACACTCACCACTGGTTCGGTTGCCGAGGAGAAAGATTATCCCACACATTCCAGATTTTACTATAACACCCCTAAGCTCACCGGTTTCTATCTAGGTCTACACAATGTCTGACGTTATCCGTGAATCGTCAAGAACAGTGATCATTACCACTTCTGATGCACAAGAAAGTGATGGTCAAGCACTGGAGGATTGGGGTAGCCGTGTATGGACGATTCCAGAGATTCTGCTGAGCCCGGGTAGTGACGTGACTTGGGCACACGTGACGAGCAAGGCAGTCTCGAACACCAAAGATAATGCATCAACAAACCCGTTGAAAGACCTCAGCAAAATCGACCTCGCCAAGCGAGCATGGCATGATGCAAGCGAGGCACGATAGCTGGTAGAACACTTCACAAACCTCCACCTCAGCCGCCTGGAGCTCAGCAGCATTGCTATACAATGTCTGCGGCGCCGGGTCTTGAAAGAGAAGCACCCTGGCGATCGCAGCTATGCCCTTATGGGTCTTCTCCGGCTCAGACCACTAATAGACAGCGAAGATAGTGGTTTTCAGGCTTTTGCAAGGTCAGTTGGTTCCAAGATTGTCGCTTCCTCCATCCTCATGCCTTCTCGTTCAAAATCTTGACCTGGGGACATCTGCCGTTGAGCTGACAGAATCTCTCAAGACTCTCTTTGGCCCAGGACAGCGACCGTTTACTAGAACGTCTGATTTTCCTTCTTCCCGAATCTCCACTGCACCCCTGGGAGAATATGTCGGACGTTTACGGCTCCAAGTTGTGGGATATCGAGCCGAGCTGCCAGGTCTGCGGCATTGGCGAGAACGACACCATAATCCTCGACGGCCTGCGTGGAGGGCTCATTCAGTGGTCACAGTTCAACTGCGTCTTCAGAGACCAGCCTTGGAAGGCCTTTACAGTGAGAATCTACAGCATTGTCATGATCATTATCTTCCTCTGCATATTTATATGGCAGATAACGTTTGCGGCGGGTGTGGAGTCAGTCCTTCAGTCTCATGATGACCCTAATTCAAACCAAAGCTCGCCAGTCATACAACTCGCCTACATATTGGCTCCAGTGATAGCAATGGTGATAATCCTAATTGCAATCATGCCTGCTCTTGGTCCCTTCCTCCTTGGTCGGAGACAAGCACATTCAGTCGAACCCTACCTCTTTGGCTTTGAGGGGTACATGCCGCTGGACCAGATTGAGGAGCGGCTGCTCGGCAGCTACAGCAACCGCTTACAATGGAGTGCACATAGCTCTGCACACTCCAGACACGTGCAAGGTACGAAACGCCAGGAGCCTCTCGTCTCTGACCTCGAGTCTCGTTCGAGCGGCACAGTTCTAAGGCTCGAGGATAAAGGCGATTTGAGTCCCTCGCTCAACCCAGTCTGGACCTACGCCATGAAACCGATTGACCCACTATCACAATGCGAGAACTGCATTGACGGCAAAAAAGGGAGCGTTTCGAATGGTGGGAAATGCTCACACGAGACCCATGAATCAGCACTCAAGAAGGCAAAAGCAGATTATGGGAGCTTGAAGGTCTGTGACTCAAGGTGTCATCCTTGCTCATTCTAATTTGCTAACTGCGTGACAGTTGTTTACTCTTGTCGATACTGGTAGCATGGAGGTTACACTTTTCGAGTCTGTCCGCCCTCCTGTCGCACTGTTCACTGGGGCGTCAGAGGGCGGCATGAGGCGAGCTTTAGCTTGTTCCCTCGACATCAGCACCGGGACATTCTACCGGGAAACAGTCTTGAGAGTTCCAGGGACCACAGAGGACAAAATGAGATCTGTTCCCCGAATTCGTTTAGGTTTGAAGTGCCCGCAAGATTGGTTGCACAAGTGAAGGAATCAATGACCGAGAAGTGGGAATGGCACACTTAGGACGGCCATGTGAAAGCAAGTGTGCGTTTCTTTTTGCAGGGAAGAATATTAATTCGAAGATTGTTGTCTCTGCTTTATTCCTTTGCGTATAATTTATCGGAGGGGAGCACAGTATAATTCTTTGATACAATTATCATATAGGCAGACTCAAACGAGTATTCATAAATTCGCATTTATACGCTTTTAATATCACGAGCTTGTTCAAGAGTCAACGATCCTGTCAAATTCAATCGCAGGCTCAGCAACGCCTTGGTTGGCGGTAAGCTCACTGCACACAAGTAGACTACTCGGTCGGCCCCGCGCCTGAGTGGCCATGCTTCCCCCTCGGGACGGCGGCAACGTTTTCCGGCTGAGGTTGTGCACGTGGGGGGACGCGGCGCCACGATGACGGACACAAGGCTGTACACCCTTGTGCGGATGTCGGATTGGGAGAGTGTGCTCTTATGATGAGGGGAGACGAGGAGCGGAAGCATGCGCTCGTCTGAGTACGAATCGAGAGCGATATACGACCGGGACTTGGCGATGTAACTGATTTTAGTAGGGGGACAAGGACGCGGAGGCTTATAATCCGCCTCGCTTATGGCAGGTAAGGCTGGGCAACATTTATTGCAATCCGCGTATGCGACTCTGACTCTCTCTCTCGCGCGCGCGCCCGAGAAGGCAGCAAATAAAGCAGCAATGGCCCCCGGCCTTACTGAGTTGTTGCTCCCAAGGTCTCTATCTATTTACGGATCCCACACTGACCCAGAAACACCGTCAAGCATGAAGAACCGACTAAACCTCCTCAGCATCTGGGCTGTGTCCCTCCTCCCCCTCGCTGCGGGCGCGGAGCCCGTCCCGCGCGCAACCTTCACTGAGGTGACTAGCTACGGCAATAACCCAACCGGCACGCGTATGTGGCTCTGTGTGCTTAGAAACTTAGCCGTAAAGCCCGCCGTTATCATTGGCATCCACTAGTGCACTAACAGCGCGAGCGCGTACTACCAGAGCACACAGTGAGTGCGCTGTGCCAAAACGTACAAGAACATTGTTATTTACCCGCAGTTAATGTACACATAGGATAAGTCCCCCATTATCAGTCATTTAAATCGGCTGTTCTCATCTGTTCCAAATATGATTGGACTGATTACGCTAGAGGCTTATTTCCCAGTTACTGGTTGTACTTATATTATAAGCTAATATAATTATTATCCTTTATTCTGATCTATCTTATCTCCGTGTGACGGCACAGCTATGTAAAACTGCACTGTATTCCAGCAGGCGTTCTGGAATTCTGACCTTTTAAATAAGGAAACAGCCCTAGCTACAGTGCAGCGGTCAAGGCGCTGTCTCACTCCCCTTCATTAATTAAATTAATTTATCAATTTTCTTACTACTGAGTATTGTCACGAGAGGGATTCAGAGACAAAAGCAGCTGGCCTCAATACGTCAATTGAATTTAAGTCGGCGCTATCTTCTATCAAAAGGGAAGCCCTGGGGACCGCGGGGTCCAAAGTAAATAAAGGCCCAGAAGGCTGCGGGCGCTTATGTAAGCAATTGCTTGCCGGCTACGCTTCACTCCCGTACGCACCCTCTCAAGTATACTTTATTTAAAATTCAGATTTAACTAATTATTCTTTATTTTAATTTATTTAATTACTCTTATAATAGTTATAATAAAGTTGTAAATTAGCTAAGTTTACCTAAGCAGTACAAACTCAACCCCTCCTCATTTTAGTAAAGTCACGTTCTCACCTCAAAACCATTGTGGACTCAGGGGCAGCCCAACAGAAGGGGTGACTATAGAGGCAAATACCATGAAAGCTGCAGCACCTAGGTAGCTGTCACCGGTTCCTAGTGGTCGCTTCGAAAGTTTCGACGAGGAGAGACTTTTACGCTTAGAAATTTAGACGTCGTAAAAATTGGAAAACAAGGGTGCTTAGCCACTTTTGGTACGAAACTTGTAAGAAGCCGCCTTTTGCACTGTTAATTGTGAGAATCTAGACAGCTCAACTGATGCGATTCAGCACGAACCTGAATGAGGGAATGCCGAATGGCTATCACTTGCCACAGGCAAACAGGGACTTGAGTCGGCAAGTTCGGATGCGACTTCCACATGCCGTCGGCCCACCGCGACGCGATGCAGATCTATTCGTTATTTTGACGACGCCGACATTCGCAGCGGTTTTATGATTGACAATAACTTGTATTTGAGAAAGTTTAGTTAAATAACATCCTACTACTAGCCCGGTGAATATGTTCATGCAGTAGTAGGTCTTCACTGCACAGGTTGTCTGGGGGATGAATGATACATCGCGCTGCATCCGGGAACATCTATATTATGAAGGCTGTCAAGAAGTCACTAATGTTTTGGTACTATCTACGAAATCAAGCCTCGGGTCGATTAGACGATCCGATAATTGTCACATCTGACCGTCATAGTCCCACTTGCGTCATGATTGCCAATATACATCATAGGGCGATGGTGAACGGCCAAAATTATGGAGCAGGATTCGCTGGGAAAATGGCTTCACAAAAGAAGAGAGCATTCTACAATTTCTTGTTCTAAAAACCTCAACTTTTTAGAACATATTCCACTCGCGTAATCCACCGTTTTGAACGCAGTCAACACCTTTCCATCGCAAGAACTGGCACGCCTGGTCTCGCAGGCCGGCGTCGCTAAATCCCGATTAAGTTACCCAAAATACGCCATCAAGGCCTTCATGGGCGGCGTATTCATCTCCTTCGGTGCCCTCACAGATCTAGTAATCGCATCTGGATGCCCCGGCCTCCGAGAATCTAATCCGGCCCTCGCAACGATGATCGCCGGCTTCACTTTCCCGCTCGGTCTCGTACTCATCATGCTCACAAACATGGAGCTGGTCACAAGTAACATGTTCGTGATGCCCTTCACTTTGGTTCAAAGGAAGATAACGCTCTTCGATGTCATGAAGAACTGGGTACTCGGCTATATCGGAAACCTCGCAGGTGCGCTGTTCGTCGCAGGCTTCCTCGCGTGGTGGACCGATACGCTGGGCTCGGCCACAGAGTCATCGTACACTGTCATACAAGCGGAGGGCAGGGTAAATGTTCAATGGAGTGTCAACTTTCTTCGAGGTATCGGCTGCAACTGGTTCGTGGCACTGGCACTGTTCCTCTCACTGGGCAGTGTTGAGTTTGTCAGCAAGATCTACTGTATATGGATCCCCATTTGGGCATTCGTCATTTTGGGATATCAACATAGCATCGCAAACTTTTTCCAGGTGCCTATCGGAATGTTCTATGGGACAAGCTTCAGCGTCGGAAAGTTCATTTACCAGAGCACTGTACCCGTCACACTAGGGAATATCGTCGGTGGGATGGTATTTGGGGCCATGGTCTTCTGGTATCTGTACGGAAGACACGACGACCCTCACAACGCCAACGAAGATTCACTAGACTCTGACAGGGAGGGCCATGATGGTGTCAAGGAGTTGGAAGCAGGTGCCGCCATTAGAGGAGCTCATCCGAGGAATGGAAGCGTGTATAGAGGCCCTTACGATCGGAATAACATGGCTGGCGCCGTTTGAAACTGGGGGGTTGGGCGCACGTCGCAAAGCACCCTGGTTTTAACACGACGTTATTATCATAAGAAAAGATTTCTGCAGTCCCACCAGAGTATGTCGAGTAGCAATGCTTCGTGTGGACCTAGAGGTTTGGGAGCATTCTCTGTCGAATGTGCCCGGGATATTGGATGGCGGACAGACAGCACACCAAAGGAAGCTTATTAAAATTGAAGGAAGACTCGTCACACGGAGTAAAACATACATACTCGAGAATATTGGCCTTTTTTTGAGTCAGTGACATGTCCCGAGTTGCGCATGGGCTGTAAACCTCGGGGCAAGCGATTCCCTCAGGGGCTGAATCCTCTCCCGTGCCTGACGGCTTTGTGCAAGTGACAGCTCATCTTCCGGGCCTCGGGCGCTGCTCGCGCCGAGCTTGCCAATTATCCCTTCCTTCGGCCAAGAACATTCTTTCATGTCTGACAACAATACAGGGCAAGGCAGAAACGAGTGACCTGGTATTCCCGCCAAATGTATCCTGGTCCACATTTCACCGACGAAACAAGCGGTGGAACGTCTTGGGCTCGAATAACAAAACCAGCACGACAGAATTACACAGTACTTAGCAAAATCGAATGACTGGAAAGACTGCCACTAATTTCTTTGCATTTTCTGTATACCCGCAAAGCTTCACCGCCAGGCTGCTGATAACCCAGTCCATTGGTCTCCGTTGCGGCCTCATGTGGGAAAATTTGGGTACTTTGGCTCAGGAGATGCTTCCTAAATGAAGCTTGTATCCGATTTCATTGCTGAAGTACTGATGTCTCCACCACGAGCACATTTTCACAAGCGTGTGCAGCCTCCATGGTGAATACAAGCCCGCGTATTCAGTTCACATTTCCCAGGGATCCTAAAAACCCCACAGAATAAGCACCGCATTGGTAAGGTTACTACTCGCACGAATGCCATGATAATACGAGGTAGGGTCAACCGGCAGCCACGGAAATTTTCAGTCCGCGGACTCCGCGCTGGGGCGCATAATGAAGGAGCTTTTTGAGTTCACATCAAGTAAAGCGCCCACTTGGTACTATTCCGCCATGCAACCGGTACCACATATCGCAACACAAAATAAAGGGAGACTTTGATGTTGGTGACATTCTCAGCCTATTCCATGACTCGAGCACCTTGGCATAGAGGGCGCAGGAAGGAACACCAAGCTGAAACACGCAGGCACTGCGTTCGGTTCTCGGGCAGCCTGCGTGAGAACATTCGGCTGGGAGTGCCGCCAATAGTCTTCCTTAAAAAGTGGTTCCCGTTACGGTACGGGCCACTATATTCCCAATTCGTACGCCAATGCGGATGTAAGGATCCCTTTCCGCCTACCGTATGTGGGGCGTAGGGCCTGGCATGTTCAGCCCACCACGGTGATGAGGCTCGATATGTCATATGTCACACACGATACCTTCGTTTACCATTGTTGCTAATCTGGCGAAGGCAAATAAAGATTCTTGGCAATAGTGACACGCCTTGATGGTGAGAATGGTTCTCTGCATGTTGCCCGGAGCGTTAACACTATAAAGACGTCGCTTAATTCCATCAGGATTTCTGTCCATGTCTCCCAACAGCAACAGTCTTTTCCGATTTATTCACAATAATTTTCCAGTATTTTCTGTTGAATTACATCCCTCGGCCGTCTCGTGCAATCCAGCCTGTCATTGTCAGTCTACCATTCCTACTTGAGCTTTTTGGCATCCCCGGCTAACACCAACAGCTCAATCAGACCATGAAGCTCACATCCAACCTCGTCCTCGCCACCATGGCTGCCCAAGCTTCGGCCTTGGTACAAATAGAGGTCCGTTACAGCGACAAAATGATTGAAGTCGGGAACCTCGATCTCTTCGCTGCCACCTGGCAGGCCATCTACGCTGAGGCCGGCAACCAGCGTTCTGTCATGATGGACCGCTCCTTCGGCGCCGACACCAGCACGTGCAAGTTCGCCGAGGACAACGACTCGGACCTGACCGTGCAGGTAAAAGTCAACGGCGCCTGGGGCCGAACGCCTGGGTTGCAGGACAACGAGATGCGCGAGGCGCTGGTGACCTCGATGTGGGAGGTGCTGCAGCGCGTGGCCGATCCCACGGGCTACGAGACGTTCTCCGGCTGCCGTGGTCTCACATGGCAGGAAAGCGTCAGCTACACGTCCGACGCCGCATGTGGCCCCCAGAGCGCACGTAACTGTGAGGAGCCGTGTAGGAAGGAGGGCTCGCCCGGCTTGGCGCAGTGTATGGATCACTCGTGGGGCCACCAGGTGCCTTCGTCGATGCGCGTGACGGCTTACATCGACGACGTCCTGCAGGCTGACGACTTGATCATCGAGTTCAGCTCTGCTGTCAACCCTAAGGATGGAGGTTGTGGCATAATCGGAGAGATTGCTGGTGCCCTCGCTGAATACACCATTCCCGTCGCAGGCGGCCTCTTCGCCAAGGGTATCGAGATCGGCTGCAGCAGCTAAGTCGAAAGTTTGACGGAAGACAGAGTGGTTTCATAGTGATGGATGACCTGAAAAGCCATTAAGAATTGTATAGAACACATACAATTAGGAAATTCTTGTACATATAACGGACGACTTTAGGCTCGAGTGTTTGTAGTTATCCATTACACTAAGGCTTAATCCAATTGTATAATCTCGAAGGATTGGCCTGGCTTTTTCTATAGGAGCAATGTCCTTCAACGTGAACGTTTGCTCATTCCAAATAGCTTCTACTTCCGGGACGGGAGTGTTTAGTTCACTGATGCAATCTTGGTTCTGGGGGAAAATCAATGCTTAACCATATCGTTGCGCGTTTAGCCGAATACGATGAGCCGTCGGGTCCAAAACATACCATTCCAGCACGCTATGCTATTTCACTTAAGAGTTATAAGATATCGATGGCTAGTTAGGCACGACCTTAAAGAGATAGACAAATGCGAAATTGGTCACGGTCATAAGGACAAACGCTCTGAATAGACGGCTACTTGTTAACAGGATCCCGACCGTTGTGTCGACAGATAGGCTTTGCAGGACCCAAAACTCAAGCATATTATCACAGTAGCCATTTAACCTGGGAGCCTCAGCGACTCCAGAGCTTTGCGAGTCAACACGCCCTTAATGATACAATGCTTATCTAAGTCGTCATACAACCGTTGAAGCCAGTATTACGCCTCGTAGGCCCGACCATGCGTACTTAAGTAGAAGCTGGTGCCGATGTCGCCCAGCTGCCCGTCAATGAGGTGAGCCCGAATAAGCGTGTTCATTTCAAAGTTTGACAGCTTGCCGGAAAGCCTAGATGAGAAGAAGCAAAAAGAGGTATGGCGCGGAAGCGCTGAATGAATAGCACCTGCGGACAAGGACACTGCTCTCAAATCGGCTTTCATATAGGAGAGAGATGGGTCTGTGAGTGGCAAAATGGAGGGTTCAAACCGAGTGGCCTCTTGTTCTCTATATCTATCAGGCAGAATTGTATCTCACGTTGGCATAGAATTGTTGGACATATCCCGCGGGAAAAGTGCTAGCACCTCTTGAGAATGTGATTCTTAGTCAGGGCATTATTGCAAACAGTAGGAAAAATGATCAGATGGAACTAAATAATGTTCTGGGGCTTGGAAACATGAAATCTATGTGTGACCTTTCCGAGCATTGAATGCCGGGGTTCTGAAGTTGGCCCAGTGCAACGGCAGCCCTTGGGGTGAACGTATCAGATCGGGGGATTCAGCTGGAATATTCATCATTTACAGTAAAATCGTGCAGTAACAATCAGTAGAGCAGCCTTCAGTAAGACTATGTAGGTACTGGACACCCCCCCTTCCATACACACCACCTTTTACCAGATGGGACTGGTATAATAGGGAAGCACCAAGCAACCTCGCATGACCTGCCACCTGGGTGCTGGCCACCCTGGAAGGGCTGCAGGTCTGGGCCGCAGTCTGACCATACATGCGGCTGATACCAGAATTGCCCCACGGCGGGGTATCTACAGTATCTTCTGTTGACCAGACCTTTCGCTCTACTTCAAAGGCCCAGACGTCTTGACTGAAGATTTCAGTCGTGCTCTCATCATGGAGCGTGACACGCTTTGCGAAAAGTGCAGGCAAATCGAATTCTCGGCGCTGTCGACCCCCACGCTTGCTGATGTATATCGGGCACGGAAGGATATCAGCAGAGGCGTGCCGCTGTTCCTTCCGCAAGGGACCTGGCGGGGTCCCGGAGAACCACCACAGGTGAACAAGGTCAATCTCGGATCCCTTGAACGGATCGAGCACGATTCGACTCTTGGCTGCAAGCTGTGTGCGGTGATTCTGGACGTCGTTCACCGGCAAGGCGGCTTCATTGCTCCGGGCGTGGCTCTGCCCAGAGGTAACGAGGTGCACTTCTGGGCAGATCCTTCGGCTTACTATGGATGCATCACGGATTCTTTCGAAGACATCGAGTGGAGCTCAAACAATGCTTACTTCGTGTTGAAACGCCTGTTGGTCACTGCCACCAGGACTGATACAGAAGAAACAGTGGCATATTTCAACAGCATCGTCCAGCCTTGCAACGTGGGAACCTCTCGCCCTTCAGCCAAGGGGGCTCAAGTCAATGGGGAGAATGGTAGATTGTTCTTGGGTAGAATGCGTCCAGTGGTTCTGGACATGAATCTCCCCAGGCAGTGGATAGAACTTTGTGAATCTACGCACGGTGTAAGTTGTTATGGTCGTGGGGACAAGTCTCTGAAAACACGGTGAGGTGCTACCCTTGTTCAGTCTCTTATGATAGAAGTAACTGATCTCATAATCTCTGCCATCAGACCATTTCGACTTCGTCTCATTGATGTCAACGAGAGGTGCATTCGATTCTTCGAAGAATATGATCCGTCAGACTCACATGCTGCCTTTGCAGCTCTGAGTTATGTCTGGGGTCGGAAGCCCCAAAAGCTCCTCCTGACGGCGGAGAAGGAACCCATGTTGACTAAGCCGGGGGTCATCGGCAATAATAATGTGTCCCAGACGATTTACGATGCTATCGAGGTGACTAAATCATTGGGTTTGGGTTATCTCTGGGTCGACGCAATCTGCATTAGGCAGGGTAAAACGCCAGAAGACGAGCGAGACAAAGCAGAACAGATTGGAAACAGTGAGTCGCATCGATTTCTTGCGCGGCAATGTCGTTCAGCTTCCCTACAAGTTCATGCAAGTAAAACTGACAGCCATACTCTGCGCTTAAGTGGCCGAAATTTATAGATCTGCTTTCCTTACTATTGTTGCTGCTTCTGGAAAGGATGCGGAGGCCGGGTTAGCTGGGCTGCGCCCCGGCACGCGCTCATTTCCACAGCAGGAGATTGTAGTGATACCACCAGACCAAGATCAGCCAGGCCTGTCTCTGTTGAGCGTCTGCAAACGAATCCCGAAACATTTCGGCGAGTTCTTCGATATGCGAGATGAGGATGCCGACAACAGCACATGGAACACTCGCGGCTGGACGCTGCAAGAGCGAGCGCTCTCCCGACGAAATCTCATTTTCACCGAGGAGCAAGTATTGTGGGCATGCGACGGTGCATACTTTTGCGAGGAAACTGCCTTCGAGCACCCCATCAATGAGACAAGGCATCTTTCCGAGGAGAATAATCCAATTCGGTTCGAGTTGTTAAATGGGTCTCGGCTCAGCGCGGCCAGTTTACGGAGCTTAGACAGCAAGATGGCACAGATTTTGTCCTCATCGAAAGGTTTCTGGAACAGATACAGGCTGCTGGTGCGAAACTTTTCGATGCGCAACCTGGGCTTTCCGGGTGACATCCACGACGCATTCCTCGGAATTATGCTGGCTATGCAGCGCATTGGTAACGAGCACTTTCACTGGGGCCATCCGCGTTCGCGCTTCGAGCTATCGCTTTCCTGGTCTACCTTTCATACGTTGTCTAAACGGTCCGCTAAGACCACATTGCCCATGACCTCGCTCAATACGCACGTCGACTTCCCAACGTGGTCCTGGATGGGCTGGGTAGGGGAGGCAAGTGTGTCAGTGAGCGACGAAAGACTTGAGACGTAAGTTACAATGAGGAAGGAATCCCATCACGAGACCATTTCTGACCGAAGGAAAATGCAGTGAAACACCGACAGTCTTGTGCTTTGGCCACAAGAGCAACCCACTTCGGCTGACACGCATCGGCGGCAACAACGCGAACGAGGACATGCTGGAGCATCCGAGTCTGGAATCCCAATGGCTAGGAGGAAGCACTCGCAGCGAAGTTAGCCTTGATGATATCTCTGAATACCTACCGGAACTTACACAACCCAGGCTCCAGGAGGTTCCCGACGAGCACGTCCTATTCTTCTGGGCAAGTACCGCCTTCTTTCAAGCACATATGAGCGAGGTGGAAGAGCGACAATTGGCAACGTGGAGCGATTACGCAGCTGCCAAACGACCCGTCATTCATGACTTGAAAGGCGTCGTAGTTGGGGAGCGTAACTTCGTGTCGTCGGCCACGATGAGAGGACTCGATGGCTCTCTCGCCGAATTCATAGCTGTGGCATGGCGAAAGATTGCAGACCTTGATCTCCCTGCTACAGTTCTTGCTTTGCAAATCAGGTGGGTAGATGGGGTTGCACAGAGACTCAACTACGCCGAGATTGATGAGGTTGCATGGGAGGAAGCGAGTCCGACATGGAAATTAATAGCTCTAATGTGATCAAAGCCCACCAACACTGGGTGAAAATCTGATACCCAACTCCAAATTGTTAAATAAGGAAACGGATATTGGCGCTGATCAAAATGGATGATAGTATGCTGATCTCTAGCTTGCTTCTCCCTCTTCCTCCGTCCTTGCTCCAACTCTTTGGCCCTCTTAACCCTTACCCTACTACCCTAGGGTACTTAGAAATCTTCCTTCCTCCTATCCTTCTACCCTTCTGCCCACCTATTGTTCTCCCTTCTAGCCACCTAGCCCTCTTTCACTTGCTATGGAGAGAGATGGGGCAAGAAAAGGATAGATCCCAAATATCTATCTTTTTATGAATTCCGTTTGCATAAAGGTTAGGGGGGTCGATGGTTGCAGTGCTTACAGTACATCATCCATTTTGACTTAGCTCAATATCCCGCCGTTCTCTGAACATTGTTCTTTGTTGCACTTTGTCGCGGCACATTTCACCGCTAAAAGAAAGACGATGCCCAGTGTGAATGTGATACACCCGTCTGGGGCGACGGCCCCGGATTGAGATCGGGCGGCTAATGCCGGGGACAGCAACGCTCCAGCTCCGGCAAACGCCGCCCAGCCTTCCCCCCGGCCACCGGAAACGGCGGCATGGAGCACTCAATGTCCGGCTTAGGCTTCTAATGCAGGCCATAAATTTCCCAGGCCGTTACAGCGATGGCTATTCCCTCCCGTACAATGCCCTGTGTCTCACGGTGAGTGCAGCCTCTCCGCCGAAGCTCTTACGCGTGCTCCTAGCAGCAACATAGCCTAGGTTCGTCTGGCGGCGCACGGCATCTATAGCGTCTTCCCCATTTCTATATACAATTCTAACAGGGCCGGCAAGATCACCCAGACATCAAATGCTCAAAAACCGCCTTTTCCGATACGGGACTCTTTTTGCAATTCAAACAGGGGCCCACAATCTCGATGCAGATGTTGGTCCATTCTCACCTCTGTCGTACGTGACGGAGAAATCAGCAGTCCGCATTATTCCCCCAGTCTGAGGCTGCTCAACCCTATGGTCACTTGGATTTATTGTTGTAATGCTTCCCTCTTGCCCATCCATTATTTGCCTCTGGCTGTCGGTTTCCAACCTCGAGTCCGCCGGATCTTGGACAGTGAATCCATACTTATCGCGCTTCTTTGTGGGTTTGGAAAACATCTCGATGGCATCAGCCTTGGGTTGAGAAGCCCCAGCTGACTCACTGTAGTCCTCGTACTGGCGAGAAGATCTCTTCGCAACTGGTAGAAATGGGCTTCTTCCCAAGAGCGCGTCCACTAACGGCTGTAATACCGGTATGCAAGCTGCTGTGAGGACTAAATTTGCTTCGATTCTGCTTGCACATTATTAGACATCGCCTCCTTCTAAGTGACACTTTGCGGAACAGCACTTACATAGTCCAATACAAGGGTTTGCTCAGATCAACTGTAGAGCGAAGGGTTAGATGATACTAGTAAAGCTTTCTCGACCACCTAATCTTAACGTACACGAGACATCTTTGCTTGCAAGGTTTGGCACTCCAGTAGTCTTATAGATGCCAACAGCACCAGACCTTAGAGAATAGTTGTCAGATCATTGACAGCCTCATATTCGCATCCTACGTTCCTGCGATTGACGGACTTACACCAGGCCAAAGCCAAGGGCACTACTAAGTGCCAATTTTTTCCTCAAAGGCATTTGTAATTTCAGTAATCTGTATGCGGGATAGATGGCAAGATAAAAATCCAAAAATGCTGAGAAAGCTAGAACCAGTAATGCGGTTAACAGGCACGAACTTCGGTGCGCCACAGCAATCGAATACTCACTACCAGCTAAGAATGACATATCTATGAGGACTTCCACAGGTATGCACTTCCCTTCGACTGAAAAGTCCCACAAAGCCCTTGGTGGTGAGCATTGAAGCATAAGAAGGCAAACTGTTGTGACCAGTATTGCAACACACAGGCTTCCTGAGACCCATAAAGCCCAGTAGTGCAATCTTCCAGGTACCAGGAGCCGTGTTAAAAGAGCAATGACAGCCAACTTCCCTATTCCAAGGGATGGTATCCCAGGGACATAAGCAGACATCATCCAAAGAATGACGCCTTCTTTCTGTTGCGTAGTGAGGGTGTCGAAGTGTCTCCCATTGCCGTAAGAGACTGAAATGGTCGATAGAATAGAGGATAGTATAATGCAAATCTGTGCGTTACGGAGTACTTTGTGTGAGTATTTCGACGGCTGAAAAGGTGGTTCAAAATGTTCTCACAATAGTGAATCCCGACCAGCAATCCTCGCTGCGAATATTCTTGCGTATGGTCGTTTGAACGAACAATCGAAGCGCAACAAATGTTGCACCGAGTGCCGTAAATGCCCAACAAAGGGTTAAAATCAACTTTCCTCTATCTTGGCTCTCGTCACGCGCGTGGTTTTGGTGAATTGTCGACATATTTGCCTCCAATTCAGATAGGATGACCAGAGAGTGGTGTCTTCGAAATAAGGAGGGCCGAATCTTGAAAATCCAGCCTCTTCGACATTGGCATATTTGCAGTGGATCTGGTGTCATTTCTCAGTTTATTCTGACGGTTGGTGAAATCCTTCGAGCGAATCCCTGTTCATCTCCTGACGACCAATACTGCATTGGATAATACCCACATTTACGGACATCAAAGTTCGCGTCGGACCGAGAATATCAGCTGAGCACTTATAGTACAGTACATTTCATCTGTCGTCCAAGCCAGGACTCAATTGTCTAACGCATTGCTTCTGTAAGGTTCCAAGATAATTGTTGAGTCGTATTATAATCATCAATGTGAGACCACGGTCTTACTGTCAGAGGCTTATGCTCCTCCAGCAGCCATCAATGATTATGTATTTTCCCTAGTGATTTCACAGTCCCATCACTCGGGGTAACATTGCCGATTGCGATCACAAGTGCCCCAGGGTGGTAATTGTGGGAACCAACACTCGACTATTGATGAGTTTTGCACGCTTTGATTAGAGGAGCTGCATACCTTCTCCACTTTGCAATTGGTGAGATGTGATACCAGCCTCCCGACGTCCAACAGGTGACGAGCCCCCTGGTTAAAGCAGGGTTTCTTGTTGGCCCTTACACATGTGCCCCCGGGGTAAGCAGTATCCCACTTGTGCACCCTTGAGCGAGCTGTGGGTCGATTCATACTCATGCAGCTTTTCAATTTTCAAGACCTGTCTCATACCCTCGTTTTATATCCCACTGGGTTCCCGCGTACACTGTAGTCTCTGCCATCAAAAGTGCCGGGGTGAAAACCGTCCAACTTCATCCCGATATTTGTCACTAGGAAATTTCTCCCTTTTGTAATACTCTTCTCTCAGTTTCAAATCTTCACCAACACGATGGCAGATGCCGTGGACTTCTCGATCGCCGTCAGGCCTAACGATCTTGAAGCGGTTCCCGGAATTGTGAAGGGCATTGTCGACAAGGCCAACGCTCTCTCGCCTGGGGATGAGACTGCCAGGCATGCTCTCCTCATTCAAGCAAGGTCCCTTGTCCAGGCCCTGGAAACGCCTCGTGAGACTATGACTAAACATACCTGGGCACAGGTAAGGATGGCGCTCAGCAAATTGGTTCTTGGCAGGTTTCTAATCTGGATTACGACAAGCTGGGTGTGGATACAGGTTTGGTCACCGGTGTTGACGCAGGGCTTTGGATACTAATGGCCAAAAATGGTGACGGACCTCAAAACGTTGCCGATCTCGCGGACACGCTAGGTTTTGATCCGGTGCTTCTTGGTGAGTTGCTTTGTCTCGTCCTGTCGGCCATTACTCGGCCTCTGCATCGCGCGCTTCCACACCAATAACTTGACTTGAAAACGAATTGGTTTGGAGCTTAGCTGACATCATTCAGGGCGACTGTCAGTTATACTCCTGGGTTTGGAATAATTCATTTTCCTGATTGGACACTTCGAAGCTAAACCGCGGTAGGATGCGCCATCTTGCGGCTATGGGCTATCTCATTGAGACCGGTGTCGATCAATACAAGCTCACCAACTTCACTCGGTCGATGGCTCTTCCACAAATTTCGGGTGGCTATATCACACTGTGAGTATCAAATATGAAGTAATACGTTCTGTCCATATAGGCTAAAAACCATGTAGGCTTGGTGAAATAGGAGCAAGTGGATTGGAGTTCCACAAATGGGCTCGGAAGAACAACTGGCGTAACCCCACCGATCCAAAGAACGGTGCTCTGAAGGAGGCTTATGGTACAGACCTGGACGTCTTTCAATACCTCCACTCCGTAGGATGTCTTCAACAGGTCAACAATCACAGTAAGATTCCTGCATCTTGGATAATCATTCCAGATAGCCCTGAGTCTGCTAATGGGAGTACCTAGTGCGTGGATACCGGCAGGGCCGAACACCTTGGATGGATCCATCCATTTACCCGGTCCAAGAGAACTTAATCCACGGAGCTGAAGCAGACTCTGAGGCTCCATTTCTGGTGGACATCGCCGGTGGTCTGGGGCACGACTTGACCGAATTCAAGAAACGGTTTCCCAACCAGCCTGGTGTGAGTAACTGTCCCGTCCCAAACATTCTTATGCTGCCGGCTAATCAAAGATACCGAAATATAAGAAAATCTATCTCGAAGATCTCCCTGCCGTTATAGCAGACATTCAAGATCTCGACCCAACCATTGAACGGCTTTCCTATGATTTCCACACTGAGCAACCGATCAAGGGAGCGCGAGCTTACTTCATGCACTCTATTATGCATGACTGGCCCGACCACGTCTGCAAGTCTATCCTGACGCGAGTAGTCGAGGCTATGAGACCCGGTTACAGCAAGCTTCTCATCAACGACGTTGTCATTCCTTCAATGGGGGCTCACTGGGAGAACACAGCTGGCGATATGCTCATGATGACTCAATTGTCTGCTTTGGAGCGAACTGAGGCTCAATGGTATCAGCTCATTGAAGGGAGCGGGCTGGGTCTCAAAATCAAGAAGATCTGGCTGTGTGGCCTACCAGGTGTAGAAGGTCTAATCGAATGCGAGAGAGTATAGGGGGCTAAAAAACAAAATTTCAAGGCAAAGAGATGGCTTGAGCATCGTTTGGTCTCGTTACGCACCACGTCAGAAAGAAATGCATATCTCAAGTAGGTAAGTCCCGCAAGTGACTACAAGCAATCGCTTCGGGATACAAACAATTGTGATTCATAACCCGGTTAGTGTGCCACATACGTGTGCCACATACTTGATCGTTCGATCTGACTCGGGGTCCAGGTGGCTGGCAGTATTCCAAACCAGGCGCCTGGAGGCGGGCTCATAGATATCTGCTGCGGCAAGTTTCACCGAGGCGTATTAAGCTCAGGGAAGCGCACTTTAGCTTCACCCTTATCTGAACTCAGCAGTCACACTCTGGCCTTACAGCTATTCCAGATCTAGGGGCAGCCCAAAAGAAGGGGTGACTATAGAGGTACTGACGGGTTCTTCGGCCGCTTAACTCGGGTCCGAAGAAGTGGGATGACCACCTGGTAAATTGGAACCGACCGATCTGTCGAGAGCTCAGAGTAAAATGACGGTCCAGAGGCCCCTAAAGATGTCGTGGTTGGCATCCATCTGAGCTATGCAGCCCTACAGTCATGAGAGCTTCGCTGACCATCCACATTTAGCGTGAACGCGTCATGTCGCGACCGATACTAGACTCCTACCGCAGTGGTGGTCAGAGATCTCGGGAAGGACCATGTGTGTGGCTTGTAGTCTACCTGGTCGTGTGGTCTGCTAATTCGGCTGGGTCCCACAGACAACCTTTCTAAAAGAATAAGGAGACGGAAACCTCGGCCTAGGTTCCCGTGGCAGTCCATGAGTGGCCGGATTCCATCCACCAGAGATGAGCCAGCGCAGCCCAGCGGCAAAGTCTTAGCGGATTACGTGGTGTGGCAGGTCGTCGCAGGAGTAGTGTGTTGTTGCTGAAGCTCCCTGAGAATGGCCATGCCTTCGCGACACTCAACAGCGGGGCCCGACATCGAGGTTTCCCCCGCGTTCGCACAGAGGATAGCCAGCCATAACGGCTTCTGAGCGATGCTAGCGCCGAGGCCAAGACCCGCGGGCATATCACCACGGGCGCATATAGTCGGTCACCTCGGGCGCCCAACTTGCATGCCAGATAACAGTATACTTCACTGCCAGACTGTGAGAACAAGACCACACGGCTTTGCGGAACAGGACTGAATCGCGAAGTAATTAGCCTTTCAGCCACACTGGAAAGACTGAATGATATTACTCCTTCTTCCTTCACTCGATCCCCGCGTTCTGTGGGTTTAGCCAATGGTCTTAGAGGTGAAGACGGGTCAGTCAGGCGATGGCATGAGTTGAGGCAGTGCTAAAATAGCGAAACATTATGCCTGTCAGATTGCAAAAGATCCTTGTTTGCAGAATTCGTGCATCAAGGTCACTGGTAGGACAATCGACTGCTTGTCCGCTATCTTTTCGATTCCAAGCACACTGCCAGTGCTTTCCTCACTACACCACAGGCGTTCGATTTCGAAGCCCAGACCATTAGGTCATACGCACATGAAGTGCAGGAACATGCATACCGGTCGTACGCATATGAGGTGCAGGGGCATGCATTCGGGTCATACACATGGGAACTGCAGGAGCATGCATACGCATCATATGACAGTCATTGGGCCGGGATCCATGTAAGTGGGAGTCGGAGGTATATCTGACGGCACTGCTATATCTTGTCCGATTCGCCCTGGATCAGCAGATGCACCTTTTCCCCGTGCATCCAAGGCTGACTCGACCCATTTTTGGTTAGAAGGGGCTGTCAGTCCTGTCTGCGGCATGATCCGACAGATCTGCGGCATGGTCAGAGAGATCTGCGGTATGGTCAGAGGAATACAAGAGCCCACTGGGTGCGCATCGACCGGTTTACTGCAGGCTGGCTATGGGTAGGGCTTGCCATTCCGTCCATTACCATGTTGCGGCCTCATCGCCATGAGATTGGGTGGGCATCGAGTTCGCGCAATGGATTGACCAACGCAATCATGGATTTTATCTGTACGGTTGGCTGCGGTGTCACTAGAACCATATCTTCACCGACACAGCCGAGCAGCACTAATTGAAGCGGGTAGCATCAATTGTGACGGGTGCACATACATGATGTCGAATCTAGGTAACCAAGGCAACTCGGATGGATGGCTGACCTTGATTTCGTCGTTAGTATCGCAAGGACTATTTAGAGACGCAATTCTCAACCATTATTTCCTTATTCTACTCTTATTCTCTCATCCTGATGTTGTCTCTTCAGGCCCCGAAGATTTATAGTGTGCTCTTGGATAACGATCACTATGCCGACCGAAAGCTCTCCCACAGGCCGTGGCCATGACCTATTTTCCCGCTTGAAACACGGTAGTTCCAGCCTCTTGCGCACTGTTGAACTACGTCCCCATATTCTCGTCGATGAGATGATGAATATAATTCTCAGCGGATATCAAACTGGTCAGGATGCCCTACTCCGTTGTCTCACTCGCCGTGTTACCGAGACTGTGGCCCTGGAGGAAGTAAGTACTCATCACAGCTGCTCCACTGCGATGGGAAGAAACTCATGTCCTTCCTCTGCAGTCACTAGATCTAGAGTCCCAGCCTGGCGATGTCCAAGAGTACACAACCACCAGCCAGGAACGCGTCGACACGGACAGGCAATCCCTCCCTGACAGCTCTTCCGCCTTTGAGGCTGACGACCCCATCGTGGCCCAAGATGCGGCCCCAGATGAAGAGCATAACGCTAATAGAACACTCATCTTCCGATCTAATTTTATCAAGATTGGGATGGCGGTGCTTGCCATCGGAGTTTTGTTGTGCATCTTGGTGCCAGGTGTTGTTCTTGGGGTTGCAATGAAGCAGATACTGATGGGCATTGTGCTGTCTAGTGCTATCGCCACAATTATTGGTACGTTCGCGGGCTTCTACTATTATCTTAGTAGGAAAAGCTGAGAAACAGTTCCAAAATGTGGCTTGGAGCTCGAAATGCTAGATGACCTGAAGTAATCTTTTGTTTTTATTACCGATGCTGGCCCCCTCCGCTATATCAAGATGGGAAAAAAAGAACTTCTTTGTTTTTCTATAGTCTTCCACTTAGGATGTTCTTTTTGTAAAGCGATGGAAGTATCTTTGTAGATGAATGCGATATGTAGCACTTCATCGGCCAATAGTTACAATGCAGGCCGATTATAATTACAGGACCAACAACAATTACACCGCTATCAATAGATTCTGTGATGGTTCGCAACCCGAGACCTCGAGGAAGATAGGCTCTATAGGGATCATCATTTCTGCCTCCCAGCCTTCTATATAAAGCTGGAGAGTTCTGTGCTGTCAGGAGTCGCTGTAAGTATATTGTTTCTCTCAAATGTCCTACGCATCTATCTCTTTTCGTTTAGGTGACAGAGTCCGCCGGGCCTCCTTATAACTTTTCTGAAGTATTCTGAAATTCCTATTTTCTACATCCTGCCAAGTCCCCTACCTTTAGTCTGAAGCTAGGCAAGAAGCAAAGACCACTTCAATACTGACCGCAGATGTCCTCAGCCCTCTGGCTATCTCTGGCCTCCACCAGCAACCTACACTGGACAATATGGGCAAGTCTGGATGCATGCAAGTCCCCCTGTGTGCATAATCCCCTGACACTCGCGCTGACCATCCGGTGACAAAGATACAACATGCTCCAAGACGACACGGATCAACCTCATGTGGCTGAGGTATTTATTACAGGGCTCAAAACCATCATCAAGGAGTTAAATGTCCAGAACAAGTTCGGCCTGCATCTGATCTATGGACATGTGAAGCTGGCCAAGGGAATGGTCATGATCGGAAAGCCCATGAACAATCTCCACGGCCTCTGGACACACCCGACCAAAGCCGACCAGCTGGACCTGGGGACCCTGCATGGCTACTTATTCGTGCTGGGTGCCAACGAGGAGATCCACCCGTACGAGTTCCGCCCAGGTTCTCTCCCACCGATGACCGCTAATGACAATGCCTTCATCACCGCCGCGCAGAAGCACCTCCAGCTCAACGGCCTCACGGGAATCATCGGTATCGAACTCCTGGATCAGGACACACTCGGCAGGCACATGAAGGAGTTCGTCCTCTCTGACACCGACGGGATTGCCATGCTGCCTGCCGATGCAGTCAACCCTACGGAGATCTATCGGACTACGGGGTGGAACGCCATGAAAGGAAATCACCGACCTCAAGGGTAATGTGACATCTCACGCCAAGACAACCAAAGGAACCCATGAGGTCTTCATCGACGGGAAGGCATTGCCGGACATGGAAGGCAACTCTACCCCCGAGGAGGTCATCATCGAAGCACTGCGCGAGGCCGGCATCGTCAACTAAGGCCCGGAGTTCTCGGTCCGGGCTAGACGGATAACGGCGCAGCTATGATAGGGGTTTGCGACTAACAAGGAATATAGTCAGACCAGTCATTACCGTAGCTCCCATAATACACAGGGATTGAGCCTCTATGATATTCACCTGCTCTTCAAACTTTATTTGGATTTTAAATGCATCATGATATATAGTTTTCCTAGGCCGCTGTCAATTATATACAATACTCCGATGAAATATGCTAGGATGTATGGAGTGTTAAGATATAGATTAGATGAGAAGAATGAACTAGGATATCCAACCAGGATTTCTATCCCGGGTCCACGACACAAGGCTGTTTATAAATACCGTGGGTAGCACTGCGCTCAAGTCACAAACCCAAACTAGCAAGCTAGGTTCCGAGAAATCTGCGACATTATATTAGCCAATGGCCTAAACCTTGGGCTGGTTTATACTACCTAAATGTCACGGGAGAGACATACGAGAGGCGATACTCTCGAGTCTTACTCTGAATTGTAGAGTTTCAAATAAAATCTTGTCTAGCTAAGAAGAGTAGGGAGGAAGGATCCCTCTAATGTGCGGAAAGGCTTAAATGCTTAGGGCCTTGTGGCTGCAGGTGGTCTGTATGCAAAGCCCTGCCATTCACCACTACCAGTCACAACCTGCCCACAGCACACCATAATACTAAAAGTAGGAGATTGACTGGCCACATTCCTTGTTAAGGGAATAAGCTGTAATAATTGTGTTCTACAACAGAGCAGCTAAAATATAAATAAACTAGCGAGATGTTCAATCCTGCTGTTTCCTATGAGGAATGAGAAATTGATGCGGAGTCAAGTCATATACATTTGGTATTCAAGTCCCTGGAGCGTTGAAGGAAAAGGCTGTGGTGTTCTACCTTCACAAAGTAACGCCCCTCATGATGCTTCCATGCCTTTTCATATCACATGCCCGGAGATTCATGCAGACAGGCTTTCTTACAGCTTAAGGAATCCGAGAACCGAGCTCAGGATACCACCGACGTCGACGCTGCCTGAGATGGTCTTGCCGACCAGGTTTCCTGCGAGTGTTGTGACAACGCCGACAACGCTGGTGAGCGAGCTCACGATGCCGTCAGCAGAAAGGTCGCTCACCAGCGTCGTCAAGTTGCCAAGTCCTCCCTTCAGGACGCCCTGGATGACCGACGAAGACACGCCAGTGAACTTGCCACCGGTGAGGCTGCCCACCACAGATCCGACCTCACCGAGGATGTCGCCAACAATGGGGATGGACCCAGAAGCCGTTGCAGTTCCGTTGCTAGCGGCGCCGGCGAGACCCTCGACGAGACCGACAATGTTCGTGAGGCTGCCGATAGCACTCAGTGCCTGGTCGTTGCCCGCGAAGGTGGTGTTGAGGTTCGTCAGACCGCCAGTGATCTCAGCGACAACATTGAGGGCGCCACCGGTGCCGGCGTTGGTCAGGATGTTGGTGGCGACAGACTCGACTTCTCCAAGGACGCTGTTGACCGAGGAGGCGTCCAGAGTAATACCAAGGTCGGAGAGGAGGGAGCCGACGACCGGAAGGTCCAGGAGTCCGCCGAGCAAGCCGGTCCTGCGTTCATGGTCAGTTCTGAATCAGAAAGTCCAGGAATATTGTGACACTCACAAGCTCGACAGTTGTCGCTCGTGGACAGGGGCATCTACCTTAGCCACTGGTGTGGCCAGAACAGGGACAGAATAGGCGGCAAGCGCTGCGGAAGCGAAGGTCGTGAAACGCATCTTGATCGATAGTATCGATGTAAAGTGATAGAATAAGTTGGTTTTAAATGAATGAATGAAAGTCCGTTGGGTTTAAGGAACGACAGCTGCAAATGCAGAGATGGTGAGTAAGGGAACACAGAGTTGGTGTAGAGAGAGCTCTGGTCACTGAAAAAGGCTTCTGGGACCCCTATATACTTCAACACCACCCATAGATTATGATATGCAAGCGCGATAGCCCTCCTTCACAACCCCTCAATTGTTTCAGTCAGGGTATTGGAGACTTACCCCGAGCCCTCAGCATGAGCTTCGTCCACATGATCATCATTTTCTCATTTTGCGAACCGGAAGAGATTCTACAACGACGATCCACCTACACCCTTGGCATAGCCCTGTCACATGGGATGAAAATACGGATCGGCACTTGACAGATGTGGATACTTGATACAATTGGCAGGCCTCCTGTCAGCTTCGCACGAGACAGGGCATCATCACTCACTAGAAAGTATTCCGTATGTCACCAATCAAGTATCGGCTGAAGCGTTATATGCATAGCACTCGAGTTCTTTCAAGAATCTTTGAGGCCCATCAATAACCTCACCAGTAATCATTGAAGTTGCAATATACGGTTGACTGTGAGACGGTCCCTACGTCGTCACGGCACAAAGGCTCGATTTGGCTGTAGGAATATGTTGATTTCTGTTCAGGTTCGCCTAACGAAAAGAAAAGCGAAAGCAGCGTAGCTGCGCGTGTGCCGTGGAAGCTATTTCCAGTATAGCGGTGGGCTAATAAGATAAGCTTATTGATAAGGGCCCTGTGGGTCCCAGCCCAAAGGGCCCTGCTGGCATTCAGCCCCACGCCCTCACAGACCGCAGATCTGAGGGGGCGAGGATAAACATCCGTCCTATCCCACTGAAGATTGTCTGAACATCGTCATATCGTCTCGTCAGAGCCCCTATTTGTCTTCACCCACTATGGACAGATCCGTGGTATCATTGGCCCCTAACCGTCGGGCAGGCTTCATTTGGCTCCACTTGTGAGTCCGGCAGTGAAATTTCACGTGATAAGGCTGCTTCTGGGTCAAGGGGGACGGAGACATAGTTGACTAACATTTTCTGAGCGCGAACCGCGATCCAATCTCTGAGTGAGCGTAAGCGAGCGACCACAGCGGAGCGTCACCCGCCAAAACCTAACATTCTCTGAGCGAAGCGATCAACTAAGCAAGATGCCACCAATCTCTGAGGGGGCGTGAAGAACATACCCTGAGAAAGCTTGGCCAACACCCCAACCTTCTGACCCCGGCTCATCTAAGCCAAACCACTTTCACTTGCACGCTATGACTTCGGACATTTCCATCATCGTGGGGACCATGATCCAAATCCACCGCCGCGCCCGATTCATCTCACGCTAGCGTGAATCATCCTCAATGTTGAACACCTGGAAACCGTGCCCTAGATCGTGGTGCAATGCCGTCAATTGCCGGTGCGGTCCCTCTGTCGCTTTCCGAAAGCAATGTGGGCAGAGATCAATCAGACAGATGACCGGCTGGCCACCTTCCACGACCCTACGCACCCCGACGCACTGCTTGCACCGGTACGCTTTCTTGATGATCAGTCCTGCGCACACCATACACCACATAGGAACCTGTTTCGCTTCATCGATGATGCCACACCAGGATCCTGGCTCTGTCCTATACGTCAAAGCCAAACGTGGATCGAGAGGATGGTGGCGAGGCTTGGACTTTTCGCCCTGCACAGCCCAACAGGTCAAAACCCAAGCGATGCCATTATCCTTGCGCAACTCCTTCATCCTGGAGTTTGCTGGTTGCCTCACCCTCGGACCACTCAAGCGAAAGGCGATGTTGCCCAGCGGGAGATCCCGGGCCCGCACAGTCCACTGTCTGTCTCAAGCGAAGTAATTCCCCCCACCCCTATCTTTTCAATGGTGAGATAAAGCTGGAGAATATTCTGAGGCTTGGAAATATGAGACTTGTTTGTTTATGAAGCAACAGATTAGCTGTTCATTCCACAGGAATTATTGCATGAAGGACAAAAATAAGCAGGATATTGTGATGAGTATGTTGCAAGTAACTTTCAAGAGCATGCTTTGATACGAGAATCCGGCCTGAAAGTCAGATTAAAGCCCAATGAAAATGATTTGACAGCCACTCCAATATTATATGAAAACCTACGGGATGGAGTTCTGTACCAACTGAACCCAATCTCTCACTAGATGAGCAGAGATATTGTTCCAGTTGAAACTCTGTGATCATTTCCCATGAAACTTCTCGGAACAAGAAGCCGTCATTTTGCAGGGTCCGTAACACCTGGTCCGACTTCTATTCACGGGCAATAGTCTTCAGCCTGGCAAGATTCCACTTCTTTCCTTCGGGTGAGTATATTAACTTAAATAAGTCAAGACACTCGACTCTTCATCTGTCGTGTCTGAGAGTAAAATCCCTTATAAATATCGAATCAGGCGGGATCAGGCCCGAACTCTTACTATACACACAACAATCAATGTTTTCATCATATGGATAGAGTCCTGCTCGTAGCAACCTTTTTAATTGATTAGTTTCTGTCGTGAAATATAAAATATGTCTCAAGCTTAAAAGCCATGAGTCAAGTGAGTATGTGTAGTTCGCTAAAAAAAAAAATATAAAAAGAAAAAAAAAAAGAAAAAAAAAGTCAATATATTGAACGGTTGGATCCACAAACACCCTCTCTGACTGCCTTTCGCGCATGTAGCTAACCAGCTTTCAGCGCAACAATTCGTAATGTCAATGGCACAACCTGATTTTCTTTTCATGATCGGCCTTATCGTAGGCCGATCCAAAATCTATAATCTTTACCGTTCAATGTGAGCGCTCTTTCATGGATGGCGATCATTGCTACAGGAGGTACATTTGGTTTTCTGAAATGGTCTGAAAAGGCGTGTAAATATGTCGAGAATAAACGACCACCTATGAGTTCCCCCATTGCATCACCAAGCCTATAGGCCCAAAGCCTTAGCGAAATTTCTTTTTCAACTTATCGTGACCTTCAGTCATTCTCACCAAGCTATAGTGTTACTATAATTTAGCATATTTTGTTCGGATATTACCTACTGACTTTCTCCCCGGGGTATCAAACACCCCATCCCTGCAATCAGACTCGCACTGGGCATCTATATTCCTTGCTGTGGCCCACGAGAGTGAACCCAGTGGTATAATGGAATTCCTGAACTTGGCGTAATATTTACTATACAGCATTTGCTAAGTAATAGAAAGGGTTGTTTGAAAATTTTGTCTGCTTGTTTCCCAAGAGAGTGCAAGACTTCTCATTTTGACAAGCCGCATCAAGCAGGAAGTACGCGCAAGAGCGGACGACTGGTATACGAGATAATATATACCTAGGTACCCAACGATCCATTCCAGGAGCGCATATTATGACGGTATCGATCACCGTTTAGTCTTAAGCACACTTGGCAGCAAGACTTTTTTTCCAGTCCTCCAACGTGATTTCTTGGCTGTTGGTGTAGCAAATTTCCCAGATCATTGAAGTTTTGTCCAAAAGCCTCAGACTCGGAACTTGCAGAGTCTTTGCTCCAAGGCCTCGGTACAGATCTGTACCCCATGGTTCAAATTTCATCCAGCTGTGGCCTGGGCTGCAGGCTCTGATGATCGCTGAGGTGTTATCATCGTGCCGCAGACGCTCAAGACACTCCGCACAAAAGTCCTTTGACTGGCAGTATATGCAGCGGTAGAGTTCCCGGTCAAAACTCAAGACGTTACGGCAATGCTGCCCATCAGCAGAACAGCCGTCGCAAGTCCAAGTCCAACCCGATTGAAATGCGCGAGGGTCGAGCTCCGGGGTGTGTTTCTGCTCTAAATCAGCCAGGCGGTCATGGACGAGTCTACGCGCCGTAGAGACATGCGAGTCAAGTACAACTGACTCCCGAGGGTCACCGTTGCCAACATCACACATGGCGCCGCCCGTTGCGGTCAAATAGTCTTGGCCCGCTGCCTCAGTCATCAGCGACTCTACATGATTCACCGCGGCTTTGATTCGTCTTCTCTGCTGTGACACATCAGGTATTTGGGACTTGACGAGCCGGACGATTTTTGCTGCCAGTCTGGTCACATCGTCTAGCATTCGAGTCTTGTCATTGACATCGCCGCCAATGATGTCCTCGATCTCAAACGATAGGGCGTTCGAAACCAGGTCCGGCTGACCTAAAAGAGACATGGCAATCGCTTGGTCTTCCAGATGACCATGATTTGCCATGATCCTTCCGATCATCGCGATTCCCTCCACGTCATTTTCAGGTATGTTATCGTCGAGTATGTCCAGAGCAGGCTTGAGCCATCTCCTGAGCATGCATTTAGAGTGCTCAAAATCTTCCATCAAATGGTACGCCGCTGCAAGCAGAGCAGCTGGATCGCTGTATGACGAATGAGATGAAGACTCGTCCAACTCAAGCAACTTGTATAGCGGACTGTTGGTGTTTTGGAGGAACATTTTTTGCAAGATTTTACTCCTTCCGGAGTCAGCGCTCAATGTTCTGTAGCGCTCGAGAACCTGTTGGAAGTAGTGCTTCGCCAATTCCGCAGAGGCATCCGCCCGCGCCTTCAGTGCGTTGCGACCCCCAATGTTGACAAGTGTCTTACGACAACCTCTCCAGGACTCTAGAGCCTGATCGATACGATAATCCTCTCCGCTATCTTCTGGCACTTGGTATTTGTAGAAAGCAATTCCTCTATAATAAAGAAGGATTCCTAAGGCCTCATTCTCAGCAAAGCTGCCCAGCTCGTCTTGAACAACAACTGAGGAACTGTGTGTCCGGCTCTGTGCCAGTCTGTACTCGTCTATTGCGACTTGCATGGTGTCTGCAAATCCTTCAAACAAGCGTCGATCACCTCGCCCAAAAGTGAAGATTTGGCCGATAAGGTCAACGCGATCATCTTCAAGCGCAATACGCTTCCAGATGGCGACCACAGTCGGACTTCTAGCTTGCTGTGCTCCAGCCATTGTAGCAAGCAACATCTCCCTCGCCTTGTCTGTGTTGGTCTTCGTCTGCTTTGAGCGAGCGAGTCTCAGTCGCGTCTTCAAGCATTTCAATTTTCCATGAGTCGCTTGATTCGTGCCATCGTCCCGAGACGCTCGCTCATAATAATCTGCTGCCCGCAATAAATCGCCGGCAGCCGTGGCGCAATCTCCAGCTAAGAAGTGGAGATCCTGAATTTCTGCTCCGGTTGCCTTTGGCGAGGCCTCTTCACAATCTGCTTCATGTAGAGCCCGTTCCGCATGCTCCAAAGCCTTGTTTGCCTCGACCATGCTCGTGTCATCCCACAAACCAGGACGGGCGTGCATTCGGCTTAGACCTCGGTGGCACAGCCAGCTGGGCTTCTCGCCCATCCGGAAGGGGCCCATAAGGGCGCGAGTGTAGAATAACTCCGCGATATCGGCGATACGCTGGCCCCTTTGCCACTGCCTATACCGTATCATCGTGTAGTATCTACTAGTAGTGGACTTCGCAGTTGCCAGGGGGATATGATGCTCGGCTGCCTGGCCCAGGCGCTCATACCAAAGCGAATTAATATCTGCATCTTCTAGGCCCAAGCGATGCTGGCACCAAGCACTGACACGCTCCCAATGGGCACTGTCAAAGTAACGACTTCCCTTGTTGCCACTGCTCTGTCCCTGGCCACGAAGAGTCAATGAGTTGCCCATGATCTTTCAGACTCCAGCCGGCCCTTGAGGACGAAGGGACAGTAATTACTTACCACGCTCATCAAGTTCTGGACCCAGGCATATGCACTCTCAGCTTTCCATTCCCTGCTTCTTATGAAGTGATGCGTAATCTGCTTCGCCCATTGCCCCAGAAATCCATCAGTTGGATTTGACTGTTGACAGATCTCCTTCCACTTCGAATCTGCTATCTTCTTGATGACGGAGCGGTCACTCAGCCATTGCTTCACCACATGCACATCGTCTTCGCTCCAGGATGCCCTCTCGAAACTCGCTTGGTGCCGGTTGACTATGGCGCAGTCTGTGAACATTTGGTACAACCCAAGACCAATTTCCAATTTGTCGTTCGACGGTAGGGACCCCATGTCTTCATCTTCTAACTTGTCGAGACGGCTTAGTCGATATGGCAAGTACCTCAAGAGGTGTTTTCCGAGCTCTTTCGTCTCAGTCTTCTCTTCTGCGCTCAGATAAGCAAATGTCATCGTGATAATTTTGCGATGCGCTTCGACTTCTTCCACTCCAATGGCCGGAACGCCACTGCGTGCTGCCATTAGTGCTTCCATGAAGTCGTCCTTGAAGTTGTCTCGGACAGTTTTGGATGCCAAGTCCCAAAAGAAGTGGCCGCAGATCTTCGGGTCAGCATTATTGATAGTGATAGTCATGCTGATCGAAGAGGTTACCTTCGATTGCTGTAGGTTCTTCCGGTTGAGGTGTCCGGCGATGGCACCCAGAACCTGTGGACGCCTGCCTCTCATGTCGAAGACTGCCAGATACTTGCTCTGGATGATCTCTTCCAGTGTTATGATGGACCTGGTCTCAGATGAAAGAGACTACACACTCAATGTTAATCCCGAAAGACAATTTTAAGACTCAGCTTTCGTGTCCTAGGTAAGGGTTGACGACTAACCATAGCAGCCTCCAGCTCGTCCAAGCTCAATGGTTCCGGACTGAAAAGTACCCATCGCAAAAGCCCATTGAGCTCGATAACCTCTCTTTCCGTCAACGACTCCTGTAACTTTTGTAACACCAAGTGATGACTCTTTGCTGGCTCGTCCAAGCTTTGCGCAAGCTGCTCCAGGGTCATGCCCGAATCTAGCTGACGAATAGTCTCGTCAAGCTCATACTGCAATGTTGAGAAGCTACCCGAAGATTTTCCCGGTAGCTTCTCGAGAATCATACCGAGGGCCGTCTCTTGTTCTTGGTTAGACGACCTATGTTGCAGCGCCCCTGCTTCATCCAGCTTCACTTTGATATAAATGCGCATGTCTTGCTCATTTTGATCGTGTATGTTGATTCGCAGTGGCCAGCGTGATTTTGCAAGCTTTTTGAACATAGCGTCGTTCCCAGTCACGAGAATTCTGACAGAGGCTGCTTCTTCACTTGTCATCAAAGAGCTGAGCAAGTTCATCAATTCTCCGCCCTCCTCCTTGGGGAGATAATCGAGTCCATCAAAGACTAAGTAGTACGTGGTTGCTGACCTGGACTGGGCCTCTGACGCAGACTTTGTTGCTGGCACGGGCTTTCCGATGCTGAGTTGTTGCCACAGCTCTTTCAAATTTTTGGACTCGTTGAAAACACCTCTGTTGTTCCTCAAGGTCCTGGAAAGACTTCTCCTGAGTGTCGAATCGACTTTCGCAAATTGGAAGGCCATGGACTTCAAAGCATTCCTCGCAGTATGGCGATAGCGCTCGGCATCTGGTCTGCCCTCAAGTAACTCATTGCAGGAAAAAAAATAATGCGCAACAACTATGACCCCTTTTTGCTCTTCAAGACGTTTGGTAATAGCGGCGCTAACCAGGGTCTTGCCTGAACAGGGAGGGCCTGACAGCAAAAGCATTTGAGAACGCTTCTCTTCCCTCGAGCCGATCGACGTCCACGTGAGATATTGTTCATTGTCCCATATCCATGACCCTGTCCCTTCGTAACATTGCGTCGAGAGGCGCACCCGGGTCTGAGTGGTTCTGTTGTCAAAGCGTACTCTTGAGTCAATGTCAAGAGCGCTGCGAATCTCGTCGAGGGTTCTGTCAAGGTCGTGCTGTTTGGCGAGCATCTTGACATTTTCGTTGGTCTCTTCGGCTACTTCGCCAATTCTGAGGACTTCTCCGAGCGTGATAGTTCCTTCCAAACTATCCTGTTGCTGCAACAGACCCTGAAGCTTTTTCATCTCCGTGTCCAGATTTGTATCCTGGGCGAAAATGGCCTGTATTCGTCCAGGCATGCTGAACTTCAGGCCACCTTGACGGTGCTTGACCACATGAGCGCACAATTTGATGACGCTGACAATAACTGCCCGAATGTTATTGGCGAGTTCTTCGTCGACTCTCATCATGGATTTGTAAATGCGACATCGCGACAGTACTGAAGACATTTCGCCGAAGACCTGGCCAACGGCTTGATCGTAGCCCCGCACTTTTGCTGGAACGCTGAACACCCAGCCGAGAGCAGAAATCGCAAGATTAGTTGCCGCTTCCGGAATAGGGAGCTTCACAAATATCGGTCAGCATTACGCCCCAGACTATATGAAGGAGGAATCGGATCCCTCACCCACCAATGAAGCAGCATCCGATGTTAGTGACGTGAGGAAGCTGAGGCCTTCCAGCACTTGAATGCCTGCGTCTTTTGCACGGTCCCACATATTATTCTTTGAATTGTCGACGTATGATACCTTCTCAATGTTCTCGATTGCTTTGCGAACGTCATCCCATGACTTCAACTTGCCCTTCTCGAGGGTTTTGCCGCAAATTTTGTTGAATTCCTGAGCCGCCTCATCCCATATCCCGCCCATCAACTCGCTTCCTGAAGGAGGCTTCATCTTGGGCTTGATCAACAATGCCTGTTGACTCATCTTGTTTTTGATTCGTCGATCCGCCGAGCGTTTACGATAGTTTGAATTTGGAGGGTTCCAAGTTTGGCTGCGGAACAATGGATGAAGGTCAGAAGGCGTGCCAGGTGGCGGATGAGGAGGAAGAAAATTCGACGTCGGACATGGTGCAAGTAACATTGACTGTGACGCTCGGAGCTATAGTATTCCGAACCCAAAGCAGCAATTATCGGTGCTTTTTTTTGCGAATAGTGGATACAAGCTGAAAACATCCCCGTCGATCTGTCGGTGATGAACCACGTCAGCACAATCTTTGAGCTCTATGGTAAAGTAAACAGCGGAAGTCTCCCGCAACTCTTCTTGTTTTTGTTGCTTCTGGCTGGCCTTCTTTCTCTTTCTTCTTTAGTAACAAGAACTATACTGTATTGGAAGTTTTATCTTCACCATTTCCTCGCTACTCCACTCAGTCTGTCATCTGCCGAGACCGATTTTGGTCCACTTTGGCCAGGCTCCACCGAGGAACGAACTGATACAAGGCCGGGCGCCTATTTCGTCGCCAACAAGTTAAAGCATGTTCTTCCCAGTCGAATTTATCCTGAGGGCCTGCTAGAATATAGACTATAAATGGAGTGGTCACCTCGGTCGTTTGGCGATATGGGAGCAAAGCAAATTCAAGTTCTTGGACAAGACGTTTCACATGTGTCCGACACTCCCGGCACTTCCAGTTCATGGTGGTATATGCAGATTCCAGCTGTAGATAGGATATCCACTTATGTACCTTGGTCCTCGAGCTGACACGATCTACTGAGGTAGCTTTGAGGATGGTGCCCCAGTGATCACGTAGGCGATACAAGCTCCTGAACATCACTGCGGACTTTATCAAAATCATTCCACACGACGGTTAAACCAAGAATCGGATATCCTCCACTACGTCCGAGCCTTGGAGGTTACCTCATGAATGTCGATCTTTCGCTTCGAGCCTGTGCAGAGCGGGCCGTGTTAATACCCGGGCCCCCTCAGACATCCTCGGCTGTCACGGTATTGTATCTGTGACCCACGACTTGATTAGCATTGTGTCGCGAAAGCGTCACATGGATGACGGCGTGCTTACCGTTGTGCAAGAGTGTGCATGCTGTCGAGGCCGAGTTGCCTCGTTTATTCTGTCAGCATCCAGGCTTTTTGTTTGTTCCATCACTCGCATGGAGTCTTTTAGCTGTGGCGAGGACTTTATAGCCAGATCTATCTCTATCTACAGAAGTACGCTTTCCGAAACTATCGTATACTCAAAAATCACAAACACAAAAGCTCTCCCTAGCCACTTTGTACAGGCCTTCAGAACCCTTATACAAGCAGCGATCTCTTAAGTTGGCTTGCTTGAAGAAATTCCAATAGCGTCATTTTCCCCACCTTAGTACAAAAGAGAGCGGTTGCGTTAAAAGGCTGAAACCTCTTACGCAGATGCTCTGTCCTTAAGGTCCGATAGCGAGGGCAAAGCATAAGGATATGCAAGGAGGTCTGTTGAGCCCTGTCCCGGGTCGGCTCCGTTGCGGTGGTTCAGCCGGACATGACGCTTCCTGCAGCGTCCATCCACGAGTAAGCATCTACTGTCTGTAAATCTCGTTTGTAAGGCATTCCAGGTGCTACCTATTTCTGGAAGCTCTATTGATGTCCGTTTAACGTCCTTGCAGAAGGTATAGCAGACTTTAGACCTCTAATACTATTTAAATATTAAGTTAATAGCCTTACTTAATTCTACACTACTTTTCTTATTTATATAGCTAGTATTAACTAATAAATAATTAAGCCCTTGATAGTATAGCTTTTAATAGGCTAAGCTAATTTTATTAAAATTTAAGCTAATTAATTAGTAAGATATATTTTAAAAATACCATAGCAATACTTGATTGTTTCTTTACGTGTGTAATAAATTATATAAGGTGGGATTCTAGCTGTTATAAAAAGCTGTTCTAGTTTTAATATTTTTTTGTTGATGAGCCTTATTTGTTGCTTGGTGCTTTGAGGGCCTGAATTCGCTCGGTCTTATCTGTGGCTTTTTATTTGGAGCAGGTAGCAGTAACTGGAATCTGTTTTCTTATCGTGTTGTCATCTGCTAGCAAATCAACTGCCAGGTATGACAAACAGCACACAACTTCCGTTCATTTACTCAAAATCAGCAATGAATCAGAATGAAGAACGTGCATTGTGTGTAAAGTATGTGATTTACTCAGTCGAGACTTTTTCCGCAGTCTCCAGCGTGTCCTTGCCCACTTACTTGCGCAAGAAATTCGCAGAGGTCCCTATGATGAGTTCCCTAAAGGCAAGCACAATCTGAGGGCACATGGAACTTTGGGTACCCTACCGCTTGGAACCGAAGGCACGTTGGCTATGAAATATCTTAACACTCTCTCCGAAGCTGCCGTCTTCAACAAAATGGCTTTAACGAGCCTCTAACATCGGCTCGTGTCATAAAAATCACCGAAAAGATGTCATTGTTTCCTTCACTTCCTTGGGCGAGTTTGACCGCAATGCCCCTGCTCGTTGTGAGCCTGGAAATGACGAGGAATCTCCGGCAGCTTCAGTGCAATTAAGATGCGATTGTTCATGAATGAAATAGCACTGCCATGGTCAGGAGTGGTTATCTTAATGAGTTTGAGGATATCTCTGAAAGTTGAGCGGAGATGCTGAAACATAATCATCGTTTAGCACGGCGCGATTGACAATTCAGGTCGACCTTAAGGCTATTCGATTCTGGTATTAATAATACCACCGATAATGAAATTTTCTGAACTGTTTCACAGAGCGATGGAAAACATAGAAGACGAAAAACGAGATTCAAATGGTCCATTTCGTACCGGCCTGGATGATGATTCCAGAGTTGGCAGCTAGAAGACGTCGCGACTTGACAAGACGATTAGGGACGCGCTGCCGTCTTCCCACTGGAAATCTTATCATCGTAAGCGTCTTCTGCAGCTTTCAAATCCCAGATTGGCCTCGAAAAAAAAGTCTCTTCACCAATCTGAAGAACGGAATGACTTCCCGCAACACTGTCCCTCGTTGAGCATAGTACCAGCACAGACTCCCTTGTCATAAACAGACTCTAGCATTCATCCATAAACAGCTTGAATACCATCAGAAAAATAATCTATACTAGCTAAATAGATTATTAAAAACGATATTACGTCTTTGAACAAATTCCCAAATGAGGGTATACATCTTATTGTACGAGAGTTGGATCTCAACGATGTTTTCCATCTAAACCTCTCATCGTATTTCTTCTACCTTATTCAATAGGACAGAGTGTGCAAAGAGATCTTAGAAGTACTGTCCATTGTGTAAACAGAGGCTCGAGTGAGAAACTCGCTTATCTCCTTATCCTTGTCTGGTGCACTTAGCCCGGCTGCGTGCTAGCCAAGGCGCTAGTGTGGACAGCAGCAGAGATGGCGTGGAGCGCCATTTACTCCCAGTAATTCTCAATGAGGGCCATTTTGTCCAAGGACGTTGGTTCTAGAGACTTTGACATAGGCTTGCTAGCTGTGGTGCCCGAGGTACCGTTGACGGGACGGGTTCGTGGTAGAAGAAATAAGCCGACCAGGAGAGGGGTGGCGGGACACGGTGGATGGATGTGTGATGTGCAGCCCGGGGTCTGCGGGATGACCTGGGATATCCAGGCGATGGTAATTGGCATGCCACTTCGGAGATCTCTGTTCGTGCAGAAGAAGATTGGGAAGCCTATCACATGCAGAGTTACATCCATCCAGACATGCATAATGATATATAGGCTCTCCAAATGGCCCTGGTCGCCTGCTTGTTTGGGCGGTGGTTTAACGCATGCTGTTCTGAGTAGCATGGAGCTGTGCCAAGATCTAAGCCCCTGATGCCTCCTCCTCGGCCGCGGCCGTACGAAACCTGATCCAACATGGCAATTCGAGATTCCCTCGGCAGCCACTCGCTTTGTGCGAGGCGGCTTCGGCAAGAACTTTGTCATGCGGCACATAAACGAGCACAACGTTCCCTGTCCTGTCCTGCCAAACTTTCTCCATACTGTATGCACAGTTCGTGGTACCCTACCCAGAAGCAGCGTTTGCAGTAGTAGCATGCTCGCACACAACCGTATCCATCTCACCGTCAGTTCCGACGGGCATCCTATCAGCTTTGCAGGCTTGTGGTTTGGTAGCTTTTTTCCCCATTCCGTACGGCTGGATCTTGGCGTGATCACACCACGGGTATTATTCCGGGCTCACACCCGCAGCGGACCCAGAGACTGTGCTAACATCCTCGCAGGAGCCAGCATCCATGGCCGTGCAGCTCATAATCCTCCTTTGCACCTCCATCTAGACCATTAGGTAGCTTGCCTGTGACACTAGCATTTGCCATATCTATCATAATAGCTTCACCAGGGATCTGTTCTTCATCTGTAAAAGTAATTGCTACCAATAGCTAGTTCGGAAATTACTTTGCTCGAATTTTACCTATTCACCTATTGTCTAAGATTTCAAATATTTGCTCCATTCAAACAGACTCGCCTTGAACATCTCGGTCCCTTGTTTAGGACTCAAGCGCATATCCCGGGGTCTAATCTTTTTTTTTTTGAATCTAGCGTAACTTTTACTTTGGAGCCTCTCCCAAAGGTTTGAAAAGGTTCTTTCAGAAAGTGCCTGCTTATTTTCCAGGGGAGTGCAAGATTCTTTATCTTAGTAAACCTGGGTCAACCAAGACTAACATAATTCTAAAAGTCAAGTTTGATTTTTAGTAGCACTATTTCTTCTTGCACTTGCGTTGAGCCGAGATGAGGCCAAAGCTATGAGTCCTATCTCGCTATCGAGATGGTAGAGCACCCTAGCGGGGTCAGCTTTGTTTTTGGATGATGTTTACGGGACACAGACATTGATTCCAGGCTGCATTATGATTCTGTTGCCAGTCTGGTTCATAGAAAGTAGCTAAGTCCCTATCTAGCTGCGATCATAGACCTACCTATGTAGGTACTTCAAGTGGGGTTGGCCTGTGAATTTGTGGAAGATATACTGATGCATGTTATTTCTTCACTGACGAGGTCTAATTTTCTAAGAGTTCGGTTATGCGATCGTACATGCACAATCTTCAAGCGAGATGGGGAAATATGAAGCTCAGAGTGATCAAAAGTCTGTGTTGTCATCCACCGGCTGGCTTGCTGACGTAAAGCACTCGCTTGCACCACAAACGGAGCTTTGTAATAGAGGTGATGAATAGAAATGAAGCGAACAATTGTACCCCATTCACAGCAAGACGGCTAAAGTGAGTTGGTCGTCTACTCTGGGGGTTGGTTCGCCTTGTAGTAGGGGAAGTCGAGTAGGAGGGTGAGGTGGGTCGCGACCGTGCTAGGGCTTGATTCGCCTCGCGCACCGCTCACCCCTTTGGACGTCAATGACTTGCATTCCGGTGGCCTGTCTTTGCTTTTCTTATTGCAGCCGATTGGCTTGTTCAGAGGAGATGATGGGGCCAAAAATCAAACTCCTTGCTTACTAAGAAGGGGCCGCTTTTGTTTCTGTTGCGCGAAAGCAGAGGGTGTCAAAGATTGGGCAGTCTAGCCTAATATGCGAGGGTAACTGCTGTAGTGTATCCCCGCTCAGCTTCTGAGTGTGGCCCGCGATCTCAAGAATATGCTGGTTGACGGCAGTGGATTGCACATCCGGGTATGCTGGGGTGTCAATAACATAGATCTGAGCTCAGGGATTCATAGTGAGCACGTCTGATGCGAGTTTCGCCATCAAATCGCAACAAATGCGCTTGGGATGGGTACAATACGAAGGTTGAGGTGCAGCCAGACTTGAAACACCAAACTGCGAGGCATCCTCGTTAACTGGTGAGTATGGTGGCGTCAGTACGTACCGATTCGACGGAGAGGAGGTGCACGCACAGTTCAAAGCAAAGCGATGACGCCTTTCCGTTCTGCCAGGGCCTTCGGGCCCGGAAGCGACCAAGACACCCTCCTTGACGCAGTAAGATGGAGACAATGCGGGGCCAATGTTAACGCTGAGATTGACAGCCCATCTCTTGGCATTACTTATTCAGGGATACCCTGGCTTAATCACACTCCAACTCCTTCAGCAGAGCCTCATCGTCGTTTTTCACCTCCCTGTAATCCTTCGCATCGACATTCCCCCCCGGTTGTAGGATTCGCGCATCCGCCCATTCCTTCTTGCGATACGGCTTAAAATACTTAATATTTACTAGTAAAATCTAAATAATAACAAGTATCTAATCTTAGCGTAGGTGCTGCTGGCAGGTCAGCGCGATGGTTGGTCTGTTAGATCACTCCACAAAGTCGATGGCATGCGGCAGAATGCGGGACCCGAGAGAAACCAGGCTCTTGGCCTGCCATATTCGCAGCTCACCATCTTCCATGTAGATCTGGTGGTGAAGACAAACATTTGCCCGACCTGAGAGAAGAAGTAGCTGTACTGCGCCATTCCGCCCCTGGCTGCGTTGGCACCACAGCAAAAGTCAATCCCCAAGTACCAGTATCCGTACCCACCCAACCAGAGTGACCAATGCTGCTGCATCCCAGTCCACCACTAGCGACGTTCATTGCATTTTATCCCGTCTGTCACCACTATCCATTGGTTTTGCTTTCACGAAATTCACCGTCACATACTCTTTCTCTATTGCCACGACTCGAAGAACACCCATGGAGCAAGTCGCACGGTATAAAGTTGTGCCCCTCCCCCGGGCAAGAAGTAGTCGCTTTTGCGTAAGAATCCCAATTCTTCTTTATTTTTGTGACAATTACTTCTACGGCAATCAGGATGACTGCCCTTGCCCAGCCGCCGTCCACAGATACCACCACCTTGCGCATCGTCATCGAGCGCAGCGGTACACACCACCTGTACCTAATGCGCACGTACGCCCACTTACCCACCTCTGTCATGATGGGAAGAACCATAGCCATGTACCAGCGAGAACAGCCATGGTGGTCACGTTGGCTCTGCAAGCCCGTTGTGGAGATAGCTACTATCCTGCGCGTATGTCAACACGGTAACAAGCCCCTGGGACGGAAATACCCTTGGTATACCCAGGCATGACTGACAAGGGCATAGTCCGTTGACAGCGAGACCCAGTCCAGCAACGGGCAGGAAGTCTTTGTCACAAGGCGCAGTCCTTCAAACTTGAATTTAGCCATCCATCAGATGTCTGCTGGCTTGGGGTCTCCACTCGGAGCAAGTGACTCTCCCAAGGCGATCCTTCTCCGACCCAAGCTCACTCACACCGGCCTAGGCCTCGTCGCCATGGCAATCATACTGGCCATCGTGGCGCCGGGGGTGCTCCTCGGGATGATGGCTGGGGATGCGGAGCTGGGGATCACGCTGTCGGCCACAATTGCTGGGACGTTCGCTCTGGCGGGAAAGCTTCACGGTGGTCATGCACGGTGAGATCGATAGCTTCAGGCCAGAGGGTGACAGTTGTATACCCGGGGGCACAGGTATGGGTGTGGTATATTAGAATCTCAGGCTTTACATACCAGTCCATTTCTTCTTCTGTCTCAGACCTGCAACGCAGCATCCTCCCTCGCAGCATGGCTTCCCTTCCGCCATGACTGCGTGTGATCCTCGACCGCCCTGTGCTTCTTCGCCTCTCCAACCTTGCCCCATCCACCACCGCCAGGAGTGTTGATGATGATCCTATCCCCAGCCTTCATAGGCGCACTGTTCTTAGCCCCGAGGTTGATATGCCTCTCCTCATACTCAATGTCATCCTCTTTCACATCATTGCCGTCGCCGCCAGACTTGAGCCGCCGTAACTGCTTCTCCCAGCTAGCCTTCTCGACCTTGCGCACCCAGACATTCAGCCCGCAAGCAGCATCCCCACCGCCAGCAAGGCCATATGGATGATACACCCTCCTCTCAGAGAGGATAGACACCTGCACAGGGATGCGGAACTCAATATCCCGGACCACACCATCACCCCCGCGATGCTGGCCCTCGCCGCCGGACCCGTGCCGGATGCTGAACTCGCGCAGCAGGACGGGGTAGCGGCGCTCAAAGACCTCGCTGTCGGTGATGCGCGTGTTGGTCATGTGGGTGTGCACGCCGCTGGTGCCGTCCCAGTTAGGGCCGGCGCCGGACCCGCCCGCGATGGTCTCGTAGTAGCCGAAGCCCTTGACCGCGTCCTGGCCCGCCGCGTTGCCGCCGAAGCCGAACGTCAAATTGTTGCAGTCGCCCTGCGAGGCAGCGCAGGCCTGGAAGGCCTTGAAGATGACGTCTGTCACGCGCTGGCTGGTTAGGACGTTGCCACCTACTACGGCGGCGTGGTCTGAGGGTGAGAGGAGGGACTTGGGTGGGATCTTGACGTGGATTGGCTTGAGGCAGCCTTGATTGAGGGGGATGTCTTCGGAGATGAGGCAGCGTAGGCAGTAGATGATGGCACTGGTTCAGATGTTAGCTTGGTGTAATTAGGACTTCGAGTAATTTAGTATGTTCATACCTGTAGCTCACGGCCTCCGGGGCGTTGACATTGCCGTAAACCTCTGGCCCGGTGCCCTCGAAGTCAAACACTGCTTCGCCTTTGTCGGGATCAATAGTAACTTTCAACTTGATCGGGCTACCGTCATCCATAAAGTCCACAGCGGACAGGTCCTTGCCCTCAAACTTCTTGCTAACATCCTTGAGTAGCCTTCGCACGCACGACTCGGCATTATCCTGGATGTTCTTCATGTAGAACATCACTGTATCCTCGCCATACTCTTGAATCAAGTTCTCGATCAGCGAGATTCCTTTCTGATTGGCAGATACCTGCGCTCGCAGGTCATTGATGTTGTCAGCCAGGCAACGAGTGCCGCTGCATCCAGGATACTTGGCGGGCTCATTGTAGAACAGCTCCACGACCCTCTCCTCGTTAAACTTGCCCTCGCTGACGAGCTTCTCGCTCTTGATGGCCGCTCCCTCTTGAAACAACTCGCGTGAATGCGGTGGCATACTGCCGGCGGTGATGCCGCCGATGTCAGCATGATGGGCTCTCGATGCTGCGTAGAAAAGAATATTCTCCCCCTTCTCGTCGAAGGCTGGCATGGTAAGCGTTACGTCCGGTAGATGCGTCCCGCCATAAGAAGGGTGGTTGGAAATGATCACATCGCCCTTCTTCAACTCGCCCTTCCATATCTCGGCTTGCCGCTTCACACATGTCCCCATGGATCCCAAATGTACTGGAAGGTGAGGAGCATTAGCGACCAGTCCTCCGGTTGCGTCGAAGATAGCGCATGAAAAGTCGAGACGCTCCTTCACGTTTGTGCTGACACTTGTCTTCTGTAGTGCCCTTCCCATCTGCTCCGCAATCGCCATGAACCTGTGGCCGAAGATGCTGAGCACGATGGGGTCAACTTCTCGTTTTGATTGGTCCTTTTCTTGAGACTCGTCTTTGCCAGTGTCAGCGTCGATGTTGACGATGACGTGCGTCTGGAGTATCACCGCCTCGGCCTTGGGCGTCACAACAATGGTCTGAGTTCCGTCGGCCAGCATGGCTGGACCCTTAACGACATCTCCGACCTGGATGTCGCCAAGCTTGTAAATCGGTGTTTCTAATCTCCCTTCTTCAAAATAGACTTGAGCGCTGGAGTGCTTGTTCTTCCCAGAGACCTCTTGTCTCTTCAGGTTCTTGAGTTGCTGATCCACTGTCTCCTCAGCGTATCTAAAGCTCTTGCCGATGCCTCTTACTCGCACATCGTCGATAATAATATCCCGATCGTCTAGAGTGAACCCAAATTCGTATCGATGATGCTTCACAAACGCCTTGCCAAATGCCCATTCTTTGCCGTCGAAATGCTCTTTCGCGTCCTCTTCGCTCGGCTTGACGATCATCAATGCCGATTCTGTGCCGCGATATCGCATGTTCAAGTACTCTTCGAAGACAATATCTTTGTCGCTGAACCCCTGGTCCTGAAGTGCCTTACGAGACTTTTCTTTGAGCTTCTCCATCTTTTCCTTGAGTTCGTCAACTGTCTTGCCATCGTCGGACCACACCGCGGAGTCCGGCTCTTGTCGTTCATCAACAACGTCCGCCAATGCCATGCCGTACGCTGACAGCACGGAAGAATATCTGTGTATGAGTATTTGTTTGATGCCGAGAGCATCTGCAATGGCGACAGCGTGTTGGCCACCAGCTCCACCGAATGTAGCCAGCCTGTGTTTTGAAGAATCGTGGCCCTTCGCTTCCGTTATTGACCGGATAGGACGGGTCATGCTCTCGTTGGCGACGGTCAAGAAACCGTACGCGACTTCATCAACAGTCATCTTCTTCCCTGTCTCGTTGTTGACCTGATCTGCGAGCTCTTGGAGCACCTTTTTGCTGGCCTCCACGTCCAGACCCTCATCCTCATTCTTGCCGAATATCTTGGGGAAGAATTCGGGCAACAGCCTGCCAAGGTACAAGTTGGCGTCAGTCACTGTAGCTGGACCTCCCTTTCGGTAGCACGCTGGCCCAGGATGCGCGCCGGCAGATTCGGGGCCAACCACAAACAGGCCGTTCCTGAAGAATAGTCTTGAGCCACCACCAGCTGCCACGGTGTTGATGTCCAACTGTGGGGACTGGATCGTGACCCCTGCCGTTGTCGTCTCGAATGTGTGGTCGTATCGGCCCTCGCCGTACCTAGAGACGTCGGTGCTCGTACCACCCATGTCGAATCCAATGACCGGGATCCGGGTCTCCGGGTCGTAGGATGTGATCGCATAGCCGACCACACCACCTGCAGGGCCAGACAATATGGCCTTCAGGCCCGTGAACTTCTCGACATCGACCAGCCCGCCGTCGCTCTGCATAAACTCGCAGCGGGCACCGCGGCTCCCAGATTCGTTCTTGACGCTCTGTGTGCCGAGGCCGCCCTCGAAGCCCTTCTGGAAGCCATCGATGTATTTGCGGATGGCCGGCGTCAGGTAAGCATCGGCACAGACCGACGTTGCACGCGAGACCAGCTTGATCATGGGCATGAGCTCGGAGCTCAGCGATACATGCTGGAACCCGATCTCCCTGGCGATCTTCCCAACCGCCGCCTCGTGGTCTGGGAACGTGTATGCGTGCATTAGACAAACCGCTATACTCTTGATACCCTTGTCGTATATCTGCTTCAGCTGTTTCCGTATTGTCTCCTCCTCTGGCCGTTGTAGTATGCGAACTGCCTCGCCCGAAAGGCCCATGACCAGATCGGCCTTCTTCGCCTCCGCAGTGCCAGCTTTGACCTCCGACTTGGTCGCATGTCGATTTGGGTCCTCGGCGTAGTCCTCGAGTGTGACCCTCTCGTCGATCTCCACCACTTCGGAGTACAAGACGTCGGGCTTGCGGATGGCGAGGTCAAAGATCTTAGGGCGCGACTGGTTTCCGATGACAAGGCAGTCCTTGAAGCCCTTTGTGACGACCATGGCGATAGTCTCGCCCTTCCTCTCGAGCAGGGCGTTGGTAGCGACGGTGGTGCCCATGCGGATCGAGTCGATCTTTGAGGTGTCGAGGGGCTCGCCGCGGGGGATGTCGCGGCCGAGGAAGTGCGACATGATGCGCCGAATGCCCTCGAGCGGCGCGTCCTGGTAGTTGGCCGGGTCCTCGGACAGCAGCTTGATCACGATGTCCTCCCCCGCCAGGTTGCCCACGCAGTCTGTGAACGTGCCGCCGCGATCTATGGCGATGCGGATGCCCCGCTCGTCCTGGTTGGAACCCATCTTTGCGAGTCTGACCTGACTGCTGGATAAGCCAGTTGTCCAAGAATTTTAGGATGTGAGAGGGATCATGGAAAAGGCAATTGAGGGGTAAGAGAGGAAAGAAAACGTGGGATAATGGCAAAGTTAACGCTTCGGCCACAGAAATTCATCAATGGTCTCGCGACCCCTCCATGGATGGTATTATTCAGTATTTATTCGTCATTATTATGCTCCGATCCCGGGCGATAAGACTAAGGAATCGGGGGTTGCTCGCTGCCGGGACCGTTGCACCCCACAGTGCTCGGGATAGACGCCCGAGAGCTTGTCCCTTGACAGCTTGACTTCGGCCCATGAGAGGAGCTCCCCACAATGATCGCCATTGCAGCTAGAGGCTGATCGGAGTGGCCCCCCGATCTGCGCCCGGGTTCAACCTGCACTTGCGGCCGAACCACTGCTGGGTCACCTTCTTGGCTGCATCACAAGGAATGCCACGACGAGAGAGCGAGGAGAATTATTAATGATTGAATGGATTGTATTTGTCATTTCAGTGTTGGCAAAGCACGATGTCTCTGACGGAGACAGAGTCTGAAGGTGAATTGCCTGACAACAACACGTCTAGTATTGCCACGATTTAGGGTATATCTTCCACTCCAAAATCACAATGATATGGCCGTCTCCCTTTTTGACTGATTTTCGCTGGAGAAGATGTGGTTGTGGACTAACCAATTTCATTCTTCCAGCAGTGCAGAATGGCATCATAACCCAAGTGTAGTAGGGGGCAGCGGCGTCCTTCCGCGTGTCTCCCGTTTTCATCTCTCTTGTGTGCCTCTCTCCGTCAGCAGCCTTGAACAAGACCCAGGACGATGATAACCGTAGTCCCTGCATCATTGGCGCAAAGTTAGCAGCGGATCTGGATGCTGGATCGAAGATGCGTAGTTCATGAAGAGCGACTTCAGACATGTTGAGAAGATTGTTGAAACGCGGTTTTTGTCGTCACGGTACCGCTGCCTGCGTGGTATTGGATCCCAAGGAGGCGCGATACTTTGCTGGCCCCGCGGCGATCATCCTGGTCGAAAACAGAATGGTGGTGAGGGAAAGGAAGTGCTTACACAGCGTGCTCATCCCACTGCCGCCTTTCTTGCAGGATAGGTCTACCGTTTTAAGCAGCGAGATCGAGGCGCTCCAGCCCAGCATTCCAACATCATGTCCGTAGAAGTAGTCGTCCGAATCGTAGCCGAGCTCAAGACTCCGGCCTGAACTTCCCGCGCTTCTGCTTCATGGCCTGGACCTTCTTCCTGTCCTCGTCAAACTTCTTGATCAGCTCTGCCTGCTCTGCCTTCTTCTTCTCACGCAGCTGGAAGCGGTAGAAATTGGTCAGCTCCTCCTTCTTCTTCTGCTCGCGCTCCAGCATCTTCTTGCGCGCCTCCTCGGCCTCGTCCCTCCTCGCGGGTGCCGAGCGGCCGCCCCTCGTGACCGTGACGAAGCCGTCCTCGTCGGGCTCGTTGCGAAGCCTCTTAGCCAGCTCCGCGGCCTCCTTCTCCTTGCGGTTGAACACGGCGAAGAAGGCGTCCACGGACTGCTGGAGGATTTCGGTGGGTGGGAACGACAGCTTGTTGTGCGCCTGGATCCATGTGACTCCCAGTTGGGGGACCTTCTCTTGAACACCCTCACCCCAGACAGGATATTTCTTGGTTTTGTGGACTTTCGCGATGGCCTTCAGGACGAGGTCTACGCTCTTCTCGTCGGCGAGGACAATGACAGCCGTGCTGCCACTCCGGTGCAGCTGGCGTGTCCATGTCGGGGGCAGCCGCGCGACTTGCTCTTCCTCGTCTTCGGAGTCGGACTCGTCGCGCTTGCGTTTCCGTGATGCGATCGCGGCTAGTCGTGCGGCCTGGGCAGGCTCTAGGGAGACTGGCTTTTCCCTCCTGTCTGCCTCGAATGATATGGACTCGAATCTGCCATTGCCGGCAAGGGTGGAGATAATCGCGCGGAAATGAGGTTCTGTGCTGTCCACGGGGACATTTGTCACGAAGAGACTGCGATCGTCGTCGGGTGTGGGATGGTTGGGCGCATGTCGTCGCACGTAGGCATAGTGAGTGGTGGTGCGAGGATATGACGGTAATGGCGGTATGCTCAGTGGCAACACTGAGAACTCGCCTATTGTCTTTGGTATTGAAGACATAGTTGCTGTTGCGGCGAGTGCAGGTGGTCGCTTGGGTGAAATTTAAAAACGATCTGCTGCTCAATTCCCGTCAAGAAATTTACAGCTTCGCTGCCTTATCTTATCAGTCAGCCTTCCATGCCGCTTCGGCTCCGAGCATGAAATGGTACCTGAGAAACAAGCAAATACGAGTGAGACATGTCGCAACGTCTCACCAAGTTCTGCTTGAAAACACCACTCGTCTTAGTTCTCTCCATCAATTTCATGGTCAACATCCATATCATCACTTTTTTAGCCATGACTTCGTATAAACCGGCTTCGCTTTGCAGCTGTTGGTTGCTAGGGTCAATTGACCTCGGGGCCGCCAAGATTTCGCACCGCGGTACCCTCGGGCCCCGCCAGCCGTCACATTCAAGTCGAGTCGATGTCGTCAAAGGGCAATGATTGCCCCGTCTTATCGTTTGAGCTTCACTTTTCCAAAGGCAGTCTTTACGGCCTGTTACCCATGCTATCATCATGAAGCGTTAGGCTCGCTCACACTGCCGGCATGAAGGGATTCAGACGGTCTCAACACGCATCTTACACGGCTGTCGAGCGCTGAGAAATCAATCCCCTCAGGCCTTTGCGCCGCCTTCACAACATGACTCTGAAAACTGCCCGATACGTCGAGCATTTCTTCTCGGGCAAGAAGAGGGCTTCAAACTCCAGACCACCTCGCTTTCTGGCTTTTCGCTCCTCGAGCACATTTATCCTCGCCGCTGTTTGCATCGCCATCTTCACCGACATCCTGCTCTACGGCATCATTGTCCCAGTTATTCCATTCGCCTTAACCAGTCGTGTTGGCGTCGCTGAGGACTCCGTCCAAAGATGGAATGCGATCCTCTTGGCAACATATACCATCGCTCTTTTCATCGGCAGCCCCCTGGTCGGGCTCTACGCTGACCACACGTCGTCGAGGAGATGGCCTCTACTCATTGGCTTGGTTTCTCTGGCGGGCTCGACCATCATCCTGTGCCTGGGAAGGACCATCGCCCTCCTTGTTATTGGCAGGATACTGCAAGGCTTGAGCGCAGCTATCGTGTGGACTGTGGGATTGGCCTTGATGGTTGATACCGTGCCGGACAAGATTGGTGAGGCAATGGGATACTCGGCAATCGCTATGTCCTTGGGCCTCCTCGTCTCGCCTGCCATTGGAGGGGCCGTCTTTGCTGCCGCGGGATACTACGCTGTGTACTATATTGCCTTTGGATGCATTTTTCTGGACATTATTCTCCGCTTGGTTCTTATCGAGAAGAAAATAGCTAGCCAGTGGGTGAGCGATGAAGGCGGGTCACCAGATCCTGAGCAAGAAGCGGCTGGTCCATTGGCTGCTGGCCGAACTGCTGCCGAAACAACCGAAATACCCGAAGCATCAGGAATTAGCATGGCACACGATGAGAAGGCAGTGGATGGGACAAATACATGCCACGATAGCAGCGATGGGGTCATTGACAGTGAAGCTACTGCTGTGCCACCAACAGCACCGTCCATCGTCGCAAGTGGAAGGACGGCAAAGCATCCCAAATTGCGCCTTCTGAAGTCGCGACGTCTTCTAGCTGCCAACTTTGGAATCATCATCCAGGCCGGTGCGATGTGAGTCATCTAGATCTCGCCACTCGCGCTCTCTGTTCCTCACCGCTCCATCGAGCAGCTGAAAGAAAACTCTGCTGACGATCACACCACCACTACCAGGATCTCATGGGACACCGTCCTCCCGCTCTTCGTGAAGAACACCTTCGGCTGGTCATCGACAGCAGCAGGCCTGATCTTCTTCTGCATCTTCATCCCGGGCTTCATCTCCCCGGTCGTAGGCTGGGTGTGCGACCGCTATGGTGCCAAGTGGCCCTCGACCGCCGGCTTCGCCGTCTCCATCCCTTTCCTGGTCTGCCTGCGCTTTGTCACAGACAACACCATCGGCCACAAGGTCCTCCTGGGCGCCCTGCTTGCGCTCATTGGAGTCACACTGACGTTCGCCAATACGCCACTTATGGCCGAGATCACGTACGCGATCGACGCAGAGGAGGCCGCCAGCCCTGGAATATTTGGCAAGAATGGCGTGTATGGGCTCGGCTACGGGCTGTTCTGCACATCGTTCGCGCTCGGAGGCTCCGTAGGCAGCTTGATGTCTGGATACGTGATGGATGATTCCGGCTGGGGCACGTTGACCTGGGTCCTCGGCGTATGGATGGCCAGCGGGGCGGTCGTCGTTGCCTTAGGCGTGGGAGGAGGCAAAACAGCGGCCACCAAGGGGAGTCCCGAGGCTGCTGGTGCTGACATTGAAAGCTCAGCGGGATCACGAGACCCATGATGACTTTGCCGCTGGAGCCGGATCGGGTGGGATAAGGCCGACGCTGGCCTGGCGTGTGGCTGGCTAGGTCCTGCTGTGTTACCACAAGCTACGTCCAACACAGAGACGTTGCCAGGCCTCCACAGCCTCGACATCATGTACGGTCCGAATGGACGTCACACCGCGGGACATGTATGTCCTCCGTGGCCGTTTCAGACAAGGCTCTCGGCGTTCACGTGGCGTTCTCTCACGCGGGAACGTGCCACAGATCCCCCATCTGATCGAAACATGGGCCACGGAGCCGCATTTTCCAACGAATTCCGCGCCTGTACTCTATCGACATCGTGCAGCCTGACCAATTTTTGATTGGATCAATGAATTCCGCATCGGTTGATGTGCACGCCGAATCATTCCAGCAAAATCTAGAACCCCCAATAAGAACACTTCTCTAGCCGCAGTTCCCCGTCCGGCATATATCGGACTGAAACATGTTTCCTGAATAATGGTCGTGCATACAATAATTGACCTATAATTTGCGTATATTGAGGTCTATCTATGTACATCCCTTCGTCACCAATGGTTACTCTACAGCACATAGACGATCACATCCGGAACACGGCATCCTCCGTCACTCGCCTCAGGTTGATGACGATGATCTGCATCGTTCCTATGAGAAGCAATATCTGCTCGTAGATTTTCGACAGCCCTGATTGCAACAAGGCTCCCAGATGACGATCGACACCACAAGTCGCCTGGGCGAGGGTAAACCCCGCGAAGCCACAGGTCATATCTCAATGGTGATTCGACCAATCCCCCGGCTAACACAGCTCAGCATCGAGCCCCCAGCCTTATCCTCATCCCCCAGCGCAGAACCGCGGTGAAGCGCCCTCCCCGCCCGCAGCTTGACGACACACGTGCCGCAGTTCCCCACCTCGCACGAGGACGGCACCTGGTCGGCGCCGAATCTCCTCTGCAGCGCCTCGAGCAGCGACTCCTCGGCCCCCACCTGGACCTCGGCACCGTCTCTGTTGACCACGACAGCCTCGAACGGGTCCCCGCCCGCGTCGGCCTGGAACGCCTCGAAGTGCACCTCCTCGGGCGGGATACCCGCAGCGCGCGTCTCCCGCAGCGCCTCATCCATCATGCGCGGGGGGCCACAGAAGTACAGCCGCGAGTTCCACGGCATCGTCTTGATGATGTGCGGGATGCTGAGGCGCTCGCCCTTGGCCCCGTCGTAGATGGTCACCACGTCCCCGCCTAGATCCCGTATCCGCTGCGCAAAAGGGATATCGGCCTCGCTGCGCACGGCGTAGTGCAGGCTGGCGTCGAAATTGAACTGACGAAGCGCCTCCAGCAGCACGAGGAACGCCGTGATGCCCACGCCGGCCGCAACGAACACGTGGCTGCTGCACGACGTGACAATCTTCATGGCCGTCGCGCGGCCGACCTGCAGGACGTCGCCGACGGCGGCGGTCTCGTGCAGGTGACGCGATGCGCCGCGCGACTGCGGCTCGAGCGCGATGCCGAACTCGAGCTGGTTCCTGTCGGCGTCACAGACGACCGAGTACGCGCGCACGAGGGGCTCGGCCCGCCCGGGCACGGGGATCCGCACCTTTGCGTGGGAGCCCTGGTCCAGGCTGCCTGGCTCCGGGACGGGGTCGACGGCCTCGAGGACGAAGGACGTGATCCGCTCCGTCTGCCGGTGTTTCTCGACGATCTTGAAGTCCCTCCACTGGGTGGGGTCCTCGTCCTCATCCTCGCCCTCACCGGCCGCCGCGCCCTGCTCCCGCCTGGCCTTGGCCTTGAGCTTTGCGGCGCGGCTGGCGAACGCGTCGTGGCTCTCCTTGCCGAACTCAGGGATGGCGGCCAGCTCCTCGTTGGCGGCCAGGTCGCCCGTGTTGCGGTGCAGGTACTCCTGGACGCGCTCGATGGTCCAGCTGGGGTGGCGGCGCTCGACCAGCCGGATCTCGTCGCCGGCAGCGACGGGCCCTTCGCGCAGCACGCGGTAGTACCAGCCCGTACGGCTCAAGCGCCAAGTGTTAGGCGCGAAGTTCTTGAGCTCGAATCGGTGGTTGAGCTTGAAGCAGGGCTGCCGGGGCAGGCTGACCTGTAGCAGCAGCCCCTCGTCGTCCCCGTTGCCCTTGCCTACGGCCATGATATCACCAATGCAGACATTGCGCTCGTTCATGTGCCGCGTGACGAAGTTCTCGCCGAAGCCGCCTGGCACGAATCGAGTGGCTGCCGAGGGGTGCTCTGATTGCCATGTTGGGTAGTGGCTGCAGCAATCTAGCGGCGTGGGACAGAGTCAGCAGGGCCTCGTGCGATGTCACTGTGCGCTACTTGTGCCGTGTGTAGGCGTATGCGTATATGCTTATGTGTGTATGTGTGCCTGAGTAATTGGGGCCTGGATTGATGTGCCCAAATCCATGGAACGAGTAAAAAGGAAGACGTGAAACAAGTAGCACTTTTGGCTGCCCGACTTACATCCGTGAACAGCCTTGTCTGGCCCGCCGTGAAACGTGTAGTCGTGCTCGTCTCCATCTATGCCGAGTTTTCCGACGTGTATCGGCCCGTTGAGAAGTGACTTGTCGATTCCAGATTCTATGTTTAGTCCCTTGTACTTTTTCATCTTCCCAGAGCGGACCTCAAGTATGGTGTCGCTCGTAAAGGGCGCGTACAGGTCGACCTCTTCCTTTGGAGTCATGGCGATAGTTTCCAGGGATCAGTCTAACATTCAAGTCTATCCTGACAACAAGAGAAGGAAATTAAAGGATAAAGTCTCAATTGACAGCTTAGCACGGACATTGGTTGCAATAGAGATGCATTCCGCGGACAAGCGGGACTGTTCGAGATGGGGGCAAAAGGCGTGAGATTGAAGCGCAGGGCCCCCATTCGCCTGATTGGGATGAGATGACTAAGCTTAGACCATTGTAGGAGCGAGGGGAAATGCAGGGCCCGGGGATAACGGACTACCAGGCAGCCTTGACATGGCTTGAGCAATACGGCGGTATGGGATGGATCGGACTCTGTGCTGATGTACATTAAGTAATCATCTCACACCGAGTGCTTTGTAACCCCCAACTCGCCTGCCCTGAGTGGCTGGCCGGCCACGTTTGAGCCGCTGTACCCAAGCTTTGCCGAGCTCAGGATCGGGTCTGCTCCCGAGGCCAAAGAGAGAGGGCCAAGGCCCGATAATTAAGCCCCGTCTTGCCTCTTCTGGGCTTTTAGGGGAGCCGGTGACCCGGAATCAGATGTTCTACCGTGCCCATGGGAAGATTGTTTGTTTCATGGCCAGAACCACCTCAGTGACTGCATCGTGGGCGGGCGACCAAGAGACTCCTGGCCTGCAGACCCAATTGATCGCACCCGGGGGAATTTCGTTTGATATCGTCCACTCCTGACTACTGAAACTGCCTCCAATGGCAACCGAGATGTTTCGATGCAGGTTGCTTAGTGGGAGAAAGCCACGTCTGGAGTTAATTGACTGGCTTGAGGAGGCGTTCATAGCCGACCCTTCTGGCCGGGACACAAGCCCAAGTCCATCGGGGCCCGAAGCTGTCGCAGAGCAAGACATGGGCGTAATGGCCACGTAACCACGAACAAAGATGTGGTCGAAACAGCATCGTATGAGTGATGAAGATGTGAAGATGTTATGAGGCCACGATGACAGTCTTCAACGCCAGACAAGACAAGTTATACTGGCTGGCGTCTCTGGTATATAACCATGGCCTTCGCCGCTCATCTCCAACGCATCATGTAGATTCATCAGCAAGCAACTCCAGCAATACCAATCCATTCATTTCCATTCATTCATTTGAACAAAATAACGACAGCCAGGTGCAAGTCGTTCCCCACAGAAAAAGAAAATTAAAATGAAGTTCACAGCCACAACCGCACTCACCTACCTTGCCGCCCTGGCCACCACGGCAACAGCGACGCCCTTCAGCAAGCGCGCCACCACCTACACCGGAAGGATGACGCCGATCGGCGAGATCAGCGACGCGGGCGCCCTGAGCGCCTGCGGCCAGGAGTACGTGACGGGAAGCATGTTCGTCGCCGTCCAACCGTCGCTGCTGCCGGCCGACTGCTCGCCGACGCCCATCACCATCAAGTGCAAGGGCGGCGATGTCACCGCCCAGGTCGTCGACAAGTGTATGGGTTGCGGTTCCGACCATATAGACGTCTCCGCTGCCGTGTATGAGGCCTGTGGTGGTGCGAAGGGGGGCGTCGACCCCATCCCGGACCTGACCTGGATCTTCTAAGTGGTGTGTGTGTTAAGTCCCAAGGGCATGGTGGGGTTCATGCGCTCCTGATCAGAGTCACACGCTGGGCTCTGAAAGTACGGCTATGCAGTTCTGGGAATGATTAGCAGGTCTTTATCTTTTTTTTCCAGAGTTTTTAAGAGGACTCCTCAGCTTCAAGGGTTGGGACTGTCGTCCAGTTCAGCAGGTTGATGCTGGATCAACGACATGCTGGGAGTCACAGTAAGCTTCTGTGGTGAAATCACACTCGTTCGGGCATGCTGGCTTGCACGGCTGGAGTACGTCGCGCCTTATCATTCTTTAACAAGGCGGGACGCCAGAAGGGAATTGATAGATATCAACGATTGATGACCTAAGAATAGAGACCAACAAAATTACCGAATCTGACCTCTTGTGTTCCACTGCGCAAGCCTGCGTGCCACGTGAGTCTGCTGTCTTTCGTGTACTACACTCGAAGCCTTACAGACTGCTTGTGCTATGCAGCAGACAAGAGACGCCCGTACTGTGTCGACGCCTGCACTACAAGCCGTTCAACACAAGTCAGAACATATGACGAGGCTTTCAGGAAGTCCTCGTAATAGTGCCGTAACTGATACGACTGGACACACGACTTCGTGTTCAGCCAGCCTTCCATTTTCAGCGGCCCCCTCCCGGATGAAAACTGCACTTGCAATGCACTTGCAAGCACCGACAAGGAACGGGGGCCGAAGCAGGTGTCGGATAAGTGAGATCTGACGAACAACAGCCAGCTTTCAGCGAGGTGCGTACACGCCACACGCATGCAGGCTGTGCACCAACCGCAACACCATGAACGGTGTTCGTCCAACGTCCTGAGGTCCCACACGCCCCCTCGGGTGAATTGGGTCGGTCCTCCATCTCCCCCGCTAGGCATATTCCGCCCATGTGCGTACGCGAGGGACCGCAGGAGGCTCGTCGTGAATGAGCACTAAACCCTTCCAGGCGGACCTTCTCCGCAGGACGCTGAATCTAACCCCAATATTTTGGCGTCGAGCCGAGAGGTTGTGACGATAATTGCGGTAAGAGCGGCCTTCATGCAATCTGCTGCTGCCTAGGCTCTGCGCTTGCGCCCAACGCTGTGAGCCTCGAAGTGGAGCCACAAGTCCTAACCAATCCTTGCAGCGGACAGAACCCCCGCAGAGCAGCAACAGATCTCGACAGTTGACGATGTCCGGCTGCTGATCAGCTTGTAGCCCATCTCTCACCCCCATTTCCCGGCCACAGGACTCGAAAATGGTTCCATCTTTCGGCCCTCCGTGGCACAGCGGATGTTGCCCACCCAACAGGGCACATGATCGTCTCCTCCTGACCAATCCCGGCGTCTGTGCTACTCATGGCACGGTGCCACGTGATGTCAAGTCCCATATCTTGTATATTAGCGTCGACAGATTGCGGCTCTACCAGCCTCGCCTGGGGATCGGGTCCCGATAGAAGCGGGGATGCACTGGTCTTCTTGGGGGTACTGCGAGCAAGTTGATGCATCCGTCGTTGCAACTAGTCGTGTACGCCGCTTCGGTAGATATGTGATGACACCCAGGACGGAGACGCGTGAGAAGGCAGCCAATGGACCAAGGTGAACGGCCAGCTGGGACGTTGAGGCTGTGGCTCTGGCACGGATCACCATTCCATGGGAGCGCCATGATTCTCGTCAAATCCCCAGCTAGGCAAGGATCAGGGGACGAGAGCTGTATCCACTTGAGGCTCTGCTCACGCAAAAGGGAAATGACTTTCATTTCACTGATCGGTAGGCCATCTCCCAGGGTGTCGTAGAGGGGGGGTGGTAACGGAGTGCGTGGCCGGTAGGTAGGTAGCCTGTTGACGAGGAAGAGTGACGGGGGAAGGGGCGATTTTGAGCCTCAACAACAGAGAGAAAACAGGGTCGCAGGAACATTGTCACGCTGACAATTTCCTATTTCTGGACGCTTCGACTGTTGGTCGAGAGGGAACCGGCAAGATGGATGTTGGTGGGTTAAGGTGCAGAGACTAAGGAAGCTGACCTCCGGATCAGGCGCTGCCTGCTGAAGAGCCGCATCGATGCAGGGTTTAATCAGCTCTGTGCTTGCCCCATGATTGGTCACACAATCGCACGCCTCGCTAATGCCAATGGAGTCCCATATTTCCGCACCCAGTCTTTCCCTTCTTCCCAACACTAATCCTCACAACCGCGGTATCCATCTTATCATCAGCTACGATGGTAGGGCATCCTATCAGCTTTACGACCTTGTTGTTTGGTAGCCTCCTTTCCACCATACCACAAGCTTGATTCTTGGCACTACTTGTTCAGGGGTATCCTGGCTTAACCACACTCCAACCCTTCAGCAGAGCCTCATCGTCGGCTTTCACCTCCATGTCATCCTTCGTACCGACATTCCCCCCGGTTGTAGGATTCGCGCATCCACCCATTCCTTGTTGCGATGCGGCTCAAAATACTTGATACTCACCAGCAGAACACAGACAACAGCAAGTAGCTGGTCTGAGCGTGTGTCTCTCTGTCTTATTCTGCTACGTCTGCGCACTGTTCATCCTCGCTTGGCGTCGGTCATCTCTCACCAAAACCACTTTCTGAACACATTTCATTTCACAAACATTGCACAGACGCAGAATTTCTCGCCACGGTAAACTTCACTGTAGGTATGGGTTTCTTTTTATCTGTTTCTAAGATCCAATGCACTCTCGTACGTATGTAGGGGGCCGAAAGGAGGGGGTCATCCACAAGGCTCTGGGACCCCCTCAAGCATATATGACATCTCCTCCCCCTCAACTTTGAGAGCCTGATACTTCCAATGCATCCACATCGAAGGCCAAAGCCAACCTTTTGCTCTAAAAGCTTCACCTTTGGCTCTTCGAATCCCCTTCAAGCCCCCGAGATACACGTGGGACTTACGGCGGACCCTGGCACCTGTTCATAGACAACTTGGATACAATGGCAAAGATGGTCCAGATTGCCTAGGTACTGAGAGCGGGGCCATGTCTCTAAGTAAACTCCCGTATGAGATTATAAGCCTCATCGTACAGGAGTTGGATCTCGACGACGTCTTCCACCTGAGTCTCTCACCACGCTTCTCCTACCTCATCCAGGAGGACAGAGTGTGCAAAGCAATTCTAGAGGTACTATCCGCCCAACGAACCCATACCCTCCAATTCCAAGTCTTACTGATGGATACGAGGCTCTGGGCTTGGGCTTGCCACCCAGGAAAGACAAAGCATGACATGGTTGGAATCAATCTTAGCTGACGAATTGTGGCGCAGTCAAGGGCACGCGGAACCCCGGAGGCCGAAGAAGCAAGATCGACTCAAAACTATGCCTCGGCACTACGTAGGCTGTACAAACGTCGTCAGGCCATACGAACCGCCGCCCCCTTCACAGCCGCCGTCGTCGCGGTGGCGGAATCCTGGATATACGTGAATGGCACACTGTGTCACATGTCGGAGAGGACCCTGCGCGTACTCGACTTGCACAAGTCTAGCGGTCAGGAAGTTATCATCGATGTGCGAGCCCTATTGGACGAAGCAGTGGCAGCATCCCGGGGTGCCCGGAAGTACAAGTTCCAGATTCTGCACTACGCTGAGGGCATTGTGTCCTGCCTCTACACCCACTGCAGGCCGGTCGTGGAGAGCTGGTTAGTCGTCTTCAATGTTCGAGAGCAGAGGCTGTTGACCACCCTCGGTCTGGACACCACGTACAAGATATTTGTCCGTAATGATTGTGATTACCTCTACTTCGGAACTCACTCGGAGTTCGGCAATGATGGGTTCCGGCGATGGGTTCTCATGGGCTATGACATCGAGGGCGATCGGTGGTTTGAGCAGAAGGTCCATCTCCTGGACATGGTCGGCTCTGACATTGGACAGTCCATCGCCTTCGAGATCATAGATGGCAAGTTCTACGGCCTCTCCAACCAGACAAGCTTCGAGGTCGACGAAGTTGACTGGACTTCACACTACCACTGCTTCAGGTTTCCTGTCGCAGCGCCAAAGCCTAAGACAACCGAGAGGTCTGTCAAGGACAAGATGTGGCGAAGACAGCACGCAGAGGGGCCAATCGATGACCGGTGGTCATTCATCCGCCTCATCCGGGATGAGCGAGACCCAAAGCAGCTACAGGTTCTGGAATCTCGGAAGGAGTGGCTGGCCGGGAGTTCTGGACGGCGGAACTACTACACAACCAAGCTGGTCTTCCCGGACAAGGCGGCCGACTCAGACGAAAGAGAAGGCAGCAACAGCAGCAGCAGTAGCACCAGCGGTACCGACCCAGATCCGGACCCAGACGCCAACAACGTCGGAGGTGGCATCATCATCAACCCAGCCACTGAGACCATTCCGGAAGTGAGGCCACACACAAGCTACGACCTACCACACAGCATCCCGCCGGCCCGCCCACGCTGCCCATTCACCACGCACGCAGGCGATGACGCCTCAACAGCTCTCATGTTCACGCTAAGCAAGTGCTTCATACGTTCATACCACCCAGCAAGCCAGACCTTCCTGGACCTCGTCGACGATCCCCTGACCAGCACAACCGCCACGGAACACGACAGCGGGCCCGCGGCACCGCGGCTGCGCCTCCGCGCCGGATCACGCAAGCTCCGCCCCGCCATGGATATCCTGGCGGACCCAATTGCGCGGGACCCGGCGCAGCCGCACGGGCGGCGCGCTGCGCGGCTGTACGAGGGCGGGGCGCGCAACACCATCACCTTCTGGCCGCCGGAGAGCCCGCCCGACGCGCGCACCGACCCGGCCGTGCTGGCCGAGCTGCACCGCGTCGTCAACCCGCCGGCGCACGCCGGGGCCGTCCGGGGCGCGTGGGACGAGCGGTCGCTGGTCTACTCGACCGGCACGGGCGGCGGCATGCAGGCGCTCGTGTTTGTGAGCTTCGACCCTGGTGTCCACCTGCAGGGGCTGAAGGAGTGGGGGGACGAGTGTGCGCGGCGGGATAGTGGCTACGGCACTGGGCTCGGAGAGGAGGGTGGGAGTGAGGCAGAGGGGGACGGGGCCACCCTCCATTGGCCGGCTGAGCCTGCGGGCGAGGAGGCAGGCAAGGGAAAGGGGAAGCAGGTTCCCGTGTCACCAGTGCTGGACGACGTGGACGATGCGGTGTCATCGTCGCCTCCTCAGTCGGTCGGGTATTGTCCTGGCTGGACCCCCGAGGCGTCGTTTGACTGGCCCGTCGAGGTCACCGGTGCAGGTGATCGGTGCAAGGGGAAGGGGAAGGTGGCAGGACCGGCTAGGGACGCTGCAGCCTCGTCTGATAATGGTGATGATGGTGGCGGTAATGACGGCAACGGGACAGAGCGGGATGCTGCAGCGCCGCTACTGGATGTTGGTGCCGGGGACTCGTTCAGTTCGGCTGGCCAGGCCTATTCTTCCTTTTCCTCGTTCTACTCCACCGCGGATGAAGGGGCGTCTGGTGCTTCTTCTTCGCAGCATCCACAGCCTCACGAACCTGCAGCAGCAGCAGCACCACCAACAACAACAAGCCCTGCGCTGTCCGGCTGCAAATGGGCACGCACGGAAACGGCTATGTGGCGGGAGATCGCTCTTGGTTTCAATGGCTTGCCGGATTTCACGAGCCCGAACAGGCGAGCGGGAGGAGATAGAAGTGCAGTCTAGCAATGGAACAGTGGCATACACCCACCCATCCTCTGACGCTCTACTCCGGGGAGTAATGGATGGACATATGCAGTAGACATATCCTGCCGTGGAACATATCAATGCAGGCTAATAATCGAGGGCGCAGTAGGAGGAACGGGAAAGCAGCACTTTCGGTTGGGAAAGGGTCACACTTCGGCTCTGGCCCCCATCGAGAAGGAGAATAATGTAGATCAGCCATCGTGGCAACATTATATTTCGTACACCTACATACAGCTGAGTTAATAAGAACACACCATGGTCTTCTCCCGAACCCACCCTTCGTTCGAGCCTCGCGGACAACAGAGCTAGGGCCACCTGGCGCCGCACGCGGAGAATCCCAACCATACGTCCCTCAACATGTGGGAAGCCAACATGCAGCCAGCGACGCCTCAACAGGATGACAAGCTCCGGGGACAGCAGCACCTCATTTTACAACCCACCCGATCCCACAGATCGATCTTCACGACTTCTCCCGCTCCAAACAGAGCCCAGGCCAGCCTACATATGCGCAGAGACAAACGGCACGCGGGGGAAACACCAGACCTGTCTGGATCTCGTGTAAGACAGCGCGCACTAGGCTTTGAATCCCGGGACGACGAGGCGTATTTCTGCGGGGGAATGGGTCGCAAGGTTGACTTTCGAGGGGTTAGAATGGGGCAGCTTCAATTCGAAGGCCCTGCCCGTTCGCTGCCTAGGCAGCCTCACGCCAGGGGGAAAGTCGAGTAGGAGGGTGAGGTGGGTCGCGCCCGTGGCCCAGGGCTTGGTTCGCCTCGCGCAACAACCACTCACACACCCTCGGGCATCGACGACTTGGCTCCCGGCAGGCCTTACTTTGTTTTTCTTAATTATTGTAGCCGGTTTGGGGCCCTTTGCTCAAAAGAGATAATGGGGGCCAAAAGATTAAATATCCCCTGCTGACCAAGAAGGGAGCCATTTTTGTTTCTGCTGCGCTAAGCAAGAGGGCTTCTAAGCTATGGCGGTCTAGAGCTTGCCCTGCATGGAAATCTGACAGAAAACCTACCTCGCGATGGGGGAGAGGTCTAGGGCACCCTCCTTGACGCAGTAAGATGGAGACAATGCGGGGGAAATTAAACGCCGAGGTCGACAATTTGAGGCTCTATCTGTGGTGATTCCTGCGAGGAGTGTCATCTGATCGTGTGTTGCAAGGTCTGAAGCTCTCCACCGGTGAGGCTCCCGATGCCAGCGCGGCAACGTCGGCATATGTGTATATCCTGTAATTTTGTACGCTTATTTCGTCCGGTAGCTGCTGCCCTTTTTTTTATTACTGCTACCATAGATAAACAGAGTTCTGACCATCTCCGGCAGACCTGCCCCCATTCCCAAACATCACCTCCGCCCTTCTCTCCGCCCTTCTTGCGCAACACCAAGGGACGGCCACACACCCCGGGCCCCTCGGCGAGGCTGTGCTCTACAACAAACACCACGGGAAGCACCCTGCCGGACATTGCTATCACAACATATCATATCTGCCCCCACTCTGTCTCCTACATATGCAGGCCCGGAGCTCCGCACGCATGGACAATATCGATTCTCTGGTGCATATCTCGCCCTTCCCACGGGCAGTGAAGCCGGACTCATGTACCCCAAGAGCTGAGCCTAGCCATCCGGTGAGATGAGGCGGGAGCACACAATCGAAATTGGTTCTCGAGCCTGCACTACCGCGTGCGAGTGCTCGGCCCGTCACAGAACCATCGTTTGACCTACATCCCCGCAAAGGCCCAGGACGGAAAGATGCACCGAGCTCTCTACCAATTGACAAGGATGTAATCATGAGGAGTTGCAGACAACCGAGAATATGGCAGTCAAAGTTGCGGCAACAGCTCACCGTAGATGAATTGTCCTACCTAGGTATGTCCCCAAGTGAACCCAGCGCAGGAAGTCTCCCCGCCCCTTCCCCCCGGTCTAAAGGTAGACAACGCACCAAAACAAAGAGCCTGAAATCCCAATCGTTCCCTCTGTCCAGATTGTACAAAACCACCTTCCCCGCACTTAACAGGCCGGTGCCTATAGATGTGTGGAAAGGTAGGAAGGTAAAAGAAATGGGAGTTGAGGTAGGTAGGCAGGTAAAGCAGACACCCCATGAAAATGCTCTCTTCCCCTCCCTCTTTGCCCAACGCCGCTCACAGAGAAGACCAAAACAAAACGCAAAACGGCACTTGCGGGGTATTGCTCAAGGACACCCTGTATGCTTTATCCTTTTCTGTACTCCAGACAAAACGATCGTTCGGTCAGTCGACAGAAGCCAGCTAGCTTCCCATCGCCCTATTACTTCCAGCATGTAGTAACTCCGCGGAGCTCTAGAGGCATGGCGGGGCGGGGCGGACGCCCTCCCGGATTCCAGCGGTTGATTTAGCCTAGACTGACGTAGTTGCCTTTTGGAAAAGGATTCGTTAGCCGTCTCCTCATCATACTCCCCGAAAGAATAGATATCATATACTGACCTGGGAACTGGCCCTGCTTGCCCTGGAGCTTTCCGATCCACCACTCATTCTCATTTTGTGTCCTGCTCACAATCTCGATGACATCTCCGGCCCGGAAGCTCAGGTCACCTTCTGCCTGCGCGGAGTAATCGTACAGCGCCGTCACCATCTCAGCGGCCGGAGCGGCACTCAACCTGCTTGGCTTGGGCTTCGGCGGTGGGGGCTTAGACTTTGCAGCAGCCGCTGCGGCCAGGGATGCCGACTTTGGGCTTGTCAGAGGTGGAGACGTCGGCCCGGCGGAGTACGGCGGAGGCGGGTTCTCTACGCTCGCTGTGCGCTGGTGGAATCCTGTCTTGGACGCAGATGACGATGGAGAGGCGAGACCTGGTGTAGCAGACCCGAACCCCTGTGTCGCCGACCCCAGTGCCGGTGATGCGGAATTAAGCACTGACGTGCCTGCCGCTGTTGAGGTCGAGGGTGTCGGGCTCGTGGGGCCCTGGGTGAGTAGGCCAGCCGGCCGGTTACCCTCAAGTGCTGCTGGCTTCGGCTGGTATTTGGGGGGTCTCCTTTGGCCGGTTGATTTGAACTTGACTATCGACAGCTTCTCGGCCTGCTCTTGGATGTCACCTCGTTTCTGCTGGAAGGCCTCCTCAATATCAAGTGTCAGGTCGAAGTAGCCGATGTCGCAGCGCTGCATCCTCTCGTGGAGCGTGTAGAAGATGTTGAGTTGCATGTAGTAGAATGACTGGAACAGGGGCCTGATAAACTCCCGCTCGAGAGCAAACAACTTTGGCAACTCGTCCTTCAAGAGATCGTTGAAGTAGTTGTAGTCCTGGGTGGCCGCCTCCACGTCGTTCTCGGCCTTCCACATAGCCTTCTCGTCCTTGATGGACTTGTCCTTCTTGTCCTGAAGCTTCTTCAGGGTCGCACGATGCCTGTCGTAGTCCAACTTCTTGTGCTCGCGCTTCACAATCTGCTTGCGAATGATCTTGATGACGTCCGTCAGCTCGTTGGCAGGTCGAATAACCCTACTTTCGATCATTTCCAACTCTGGTGACAACGTCTCCTGCAGATCTTTCACTACAGCCTCGTATTCCTCGCAGGCCTGAATGCCTTCCGGGTTCGCGTGCACTACCAGAGAGTCCGGATCGGACATCCTGCCGCTGATGGGCTTGTAGATCTCGGCTATTGCCTTGGAGAACTCGATCTGGTGGTTCAGCATATTATTGATGGCCTCGAAGTACTTCTTGCTCTCGTCGTGTAGCTTCTTGGTCTCGGTCTCCAGCTCCTGGAACCGCCGTTCCGAGTCGATATAGACGGCATCTTTCGTGTGCTCGCCAATGTTGAACTTGTGCTTGAATGTTTGCGGCGCCTACTCGTGCATCTACGTCAGTGGCGGTGGGGGGAAAAGGGGCGGGGGGTGGTGAGGTCTCGTGTGCAGCACTGACCCGCGTTATGCTCTTGGAAAACCCCCGAAAGCTCATCTTTGCTCAATCGAATGCGCCTCCCTCGCTCTCTGGCTTCGTAGGTGTTGCGATCAGGCGAACTTGGTCAGGTTTTGCCTCAGTAGAATTCGCGGTACCGGGTTTGGTGGTTGCGAGCGCAATGAAGGTTGTCGGTGCGGGTGGGTGTGGTGTAGCAAGGAACAGCGCAATAGCCCGCGGGGGAGGTGAAGATGATGATGATAGATGTCGGAGGTGACTGTCTGGCAACTATGACTTTGCAGCGATCTGCAAAAGGACTTCGGTGACGGCAATGTGGCTGTGCCGGCACCCGTCAGCTCCTTGCTCCTCAGGATGTTGGGCCAAGACCAAGGTAATAGCGCATCGCAAACCCGGGTGCAGGTCCAGGGAACGGGTCAGATGAGGGTCCCGTCGAGCAGAGATCGGAGCCGAGGTCGCGCGGGATCGTCGGAGTCGAGGTGCCCGGTGGTGTTGGCGGTTATGTGAGGACGTCGGTAGTTTTCTGAATGATCTCAGGTGTTTCAGTAAGGGGCAAGAGGGTTCAGCCGATGTATTGGTGCTATGTAAGGGAACAGAACTGTAATTGAGAGTCGGTGGTGACGATGCTTATGCTCATCCCAAGTCAAATCAGGTCAGGTTCAGGCAGCTCAATTCCAGGTCTTGTCAGGCCTCGCTCGTTCATCCAGCAACTTCGATTTCACTGCCACGGCCAGAAACGTCAGTGCCCAGACGGTGGGGCTTGGTGGACATGCGTCATCGCTTTGCTTTGCTTTGTACTGTACAGTGTATGCACCCAGTGGCACCCTAGTGCTGCTCCTCTCCGTCTCATCGGTACGTACTGCGCAGTACGAGTACGGGCGGGTTAGCACATGTGACTGGCTCACGGTGCCGTGCAACCCGTACCGTTTATGTCGCCACTGTGCTCTGCACTTCACTTACTACAGTCTCATCAATCTCTATCAATTATGCACAGGGTTAAAAATTGGCCATAATCAATGTCCGCATGTAGCATCAATATGCTAATAGTTCCCACCGGAGCAGCCGGTTTCGCAGGAACTACAAGCACTCTACAGATACTCCGTTGAACGAATGCGGGCACTGAAAAAGCTCGGGTGGGACGGTGCCCCGTCAGTGCTTACTCAGTCGGTCTTGTTGGCCACTCAGACGCTTTCCTTTATCAGATCTTAGCTCCGCAGCTCCGATCACCGACGAACTGCCGCTATCCGACTGATTCATCAAGCATCCATCCTGAGAAAATTATCAGATTGTAACGCCTCCGAGCTCCCCTTCTTCATCTTCTTCTGTCCACATCAACCCACCCTCCCCTATACTTTCCACATTTCACGATGTCCAGCATCGGATCATCTGCATTGAGGCAGGCATCTCGCCTGACCTCCAGGAACACATCATTATCAGCTTCTCTGCGACGGGCATCGCGGACACCTCAGGTGGCGACAGTCCTGCCCCAGACTGCATCACGGCGATGCTATGTCACAGAGACTAAGAGAGACAATGCACAAGTGGCGGAGCCCAAGATCGAGACTGCGATACGCCTGGACAAGGCAGCTCTGCAGAACTCTGGTGTCGCGATGGGAGCACAGCAGGATGGAAATATGCTCGTCAGTCCCATGGCAGGTAAGAGCCCTCGGATCCGTCGGCCAGTGTGAGAGCTCGTTTGTTGACCCTGAACAGAGGTCCTGAAGGAAGCTACATTGATGGATGAGGGTCAACGGCCGATCTACCTCGACATGCAGGCCACCACACCTGTCGATCCACGCGTGCTCGATGCGATGCTTCCGTTCTACGTCAACGTCTTCGGAAACCCACATTCTCGAACACACGCCTACGGATGGGAGAGCGAGAAGGCGGTCGAGGAAGCAAGAGGGCACATTGCGAGGCTTATTGGCGCTGACCCGAAGGAAATCATCTTTACCAGCGGCGCTACAGAGAGCAACAATATGAGCATCAAGGGCGTGGCAAGATTCTTCGGCCGCTCCGGCAAGAAGAGGCACATTATCACCACCCAGACCGAGCACAAGTGCGTCCTGGACAGCTGCAGGCATCTGCAGGATGAAGGCTTTGAGGTCACCTACTTACCCGTGATGGACAACGGACTGGTCAACATGGACGAGCTCAAGGCTGCCATCAAGCCCGAAACGGCACTTGTCAGCATCATGACCGTCAACAACGAGATCGGGGTAATCCAGCCAGTCGCGGAGATTGGCAAGCTCTGCCGAGAGAACAAAGTATTCTTCCACACAGATGCCGCGCAGGCTGTCGGCAAGATACCACTGGACGTTAACGCCATGAACATTGACTTGATGTCCATTTCCTCCCACAAAATCTACGGTCCCAAGGGCATTGGTGCCTGTTATGTCCGGAGACGGCCGCGTGTCAGAATCGACCCTATCATCAGCGGAGGTGGTCAGGAGAGAGGATTAAGGAGCGGCACCCTCGCCCCGCCACTGGTGGTCGGCTTTGGAGAGGCGTGCCGTATCGCCTACGAAGAGATGCCGGTAAGTCTGGAGCCCCACCCACCGAGCCCCAGCACTTGTTTTCCCCTCCCACCTGATGATATGCTGTACTTGCATGGCTTTCTGAATTCCCGTGACAAGGAATTTCATGTTGAAAAATAGCACTCTGTCTGATTTGGAACCATTTCACGCACACGTTGTTTAAGGCTGCTCATGCATGTTTTGTTCGTCATTGATATTGACACTGCAACCAGTACGACACGAAGCGCATCAAGGCGCTCTCCGACCGGCTTCTGAACGGCCTCCTCGCCCTCGAGCACACCAGCCAGAACGGAGACCCAGAACACTTCTACCCTGGCTGCGTCAACGTCTCGTTTGCCTATGTCGAGGGCGAGTCTCTTCTCATGGCTCTGAAGGACATCGCCCTTTCTTCTGGCAGTGCATGCACATCTGCATCGTTGGAACCCAGCTACGTTTTGAGAGCTTTGGGCAACAGTGATGAAAGTGCACACTCCAGCATCCGGTTCGGCATCGGCCGGTTCACCACGGACCTCGAGATCGATTACGTCCTGAAGGCTGTGAAGGAACGGGTGACGTTCCTCCGTGAGCTGAGCCCCCTCTGGGAGCTGGTGCAGGAGGGCATCGACCTCAACACCATCCAGTGGAGCCAACATTAGCCAAATTGAGTGGCACTGAACCCTTGGGCAACACATTGCCCACCGCGGACGTGTTGCGGAGAGATTACTTTCATTCAAGCTGTTGTAAATAATTCGTACTGGGAGATACCATGGTTCAGGACTCGGCAGGCAAGGGGACAGTTTCGCCGACGATCAACATCAACAAACTCAATTTGCGGCGTTAGGGCATTCATGGACGATAACGGTCAAGCAAGCACGTCACTCTGGACTGATGAAATGGGCGGGTATGTACAAGCAAGGAAATATACTCTGCGGTCGTTATGACAGTTACGAGACAAAGATCAGGCCGTCGCTCGCCGCGCTAAAATGATATGGCTTTCCATGCTGGTGACGGAATATGGCGAGCTTCCTGGATGGTGCCCAAGTCAACAACAGCTGTCTGGCCAACCAGATGCACACATGCGATGCCGGCAGTTGAAAGCTGAATGTCCAGAGAGTGGTAGACTGCCAAGATCTAATACTTCCCGCTGTCAACCTCTGGTGGGTTAGGTTTGTTGGACGAATGGTCCAATAGCCAGTCTGTCACAAGGGAGGCAAGGTGTCTCGTCTCCTGGCAAGGTGTGTGTCAACAGTCGTATCTGCCTACCAGCTAGGCTCCTGGGATTATTCTCCTTCCGCCTCCCATTCCGCGACCATCAATGAGGCCCACCCACCAATTACGTAGGTGTCTTGCACTACGGCCGGAGATGATAGATCCAGGCCACGTTCCATCGCGCAAAGACCAGAGGAAACATGTCACGCATGTCAAAGAGCCACCTGGTAGCGTGACGGATGCAGGGCAAATGGTTGGTGCCAATCATGGCCGCTAGACCAAGAGTGCAAGAGCTGTAGCGCGGGCAAGTGCAGGTGCAGGTGTATAGATGTGGTGGTGACATCACCCCCCTGGCCGTGAAAAGGGCTGGCCGTCTTTTGACGTCATCGCCGCCCCCCGTTGAGGAAGGCGGGCGGCGCGCCACTGCTCTCCCAAAACGCATTGTCTCACGAGCTTGAGGCAGGCGGGGGCCACTAGGGAGTGGGAAGGTACGTAAGTGCATGTGAATAGGCAAACAAGGCTGCCTGGGTACACGGCAGGTAGGAGCTTGGGAGGGGCACTTGGTCTAAATATTAAAAGGTGTTGCTCCCTCGCCTTCATCAACTTCTGTTGTGACTCTTCTATCCTCACAGCAACCACAAAATAAACACAAGCAACTCGAGCTTCTCTTCCACAAAAACCAAAACAACCTCACACTCCATCAACAATCATCATGTCTTCCGACAAGGACAACACCTCCACCCTCCAGGCTGCCATTGACAGCGTCTCCGGCACAGTTCAGTCTGCTATTGGCGCCGTTACGGGCAGCACCGCCGACCAGAACAAGGGCGATGCCAAGCAGAACAAGGCCTCGGCCGAGCACGACGCCTCTCAGGCTACCGTCAAGGTCCCTGGCGCCACCGTCACCGCCTCAGGTGCCACCAAAGACGACCCAGACCGCGCCGCCGGCAGCTGGAACCAGACTGTCGGCTCCGCAAAGGAGACCGTTGGCAACTTGGTCGGATCCGAGGTAAGCTTGTTCACCCTCCAACCTACTTTCCGCAGTCACCATGCTAACAACGCCACCAACAGTCTTTGAAGACTCAGGGCCGCAACCAGAACCTCGAGGGCCAGCAACAGGAGGCCAAGGGACAGTTGAACGACCTGGGCTCTGGCATCGCAGACCGCGTCTCGGGCACCGTCGGCGGCGCCGTCGCTGGCATCACTGGCAACACGGCCGCCCAGACCGAGTACCAGAAGCAGCACGACACCGGCAAGACCCAGCAGCGCGGTGCTGAGCACGACATCCAGAAGCAGGCTGAGGCCGAGTCCAAGAAGTAAAGGGATTTCGCTGCGAATGGACCTGAATCTGGGGCGAGGAGATGGGTTACTTGCGAGGATTTGAATTTGATACCCCGAATGGACGAAAGTAGCAGTGACCGATGCATTGGCATGCACGATTTCATGAAAGCATTGTGGTACGGCCTTAGGTAGATAATCCGAAGCATATTTACACCGCATAATCTTCATTGTCTATTCACAACAACCTGTGATATTCTCGCTACGTATACAACGCCAAGAGCTGCTTACCATCCCGCGTACAGGCTGTGTTAGTATTCATGTTCAACTCCAACGACATATTTCTGACAGTCAATAAATCTGCTTTCAACAACACGAGGAAGTAAACGTATGAGTCTGCCATGTCCACATTGCTCAGAGGATCCACATCGGCAGGGGGAATCCATTTACTCATACGCTGCAGGTTCTACTGATTCACAATTAGTCGAATATGGTGTCCAGCGTCCACGCCGGGTGCCAGAAAAACAGGCTACCATCGATTCCCTCTAGCCGCTCGCGCAGCTGCTCCCTGATGATAAGGCTCAACAGGTTGTCGAACCCCACCTCCGCGCAACGTCATTTCATCTTCAAGATCCATCGGATCCAGGCCTGTCTCGGCCACCACGATCGCCAAGACCTTGTTCTTGTGGCGCTGACGCTCTCTTTTATGAAGTTCTGGGTGCTGGCTTTTGGTACCAGAGGTCTCGTTTTCTCTTTCTATTCGTATTTGGCATTTGCTCTGAGAATGGCTGCTGCGTCGGCTCCGTCGTCGGCTCGAGCGCCTTCGCTGGACTAGGTGGGTTGCGTGTGCGCCGCTGTTTTGGTCGTGACGGGCTTCAGCGATGAGTCGGTCTGAAGCCTTTCAGGTAACAACAAACTAAGCGTGAGTGGGCTTCTTGACTTCAGCGGTCGCATCAAGCCACGCCTAGTGCAATATATTATACGGAACTTGCTGGCGTGTCAGTGAAAGCGAACACTACCCTTTTCCTCCCATCTCGTCCACCTGTAGGCATTGTTTAACTTTGTTTTACCTAATCGAAACATTTGATAATCTTCAGGCGTATGTTGTCACTTATAAATTGCATATCACGTGTACTGTCGGTATGCTTTGCGCTTCTGCCTCGAAGTCGCCCATTTTCCGTGCGTGTCACGCGTCCAAGATAATGGTACTACTTTTCCACAATCACCAGTGATGAAGTGTGATGAAACCTACGTAGGTACTCTTAATATGATCTGCGATCCGTTGGGAGTGCTCTAGCAATATGAAATATCATAATTATTCTCTGTCATCCGTGTTCAGCTCTCTCGTTGGGGCTGGTCAACCGCGTCGGAATAAGGCGCATCGCTTCCCATCGACTCATCCTCAAGCCATTGCTCTTGGTGTTCTTCAAGCTGCAAACTATCCAAAAAGTCTGGTCTCCACTGGCCGTACCATTTCTTCAGATCTGCGACAAAAGCAACAGCGCATGAACAACTACATAGAGAGCACAGTTAGTCTTTCGGGCATTCCACTTCAGAGATGACAATGAATGAAACAGGGTTCAATTATTACACAGCGATAGTAGCGATGACGGCTATAACCCAGAACGCGGACGAGACTTGTTCATAGCGTCGAGCCGCAATAGATAAATTGATTGCTAGGGCCAGATCACCGGCGCAGAGGACGGATAGAACAAGAAGTCCGCCTAGGATGGTACTCTGTCGTTTGTGGTAAAGTTGTCGCGGGAACTCAAGTGCAGTGGGCTGGTTAACTTGCGTCAGAAACTGATAGAGCACGAAGTTCAGAAATGCCCCCATCATGCCCTGCGTTTTCGGATCAGTATATTAGCAGCGTGGTGATCGTCGATATTACTCACCAACATGCCGGTCACCGAGGGCAATGTCGATGCAATTCCAAACGGCACTCTGCCTCTCACAATATCATCTGAGCTAGCGGGGCTGAACATGAAACAGATAACGCCGGCGAGCATCATGCCAGCATGACTGAGTATTGCAAAAACGTGTGCACCTGCCCAAGACATGTCGTTTGCCGCATCACTGATGAGCTCTGCGAAACGAGGTGCATCTGCCCGCAAGACGTCGTTTGCCATGCTGTTAGCGCAAGTGGGGACGATATTTGTGCCAAGAAAGTACATGAAATATGCACGTGGAGGAACCGGGCTACATTTATGTACGCAGAGATCTGATGCTAATGTAGCACTGGGGGGGCTATGCTTACATTATCTAAGTGCTGACTGTGGATACATCAAAAAGCAAGGTGATGAGCCTGCACCAATCAGTCATCCATGTCCTGCTTTCATACGTCTGCCTACCGCCTCATTGCAGTTAGTTTGTGGCTGAGCTGAGACATCAATCAACCTACTCGTTTCCATGAACAGCTCCTCCGGTCCCATGATATCTTTAGACAGTGAAGCCATCTTCGCCTTCAGCTTCATGGAGAAAAGTATGTGCCTTACCAATCATGAAATGGTTTCAGAATGCACTGGACGGGCAGCCTGGCAACCCATCAAGGGCTGGCTTCTGTCAAATACAACAAGGCCTCGATCGACAGCCCAAGTGCGGCGGATGCAGAAGAATCGAGGCCTTGATACAATACTGGATCACTAGCCGTACCTCAAAAAGCGGAAGACAAGCATCTCAGTCCAAGCCGGAACTGATCCATAATAGCTACAAAGAATTAGACTCCTGTTCACTTCGGTGCATTACATGTCGCGTCATCCGTCGAGGATTCCTGCTGAACCAATCGACGACATCTGATGCACACAATCTCAGCATTTGTACCCATCAGGTATTCGTGACGACGGCAGGAGTTGAGTTGAATAAGATGACGCTTCGTATTAGCCTACAGAGCAGTCCGAATTCCCCAAGAGCTGCTTTGACATCGAGCACGATTTACTTTGTCCAAGACGGAACTCCTCCAGCGGACGTGTCACTGGCAACAAGAGCAGACACAAAATCTGTCTACAATCAAGTGAGAAGCTGGGCAGCAGCCTGCAACCAAGGCCATCCGGAATGCGGTAACCTCAATATGTCCAGCAAAAACCCCACGCGCCTCCTGCAAATCAAATCAGCCTCAGAAGTCCAGCTGGTGGATGCTCGAGAGGAAATGGGCCTCGCCAATTACACCGCGCTGAGTTACTGCTGGGGAAGCCCCGACGACGAGCAGACCCAGCGTGGGAGGACCACGGCTGACAATTTCATCCTCCGACACAGCCAGCCTTTCCCCACAACAGAGCTGCCAGCGACCATTCGAGATGCAGTAACCTTGACGAAAGGATGCGGTTTGGAGTATATTTGGGTCGACTCGGTCTGCATAATCCAGGGAGACGTGGAGGATTGGCTTACAGAAGCTAATCGGATGCACGAGGTGTACGCCAATGCGTACTTCACTATTTGCGCAGTCTCGGTCGACAGTGCCTCGGCGGGATTGTTTCACTCTCGACAGGCGTGGAACTATAATATCGAGCCTTGTCAGCTGGCCAGTAAGCGGATATCGATCCGCAGCCCGTCAGTCAGGGAGCTGATCCAGGGTTCAACTTGGTCGAGCCGGGCTTGGACCTTGCAAGAGGAGCATCTGTCGCCCAGAATGGTGTACTGGACACCGCAGAGAATGTACTGGTCTTGTTCCAAATGCCTAGTCACCGAAGGCGAAGGCGCATCTCGGGGCCACTCTGCTTCTACTGCCGTTGCTCATCCGCCGGAGTCATCCTTCCTAGCTGCGTCCCGATCTGGCCTAAACTTGCATGAGAGATGGTACGACATGGTCGAATCTTTTACGAAGAGAAGTTTGACCAATCCGACCGACAAGCTTCCGGCAATATCGGGAATTGCTATGAGATATCATCGTTACCGAGAGAATGATGAATACCTGGCCGGGCTATGGCGGGATACATTCGCCGTGGATCTAGCCTGGAGGACGTCAGTGTACTTGCTGGAAGTCCAGAAGCCAGTATGTGAGAACCAGAGGATTCCCTCCTGGTCGTGGGCTTCGTTACCTTGCGGCCATCCAGCCGTCATGAGGCGGCGTCACTGTGGGAGTGACGACGAACAGCATACACTCGTGTTGGTCAAATCCCAACCCAGTCATGCAGATGCAGGAGGGCTGGCTGAGACAACAGTCAGAAGCGTGCATGTGAAAGGGCGTATGAGGCCGCTCTTGAGTGATCATGCACGGAGAAAAGAGTGGTCGGACGTCAGTGTCAGAAGCGCAGACGGACAAGAAAAGTTCTCCTTCAGAAGCTGCGTTGACGACGATGTCTACTGTGTCGACCTGAGCCGCGGGCTTGTTCTGGCCTATGAGGCACACCGAGAAGAAACCATCGGACACGTGGATTACATTGTTGATGCAGATAGGATGTATCAGGGCACTGTTGAGGTGGAGTGTCTCGAGCTGGGCCAGTCGGAGATGCTGCTTCTCGAGCGATGTGAGAGCAGTCTTAATGAGCCAGAGCACTTGAGAACTTACCGCCGGATTGGCGTATCTTGGGACTTCAGAGGCGACTTCTTTGATGGAAAAGCACAAGTTGAGATAGAGCTTGTCTAGCCTTTAGGCAAGCACCGCACGTATCAGTTCGATATGGCTGGAAAAGAGATGAATTAAGATTTGACACCCATCGGAGTTGAACGTTACTTGAAGGGTGTGACAAATTCAAACACATCAATCCGCTTTCCTTGCGTTTCTTGCGTCATCAAATTGACCTGAACCATTTAGGGAACAATTGAAATATGAGAATGTATTGTCAGAGCTCCATGACTGAATGCAAAGCAGCATTATACCGTCAACCAGTCTCAGAATCAAATATCTTTATCATTGCCTTATGTACTTTACAATCTACTATATACTAATAGATACAATAACCCACCAATCACTTTAAGCAGCTGCGTTGCCAGTTCCTACTTTCTTTCCTCCCGAAGCATTCTCCTCAGCTGCTCCAATTTCCTCAGCAGCAGCTTTCGCGACTTGGCTCTTCTTGACAGTCTTCCATTCCAACGAAAATGTCCCGATAGCGGTAAGGCACGACAGGATCAAGCCAACCATGAATACCTTCCGCAGAGCCTCGTTGTACGCTTCGAGGGCCGTCCCACGCAGACTTTGAGGCAGCGAATCGAGGAGGGATGTAATTCCGCCCGATGCTACAAGACTTGGGTCGAAGCCAGGGAGGCTGGAGAGCCTCTGAACGAGCTGGTTGCTTAGCACGTTCTCCCCGACGGCGACGAACACTGACGCGCCGATCAACGAGCCGAAAAGCATGAGTGCCAGACCTGTCGGCACATCCTTCTTGGGCAGACAGGTCTGCACGGCAAGGTTTGGGACCTGGAAACACAACCCCAGGCCTAGGCCGTACAGAATTTGGTACCCAATCCATTTTCCAGCGCTTGTGTCTCCCTCAAAGGTTGTGAGAAGCCCGGCCCCGCAACACATGATGCAAGTGCCTATTATTGCGAGTGGGGTGTAGTATCCGATTCTGCCATTGATAGCTCCTCCGAATATGGAGCCAGCCACTAAAGACAGCATCAGAGGCAGTGTTTGGATGCCGGACTGGGCAGCAGAGGAGCCCTTTATTGATTGAAACCAGATCGGGATGAAGTAGACTGTAACCGAAGGTAAGGCGCTGAAGTAGAACGATTCAGTATAAACGATACTCACTAAATACATAGTTCCCAGAGTTGATACAGATGGTTGCCCAGAATCCGGAAACAACACTGCGTTGTTTGAATATACGCGGGGGAAGGGTCGCTGTTGCAGGGAGCAAGACTTGAGCTGCGACAAAGGCGATGATCAGTATCCCCGCTAGAGCAAGTAATGCCACTATGCGCCCATTTCCCCACTATAAACTGTAAGTTGGACGCCTAGAACATGAATTATGAGTTTGAGAAACTCACCGAATATGTCTGTCCACCCCACTGGAGAGCCAGCAGAAGACAAATCACACCAGGTATCAGCACTAATGTACCAGGGGCATCCAGATGCTTCAGCTTCTTCGTCAAAGGAAGGTTGTTCTCGTCGCGGTTGGGTATGTCGAGGAAGAGGTAGATGACAATCATTGCTGCAGCACCGATAGGCAGGTTGAGATAGAAGCACCACCGCCAGGTGATGTTGGACGTGAGACCACCCCCAATCAACGGCCCAGCAATCGACGCCACACCCATAACGGCACCCATCATGCCCTGCACCTGTGGTCGGTGATGCAGGGGAATCACGTAAACAACGCAGACAATCTAGTGACGGAAAGTCAGTTGCTGTGTATATGGAGAATGTGGATTTGAGCTTACCGTTCCAGCGAATATACCAGCAGCACCAATTCCGGAGATGGCCCTCCCGATGATAAAAGCAATCGAATTTGGAGCTGCTCCACAAAGGGCAGACGCAGCCTCAAACAGAAGGACGCTGGTCAGGAAGGTTCCCTTGATAGAGAAGAAGGTGTAGATCCGTCCAAACAATAGTTGGAGGGCACAGCATGTTAGAAGGTACGCACTTCCGTACCAGCCGACGTCGGTCAGAGAATTGAACTCGTTGGTGATTTGAGGTATTGCCTAGGCAGAGCTGGTCAGCAAGTCATCAGGGTAGTCAGTGCATGCTAGGGTTTTTCCGTCGTACTGTTGAGATGATGGTCCGGTCCAGGCCGACGAGGAACACACTGAGAAAAACCGATACCATAACAAATCTGGTCTTTCGGTTTGAGCCTTTTGACTCAGAGTCAATGAATATGGGAGGATATTCATCGGCGTTGTCTTCGCGAGAAGTCTTCTCGTTTGCCGGAGTGCTCGCGCCTCGGAGGGTCTCAGCACCAGATTTCGGGGACTGGGAAGAAATCGATTTTTCAGACTGATTGTCCATTTTGCCCTGGACACTCAAGATTCAATTTCTCCAAGTCAAAATCAACTCTCTGTCTCAGAAGCTGGGGAGCAAAAATAAAGGTAGTTGGCTATTTCGACCAGTCAACACTTGAGCAGGCTGGTTGTACAAGGAGAATAAAACGCTGTGAGATCAGAACAGCAACGTCAAGTATTTGTACGAAAATATCACAGAAGAGAAGCCGCTAAAGTATAGGATACGAATGTCGAGAAGTGCAAAGCCCATGAGCTAAAGGGGGTGCGCGATCGTGACGGCTGCACCAAGCTCAGCATCGACTCACAGCATGCGCCTCGGGCGTTACTAACGCCCGAGGCGGCTATCCACGACCCAAATACATGATGAGTTTTGTTTTGCCAAGTCTGACTGAACATGAACTTACAGAGAGGTTGTGAATATTTCAACTGTCTCCCATTCACCAAAAATTTGAATTATACCCCTCTGGTGGCTGCTTTGGGGCTTATATTCAGGTGAACTCGATTGACAGCCTTACTGCCACCCCCCCCCCCAACACAGACAGTGACTACTCCTAACCCCCGTCTTGCTCGGGAGTTAGGAATGTCCATGGACTGGCGCCTCGGACCCGAGCCGCAAAAGACTGGCCCCGAACACCAACCTATGAATGCCCGAGACGGCTCGAATGCTCACTTGCCTTTTTTTTCTTTTCCTTTTTTCCGTTTCCTGGCACGTTTCATGCTTGCTGTGGTAACGCGATGTCATATAACGACATGCTAAAAAGGTCTTCACGAGCAGCCAGTCAGGTAACACCAAAATTCCAGACACATGCACGCACATAAATACAGCCCGCATTCCGTACAATGGCCAGTCTCAAACCGGATCCGCATACTGCCACAGTCACTGCGAGGCAGCAGCGAGTGCTTGCGTGTGTATTGTGTCAGCAGCGCAAAGTCAAATGCGATCGCCAGTTCCCTTGCGCACACTGTCTCCGCGCTGGCGTTTCTTGCGTGCCAGCTGCCCTGGTGCCCCGTCAGCGCCGCCGCAGGTTTCCAGAGAGGGATTTGCTCGGGCGTCTGAGACACTACGAAGGCCTTCTCCGCCAGAACAATGTGGATTTCCAGCCTTTGCACCCCACTTTTTCTTCCTGTACCAGTGCCGGTGCCATATCAGCTGAGCAAGCCTCATCCACCACTTTGACCACCAGCGACAGGGACCGGGACATGAGAGCCTCGGACTCTCTAGACGACACACTCTCAGAAATCTCATCAAGAGACAACACACCAGTCAAGTCTGATTCGAAACTTGTGTGAGCAGCGGCCCTCCTGCACTACTCCTGAAAGCCGAACATTTCTGACCGGTGCCTTTTCTTTGCTCTAGAGATCTTTGGCATGCCATAAGCCGTGTAGTAAGTATGGCCACTTGACTTGCTTCCGTGCACCTGAAGACGTGGCGTAACTAATTACATGATTACAAGACGATTAATTCTGATGGTGGATACGATGACGAGAATGAGGATACTGGTGCCACCAGTTCCGAGAAGGTCGGCCAGGGCGGCGTTGGAGATCGTGTCCAACAGAGCGAGCGAAGCGTGCATTCCTCGGTCACCAAGAATGCGTGGGACCGCAATGATACGTACCAAAATGATCGCTTCAACGACGACGACCATCTCCTTTTTGGTGTACCAAAGTTACATCTGCGCTTGTCCACCCTGCATCCAGAACAAGTGCAAATCCTCAGGCTCTGGCAAATTTACCTAGAAAACATCGATCCACTGCTCAAGGTCACACACACTCCGACCCTTCAGGCACGTATCATTAGTGCCGTCGGCGATTTAGCAAGCATTTGTCCTACGCTAGAGTCCCTCATGTTCAGCGTATATTGTGTTGCAATTATGTCTCTCACCGACGAGCAATGTCGTTCCTTTTTTGCATCACCGAGGAAAGAGCTCCTGGTATGTTATCAGTCTGCATGCCAGCAGTCCCTCCTGAATTGCGGGGCTTTGCGGTCCGGCAATGTCGAAAGCTTGACAGCATTATATCTCTATCTTGTAAGCCTCACCACGCTCGACTCTCTTTAAGCCCATCTTTTCCTATATCTCAGCCTGACTAGATGCTTCTCAGGTCTCTGTGAGGCCACAGACGGACCCCCGATCCTTATCATCTACGCTTGCCGTCGCCATACGCATCGCACAAAAATTGGGCATCAATGACGAGGCTACATATAGTAATTGCACTGCTTTTGATGCTGAGATGCGAAGGCGCCTCTGGTGGTCCCTAGTTACTTTCGACCACCGCTTGTGCGAAATGACCGAGTACAAAACCACTTCTTTGACGCCTATTTGGCATTGTAAGAAGCCCCTTAATGTGAACGACTTTGAACTGCGGCCAGAAATGAAGAGCTCGCCGCCAATCCATGAAAACCCCACCGAGGCGCTTTTTGTTTTTGTTCGCAGCGAGCTGGCAGACTTTGTACGCCACACTGCTTTCCACATCAACTTTATCAACCCATGTTTGAATGTTATCGCGAAACCAAGGCATGGCCCTGCTCCAGACGGTGAGGAGCTGACAGTCCTGGAGAGGAATATCGAGGACAAGTACATCAACTCTTGTGATCCAGAAATTCCGCTCCACTTCATGACAATCTGGACTACGCGCGCCTACCTGGCGAGAACTCGCCTGCTGGAGCACTATTCAAGGCTTTCAACATCATCTGCGCAGCAGACGGAATCGCAGCGCAGCGCAGCTGTTTCGCACGCGCTGAGAATGCTCGAATGCGAAACCAAACTCAGGACCTCGCCGCTAACCAAAGGTTTCCTCTGGCACGTGGACTCAAACGTCCCTGCCCTCGCGTACGTGCACATCCTCAACGTCCTCGAGAAGCGCCCCGATGAGGAACATGCCGAGAATGCATGGGAAACCCTGAGCGACAACTACGATGCCCGCGCCACGCATTGTAAACCCGGCGAGTATGGCATCTCTGATGTCTTCTCCCGGGTCGTGCTGCAGGCGTGGGCCGCACGCGAAGCCCTCTGCAAGGAGCAGGGCAGGCCGATCCAGCCACCGCGGATCGTCTCGATGGTTCAAAACATGGCAAATAAGCCATTCTTGATCCCTTCACCACAGGAAGTGGACCCCGGCCAGCCCGGCTTTAGGCCCACGGGCATCGCTGTCGGCGGGTCTCAGCTGCCTGTACCTCTGCCTGTGAACTTCGACGGCCAGGGGCCGCAAGAGCGATTTCTCTCCGATCCAGGGCTTGGGTCGTATCCGGAGATACCTGAACAAGCTACGAGGCAAGTTGTTATGGATCAATTTCTGAACCCGATGGACTGGAGGTGGATGCATCCGCGAGGTTGGTGATGCCATCGTTCCAAGTTATGGGGAACAAGGAAAAGCGAAGTGATGATACATCACATGACGAATGCTTCACAACTTAGTTATAATGACCAATTTGTCGCAATTCGGTCCCAACCTAGTCTTCAGAGCCGTGCCTCTCCTTTATCATCATTGGGAATTTTCTATGATAATCTGTTGCAATCGAATGGTGACGGCAATGTCAATGATTTCTGCCTTTAGCTCGCACTGGTAATTTGGTAAGAATAGGTTTATACTTGAGAGCTCATCTTGCACCAAGGCCCGGTAGCAGACTCGCATCTATGACCTGATGTGCGATGTATTCACATTGGAAAATATCCCATGACGGAGGCTAGAGTGCTGATTACAGACATTCATCCAGGACCACAAAACGGATATAGATCATTAGCAAATATGCATCCATAATTGAAATATTTTGTAACACAAAAGCAGCATTCAGAAGTTCACCATGTCACACTTACTATCCAGTTACGCGCGTACTGCCGCCTAGTATGAGTCCCAGTCACAACCCTCTCCCCTAATTAACGCCATGCTCGGGCTTCCCGCCCGCAGGGCCCCAGACGGATCTCTCCTTCAACCATTCCATCCTGCCGCTCCCATCCACCTTAGCAAACATGAAGCTCTCAAACTCAGTGGCGACCCCGTCAACGGTGATGGTGCCCGTCATGCGCGCCGCCAGCTGGTCACCATCGCGGAGAAACTCCTGACTGCAGAATTTCAGTATTGTTGTAGCATAGCCCAGCAGCTGACACCTATTCCAGCTGGATGGATTTGATATGCGCGAGGGTGCTCGTGAGTATTTTACTTTGGGTAGCGGGAGAGGAGAAACTTACACCTCGGGCTTGTACGCGCTGACCTTGGCGCGCCATTCCTCGATTCCCTTTACGTAGGCGTCATATGAGATGCGCTGGCCGTTCATGATTTGGAAGAAGTCGGGTGTTGACAGAGCCTCCGTGTACAGCTTTGTTTCATTGGGCGGGCCGGTCAAGCTCCATTCCATAGCGCGCTGGAAGCCGTCGCGTGTGGATGTGTATTCGGACATGACTATCGATGGTTGTATTCCGTTGGAGCTTGAGTGGATGGAAGGAGAGGATTCGCTGTGGGAGGGATCTCTTTTGGGAAAAGGAATATGGACACGGAGGATTCATCGTCGTCAGCACTTGTTGGTCAGAGGCGGCCCCACATGCCCGGAGGCACGCTGGTGTTGTTCCTGTAGTTCGCAGGGATGGTTTTAAGCGTGAGACCTTTCCCAGCGCTAATCTGATACTAGATAGCTTCGATAAGACGGACAAAAAGAATATCACTTTGTTAATCACAATGCACTGTATTGAGTACAGACCACCGAATGGTTTTGATACGACGAACAGCAATCGCCGCAGCATTTTCCGCAGCGCCTAACCAGCAATTCAAGACCCATCCTGATACCAATATTACGCGTCTGGTTCGCTTCACATGATGCCACTGATCTCTTCTCATGCCGTTGTCCTTGTTGTGTCGATCTCCGGTGGCGGTGCGGAGAGCCCGAATCGCCTCTGCTTCACTTGCTGTTTTGTTGACTTCTTCATTACGTCCTCTTCTTCCTCATCGACTATGATCACCATCCACACCCCCACTCCGCCGCTTTTACCAAGTAAAGGGGTAGCATGAATCCATCTTGGCCGGCCATAGTCTACATTCCGCCGACGGCTGGAGATCCAGCGGATCTTGGCTGTGACGTCTCGTCCTTCGGCTAGTGCTTGCTGGACTTGGTCTCGAACGCGGCCGGAACCTCCAATTCGATCCATGATATTGGACTGCAGTATCCCAGGGATGCGCAGTGACGGCGATGCGAACAGGATTCGGAGGCTAGGGTATGGCCGCACCAGTAGGTAGTTTTTGTACACGCCTGGCATGTGGCCGCCCTTGTTAAGCAGCTGCTGATCGGCCGGGGTCGAGGGTCTAGAGCGAAGTGGCAGGTTAACCTCGTCTTGTCCCGGGAGTCCCGGAAGGGCCTTGAACGGATCAGGGCTCTTGATGGCGTCCGTGCTGTTCCTGTCGCCGCCATCTCCGTCGCCACTGAGGCCGCCGTCCGAGTCAGACTCGATCACGACCCGTTCCTTGTGCCAGTTCGACCTGTTTGTCTGCTCCTGGTCCTGTAGAGGCCGATACATCGTTCCTCCGTGCTTGCGAACAGTGCTGAGTTCTTCCAAATTGAACATTTCGCTCAGCTCCTGGAACTCATCCTTGGATTCCTGCTCGAAGTCCTTCGCCCCTGGAGACTCGGCTGAGCCCTGCTTTTGTTCGTCGTTGTCACCTTCGTATTGGCTCTCGAAATAATGCTTCAAATAATCCAGCCCAGCACACTCCTTGGCCAGCCCTGATACATCTACTTGGGCACCGAGGAAATATCGCACCCTGCCCCTGGAGTCCATCAAAGGGGTGCACATGAGCAGGTTCATGAACGGAGACCCATCTCTTCTATAATTAAGAAATGTCTCGTAGTGCTCCTTACCTGCCTCGAGCTTTTCCCTTATACGCTTAACGCTAAAGGGATTCGTCTTAGGCCCCTGAAGGAAGCGGCAGTTCCGGCCTATAACGTATTTGGTGCCATACTGTGTGGTCCTATGGAATTCTGCGTTGGGTCACTGGGCGTCAGTGATTCCGTGCTATTTACTTTGGTCTTCCCAGGATTCTTTCTATTGGTACGGCAGTGCGAGCGACGCGATACATACCCTCAGAAGCGAATATTATGGGATTTTCGCGGCGCGAGGGATCGGTGAGGCAGAAAGTTTCGGCCAGACCTTCCGACATACTAGATATGGGCAAATCCACGCATTTAGCGATCATCCAATCCTGGGGGCGGAACTGCACAATTCGCAGCGCAAGCTCTGCTCAAACGACAGCGAGAATCGGGCGCGGCTATGAAAAGAACATACTCTCTTAGGTGAGCAGGCATGGAACCCACAATACGCCTCCGTATGGAAACCTCGACGAACTGCATCCATGCATTTGTGATGAAGGCCGGCAGTTCCTCTTGGGCCAGCAGCTCAAAGGCGGCATTGGCTTTCTTCTCCAGGCAGTCGTTCACCGTCCTTGGCACGGCAGTGGTGTCTCGCGTGAAATCGTACGCGTCCAGGGGCTCCAGTGCCTCACTAATGGCATTGGCGTACTTGAAAGCCGCGAGTGCCTTGACGGTGTCTAGGTAGTAAACCAAAAGAGGAACGGACTTTGGTCGATGGGTGCTCATAAAAGTGGAGAAGCGCTGGAAGAGCGTGAAGTTATCAAATATTATCCTCAAATGTTGCGGCGAGAACAGGAACTCGGATCGTTCTTCAAGCGAGTACAGACCCGGGCCTTCAGTCTCGGGTGAAACGAGGTCGAAGCTGCCAGGCTCTATTTCCTCTTCGCAAAGAGGCTCCAGACCATCGGAATGTTCAGCACTTGTGGCCTGCAGTGCAGGTAGTGTGAATTCCGGAGGTGGTGGGCTGGGGGTGGTAATCCGCGTCTGATATGACGATTCGGTAGAACGAAGCGACATTGCTGAACGCTTGCTTCGTACGTTGGGAGAGAAAGAGCGAGCCCCTCCCGACACAGATCGATCGTGTCTCTTTGGGACAGGAGACTCAATGCTCTCTGGCACATCAGGAAGGCTATACATAGACAGAGATGCGCAGGTCAGCACAAGTGCTCCGTTGGGATATTCAGTAGTGATGCTGCTGAGGTGTTGTGACTGTCAAAGATGGAGATGGGTTGGGAGCTGGGGAAGGGAAGACTGGAACTCGAGCAACTTACCTTGTTATTTCTGGTCTGGAGACATCCCCACTGAGTCGCTCATGCTCGGGTGCCTTTCGGTGAGGAGCCATAAAGTCGTATTTTCCGGCCAGGATCTTATTGAGCACCGACATCCCCCTGGGTGATTTCAGGAGAGGTATATCTGGAATGTCGGCTTCCCCAGCATCTGCGTGCAGGGAGTAGGTACGCGAGGAGGTGGAAGAAGAGGGGCTACTGGGCATCACGAAGGGTTTACAGTGAATATATATTCGGAGAGGGCTCTTCTAAGCGTTGTAGAATCATCTTGTCTGCCTCGACGTGAGGAGATGCCGTGGCTTAATCTAAGTGGAATGCCCCGGACGATACGAATCCTATATTCACGTGCAGATATAGCAGTTGCATTCGCGACTCCTTGCCCTTGCGCGCGCGACCTTGCAGTAGCCGGACGCAGGCAATCCAACGGCCCACCGCTGGCCGCAACCTTGCCCTGTCAACCGAGGAGCGGCCCATTGAGGCGCCGAGAATGCCACATTTCTTTCCGAACTTAGTGTCAAATTGCCTGACTATTTGAGGCTGGTTCAGCCACTCCGGCTACAGCGCAGGTGACGATTTAGTAGTGACGGGATGCTGCGGATGTAGTGTCGCTGACAGTGTTCCTGAAGGACCTCCGTTTCATGACGGCCCTACGACGATACCAGGCTGGTATAGTCCCACGTAGCTGGCAAACTACACTAGTTACGATGGTGACAAGAAATATCACGTCAATCAATCCAGCCAGCAGTCTGAGTTCTGGTTAGAATTACGTCTGAAGCCGCCTATACGTGTACGACTATATACCACGTGTGTGACGTGAACTAAGTCCAAACTAGTCGTCCAAACTTCGACAGCAACTGCCGAGTTCCTTAGCACAAACGTTTTAATGTTTGAAGTTGAGGAGTTGGGTTGTAGTATACGCGCGCTGAGGTAGACCCTGAGGGGACGCCTCGCCATGAGCGAGAAGCTCGACGCTACTACGATAGCAATGACCCACAGACCGACATAGATTGAAAGGGGAGTGGAAGTTAGGAGGGAAAATTCGAGAAAAAGGAAAGAAGTGTTGTCTTGGTCTGTTTCTGCGCAAAAGTCTATTCAGCAGGAAGTGTAGAGCTGAGGTTACGGTAAGGTTGCATTCGTCTCGAAAAGCGCGTGGGCAAGCTCGCAATCCGTTTAACTTCTTTATGTTTGTCCCTTCTAGTTCCGGGAACCTGGTTACAGAGGTTCTTCAGCGTGGCGTGGCGCGGTGAGTGGCCCGAGATTAGGCTCGGGAAATCCGGAGTCAATAACACATGCCTACGATGTACATTAGCGAGCCATCGGCACCCAACGTGACTCGCGCCCGAAACTAGGCTTCGCATGGTCTAGTCTTCGATCCATCGTAGCTGTACAGGGCAGTTCGGTGTGCAGTCCTGTGCAGCATGCAAGGTATCATGCCTCGCATGCTACCTATAAACTCAAATCCTACCTCGTGCATGCTTCATACAGTCACATCTTGACATATATGGTGTCTTTTCCGGTTATCGCTCCGAGAAACAACACCCGAATACTCCCTCGATCTCATCATATCTCACAATTGCCTACGGATCGGAGCTCAGACTTCGAGATCGGATCTCTCGGTCAGTGGAACAGCTTCGGCCTACACTTCCCGAAGAAACCAACCTGGCCAGCCAAGATCGACAGGAGCTGCCGAGTCTGACACCAGTTCGGATCAGTCTCGTCTTTCCCATGCCTCTGCCGCATCGCTGCGGTGATCAAGTAATGTCGGCATTTGTGAGTTCAATTCCGCTCTGGACGGCCTCGCTGATCTCCCATCATAGCAACAGCGTCTCCGAGCTGCTGCAACAATTGTTCTCTTGATTCTCTGCTTGATTTTCCGGAGATCAAGTCGGGCTGTACTTGGTGAGCCCCTGCACCTTTCCATGACTCCAGCATTGACCACGTTACATTTCCAGGCTGCCCCAGCATCTCCTGTTAAGGCTGGAAGCCCGCCTTGATGCAAACCTGGGAATGAGTACAGACAGACAAACAGCCCCGGTACGGCCCGCTTGTACCATAACCATCCACAAATGTTAGCCCAGAAGATTTGGGAAAAGAATGTTGGGCGTGGCTTTGCCTTTGTTCAAGATACGTGTAACATCGGAGGTTGATAAGTGGGCACTATGGATCCTCGAGCCAAAGGTTGTACATCATATCGGCTCTGGTACATTTGGCACAAGGGCTCTTCGCATTTTTTTCTAGCCTTTGCCATGTCACTGCCAGTGCAATCGTGCCAAACAAGCCTCGCATCATCACTGGTACGAAGCTAATTAGAGCGTACAGTAACGAACAGGAAACAAATCACGCCTCTGAAATTCTCAGCAAACAACCCTCGCAATTTCAACATAATGCATAAGCATTGGCCAGTATGAGCAACTAATTGGAGCCATTTTCAAATAATATATAAATAAGAGTGATTAAATACAAAACTTGAAAGTAAAAGAATTATTATTGTAAGCAATTTTCTTCTTTAAATAAAAACTTCAGACTTTCCTCCAACCCGCTTCTCATGAGTTGAATGCGAACGCTCTCGATTCCTGAATATATGTCCTGCATACAAATTTAATCATCGACTCTGGCTCCAATCACACAGGCAAAGAGGCCATCTGAATCTTACGAGTAACGAATGAGATCTCAGTGACGGCTGGCCTGTCTGCCAGCTTATAGTGACCCATTATAGGGTAGTATGTCGGGGTTTGTGTTGAGTCCGGCCAAGTAACCTAATGGTGGTGGTGCTTTGTAATTCCTCCGCAAACTCGAGCGGAGAGACCGGGAAGCGTGCCTGACTGGCCAAAACTACGCAGGCTGACTTGCTGAGAGTATTTAGACCAAGTCCAAGATCATGGCTATATCCTTCGCTATCTCGGGCTATCATGATACATTTGAAAGTTCCTGGCCACGGAGATGCGCTCGAGCATCACTACAAGTGTATGGAGAGTTGAAGCCGCAACAAGCCCTGAACTAACATTTCACACTTACGAACATCGATTTCACAAGTACATTATCTAATATGTCGAAGAGGACCATTCTCGTACTTGGTGCAACAGGTTAATCATGCAACTGTGGAACACGACAAGATATTTACTGACTCAAGTGCCTCGTCTCATGAGCAGGTGCAACCGGTGTGGAGTTTTGCAATCAAGCTCTCAAAGCCGGCCATTCCCTAGTCGTCTTTGCACGCACACCAAGCAAGCTACCTGCCAACATCAAGGACTCGCCAGAAGTGACTATCGTTGAGGGCCAATTCACCGATCCAAAGGTCAGGGACCAAGCGCTAAAGTCTGGCGCTGACGTGCTTGCCATATTCGCCGGACCGGTCAAAGTGCCTAAGGGGGCGGTGAGCAGGAATCTATAGAGCCCTTCCTGAAGTCCTGCATATCAAAACTAACATCTACTCACATAGCCCCCTGCGGCCTTCTACAAGGACTTCCTGCCCCTGGTCACCCAGAATTGCATCAAGCGCGCACTCATATTATCCACTCCCTCATACCCAGACCCCCAGGACAAGGGTGCGTTCAAGTGGTCCGCCTCGGTGATGCTGGTCAAGCTACTCGCCGGCAGCGCCTCCGCTGAGATGAGGGGCATCGGCGAGACCGTCACCGCGATTCCCACGGACACGCTGAGGTGGACATTGTTCCGCGTCGGGTGGCTGAACAATGGTCCCGCCAAGCCCGTTACCGCGACGTACACTGATTCCGGACAGGACGGACTTGGCATCAGCAGGGTCAGTATTGCGCAGTGGGTTATCGAGGAGATCGATAGGGAACAGTTTGTGGGCAAAGCGCCGTATATTTGCAATACTTGATATTCGTCTCCATCTGGGTGAATTTAGTACTGAAATTAAGTTTAGTTTCAACGTGCAAAATTTGCAACATTTCAATCGCGGCTGACATCCGCAACTGCTGCCCAGACCGAGTCCTCATAGGTTCACTCTTCCCTTGCCAACGCCACAACGAATATCATTCGCCGTAGTCGCCATGCGTGGGACCCTAACAATGAAGAAGTACTGGCATATGAGCCAAGATACCGCTTCGAGTCTACCAGCACGGCTTTCTGTAAGAAAACTTCCGGATACGTCTTTCTTGGTGCCGTTCCGTCGCTGGGTACTCCGTTAGAGATCGGTAACACAAACTGGAAATGCACAAGTACCGTTCCCAGACGGCTTGTCGAATTGCAGTCAGGCGAGCTGTTTGGGCGTCTGAGAGCACATATACGTGAGGGCTATTTCTTGACTGGTCCGACTCTCTTCTCGTCCTGTGGCACGTCCGAAGCGCGACCGCTTCGCTCCTAGAAACCCCAATCGGATACTCGGCTTCCCGTTATGTCAGAATTCTCCAGGAAATTTGCGGCTTTGGCCGCTATATTCCTCCTTCTTCACCCTGTGGTCTCCAGAGACATCAGCAACTTGACCACTACCGAATGTGGTGTAAGTAGAAGCACGGCTAACATTACGGTACAGGATTTCAGTGGACTGACATAGCATTCTCAGATCGGCTGCTACGAATCAGTTTGTAATTCTACCGAGCCCACCGAATGTGCATGCGACACGAGCTTCGATGACCTCGTGAGCTGCATGTTCAATGAGTGCCTTCTCGCATCAGACTATTACGGTGAGTGCACCCCACTTTCTATTCCTTGTTTCATCAAAGTTCGCCGAATTTCTGATGACTGAAAATGCATCTTGGGCAGTAAACTGGCGTCGTCTCCACGACAGATGCGACCTTCCACGTCCAATTTCGACCGTTGATCCCGAGTACACACTCACAGCTATAATCGTGTTCGTAATACAGACTTTAGTATTTATCCCACGAATAGCGACAAGGTTATTTGGTTTGGGTAAATGGTATCAGGACGACACGTCTTGTGTCGCCGCCTACGTTAGTTCTCCACATTCTCCTGAAGTTAATCTTTAAAGAATAAGTCAAAAGTTCAATCGGAGCGTTGCTAACAAAAGGGCCAGGTTCTTCTCATCGCACAATTTGTCCTATGTGTTCTCGGTAAGCTTCTCCTTGGGTCATGAGGCCTCCTGCACTCAGCCACTGACCTGTTAGGCAGAGGGAGTCTATGGATGCTACATTCACTTCTGGGATATGGAATTCGAGAAACTACCGGTATTCTAGAAGATTAATTTCGCTCGTGCTGAATTGTACGCCATCACACTGGCCGTCACCAAGATGTCCATCATTTTCTTCTACCAACGAATTTTCGAGGGCCCAAAGGTGAAAAGAGTCCTCTGCGGAACGCACATTTTTAATATTCTCCTCGCCTTGTCGTACTTCATCGCCCAGTTTTTCGTGTCCCAGCCTCTCTACTGCGAGTGGACCTTCAATCAAGGCCCCGAATGTACCTACAACGACGTGTGGGATGGCTCCGGGGCCTATTCTGCCCTGAACGCGGCACTGGATCTTTGGCTGGTTGGTGTGGCGGCGTTCCTGATATGGAAGTTGCAGATGAAAGTTACGAAGAAGATGAGTGTGATCGCTGTGTTTGCAACGGGATTCTTGTAAGTCTTTCGCCGCTTGGCTCACGGGAATTGTCTCTAAAATTGTGTCCTTTAGTACGTTCTGCTGCGCACTTTTCCGATTCATCGTATGGCGACTGTCAGACAAAGGTGAGGGTCTGTTTGGGTTTTGGGGCTGTGCACGCCATTAATCTAATGCACCCTTTAGCTCACAAAACCACATTCCCATCGCTTACTTGGGCCACATATTATGCGGTATACATTGAACTCACTTGCTGCTTCGTCATCGCCTGTCTTCCAGCCATACGACAGCTCACGGATAAAAAGATCTTGCCCACCATCAAGGGATATAGCACCGCCATGTCTTCTAGGTACAAAAGTACTAAGGGCGGTAGCACGACTGCGTCGTCGAGGCTTGTGATTAGCAAGACACAAGAAACCCAGGTCACGAGCAGTGTGCTGGATCCAAATGCTAGAAAGGACGACGACTGGAACCCGGACAGGAATGAATTGAGAACTAGTAGACAGGTGACAATTCATTAACTCGGTCTGTAGAGGGATATCAATTGATGCGAGTGAAGGAAAGTAGAGATATTGCACAAAACCCTCTAAGCACTGCGTGCAAATGATTTGCGAAGTTAGTGATTAATGAGGACGAGTGGCTGTTCAGACACGAATATCAAAAATAAATGAAATTCGCTGATCTGCCGATCAAGGATGTTAAGATTATTCCCTCGTCTAGTGTAATGCTTGCATGGACTGACCCAAGTACCATTAGCAATGGTTGGAGAATCTCTAGCTCGCAAGGGATTTAAACATTCGGATCTTACCTGACCAGTATACCCTGATGAGGAGGTTCATTCTCCATACAGTAAGAGAACGCACTACAAAGTGCCTTCTTAATACCGTATGTGATGATTTTGTAAAAGGCAATGAATGACACCGCTGAAATTCGGAAGATCACTCGGGGGATGAAAACCTGCTTTGGAGTAGTCCCTTTTGGAAGTTGTCGTCCTTATCGGCATTCATGTTCTCTAGCCCATGGCATTGCTCCGGATCCGTTGATCGGTCCTCACCTAAGCTATGACCATCCGCATCCTCTTCATTAGCTCGGTCTCGAGTGAAGTCGTGAGTTTGTACCATATTTGTTCAGTCCAACCCTGATGAATCCATAATAACTTGACCAATGTTCAAACTTTGTCTGAGGCAGTGGCCGCTTCTGTATGGGTCTCCCGGAGGTATAACGCAATGATCCAACTCAAAGCTTGCAGTGACGCCACGGCGTTGACAATAAAAATCGATGTTTCATCATCGTGGAATGCGGTGGGAAGATTGATGGGCAGAGAGCTCCGGGAGCAATGAGAATACTTCCAAGAATTGGCCCGATTAAGTTGCTAATAGCACTGGCACTGTGAATTCCATCGATGCAACGCTTGTTAAACCAAGCACCAACAGACGGTGAAAATGACGAACGGGATCTCATAGTGTACTGAAATGTAGCAACACAACAACGAGCCCAAATAAGCGAGCAATGTGACGAATGAAGAGCCACGTTTACTATCGAAATCTACGAACCATCCTGATGACCATTTAAAATACAAAGAGTTACGAGTCGTACACAGCACGATGTTCTAGCCTCTGCCAGTGACTCTCAGCTTCAGACGTCAATCTAGGTGTCGGCTGGGTCAGCTAAAATAAAACTCAACTTCAGACAAACACGTGAATATGGCCTATTCGCACTAGGTGAGACATGCGATTACAGGAAGAGCACTACCTGGGTAAGTTGTGAGATGCAGCTGAAGGTCTGGCGTCTGTTTAGTGCCTTGCTTACTGGTTGCAACCCCCTCATGTCAGCATCTCGCAATCTTGCCCCAGTCCCCCCGAATTTGATCATCTCCAGGACTGCTCAACAATCCGTGACTTGCAAATCCCAGGGTATCTTCGCCGGCCATAAGTCTCGTCTGCTCCCGTGGATTTGTTCGCAGAGAAAGACTCACCTTCTGCAATGTCTTCACGCATAAATGACACAGTCCTCGCAGCGACCTCCCAAATTCCTCGCCTATTGCTGCCCTTGGTGCGCATACCACCCGTGTCTAATCACTTACCTGTCACTGACCTATCCAATTGTCTACTTCAGTCCATTCTCGTCGTGAGCTTCGCAGCGTACCAGGTTCTATTTCACCCCCTGAGGAATTTCCCAGGGCCGTTGGCGGCCAAGCTCACAAGCGGCTATGGGGCTGCGCATGTCTGGCGGCGACGTCTTCACTTGGCATCGCTTGAGCTTCACAAAAAATACGGTAAGAAGAGATTTTGTCCCGAGCACTGCCTTTCTTGCCAGTCAAAGAAGGTTCATCATGCTTCCTCATTTCCCTGGCACGCGGCATTGTGCTCAAGCCTCCCCCAGAATCGCCATCGCCGATCACGGAATCCGGAACTAACCAGGAAAAACAGGCCGTGTTGTGAGGTTGGCGCCCAATCGTCTTATATTCAACAGCGTGTCGGCTATTCAATGTGGATCGCACCCCAGGGCGCATATCAAGCTCTTCGGTGGCTGATGCACATGCTAACATGCCTAGACATCTACAATAACCCAAGAGTAACCAAGGGCGAGGCGTATATCCAACTACGGCAAAGTGGCCGCGGGACCCCCAACCTGCTCAACACTATCGACAAGGAGGAGCATCGCAAGAAGCGGCGTATCATTGCCCCGGTCGTCTCGGAGAGCTCCATGCGTGTCTTCGAGCCTCAAATGCAGCTGCAGATCGATTCGTTTCTCGCCCAGCTATTAGAATCCAGTCGCCGCAAGGAGATAGTCAACATGACACCGCGGTGTGAGCGCCTGGGAGTGGACGTTGTAGGCGAGCTTGCATTTGGGTATCAGCTCAACACCCAGACCGATCCCACCCACCGCGTCATCATACAAGGCCTCAAGACCCGCAGCGACCGCAGCACCCTGTATTTCTTCTGGTCTAAACTTCGATTTCTCGAACAAATTTTCAACTTGGGCAGTGGCAGACATAGCCTCATTGGCTTCTACCGCTCGATCATGACCATGATCAAGGCGCGCATGTCCTTGCCAAAAGATGCAAAGCATGACTTTTACTCACTCGCATCTGGGAATCTCAGTTCTGGTGAACAGGGGCTTATCAGTAAGGACCTTTGGGCTGAGGCCGTCTTCTTCATTGCTGCAGGTAAGTGATGTGAAAATCTCTAAGTAGACTGGTGCTTGTTCAATTCGATGTGAATCCCTACTTGTAGATGGCACGCTGACCTTGTTTATACTCTTTATTTGAAGGTGGATTCACCACCTCCACAGCCATGAGCGGCATTTTTTTCTACCTCTCCCGGAATCCCAATGCTTACGCTCGACTGGCCTCCGAGATCAGGACCAAATTCGCTTCAGGCAATGAGATCCGGCAGGGCTCAAATCTTAGCGGCTGTGCGTACTTGCGTGCCGTCATCGACGAGACGATGCGCATGTCGCCGTCGACTCTCGCCCCGGCCTGGCGCGAACAGGAGCGAACCTCAGCCGCCGCGGGCGAGCCCTTCATCGTCGATGGATACGTCATCCCGCCTGGCACGCAGGTCGCCGTGAGCCAATTCACCGTACAACATAATGAAGAATACTTCCCCGATCCTTTCGATTTCAGACCGGAGCGCTGGCTGGCTCCTGAATCTGGGGACACCCAAGGTTCTCCCGAGACAGCCGAGCAGCGAGATGCGCGTGCAACGATGAGGCGCGCTTTTGTGCCATTCTCAACTGGCGACCGCTCTTGTGCCGGCAAGTCGATGGCTTACCTTGAGATGAGGCTAGCAATTGCCAAGACTCTCTGGTACTTCGATTTCGAGAGGGCGCCTGGCGAAGCTGGTGAGCTGGGCGGGGGGCGGCCAGGCCGGATGGATGGCCGTGGTAGGCGAGAGGAGTTTCAATTGTATGATAGCATTGCAGTGGATCACAAAGGTCCCAATCTGATATTTTCATTGCGTGGTGATTATTGGAATGAGTTGGATCTCAACAAGAATACATGAGTTCTTGATATGTACATTATATCTACCTATGATATAGTTATTCATGGTTAAGCCAGTTGTTTGTGGTATGTGGTTTCTTGGCTAAGATGTGGTTACGCAGATAAATATCCCTTCAGTCTCTCAGTGCTTAGTGGAATGTCTGTGGTCAAGCAAGAAGACAATCATTGTGGGCCAAAGGTCTTCTTCATTTTGTTCTCGTGCCTGGTTTAATCACACGACGCTTATCTCTTTGGCCGGTCAACAAAAGTACGGAGAACTTTCCTCATGCTTACACAGTACCCTTATTTACACCGCCTCCAAGAATTGTGGCAGATAAAACCTCCCGGCACTCGAACACAGAGATTTTAGCAGCAGGCGGGCAGGCAGGCATGGAACTTCCTAGCACCTCGGTCCCTGTAGAGTGTGAGTAAGACACCAATTATTCCCTGTCTTCAGACACGATATCTCAATAGTTCAGCTGATTCCGCCATATACTGTTGATATACTTGGTCCCATCTAACCTGTAATCATCGAGTTCGGTATGTGTCCGGCTGCTGTTGGTGCCATCTGCATCGATGACGAAGTTGGTACCTACGCGGTTGGCATTGGCTGTGTTCCATACTGGCCACACCGGATAGCCTGGCACTGCTCGCGAGATCTGGTGAGCAAATAGCACCGAATGCCTTGCCATGACCTAGCGGATCACATGCAACTCACAGTTATGATTGTTAGGGTCCAGGTCAGTCACGAAGGAAGCCCATATTCTACTCATGAGCAGAGACGCCTCTTGCAGCTGTTTATCATCATATGCAGCACCATCAACATTGTTGAAGACAAAAGCAAGCTCAGCGGCGTGATGTGCTCCTAGCGCAGAGCTTGTGCCCAGTGGGATGAGGTTCAGCCGCCCTGAGTACGCAGAACCCCCGGCAGCAGCCCACGCCTCAACTGTCAACCGGCGTGACGCTGTCTCGACCGCATCTGTAAAAAAGGTCACTGCGCGCTTGTACTGTAAACCGAAAGTCGAGTCGTTCGCTGGAGGGCTGTAACCGACTGGGAGACCAAGGGCATTATCGTTTGGGTACAGCTCGAGAATGTTGGTGACTGCCTCCTCATCTGCACCCGCCGTGGCTATCGCGGTCGCAAAGTCTTCGTCCGTGTTGACGGGAGGCCCAAACAGAAAGACGGTAGCCTCGTCGGTCAGAGTGGTGTACATGATCGTGACGTTTGAGTTGAAGTGGCCGGCGGCCAAGGACTCGATTGGCCCATCTTGCAGGAAGTCGCCATCTACGACGGTCAACCAAGGTCCGAGCCCAGAGCCAGGGTAGACGGGTGTATCGGTAATGTTCAATGCCGCCGAGAGATCCTCGAGCGGCAGACTGCGTAAACACCCGAGCGGGCTCCCTTTTGTGGCACAACCCGTTGCGTCAGTCAGGTTTCGATACAGAGCTTCGGTGTACGCTGTGGCGTTGGCGACATTGTAAGGCCACTTCTCAGCCATACCGCCGGATTCCAGGATAGCTCCCCTGAAGAGACCGTCCTCACGCCCGCCGTACGCAATGAGATGCTTGCCTACAGACAGAGCACCGGAGCTTTCGCCCCAGATGGTTACCTTGCTTGGATCTCCACCGAATGCCGCGGTGTTTTCTTGGATCCAGTGGAGTGCGAGGCGCTGATCACGGAGGCCGTTGTTTGCAGTGCCTACTTCGTCGCCGCCCCATAAGAAGCCGAACGCTGAGAGGCGATAGTTGAGAGACACAGCTATGACGGGTTTCCCTGCCAGTTCGGACTGGTGGACAAAGTTGGTGAGGTTCGTAGATGGATCTGCGGAACCGCCGCTGTATAGCCCGCCTCTAGATAGTCGTCAGACTTTGTGAGACGCTCTTCAATGTCTACACATAGAACCTTTCTCACCCATGAATCCAGACGGCAACTGGGAGTTTGGGCCCATTCATAGCGGCAGAGCTCGGTCGGATCACGTTGAGTGTCAGGCAATCTTCAGACATAGGTGCATACGTCGGGGCAGTCTACGACGTCTTGTCAGGTCAGGAAAATCTGGGCTGTGTATCATTTACTCACCGTGTATTGCATACACTGCTATACTTGTTAGCTACTGCAATCAATGATCATGGCACATTTACCATGCCGACAACACCCACATACAACAGACGAGTAGTTGACAACAAGTTTGGTACCCTTCCATGTCTCATTGAGCGACTGCGGCTCTCTGAAGCGCAAACTACCGATTGGTGGTTGTGCATATGCAATTCCGAGAAAGATATCCTGGGCTGGCGCTGTAAGGTGAAACCCTTCGAGAGTCCCATTAAGAATCCTGACCGTGGGCCCGCATGATACAAATCTTGCGAGAAGACTGGATAACAGAACGCGCTGAAGCAAGATATCGAGTTTCATTCTGACTAAGTCTAGAGCTCCCTCCGATGATCAAGTGGTCATATCATTGAGAGGTCTCAAATGACACGGCTTTCGTCAAGGATAAGTGTGATTTATAAGTCCTGGGTTGTCTTTGACGCTATCGCATGCTTTGCCGGCCGATGTGGAGCAGATTGTCGGACGTGTGGGCGTGTGGACCTGGGTCTAGAGCTGTCCACAGACAAGGGTGCCGGATGAGGGTAGAGGCAGCTCTGGCGGGGGTTCCTCTTCTATGACAGTGCTAGAGTATCTGCAAGAGGCGTCAGCTCCATCTGACGTGACGCAGGGATTTGTGATTGGCAGCCTTGCTTTTCATCTCGTTATTTCCGCGAAATTTGGGGAAGGTTCATCAACATCTATTTGTATTGACTGCACGGTCGCATTGTTCAACTCGTGAGCCATATGAGATATCTGTGGTCACCAGTCACACGTAAGGCGGCATAAGAAATGCAAATGCAGGCCGGATATGTCATGACAGTTGCCTGGAGGCTGAGACGTGGGGCCCTAGATAGTCTTTCGAAGACGCCGTGCCTTACGACCTGCTATTTCTTATGTTTCTTCACGGCAATCGAATAAGTAGGATCCCCTAATCTTCCATCAATTGTGTCCACGAAGCGTGACACTCACTGAAGTCCAGTCTGTACGCACTCCATTGCTCTTATCGGCATCCCCAAAGTCGGGCATGGCCTGCCCCTTCTTCGTCTATATCGACGGCTTGATACGTACTGGTGCAACAGCATCTTCAATGACGACTTCCAATCTGCTTTTCTGTATTCTTCCCTCCTTGAATACGGCCAGGACATTCCTCTCGGGGTCGTCGAACACTGTGATATCATCCAGCGGATTCGACGCCAGAATCAAGATATCTGCCTCGAAACCGGGTTTAATCTGACCCAGCGAATCTTCCCGTCTGATTAGACGAGCGGGGTTGATGGTAGCGCTCTGCAGCACGGCCAATGGTGACAGGACTCTCGACCGCAAGGCAAATTCATACGTTTGCGCTGTTCCCAGGGGCCCAAGGAGGTCCGTGCCGTAGCAGATGGTCACCCCGGCATCTGAGGCAATCTTGAGCGCCTGCAGCCCGGCTTGCAACACCGCCTCGTTCTTTGAGACAGACTCTGGAGGCAGATACCCTTTCCACTTGGGCGACGCCATCTCAGCATACGTGACGAGGGTCGGTGTCAAGAAGCAGCCCTTCTCCGCCATCATTTTGGCCGTGAACTCGTCGATGAAATTCCCGTGCTCGATACCCCTGGCTCCATTCTCAATACAGTGCCGTATCGCCTGGGATGTATAGGCGTGTGCAGTAACGTACGTCCCTGCATTCGCGGCACACTCTACCATAGCCCTGATCTCGGACCCTGTAAATTGGAGGTGGTCGATTTTGTCCGTCGGACTTGACACCCCACCCGAGCCCATGATCTTGATGAAGTCCGCACCAGTCCGGATTTCCTCTCTGACTGCTTGCATACACTCGGGTATTCCATTTGCTATCCTCCCCAAGCCAGTAGTAGTACCGCCGCAGCACATGCTGTCGTCGTGAGGCCCGCGGTAGTCTGCGTGTCCTCCGGACTGGGAGAGCGCATGACCTGCGATGAAGAGCCGCGGACCCGGGAACACACCGTCCTCGATGGCCTCCTTCAGCGCTAGAAGGGCGCCGCCACAGTCCCGTACTGTAGTGAAACCACGGTACAGCATCTGGGCGCATACATACGGCTGACGGAGCACCGAGACATCGTTGGGGTTTCCAAATGCCTTGGAGAGATCGCCGAAGCCTGGGACAGCCATGATATGGACGTGCGAATCAATGAGCCCCGGACTCAGGAACTTGCCCTGGCAGTCGATGACCTGGAAACCTTCATTCTGGGCATCGGAGGTGAGGTCAGGGGTATCTTCGACCGAGATGATGAGGCCGTCTTTGATCTTGACCGCTGCGTTCTTGCGAATTGAGCCGTTGGCCACGTCGACGATGCTGGCATTTGTCAAGATGTAGCTCTTCCGATTGGGCCGCAGCCAGGGCTTGAGTTGCGCTTCGGTGACCATTTTCGATATGCGTAGTCAGGCTGCTTGGTCTGGTTCATTTGATGAGAGAGACAAGACACAACAGAAGAACCGCGCTCTATACGAAGTTCCGGCCTTCATCGGCGTCGGCTGATCTTCGGAAGTCTCCGCAAAGCAACGCACTCCGCCCTCCGCATGGCCAGCCATACTCCGGCATGCGCTTCAGGCCAGAAGCCGGCTGCTTATCGCATCTTGGCCCACCTTGACTGTGATATGAACATCTTGTATCACATCTCTGATAAAATGCCAGCAACTTGAATGAGCGAGTAGAGGCTGGTAGCAGAGACTGACAGCCGATCCCATTGAAGATAATAACCCCGCTTGGGAGCCCGACCATGAACGAAGTCAGTCGATGCGCGCTTGTTCTTCCATCTCCATACTGCAGCCACTCGACAAATACAGTCAATCATTACAATGTCCCCTTCCATTGATGAAAAGTCGCCAGAAATAGAGAGGAATCCCGCTCAAGATGTGTCGGACGGCGCCAATCTCGACGAGAAGCCCGGTAGTCTGGTGGATGTCGGGGAGTCCTATACAGCCGAAGAAGAGAGGGCCGTTTTGCGCAAGATTGATCTTACAATCCTGCCTATGATGTGTGCCGTCTTCTTTCTTCAGTACTTGGACAAGCAAAGTCTGAGTTACGCAAGTGTCAGTTTCGTGCATCCAACAACGACTTCTTCTCGATTCGGGACTTATTCCTTAACCTCAAGTAACAGATCTTCGGTCTCATCACAGATCTGAATATGACGAGCCAGCAGTATTCTTGGTGTACTTCCATATTTTATATTGGCCAGCTAGTCGCGGAGTACCCTTTTGTCTACTTGATGAGCAGACTCCACCTTACCAAATTCGTTGGCGTCACAGTGGTCGTCTGGGGTGCTATCTGCATGTGCCTGGCTGCCCCGACCAACTTCGCCGGATTCGCCGCCGTTAGGTTCCTGTTAGGATTTGCCGAGGGTGCGGTATCACCAGCATTCATCACAATCACGAGTGTATGGTACCGGAAGGATGAACATGCGACTCGGACAGCGTAAGTGAAAGGATCTTTCGGAATAAAGACATGAAGCACTCAGCTAATATTCGCAGGTTCTGGATCACCATGAATGGGGTAGGGAAGCTTTCTGGAAAGCGCATGTATTCGGCTTACAGGCTAACTCTGAAACCAACAGGTAGCACAAATCATCGGCTGCCTGCTTATGTACGGGATTGGGAAGAACAAGTCTTTGTCACTTGCCCCTTGGAGAGTGCTCTTCCTCATATGCGGCGCTCTGACGTCTGCTGCTGGTGTCATTTTCTACATTTTCATGCCTAATGGGCCTAGAGATGCGTGGTTTCTTGACGCTCGCCAGAAAGAAGTTCTTTCGATGCGCATGGTCCAAGACCGAGAGGGCGGCGATAAGACAAATTTCTCGAGGGCCCAGCTAAGGGAGGCCCTTTCGGATCCCAAGGCTTGGTTTGTCTTTGCATTTGGGGTGCTTGTCACAATGCAATCACCTGTGCTTACAGTAAGTACCTGTTTCCGAACTTTTCGCAATTGGTGAGGAATGTCTGCTGACTGTCTGGTAGTTCGCATCCCTGGTAATCAACAATATTGGCTACGACAAGTACCAAACAATGCTGCACACAGCTCCGTCCGGTGCGGTCCAGATCGCCATGCTCTGGATCGGCGTACTTGGGTGCATTGTGATGCCGCGGAACCGTACACTCGTTGCCCTGGTCCTCGTCATTCCACCCCTAGCAGGCACCATCTGTCTCCTCAAACTTTCCCTCGACGCTGGCTGGGGCATGATCGCCGCCTCATGGTTGGCATCTTGTATCACCGCGCCGTGGTCCGTCCTCATTTCCCTCACAGCCTCCAACGTCAAAGGAAATACTAAACGAGCTATTGTTAATGCCATGTTCTTCATCGGGTATTGTGCCGGGTGTATTGGGGCGCCGCAGTTATGGACGCACAAGCCAAGATACTTTTCAGGGGTTGTCACCGCTATTGTGACCTGGTGTTTATTGTTTCTCACTATTATTTGGTACCGATTTCTTTGCGTCAAAGACAATGCCAGGCGGGAGGCTAAAGGAAGTGCTGCAAATGGTGAGGTTCAGGATGCGCGTGGAGGACAAGTGTTGCTGGATGAAACAGGTGCACTCAAGAGTGACTTGACCGATAAAGAAGACCGAGAGTTTCGGTACTCCTTTTAGCAGTAAAGCGCGGTCAGCGCAAGGGAGAATTTAGTCAACTGGCATAAGCCATGTCGCCGCCAAGGTATGCTGGATCAGTCTCACCTCAGTCGGGCCAAGCCACGCTTGGAATCAGAGGCAACGATGGAATTTACAGATTTGAGCAGTAGATGGGTTTAATGTTGTGATATTAATGAGATACGGAGCTTTTTGAGGTCTACAATCGTCATCGGGAGAAGAACATTGTAGTAATAGGCTAGGCACAGACTCCTTTCTATACTCTGATGAATACACGATCGCCACTTTTCCTAAGCGTCCGCAGTAAATATGGTGCGGTGCACCAGGGTCTCTGCTGGTCGGCATCATCGTGGAAGTAGAGGCTGCTGTCATCTTTCCTGCACTATAGTCGGGCATTAGCCAGCCTCATTCGACTCGGGCTAGCACGGTTTTATCGTGTTCTTCGTTGTCTTGTAAGAGACCACTCTTTACAAGCTGTCATTTCTGAGCGCACAGAGATCAATTCAGCGTTACTCTGGAATTGGTTCTTCGCTCTTCGCTATAAATGGAGCATCCTTGGGCAACTTGAACCCAACGAAAGCCACTACAACATGTGGTCATATGGCAAGGGCCAGGGGCACATCCGTGTGCGTGAGAGCAAATAGAGTTGGATGAGATGTAGTAGTAGAGAGGCGGGGCCTATCTAAAAGCTGTATTTGTGGCTGGCAGTCATCTCACGGAGTGGTCTATTATACAGTACTCATTACACTTCTCAATGAAGAAAATAAACATGCAAAAGAGAACACCGGGGAAGAGCCTTGCGGCGCCAGTTGCGCAGTACACTTGCTGAGCTCAATGAGGTAGCTCGTACACATCCCTTGTCGTATTCAACTCTGCCGGATGATTAACAACAGGAAGTTCTGATGTACTCGAGCATGGAGCCTTTGTTTCTGTCGAGATAGCGCTGTAGGCTGCCGCTTTCTGGGGATGTTCTGGTTCCCCGAACCTGCCTCTCTCAGGTACAATGGTGGATGTTAATGTCCATGACCACGTGCTGCCATCTGTCTCTGATATGCGGAATTGGTCCTCCCACGTCAGCGACTGTTGGGCAGTGACAGTCGACGTGCACTGCGAGGGAAATGTAGCCCTTGCGAAATCAGGTACATTGAGTCTGTAGTGTGACGGACAGCAAATAGTCTGTGTTGTGCGACTGTCCAGTGTCGACGTGTAAGCTTCGTAGTATGCTTCAGGACAGGTAAAGACTGGGCCCAAAACTGTTGTTGGCAGAGCGTCTTGTGTCCACCATGTTGACGCTTCCGGTGGCCAGCAAGTTGACAATCTGGTATCCACATCCTGCATGTACCAAGGGTCCCAGCCCATGAAGTTTCCACCGATCTGGTGGTACAGTCCTGAAGCGCATTCTGGTCCAGCAGATGGCCAGGCTGTCGTCAAGGGGAGGTAGGATGTCGTGGCACCATCTACGGTTGTCACGAAAGGCGTTACACTTGTCATTTCGTGGTTTTCCTTTATTCACTAGAAGGTGTTGTTGATAAGCGATGGCAGTCTCGATGTCGTTCTGTCAAACCGTACTCAGAGGCTGAACGTGAAAAGAAAAGAAGGTGGTCACTAATGAAGTTTACCTAATACCTACACAGACTCGTGAGTCGGGGTTCCATATATGAGGATCAGCGGAAGTAGAAATCTGCGATGGTAGTAGTTGAGGCTGAAAGGAGTAAAGGGGAAATTAATCAGAAAAGCATAATAGCCACAATGCGCCTCTCTATCTCTTGTTTGATCCTTTGGTGACCTGAGGCCCAATTGTACCGTCTGTAGACCCTGTACATGCCCCACAATGAGCTGAAGGATTCGTTCAGCAATGGGACGAAACCCATGTTCCAATGCTACTTCTGGGATCCTTCTACTACTATGGACCGGGGAAGCCCGTTAACAGCACCCCTACAGGAATCGCATAGACTTGCTCACATGCATGCTAGACAAAAGCCCAGTATGGAAAAGGCGCTGAAAATGTTGAGCTAGCTAACAGCAAATATTTCTAACCTGCTAAATTGCACACGATGAAGGACGAGGTTATATCAAAGAATTGTAATCGTAGACAAGTTTATGCCAGACATCATCTCAGGCTAGGTGGCCTGAGAAGAGATTGTCCCCAAGGAGAGTACAGAGAAGCGATGGTCACGGACTAGATCATCACCGCAGAGGCTGTTCAAACTCTCGTTGCCTTCTCTCGCATTAGAAAGATCTCTCCTTGTGAGCTACTGACACTTTTGACGTGATGTTCAGTATGTAATCTTCATTTGAGTAAGTCTACCCAGACTCTCCCAATCTACTTCTCACCCTGCAATGAGTTGGGCCTGTAGAGCCGTACAAAGCGATGATAGCGACGGAACAATTGCCGCTACCACAGGCTATGTATGAGACCCAGTATTTACAATGAGGACCCATCAGTGTGCGAAAAAAAAAAAAAAAAAAAAAAAAAAAAGCCAAGACTTGAATACCGTGTGTTACGGGCGATGTAGTGGCTCTTGTAGAATGAGCGTCATCGTGGACACCCTAACAATTCTCTTAGTAGTGCTAAATAGGTATTCGTGTACATTCACCCAAGGACACTGCTTACTTCCATAACACTCCCTTGCGTAGACTATTCGTTCAAATATTCCAGCGTTATTTCTTTTTGCTTTACAGCTGAACTTTTCAATGATGATAACTATAATTAAATAATGCTAAGGTGATATATAGTGTTATGATAATGTGTTTGAATCGTCTTCATTAAGCTCAATTCTACAGAGCCTTTTCAGATCATTGCACTAGTAACAAACACCTTAATTCCGGTCTGAGACAGTGTACAGAATCGGGGGTTTCGCCTGGCTCGAGCTGTTAAATGCGTACGCTAGTTACTTCCATGTCGCTATGGCACAGACGGAAAGTTTGAGGGACATTATTTAACCTTGCTTTCTTGGCTCAAACCCTCGAGATCTGCCGGCAGCAGCTGAAGTGCTCCGATCGAGGATAAGAACATCACTCGGCCACCGCTTTGCATTTCCATATAACGCGGGGGGCGACCATGCTGTTCCCCTCTGCTGAGCAAGCCGTGGTCAACCCGCCAAATCAATCGTACCTTACAGTCTACATTCTTCCAGAAAGGGTATGATGTTGGGTTTACACGTTCAATCGAGAATGATAGTCCCAGTTCTGATAGGCGGACTCATCAGTGTTGGTTCTCATGGCTTTTCCAACACCAAGGCAGACCGTTCCCGTTGCTGACCAAACAACACCTTACTTAGCTTGTCTTGTATGTGCTCGCAAGATGCGTCTACATGCTTTACTTCCACCCGTTGGCCAAGTATCCAGGCCCCCGACTTGCTGCCGTCTCTGAAGTCAGTAGCACATGATGTTCACAAAGCTCGAAATATTCTTGTGCACAACCAATGAGTCTAATTCAATGTGACAGATATGGAACCCGTGGTTGCTTGCTTCTGGTCGCGTTTGTCTGATCATGCAAGACCTGCACCGCAAACACGGTAAGCCACATGTGTTGCGAGACCTCATTTCACCAGCCCTACGACCGCACATAGAACTGAGAGGGAATTTGTCCAGGCGATATAGTCCGTGTGGGGCCCAACGCCTTGTCTTTCGCTACATCAGAGTCTTACGTGGCTATTTACGGTCATCCCAAGCAGGGCGAAAAGAAATTCATTAAGGCCGCCGTGTACGACAAAGGAGAGCGGCGTATCGCCAACGTCCGGGACCCTGCGGAGCACGCACAACAGAGGAAGCTTCTCTCTAATGCATTCAGCGCCCGAGCTCTGCGAGACCAAGAGGTCGTGATCCACCGTTACCTCGACTTACTGGTGCAGCAGCTCAGTAAACTTGGCAGCGGTGGTCTCAAGCCCGTAGATATGACAGCTGCCTATAATTGGCTGACATTCGATGTAATAGGTCAGTGAAGACTCACCTGTGTGATTTTCCACTTTTTTTTTCCTTGGTCACTGATTAAGAATGGTAAGGCGACCTGGCTTTTGGAGAGCCATTCGGAGCGGTAGCGGAAGCCTCCTCGTACTGGTCATCGCTGATCCTGGATGCAATCCTTTGGGCTGGCGTCGTACACCTCATGAAGCGCAACCCATTGTTCAGGCTCATCCTTCCCTTCTTCTGGCCAAAGGGCATGGGGGAGAAGTTGGAAAAACACAAGGAGCTGGCGAGACGGAAGGCCAAGAAGCGTCTCGAGCTCGGGACTAGCCTGAACCGCCAGGATTTCTTCAGCCACCTGATCAAGGACAATATACTGACTGAAAAGAGCTTGGTGGGGAACGCGCGGAGCTTGCTCGTCGCAGGGTCCGAGACCACGGCATCGGGGCTGGCTGGAATCACTTACTACCTCCTCAAGAACCCAGCATGCCTCGCGAAGCTGTACGAAGAGATTCGGTCTGCATTCAATTCTTATGAGGCGATCACTGGCGACTCAACGGCTGCCCTGCCTTATCTGCACGGAGTCATCGAGGAAGGACTGCGCCTGTTCCCGCCTGTGGCATTTGGGCTCCCCCGTGACTGCCCCGGCGCTGTCATCGACGGCGTCTACATTCCGGAGGGAGTCGTTGTCTCGACGGAAAACTATGCCTTGTCTCGCGATCCGCGCTACTGGGTCGATCCGGAATCTTTCCGGCCGGAGAGGTGGTTTGGCGAAGGGCTGGGCGACGACAAACGGGCTTTCCAGCCATTTTCAACCGGTCCACGTGCTTGTCTGGGGATCAATCTCGCATATTTGGAAATGCGTGTGGCCATAGCCAAGATACTATTCACCTATGACCTGGAGATGGTCTCGCAGATCGAGGACTGGAACAAGGCTTGTAAGAGCTACGGCATGTGGAAGAAACCGGAATTGCTGGTCAAGTTTCACCCACGCCTCACGACGCAGAGCCTTTGAGGCATCGCTGTAGTGGCCAGGAGGGAGCGGGTCGAGGATGTGCAAAAGAATTTGTGACCAGATTTATGTCAGGCGGCGAGTGCGAAGTCATTTCCAACACGCTGCTCTAGATGGGCGGATTTATCCCATGATCTGCCAGTCTACTAGCAGCGCGCGGATATCCAGGTTTGGTTGTACTTGATCTGTCTAGATTTATCTGCATAGATCTATGATATATATAGGTGCGCAGTCAACATGCAAGAGAGTGAATACGTCCTATAGTACGGCGAACCGCCCAAGGACAACCTCTACCGCGCATTTGTATGCACATACACCCAAACTTTCCGCTATACTCAGAGTCTATCGTCATGCCCCCGTGAAAAAGGCGCAAATACATTGATAAACCGCCACTCAGGAAGCAAACAACCTCCCCAGATTATCCAGCCCAACATTGCCCCCACTAAACACAACTCCAATATCCCACCCCTCTGGCCCAGCCTCACGCTCAACCAACGCGCGGAACTCCTCATTATACAGCACAACAGCAAGCGGGACCGCAGCGCTAGGCTCAACAACGACCTTCATGCGCTCGAGGACAAGCCGCAGCGCGGCCGTGATTTGCTCCTCGGAGACAGCGTAGACGCCGCGCACCAGCTTCCGGTCGTGGATGACGCCCCACGGCAGCGCGCCGACGGGCGTGCGCAGGCCATCGGCGACCGTCAGCGTCGACACGCTCTCGACGCGCTTGCCCGCCTCCAGCCCGCGCCGGCAGTCGTCGGCGCCCTGGAACGACGGCTCGGACCCGAAGACCCAGATCCCCGTGCCCTCGCACGACAGCGCCACGCCGGAGAGCATGCCGCCGCCGCCGCAGGGCGTGATGATGGCGTCGAGGCCCTTCTTTTCCCCGTTCGTGGCCTCTCCATCGGCGCCGTCTGCCCCAGCCTCCATCAGCTGCTTCACCTGCTCCTGGAACTCGAGCCCCAGCGTGCCCTGTCCGAGGATGATGTCCGGGTGGTCGTAGGGGGGCACGAGCGTGGCGCCCGTCTCGGCCATGACGCGGGCGGCGACGGCCTCGCGCTCGACCGACGTCGACCCGCTGAAGATGACGTTGGCGCCGTAGCCCTTCGTCGCGGCGATCTTGCCCGGCGCCGAGATCTCGGGCATGATGATGTGCGCGGGGATGCCGGACTCGCGGGCTGCGAGGGCGAGGGCCTGGGCGTGGTTGCCTGTGGGTGTGTTAGAAATGTGTGCGGTGCAGAAATGAGTTGCGGGCAGGATAGATATGAGGGCCTCAAGATGTGCCTGAGATGATCTACTGCAATGATCTCCCTGAGATACCCCCTTTGGCGGGGGGCTTCAACTCCGTCCCCGGCCAGGTATCACCACCAACATCAGACACCCCAGCCCATAACGGAAACCACAAATGTGAGCGGAATGGAGCAAAGAAAAGACTCACCACTACTATGCGTGACAACCCCCCTCCCCAACCCCCCACCAGCGACCCAGCCCTCGTCGGCCTTGAGCCTCTCGACGGCGTGGAACGCCCCGCGCACCTTGAACGCGCCGACGCGCTGCAGGTTCTCGCACTTGAACCACAGCCTGGTGACAGGGCGCGCCTTCCCCTGCCCCTCCCCGTCTGTCTCCTGGTCCTCCTGCTGCGCCGGCGTCGACGCCAGCTTCGACAGCGTCGAGTTGGTCAGCACGGGCGTGCGGTGGATGTGCGGCCGCACCAGGTCGTGGGCGGCCACCACGGAGGCGCGGGTTAGTGGCAGGCAGTTCTTTGGGTCTGCCATTGTGTGGTTTTTGGTGGTGCTGGTGTGCCTGTGCCTGTGCCTGTGCCTGTCTTCTGTGTGATGGTCTGTAACAATGCCTCTTGTAGATGGTGTTCGGTGCTGGTCGTCTGAGGTGAAGGTGAGATGCCGTCTCTTGGATATCAAAGGCTACCCAGATGGTAAAAACGTGTCCAAAAGGATTATGCACGTGTATGTGTATAAATATCTATGACAAGACGAAGCGCCCCAACGCGTGCTTTGTGTAAGCCAGTCGACGGCAAAAGTGGAGGTGGCAAGTGTGACGGAAGCGTGTTCGCGAAGTCGATGCCAGAAGAAAAAGAACGTCAAAAGACCGACCGAGGCGGGATCCTGCAGGTCTTTAATCAAATGCAACTGACGCGACGGCTTGACTCGACCTGCCGCCTCGTAAATATAGCTGCTCCCTCTAGATGTTGCCAGAGGACGTCGTCGTGCTCAAATGCGCGAGCCGCATGAGGGGACGGCAGCCGAGACCGGAAGCCGGACGGGCACACACACGCTCATTTTGGACCACAATTGACACCATCACACATAATAATGTCTTCACATTACGGTAATCACATCGAGTAGAACCGTGAAGACGATGGGTTCAAGTCAACAAACACTTTCGTCTTTTCCGGCCGCAAGATTCTGGGAATCAAGAAATATCTCACGGAAAAAAAAGATAAAAATTGGATATAAAATACACAATCCCCGGATTTTATTCCCTGTTGCCCGCGCAAAACGCAAGCACGCATTTTCCCTAATGACCCCAGGAAAGCTTTTCCAGAACCCTTCCCCAAGCAGAAAAAGAAAAGCCAAGTGATCAACAGCCCTCAAGCACTCAGATTTTCTCTTATCCCCCTTTTATTGTACCAAGTAAGCAAAGACTCATGATCCATCTTACTTCTGGTTCTCAGGACGCAGGGAACGGACGGCCTTGCCGGCGCGCCAGATCTCCAGGTTGCGGATCTCCTCCATCTCGGCCTCGAACTTCTCACGGTAGTCGGGCTGGCCGTTGTAGTCGAGAGAGCGTTTGGTCTCCTCACCGTTCTTGACGGACTCGTAGAGCTGGTTGAAGACGGGCTTGAGGGCGTCCTTGAAGCGGGGCGACCAGTCGATGGCGCCGCGGCGGGCGGTCGTGGAGCAGGCCTCGTACATCCAGTCCATGCCGTTGGCGCCGATCAGGGGGTACAGAGACTGGGTGGCCTCCTCAACGGTCTCGTTGAAGGCCTCGCTGGGCGAGTGACCGTTCTCGCGGAGAACCTCGTACTGGGCGAGGAACATGCCGTGGATACCGCCCATCAGGCAGCCACGCTCTCCGTAGAGGTCGGAGTACACCTCCTTCTCGAAGGTGGTCTTGTACAGGTATCCGGAGCCGACGGCAACACCCATGGCGATGGCCTTCTCCTCGGCCTTGCCGGTCACGTCCTGGTAGACGGCGATGGAGGAGTTGATGCCACGGCCCTCACGGAAGAGGGATCGCACGGTACGGCCAGAGCCCTTGGGGGCGACGAGGATGACATCGACGTCCTTGGGGACGTCGACCTTGGTCAGGTCCTTGAAGACGGGGGAGAAACCGTGGGAGAAGTACAGGGTCTGGAGGTTATGCAGCGTTAGCACCGAAAACAAGACAAGACCGGGTTGCGGTGCTTAGCTCGCAGGGTATGACTCGCCTTTCCCTTGGTGATCTGAGGCTTCAGGTGGGGCCAGGTCTCGGACTGGGCAGCATCGGACAGCAGGTTCATGATGATTGTGCCCTGGGAGATGGCCTCGTCGACCTCGAACAGGTTCTTGCCGGGGACCCAGCCATCCTGGATGGCGTCGTTCCAGGACTTGCCGTTCTTTCGCACACCGATGATGACGTTCAGGCCATTGTCACGGAGGTTAAGACCTTGGCCGTGACCCTGGGAACCGTAGCCGATCAGGGCGAGGGTGTCGTTCTTGAAGTACTCCTGGGATGGTCATCAGCAACCCGTCACTTGGAACACCAGCATCGAGGCTGGCCTGTGGTCGAAGGGCAGTGGGATAGGGGAATGGGGGGTGACTCACCAGGAGCTTCTCCTTGGGCCAGTCATCGCGCTCTGTCGGGAGGGGAAAATCTAGAGTCAGAGAGGCACCAATGCATCAATTGAGACAGGCTCGAAGCTCACCGAAGACGGTCTCCTTGTGGCCAGCGAAGTCAACAGTCTTGACGCCACGGATCTGCTGCTGGACGGGGCGAGCAAGAGCAGGGCGGGCGACGGCCGAGGTGCGCGAAGCAGCGTTCAGGGCAGCGACAAAAGTGCGCCTCTGGACGGTGTTCTTGGTCAATTGACGGGCGGCGGGCCGCAGGGCGGACGAGAAACCTCTGGCAGACATTGTGAGGGCTGTTGTGAGTGGAGATTGGGGCACAAGGTGGGATGAGAGGGAGGAGAGAAGGAGAGAAGTTGTGGTGTTTTTTTGAACCGAGCGAGCTTCGAAGCTTATACCGGGGCCACACTTTACCAGCCCCAGACAACCAGAGCTCCGATTTGTTCGACTCACCGAATGGTGTTGGACCAATTTTTTTCACGTCAGCTCCGAGCTCGCTCACCCTATCTCTTTTGGGCCTGCACGGTGCTTAGTGCAGGCCCTGGGTTGCTGCGACAGTGGGGCCAGGGTCCCGGCTGTGGGGGCGCCAACGGAACACACCTCCAGCCCACACCCGTCTGGGGAACAGGGGGTTTCTGGTGTCTGTATGCTATCCACCCGCGAAAAAGAGTCACCCAATCCAAGTAAGGGGACAAAGACAATTCCCGTCAGCATTTCGGTATGCCGCGTGTCACCGTTTCAGTCCTGGACTATGCAGACCTGGACCAGACATGGCCAAGAGAAGCCCAATACCTTCGTTTCAAGCTGGTAATGGCCGGGTGTACAATGCAGCAATGATGCTGGCAGGAAATATCCATGGGTCGAGAGCAGTGAGCAAAAATGCAAAAGGTGAACCTGATTGTTTCCAGCACAACAAATACAACGCTTGTTCAGTTTTAGAGGATCTTTTGATTTCTGCAAGGCATTTTATTTCTGCAAGGCAGTGTGTTTTATCCCCTCCATAAAAATGTTGTTAGTATCAGTAGTCGCTCAGGAAGCCAACCTTGCTTCGCATGTCGTCCTCGTCTTCAATTCATGGTCTATCATGCCTTTCCCGCTCTCTCTCTGACTCCGCCGTATGTGGAAAACGGTCTAGACACCAGGTCGAAAATGGGCGCCTTCGCTGTGATCTTAATGCCCACCATGTGCCCTTCCACTCGCTGCTCCCCATCCGGTTCTGATATGTGACAATTCAAGAAGCTTCCTTTTCATCCAGCTCCTCTTCCCTCTTCCATCTGTGCTGTGATGTGATGTGCTGCTATAACCAGGCGTAGGAAGTGGAAGAACAGCAGTGTCTCAGAAACTGCCAGAGAACGCACCCCTCCCATCATGCTACCAACACCAGGCCCATCTTCCTTTTCTCCGACATAGCCGTAGTAGGCGGCTCACTTCAGCACCCGGTCGAAGCTGACGCCCCTGACGGACCCTCCGGCCATGCTAGAGCGGACGTTGCGCTTGAAGCCCTCTCGGTTGTTGCGGAGGTCCTCGGCGGCCTCCTTGTTGAGCGGGTCGCTCGCGTTTGGCTCGAGGAAGAGGAACTGGAGGCCGACGATGACGGCGTTGAGGTTGAGGACGGGCTTCCAGTCCTCGCGCAGGATGTTGAGGCAGACCTTCCCCTCGAGGTCGATGTTTGGGTGGTAGATCTTCTGGGAGCAGCGGACCTTTGGAGGCTCGTGCGGGAACCCTTGGTTGATGTCGAAGTCGAAGGTGAAGCGGCCGCCGCGGTACATGCCTTCGTCGGGCTCGATGGTCAACACAAACTTGAGGATGTCGTCCGGGTCCGGAAACTCGGTCCGCATCGTCGTCCCCAGCGACAGCTCCGAAAGGTCCTTCTGCACCCGCAGCTGCGCCGCTGTCACCTTCTTCTTCTTCCCTCCTGCTGCCGCCCCCTCCGCCGCGTCCGCCTTCTGCTGCTCCTTCTTCATCGACCATATCTTCAACATCTTGCCTGCCTGTGTGTTGGGTGGCTGCCCCAGGACTCTGTTTCGGTGTTCTTGGGTTTGCGATGAGGGGTGTCGGGTGGGTTTAGGAGACGATGTCGAGAGTCGCGTGCGAGGCGTGGGCGATCGAGAGAGAGACTGAGATGGCGGTGGTGGCAACGTGTCTCTGGAGGTCGGGAACTTCAGGTGTTAGCTCTCTTGTTGGTCTAGATGGGAACAAAGTCCTCGCAGATGATGTAGGCTATGTAGTTGGCAAATGTTCAGTCGTCTGCCTGGAGAGGAGGTGCGTGCTGGTCGGTGGTGGGGAGCGGGTTGGTTGGTGCCTGAGAGGGCCGGAGGCGAGAGTCTGTCGGAGTCAAGTTCCATGGTTGGCCGAACGTGGGGTCGTCCCTGATAAGATAAAGCCCGTCCATCGTCCATCTGTTGGACAAGTGTGACATTTTGCTCATAGTCTCGCTTACAGTACCTCTTTGTCTTTACAAATGCCAAATGGAACAGCCAAAAACGCTATCGATGATCCAAATCAGCAAACAAATCACAGACAAATACCTGGCTTGCTGGTTTCAAGATTATGCACTTAAGCTATGAAAATCCCTATCCGGCCTGTAGAGTAGAAAACAACTCTCGTAGAACGCCATCGTCAATATGCTCCTGTTTTTCTCGCCACCAATGTAATTGTGCCCCTGTCCACAGCCTGGAAGAGAGGCAGTCACAAATGCTCCAGATCCCCAGCCTTCAACCACTCCTCTGCTCTAAACCGCGAGGGAAGAGGCCACTATGTAGTAGGCAGCTGAAAGAAATCTCGCCCGGTCCGACAAGACACGGTGGCCAGCCTCCTTGCCATTTTCTTCCCGGGCATTTCTGCCCTTACTATACAACAATTTACCCTTTAACCTAGTATGCCTGAGAAGCAGAATTCGTTTCTCTTCGTGTAAATGTGTAAATACCGCACTAAATGGCCTGGGGGTCTTGCAGTAAATCTTCGTTTACCGTCTGGCAAAGCAGCACATGATACCCGTCTTACCCAAGAACCAGCAGAAGCCGATGAAACGAATAATGGACAGGAAAGCAGTGGCATACAGCAGAACCTTGAAGAACCAGGCGGTACGCGCGGTTGAGTTCGACTGTGACTACCAGTTAGCACGAAGTCCGGAAAGTAGCAAGATGGGTATGACGGTAACTTACGCCGATACCGAGACCGTTAAAGTTTTCTGAGGTGATGACCACCGCCAAAAGACAGTTGGAGAACAACCAAGAGGCGACCAGACCCGTTCGGAAAGACTTGTAACCATCCTCGAGGTCGGGCTTCTCATCCTCAACCTCCTCTTTAAAGGGAGCAAGCGCACGCCTGACCGTCTGTTCGAACTGGCTGTCGATATCCTCCTGAGGCTTCTCGATTTCTTCGATGACCGGGCCATCACCCTTGTCGTCCTTGACGATGTTGGCAGACGGGAGTGCCTCGGCCTTGTCGGATCCCTTGGTACCCCAAGAAACATCGTGCCAGTTGTTGAAGGCGTACACCATGAGAATGTTGATGTAGGTCGACATGAGCAACAGATAGTAGGGGTAGGAGTGGAACATGTGCCATGGGTCCAGGTACATGAACGAAGCCAGGTAGTACATGCCGTAGATGGTGAACAGGGCCAGCAGCAGGACACCTCCGGTAGAATCGCCGCCAAACAAGCTCTTCAGGAAGTCACCCGTGTTGTCTGTGTCAAGACCGAGACCGCCGTGGAAAGCGCGGTAGACCAGGTAGCCAGAGTCGAACAGGATGTAGAGCTGCACAAGGCCGAAGACGACGAACGAGACAATGTAGGTGTACTTGGAACCCTTGGGCCGGTTACCCAGGGCCAAGATGAACTGTAGGATGACGAAACCCAGGTAGAGGTACTTCAGGACTGCGTTGAAGTATGGCGTGACCGTGTTACCGAAGGGCCATCCGACAGCGTCGGCCGACGCGTTGTCTTGCGATTGGGGGTTGCCCACCAGATCCATAATGACTGAGGTAGTGAGCCAGTACGACGAGAGCGAGAACCAGGAGAAGACAAGGTTGGCAAAGTTGTACAGTGCCTGGACGTGGAAGAAGAACATTCGGATGATGTTGTGGCCAGACTTGTACATACGGCCAAAGTGCATCGATGAGTACAAACTGGCGGCGAATGAACCGTTGAGCCATCGTCGACGCTGGGAGATGAACTCGGCAGCACCCTCGGGCACATCAGTCTCACCCTTGGCCGCCTTGATGTAACTCAAGTGCCACTTCTGGCCGGCCTTGGCGACCAGCTCGAAACAGAGGATACGATCCTCGGCCAAGAACATGTTCTTCTTGAAAATGTTCATGCCGTCAATACCCTTCTTGCCGAGAATCTTGGACAGCGTGTGGTCACCGTGGAAGTACTGCTCGAGTGGGCGACCCATGATAGCTCGGAATCGATAAGCCGAGAAGGCACCGGGCAAGACACTAACGTAACCGAAGGCACTCTCCAGGGGCTTATCCAGGATGTTGGAGATCTTGTACTCGAAGTTCTGCACGGCCACGAGCGGGTTCAGGAGCTTCCTTCCGCCCTTACCCAACATAGCGTGAATTTCACCACAGGCACCACCAAGATCCTTGTCGTTGTAGAAACCCTCCCATAGGGCGAGGAGCGACCTGGGACTGGGCTTGGTACCGGCGTCGAGCAGAATGCAGACCTCAGGGTTCAGGATACGGCCGAAACCGTTGAACAACCAACGGTGAGAGTTGATCTTCTTGCTGTTCTGAGCCTTGACACAGAAAATCATCTGCACTGGGGGCAGGGTCTGAGGGCTGTCGTCGAGGGGCCGGATAAGCTGCTGGTTGGGAGTGACGGACAATTGCGTCGTGTACTCGAAGATATGGGCGACGGTGGGCTCGCCGTTGACGTCCTTCTTGATCACACCGTCCTGGTAGATACCAATTGTGGCCAAGACATCTAGTGCGTTCTTGTCTGTCTTTCCGATACCGTCGAAGACCATACACACGACAATCTTTTGCCATGCTGGACCACCCTTGTTCCAGAAGGTGGACTTCTTGAGGTTGACAATGTCTCGGATGTTTTGCATGACACCGTGGAGGGTTCTGGCGAGGAGGACCTTGTCCTCGTTGTAGTAGGTGATGGCGATACAAAGCTCGGTGTGACGGTTGTACATGCGAGGTCGCAAGTCGTAACCGTTCTTGAGGGTGAAGTCGTTGGGGTCGCATGTTGCGGCCGTGTAACGCATCTTGGTGAACTCTTCGTTGCCGCCCTCGACATCTCGGTACTTGGGCTGAATGGCATTCTTGATAGCACTGGGCACGGGGTAATCGATACTCAGGACTGAACCCTGAACCAGCTTAACCCTCCTGGTCTTGGAGCGACCCAAACCGCCTCCCTGAGGCACCTGTTGGCGGTTGAGCCAGCTGTCCTCGTCGCCGACGGTGGAAGGAGGGTGGCCGGGATCTCCAGTGGGGAAGTCGGAGTTGAAGCCAGCGGCTCCGCCGTACTCGTTGCTGTAGCCACCGGGGCCGCCAGAGCCAGGCACGGTGGTGGCGGCGTTGGGAGCGTAGGACTCGGTCAAGCTGTATGCGGAGACGGGCCGGGCAGGAGGGGTGGCAGTGCCCCCGAGGCGATCTTGCTCGTACATGGTTGAGCCTTGACTCAGAAGGGATCGCTGTGCTTCGTCGTCCTGCTCGTTTTCAGGGGGCAGGTGGTACTGCGGCACGGGAGGAGTGTTAGACGGCCGCAGTTACAGTTGTTCAAGATCATCAGGGTCCAAAAGTGGGGGGCAGGGAGGAGGACGAGGAGGATGAGTGAGGTCTGGAAGGGCAGAAGACAGGGCAACAAGGGCAAGTTAAGGTAAGGATCGCGGTGGGATGTGCTGCGAGGGTAGTAGATTGATCAGGAGGAGGGGGAGGAGCTTGTGACGAACGCCTGATGGGTTTTGGCTGAGGTCCTGCATGCCATGGCTATTGTAGCCATCGTTGTGGCCGTTGTACGCCATTCTGGCAACCGTTCTGGACAGGAGCTGGCTTGGTGAACGGCCGTTTCGATTATTTTAAGCGGGTCGAGTGACTGGACCGCTCCACGCTTGCGTGTCCGGTACAGGTCCAATGGGGGGCCGTTAAGAGTGAATGGCTAGGGTGTGGCAACGATGGGATTGCTGGTGATGATGATTGTAATAAGGCGGAAAAGGGGGAACCAGCGATTCTGGGATGGGATGGATTTGAATGGGGATGAGCGTCGCGTGCGGGTGACGAGACAAAGGAGCTCCAAGTCGATAGCGCTGCTTTTGCTTGTGCTGGGCTGCCAGGACTGGGACTGGGAAAGTCTAAAAAGGAGGCACCCGCTTCTCCACGCCAAGGGCAGTGCAAGGCAAGGTTGATGGATGTCTTGTGCCGACCCGGCCAGGCGATCCAGAGAACGAGCTGAAGGGGGGATTCGGTGATGTGCAAAAAATGCAGAAGGTTGTGGTTTGAGAAGCGAAGTGAAGAAATATCTTTCTTGTTGCTCTGCCGATGAAGAAGCACCCGAAAAAAGAAAAAGGGTCCCTCTGGGCTGGATGGCTGGGGCTGTTCCTCGAGAGGCCAACAACTCACGTCTGGTCTGGTCTGGAGGAGAAGAAAAAAAAGGAGGTCCGCATAAAAGGAACCACTAGGAGAGCATCGGGACTACATAATTGTGGCTTAGTACAGGGGCAGGTTTGGCTCGATGACACCAAGGGGTCTCTCTCAACACCGTCTTTCCGTACCACAGAGGTGCCTGTCACTCCTGTCACTCCATTAGAGCAGACCATCGCAGACTATGGCGAACCACTGCAAACCACTACACTGCTGCTGTTGCTATACTCAGCACCTTCATCCGATCTGTCTGGCATAAACTCTGTTGTGGTCTGTACCACCCTCCCACCAGCCTTCTCCCACCCTCCATCGGTGCTGGCGAGACATCACAGGCTACCCCATCCCATCTCTACCCGTCCCAACCCCGGATGGCGCAGTTAGCTCTGGCTGTTCTTAGCAAGATGAGCAGCCGGCAGGGACTCCCTTCTTGACGGTGACCATCCGGGGGCAGGCTGGCAGGCGGGCAGGCCAGCAGACAAGGCCGGAACACGACAACGACGTCACAGCCTTGCAGCTTGCAACCTCACACACCCCCAGATCCCTAGGTATATGCGCCCATGCAACCATGCAGAACTGCAGGCAGTCATGCAAGTCTCCTTGTTCAGCCAGCACTAACGAGATGAGAGTGGTGATGTATGCAGAGTTACAGAGTTGCAGAACAGCAGCTGCAGCAGCAAACACATCTCACATTGACGATGATGACGGGTCGAGCTAGGAGCGGCCCAAACGCCGGCACTTGGCCCTCGCCAGCTCTCCTCCTGGGCTTGTCCCACAGTCGAAACGTTCCTCTTGAGCCTCCGGCCGTTGCGTCTTGGGTCCTGAGGAGGCACCATCCGCAGAACAGCGCATCAGCTACCGGATCTATCATATGTAGCATCTATGCTTGGCAGATGGCGATAAGGCGGGAAGATGTGGGCAGGACATATGCCTACTACTACGCAGTACAGTCTCCTATGTCCATCCTCCATTCTAGAACGGCTCCATAACTTCTGAGATCTTCACTCAATAAGACCCTGAGATTTTGTCTCATCACTCCTGAGCACCTGTCAGTCGACCAAAACTGCCAGATGTCAGTTCACACATATCCCTCCTGCCCCTCCCCCCCTCCGGCCCCTATGGATGGGCCCCCCTATTCCGTGCTGATCCCAACTTGAGATCTGGGGATGGCCGGATTTCCGTCTGCCAATCTCGTTCCGAGGAGCACGCGGTGGCTCCAGGGATCATATGTCAGTGAGCACCCGGTTTCCTGCAGACCTTGGACAGCCAGCCAGTAGCTGCTCGCCCCCAGAGCTGGAATCCCCTTCTGAAACAGCCACCCACTTTGGCAGCTCCTCGTTCGTATTTTCCCTTGCCCACCCGCAATAATGAACCCCCTTCACCGCTCTGCTGGGCCGGCCGATTCCTACAGCCCCCCTCGGCTCAGCTGGTCCCACAGGCACGCAGCAGCCAGCAAACAGCACACCTGACGGCACGGACAGCGTCAAAGCGGCTATCAAGAGACACACAAATACATAAGAGGCAGAGACACCAGCCTCGTGGCCGCCGTTGAGAACGACCAACGGCTCTGCCGCCCTCTGTCTGCTGCAAAAAGGATCCCTCAGCGACGCAAAGGGACCCCACATGAGCGGTTCGCTGCAGGCCTGCCCACAGTTCTCAGATTGCTCAATTGGCCTTCTCTGTCCTGTTTTGGCGCTGGAATACAAAGCGAGAGGGTGAGAAAGAGAGAGGCGACATTTGGTCCCAAAAATAGAAACAGGCGCCCTCTGCTGGGTGGCTCGTGTCGACAACACACGACCAACTCCCGTCGGCAGCTTCCGCCCTTGACCCGATCTGGAATGTCTATCATGAGGCTGTGCTCATTGCTCAGCCAGGGGATTGTCTCTAGTTTTTCGGATTCCTGGCTCCTAAGATTTGTCGTCGCGTCTCAAGGAGCAATTCATCGCGCTCGATATCCATCCGTCCGTCCCCAACAGCATCGCGGAAGCCAGTCACAGAGCGACACAGCGAGAAACACCGTCGGTCAGCCCTTGCTTTCAACGTGACTGTTGGGACGACTCATGCACACGAATGCTCTCACCTCAGCGCCTGCAGCGCGATGGATCTCGCAGCCTGTCGGGATCCAGCGCGACTCCTGCTTCAGCCACTGGCGGCAAACATGGACGCGTCCGCTCAGCCTGAACTTAGATCCTTTGGCAGCTAGCTTGGTACTAACCTTCCGAGCCGGCCATAGGGTCCAAGAAAGCAGAGGTGAACACACTGTGAATATGTGACATAACCAACACCTCTCAGGACCCGGCCCCCGATCTGCGCGGCGAAGAAACGGGCATCCCGAGCCCGGGCAGACCGCCGGCCGGCTCTCCATCCCGCAATGTTTGTGTTTCGCCGCCAGTCCTTGGCGATGGGGACCTCCTTCGTAACCGTGCTGTGGCCGCAAGAAGAACCTTCGTGTCATGCTCTGCTGCCTCGCTTCTTGCCTCCCCATGTTACAGAGGGGCTAAGAGGGTCGGAATGATCCTCGTGAGATCTGGGCCGGCAGGCTTGCCGCAGACACCCAATTCGATGATCATCCCGAGACGCTGGGACCCACGAGATCTAGGGGCTACGGCCGGCTCTTGCTATGGGCTCTTGGGCTTGTACCAGTTGTTCAGACACGGCTAGCAACGGTCTCAACGTGCTCAACGTGCAAGATAGTACGTAGAGTCAGGTAAATCCCCTCTGTGTACCCGCACAGCATGCCACGACACCGAGCGGACTTCGACTCATAGTGTATCCTTTGACACCCAAAGGACAGCAGACTGTGCTCTCTACAGTGGCCAGCAGTTTATATTTATCAAGAGCCTTAGTTTGACAGTTTCTGAGCTCGAGTATCGAGTCGTCTTAACCGGCCAAGAAATCTCAGACTCCAAGCTCCATAAAACGGCCCAAACACACGGTCTCTGCGAGGAGAGGGATACGAGAAGTCTATCCAGTCACGACCACAGCCCTACACCCCGTTCTCAACGTCACGCGCGACATGCCCTGGATTAGCAACAAACTCTAATGTAGACGTTGACCACTGCCACTCCCACGACCTGCCAGTTCCCTATGTCTTTGTCCTCCCCACGCCACGCCCTCGGAAGCCAACTAAATCTCGCGTGGGTGGCACAAAGGAAACCCCTCATCTAGAATAACGGGCTTCCGCGATTTCCTAGGATGGTACAAAACTGTCGCTCGGGAAGGGCGATCAGCGCTGCAGGGCAAGGCAACACACACGAGCGCACACGAGACCTGTGCAACCCTCGGAGCAGGCAGGGCCGCTGATTCATCCAAGGGAGGTGAGCAGGTGAGCAGGTCCCATCTGCAGGGCAACCAGCGAGAGAGCGATGGGATGTCGTGCTCTTGACGGGTGACTCGTCACTGAAGATCAGATCGAGGGTTCGGCCGGGTCTTTGCACCATCAGGGTTTTCCCACCAGTTGCCTGGAACCCTCGGCTGTTGCATGAATCTGTACAGTGCCCAGTGCTTCGTCGAGGCTGTGGGCAATCTTCTTGTTGATGCCAGCCAGCAACGGCAGAATACGATACTGTTCACAGAGCCATCCGGATAAGACTCGGGCCGCTGCAAACTCACCAACATACAATTGCAGAGCAGGCTGAAGACAGCGGGCAGTTTGTCAGAAGCTTTGATTGACCAGAGCAAAGAGAGGTTCTTGACCCTCAGACGCAGGCGAGGGTTGGTCGGACAAGAGAAATTGAAATTACAGGGGTCGGTAGCATCCCAGCAACCAAGAGGACGGAGAGGGTTGGCTAACCCAATATAAACAAGGTCCGTCTGTGGCCGGGCCCCCCAGGAGGGGAAAGGCAATAGATAGATTGAGGAGGTTCGGGATTGTGAGTTGACGCTTGCTCAGTCATCCATCGACGCTGCCACGACGAGAACAGACAGACAGAGAACAGACAAAGCATCAAGGAACGGCAGGGCCAAGGCGCTCGCTTGTTGGCCACCCCTGCCGGAGCAGAGTTCCTGATGAGTGGTGATGAAGGGCCCTGTGGCCCAACTTCTCGCCAACCAGAGGCGACGGGACCAGGAAAAGGCCAGGAAAGACGACGAGGAAGACGGAGGGAGGGGGCGGTGGTGTGGCCCCAGGGACCAAGGACCCGCTCGGTTGGGGCCAAGGAGGCGTGCCTGAAGCAGGCTTTCAAGGTTTTGCAAGCCGGGTATCGAGCTAGATTGAATGAGCTATAGTGGACGGGAGAGTACGTACTGCCACTCACAGTGAGAGAGAGACAGACAGAGAGACACACCACGAAGGGCGAAGGGTCTAGACTCGAGCACTCTCTTCCCTTCTTGGCTGACTGCTGCCGATTTGTCTGGTAGACCCCAATCTATATCGGATGTCACTCTAACTGTCTGTCGACACCACCACACTCTCTCTTCCCATCCCATCCGCTCCCATCCCATCCCCACCTGCCCTGCTGATCGGGCCAATCCACTCGCCCTCCCATCCAGCCATTCCACCCCATTCCACTCATTCACCCACCCGCATCGATATTCCCGCCCATCTCATCACAATCTCACGCCCGTACCTTCTGTATCCATGACCTGACCTGAACTGACCTTGCCTTGACTTCTCCCAACCTGGAGACTCCTCTCGACTTGCTCTGCCTCGTTCAAACCCAACTCAAATCTCGTTGACCTGCCACCCTGCCGTGCTGTTCCGTTCCGTTCCACGAGACGATTGATCAATTGTCCAAGCAACGCAACGAACGCCACGCAATCCAACGGCAACGCAACCGCAACGCAACGCAACGCAACGCAGCAGGGCAGATGCCAATGGGTTCCCACTCTGGATAGTCTGACTGTCTTGACTCCTCTCTGACCATAATCATCGCTCTCACTCTTCGTCTTCAAAGGAGCTAGTTCTCCTAGTCGCTCGCTATTTCACTTCGCCTTGTCAGCCAGCCCATCGCTGCGTTCTCCGCCCTTGAAACAAACTCCCCTTTTCTACCACGACCCCTTTCACGACGATTCCGACGACGACACAACGAGTCCTCACACACTCATTCGGTATACAACACGCTCATTCTGACACTACACCATCCCATTGTCCCTCGAGGCACGTACTCGTCACCGACGTCGAACCGACACGAGATTCAGAAGTGCAGTCCCGTGCCTGCATCCTATTTAAAGAATCAGCAGCCTCGCCAAGCCTCAGCTGAAAGGGAGCCGCCCGTCAGGCCCTTTGGTTGAACCTGTCTGATCCCCGACCCGGATCTGCGGTTGTTTGCTTACCTGCCTGTCGATCTCTTCACAAGCCCAATTGAATCCACGAAACCCAGCATCAACCCCCGATTACCTACGTTTCGATCTCATCCCCGGCTTCGTGTCGTACGTCACGATGCCGATCGCAGAAGAAGGTATAGTCCAGACCACCACCGTGACTCGGGCCCACGACGCTGCTACACTCTCTCCTCAACCGCAGCAGCAGTCTGGCCATTTCGACTGGCCACCATTTGCTAACCTCCTTTGCTCACAGGCTCGTACGCCAGCCTCTATGCTCGCCAGAGCGGTTGTGTGTCATGTCAAGAAGGCACGCCGTCATGCCCTACATGTGACGACGGCCAGGAGTGCCAGATTTCCGTCCCCCTCGATTGCACACAATGTCCATCGGCCTACTGCGCCGTCTCTTCATCCGCCGCCACTTCCACAAGTTCGTCAAGTTCCAGTCCAAAAGCTAGCGGAGGAGCCATCGCCGGTGCCGTGATAGGAGGTCTCGCACTGATCGCTCTGGTCGGAGTCGGCACATATTTTGCATGGAAGCACTGCGTAAAGAACAAGAGGGGATCGTTTGAGCAAGGGCAGTGGGAGGACGATGGGGAATACGCTGGGCAGCGCGAGAAGGACTTCAACGCCATGCGTGACGGCAGGGCGTCGACACAAGCCCGCAACTCAATCGCCTCGACCGTCCTGACCCGCGCCTCCAACATCATCCAAATCGCTTACATCCCCGGCGTCACGAACCGTGCGACACCAACGTCACCCACACTGCTTGTACCGCCCGTACCCCCTATCCCCATCGCCGTCTCCTCCCAGGCCGGCACGCCCAACTCGACTGAGGACCAGCACTTCTTCGTCCCAGGCGACCTGCGCGACTCGATGGCCTCTGGCATGACCGGCTACACGGACCGCACCTCTTTTGCCCGCACATCTTACGCCCCCCGCTCTAGCGTCGCCTCTACTATTTACGGCAAGGCTGGCGTGGTCGTCACGCCCGCGCAGACGGGCATGCGCGCCAAGGCCGCCATGGTGAGCGTCAAGTCGACCGGCAGCGGCGCATCGTCGGACGGCTCGGTGCCACCAGTGCCCGCCGTAGACAGGAGCCGGTTCAACGGGCCTGAGCCCGCCAGTCCATCGGGCAGCACTTTCAGCATCGGGTCGACGTTTATGAACAATGCCAAGAGCGCGACCGCCGTCCGGGCCCAGGTCGTCCGTGTCGGCAGCAATCTGAAGCAGTCGTCCACGCCGTCCAGCATCAAGACAGGGGCGGCGGCGGCGAGCGCTGACAACACCGACGACGAGCATGACGACGCTGTCACCGCCCGCTCAGGCTTGTCAACACCCAGCACGCTACCGCCACCGCGGGACGAGCAGCAAAGCCCATTCCGCGACCCCAGCCCACCGGCCGACGCCGAGCGCCAGCGAGCCCCGGGCCTGAGCACCGTCGTCGAGGATGCGGCAAGAAGGGCGTCGCAGGGCCCTGCACGGGGTGTCAGCCCGTTTAGTGACGCCCACGCCACACAAGAAAGCAGATGAGGCTTTCATTCCTTTTCGTCAATTATATAACGAATCGGCTTTTATGGGACGAGACGAGACGAGACAAGATGAGCATCAATTGCGGCGGCGGCACAGATTTGCTTTGCTTGGCTATGCTTTGCTTGACCTTCCATTCTCAACGGCTTCACTGCCGCGGCAGCATGACACACCAGACCGGCTCACCCGTCACCTCGGTCCATGTCCGTCATTGCCATCGCCATTTTAGACTTCGGCTGATCGGTACGAGGCAGGCACCCACGCGCAGGCACTTTGCAAAATCCTGCCGTGGGCTTCGCAATACCGAGCTTTTCCCCCCTTATCTCGACATGATTACATGCTGAGGCCTCATCTACGAAACACTGTCCATCTTTTTACCTATCTATCCATCTATCTACGCGGAGGAGGGATTTTATACCCATTCAATCTGTCCATCTATCGATCTACTACTTCTTATTGTCTTTATTTCTTGGAAAAATGGGGATGGAAAGGAAAGGGCTACGTACGAAACTCGACAAGGCTTGATTACCCAGACGGGATGGGCGGCTATGTTATGCTATCTATACGGGATATCTTGTTCTCATCTTTCTATTCTTAGGCGTTTTGTGTGTTCCTATATATCTGGGAAGACTTACGAGTCTCCCAACCCATCCAACCAATCATATGTGGCCAACCCTGACTGATCAGGAGAGGCAAAAATTTTTCTATCTCAATTCCACTTTCGTCACGCTCTTTGGTGGTGGTCGGGGTTTAGGAACGAAGTTATGCGAGCAGACAAATACGTCCTCCTGAGGCGGCAGCCAGGATAGAGAATTCGGGACGCCGAGGGTGGAGATGGTGAAGAGGCATATATGTATATGCTTGGAAGGGTCTCTCCCAACCTGTGTCTGGCTTTCTTCGCGGTCCGCAAACCCCCAACGCTGTCCCACCGTTTGTTCTGATATCATTCCCCTGGTATATCTATATCACCGACGGGAGGACACCCGTCTTTTTGCTCTCTATGTGTGTGTGTGTGTGTGGGAGGCAGAGGACAGAGACATCATCGATAGAGATGCTGGCCCTTTTTTTGTCGTTGGTGGTTGTGGTTTGAGCGGGCGAATAGTCCTATATCCAATGTTATATGACATGACATGTGCCATCTATCGCCTCTTGACTCCTTGTTCGATTGCTCGTCTGTGTGTGTGTGTGTGTGTGTGTGTTGTCTATTCCCCCATGTCGCTGGAACCTGTGGTGGAAAACGAGGGTAAGAGCGGGCCTAGTAGGCGTGTGGTCTAGCATGGGGTTTAGTTGTGTTAATTCCTCTAATGTCCTTTCTCTTCGCTGTTCGTCAAGAGCCACTATGCGGAGGGAATAGTTAATCTTGGGTAAACAGCAGAACTGAAACTGGATTCAGAAATGAGGGAAAATGAAGTACTTTTCGTTAATATATATTTATAAATGAATAATATACACATGCATAATCCTGCTGTTGAATATAAAAATTTTTAATTTTTTTTTGAATTGATCATATTTCCTTCATTGCAGAATGAACACACGAGATAAATACTTTCATTTGAAGAGTTTCATATAAGATTAATTAAAACAATATCTTCACAATATCCAGTCTAGGCGGCCATGCTTCTGGATCGTTCAAAGAAATACACGGCCAGCACATGTGGCTACAAGACGCTTTGCCCTGCCATCTGCTTCGGGAACAGACCCGCTGTCCGATGGCCCGTGTGATGACAATGGCTACGAGCCTGTAATTGCGAATAGCAGCAGTATGCAAAGCTAGAGGACCTCGCCATGTCGTTTCGCGAAAGCCTCAACAGACTAACGTGTTTCATGGAGGGCTGCTCCATGGGAAGCTGCTGCTGCACGAGCTTGTCCTCGCGCTTGATACTCTTGCACGTGGCCCATTAATTATCACCCTAGAGCCCAGCTCACTCTAATATGATCTCTATTATAGAAATTAACTGACAAGTTTATACTTCAGGTGGGAGCTGTAATAGTACGAACCTTGCTCAGATAAATATGCCCAATAGAATAAAATGCAGGAAGGTCATGCCCTTGATAACAGAAGCAGCAGATCCGGTCGCCGCGGTCGTTACAGGCTGGGTAGCACCAGTTGGGGCTTCGGCAGTCTTGGTGCCGACATTGGACAGTGTTGCTTGAGAGGGCGGGGCTTCAGCGGCCTTGGTGTTGACAATGACGGGAGCTCTGCTGGTAGAATCGACTGGCACAGGCTGAGCGTTTGCAGTGACGAGAGGCGCAGGGGAAGGAGTAGCATTCGCAGGTAGTGCCTTTTGTTCGCCAGTCACTTGAGGAGCATTTGCTGACAGGGCAACCGCAGTGTTGATCACGCGTCCGTCGCTGGACAAAGAGCCATAGATGACCTGACCCCCGCCAATTGTGACGGTCTTCACGGGTGAGAATCCCGCTGAGTTCTGGATCCCGGCTGGACCGGGCGTAATGGCCGCACCGCGCAGGGTGGTGGCCGTGCAAGTAGGGCAAGGGGTGTAGACCGCGCTGGGCGCTGTAAATAACGCCGAATTAGATCCTGTGCATGATGAGGTGACGACTGTGAATTTGTTTTTGTCATCGGTCGGGCATTCGATGTTCTGCGAGGCCAGTAAACAGGCATAGCAAGGAGAATCTGGGACGGCGCTCCGGTATATGAATTTCGTACTGGTGTGTGTGGGCTTAGTGATGGTACGCCTCTCGCCCCCAACAGTGACTGTGTAAATGCTGACGAAGACACACTTCTCAAGGCCGACTGGTTTAAGGCTAGCGTGTGGAATGCTTGCAGGTATGGAGACTGTACCAGGAGACGTGGTCGGAATTGTAGAACCGGAGGTCAGTCCTCCAGCTAATACTGGGCATGCATCGGCAACAGTTGCAGCGGGAACGATCCGGAAGGTAATGGCTGGGTAGGTCGATGGAGGTGTGCCACTGTAAAATACCTCGATCAACTGGCTTGTGGGATTCAAAGCGAAGATGGCATTTCCGTTACCAAAAGCAGCATTGTTCCATGATATCTGGCCTCCATTGGTGAGGAAGGTGGTATCGACTTGTCCAGCTACAGGCGAGGCAAATGTCAATGGTTCCGAGCCGGCTGCGATTCTGGCTGGCAGTGCCCGAGCGACGAGAGAGTTAACGATCAGTCGGCCGTCGATGGTGATGGCGAATAAGGTGGCCTGTGTGCACGTTGACGTGACCTCCACATTTCCAGCGGAGTCGATCACTGCGAAATTGGTCCCCAGCTGTCTCTTAATGCGGGCGGTGAATACAATTTGGACGATGAACGTTGTCCGAATGCTTGAGATTGGTGCTGTCGTTGAGGGAGAGGGCCCAGTAGAGCTGCTTGAGCTGCTTGAGCTGCTTGAGCTGCTTGAGCTGCTTGAGCTGCTTGAGTTTCTTGAGCTGCTTGAGCTTCCTGAGCTGCTCGAGCTGCGGGTTGTTACTGACGAAGTAGGAGCGGTTGTAGATATCGAAGTCGCTGACAGAGTATTAGAGGTTCTAGAGCTCAGTACTGTTGTAGATACAGAGCCTGTGCCAGCTTGGGACGAAATCGACGAAAACGTATTGGAGGTTCTAGAGTCGAGGCTTGATGTTGTTGAAGAACCTAGGCCGGTGAAAGATGGAGTCCTTAGCGAAGAATCGGAAGGGCCCGAGCTTAATGCTGAGGTCGATGAAGAATCTGAGCCGGCTGGGACGAAAGATGTCAAAGAGGATGAAGCCGTCGAGGAGGGTTCGGAAGTGGTGTTCCCGAAGAATGGGGTAGAGGTCGTTGAGCTCGTAGTATCAGTCCTGGATATTTCCGATGTTAAAGATGGTACAGGTGTTGATGACGAGGAATTCGTAGACAACGCGCTGGTTGTAACATCAGCAGGATTCACTGTGCTAGATGACTCAACGGTAGAGAAAGATGTCGTGTTTAATGATTCTGGAGTTGATGATTCACTGGTAGTTGATTGCGTGGTGGATGATTCGACGGTCGATGATGATGTGGTATTGAAGAATCCCGCAGCAGGTGTTCGAAGAGTAAATAGTTCAATAGTAGTTGATTGCGTGGTAGATGATTCTGTAGTAGACGGTTCTGTGTCAGGCGGTTTTGTGGTAGACGGTTCTGAAGTAGACGATTCTGTGGTTGATGGCTCTGTGGTAGACGAATCTGTGGTTGATGACTCTGTAGTAGACGGTTCTGAAGTAGACGATTCTGTTGTAGACGATTCTGTTGTAGTCGATTCTGTAGTAGACGACTCTGTGGTAGATGATTCTGTGGTAGTTGATTCTGTGGTAGTTGATGATTCCGTAGTTGACGATGACTCAGGAGTTGGTGTAGGGGATGGTGCAGGAAAACAGTGCCCAGCTCCATCTGGTAGCCCACTGTTACATCTACAAGCGAGTGAACATTCATTGCCATCCGCGCCGTTCAATAATGCTCCGTTGTCACACTCCTCGCCAATCTTAGGCTGCCAGATTCCGTCACCACACCCGGCAGGTGTTGCACCACGAGCCAAGATGTACGGGACACCTGAGGTCCCATCTCCGTAAGTCATTGATCCGGCGCCAGTCGCCCCTTTCACGATGGCGAGGGGTAAGAATGGGTTAGATCCTGAACTCGGATAGGCAGTAAACTGTTCATGAACACTACAACTCCAGTTTTGAACGTCACTATCAGCAAGCGTGCCCAGAGCGGGGGATGAGGCGACAATATGCACATTGCAGGACGACGAGTAGGCCATGTTGAAGGTTCCGAAGAAGGTGAGGGCTGAGATGGGGGTCTGAGCACCATAACAAGACATGGCGATATAAAGCCCCGTTTCTCCGGCTTGACCGGCTGCGAAGCCTATGGAATTGGTCATCAGGTTCCGGGCTCCGGCGATGTTTCCGTATTTTGCGTGGAAACTCGGATCGGTTCCTACAGAACTCCTGTTAGATTGCATGTTGATTCTTGCCGTCGAAGAGCAGTCCTACCGATCAAGACAATGTTGCCCGTGATGGCACTTGACCACACATTTCTGTTGGTATCTAGGAAGGCAATATTGCTGATACCGCTACAGTATGGGTCCCCAATGACAATTGCTCTATAGACTGAAAATTGCTCTGTTGTCATGGAGTTGAAAACCGCTTTTGTCACGACATCAACGCTGAAGCCGGCAGCAATGGCTCGATTATATTCTTCGGCCTTGAGCGTATCTATCATGAGTAGATCCGCCGAAAACACCCCCGCCGCAAAGCAGAGGGCAACGTAAAGAGAAGCCAGAAACAACATGACTGCTACCGGTAGTCATCAGCAGCGAACAAAGGTTGACCTGAACAGGCAGAATCTAAAAATTCTAGAAGAGAGGCTGTAAAGAAAAGCGGCTGTGTTGCCCTGATTAGTACCCTGCTCCGCCATCGTGCTGCAATACGTTTGTGGTTGCTGCGACCTTATTATTCTCGCAAAGGCCTCTCATACTGGACTGACAGGTTAGCATTTGGTATCTTCAAATCGAAGCTGTATCGCTCAGAATGCTAGGCTAGTCCTATCACGGCATTTTGTCTGGCGTCTGAAGCATATCTTCTGTGGCTTCGTATGGAAGTTGGTTATCCTCATTTCCTTTGGATTCTCTGTTGATGCATATTTCGTTGGGGACATTCCATTGACAAAGGAGGATGAACAAGAAATTAAAAGGGTGACAACAGAGGCCATTTTCTAGTTAGGCTGTCACCTGAGTGGTTCGGCTTCGCCGATCCATACCTGATCACATCGTAGCTGGGTACAGTTGCCAACTTTGGCACGTGGAGGCAAAGTTAGGACCCTGGGAACCCCGGCCGCACCTGGGTTAAAGCCTCGGATCTTGCATTCTGAGACACTCCCTACATTGTCGCGACACCGAGGCTCGATTTAGTCGTAGAAATTTGTTGATTTCTGTTGAGGTCTGCCTATCCGAAAGGAGGAAAGCAATGCAGCTGCGCGCGCTCTCGAGGCTCTTTACAAAGCAGTGGGCTGATAAGATAAGCTATCGAAAGGGGCCTGGCCACAGAGCCCTATTGGCGTCCATTCCCAAAGCCGTTGCACATAATACGGTAGCCTAGAGCAATGAATAGAGCGGGCCCGAGGCCGAGACATCGCCCAGGTTGTGTTCACAGCTGAAATGTTATAGCTTACAAGTCGTATTAGTTTCCATCAAGTTCTCTGAGCAACTAAAAGGTGAGATAATTTGCTGTTACTGTAGGCGAAGGGCTGCGGCTTTGTCAAATTGTTTGATGTTTGCTCGGTTGTATGGTATCCCAAGTCGACGTGTGCCACTTCGCCCTTCGAGTAGAAAGTTGGAAAACCCACAAGGAGTCAACTACAAAAAGATTGAAGACATTCAGAGAATTTCCTCTCATGAAGCGCATTTCGTGACTTCTAAGGCGTTGGTGATGGGCCCCCTGTTTCGATCTCAAGTCTGTGCGCAGCAACGAAAATAAGACCGATTCGTGCGGTAACGTTGAATTGGATTGGAGCAATTGAATTGTAGTATTACATTCGCAAATCGTAAATCGAGTTGTCAGGAGTCTCAAAACCGTGTAGCGACCTGGATAAAGATTAGTATCAAATCCTGTAAGACCTCAGCACCCCTCAGCATACCTACTTAGCGTAAGAGGTGGCCATGCTCCAGTCTTATGCAACTTGGATCCTCTTCTCACGATCCACGGCGGTTCATGGCCAATAAATCCGTCCACGCCCGGCAATGGAGCCGAAATCTGGTCAACATGTAGTTCAGAGCACGGTTTACTGTGAGCCTGGGCCACGCGACAAACGCATCTTCTATAGATAACAGTTTGTAGGATCGATGTGGTGAGCCGATTATTTGTCGCCCTTTTTCACGTCGCGTCGAAGAAACCTAACACGGTCAACTGTGTCGCATTGAAACACCCCTCACATCTTATTTAACATCGGCATTTAACAAGTTGGAGAAAGGTGATGCTTTCGCCTAGCTGCAAGCCCCTGTGTTAAACGGAGATTAAGTATTGTGCTTTGGCGTATCGAGTGCAACTGAAGTGAAAGTTGAAAGCCATAGAACAAACTTTAAACGACGTTCGTATTTTATGCAGTCATTCATATCAATTGCCATCTGGATATCACGCACGCTATAAGAGATCTTCAACATAAAAGATAATTGACCCATTTTCCCAATGAATCCCTTATTCATTCTGGAGCACTTCTGTAGCCATGCTTGTATACCTATTGGCTACTATTGCCTCTAAGGCTGTAGCGGCCAGCAGGCCTCTGACAAACAGCTCATTCGATTTCATCGTTGTTGGCGGCGGCACCTCCGGGCTTGTGGTGGCCAATCGACTGTCTGAGTCTCCCAATGTGCAGGTTCTGGTCATTGAAGCAGGTTACTCAGCGCTAGACAATGTGAACTCCACGTTCCCGGAGCTCAACGGCTCGGAGGACACGATCGACTGGCACTATCAGAGCGCGCCGCAGATGTACGCTTATGACAGGATTGAGCCTCTACCTGGTGGCAGAGGCATAGGCGGGTCTAGCCTCATCAATGGTCTGTCTCATGGAGATATCTCAACGCTTTCGAAGCTGACAGTTGATTTCTAGGTATGGTATACACACGGGCTGAGAGCACTCAGATAGACGCCTGGGAGGAAGTTGGGAACCAAGGATGGAGCTGGGACACACTCTTTCCTTATTACAAGAAAAGTCAGCACCTCATTCCACCAGGGCCGCGAGCAACGGAAGCCGGCGTTTCGTACGAGCCTACTTTCCATGGGTTTCAAGGGCCGGTGAACACCGGCTGGCCGAGATTTGAGCTGGTCAGCAAATATCTCCCGGCACTCAACGAAAGCTATGCGAAGTTGGGTGTCCCTTGGAATGTGGACCCTGCCGGAGGAGCTACAGGGGGCTTCGGCGTGAGTATGGGTCGTCCCCATTGTCCAAGTTAAAAGCTGACTGTGGCTGTTATATCATAGACATACCCGTGGGAGAAGACACCAGGCAATGATACATACCCGGATGTGAGGGCAGATGCCGGCAGATCCTATTACTATCCTTATCAGGACCGGGCTAATCTCCACATGATGTCTGGAACCACTGTGCTGAATCTCTTATGGGCGTCTGGAGGAGACGACCACGTGGTAGCTGGTGCTGTGCGAGTCCTGACAGACTCTGGGGAGACTCTGGTAATTAATGCGACCCAGGAGATTGTTTTGGCCGCTGGAACATACAGGACGCCGGCTTTGCTAGAATACTCTGGCGTCGGTAACCCGAGGTCAGCATTACTCTCTTTCACTATGGTGCAATGGTGGGTCATAATAACAAGCAATCAGGATACTATCGAAATACGGGATCAACACTACAATAGACCTTCCCGGTGTCGGAGAAAACCTGTGAGGAAGTCCTCCAACTACCGTCTACGTGTCGGACACTGACAGTACACTCAGAAATGATCAAATCCGCAACATCTTGAACTTCAACGTCTCCAGCGGAGACATATACAACGGCACCACCTCCGCTGTCGCCTACGTCACCATCGATGACCTCTACGGCTCCAACGCCTCAGACTTCACCGCCAGCGTCCAAGCCGCGCTCCCATCCTACGCCGCCGCCATAGCCGCCCGCAACAGCAACGCAACCAGCGAGTCCGACTTGCTCGACTTCCTCCGCGTCCAGGCCCGCATGCTCTTCGACGCCGGCACCCCGGCCATGGAGCTGCGCCACCTGAGCGGCGGGGGCAACCTGAGCTGCGAGTTCTGGGGCACGATGCCCTTTGCACGGGGCAGCGTGCACATCAACTCGACAGCCCCACCGCCCACCGGCGCCGCCGCCCCCCTGCCCCTCGCGGACCCGGCGTACTGGATGTTCGGCTACGACACCTCGCTCCAGGTCGCGGCCTCGCGCTACGTGCGCAAGCTGTACCTGCACACGGCGCCGCTGCGGGACCTCGTGGCGTCCGAGGGGTACCCTGGGCTCGGCGCCGTGGCCGAGGACGCGAGCGACGAGGTGTGGGCCCGCTGGTCCAAGCAGCACATGCGGAGCGCGTACCACGGGATCGGGTCGGCTATCATGCTGCCCCGGGAGAAGGGCGGGGTGGTGGACTCGCGCTGCAAGGTGTACGGGACGAGCAATGTGAGGGTGGTGGACGCGAGCATCATCCCGTTCCAGACAAATGGGCACACGTCAAGCACGGTCTACGCTGTGGCAGAGAGGTGTAGTGATCTGATTAAAAGCGATTTAGGAATTATATCTAGATTATGATTCCGTGATAGATAAAGTTAGTAAACCAGCATTTTAAGTCATCTTTATATGCAAGATTTTAGCAGCAATAAATGAGTCTACTCAACAGTATTGCTTTGAGAATTCGGGACTGGGTGAGTATGTTGTACTGCTCTTCCTTTGCATAGTCGGACAGTATAGCCCAATCGCACTTGAATGCCATTTGTTAGATTGGGCTTTCACACCAAGGAAAACCATTCAGAATGAAAGTAAGGAAGCACCACAATGTTCGTTGAGATGAAGCTCCTACCGGGCCTTTATGTTGTGGTAGACTTTGGAGTGTTTGTGTCTGTGCCACTCGAATGACAGGCACAGATATTCATACAAGGACACGAAACCTCAAATCTGACGAGACACATGAGATGATCTGATTGACTCCCATTTATAATCATATTCGTTGTCCCTCCACCCGAGATGTCTGCGTACATAGCCAAAGATATACGCACATGGGATATCACTAGAAGATGAACGCAGAAAACAGAAAAAGGCGCTGTCGATAGCCCCCAGTAACAAATGCCCCGTCCGCACCAACGCCAGGCCGCAGCGCTCCCTTCCACACACTTATGATCACCGTTGAGAGACCAAGCTCAGTCTTTACCCATGGAAGCCCAGATTCCAACCAAAATTGCTCTCGGCGCTCACCCTCCGCAGACTCAGTTCTTCTTAGCAGGGAAATGCATCTCGCCCGGGCCGCCAATAACCATCTTGTCCAAGATCGCGCCGATCCCCTTGTTCCTCCCGCAAGACTCATCCCCAGCGGCAACAACGCGGTCAATCTCGTCGGCGACGCGGCGGGCGCGGGCAACGAGGACGTCGAGTACGGCGCGGGTGTAGTCGAAGCTTCCCACGGCCTCCATGTAGGCGACGGCGTAGCGCTTGACCTCGTCGTCGGCGGTTCGCTGGCGCAGGATGTTGAGCAGGCGTAGGTCGGTCGGGTCGGCGCGCACGGCGTGGATGACGGGGAAGCTGAACTTGCCCTCGGTCAGGTCCTCGGCTAGCCCCTTGTTGTCGCTGTACTCGGCCGACCGCAGGTTCTGGTAGTCGTCGCGGATCTGGAAGATGAGCCCGATCAGGTTGATGAGGGGGACGCAGTCGATGGGGGTCGAGCGCGCGCTCTCGGCCTGCATCAGCTTGATGCCCAGCCGGAACAGTCCGCCGGTTTTGTTGCCGACCATCTCGAGGTACTCGTCCTCGGAGGGGCAGGTCAGGGTGTCTCGCCAAAAGAGATCCATGCCCTGACCGCGGTGCAGGTTGAGCAGCTCGTCGGCGAAGACTGCGACGCAGGTGGGGTTCTTGAGCTTCTGCAGCTCCTCGAGGGCGCAGAAGTAGACGTAGTTGGCCGAGTTGATGGTCTGGGGCACGCCGAATAGTGAGTGGGCGACGGGTAGCCCGCGGCGCAGCAGGCTGTTATCCTCGACGTCGTCGATGAGCAGCGAGGCCGTGTGCAGCATGCCGACGACCTTTGTGATGACCTCGATGCTGGCGGGCGGCACGTCGAGCCAGGAGTTGAAGGCGGCGATGAGCTGCGACCGGAAATCCTTGCCGCGCTGCTCGTTGAGGTACTCAAAGGGCCCCATGATGACACGATCCTTGTCCGGGGCCCAGCTCTTGCGGCCGCCAATGAAGTTGAAGTCGTCGTGGGCGTACCGTGAGGGATCAGGTGGAGTTGGTTTCTGGGCCATGCTGGCGAGGATCGACGAGGTCGAGGGCAGTGAGGAGCGGCGCGGACGCTTGGAGTTGGAGGACGAGGTCGGGGGCGACCGCGAGTGGTAGTGGTGCGGCGGCGTGCCGGAGCCGATCCAGTCACCCTCGGGCACTGGGCGGAGGACGGAGGACCTCGACGAAGGTGAGGTTGTCCCTGCTGCTGCTGCTAAGAGGGCGGGACTGGTGGCGTGCTGGCCGGTGGAAGATGTTCGCGGGGGTATGGCATTGGGCGACTGGAGGAAGACGCTGCTCGTGCTGGAGTTGGAGGGAGGCGGCATGCTTTCTAGAGTGGGTGGGTGGGTGATACAGTACGTAGGGTAGGTCGGCGTGGCCGGGCTATGGAGTACGAGCCCCTTTATCAGGGTCGGCTTGTTGGGTGGCCTGTTGGTTGGCTGTGCCCGGAACGTTGGGAGCGAGGTCAGGCAGAAGGAGGATGGACTGGGTAGGGGTTGATGTGAAGCAGGGACGAGTGCGAGTACGTGGCGCGATGTTGTGTAATAATTGGGAGAGAAACCCTTGGTGGGCCTGCAGGTTGGTTCGATAGTTTGTCGAGAACTGCAGCAGATGCTGCGGTCAGCACGGGGATTTTAGCAAGAGATCATGGGATTTTTGAAGAGGTCGAGGACGATGCGTGCGCGGCTCTTGCGGCTTTGCGGCTGCACCAGTGTGTGGCCTCTTCTCTGGGCAGCATCACCAATCAGCTGCGGCGCAACTAAGCTGAACCCAAGGCAAACGGCGTGCTCTAAAGCGTGAACGGGACTGAGCGAAGCTGGCTCGGATTGAGGTTCATGCATTTGCGGAGCTAGAGTCAGAGTCCGAGTGCTGCAGCTTGGTCGCTCACATGCTTTTCGCCGTGCAGCTTGATGACGACAAAGGACCCATCGCAAAGAGCTTGCCTAGGCTACTGAACCCTGGTGGTGATGATGGCGGGGTCCATCTGTCTCGAGTGGGGCGGGGGAGGGAGCTTACTGTTCCTGCTACTGTGACCTTGCTGCTCAGCTCGTTTCCTTGAATTGTACAGAATTCTTTGCGTATGTTCCTGATGGCCAGGTAGGTGGCTTGTTGGACAATATGACAATTAGAAGAAAGAAGAAATGGTGGGATAATTGCTGTAACAAAGAACTTCTGCAATCTGAAGATAGAGATATGAACAAGTGGCAGTCTTGTAAACAGAGACCAGACGGAGAGAACCCCACGCATGAACCAGGACAGAAGACGGCACCGCTTAAGTACGGGCATGGGAGACAGGCCTGAAGAAATGGAGATGAAACCAATTGACCATCACCTGCAGGTGACGGAACTACCCTTGACCGCCATCACCGGACGAAGGTGAGGAGCAGAGCAACCCTGTGACTCTGCGCTCTGACATGTGTCTGTTTCTGTATATGTGCAGTGTAGTGTTCATGTAATTTCTAGCAGCCGATGGCGATGCAAAATGTGAGATGCGTACTTGCTGGATGGACAGCAGCATCAATCTCAGTCGGAGTCGGTCTCAGCCATGATTCAGTTGGGCTCGGAACCATATCGGGGTTGATGTTGGGGGGATATTGAAGGCGCGGTGCTTGCAGCTGCAGACGGTCATTTCGTATGGAGAGGCAGAAAGTGCGTGCATACAACACTATGTACGGTATGGGATGGTCCAGGGCAGTCGGGATGTTTCGTGAGTGATGTGAGAGACGTCCTTGGACTGATCTACAAGGCAGACACAGGAGGATCGCCGTGCCAGAGCTCATAGCTGAATGGTGAGTGGCTGGCTGGATGGCTGTCAGCTCGAGGGGACATGCTTGCTGCGTGTTGGTGGGTGGCCAAGGTCTAGCTAGGTCAAGGCAGTCAAGGTCGCATAATGGTACACAATGACGGCTGGTTGCCCTGCCACCTATCGATAGCCGGATCTCCCAAAATAATCCAGAAATGCAAACAATCGATTGATGGTAGAATGGGTATTTGATTATTTTTGTATGCTGTGCCTCTTCCACAATGCAGGGAGGAATGGAATGTAATGCGACTCCACAGTGATGCAGACCTCGTGCAGTGCGTGCAGCAGTAGCCTGGAGACTGATGTTTATTTCTAGGCCACGGCACTACTGAATATCCACTCTCAGCGGATCCCCATCCCATCATACAACATCCTCATCCTCCACATTGACGTACCGAGCCCGTTCCAGCCCAACTCGGAGCCCTGGCTGGACACCTGGACATTCAACACTAAACACGGCACGGCACAGCAGCTGAACTTGAGCCCAACTCTCAGCTCTTCCATTCATTTATCTTCGAGCATTTATTTGCCTGCTTTTCCCTTCTCTTCACGACTTGGCCCATCCTCACCGTCTATCGCAACAGCATCGCAGCGGTATCGCGTACCTTGGGTGTTATTTGTTGTCAAACAGTCCAGGCCTCCCGAGTCGTCCATCATCCTCCTCCTCGCACCCCAGGCCAATCCACACCCGCTCCCAAAACCCAAGCGAGCCGCCCTACCACATCCAGCCACCAAAATCCACAAATCCCCACGATGGAGACCCTCCTCTCCGTCGCATTCGACAACCTCTCGTCCTATGACGGGCCCAAAGTTAAAAAGGGCCTGCGCCAGGTCGAGGGCCTGCTCGCTCAGATCTGCCTCTCCGCCCACGCAGCCAACAAAAACAACAACACCAATAACAAATCGCCCACCACCCCACCTGCGCCCTTCGATGGCTCAAAACAACAGCCAGCAACACCAGCGCCTTCCCGCTTCCCGCTCTCTGACCTGAGCGGCGATGCTGCCTTTCGCGAGTTCTTCAAGCTGCAGGACGGGTTTCAGTGGAATATCGCCACGCGCCTGATCCAGACCCTCGACCGGCTGCTAGCCAAAAGCGACGATGGCAGCATGGACCTGTTAATGCTGACCGCCCTCGACTCGCTGCAGGGCGTCCTGCTGCTGCACCCTCCAAGCAGGCTGTTGTTCTCGCGCGAGCAGAGCATGAACGTGAGTCAACTTTTACTCCCCCGCTTCCCTTACCATCCTTCCCACACCAGAGATGGGACAGCGTGCTGATCAGCTCTCTTCGGATTACACAGCTCCTCCTCGACCTCCTAGAACCCGTCAACTGCCCAGCCATCCAGGCCGCCACCCTGCTGGTCCTGGTCGTCGCCCTGCTCGAGACCCCGCGCAACACCCGCACCTTCGAGAACCTCGACGGCCTGCTGACCGTCTCGTCCATCTTCAAGTCGCGCTCCACCGCCCGCGACGTCAAGTTCAAGACCATGGAGTTCCTCTACTTCTACCTCATGCCCGAGACCCCCTCCCTGCCACGCGCCGGCTCTGACGGCTCCGGCGCTGCCGCCCTGCTGCAGCGCAGCCCCAGCAAACTGGGCCGGGCGTTCAAAAAGAGGGATGACGGAGGCGGTGCGAACGGGGCCGGTGGTGCTGCCAGCGAGGACAACACACTGAACCAGCAAGTCAAGCAGGAGATGCTGCGACGGCATCTGCCTAATGTCGATGAGTTAGTCAAGGATTTGCAGCAGTATGCTCCTTTTGGAGGGGCTGTTGCTTGAGGAGTGATTTCGACGTGCTTTGGAGACACACTTTTTTTCTTTTGTTATGGTGGCGATTTCTCTCTTCTGGTCGGCATTCAGCGAGCGGCGTTGGGATAATAGGATAATACGAGATACCTGGAAGAGGAATTGCGGTATTTACTCTGTAATACTATTTGTACAACATAAGCTCTACTAGGAGTTGTAGAGAAGGCGATTGTTCATTCCGTTAGGGGGCTAATTGATACCACGGCGCGAAATATATATACAAGGGTCAAAGACATTACATATATTTCGTTAAATGCATTACCTCCTGTACTTCATACCGTTATCCCCCTAATCTGCGACCACTCTTCTGCTGCTGCTGCTGCAGCTGCTCCTCATGGCTCATAGGACTCGGCGTCCCCAGCTCGCTGGCAGTCATCTCGCTTCCCGGTGTCCCAAGCGGCCGCGGCGCACGCGTGTCAACCACTCCTCCTCCTCCTCCAGCAGCAGCAACATCAGTACCATATAGTTCAAACCGCCCGGCAATACTGTCCCTCACAGCAGGCGAGCTCGGCCCCTGCCGACTACTCTGCTGCCGCCTCGCGAGCATGTTGCTCGACCCATCCAGCTCGCTGCCCTGGTCGCTGCCCCTCTCGGACGGCAGCTCCGGCCGAACCAACGCAACCCCATCCCCGCCGTCCTTCCCCTTCCCACTCCCAATCTCCACCGCAGAAGCAATATCATCCGGCCCATGCGGCGTGCCCCCACCAACCCGTACAGCCCGCGCAAGGTAATCCGGCGACGGCCCCCCGGCCCCACCGGTGCCGGCCTCGTGGTACTCAGGCGTGGTGGCGGTAGTATACGGGCCCGCAGCAGCAACAGGCCCAAAGTAGTCGCTCGTCAGCCCCCGCAGCGGGCCCGCGCCTCCCCCGTGCGCCGACGCCGACGCCGCGTACCCGTCCGCCTCGGACATGTGCGGGCCCGAGCTGGGGCCGTACGCCCGCAGCCCGCCGTCGTCGCTCTCGTGCCGCCCCGCCGCCGCCAGCCCCCCGTTCCGGCCCCCCGCCCCGCCGCCGAACCCGCCGCCGCTGGCCAGCTCGTTGCCCGTCGTCGTGCTGCGGCTCGAGCGCCGCCGCCGGATGCACAGCCACGTCAGCCCGCCGATCGCCAGCGCCGCGGCTACCACTACCCCGACTGCTATCCCGGCCTTCGCGCCTGTCGAGAGCCCCTGTGATGGCGACACGACCGAGATCCCGGAGCCGGTTGGCGCGGCGCCCGTCGTGGAGGAGGAGGTGGGCGTCTGCGTGCACACCGCTGACGACGAGACGGTCGCGCACCCGTAACCGACGCCGCAGCACCCAGTCACCCCGCTGGCGCCGCTCATGGTGCATGCGGTGTCGCCCTGGCGGGAGCAGCCGGAGGGGATCATGGTGGCGACGGCGGGGCCGTCGGTGCTACTGCTCGAGGTGCTGGGGACCAGGCACTGGCTGCTGCTGGCGCAGTTTGCGCCGTAGGCGCAGCAGTTGCCGCCCATGGACTGCGGGCACAGGTAGTTTGTGCTGGTGCAGGGGCGGCCGACGCACGCGAAGACCGTCTCGACGGAGGTGGAGCCGGAGGCCGTCTGGGTGCTCGTGATCGCGGAGTAGTACGAATCCGGGCTGCAGGTCCCGCCGCACGTCGACCCGAGCGGGCAGCACTGCGGCTTGAGCGTCGTCTCGTTTATGATGCAGGCCTCCGTGTTGCCGCAGCACGTGTCTGTTGCGTTGATGTCGGAGCCTGTTCCGGGAGGGCGGCCCTCGTGGTTAGCTTGGGCTCACTTCATGGGGATGTGGCTATGACGGCCCTTGCGGACGTCTGGGAAGCCGGATGGAGGTTGCGCACATGGGTGTTCGTTTTCGGCGCAGCCGCCGTCCCTCTTTGCCAGCGACGGCCGTCGCGCTACGGCGTCGTAGAATGGGCGCTTCGCGAGCTCCGGCATGGCTCCGAAGTCCTGCCACTGCTGGCCGGCGACATGGCTGACTGCCAGGCCGAGGGCCGTGAAAGCGAGTGTGAGGCGCATTGTGGGAGGTCTTTTTAGTCCCCGCTCGGTTTGACCATCGGGGCTGGACAGTCCCACTTCAGGACGCAGGGGGTTGAGTTTGAGAGCAACTCATAACATGTGCGTCGTTGGGAAAAGAGAGCATTGCGATGTGGGGCCTTGTGGAAGTGTTGTGCAAGTGGAGGAGAGGGAAAAAAAAGGAAAAATGGATCAAGAAAACGAGAATCCCGTTCGGAAAGACGGCCGGGATGCAACCCACGGCTGCAGCAGCTCGGTCGGCGCGATGCACTACACCTCTCGCCATCAGCTGCTGTGTGAGATTCGGGAACACGTTGGATTGGCCTGGACTCAGCCAGCATGGCAGTAAGGCGGGGCGACAAGGCGGGAGGGGTGTGAACACTGGTTCACAATCCTATCGAAAGGGTTGTAAGCGACACGATGTGGCGCGATTCCTTCGACATCTCTGGTCGTACCAGCCCTTCCCGAATAGGGCTGTCCAAGAAGGGCCAAGGGGTGTGAGACCGAGTCAACACAGTAAGAAAGAGACAAAAGCTGAGGCCTGCTGGCGGGTGAGGTGGTACCGGCATATGCGCGTTGGGAATGGAGCGGGTGGACAAGGCGGAGGAGGAGGCACTCCCTCGCCGTACTCGTGCATTAGCGTCCACGAAGGAGCTGCAGGCACGCCCACCAACTTGCACGCACCGGCGCTTCCGATATGGCAGGTCGACTCGCTGCAGAGGCGATCTTGCACCAAGCCGAAGGCATTGATAGCCGTTGAGCCGATGCACCAAAGACCAGGGATCGTACGGTGTTCCTCACGTGTGATGCACTGGAGCGAAGTTTATCAGTGGGAGTTCAGATGTTGTCGGCTCTAGACTGTTTGGACCGAAGTTTACACGGCTCACCCAGGGTTGAACCCTGGCCTTGGATCCGGTAGCATATCATGGCAATTGGCTGTGCTGTTCCATCCCATTCAGAATAATTATGCCGTGAAAAGACATAAGACACTATGCTGTGACCTTGTCGGTTTGATTCTGCAGTGATATTTCTAAGCCCTTCCGAAATGGTCTACAATTCGTTGCATGTTTCTACGGTCTTGTTCTTGTTGTACTCAAGTACCTTCCACGATGCTGTGTAACCTGTGTCTGTTTGGATGCGGTTTAAAGACCATAACATTGAATGAAATTACCAATCATCATCTGAAAATAATCCTTGAGATTCCCAGCTCGTCAAGTCGTGGTAAACTCTAGATATCCTTACAATGACCTTCCATAGTCAACTGGTGAGGATGTGATTGGTGAATGCAAAAAACACTACAAGACCTGACCCACCAAAAAATCTCCTAGTGAATCAATAATTACATCCTCCACGACCCTGTCGTGTGCACATTCCCATTTACTGCAGCCCCATTAAGCATCCTCGACACAGACATATCCCACCGTCACTTCGAGGGAGAGCTCCATTACTTCAGTATCTCCTTACGACTATTTAGGACTTAGATCGCAGGAGGGGGTATAGGCTGAATGAACTTGACGATGACGAAGGACTAGGTGTTGGATCATTTTATAACCATTGTGCGCTGAAGCGTGCTTTGCCAGTCTCCGTGCTATGAGAGACGCCCAAATTATAGGCTCAGACGCAACCCCAGTACTAATAGTATACATGAAGTTTGCCCAATCTGCACTGCCTGTTGAGAAAGCCGTCCTTGTCACATAAGGTGCCATAAAAAGTTGGCGTTCGGATCCGACCAGAGGAGCGGGCACTCCAGCTCAGTTGGCCAGTGTGCCAGAATTATGAGCTCGTATATCAAGAAGAGTATCTGGCAGACAAACATCAAGGCGATCTGGGAGGGGAAAAGTGTGACAGTGAGCATTAAAATACACAGAACGCCGACGAGTCCCCAGGTAAGAGCGCCCAATGGCAGGAGAACCAAAAGCTGCAACAAGATCCATCGCCATCTGACGGATTTCCATTTCGCTGGAAAGGCCTTGGCGGATAGAACTACCAATAGAATAGCTGAAATAGAGATTGTAGTGATTATGAAGAACACTTGAGCGAAGGAGGCAACAATTTCGTACATCAATCTGCGAGTGGAGTTGCATTCAGCACAGACAGGGGCGAATATGCCTAGCTTTCCAACGAGACCCCCAGTGGAGAACAGTCTCATCCTCGAGAATAATATGTCTCGGGCTTGCCATGGTTGCGCCCAATATGCGCCAAAAGTTGTCGGGGAGTTGAAATAGATTCTGAGAGCCCGTGACTGCCACTCCGTTCGTATTATATCTTTGCGTAAATTCGAGTCCACCGGTGGAGGAGGCATCCCCCAGAAGTAAAGCAGCGCTGTGTCCAAATATGTGAGATGGCCGTTATGGGATTGTTCCAATATCTCCTCCTGGTTCAGTCTCATTGCAGGATGCCAAAACAAATGCACCATTGTCAATAGGGATATGAGCAGGGCTGCGATGGCGAGTTCGAAAACACGCCGATCGGCAGCTGTAGTGGCGTTGTGTTGGTACCTGCGGGCGAATACGATGCAAGAACCGATACACTGGGCACCAAGGGCGAGAACCACTATGGCCCTTCCCATGACTTTGACCATACACTCTCGATCGCTGTTATCCAGTTTTGGCTGTGAGGGGTGCTGATCAATTGCTCCGAAGAGGATAAAAGGCGCTCGTTTTAAGGATGACCGTAACAACGTTGAATCCTGAGGTTTTTTGATCCGAACCAAAGGTATAGCGCTGGCGATGGCGAGAATGGCCATGACGTGCTGGATTATTATAGAACCAGGGAAAAGAAGGAACAGGATCATCTTCCTACAGATAACCTTTGTGGGCTCTCCGCGCACGCTGAGAAGATGGCAATAGGCGGTCGTGGTTGTGAAATGAACGACTGCTAATTTGAGCGAGACTTCTGAGGTGCCTCTACGGTCGTCGAGGGGGCAAAGTTCAGCTTCCATGATGAGCCTGTTAGTGCAATATAAGAGTGATATGAGCTGTGGGAAAACCTGGGCGGGCAAGTTGTCATGTTTATAGTTTCTTATCGGGCGCAGCCTGCAGGAGTCTGCATTAGTGAGGCAGACCAGGGCCGTTGCATGCATGTTGGTGCGGGGCGGAGCTGAGAGCGACGATATTTTCAAACGACGCAAAGCCTTTCTCCTCACCCTGGACGAAGGTATGCGCATTCTGATCTCTTCTCCCGGTTTCAAAATCACCGGAAGTTGTTTTTCGTAGCGTTAGCCTCGGGATTTTGACAAACAGTTGCGCTGTATTGCCGTGGCGAATGTCCTGGAAGCTAAAGGGCGTCAAAATCGGTATATCTACCCGATTCGCGCAGCTCCCTAGTTTTGGACGTCTCCTCATAGTCTTCGACATTTTGATGTGATGACGCAGATGCCGAATATCTCTCCTCGAGTCCAACAGCGTGATCCAGGAGAAATCTAACCATCCAACCATCCAACTTATGAGACTCGGTAGAGAGAAGGCAAGTCCGCTGAAACTTCATTAGTCTGCCGATCTGATACAGTGTCAGTCATCCCACACACACATAAATACGGAAGGGCATAATTCGCTTTTGTCTTACCACTGCTGTTGTGGCTGGCCAGGGCTGTTGAAGCTCGACAAGAGCCTCGAAGTTGGCATTCAGATTCCGCCGCGCATCACGGATTTCGCCTGCGTCGCCCAACAGCAAGGTATGTAGCAGCACAGCCGAGGACACGGTAATCATGTGGCTAAATCCGGGGTAGCTGACCAGACATCCGTCCAGCTGGCGCGAGAGGTGGAGGATGCCGCCAAAGGAGGACGCCTGGTGTTTGCAGCGGTCGATATACGGGCAGTCCCCGCCGCCAGTAGACGAGGAGGTCGGCGCCTCGCCCTGCCCCTCCTCGAGGAAGCTAAAGTACAACAGGATCGAGTAGTAGTGGAACGTCAGGTGCAACGCCACGAACAGGCCGCCGAGCCCGTCCTGCTGATGGCGATGTAGATTCGGCACCGTCATCTGGGTGTCGGCAGGGAGGGAGTCAAGCCACCCACGGAGCTGCTCCTCGATGCGCCTCATGGTGATGTCCAGCTCCTCCGGCGCCACGGGCCGCTCCGATATACGCCGGTTGAGCTGCATCACGGGTCCGGATAGCTGCACCAGTGTTACCATATGGGCACAGAGGCCTGGTTTTCGTGGGATTTCCAGTCTTGCCTGGTCGGGGTTGAGAGAGGCGAAGGCGAGCTCGTCCATGGGCAGCTCGCATGTAGGGCGGAACTCGTCTGACCTGCAGGGTAGCCCGAGCCCCGAGAAGCACCGATGGCTGGACAGGTACAGTGTCCAGCAGACTAGCCTAGCTGTCTCGCTGACGGTGATGGGGCAAGTTTGGTCATTGGCGACTGAGTCGAGCTTCATGATCTGTGCCATGCTCATCCCCATGCCTTCGGTACATTCCCCGGTAAGTAGCAGTCACACAGGCGGTGGCAGGTACGAGAGGGTTACTTCTTACGAATGAACAGTGCTTCCGACGAAATCTCACAGTTCCCGGCACACAGCATGGAAACCAAAATACACGCCTGTATGTTCTCCATGCAAACGTTCTCCATGTCAGCCTGGAGAAGACGCTTGGCTTCCAACGCCAAATGGCGTCCCATACCCCGGTGTTGTGGATCTGGCGAGAACTTGCATCCTATGGCAGACATGGCGTACAAGAGCGCCTTGGGCACCGAGTCGTTGCGCAAATGGCATCTCAGCGTTGGGGGGTGGAAGATACTGTGAGCTTGACCGTGTATCTTGGTCAAGTAGATCTCGACCAAACCCGCGATTTCCGCGCTGGATGGACGATCTGCAGTATTTTGACTTGGAGAAGTTTCTCGATTCGATGCCGTCCTCCGTGTATGCCGTAGTTCACGGCGCTGCGTGTCAGCGGAGCCACACGTCAGATTTCTTTGACGACATGGTGTGCATGGGAGCTCCGAGCCCTCCCGGCTACATTTCCGTTTGGCAATTCGACATTGTCTGCATGCTGTGGCTTGTTTCATTTTCCAGACCCCGGCTTGTTGCATGGCCGTGGGTCTCAGACGGGGTGATGTAAGGTGAAGAATGCATTCATCGCGGCGTAGATGCTGAGCTTATAAATGCAGGGGAGAACTCCGGAAATCGTCGGGAATGAAAGCCTCTAATTGGCTGGCTGTTCTCCACCAACGCCGATGCAGTGCAGTGGGCCCGGGATTGAATACATCTGATTTGTTGGTCAAAAACCGGGAGTCACCGCGAGTCACTTTCACTTACACGAGAACTCGCCATGTGTGAACGTGGGCGCGAGATAAATACCAGCTCTTCTTTGCCTTCTTCAACAACGACAGCATGCTCTTCAACAGCCAAAGAAGAAAATTACTTAGCGCGACGACAACCTTTTGAATTCCCAGCATCTATCACCTTTTCCAGCCGTCCCACTCTTCGTCATGTCCAGCCTTCTTGAGCCAGTTGTCGTCGGCGGAAAGCTATCGCTGAGAAACCGAATCGTCATGGGATCCATGACTCGGAACCGCTGCATCGATAACTTCAAGCCAGGTCCGGCTCAGGTCAAACATTACGCTGACAGGGCTCGGGACGGAGTCGGACTCATCGTGAACGAGGGAACTTTTGTCGACTGGACCGGTTGTGACTGGACCAAGAGCCCCGTCATGATCAACGATGACCACGCTCGGGCGTGGCGGTTGGTAACGGATGCCGTTCACCGAGAGGGTGGCAAGATTTATTTTCAGGCATGGCATGCAGGTACACAGACTCCACACAGTCCCAAAAACTGGTTCTGCTTCGTTGTATAGCTTACTTTCCTATCTAGGTCGTTGCCAGCATGATCAAATCCCCATAATGAAGGAAAAGGGAGGAGAAGTCGAGGCGCCTTCCGCCATCAGAGCCAACGATGGGAAATATCGTCAACTACCCGGAAAGCCGGTACAATGACATTTATTAAAAGACACTGCCTGATTGGCACCAAGACAATAGGCTAATACATTCGTCTGCAGGGGCACACGGATAATATCAAGGCCATCGAGAACCCGCGTGATGTAATCGAAAAATATCGGAATTCAGTCATGTTGGCTCGGGAGGCCGGCTTTGACGGCGTAGAGCTGTTGGCACAAGGGTAATTTTGTTACCGACTATCCCAACACTTGAGTCCGTCTCACCGCTGACAAGATTATCTGGCTAGTGGTTACTTGCCCCAACAGTTTCTCAGCTCGTAAGTTCATTGCAGTTCAGAATCCACATTTGTTGACCGTTCGTCTGACACATTGCATAGGCGAGCGAACAAGCGTACAGATGCCTACGGTGGCTCGGTCGAGAATCGATGCCGCTTCGTTTTGGAACTGGTCAATGCCATTGCCGAGGTATTCGGCGGTCCCGAGTTCATTTGCGTCAAAATCAACCCCACAGACTTCATCAACGACTCTCTGGTGGATTTCGACGAGATGAAACGGGTCTTTACGTATTTAATCACGGAGCTAGTCAGCCGCAAGGTCGGCATCATCAACATCGGCCGTCGCGGGGCAGAGACCAAGAGCGAGACGGGCGACTTCTTCGGGAAACTGGAGCTGCCCGAGGGCCACCTGCCCGCGGGCTATGATCCCGTCCTCGATTTCGGAAGACTTGTGAAGTTTCGTGGCAGTCACTCGCTGCTCATGACTAATCATGACTACACTGTCGAAGAAGCTGCCGAGCTGGTGGAACGGCAGAAGCTAGACCTGATCACGTTTGCCAGGCCCTTCATTTACAACCCGGTACGTCTTTTGAGAATCCCATACATGCCAGACAAGCTTGGTCTGAGACTTGAGATCTAGGACTTGATTACGCGTATCAAGCACGGGATTCCGTTCGCCCGCAACGATCGAGGCCCCACAGTCTACTACGGGCCGTACGATTCGCCTGATGAGAATTACAATGACTGGCCCGCCGCTGTGATTTAAGACGGTGTATGAATTCGGAGTCCTTACATACATAAATCAGGTCTTCATCATAGACTTTCAGGCGCAGTGTAATTGAAATGCCGTCCGATGACGCGCAATGACTTTGTCTCGATTACCTTCCAGGCTATGCTTTTTATTTCAACCATCGGTCACAAAAGCTTAAGGTATAGCTACCAAAAAGAACGAAGAGTTTCTTGGCTGGAAAATAAAATGTGCTCAGCTACTCATGTCTCCTCCAAAAGTTCCTCCCGGGTTCTGATGTCAATTTCATCTTCCCTTGACTCACCCACACGTAACAGCTAGTACTGGAACTGCTCGCATAGAGCACGGCCCTGATCCTGTTGCCCGCCCTCAAACCTGACAGAAACAGTGCTGATGACCCTCTTGTGGGTGTCAGTGGACAGCTGGACGCTCTTCTTGGTGAAGTTGACAGCGAATACTTGTCCGCCCGCGAGATCGTAGCGGATACTATACCCGGATAGAGCTGAGAGCCCACTCCGCGGTGGGTAGGCGCTGTTCTTTCCCTACGGCCGAATGACGACGGACTGGTTCTTGCAGCTCTGGGTCACAATTTCGCCTTCGGGATTGTTGATAAACGACGAGAAGTACTCCCTGCCATCCTTTCCAAAGGCATCAAGCTGGATACACTAATTGAGTACTCCCGGTTCGAAGCTGCATACGCAAAAGCTTGTGACGGCTCGTCCGATCCGCTGACTTCCTACTGTTATATCTATCCTTCCCTCCGATTTGTTGTCCTGCTGGCCTGTGGTTCAGCCTTCATTCCGTGACTCACTTTCCCCCAAGATCACTGTTAAGGTATGACGATCTCGTCTCGTCCAGCGAGTAGGTGGTGATCGACTCCTCACTGGTGCAAATATGAAGAATGTAGTCCCTAAGCCTAACTTGTCTTCCTGGCGTTTAAAAATATTAGTATTAATTTATGTATATATAGATTATTTATTTAATTATAAAAAGCAGCTGAAAACTGTACGTGGTGTGCCTACGCCATGGGTACACTATATAGAATGGAAGTGTATAATAAACTAGGGTAATGTTGGCCTATCAGGCTGACTAATCACGCATGACTACCACTAAACAACTCCATCGCCCAATTCCAACATTTGCAACAACACCTTACGATTTCGCATGTCTCTTCAGCAACTCTTGAAGTCTTACTATTATGGAGGATGCAGTTCGCCCGAGCGTGGAGGCTTTCAAGGCGATGTACGACCGGGGATACCTGACTTGGGCTGCACTCTGGCAGATAGCCGCCGCGCACAATCACCTACAATATCAACTTTCCAACCTTTGTTCAGCGTTTCCTAACCATCCCTATTTCCCAGAAAGACTCACAGTCAACACATCCTTCTCAAACACGGCCACCGTAAGGGGTAGAACCACTTGGAGAACCAGCAGAGGACCTTGCGATCTCTCATCATTCCAGGAAGAGATGGTCCTCCATGTAGCTTCAAATTGCCCAACGACGATCGTCTTCAGTTCTGGTCCACATTGTGCAACAAGCTTTTTGAACCACATCGCAAGAGAAAGCACCCACGTTCCCATCTTAATGGTTGCCTGGGCATACATACTGTCGGCACGATGGGCAGAGCTGATTCCTGGCGCGGATATATCCGACTACAATAGCCACCAGGCGCAGCTAAACTCCGGCAATGGGCCGCATGGACTGGGAGATGATGACAATTCTGTTGTGGTAGATATAGGTGACGTGGATGTTGCCGCTGCAAGGTGGTGGACAGCTGTTCTTGCGGCAGACGGCGGCTGGGACGCATCAATCCGCAGTGACACTGGTGTCCTTCTCTGCTCGCCATGGTCCATCAGGACCCAGCCAGGGCCAAATTTCACGATATCTGCAAACATTCAGCCTTGCTCAGCAATGAAAAATTCCAGTCCTGCGTCTTTCAGCACCGCTCTCCGCTATCTATCAGAGTATTGCCATCTTCACGACCTTGCCGAGCAAAGCCAAGCAGCCCTCGCAGCGGCGTTGCTCATCCCAGTGGCAAAATTTGATACCAGAAGAATCAAGTTGCCCGTTCCTCGACTACCACGCAAGACAACGCGCAGTCAACAAAAGCCCCAAGTGCTTCCGTCCTGGGACATGAAACCTCGGCAGCTGGATCGTCTTCTCACGCTGAGTTGCAACGCGAGGGGAGTGAAAGCTCTCTTGAACAGCATCTTCTTCGAACCTGATGTGGCCTGTAATAGCTGCGGAGCTTGGCTGCAGGGCTCATTTGCTTTCCTCGACTCCGACAAGGCCGGGGACCCACATGTCCTCTTGAGCACGTTCATGGAAAGGGATCCGGGGCTCGGGTTCCTGTGGCTAGGTGCCTTTATCACGGGCGCCGAGGAGCGCTGCCTCCAAGAAGCTCGTATGGGCTGGTGGAAGGTCGACATTAGCGCTGCAGCCTGGACTGGTACGCATGCGTCCTTCATCCAAGAGCCCATCACGAAAGCTCCAGCTGACGCCCAAGAGATCTCATGAGCTGACGAGTGCCGCCTGATGTACCTGTCCCATAATCCAGATCACGCAGTCCCACCGCTTTTTCCATTTGCTCCGTTCGGCAGCACCGCCATGGAAGACACGGACCTTGACGTTCGTCGACATGCCCGATGTTCGGCAGCTCATGGCCTCAAACACAGTTGTTTTACCTGGGACTGCCAGGGTGGTAAAAAGGTTGAGCAGAATGAGACGCTGGCGAATGCCATCCGTGCGAAGGCTGGGAAACCTTCTGTTGCTGGTGATAATAGCTTTGCCGTCGTTTATGATAGCCTTGATCCCGAGGATGAAGTGTCGGAGATGGTAACCAGGAACGTTTTTACCTGGCTCCGAGGTGAAGACGGATTTCCCGTGGCGGAGAGATCGATCCGCGAGCACGAGTGGATCGAAAATCTAGAATCGGACGACGACAGCCCAATTGATGGTGATGTTCTGTCCACGGCTGGAAGGAATCTTAGTGGGTGGTTATTAGGGGTGTCAACTAGAAGATCAAATTCACTTTGATTCTAAAGACAAGAAAATAATAAATTAAAAATATATAGAGGAAGAGGTATGAAGAAGGTTATCAAGCTATTAATTTTACAACATAAAGGGCTAATATTTGTAAATACCTCTTTTCTACTTTATAATGTTTAGCTATATAGCTGTTATAAAGTGCCTTATTTTCCTGTGCTTAAATAATGAATAAAGCATAAAATAAACGGTGTAAAGGTACTTTAAGCCTGTTAATGCGGCCAGTACTAGGTGCAATTTTCTTTAAGGGCTTATCCACTAGAAAGCAAACCTTAAACTTGCTCACGGCTCTCAGCATTGTAATGTGGTGCCGTGATGCAATACCAACTGATGAAGTGCTAAGCGAAATTTCTCAACAGGGAAAGAGAAGGGGATATTCCAAAACGCTTCTTCAGTGGTTAAAAATGCATATGAGCCGCGTCTCTTCTGATATTCGAGTCGTTCGTCCTCAGACTTTACTCTGCGATGAGCTATTGCACGGCGCTTACCATGCGCCAGAGAGCCGGCCACACTGTTGGTGGAGTTCCTTCCCTGGTCTAGGTTGTACCGTTAGCCGAATCGGTTAAACTTAAATTCCGCCGGTCTTTTATCACGACGCAAGCGATCTCAGCTTCTCCACATCCTGTCGGAGAATGTGGAGTCAAGAGGCGACATATACCCGATCAAGCCACACGCATACAATGGTACGCAACAAGTCCGGCTGATTCCTCGTGAACAGAGACCCACTCCCTCGAGCTGCATCGTCAGACGCATAGTTTGCCGTAGAGCCGGATGATTGTCAATGACTGATGTCCGAGTATCTTCTTCATAAATAGAAGACAAAGGGTCTACTCCACATGAACTGTGGAAATTGTTCTCTGCGAATCTCATACATTTTCGTTGTCATTTGGATCATCAGTGTCAAGATGGCCGCGTCTCTACGGATCAATGATATCTTCGGTGTCCAAGGCAAAGTGCGTATCTCAGTGAGGTGGAGAGATATGTCAGCTAACGTTGAAATTGCAGACGGTGGTAGTCACGGGTGGCGGCACAGGTTTAGGAAAAAGTATGCTAATTCGAGGAAAACAACACAAGTGCTACAGCATTCATGTGCATCGATGAGAACTGACAAAACGTCGAAATAGCTATCTCTCAGGCCTTTTGTAGCAATGGGGCCAAAGTCTATATCACGGGTCGTCGTCCCGAGGTTCTTGAAACGGCTGCGAGAGAAATGATGGCCAATGCGGCTCTCGGTGGAGAGATCATCAGGTAAGTGCCTCATAGATGGCGGTTTTGAAGAACTTTATCTGCGCATGTTTAATCTCTTCAAACCTTGTCCAATAACTTTTCATTAGTATCCCAGGAGATGTTGCTACCAAAGCAGGATGTTCTGAGCTGGTCCGTCAGATCTCCGAGAAAGAGGACCACGTAAGTACCCTTCCACTAACAAACCTGTTATGATCGTGGCTAGGAACAACTTGAAATGCTAACACGTCAGCTAGATCGATTGCCTCGTAAATAACGCTGGCATTTCCAGACAAATTGATTATCCTGCGTGGGACCATAACAATGGCAGGTTTTCACGATACTTGATCCAATGGCACGGCGACATCATCACTGACAAGGTCTTGGAAACAGCCGACGAAGTTCAGAAAGCCTTATGGGAGGGCGTCGACGAGTTCGTACTTTCCGGGGAAAATTCGGCTGTCGGTACTGATGATATTCAGCGATCATTTCACGTTCACTAATTCCGGTGAGAAAATTCCAATGCATGAAGTTAAGTTTAGGGAAGATGCTTATCATTCCAAATTGTCTAGTCAATGTGAATGGCGTGTACTTTATGACCGTCGGATTCGTGCCCTTGCTCCGTAAGGCTGAGGATCCTAATGTCATTGTCATCTCCTCACTGGCCGGACTCGCCAATCAAAGGTATAATCTGCCAAATACAATTTCAATGCTGCCATTTTACTGATACATATGAACTTGCAGAGCTATGGGATCCATGACCTACGCCCTTTCAAAGGCTGCATGTGAGTGACAACCCACAATGACGCAGTTTGTTCTACTAGTAATATTATGACAGCTCTTCACTTGGCAAAACTTCTCGCTGGACGTTTCCATCCGTACGTGAGCACCAACTCAAAAGCCGAATTTTTGCATGAATAGACACGATCCCGGCCAGCTGCGCTTCGCATAACCTTCTCGCACATGATGGCTAATCGGAGATTATACGCAGCATGAGGATCCGTGTTAATTGCGTACTGCCCGGCATATTTCCTACAGAAATGACAACAACTAATAACACGAGTGACGAGGACTCGATGAACAAATATGCGATCAAGGCTGTGAAGAGATGTACAGCTGGTACGTAACAGAACTACCTCAAATCATCCACTCAACATGATTCAATAAGATTTAACTATTCTCCAGGGCGTGGAGGACGACCGGAGGAGATCGCAGGCCCGTGCCTCATGCTTGCTTCGAGAGCGGGGGGATACATGAATGGTGGATATTTAATGATCGAGGGAGGTCGCTTCATGGTAAGCTTACCACGGAATTCTCTTTACTTGTATCTTCAGTTTTGAGCTGAAGTGTTCATTTATTACAGGGTACTTCAATCAACGACGGACTACGAATGCCCGAGGACTCCTATGTCAACTGAAGTACTGGGAAAAATTTGGTGCTTTCCGTTGGCAGCGTCTAAACGGTAGTAGTCGTAGAGCTTCTCATGACACGCGAAAATGGAACCGTAAATGTTTTATGAATGCCTAGCCTTGTATGTTAGAATTGACTTATTTTGTCAGAGCAGGCCAGGTGACCTGAGCTGGCTGTAGTAAAGTAGAAGGCTTGACATGCATTACGAGCATTTTCATAATACGAGGAACTATCGGACGCTTGTTTCGCTGCTGTCTTCCGAATCATGACAGTGGTCAGTCTTGACGAACTCCTTTGAATTGTTTTCAACTTACGGCGCGCAAGTGCACATCGTAAGGGCCAGTGGAGATTAACTAATTCTTGTGACGACATCTTTCTCATAGCCATCCTTTGGATGTGGCCCCAGTGTCTCGTACAGATGGTACTCAGGAGATCAAATTTACTTGGCCCCTATAATATTCAGAAGCGTCGACTCGGAACGCCTCATGTGGGTAGTAGCAAGTTAGGGGTTATGAAAGATTTTATATTGAAGGTGGCCCGTCTAAGTGAATGATGGGCGCTGGGAGCGTCTGGTAGCAGAAGCACAGCATCAAGGGTTAAACCCTAGCACCACTAGGCGGTTGCCACAGTGTGCTTTGTGCTTAGCCATCATAGGCGTGGGTTGCTGGGACAGGTTACCTGGATTACATGAAGCCGAGGATCATTTCATGTCTATACAATCAGGACATAACATAATGGGCAACATCTGATAATCAAATTCACCACTTTCTCACACCCGTCTTCTGACTGTCACATGCTTACGCTTGAGTGCCGGACAGCGTGTTGGGTACTGCATTGGGAGTCTGCTACGGCAAAACCTGCGGGGCTGAACTACTCACAGCCGCCTTTGGAAAGGCTGAGTAGGCCCGAGGCTTATGGCAGGGCAACCCCAGGCACGGTGCTCATGACCCTAAATAACCGATTTTGGCCCACTTTTGTTTAGACACATGGAATGGAAGCACCAAATCTTCCTGACTCTTCTATCGCCTGCTGAACGCGACGAACTGGCAGGGTCCACTGTGACACCGGCTCTATTCAACCCAGCATTGCGGATTTATCTGGAAAGCTGACAACCGACCGAATTCCATTGGTGCCCGTAGTGGTGAGCTACGGTTATTCTCCCATAGCAGTGAGGGCCCGCAGCTACATTCTCGGCTTTCCACAAGACTCTTAGGACGGACAAAGAAATCCGGGGTCTCCGCAAAACAGCGCGTCGTTACGGCTACCTTATCATGGTCCGAAGGTCCAAGGACACATTACATGGGCGAAATTGGGTTCCAGCCGGGACCCTCACAACCTCGGGAACGCGGGGTGTTCCCTGATACAAAACTGACTTTCAAGCGGCCCCATTGACGAATGCTGGTGTGAACTTTCTATGTTCTCGACGCCAACGTTTTCCTAGACAATCACACTTGTAACGCATTTTGAGCAGCTCAGCAAATTCACAATTAAAATGCGGGGACCAAAGAGTAAAGCAACCTTCAACAATCTGCCGAACAACACTGCGAAGAGCTGGTGGATAGATCCATGCCTGCGTCTCAATGTCCTGCATGGAATTGGATGCATGATGTGTCCATTCTACCTTGGATGTGAGCCATTGTCCTGACATTTCTCGTGTGGTTCCAAGCTTGCTAAGTTTGCCCTGGCAGATGACCAGTCCCTACTTACTGGGTTGCAAGCATTACCAAAATGGACAAGTTATTTCGACAATCCTACAAGTACGCTCCTCGGTCTTATGTCCGCTGCTATCTTTCTCCCTGGTATATTTATGGGCTTTCCTGCTGCTTGGATATGTGGTCACTGGGGCCGCAAGTTGGCAGTCCTGATTGGGGCGTCTCTCATGGTTGTTGGGGGTATTTGGAACGCATTGTCGCCCAACACTGCGAACTTTATTGGGTGTAAGTTGTTTCATCGCTCCAGCAGGCAGCAAGAGGCATAATTGGAATGATGGCTGACATACAGCAGCTCGGGTCGTGCTGGGAGCTGGTGGTGCAGTTACCAAGGTCTCCGCGCCAGCCCTTCTGCAAGAGATCGCTCACCCAAGACTGCGCTCTTCTATGGGCAACATGTACTACGGCTTCTACTATGTTGGCTCTTTACTCAGCGCCATCATGTGCAGTCAGTTGCATTGCAAGAAAACCCTGAGCATCTACTGACAGAATTAACGTTAGTCATTGGCCTCTATGTTGACAGTGAATGGAGCTGGCGTATGCCTTGCATGGTGATGGTCGTGGGGCCCATAGCGGTCATTGCAATCTTGTTGACTGCCCCTGAATCGCCTCGCTTCCTCGTTAAGGTCAACAAAGCCGATCAAGCTCTCGATGTGCTTGCCAAGTACCATGCCAATGGTGAAACAGAAGACGCGTTAGTGAGATGGGAGTTTGGAGAGATCCAAGCAGCATTGGAGCACGAAAGTGCCGACAGGAAAACTTCTTATGTAAGATTCTAGTGTTTAATGCCAAGACACTTTAGCTGATGACTGTCGAATAGTTGGACTTCTTCCGAACTAAGGGTAATCGAAAGCGTCTTATGGTGTCCCTGGCAATAGCTGTGGGTGTGAATTGGGTGGGCAATGGCGTTGTGTCCTAGTGAGTTGGGTCCCTACTAGTTGCTAAGTAAATGCCGAGTCTAACATCTCCAGTTACCTTTCGCCTGTTCTCAGATCCGTGGGTATCAAGGATCCAGTGACGCTTCTGGGCATCAACGCTGGAATTGCCGCTTTCAATCTTATTGTCGCCGAGACAGCTGGCTTGAACATCGATCGATTCGGCAGACGCCCACTTTTCCTCATCTCAACTATCGGCATGACAATTTCATACGCTTTCGTGTTGGGATTCTCAGCTGGCTTTGCGAATACCCAGATTACAGATCTAGGCATTGCCGTCGTGCCGTTCCTTTTCCTCTTCTATGGATTTTATGACATAGCATGGACGCCTTTGAACTACTCATACTGCGTTGAGATCATGCCGTATAACTTGCGTGCCAAAGGCCTGGCGATTTATCTGTGTGTGCAGCAAATCGCAAACGCATTCAATCAGTTTGTTAACCCAGTCGCTCTTTCTGCCATCGCCTGGAGGTACTATGCTGTTTACATAGCGGTCGATTGCATGTACGTCATTTTCATCTATCTCTATTTTCCGGAGACAAAACAACTTTCGATCGAAGAAGTTTCTATGCTGTTTGATTACGATGGCAAAGAAGGACGTCAGCTTGCTGCGGCAGCATTGGATGCTCGCATGAATGGGGACCAGTGGTCAGACCAAGCAAAGGAAGGAGAACCAAGTTCGCCTCAGCACGTGGAGAATTGAATCACAGCCGCTCAAAAGGGAATGGCATCATTGGTACCCACAGTCAGAGCCCGCACATACTGGAATTACTAGGCCGAGGAGAGATCGATACCTTATCGCGCGCGGTATGAGCCAGAACTACAAAGGCTCGTAGAAGAGTAGGGCTGTATGTAGGGTATCACCTTAGGAAGTCGCTATCAAAGAGAATAAGATCCACCAGACTTTCGTATCTCGAATCTTGACGAGTTGTGGTAGTGTCCGATGCCGTCCTAACGAAGGTGGCAAAGGCGCTCATTAGTCGAAAAAGCACAGCAAGGCGGGTTTAGCGGAGTTACAGGTGACAATATAACCAAATCTTTGCTCTTATTGACTTCTGGCAAGGATGGATAATTTTTCAATCGCTCAGCATCGGATCCATCTTCTCATTGTCGTACTTGTCCTCAGAAGATCAGATAGCATGATGTTTGCGGAGACATGTAAGTCTAGACTAGATCCGTTGGAATCAGCACAATACCCTGCTGGTAACTCCGCAGTGGAGCGGCTGATTGAACCGATTTATTACAATCTGTTAAACATCCCGCCACCCTTCCCAGACTTCAGCCGGTATTTCAGCCGGGAATATGACACAATTCTTCGTACAGCAATGAGTATCCTCGCACCTGACCTACCAAGCAGTCTTATCAGTGCGGAGAATATTAAATATACAGCGAGACCGTCACGTTACTGGTCAACCTTGAATTAATTTGAATGTGAATCGTGAATACAACTAGAGAACTCACGCAGAATACTTGATTTGTTGTGCTGGATTACAAAAGCAACACAATGTCGACACAGAGCATCTCCCAAACCATGACCATTGAGTCACCACCAACCTTGACGCTGGACGACGGCTCGATTCAGGACGTAAGTTTGTCCTCGAACAACCCTTCATTTTGTCGGCAATTGCTCTCAAAGCGGATAACGTAGGCGAATGAATGATTGATTTGTGACTCGCAGGTCCCTCCCTGGATGCACGAGCTCCGAACCAGGGGTTGGACGGTTGTTCCAGAGGCCATTTCTCGAGGAATTGCTCTCCAGTATGCTGACAAGGCTTATGAATGGCTGGAAAGTTGGAAACTGGGCTATGATCGTCAGGACAACTCGACACGGCGGGCTAGTCACTTACCCTATACACACCGTGCAGGTATCTATGCAAGGTAAGCTGTCTCCTCGTAGTCAATAAACAATCGCTCACTTTCCACTGGCAGATATGGTATTGCTCATGAACAATTCGTGTGGGATCTGAAATCTGAACCGGGCCTCGTCGAGAAGTTTGAGCAAATCTGGGGCACCAAGGAGCTCCTTGTCTCTTATGGTAAGTCAAACTTCTACTTGCGAAGACACCTATCGAGTTTATGATGTTGACAAAATGCTTTCTTCAGACGGCCTGAACTTGTCAATTCCTGAGAAAGGTCGTCCTAAGAGCGACCCGGCCTTCGCTCCGTGGGCTCATGTAGACCAGTCACCACTACGTAGCAATCTTCAATGCGTGCAAGGCATTCTCAATCTACTCCCAAATGGTCCCGAAGATGGTGGACTGATGGTTTTTGACGGCTCAAATACGCTTTACAAGGAGCTGTGGGAGAACTTCGACCATAAAAAGGGTGAGAAGGGTTGGAATACTTGGGAACAACAATTCCTGGACGAGGAGATGTGCGCTTGGCTGGAGTCGAAGGGCTGCAAATGGGTTAAAGTTTGTGCTCAGCCAGGAGATCTTCTCCTCTGGGACTCCCGATGCGTACACTATGGCGCTACACCTTCATCGATCAACGATCGGTTTGCAGCTTGTAAGCCATTTATCCTCATCACTCACTATGTACAGGCAGAGTTACTGATCCCGATACACAGATGTATGCTACAAACCAGCTGCACTCGTCTCTGAGGAGGCTAAAGCACAGAGAAAGGCTGCCTGGGAGAACAAAGAAAACACACCCCACGATCCAGCCATCCTTCGTCGGCTTCCTCGAGACCCTCCAGAGGACCACAAATCTTTCAAACAGTACAAGCAGCGGGGATTGCAACAGCCAGTGCTTTACACGCGTGGGAAGCAGCTCGCTGGTCTTGAGCCCTATTAGGCCTCAGAGGAGTCATGAGATTTATTCATTGCGATGGCCAAGTTGGATCATTATATAGGCAATATCACCAGAAGAAAGCTTGCTAGCCGAGAAAGAGGTGGTTCTATACAACACTTAGCCGCTCATTACGAAACTGGAACACGAAGACAAGAGGAAAAGAAGTCTACATTAGGCAAGCTCAGTCAATCTTTATAGCAACTTGTTGATTTTTTAATCGTGAAGTGTGACCGGTCGAAGATTTCTCTTAAGCCTCGACCAGACTCTTCATTCCGATCCTTGCGTACGATACCTTACCTTTAATATCTTGACAAAAGGCCTATGTGTGAGTTGCGAAGACTGTTAATTGTTGAGTGCTTCACCGTAGCTACCAAGCTAAATTCTACATCTGCCTTGGAGTCCGTATGGTCGGAGAACATTGTCTTGCTAGTAAGGCGATCCTTGTATGGCCTTACCATGGTACGACCGGAAGAGACACGGCGAAGAATTGGAAATCACGTTCCGCTTTGCCCGGTAAGTTCCGGCGAGGAATGATTCAATATCCCGTCAAGCGAGTATGTGGTAATGTACTTGGCTGGAATATCAATCAGAAATGTTTCTATTTCCCCCAGACAACCTACTGGCGTACTAAGTTGAAATATTCTCCGAATTTTGAGCAATCCTCCGTACTTTACATCTCCTGGTTTTTGATAATGACCTTCATCTCCATACCACTAGCGACGGCTTCGAATGCCTCTTGAGCCCTCGAGAGCGGATACTTCGCTGTAATGAGTGGTCGGAGGTCGACCACGCCTCGCGCTAGCATGTCAATGGCGGAGGGAAAACATGACGCTGTGTACCGCGTTATACCTATACGCCTCCAGGGTTAGTAAACCTCATCGAGTATGTTCCTGCCACCCTGGTCGAACCTAAGACCTACCTCTGACATCTAGCTCCTTATTTGTAACCGCGATTGTGGGGAAGATATGAGTCTGAACATGGCCTAAGCCCACTTGAAGATCTGTGCGAGAGAGCAGTCAGTCGCGGAGTGGCGTTTGAAAGAGTCGCTAGATCATCTCGAAAAATATCTGTTCGTCACTCACATATGCCGCCCTGCTTGCAGATAGCGACCCCATGAAGCATGGCATCCTCCGCACCACTGGCTTCGATGACCCTATCCACGCCACATTCGGCGCTCAAACCGCACTGTTCAATAATGCTCATCATTCGTTGGCTCGCAATTTTCCATTTGGCATCGCCTTCGGTTTCAACGTGGTTGGTGTCTACCGCTACTGTGTCTTCAGAAGCGGGAAGTTCACCGTTAGCCTGTCCGTGGCTTCCATTGGTCTGCACCATTTTCGTTAAGCTCGGCAACGAATCGATGTGAAAGACGTGATCAAAGATGGCTTTACCCGTGAGGGGCGACATGTATTTCTTTGCAAAGTCAACTCGTCTTTGACTGATGTCAAAGGCTATAATTTTACGAGCAGAATACGCATGCGCGACTGCTGCTGTAATCAAACCGATAGGACCGCAGCCACTACCATTTTGTTAGAGGTTTATATCGATCGAAGCTTGGTATACTTTTCCCTCACAAGATTGCTATGGATTGATGTGCACCCAATTCTGCTCGCTTTCCAATTTGAACACCAATCTGGGACGAAAGTTAGCTAAACGGCGGGGAAAAACCTCCTGACGGAGCGGCTTCAACATACAGCAAGTGGCTGTATGCTACCAGCTTCATCCCAATCAACAGATGCAGGTATATGAGGCGCCATATCGGCCGGAAGAGCGAAAAATCTACAGAAAGTCAGCAAGACTAAAATCAGGATCCGAAGTGAAAGTGGCGCCGACCTTGAAAGCGACCCGTGCGTGCCTGGGGCGCCACAATACCGCATATTCAAACAAATATTGCTTCGGCCATTCTTGCAATTCAGACAACGGCGACAAGGCAGACCAGGCTCGACTAAGACGGGCAGGGTTTTTAGCTATGTCCACCAAGGTCGAGATTTCGACTCGATCACGCCGGAGTACGATGGAAATCCTAAGGAAGCTCATACCTGCAACTCGATCGCCGGGCTTATGGGAAGTGACATTCTCACCAACAGCAACAACTTCGCCCGCTGCTTCGTGACCCATGACTGTGGGTTCCAGGATTGGTCGACCTCCGACACCTCCCGCCAAATAAGCATGCATATCCGACCCACAGATTCCATTGGATATGACCTTCACAAGAACCCCATCTGATTGAAGCACCGGCCATGCAATTGGCTCAATACGGACAGCACGCTTTTTGACAAGCAGACAAGATGTGTTTGGAGGTAGGTCCAATGCCTTCACATAAGGCTGCTGTTCGTGATAACTCATGGTCAGGAATAGAGTCGATGGTTCGGCGGCAAACGAGCAATGCTGTACTGATGCCAGAAATCGAAATGATCTGTGTCGTCAGTAATTATATTGAGATCAGATATGTTCTAAGAGGTACAAGGGCCGAATAAACAACCTTTGATAACATCGAAGTATGCTCGGCGAAACCACATTCATGCACCGGTTAAACCTATTTAGCCGATGTTGAACTACGGGAGCCAAGCTACGTTCATCGCCTCGCGGTGTGCGCACCGCGACTAGTGACAGGGGAAAGCCTTTTGGCCAATCTTATGAGTCATTTTGAACAACTACATCCTCTTGAATGGCGGAATGGCCCTCGATGGGAGGTTCAGCTCGTTCAAGTGCTTGTACCAAAGCGCGACAAATCGTGGCTGAGATTGCGGTTATGCGTCATAGCTTTGTTTCAACGGCTTAGCCTGCAAGAGTGTAATCTGATACCGATATATCAAAGTTATTACTGTTTAATTTACTATTCCATTGAACTTGATCTTCGTGATCTAACAAAGTGCCAGTCATGAGGTGGTTCGTGTGGTAGGTACGACCGGCGCATAAGTTGGCCTCTGAATTCCGACCCAAGGTCCCGCTGGGCCAACCATCTCGGGTTTCAGCTCCTCGATCTTTGTGACGCCTATGTTTCGCATTGTATTTGTTATCTCTTCGCAAAGTACTGGAAGACGAAGTTAGTCGAAAATTGCAATCATTGAGAGTGAAGGGCCGACCCACTCTCCGCTACGCGGTCACAGCCAGCCTCTCCGTGTGTGCCGTTCGCGTATAAAAACGGCCTTCCGATTCCTACAGCTTTAGCTCCTAGAGCCAATGCTTTGACTACATCAGCGCCACAGCGGACACCTCCGTCTATCATAATATCTAATTTTGAGAACAGATCAGGACGATAAGTTCGTATCTCGTAGAGAATGTCAATAGGGGCTGGCGCATAATCTGCTTGCCGGCCTCCGTGATTAGACTGAAACAAATCGTTCTGTCAGCACCCTAATACAGCAATATTGATTGATACGTCGGAAAATGAAGTTCTAAACGCACGAGGACAACTCCCTGGACACCGTTAGCGACACACAGTTCAACATCCTCCAGCGACTGAACTCCTTTGACTATGATGGGCAACTTAGTGTGGCTCTGTATCAAGAGGAAGAGGTCAGTACTAGAAAATGCGGAGAAAGAGAGCCCTATCAATACTCATGAAATCTTACTTGAATGAAGCCGATATCCTTCCAGGTCAAGTTGCGATCTTGGTATTCACCAATTGCTTCAGATACACCTTTAGATGTGGAGGTGGCAATGGCCGAGGAATGAGAAGGTATTCCCTTAGTCCGGACGTCTAGCGTTCTTTTGGACTGCCAACAGACATCCACAGTGAACACAATAGCCCGCGCGCCCAATTGCTCTACTTTGCGGATGAGTGCACTCGAAGCTGTTCGCTCCTTATTCAAGTATAACTGAATTTCCATTATCAGGAACTCATCAGATTCCGTCAGTGCTGGCAGAACTGACCTGGAATATTAATGACTGATCAGGTCTTCGTGCCTCAAACATATCTTCCAGACTGCAACTGGCATTCGAAGAGATCTTGAGTTTACATCAGCCTAAGCTTGCAGATGCGTCTGAGAAGGTTGAGCCACTAACCATTTGAATGATGCCATACTTTCCGGCGGACCTTGTGAGATTGATTTCTCCCAGAGGATGCCCAAGTTTTGCCATGGCACAAGGCGAAATGAAAAGTGGCATCGATGTCGGCAAGTTCACGATCGTCGTCTCAATTGTTCCGGAGCTAGTATCGCGAAGGATTCTAGGGCGAAAGAAATAGCGGCGGAAGGCATCACGATTCTCGTCAAAGGCTGCACGGATCATGTAAATAAAAATTCAGGCTTTCCCCCAAAGGTGAGTCTGGCAAGAAAAGACTGACAACGTTCCTCGTCGGATGCGCTACGGTAATATGCCCAAGCCATATTACTTAACACCCGCTCGCCCCATTGCTCGAAATCCTGCAGTAGAAAGAAATTTTGTGCCGATGGCATCTCCTCACGGGCAGCAGATTGCCGACGCTCATCTTCCGTTGCTTCTTTCTGCCCATTGGCAGGTAGAGTCGCCGGGTCAATTGGACCAAGCAGCATGCTTGCTCGCAGCGAATCAAGTGCACTGCGGGCATGCATCATAGTGAACAATTCACTGAAGCCATTAAGGAGGCGAGGCCATTAGCACTTGGAGTCGAATAGTATCCATTTGTATCCGGGAGCCTTACGTCGCATCTGAGCCAGCATGTGCAAGGATAGCCTGCGCGCCTCCTGGATGGGTCTGAATAAAGCTGGTAACATCAAAGACTTCACCCTGACAAATTGCGTTACTAAGAATAGGCCTATTCCCAAACCTAGAATGCACTGAACATACCTTGATGACAATCCAGCAGTCATTCGCTGTTTGATGCTTCTGGACTTCACCAAAGGGGATCAGTTTTTGCTCATTAGTGTCCATGCTCCCTGCCACACTATCAAAGCCTGTGCTTCGAAGGTCAAAGAATGTTATGGTTGGTCTCAATTTAGAAATAGTTAGAGCCTAGGGGGTCGTTTAGCTAGGCGATCTTAACTTCTCTCCTGCTCAAGCTCACCGATGCAACGAAAGCCACTGTCAGAAGGCCAACTCGACTCCATCGCTGCCTTACACGTTTCAACGAAGTTGGCGACTTGTTCGCATAGCACCTGTTGATTGGATATGGGATTGGTAAAGTATTTCGTCCCGATCGCATCGTACGCAAAGTTTTGAGACTTGACATGGCCTTCGATGAGCCCGAGTAAAGTAAAAGAATCCCCCGCGTTGCTTTTGCTGGCAAATAAAGCCCCATCCTGCCGAAACACTTCCTGTTCTTGTTTTCAAGTGCGCCTCTTGAAAGCGATGTCTATTCTGGAAGGACAGGAATCGATGGAAGCATCCGATAAGTCCAGATTGCTTGCTAGGGGAACATATCCCGTAAGGTCCAAGTAAGCAAGGGGAACACGTTCTAGCAGAAGATGATTCGATTTGGGCGGCATCGAAACCTGTTCGTAAGAACCGCAATGTGTAGTCCCTCGTTTAGAAAGAATTTAGCTTCTTTGAATGGTATTAGTTTCAGATACAGGCAGCAATAAATAAGGAATTCTCGCCAGGTATATAGGATCCACTTTTCCTCAAAGTAGGAAATTGTCTATCTTCGGTTCAACTCTTCGGAATATTGCTTTAATTAGCCGGACCTACTTGAATACAGAGGGCAAATGGATGCACCCACACCCGTCTGTGTGGAGTTCATGCTTATAAGCCAGGGTTACAACTGACCTCGAACTTAGTTCCCTATGAACTAGCCGTTACCAAATAAGCGGCGTATTCTTTCAAATCGGCATGTCAGATCATGCTACCGTGCTTCCCTGGCGGGTTGGACACAAAGCGATCTGTGTGACAGTATGCTCATTAAATAGTCAGGATCTATTGTTGATGATCAGGGCCATACCACTCATCAGAGACTCGGGGCTAAATTAGAATGAGATGTTCCCAGGCAGTGACGAAACGTGGGATCCTCTTGTTTCAGCACTGCAACTGCATTATAGTATTCTTGATATCATTAAACCTCCATTGTTTTACGGCTCGACAACAGACCCCTGGAATATTGGTTTAAGTATTCAGATATGGCCAATTCGCGAAGAGTTCGCTTGAGAAGAGTCCTTCTTCGCCTCCTACATGAGACAGGGAATTTTCCACCTGCAATTGCGTGGGCATTTGTATAGTTGCGCAAGTAGTTGGTATATGAAACAAATCCGGTTCTTGGGCGTTTCCAGGCCCGGGAACAAAGTTTAGAATAGATGTTGGGTCTAGACCGGGCTGTCCTTGATCCACTGCATTCGAAGAATGTGGGGTGACGGATTCAACGCGTTGTCCCCCGTCATGTGGAACGTCATGCTCGAAAGATCGGGTATGAATACCAGCTCCTATGGAATTATGCAGTTGTGGATCAACAGGTAGACCTTGGCGCTATCAGATGAGCGAGTTAGCTGAAGACCAAGGTGGCTCAAATCATCGATGGCCCTTGGACAGGATACTACTTACATTTGAAGAGGCCTCTCGCCAATTGACTAGCAAGCTGCGGGCCATTGAGCGAGGGTTTGTTTCTTCAGCATTCTGAGAAACTCGTTCAATACAATCGGAGATACGATCAATCTTGGCCCGCAGCTTCACCGCCAGACCAGGCGAGGTCATGCGAGTTGATTCAACTTCTTCTAGGAAGTCAGCTAGAACGATAAGAATATTTCGAATCTGAAGAAAAGTCCATATTGGTAGCGTATCCTGTATGCCTCCTCCCAGAATGTGCCCGATTTGAGCCAGGTGGCGGAGCTGCGTTGATTAGTTTTTATTCAAGGCTGTAGAATGATGGGAGGAGTGGAGACAGGTGGAACTTGCTGAAACTGTACTGGAGGCATGAAACAATGACATGGGGATGCTGCTGAGCTCATCGAGGAGCTCACTGGCGATGGCGCAGCGCATATGTACACTTGGTCCTTCCGTGCCCACCAACAGCATCTTCAGTGTCTGCGTCGTCAACAGTACATTGCAAGCTATGAAGCCGTACCTGTCTTTTCGTACGTCGCCTGTCATTGCCTTTACTTTTTTCAAGGCAAGAGGCAGATTCTCGTACGATTCAGAGACAAAATGAAGGCTTTTTGCAGCCAATTTCTTGGAGGAGTATAGTTCCGACAAGAATGCTTCAGTTTTATAGCCAGGTTCTCCCAGCATTGCTTGCTGCCTGGCCCTTTCAGTTCCCTGCAGGCGCTCGAGGATGCGATAGAGATCAGAACAGAAGTTCCAACCCGTGAGAAAGGATACTTGATCCGCCCAAAGCTGCACACCTGTCTCAGTTATGTCGTCATCGTCAGATACCTCAGCGGGATATTTGACCATCGCCTTGACCTCTCTTTGTCGAGAGGCAAGTCCGAAACTGCTGGCCAGATACTGTTCCTGCTGATATGCCCCCCAGAAAACTCTGCGCCTCTCCTGCCTCTGGATCTCCGTTATGTATGCCGGCCAATTGCTCTCTTGACAAAAGCCCGTCGTCGCGGATAACGAGGCGTAGTCTCCCAAATGAGCCACTGCACGTCTCCAATCCCCATTTTGCAGGCACGCCGAAGCTAAGAGAGCTTTGGCCTTCATGGCATGATATGGGTCTGGAACGGTCATGATATCCGCGGGGAGAGCCTTATTGGCGGCATCATAACATGTTGTGAATAGAGTAGCTGCTTGAAGGCGTAGGGGATGCAATCCTGTGGGTATGAGCACACCATCGCAGAGGCGCGCGGCAGCCATGGTGCACACAGCCATGGTGAACGTCCATAGACCCCAGTCCGACCGGTGCTGCCTTGAATGGATCTGAGCCCGATAGGTGGGCCAGTGGAAATACGGCCGTAACGGATACGCGGTATGATAAAACACTTCGACAAGCTTCTCCGTTATATCGGGCGGAATTACGTCCTCGAACTCCGTCGCCACCGTTGCCACTACGCTGCTATCGTCGCGTTCGGCATCCTGACTATGCCCCTGGCCATCCGACGGCGCACTTGAGGACGGAATACGCTGCGGACTAGGATTTGCAGTATACTCTGTCACTCCCAGAGACGCGAAAGGGCGCTCGGATTCACGATCATTGGCGGAGCTAGCAGCTAGGGTTATCTGCTCTCTGTCATGTGTCTGTGTTTGTGTCGAGTCGGCGTTGGCATTACTGCGAATGGAATCTCCACGCTGCCGAGGCGGCGGCTAGTACATCGTGAGCTTAGATCGGCAACCATAGCTTGTCGGTTCACGAGTCTAAGACAAGGACGAGCGCAGGTGTAATAAATTTCGCGTTGCTTACCCCCCTTCGTTTGGCAGGCCTATCATAGGTGCATGTGATGCCTTGCCCATTACAGCGAGAACAAGGCACGCCCTCTATCCCGGGCGAGCACTGTAGTTGTGGCAATCAGCCCTTGAGTCTACCTCAATTCGGGGCTTTTGTCGTCTTACTCTACACGCGGTCCTATGACACCGATCGCACGCACGCTGCCGGTAAAATTAGTATGGAGCAACTCGGGGACATGGCAGAATTGAGCTCACGCTGTTTCGCTTCCGCTTCGTTGACGACGGGATTTCTTGGCCTGGAGTCTCGTCTCGTTGCGGTTGATCCTGTCCGGAAGGTGATGCCATGATGTTTGGAGACGGAAGAATGGCCGAAGGCACAATCAACCGAGTTTTGTGGAATTTGGCATTATTATGGCCTGAGGTGCGGGGCTCTCGATGACGCAGGAGGCCACCGGATTTCCTCGAGTTTAACAGGAACAGTCAATTTAGCCGGACTAGAGAGAAATAGCAACCCCTGCGACCACCTGTATCAAGCCTAACAAAATGGAACAAATGGACGCCCTTGAGCCAGCCGCTGGCAGCTCCTGTAGCTGTTTCGTGCTGATTGCAGAGGGGCTGTGCGAGCACTGCAATGGCTCGTAGTGTTGCTGCATCAAGTGTAGTGGCAACTGACGTCGTAAATGGGTATGGATTTGTGGCTGTCCCAGTGACTCCAGGGTTTAAACCCGAGGGACCTGTGCGTTCGATGAATACCAGATGCTCTCAACTCTTACATGCACTTAGATAGGCAGCTTGAATACAACACTTTTCAAACCTCCTAATTTGTAACCATACGTTGACTTGTACACCTGAGTGCCTATCGGGTTCTTATTGTACTGAAAACAAGGGCGCACTTATTGCGCAACTAGAACGCAGCTTAGGAGTTGAAACACCCTGACGTGATACACTCCATAATAGTGCAACCGCATTGAGGGCGCGAAGCCTGGTAGCAGCTTAAAACTATAACAAGGAGGGCGAAGAAGGAGAATATTATACAGTGCTGTAAAAGTCCACAGGGAGATCACTATGAGCGTAATACCACGTTTACTATACAGTGTTATAGATCACAAAAAGACTCTGCTGTTTATTAACAGGTCACTACCTCACTGCCTAGGTAAAATCTTGCCAAGCTGCGTTCACATTGCCCGAGGTCGTCTCATTGCCTTCAATGTTGCACTTGGGCTTATACTCTCGTCATAATAGTTAAGGTGTCTTTTTTTGGTCTTATTCTCTGTGTTCATGCCGGAAGCCTTTTAAAAAGGATCGGCGTCGCCATATCGGGTGTGATCATAAGGTTTCTCCGGCCATCCGCTGGGCGCGCCGTAACTCCATCTGGATACTTGATGTCATAATTTGTGAGCAAGTAGATCAAGATGAGCTTGATGGTTACGTCCGCCAGGAACCGCCCAGGGCACGCGTGGGGCCCACCGCCCCAATTAAACCAGTCGTCAGAGGTCGAGGCAAATTGGAACTTGCTGGTGTCGAAGTGTTGCCGCTTGTTAACCCAGCGACTTGGGTCGAAGTTGTTCGCATCCGCCCCCTGCGCATCTGGATCCATGCTGTGCTGCAGCGAAGTGAAGTTGACGGATATCCCAGCCGGTACGGTCAGGCCATCCTTGAAGGTGTAGGGTATGACCACAGTCCTTTGCATGGTCGCCTCCGTGAAGGGATGCATACGGTGCGTTTCCCTCATGAAGCTGTCAAGGAGTCGCAACTCGCCCAATGAATGCCGCGTCCATGTCTGCTTGCCCTGCAATTCTTCCCTTTTGACACGGTTTATCTCGTCCTTGATGTCCGCCAAGGCATCGGGGTGCGCCAGCAGGTCAAGAAGCACTGAGTAGCCGATTGACGACGTACCGTGCATCGAGGCGACCATTGTGATAAAAATGTTTTGGACCAGCTCGTCAGGGGTTACTTCCTTCCCCCTGGCCCGGTGCTCATCCATCAGCCACTGGATAAAGTCATCGTGCTTCTTGAAGCTCCCAATTTTTCTCTCTGACACTGCGCTTCTGAAGGCGGCCTGGCGCGCCTCCAGCTCTGGGCGGATAAACTCAGCGGCTTGTCGGCGTACTTTCATGACGTCCTTAACTTCAGAGCTGAAGTATTTGGCGGCCCAAAACAGCCATGGATGATACTTTTGCCGTACGACTCCAGGCGCTTTCAGTGCAGCGTTCAGATACTGTAAGGAAATTGCCGGCCACTCCTTGCACAGCTCAGGGCCGACCATGACACGGGCCGACATGTGGGCGAAGAGATTTAATATAATAGGATATATATGAACGGGTGTCCATTCTGAGTGGGTCTAGGTTAGCTGAAGAGTACGACTAATGATATAGTAATTCATAGTGGGGTCGTGGGGCGCACCTGGACATTCTGGCATTTTGTGCTCGGCAGCTAGAAAACACTGCTCCTGTATAGGCCCGACAAGATTATTCAGTGCCCTATTCAAGTTCAGACGAGCTGCATGTTGGACCTCTTCCGTGATAGCTGGGCCGTTCACATAGTTGAGGATGGAAGCCTGAGAAAAGACTGTGAGAACTTCGCGGTGAAAGAGCGCGTGCGTTGCAACACAGACTGTGCCGTCCCCGCCGGATCAGATAGGGAAGAATAGACATACCTTCTCTGTGTACAGGGGAAGGCTCAACTTGTCCTGTGGCGCATTCCTTACTTCTTCCATGTATCGCACAGGGAGAAAGACGAACGGGCGACTGGGGTCTGCGTGATTGCGCATACAAAACGGCTGTCCATTCTTGAGATACTGTATGCCGATGTCAGCACCCAATACACGACGTGTGTGAGCGGGATGGAAGGCCATGGAGAAGAAACTGACCTTGTCGTAGCCTTCCCTTAGAAGCTTCCCCGTGTCACTTGCGTATCGCGTTTTGGACTCTTCCCCGTCCCCGAACTCAACGAGCGGGATGCCGAGCGACGAAGCTGTCACTGCTGGATAGGATCGCCACCACCAAATTGCATGAATTACACAAAATGCAGTTGAAGCAAGGACGAGATACACAGACGAAGCCATTGCTGGAGGGGGGGGACCTTGGTGCTAGTAGACAAAGAGAGCTTGGGATCGTGAAACGAAGGAAAGTCGGACCTAAGACTTAAAACGGAGTTGGTATCTGGATCTCGCACCAACGCAAGTGCAGAGTGGGACTAAAATGTGTTGGTTGATCGGGCTGGGAATTGACCATACACGGGGCCACGATTTGATACCGCTTATTCCTGGGGTTAATGTCTGAGGGTTAGGGTTAGTTCAAACCAGAACCAGAACCTCTATATAATTCATTGCTCTACTTGTGCAGCTAGTTCAGACCTACTCAAATGTCACAGGAGCGCGAGAGTAAGCAGCGGCGCGGGGCGCACATCCTCAGACACAGTTCTTGGCGAACCCTGCAAGCCATCGGCCTAAAATGTCATCTGACAATGAGAAACTCGTGTGGCTGTTTTTCCCCCTCAATCAACCTACTAATAGTACTCTCAGTCTGTCTACTAATTATGGCACATCCGACCCTGAATTTAGTCGCTGCATCATCAGCACCATCAGTACTTCTTTTAACTGAGCAGCCCTCTGCTCGAACAATGTCAGGGCAACCGAGCGACGATGTTTTACGAGGCGTCAATCTTGCATTCTTTGCCATCACGATGCTGCCTATCGCCTTTATGACATTCATCAGCTTTTACCGCGTACCCCGCGGTAAAGATCCGGCGCGGATAGCCTTCACATACCTGAAGGCCATGTTGCCGCTGGCAATCTTGTAAGTTCGATCTTTTAGGATCCGATACGGGGTCTTTGAGGCTGTGGGACTGCCGTGTCCGGTGGGTTCCGAGTGTTGGTCGGTTGCTTGCTCTATCTGACTTTCAGTGTGTAGTGCACTCCTCATGTATACGATATCAGGAGCTCTCATGTTCATAGATTTCGATCACACCGACGTGGATTGGTATGTCTTCTTCCGGGTTTCCTTTCACATGAACCTGCTAGGAGGCCTCTTCTCGCGCGTTGTTGATCTACTTCTTGTTATGACACTGGTGGAGGTGGGCAACGGCTTCCTATTTTGCCACACGGAATCGAGAACGATCTTGCAGAGGGTGGTGCGGTACGCTGCCATTGTGTCATGCGCCATTCTTGCCGTGGTCGCATTTGTTGGCTTTGGCATCATAAACGCTTTAGTGGCGCTCTCTTCCAGCCCCGACGAAAAGCTATGGAAGGCGTACGAGAAGTTGTATGCTTCCTCCAGCATCCTCCTGTTTATTTGGGCTGGGATTCTGGTGGGTTTCTCTGCGCACGTTTATAACGAGGTCAAGCGCAATAGTGTCTTGAGGAATGTGAGTTTCCCGTGGCTGCTGCAGCCTGAAGCCGGTGCAAGATATCCCTTGCGCGTAGTATGATCTTGCTAACTCAACCGCCATCGCAGTCCTCAATGCTGTTCCTCTACGCCGCTATTCTTAACTTGTTCACTCGCTTGTACTCCCTCGTCTACGTGTCTATTTTCCTCCTAGCGGGCGTCAGGATCTATGCTCCGTCTAAGACCTACACGGCCATCTTGATTGCCGGCCCAATCCTCACTGCATGGGTGCACGCCGCCATCGTAGCTATCCTAGTCACCATCGCCGTCCGTAAGCACAATGGATTGTGGAGCACCGTGCAGCCGTGGCTCGGGACGGAGGAAGAGAGCTCCCCTGTTCTTGCCGCAGACCCCAGTTTCACGGGTGTGGACGAGCAGTTGCCGGAAGAATCTAGCAGTGCAGTGCCTAACTAGGCAGCCTACAGTTTTGGGAGGGTGTCGGGAGCTTTTTGGGAGTTTCAACAAGTCACAGATCCGGCTTTATACTTCACAACGCGCTTTCTCAGTGAGCCTATTTAGGTAGATTGCGAGGCCCTCATGCTTACAAGGACTCTTTACCCTGCAGGACTAGATATCCAGGCATAATCGATGTGAGACGTGAAAGATCGTGTTGACTTCATACTTCATTAATTAGCACCGAGACAAGCAGCCAAAAATAAAGTTCTGAATATAGAAAAGTATGAGATTCTGCCAACTCATATGCAAGCCTGCAGTCCCTATAATATCTCTAGCTATAAGCTAACTAATATAACACCATCAAGTACTATCTTAAAGTAATTTCACCCTATAACTCAAGCCTTCATAATAATAAATTACGCGGTCCCTTCATACAGTAGTAAACGCTCAAAGACCTAGCGTTAGATAGGTATACAATGCCGATAACATCAGATCTATGAATACAATCGTTTCTATCACCTTAAAACCATTAATTACATTCATATTACTTATATTGCTAGTATCTAAGCATAGCGGTGATTTGAGCTCACAAACCAGGTTCACTTGCGGTGCTGCTCCACTCCCCATGTGTTCCACGTAGTCTCAGTCTGGGCCTGGCTCATCGCCGTTGGACTACTGTCCCCGCGGCGATCGGCTATGGGCGGAGGCGGCCGCAGCGCACCCTCTTCGACGCCCCCACCAGTGGGGCCGCGGGTCTGCTCCTGCTCTCGCATCCGTTTCTCTTCCTGCATCTGTTTGACCCTCTGCACCAGCTTCGGATCGAGTGGCGGCGGCACGGCAGCCCGTCTGATCTGGCCCATCTCGCTGAGGATGCTCTCCCGCTGATCGCCCACCACGGAGGCGGGCGACACGGAGGGCACGGGGCCCAGGCCCCGGAGGCTGGCGGCGCCGCTCGACGCGACGCTGGCCCGCGCCGCCATCGGGTCGAGCATGCGGCTTGCGTGCCGGTCCATCCACCTGGAGACGGCGGCGTCCTTGGGCGATGAATCGTCTCCTGCTGCCGCGCCGGCGGCGCCGGGGCTGGTGGTGGATTTCACCTTTTGCACCTGTCGCCTGAACCAGCCAGGCGTGGAATCGCTCCACCGCGACACGCCTTGGTCGGCGGTCCCGTACCGACTGGGGTCGTCGCGTGGTGGGATGAATCCGCTGTAACGCGTTGAGGGAGCCATGGTACTGTTGCCACCCTCCGCCTTGTAGGCGGCGGCTATCGCCTCATCCATGATGCGGATGTCGGACTTGGGACCGCTGCCAAAAGATTCCTGCCCAAAACTCTGATCGGGCTCGTCCCGGCCGCGTCGCCGGCGGTACAGCTTCCAGAAGAGGAAGGCCAGGAGGCCGACGCCGGCTAGTGATCCTGTTCCAGATGGGTTAGTGTGATGCTTTTTCTCGCATCGGGAGCAAGCAGCCCGACTTCGGAAGGATGATAACGACGGAAGTCAACGTACCGAAGACCGCGATTGCGGCCGTGGCCGCGGGGGGCACACCGGTGGACTGGCGGCTGAGGCCGGCTCCATTCTGAGCTCGTGGGGGATCTGTGGTCTCCCCTGCAGCTATCGGTGTGTTGATGGAAGACTGGCTAGTGGTTGACACCGTGCTGGATTCCAATGTTTGAGTTTCCACTGTGGGCGCGGCAGATATGATGGTCTGAGTATCTAGTGTGGTTGATGCCGGAGGTAGAGTTTGACTTTCCAACGTGGCTGATGTTGTCGTCGATAGAGGCACAGCTGCTGAAGTACTAGCCTCCGCTGGAGGCGGAGTCACAGTGACTGAAGGCGGCGGAGCGATTGGCGGCGGCAGTGGTGAAGGCGAAAGTGTCGTTCTGCCTGGAGGTGGTGCCGTTGAAGAAGCTATCGTGCTCGAGCTCCCGGATGTGGATTTGGCTTTGTCTTCGTCGTCACTCTCGTCACCCGAACTCTCGACGGCCTCGTCTTCCACTTTTTTCTCGTCGTCACCACGACGAATCCTGCGACGGCGAGCAGCGCTTTTGTCGGTCTCAATCCTGGTGATATCGCGTTCACGAGTCTCGTTTCTTCGCTTCATGCGGCGCCTCCTGGGCATCTCATCTCTGTGCTCCATGACGACGGAAGCCGAGACCTGTCAAATTTAGTCGAACGAGAATTGGCTTGGCCTCGAATACATCAGTTGAAAGGAAAAAGTGGAGGGGGACATTCTGCAGTGTTATAATTCAATATCATGAATTTCCACCATCCATCCACAGATGCCAAGGTTCGCGTGCAGTGTTGTGATACTCTCCAGGTTTTGAGTGGAACAAGCCCTAGCGCTTCGACGGGAGCGTCAACATGGAAGCGATGTAGGCACCGGGGCATCAAACAGCAGTGCTACGTCCATGTCATTCCCGGAGGCCGTCAAGTCTGTCAAGTCTGCCACCGTTTTCCGGATTAGTTGATGTCCACGGCCCTGGGGTTCGCAGATCGCAACGCGCTTCAGCTCTCCGTGCCCCACACCCAGAGTGTCACTTGAAACGATTTCGGTCGTTCGTTCGCCGCCGCCAAGACGTGCCCATATTTCTTGACACAAGCCTTCGCTAATGGTGCACAGTTGGCCACGGTACCGGTTGTTTCGAGAGACCGCTTGAGACATCGATTGACTATATAAGACCCTATGAAATCAACTGGTAGAGTGGAGCACGAGCAACATGCTCCACCATTCTGAGCCGTCTCCCTTCCAACACGAGACCTCTTGCCGCAATGAGCCTTCTGCGACCTGTAAGCGGGTAACGATGCGTCTTGGCGACATACGGGGGATATGCCCTCTAACAATCTTGAAAGAGGCACCGGGCGAATGCTTTGAAATCCTACCTTTGATGGGCGATGGAGAGTCCATGTACCGCCGCGCTCTGCAGACGCCACCGATGGCGGCTAAAGTGCCTTGATTGCTCAAGATTGCACTTGTTTGAGGACCATAGCAAGAAACTTTACAGGGACTATAGAAATCCCACGCAGAGAATACAAAGATGTAGATATTATAAGACATAATAAAAAAATGCAAATATTTACAGAGTAAAAAAATAAAAAGTATAAAGGTACATAGTGGTCGCTGACGGTCTATCCCGCGGTCTCGCGGACACGCACGGCGGGGATTCTGAAGTCACCACGGCCCAGGTCTGGGAACTCATGCCTCACTCTGCCATGCATGCCGACCCAGCCGTTGACTTCTGGCACCGGCAGGGGCACAGTCTCGTAGGCCGAGCCGCCGAAATGGTCTCCGATGAGATCACCGAAAATGCCCCGGTGTTTGGTGGCGTTATATTCCTTGTTCCGGGTATCGAGCAGGGCCTTGTCATCGTGTTGGGCTGGGTTCCCGCGCTGGGCCCATTTTCAGCCATTGCAACCAATGTTTATAGTGTCATCGGCCAATCTATCGTGTCTCTGGTGACGAAGAGTAAAAAGACATTGAGTCGGAAGAGCAGCCGTGAGGGTTCAGCTGAACCCGAGAATGCACAAATGGGCCTCTCTAAGCGCATCGCTGATGAGGAGGCTTTGACGATTGAAGCGGCTCTTCCCTTAGATTCATTGATTGATACTTCAGAGTACATCACACGCACTGATGATGTGGTTATCACTCATGAAGAGACAGGACACTCATGGAACTAGGGTAGAAAGTTGACCGCGGGTTTGGGAAGGGGGGGGGGCATAAGCGTAATGTCTTTGCGTTTACACATGTTGGTCAAACTTTAGCTGCTGAAAAACGTTCCAACGTCTGGGTCCTCAAATCCGGTAACAGCGATATGCTTAGGAACCGATCTTTATAGCCTCCTGTATAAGTCCGCTTTCATACGTGATCTGCATGTGCAGTCTGTACAGTACCACTTCTCACGTCTCTGGGCCGAAAAGTTCCTACATTTCTTCGAGATAGATTTTCTGCTTTCCACACTCCTCCTGTATACTGCTGTACTTAGGTAATCTGGTTCCACCAAATCCATGGATTGAACAGTGGCCAGCCTTCGACGACCAGTAGCGAACCAGTAGCGAGCTTTTCATACAAGAGTTCTGAAGTTTAGAATACTCAATCGATGTTATGAGAACATTGAATATTCACAGTGATTTGCGACTTTGCAGTTTTACTGCCGACCCTAGGTTATAGTGAGAACGAGCAACAACAGGAATAGAATAACTGCCAGCCCTTCGATGGACTCAGAAGTGCATTGGAGAGAGAGTACCAAAACGCAGAAATAGAGGTAAAGAGTAGAAAAGAGGAGTATCTAAGCTCGGATCAGAGGACAAGATTCACAGGTGCACACATTACGTACGAGAAATTAAAAGAATGTGGGTTGGTTTGTATGTACGGTAAAGACTGTGATTTGAAGTAACGCCTTTATTGAAGTTCTTTGGTTAAACCTTCCCTTGATTACTTGAGCTGGAAGCCTACCTTACGACCCGCACCAGTAGTTATATTTGATTTTTATCATACAAAACTCAAAACAAAGATAGACTATAGTAGATACTTTCATTGCTATGAATATAGTTGAATTGTTATCAAACTCTCGCCATAAAGGGCTCTCGAGGTGGAAAAATTATAACAGCGGTTTAAAATCAGGATAAGTTTATTTAGTGTTGCACACTAATTAAAATCTTACAATGTTGCTGTCCGGGCTTAGCCAAAACCTTAATTCCCTTCTCAACCAAATCTTGCAGCTGAATCTTGCTAGTAACCATTGCCTCCGGCTTTATCTTCCCATGTCTAAGGGCCTCGATAACCTCCTCCCAGTCCTTGTCCTGGTAGGCGATCGAGCTCACCAGGGTCGCCTCTTTGTACAGATAAAGGTTGAGGTCCACCTGCGGCACGGGCTCGGCACGGATGGCGACGTTGACAATAGTACCTCGCGGCTGTAGTGCCTCTAGGGCCGTGCTAAGGGTGACTGGGAGCCCGGCGCAATCGAAGACCGCATGGGCGCCACCTGCCCCGGATAGCTCCCGGACCGTGGCTGCAACATCCATGTCGGCGGGGGAGAGGACGTGCTCGGCGCCGAGCACCGCCAGCAGATCACGCCGCGCCTTCGAGACCTCACTGACCACGATTTTCGTCAGGCCCTGGGCGCGGAGGGCGAAGTACACGGCACAGCCGATTGGGCCCCCGCCCGTTATGAGCGCTGTCGACGTGGGGGTCAAGTCTCGCACAAGGCGTGTCGCATGCCAGCCTACGGCAAGGGGCTCGACCAAGGCCGAGACCTGAGGGCTCGTCCCCTGGGGGAGGCGGAACACCGTCTTCTCCTCGACGACGGCCGACTCCGCCAACCCCCCATTGGCGTGGATTCCCAACCAACCCCAGTACTGGCACACATTGGTGTGCCCCGCGACGCAGGCATCGCAGGTCCCGTCGTACAATGACGGGCGGATGGCCACGAGGTCGCCAACGCGCGCGCGCGTAACGCCTTCCCCAATCTCCGTCACCACCCCGCCGAACTCGTGGCCGAAGACGATGGGCATCTTCTCCTTGGCCAGTGGGTGCATAAAGTCGGTCTTTGTAGCTACGGCTTCATCGAAGTAAAGATGGCTGGCCCGCGGATTGGGTTAGCTTACAAATTCTGGGCAGAGGTATAGTAGGCAACAGGGCATGGGTACCGCAATTGAACATGACCGGCGGGGTCACTGGGCTTACACACATGTCGCTGCCGCAAATGCCAACATATTCTGGTTTGAGCTTGACACAGCCTGGCCGACAATCCGGGTCGGGGATATCATCCAAGCGGATATCCCCAATACCGTAGTATCGGAGCGCACGCATGATGCGAGACTGGCTTGTGAGAAGATATTGGTTAAGTGGGAAGTTGGGTTCGTAGACATGAACCAGCGGAAAATGCACAGGGAAAATTCTCTATATGCCGACTCAACTGAGACGGGACGTAGAATCACTGACAACAGAGAACATATAGAAGAAGATAGAGGAGTAGGACAAAGCCCTATTGTTCTTATACAGGAGGCCGCGACGCCGACGGGAACTACGTGGAGCATCATGCGGGGCCCCGCATCTCCGTTCCCGTGACACTGTCCCAGGGTCTTTATTCGGCTATATGCTGTCTGCGCTGAGGGTACGTATGTGAGACGTATTATATAGGCCCCAAAGATGTCTCAATCGCTCTACCGTGTTGTGTGAGTGGATCACACAGCGACGCCCAACTTGCCTATCAGAACACTCACCAGTAAAATACCTAGGTCCCATAACCAGAAAGAAAACGAGCATCAGTCCAATATGACAATGCGCGCCAGCGAGAAGTACAATCGATCTCTTGCCCTTCCCAAAGGTCGCGAATTCAAGGGGTTGACCTCCTTGACCAATTCCTAAAACAACTCGAGGTTGAAGTTGCCTTTGGCCTGCATGGCGGACAGTTGGATGCATTTCTTATGGGCGCCCACGACGCCGGCCGCTGTACAAGCCACAAAGTGTAACAACAAGACCAACAGCCGGGTCGGTGACTGCTTTGTCACCGCAAGTATGTAAAGGGCATGAGTTCGGGACGTTCGTCTAGGGTATTTCAGGCCCGCAGCTACGGAAGTTTTGCAGCCAGGCGGCGGGCAGTCGATTGTTGAACCAAAGGTTGCTAGGAAGTAGGCCTACTACCCCGCCTTAGCGTGACCACATCCTAGTGCATAACAACAATTGCGTAAAGTTGATCGGTTGCAAGCAATAATGAGCTGGTATTGGTGTGTGTTGCCTGGACTGGGTGGTCGAGGTAACGGAGACAGTGAGCCTCGTTGAGCATAGTTGAGACGCGCGTGAGTCAAATCAAAGATGAAGCGCAGAATTACCCGGTTAAGATACGATGCTAGGAGACTCAGTGACGATTACCTAAGTACAAACACGGCTGACGGCATGATTAGTCTCACCGAACGCGGCTTTCTATTGTCTCGCGAACGGTGCGGGTGTGGCGCCCGCTTGGCTTACAAATGTTCCTTTGGATTTTAAAGCATGTATTTAGTAGAGCAAATTTAGCCAATGGGAGTGCGCCAATGAAGCAAAAACCATGTGTTTGGCGGCGACAAAGCCTTATAGAATCGATTAATGCCTACTGTTTTAAGGTTAAGGTACTTCGCGTTTGTGATTTATCAAGGCACCTGGAATGGAGTTCTTGTAAAATATCTCAGACCTATCTAGAGGACTGCATTGCTATTTCCACCAACTTTGCTCTCTTGTACGACATTTATTGATTGTTGAGTTCCCCCGGAAACCATTTATCACCATTAATTATCATGTCACTTGCGCTCGACAATGGAGCGGCGGCAGCGTCGTCGGAGGCTTCCTTCTTGGGGCTCATAAGACGTCAATTGGCGAAGCCAATGGACCTACCGAAGGACTTGCGCCTGAATGACCAGGTCGCCGTCGTGACAGGTGGCAATGGGGGTCTGGGCTTCGAGGCATCGCGCCATCTTCTTCGACTCGGGCTCTCGCATCTCATTATGGGCGTGCGGTCCCAAGCTAGCGGTGACGAGGCCGCAACGAGACTGCGCAAGGAGTTTCCAGCGTCGAAGTTGTCGGTCTGGATACTAGATATGGAATCATACGACTCGTGCCGCGGCTTTGCAGACCAGTGCGCCGCACTGCCGCGGTTGGACATGGTGATCCTGAACGCCGGCTTCATGAAGACACCGTTCGCAACTGTATCCGGGACAGGGCACGAAGTTACCATGCAGGTCAATTACTTTTCAACCGCCCTTCTTTCGATCCTGCTCCTTCCGGTACTCACAGAACAGAAGAAGAGTGCCGATGGAGAGACCCGGAAACCCCCGGTTCTCGCCATCGTGGGATCTGATATAATGTGGTCGACCAAGGTCGAGACGGTGGGGCCAGTCCTGAATCAATTTGACGAGCCCAAGGAGTTCGCACAACCCCGCTGGTATGGCGTATCAAAACTGCTGCTGGCGCTATTTGTCTGGAGGCTATCGGTGGCGGTCAACCCAGACGAAGTCATCATCAACCTCGTCAATCCGGGAATGACGGGCGGCACCAGCTTTTTCAGCAGGGAGTCGTTTGTTGTACGCAAAGCCATCGGCTTAGTACAATTTCTGCTGGCAAGAAAGGCATATGTTGCGGCGACGACGTATGTAGATGCCGTTGCAGCTCGGGGGAAGGAAAGCCATGGAGCGGTCCTAAGCGATTGGACAATTAAGCCGTTAGTCCTCACCTCTTGTCCTTCATATTTCACGGATACTGACCAAAGTAGGTACCCGAGCATCTGCTACACGGCAGAGGGTACAGTGTTCAGGGATCGTCTGTGGGAAGAAACAATGGAGGACTTGAATTCGTACAGGGCATCGGAGATTGTCGCGGGTCTAAATGCCAATAGCTGAGTGGAATTTGCGGGTTGTCTTTGTTCTGGGGCATGACTTGTAGAGCTTATGGGATCCAAAACAGCTATTTCCACCTTGTGATACCACTTTGTTAGGTAGAATTGAGAGCATTTTCAAACATATACAAATCATTTGATATGGATAATTCATGCCTAGTCAGGCAAGTATGTGTTCTGGTTACGTCGTTGGCATATATGTAATCCAACCCACGTAAGTACATGTATATAAACGGACGAAAGTGTATTTGGGCAGTCTATTGTCCTACATGAGTGAATTGAATCAGAACAGAGGTAGTTCTCACTACTTCACGAGCAATGCTTGAACAACCCTTCCACTCAATCGTGAATATCCCGAGGTAGTCTCATAGACCTGCTTTAGTCGAGATACTTACGTTAGCAATGGAAACCATTCTCGCCAGTCCTCACCTCTGTTTCTCCGCCGCAACAAATACTGATCAATGTCGGCAGCATTTTTAGTCAACCAGGAATTAGCTATCCACGTGCCGTTCTCGTAGACCCGGAAATACCGAAATTCTCGAACATCGTTCGGATTCGCCCCCCTCTGGAGGAGAGCCAAACACGTGTCGAACCGACTGGTTGCAAGCGCGTGAACAATAGGTGGCCCAAGGCCAAGTGGTCTATGCTCATGGATGTCGAACCCGTGGTCGAGTAGCATGTGAACTATAGCTGTCTTTCCGCGCTTTGCTGCTTCACACAGCAGATTATCGTCATCTAGAGCCCCTGCCGAAAGAAGTACCCCAATGCTCTTCTCTCGATCTTTGGTAACGGCAAATTTCAAGCATGAGTCCCCATAGAAGCGAGTGTAAATGTCTCCACCGCTCCTGATCAAGAGATCAAGAAGATCTGGGTTGTCGCCTTGATCGAGGCAGCACCATATTGGTGGCATTCCTACCCTGCCCCGAGCATGCACCTGAGCATTCGGATCAGACCCATCCTCAAGTAATAGCTGAACCAGATCCAAAGACTCCTGATTGATTGCTTCCTCTAGTGGAAAGGCCCCACCCGGCATGTTGGCGTTCGCATCAGCACCAAACGTGAGGAGGACTGCCGCAGCATCAGATTGGCCGCTACTGATCGCACAATGCAATGCAGTGGCATCTTGGAAATCCCTCCTATCAACGTCCACCTGGGCGGTCTCTAGGAGGTCTAGAATCATGGTCACGTTTCCCCCCAAAGCAGCCATGTGCAGAGGACTCCGATACTGATCTCTGTCAGCCTGCTTCATTCCCTCCAGGGCGCTATTTATGTCTTTAACGCTTTCCAGGCGAGCCAGGAAAGCTCGCTCCTCAGCCACGATATCATTTTCACTCGAGGACAATGCTGAAGAGGGCCCGAACGGTGCTTCACTTGAGTGTGAGGAGCTGTCGACAAGGGCACGAAGCATTTCGGAGTCTAGCCCAAGAGGCCAGGGGTTCGCTGATAGGTCGAATCGAATGCCTTCGTGGTCTCCCGCTTGGTGCCATGGTTGGAGATTGTTTTGATTGGCCGGTCGAAAGACTTTTGGCTTTGTTTTGGATCGTTCCCCAGTGAGGTGATTTATGTATATCACCTCTTTCTGATTAGTTGTTTCTTCCCTCTTCATTGATTTTGGAAGAGACTCAAGCTCCCAATCCGGGGGTAGTCGCCAACGCAGTCTCATCTGGTGTGCACGATCTCGGATGCACTGCTGTGGGAAGACTAAAGATCCATTTCTGGATTCGATCGCCTGGCTCGTTATCAGACCCTCGTTCAAAGATCGCATCACGTTATAGTAGGCCTCGTACATCTCCGCCTCCTCTTCGTGCTGCTCAGCTGGAAGCGCGATGCTGGTAGCTATCCGTTGCGGCCAACTCCCGACGAGAGCTTTGCCATCCTTCATGGTTTGTGGTGCAATCTTAGCGTAATTGGAGTACTTAGCCAGTCGTGCGGTGTCGAGTTCTAGTTCCGCTTTCAGCCCATCCCAGTTGGGACTCAGTGCTCCATGACTGGTGAGAACCTCGACCAGCTCCGCAAGGTCTTCATACCACCTTCTTACGTCAAGATGGCTGCCGTTTCTGATGCTTGAAGGGATCTCCCTCCCAGCGAGCATGAAGTATGCGTTGTCGAGTACTCCATCAACATCCTGTAGATTGAAACCACGCCTCAACAAGAGCTTGGCGATCTCAACATGACCATAGCAGCAAACTGCTTGCATGACGGCATGCTGATTGAGAAAAAATTCGTCTTTGAAGTCTTTATCCTCGAGCAGTATGGTCAGTAATTCCACATCCAGCAGCTGCTCCAATCTAGTCCCCGGCCTGGGATGACACAGGAGTGATGGCAAGTGTTTCTCTGAGTGACTGAAATAGAATGACACTCCGCGGTGCTTGACAAGCCACCTAAAGCTCTCAAGGTGCTCTAGTCCACGTCTGGCGTATGTCCATAGCACCATGTTTACCAAAAATGGACTCTGACTTTTGAAACCAAGATCTGACTTGTCGTGAAGTATGCTATTCAGTTGCGCTGGAGAAAGCAGAGACGCAATCTCATCCGCGACAGAGATATTTCCTGTCAGTAATGCGGAGTTCAAGGCGGTCTTGCCGACGCCATCTTTTGCCAGGAGGTCTACGCCTGCTTCGACGAGCAGACTCACCAAACCTGGCTCGCGCAACTGACTCGCCACATAGTGAAGAGCAGTTCCATGCATCTCGTTCTCGAATGCCCCAAGTTGCTCTTTGATGAATTCCTTAAAATTGCTTACGAGAAACCTGAAGCAACGAAGCGATTTGTAGAAAATGCAGGTGAGAGATGCTGTTGGAAACCCCTTGCCTGGCGCTCCACTGGGGCCAAGCCCTGCAGGATCCATAAGATGCATCCTCAGCTCCTCCTGATCACCCTTGAAATATTGGAGGAACAATTTGAGGCTGCATAAGTTGTCAGTTCGCAACCATAGGCTTAATGAGCTGCTGGACCCTATGGGGATGGCAGGATTGGCTCCTTCTCGAAGGAGGAGGTGGAGTGTCTCTTCGTAAGCACGCTCATACCCTCCACCATGCAAACAACGTTTCTCATATTCCAGCAGTGGACACTCAGGCACTGTTTCCAGGTAGTAGAGAGATTCTGAAAGATCAGCCGTAGATAACTCCCAGATTCTCTGGCCATCACGACACATAGGTGGGTTGTCTCGATGCACCTGAAGGAGGAGTTCGGTGACCTCATGATATAGATATAGACAGCTAAGTCTAAGCGCGACGCCAAAATCGGGTATCATCTCGTTGGTTTCGATGTGAAGACATATGATTGCATTCGCAAAAGTTGGTCTGCCGCACTTGATAGCAGCACTCAGTGGGGAAACTAGAGACGGTAATGAAGGCAGCACATCCCCGCGAAAGATGTTATCGACTGTGGATGGAAGCTCACCAAAGAAGTCAAGCTTGGCGCCTCTGCGGTAGGCGTCACGAGCGAGCCAGGCAGCCTCGTCATCTGGTAGTTGCCAGAAGCTGTGCAGCAACTCAGGCATGGCTTCGTCGAGATCGACAGGCGTGACTTCTTCGGTCAGAAGCCTGCGAACTTCCTCGGTAGCTCCATGAGAGACGGCCGATCGTAGTTTGGGCAAAGTATCGATGATCGTACGAGGCGGTCGAAATAAGGCTGTGGCCAGACGCATAAAAAACAAATCTGTGGGTAGACTCGAGTCACCGTTCCCATCAATTGAGTTCCTGCTTCCCATTCTTTCGTAGGCCCATGGTCGCCCTGAAATGAGAGTCTGAACTAGTTGATAATGCGATGGCCATCTAAGTGAAAGAACTTGACCGGCAAACTTGCAATTCGAAAGTGCAAGCAAACTCAGAAAAAGTCGCACTGGGAGCTGTGATTCAAATTTGGTTCCCTGAATCGATAGCGTGGCTAGACGGATGGATAACCCGTCCCCACTCTTCGCACTAGATACCAATTGCTGAAGCCTTTCTTCTAAGGGCTTTTTCGAGTCTTTCAAGGCAAGCGCCATGAATTGGAGACGAGATAATCCCGCACGGACTTGGCTTTCATCTTGACGAATTTTCCTTTCAGAACTAGGCTCGCGTGGGTTTAATTCTCCTCGTGCAAAGAATCGTGTCGTGTGTGCGACAAGCATGGTATGGTAATCCTTAGCGGACATGACAGGTGGTAATTCCGCCGGCAGGTCAAGCTGTGACGTCGACTCCATAGTTGGCGGAGTCAGATATTCCAGAGCCATGGCAGTTTGGTTCTGAAATACATCATACATCTGGTCCTGTCTTGCTAGTCTGTATGGCAAATCTTTATCACAGAGGTCCTGCTGTAGTTTGCTTATCAGCCATGACAAACACCATACGAATGCAGGAAACCTGGAACACGTGAACTGGGGTTGTACCAACCTGATCTGTGAAGTTGGTAACCTTAGCTTGGTAACTCTCCTCGTACTCGACTTCAGCTCTACAGCGATGGTCAGCTTTTCACACCACGCTTGAAAACGACCCTGGATTTTTACGAAAGCTTAAGCATGGCTGGGAAAACGTACTCGATGTTGCGACCGCAAGCTGCAGCAAGAGTCCCAAGACTGGATAACAGCCCTTTTGTATCTGGTCTCAGCCAGAAATGAGCTTTGAGTGATGGTGACAACACTTTCAGAATATCTGTGCACATCTCGCTGTCGGTCACAGCCAAAGATAGCCTCTCTCTCAAAACAGAAACAACATTGGGGCTGACATTCTCATCATGTTGACTTTTGAGACACCAAAGAAGGTCCTGAAGCTCTTGTTCACTGAGCTCGGTGGATCTCTCAGACATCAGAAAGCATGAACCAGCTCGGTTGCCGTCTCGATCACGGAAACCTCCCGGTAATGATGCCCACAAGCTTCCAGCCACAAGGCCATACGAGTAGACGTCCGCAAGCTCGTAATCAATCTCAGTATCACGATTCACGACTTCGGGAGCTGACTACAGAGGCGTGTAGTGAACAGGCCCAGCGACATCCGGTGACAACTGGGCACTTCCACCGAAATCGATGAGTTTTGCAATGATCTGTCGATCTTGGCCGTGATATTGTGCAAGAACCACGTTGTCAGGCTTGAGATCCCCATGCGTGAAACCAGCCTGGTGGATGACCCGGAGGCCAACTGCGATATCTATGGTTATGTGCAATTTCTGAGTGCTGCTTATTTCGGGTCCCATCGCTTTTATCAAATACTCTAGTGAACCACTGGATCCTTGCTCCATAGCAAGTGCAGGGAATGGGTGGTCGCGCTGCCAGCCAAGAAATAGGAACTGAACAATATTTGGGTGGCCCCGAAGCTTTGAATGTCCCAGGATCTTTATTTCTCTGACTATGGCATCGTAGACACGTCCGCGAGCCAGTTTGGCTGAGAAGCTTCGCTCAAATTGCCGTGAAGCGAATGTTTTCAGTGCCAGATGTGTACCTTCAGGCACTACCCAAGATGTGCCATCCAGTTTGTTGGTGATATACTGAGATACTTGCGCAGTGAGTCCGCGGCCGAAGGTAACAAGCTGTTGCGGAGACTGCGTGAATGAAAAGTCAACAGACGGATAGTGAAGGGCCACATCGGGTATTCCAGCTTCTTTCGCGGCAAACCTGACCGTTAGGTAATTCGACAAAGGACCGGACCTGGCGGTGCTTTCGCAGGCGAGCTCTTTTGACGACGCAGCAGGGGCTAAGGACTGCCCGTTCGTACGACTGGAGAGCAGATCCGCCCTTGTCGATTCAGACCAGGTCAAATCTGCCTTTCGAGAACGGCTGAGTGATGCTTCAGTAGGGTCGAAGAGGTCCATGATGGTGACTGAGCCGAAATCTGTGTGAGAGTGGTCGTTCAACTGTAAAGGTTAAATGTTTGGGATTCTTGAGTATATTCTGCTTGCCTGGTGCATTTGTTGAGATGTATGGTTGGTTAGAACCTACAGTGTCCGCCTAATCATCCTTGGCAGGCCCAGCAATCTGCGACCTTGACATTACTTATCGTGTACACAAAAAGAACTTGCAGATGCTCAGCCACGAGCACATGCAAATTCCTACACTAAAGTCAAGGCACAGTGCCACGTCAGCACTGTTGAATATCATTCTCTAGTCAAAATATGACCCGATCTCTGCCCCTCTACCCCTCTGCCCCTCAGCTAGGCAGCTGTGCTGTGGCTTTGCTTACCGTACAGTTGGTTGGTATCCACATGCATGAAACGTGTGTCCAATGGCTGGAGCTACCGGAAACGGCCCGGGCAACAGGGCATGGGCCATGCACCCGAAGTGAGGAGGCCTGGGTAGCACACCATAGCTAATAAGGGTCAGCCTTCCTTACACTGACAATGCCCCTTCTCCTACAATCTTGATCACATTCGTTCTCCCTGCCTTTTAAATCATAACAGTGGTTAAAATAAAGCAATATGGAACTTTCTGGCCTTGTTATCGGTGTAGCTGGGATCGTCCTAGCCTTCAAAGGTGCTATTGATGCAGCTCTTCTCATTGAGACATTTCTTGACGATGGGAAGAAGAGCTGTGGCTACCTAGCTCTGAGATATCTTATCGAGAAGACACGTTTGCAGCTCTGGGGCACACTAGTTCAAGCAGACGGCACGTTCAAAGAAGATGACTGTCTTCTCCTGGATCGACCAGAGTATGTCAAGAAGCTTGTAGTTGGCATCCTGGCAGAGATCCAAGAGCTTGTCAAAGATGCCGAAAAGCTGGTCACGAAGTACGACATTGCTACGCCTCAACAGCCGGCCCAGAAAAGCTTTAATGTGGATGAGAGTCTGCGCAATGCTGTTGTCTCGCCCACATCTCAATCATCAAACTTGCGTTTCAAGCCCCAAAAGAGGTTCATGTGGCAGATCAAGGGAAAAGAGGAGTTCGAGGAGACTGTTGTGAAGTTTGGAATGCTTGTCGATAAGCTGGAGAGCATCACACTTGATCCAGCCAAGTCCCATCTTCTTACACAAGCAGTCGCTCCCAAGGCACTTGTACAGATCAACAATCCACAGCTGCTCCAAATCCTCGATGACCCACAGAACAGTGTCGACAGTATTCTGGCCGCTTCTGCGAGGATTAAACTCTTCCAAGCCACATTTTCGCCTCTGTCTACCAGCGTTCCAGATATCATGGACAAGGATCGGTTCAAACTTTTCAATGAATCTGATAAGTTTGGGAGTTTTCAAGACCAAGGATCACGATTCCCTGTCTGGGTTGAGTGGAATGTCGTGGAAGCAAATCATGCTGCCAGACAATATGTAAAGAGGATCACTTGGCTAGGGCAGCTTCTGAAACAGATAAGCGAGCCAGCCCTTCGACTACCGAAATGTCATGGTATGTTCGAAGATCATGAGTATGAGATCAAGTTTGGGGAGAGGAAAATTGGATATCTATTTAGTCCTCCAGCACCCAGTCCTACTCAATCTGGCCAAAGGGCATACGAAAGTAACCTTAAAAAGTTTCCACCAAAATCATTAAGGGAGCTCATCATTGCACGCCAGAGCAGCTCAGACATTCCAAATCTCGGAGACCGCTTCAATCTTGCATTGGTGCTGGCAGTCGCATTCAGCCACTTTCACGCAGCTGGCTGGCTGCACAAAGGTCTTCATAGTGGTAACATTCTTTGTAAGTTGCGAATCTATGCTTGATCATGCTCTCAAATTTGTCTCAGAGCTTGCTGATGCCGTGAATCTCAGTCTTGCATCACGTAGATGATGATTCAGTCGCTGGACCCTCCCTGAGTATCAGTGAGCCGTTCATCTCTGGATTCCAGTTCTCCCGGCCGCAGCAGGAAGCATCTCTCTCGAAGGGTCCCCTTGAAGATACAAAGTTGGAGCAGTACTATCACCCCGAGGCCCACAAGGGATTCACGAAGCAGAGGGATTTGTATAGCCTAGGTGTAGTCCTTGTGGAGATTGGTCGCTGGGCCCTGGTTGAATCCGTTTCAGAAAGCACGCGTCGCAAGCTCAAAGACCGCAATGCATGGCAAAAATATCTTCTGGCCAAGCACGTTCCAGAACTGGGCTGGCGTATGGGAAGGAGATATCAAAGCGTCACCAGGACTCTACTGCAAGGGGGTCTTCCAGACGACGACGACGATGATGTTTTATTTGAGCAGGAGTACTTCAACAAAGTCCTTCAGCCTCTGAGTTCGAATACAGCTTGAACAGGTCTTGAATGAGATTGCTCGCAAGAGTCCGATTTTTTCTGCTCGTTCTGTTCATTTAGAATAGTGTCTTTTACGACACTTTTACCTGTTTGATTACAAAAACAGTCTTCTTCGCATACATAGGTCGCCGGACCTTGTTGATATCTAGCCCTTGTCCGTGCTATAAGAGTCAGGGGGAGCCCTTCAGAAAAAACCATCATCTCATGGCCAGTGTATCTTCTCATACGAGATTGACACTGCAAGGTTCTTGGCGATAATGGCCGAATCCACTGTAAATCCTAGGAACAGGGGTATCAACCACTTACTATGACCGATTCGATATATCCAAATGCACCCTATACGCTACCACCTTCCCAAGCTGGGCGCTAAGCCCCGGTATTTGAGCTTGGCTCTTTTTTGAACTGCCGCATTTGAACCATTCATCATCGAATGCTGGTTCGACGCACCGGTCGATTATCGACCTTTATAGCATTGGAGAGGAATATCTTCAGCGATGGCGTTTATAAATCAACATGCGAAGCTGCGCGATGCTTTGATTATCAGCTGCACGTAGCATATATATGACGTCCTCTTTGCTCCTACAAAGCCTCTTCGTATCACGTAGAGAATAAAGTTGTACACATTTAGCGGCGTTGTGAACCTAGGATTGTTTGCATCGGACGTCTAAGATGCAGTTCACACGGGTCAGCAGCCTGAGCCTCGCCTTGCTTCTGAGCAAGGGGACAGCTGGGCAAAAGCCGCTGGTGGACTCAGCATCCTTACAAGCAGATATTTCTGCAGACAAGTGAGTGAACCTCAAGTGCTTCTTGACTGTTGCGTAGCCTTGAACACAGATCTGACTCACGAAATGATAGCCTGCGCGCGGACCTGGTGCAGTTCGACCAGATTGCAACCGCCAATGGTGGCAACAGAGCATTCGGCTATTCGGGCTACGATGCTTCGGTCGACTTTGTATGGAGCAAGATCTCCCAGCTTGACGGCGTGAGGGCCTGGAAACAAGACTTTCCCGGTGTCTTCAGCCGGGATTCTGGAGCCAATCTGACAGTAAATGACGTCCGTTATGAGGCTTTCCCAGTCTATACCTCTCCATACACGCCCGCAGGCGGACTGACGGCTGATGTCGTCGTCGGACCTGTAGGCAGTGCAGGCTGCGACATTGAGGCTTACGCCGACCTTGATGTCAGCGGCAAGGTCGTCTTGGTCGAGGCTGGTGACTGCCCAGGCGTGCGCCGCGGGTTTCTTGAGGGCAAGGTCGTTCCAGCTGCTAGGTCTGGTGCCATCGCCGCTATTATCTATAACAATGTTACCTCGAGGCAGACTTCTGCAGGGTTCTCGAGGTCAGACCCGAACGACATTCCTGCTCTGTTCATCAACAACGCCCCAGGATTGGAGCTTAAAGGGAGAGTCGAGTCCGGAGAAGATGTCAATGCCACCGTGGTGTCCGTGGAGATCACAGACACTAGGATCACCCAAAACGTTTTCGCTGAGACTGTTGAGGGTGATCCTGAGAACACGATTATTGTGAGCTCACCCAGAAAGATCAAGTCAAACATACTGTTACGGAATACCACGTGCTGATCAGGATAATACTAGCTTGGAGCTCATCTTGACAGTGTCTCAGCCGGTGCTGGTCTCAATGATAATGGTACGTAACAGCTGAGAACGGCGTAGGATTTCAGAAGGTCTTACTCATTTCATTTACAGCATCTGGGTCGTCACTTCTACTGGCACTCGTAACCGCCCTGTCCAAGTATAGCACCAAGAAGCGGATTCGATTTGCCTGGTGGGGCGCGGAGGAGCGAGGACTACTCGGATCGAAATACTACGTCAACAACCTGTCACCAGAAGAGAGCGCCGATATCCTGGCCTACCTCAACTTTGACATGGTATCCAAGGGCTACTTTGGCGTATTTGACGGTGACGGCAGCACGCACGGTGTTGCTGCCCCGCCCGGGTCTGGTGCCATCGAGCAGCTCTTCGTGGCCGACTTCGCTTCCAAAGGCTTGCCGGTTACACCGGCCAGTTTCACGAACGGGAGTGACTATGCTTCGTTCTGGAAGGTGCTAAACAAGCCCATTGGTGGTCTTCACACTGGGACTGGGGTGGAACAAGACCCGTGCTATCACGCGCCTTGTGACGGCATCAACAACCCCAACATTACGACGTTGACAATCAACACCAGGGTGAGTGCTTGCATACCCACGCGGTGGTCTTGACTTTTACTGACTTCAATAAATGCAGGCCACAGCTCATGTTCTTTCGATTTTAGCTGTCAATAGCACATATATTAGCCTTTAAGTTATCAATAATTCCAAGCATAACCTCAACTTTAACCAATAGAGAAGACGTCCGTGTAGTTTGTACGCATGATGTGACCCCACGATCAAACAAAGGAGGACTTTCAAAAAAGGGGCCTGATCACTAGCTACAATAAGTGCCCCTTTACAATTCGTAGACGACTAAAGCGCCCTCATGAACCAACAATACATCGGCCGAGGACATCACAAAAGGTAATCTAGGGAATCCGACTTCGTCGATGTGTCCACGAGTTTCTCCATTTTCTGGCTTTGGACTATACATTCGCTTGAACTAATCCATTGTCATTTCCTAAAGGCGGCATGAATTATTGTGACTATCTACCAGGAAAACACCCAGGTTAAGTTCCGTCCAGGTAAAGCCCTAAGGTGAAAGACTAAGCTTTGTGCAACTGTCCGAAATTGTCGTTAGGTTATTGATGTGGATACGCACGAATATTTGACGGTCCAATGTGTGATCTGAGTATATAAGACAAAACTTAACAGTTAGACCAGAAACATATGCTGCTTGAATCAACAATTCTTTGAAATATATATTAACTTTTTGGTGGGGGTAATATACTCAGATAGAAGCCTTGGTGGAGCTTGTTACGTCTTATTTAGAGGCAAGTAGCCCTATACCTATGTACATAACTAGGGAAGGTACTGAAGATTGCTGCCGAGGCTTCCCGAGGTTGCTTTCAAAACTGTCATTGGGACTTTTTCAACCAAGTATAGGAAAATGTGCGGGTTTTGAATAGCCAGCTTCTTTCTCTTCCAATATACTATCTATCTGCTTACGCCTTCTGATTAAAATCGTTTTGGATTTTGTGATCGAAGTATAAGCTATAATATCTGAAGAAGACTATCGTGTGGTGAGACTTACTGAAGATAAGAGGCTAGTGTAGTGCGGCGCTGAGATGGCGTTTAACCCTGCCCCTGTGTACGGTACCTGCACGCCCATTAAGGGTATGCCGTCTTGAGGCGTTGCTATAGGCAGCTTGTGGGGCTGTCTGCCTGTTGGTTACCGAGAGGGCCGGCTATAATTAACAAATTTGTTGCCTGGAAACATAAGAATAGTATTTAAGCGGTGGTGTGCTGGTTTTGACACAATATCTCAAATTATCCTGCTGTAACCCACCAGCCTAGGCACTTACAACGCCACCTTCTACCACAGTCTACACACAAATTATCAAGCAAAATGGGTGAAGGCCCTGTTGTTGCCATCATCCGTGGTCTTAAGGTTCACATCCGAGTTCTCGACAAATTCCTGTACAACAATGGCTGCCATAACACCAAAGGCTATCCACCTTTCTACGAGCAGGATCCGGACGAGTTCTCAACACTTTTGCGTACAAGACTCAGTGGAAATAATGCGAAGACAAGGTTATTCATTCCAGCAAGGACGGACCATAATCAAAGCAAATTTGGCTATATAGCCTGGGCATACGAAATGGTATATGCGCAGAAGGAGGTCTGTCTTGAAGAAGACCTCCCTGCGGATCCTCCAAAGGGATGGGATGCTCTAAAGAATGAAATTCTTTCATTCAGCACCAGCGAAGACGCGATTTCGGAGGCATCCGGCCACGGAAAGACAGGTGTCTTCGTTATCGTTTGTGAGGAGAGGAGCTACACTCCACCGTCTATTAATCAAAGAGTACGTGCATTTCTCGTACTTCATTCTCTTTTTGAGCTTTCTTACTAACTATCGCACTAGCCTTCTCACTGTGACCAATGCGAAGCCATATTGGACTCCTTTATCGATCGCCAAAGGCATCGCATGACTAAGCACGGATCGGAGGAAGGCTTGGACCCGCTGCCAGACGACGAATAATTACGTTAAGAGTGTAATTACTCTAGACACCATGTGCAACTGCATGTATTCAACTGTTAAATGGTATATTTTCCACTAGTTGGAATATACTAATCTGTCCTATCTGAAGCTTCAGATGTTGCACCAGCTGAACATACGCAACCATATCGATCACTCCTCCTGACCGCCTATTCACCACTTAACCAGACTAGTGGGCGGGATTCCAATCTGAATAAGTATTCGCCTTGATCAGTGTAATTAGTGATTTAAGTAACAAGAGTGACTTTAATTGGATAGGCATGTTCTGGTTTCTAGTCTACCAATCGAGGGAGTTAGCAACGACTGGTATCTATGTAAAGCCCTTCGCGAGAATCCGTCTGGATATGGTCCTGCTTAACTAAGACTGTCGATGTAGCACCGCCTGGTAGTGCGGCTGTTACGTTCTGCTGTTGGAGCTTTATAGGGGCAAGGAATTGGTAGATGACCTAAGTTTGGTTCTGTGCATAGTCGATAATCCATAGGGGTGGGCTTGATTGGACGGGTTCTATATGAATGGCATCTATTTCAGGCCGAAAGCAAGAATGAAGTATACTTTGTGATAACCCATTCTAGTTAGGAGAACACAATAAGTACGGAGACTTTTGTCATACAACATTATCAAAATTCTGGAAGAACCTGTCGGACCACATTGAGAATGGCCGACGTGCTATACTAAACGTTCCCTCCTTAAGCATTTAGGTCTCTCGTCCGCCCGACTCATTTTTCCTCCGCCTAGTCCACGCTGATTGCGCGGCATTCAATCGACATGCCAATCGACATTCGCGATAGAATTGCATTTTTCTGGAGAGGCACCGAAAAATGTTACCTAGTCAGAGTCAGGGGGTGATTTGGGCCACATATCGTAGTCGATCACATCCTCCCACCTGAGTATCTCATACGACAAATAATCGTCGTCCTCATCGTTTGGCCTAGGGGGTTTCTGCCGTCTTTGAGGTTTATTCTTCCCGTGAGGGACTTTGCGTGTTTGGCCCTTCCAAAAGGTGTTGCGCTTTTCTGTGGTCCAGGCCTTGGACATTCTGGGCCGTTCTAGAAAGCACAAGACCACTTCTCGGGTAGCCAAAACATCCTCTACACCGTCGTGGACGTTGCTCGCATGGAGAGGTGCTCCCTCACGGATATTGAGACCGAGCAAGTCGCTGCACATATCCTTCAAACCAAGACCCCAGTAACGAGGCTTGCCTTTCTTGGGGAATATAGCGTCTGATGCCAATATTGCCGAATCAACCACACAAGCAGGCCGGATATGGAGGGCGGCAAGGTCATATTGGAGGGAGTGCCCGATGAGAACCGTGTCTTGGTCGACGAGTCTGAAGAGCTCGGCTGTCGCGGACTGCCATCCGTCGAGAGTCTGGCCCTGTGCATGTGCCATCGACATGCGAGCTGGCGAGATGCCATGTATTTGCGTCCGCCAGTCGACCACGGGCCGCCGCGGCTTGACGAGAGAGTTTACAATAAGCTCGCCAGTGATGAAGTCGACTGCTGCCAACGAGATTAGCTCGCTTGCTCCGTCTTCCATGCCCACCATTTCGCAGTCTAGCACGACGGCTTTCCGGGTGTTGCGGGACCGGTCACTTTGGGGTAAGGGCAGAGTTTCGTCCCCTGTCACTTGATCGATGGGACGGCCACGTTGTTCCTGATTTCCACCAGCCTCCGCAATGATATAGCCATGTCGCTGTAGAGTACTCTTGGAATGACAGTGGGACAGCAATGTCTGGAAGATGACAGCCTGATCTTGCTGCGAGATTCGACGGTAGCTGTTGCCCCTGCAAAGGAGGGAGCGCTCCAAGTGCAAAGACTGGGGGACTGAAGTCTTTGTATCCTGACGGGCTTCTCTTTTATGGATGGATGATTGGTTGTGGGCTTCCAGGGCTTCCTTTGTGCTGAAGAGGCGATAACACGGCCGACAACAACGATCTTCTCCATGTCCGGAGTCAAGACTGTGTTCGACAAACTGTGCCTTCGTTTGAAAGAGTCTGTTGCAAAGGGCACAGCTTTGGTGTCTGGGGACCACAGGTGATGCTGTGCGGATGACAGCCTTGGAAGACTTCGTGGATGGTCCGGGAGAGGACGACTTTGTGTGAATCGACGACTTCATATGGGCTTTCAGGCCTCCTTTGGTCCCGAAAATTCGACAGCATGGTCCACAGCATCGATCCGCTCCATGAGCAGCGCTTAGGCTGTGCTGAACGAGCTCAGAATTGGTACGGAAGGCTCGACAGCAGAAACTGCACTCTGGTCCTTTGGTTTTCACCGGCTTTGCAGACATCGCGGCCTTCGACTGTTGGGCTGACATGACTACAAATACGTTCTTCGCCGTAGAAGAAGCTTAGAAAGCTAAGTGCACTGAACCAATTTTATTTTTTAAGTAAAGATTGGTCAAAAGCCAAGTATGACCAAGCCGTTCACTGTCATGCACTGCATATATAATGTTGTGATGCAGCTGGATGCTTGTACAAGAAGTGCATCCACCCCTCCAGGCACCTGTAGGCCTCCCGTGCAGCCTGCAGGCACCAGCACAGCCCAACAGTTTATTTATACCAGCATAGCCAATCACCATGCCGAATTCTCAAACTGTTGGCAGAGAACGCATTACCGTGGCTCAGCCAAACCAACCGCAGAGCAGCCACCGAAGCATTCCCTGTTTTCTCATTCTGCGAGAATGGTGTTCTGCTTCAATGTCCCACCACCCTTGCTTGGAACTTGGCGGAGTTCTGTACACTGTATGGATAATTCAGCATTGGCGAGGTGATCATTGAATATAGCGCCAGTGGTTGGTTTGATTGCAGAATTCGGACAGCTCTTGCACATACCTCACCATACATTGCACATGCGCTTGAGCGGCTGATGGGTCCTCGGACCTCCTGCTCTGAAGTATGACCATGCAATTACAGTCGCTGGGAAGGACGCAGCCATTGGCTTGTATATGCGGGCATCAATATTTCCCCCTGGATGGAGATAGCAGGAGCAGTGAGCGCCGCCGCGAGACAGGACCCAGTCAGTCGGTCTGAGGTTGGGTGGCCCTCGATTTCTGGAGTTCCGGAGGCAGTGAGCAACAGAGAGGAAGTTAACAATACCTTCCCTGGTACAAGGGAAGGGTTGCGACCGTCATACGAACTTCCAAGTGCTAAAAACTCTAGACGAGAGGAATTCCTTCGTTCAATGGCAGCTACAGCATTTCGGAAAGACATAGAAATAGAAAGTCGAGCTACCATGCCACCCCGACGCAACGCGGGAAAACGTGCGCGACAAGCTATACTGCAGCCAACATCTAGGCGATTGATTGGCTGGCCGGCGAGATGACTCCTCGCCGCCGAACCTTGCGGATCAGCTCCAGGTTGCAGGCCAATCCCTGGGATCTCATTTGAGTATTTTATCCATCAACGTCTCGGATATTCCCTAAGCTCTCAAAGCTTCCCTAACGCAGCCCCCACAAACTCACTCACTCACTTGCTCACAAGCTCAGACTCACGCTCACACTAGAATGGCCACTTCCAACTCCCCAGACACCGCCGCAATAACGCAGCACACAGATTACGACCCCACGACGGCCCAGCGCATCTCCTACCGCGCAGTGCCCCAGCAGCCCCCGACGATCCACGACCCAGACCCTTCGTGGCCATCCGCCTTCGCAGTGCTCGAGTCCCGCATCCGGCGCGCACTGGGGGCCCGCGCCCTGTATGTCGCCCACGTGGGGAGCACCTCCGTCCCCGGGCTGCCGGCGAAGCCCGTCATCGACGTCGACGTCGTGGTGGCCGACCCGGCCGACGAGGCGGCGTACGTCGGGCTGCTGGTGGGCGAGGGTTGGGATGAGTCCCAGGGCACGGGGTTCGGGCCTGAGGGCGGGGACAGGGGCGCCGGGCTGCAGTTCATCCTGCGCGAGCCCGCGTGGCTTCAGCACCGGTTCTTTGTCTGCGCCGATCCGGTCGCCAACGTGCATGTCTTTGGGCCCGGGAGTCCTGAGGTCGTGAGGCATCGGATCTTTAGGGACTGGCTTGTCGAGGTGAGTGAGCTGCTCCCGTGTTCCTCCTCCCCCGCCCGTGAAATGGCGGTCTGTCTGCGGATGAGGATGTGATTTTGTGACAATTGTTCTGGGCAATGGCGACGCTGGGGGACTTTTTACTTTACGAGCCCTGGCTGACATCTGTGCCCACCTCCCCCGGTGGGATATGCAGCACCCCGAGGACCGCGACAGGTATGCCGCGGTCAAGCGTGAGGCAGCCGCCGCGAGCCGCGAGGCCGGAGAGAAAGTCCAAGACTACAACTTGAGGAAGGAATTCGTCATCAGGGAGATTCTGGACCGCGCTTTCAGGGCTGAGGGGCTGTTGCAGTGATTGTGTAGTCTGGGCCTTTCAGGGGACACTCTTATAAGTGCCTCCACTCCCTCTCTCTTTTTCTCTCTCTTTTGACAGCTCTGTGGCTTCATACTCTCGGGTATCTGATTATGGGATCAACCGATGGCCTTCTACTCAGTCTCTATCCCGTGTCAGCCATTGGCCATGCACAGTATCGAATGAATGAGAGTGGTCAGTTCAGAGCTGTTGTGTGTCCGAAGCCGCACTTGCTTGAACATCGTGCAGCGTCTCCATTGGTAGCATGGTCAGTTGCCAAGCGTCTGAATGCCACTGGTGACATACGGCGTACATGTACACGACCCAAACGACCCCAATATTATAAATCGAAGCCTGAAGTTGACGGCACCTTCTGTGGGGGTCCTTTAAGACTTATTGGTCATTTTCAATCAAAGATCAGAGCGATGGATCTCATCCATATATTTCACAACAATGCGTGTTGGCTTGGATAATGATCCCTGGGAGAATAGAAAAGCCAGAGAAAATGCCAGGAAAATCTTACCCCTGTATTATGACCTGTCTGAAAACTTGCCGCCACGTGGGGCTGGTTGTTGGGCGCGTGCAGTCAGTCTAGAAGAAAAGGTGTTCTGAGTGGTTCTTCACCACCAATAGACAGTGGCTACTGAAGCACCATTGAATGTTCCGAGACATACAGGTAATAGTCCAGGGTTTTGATAGAAGTTGTCCTCCAGGAAAATCCCAACGACAGTCAGCTTTGCCGCAGAACCCTCAACAAGAACGTCAAGAATTGTTTGTGAGTACACCATCGTAGATACGTATCATATAGAGAATGTTATACATGTTCTAAAATATTTATGAAGCTTGATATGCTTGTAAGAGGACTGAGCTAAGAGGTAGGTTCGTCTTGATTGGCCGAACAAAACCATTGACTCACTCCAGTGACTCAGCCGCCCCTAAATCGGCTTTTTAACCCTACACAACGGAACTCTTATATTCCAAGGGGGCATGACAACACGAAAACTTATTTCTGATGCATTACACGGTATGCTGGTCCGTCAGAACGGAACATCTTTCGAAGATCACGCACCAGAGCCTCTGGTTGCTCCCAGGCTGCAAAATGGCCGCCTTTCTCATGCTCCTCCTCAAAAACGACATCGCCCAGAAATCTATTCCACATACGTGGCGTCGCGGCTATTTCTTTGGGGAAGTATGAGAATCCCTTTAGAACCGAAGATCATTAGCAGAAATCTTAAAAATGTACATGGTTCTGTTCCTTCACTTACCAGCTTGGCATTCGGTATCGCACGCCCAGTGTCGGCTTGCCAATCCCCTTGAAACATCTCGTGGTAGATGGTCACACTGGCCGCAGGTCCTGCACGACTGAACCAATACAAGCTAATCCACTCACAAATCTCCTGGTCCGTCCACGGATAGTCATCCGTCCATGCGATCAATTTCTCGTAGATCCAGGCCAGTAATGCGACGGGGCTATCTGTGAGCATCGTTCCGACGGTTTTGGGCCTCGTCCTCATAATATGAAGGTAGTAACTGCCGTTGTCCTGATAGTCTTTGGCAGCTTTGAGGCCCGACTGTTCCTGAGGCGTGTATAGGTTCAGCATGTGCGTTGTAAGGAATCGTACGAAGCCGAGTGGGGATTTGGTCAGCGGCGGTGGCATAGCCAGGACGAAGTTGAGATGCAATGCCAGCATTGACTCAGGATAAAGGTTTCCAATGGACGTGGTTATAAACATCCCCTACAGTACAGCTTAGCTTCTAGAGGATGCATTTACTTTCAGCCAAACAAATGGGGAACTTACCCAGTCTCCCCCTTGAGCGGCATATTTCTTGTATCCCAGGCTCATCATCAGCTTGTGGCAAGTGTCGGTGTACTGTCGCAGACCGAAGCCCTTCTTGGCAATCCGACTTGAGAAGCCGAAATTGGGAAGTGACGGCACCACGACGTGAAATTCTGGGCCGTTTTCCAGCTTGGCTGTAAGCAATGGGAGAATTTTTGTTGCTTCGATGAAACTGCCTGGCCCTAATAGACAGAAATTGAATGTTAGATTGCTGCCTTGATCACCCGAGGTTACGTTCAGGTGGGCTCAGTACACACAGCCATGAACGAACAGCAGCGGAATTGCGTCCGGATTTGCAGACTTCTGATGGATGAAATGCAGTTTGAATGGATCGAAACCATCAAGTGACATGGCCGCCTCAAAGTGCGGAAGATTATTCAACCGCTCTTCAAATGAAGCCCATTTGAATTCATCCTGCCAGTACTTGGCTATCCGCTTGACATGTGCAACAGGGGCGCCGCATCCCCAATCATCGTCATCGGGATCATCTGGGAACTTTGAGAGGGCCAACTTCTGGTGCAGCTCCTCGATGGCCGCGGTAGGAACGGAGATCTTGTACTCTACAATGTCTGCCATATTGACCGTGATGATTGACGAAGGCGTTGACCACAAGTTCGAGGACCGACAGATGGCGTGGCTGGACTGCTTGCACTATTTCACGAGTCGGTATGCCCGTTCGTCGAAGGGAATGAGAGGAGAGCAAGCTTGGTGGGCATGCGGAGGTGGGCATCGAGCTAGAAAAGAGCCAACATCCCAAGCTTGCGTTTCCGATTGCTCGGGTGGGCCAACGGCACAGCCGCACAGCTCAGGGATACCGCTGTCGGTGGGGCTAGCACTGTATGTAGCAGGCACACCAGACCTGCCATTTCATATTCTCGGACTGGCAAGTTCCCAAACCGAGGCTTTGTCATGTCCTCATTCTCGAACGAGGAGGCAGGATTCAATTGAGTAATTCTTCAAGAGATGACGTCTGATAAAGCCTAGCCCACGTTATTTGGAACTGGGCCTCCAATGAGCTCCTCCATCTTCTCCAAGCTTGCATTCCTCGACACCGGATCAACAACAGCACGAGTCCTCCGGACCAGGTCGCATGTCTCCTCATAGCTCTTTTGACTCCCCAGCTGGTGCACCGATTTCAGTATACAGGCGGCATCGTACCCGTACTCTCCATATTCCATTAGTCCTTTGAAAATGGGAAGTTGGCGGTTGCGTCCGCAAAATGCCTGATGACGTTCCTTCAATGTCCTCCGCGAGCAGAGGATCCAGAGCGGCATGGCCTCACTCTCTGCGTCAAGCACAACTTGATAATCCGTCAGCTCTGTGGGCGGCCCAAGGGAGCTGAGAGTGTTTGTGTGGCGAAACTCGGTGCGAACTGCAAGGGGACCAAGCGGGATTACAAATCGTGGAAGCTCAGCATCTTGTTGTATGGGTTCTTCGGAAATACTTCCTCGGTACATGACATGGACAAGAGGCCTGGCTCGTTCATTAAATGGTATTGGGTCTCTTGGGCAGACTGTATAGACCAGGTTGTCTGAGAGATATAGGGGTAATTGGTATTCGTCGCCAGTATCCTCATCTCTGAACAAAGGGACTTTAACTGAGACAAAACTCCCTGGCGCATGCTTGAGCGTTGTAAAATCGCTACGGCTCAGCCTCGCCAGCTTTTGCAGCCACTGCCGAGTGGTAGGATTATTGTGGAGTTTTTCGTTTGATACACTCTCCTCGGCCCAATGGACGTGCGAAGTTGCCCAATCGGACCACTCATCGATATAAGGGCTTTCATAGTCGAGAAGCTCGTCCCAGTGGTCATCGTGCCATTCCAGTGGGAATTCTTGGACGCTTCCTTCATCGCTAAGGTTCGGTCCATCCTTATCGCCCGTATCTGAGCTACTGCTGCTGCTGCTGCTGTCTCTTCTTCTAGAGGCGAGATACGGACGAGATGCTAGCGATGATCAATCAGTAATGTCGTCTCAAGACCGACCTTCGATTTTTGGTGTTTGTTTTTAACTTAGCTAGGGCAAGTCTGATTGCGGGCTGGGACCGACCTGAAGGAGTAAAGGGGTGCAAGATTGGTTGCGCTGCCATAATGATGTGATTAGAAAATGAAATCTCTCTAGAAATGTGTGCAGACCAAAAGATGGTTCAGGGCGTGTTTTCTGGATGCCTAGAATTTGAAGAGGGACGAACCCCCCCCCCCCCCCACGTTTCAAATGGTCAGGCTCCAGAACATGCAGACAGGGCATCCATAGGCGGACCTGGTATCGTAAAACTTGTTGGGGCTACTGTGCATGATCTGCGAATGTTGGTCTGCGTCTCCGAGTGGAGTTGATGATACTAGGACTAAAATAGTCGGCAGACGAGAGATCGGTGTTCGTTCAATGTCATGAGCATTGCTTCGGACGTTTTCCGAAGAACATTTCGCTTTCTCTATCTTTGCACGTGGGTGGGGTCCGATGGTAGCTGGTAGCGATTGTTGAAGCCCTGCCACTACGACAGCAATCCATTATGGCTTCTCACTGCCTGAAAAATCTCCATTTTGACTGTACTGCATACTTCACCTCAGCAAATATTCTCGCAGTTCCGTCTGCTATGTATTTCGACATCATTCAGCTCATGAGCAATGGATTTGGATGATGACAACCTGGAGCGGCTGCTCCGAGTCCTGGACCCCAACCGGCCACCAAAGGCGCCACCATATTTCTGGTCTCCACCAGCGGACCCTTACAGGCCCTCGCTGCCCTACATGCCGGGCTTCAAGGCACAGATCCAATCCCATGTGGCCCCTTCCCCTTTTAGCGATGGAGAAATGTACGGCCCTTGGCCGCGGAAGCAGCTGTCCAATGCCGAGTTGGAGACCGTGACGCAGAGCGCTCTCGTCATGTCACACCCACCACTAGAGGCAACGACAGCGCTATCCGACACAGAGATCCCGTTGGAGACGGCCCAGTTTACTATTACCTCGCATATCAGCGTCGGCTGCGAGGCTGGCGCCCAGGTCGTCGTCTGCACCGTCGCGAAGGATGGCAAGTCGCCTTTCGAGGCTGTCGCCAAGATTTTTGACGCGCTCTACTATCGCTTCAGCCACAGCATAGCTTCGCGGCCGCGCGATGTCACGGCTGAGGCGGATAAGGACTACGCCGCTGAAGCCGCTGCGTACGAACGCCTTACCAGCGTCGGTAGAGCAAGCAAGGTTACTCCGACATACTACGGGTCATGGACATTCAACCTACCTATTTTGAGCATGGGTGTACAACAGATGAGGCCAGTACGCCTTGTGCTTATAGAGCACCTGCAAGGATCAAATCTCCGGGCTTGCGGATCCAAAACAGTGCTCAGATTCATGACGGCCCAGACTCGTTTCACCTGTCCGAGGACTATTGTCTTGAAGTACTCGCACACGCCATGAACGCCTACGTGCGTGTACTGCACTGTGGCGTTGAGCAAAACGATTTCGCCTCGCGTAATTTTCTAGTCTGTCCTAAGGATACTAACATTAATGCGGACATCACTGGTACCAGTATGCCTCGCGTTACTCTCATCGACTATAACACGGCGATTGTTTACAGCCGTACCCGCTACGGGACGAGTATGGAGGAGACTTTAGCTTTGCCTGTGAACCCTATGCAGTGGTTCTGGAAACAAGCTGTGGGTGGAGATTTTCCCGGCTGGGTGCCACGAGACTGGGAGGGCTCTCGAAAGCCAATGCAGGAGTGGCTTGTGCAGACATTTGGCAGTGAGGAACAGCGGGCGTTGTATGAACCTGTCGCCAAGGAGCTCAAGTTCGATGAATGGTAATCGGTAGATGAGACGTGACAGGAATGAGTTGAAAGCCCAGCAAAGGTCAAAAATTAAAGGACTATGAATGCATTAAAGATTTTCAGGATTTCACTATATGATTGTATATTCATCAATATATACGTCTCCTTGATGATAGCAATCTACGTGCTAATAGGGGTGACCTAGCTACCCGTTCTCGGTGCCTGTACGTGATCGAATCCGGGTACGCGTGTATCATCGCCCATCCGACTCTCGCGCAGGTCCTGCATCACCCACAGCACCGTGTCGCCCTCCACCGTGTCGATCGTCCCGCGCTGCTTGAGCTGCTGCTTCGACAGCTACTCCTCCGGCCTCATAGTAGTTCGAAAACTGGCAGGGCCTAAACTTGTTCAAGGTAGAAGGCCCCGCAATCTAATTTTGGAGCACCCCATAAAATAACGCTTTGCCTAAGTCATCAAGCAGCAAGCTGAAAGATGCATGTGGAGCAAATTGGGTAGTACCGAACATCTGAGCGCTGCAATGGCACGCTATGCGTAAGCAATTGGGTGACAACGGGATAGTCTCACCGCATCATTCGCTTTAGAACTAAAGCGAACTACCAAATGTGCGCCACGGCTGATTTTTGAGGTGTCATGTCAGCCCTTGAGACCTATCTGACTGCTGATCTTTCTCAAAGCAGAACGAATCTTCCTATTTCAGAGCGAAAATAACAATAGAGCCTGATCATGCTGTTAAAGACATTTGTCTTCCGCCGGACTCTCTTCAAACCTCCCATACTTTTTGGCTCAACAGTCCTACCCGAATCTGGACATGATATAACCAAAAGTCATGATGGCAAATCAACATTTATCACGCTTTCGGTACACAATCGAGCGACCGTACCCTTTTCGCTGGTTCACTCCACTCATCACAATCTCCGGCATTGCTGCAGTCGCTCTTTTTACATTCGTCAACATCGCCGCCGACGGGTACACACAGAGTGTGATTTATACAACGAATCCGAATTCGACACTGGAAGAGCACCATTGGTATCTCAGCCCCCCATGGTCCTGGATCAGTACGGCTCGTTCCTCGTGTCAGTCTCCAGGTATTTCCATAGGCAATTCTTACTACACATCGAATCAGCAGACTGGCAGCTATACTGTTACGATGATGAACACTACCTTGGGCCCAGACGACAATGCCGTCTATCCAGGTCTCAACTCCAAGACTCTTGGCATCACAAGTTATCTGAATAATACACTTTATGGCTGTCAAATGAGGGACCTAATGGTAGTTTTCACATCGCAGCAGCAAGCAAGCTCTGCCAAGCTACAGATTCAGGTACGCCGCTCATCCTTGGGAGTCCTCCAGTACACCTGAAAGTTAATTCCGGAGCAGACTGGACCAATTTACTGCCAATTTGAGACCGAAATTCCCGTCAATATCACCATCGAACAGTCATTTAGTGGGACCGAGTTTCTCTTCGAGCAACGGTCGAGTTTGAGTCAATGGTCTGTGTACAACTTCATGTGAGTATCCTCTGCATCGTTTGGTATTTTGAAACCGAACTTTCTACTACAGAACTGAGGACTGGACTGATTTCAATCATGCATATGAATTACTAGGCGATCTAGTTTTGATGCGCTCATGGACGAGATTCAAGACCTGAACGACACCATCGAGTATACTGGAACCACTCTAAGTGCGTCGTTACACTAAGTCCGCTGAAATTCTCTCGCTAATTAGATTTAACCACATAACAGGCCTGAAGACAACAGGATCTGGAGACATCACCGCAGATGACTTCTTTTCTGCAACAATATTGAGTCCCGGACAGAGCGCGAGTCTCGTCTCTCCATCAAACAATACGAAAGACGAGGAGTCATTCCCATTGGCTCAGGTCGAGCCCAGAAACCTAGGCAGGCTCCTAGATGCATTTGTGAAGTCTTATTATTCAGTGGTCATGTGGGACCTGAACTTCGACCAAAGGCAAAATGCGTTTGCCTCTGAAGTTTCAACGGATTATCTTGTGAACACTATTATGGATGCGGCCGCGAATACCTCGATGGACCCAAGCCCGATCCTCGGCTCAACTGACTTAGTTGGTAGCCACGCACGATTTGAGATGCAATACATCTGCTCAGTGCCACGGAAGAAGGACACAGGCTCCCTGATCATCTCAGTTGCTGTGTCCAACATCGTCCTCCTCTGCGTCTTCTGGAACATTTTCAACTGGTTGACACTCAGATTTTTACGGAGCCGCGATCCGAACTGGGATATCTGTCGTGGTTGCCTTCTCAATAACGAATCGTCTCGAAGCAAAGCTAGGGTCAAAGTGATGGACCTGGAGAAGGATCCGCTCTGCGAAAACGAGGACGCCGCGCAAGAGACCGCACTATATGGCAGGCAACGAAGTCAAGAGCCAGGTCGGAAACTCTGGAAAATTTCTATCGCGCGGACAGGTTCAATCAGCGTCAGGAGCTCGCAAAGTACGTTGCGAACTCTTGCATGCAGTGAAGGAAAAGTTGATGGTGGGAGTGATGAGAATGTGGGGTCAGAAGGGAACACCAAAAAGTCCTAAGGCGGAAACAAATATTCGAATCTCTTCTATTCCGTCACTGAATACTCTCAATTATCATTAATCGCTCCTGTTCAAGGATGGGGGCTTGACGTCGAGTCGATGCATGCCAATGTGCAACCTAGGTCAGTAAAGACTTGTAGATCCTCGAGCTCGCCTCTTAACGTCTAAAAGATACACAAAAGGCGCCACACATCGATCTTGGTCCTCCCATTGGTATGTAATCTGCAAGGCCTCATCGCAATTCACAATGTCTGCGAAAGACATAAAAAACTCATGAATTGGCCCCACACTTAGGTGGCGTAGCGGCTGAGGCTTCCTCGGCGTTTACACCGTGAGCCACTGCTCCTTCCCCGACTCGAAGCACTGCCAAATTTAGTCAAGGGGGCGGATCATGTGCCCTCCTTCACTCTCAGCCGGTCTTGAAATTGAACTGGTTACTTGGTAGTGTGTCCTTTTGCAAAGTTTGGAAGATATAGGAGCGAAACGAAAGCTGCCAGGTACTTATAAAATGCCTCATGATTTAAGGGCTAGTGCTCAAATACTAGCAAAATAGAATCAGGCAAATAAGATCAGATGAAGGCATCATAAGTGAAAAGGAATTTATGGGGCGGAAAGTAACGGACTCTTCTTGACGGGCTTCATCAAAGGCAGCACATCTCACTGACGCCCTCGCTCACTTTCAGAATTACTTCTATTTCAGGTTGGACACCACTTCTGCTACGTTGGATACTATATGAGTTCGACGAATAAACAGACAATGATGTTCAAGTTGACGCAGGGGGCAAAATGAGAGTCAGTTCTAGTTGCTACCGGCTGGTATGGCTACAAGCGCGATGAGCATGCCAAGAGGTGCCAACTAGCGAGGGATTCGAGCACCCCCAGCCATAGAAATTGTGTCGACCTGAGGTTGATGGAAGTCGTTGTAGACCTGGCTTGTCTAGCAGCGGAGATTGAGCCTCAATAAGTGATCTGCCATTGATTGGAGACTGATTTAGACATCATTCAGGTTGGCATATTGGTCAAAACCCAGAAAACTCTTAGATCACATCTGCTTTCTTCAAGAAAGCCTTCCTTTTCAGACTCCTACTCCAGGACGCCCTCGATAATGACTTTAAACACATCGGACCGCCCAGCTTTGACTAATTCAAATGCCTCCTCAGCCTGGTCAAACCTGTACCGGTGGGTGATTAATCTCTTGACATCAACCTTGCCGCCTGAGAGAAGCTCGATAGCAGCCGCGTAGCTCCCGGCCTTGTATCTGATCGAGCCCTTGACAGACAGCGCCTTGGTGCAGACAGCTGTGATCGGGAATGCAACCACTTCCTTGCCCATACCAGCCTGTACGAACGTTCCGCCCTTCTTCGCTGCAAACACGCCGAGCTGGATACACGCCTCGGCGCCGGAACACTCGAGCACGACATCAGCGCCATCACCCAGACCCAATTCCTGGTTCATCTTCGCCGCGACAGCCTCTGCATGGACTATCGGGTCGATGCCTGCTTCAGCGCGCGGGGGGATATATGTTGCGTCAGTCCCAAAGCTCCTCGCAACTTCAAGCCTTTTCTCGACGACATCGACCCCAACAACTCTGGACGCACCCCAGAGCTTCGCCACGGCCTGGCACAATACCCCAATCGGACCACAGCCCAGCACAAGCACGGTCTGATGCGGTCTCAGCTCAGACGTCTCACACACAGCACAGGCAACAGAGAGAGGCTCCACCATGGCCGCCTCCTCCATCGACACACTATCCGGAACTTTGTAACAAAAGTCCGAGGCGTTGATGTAGTACTTGGCCAGCGTCCCATCGGTCGGTGGCATTGCGGCAAAGATCATGTTGAGGCATATGAAGTAATTGCCGTTGCGGCAGTAGCTGCACCGACGGCACGGAATGCCGGGTTCCATGGCGACCCTGTCGCCCGGTTTGAGGTGCTTGACATCTTGGCCAACCTCGACGACGACGCCTGAGGATTCATGGCCTAGAACCATGGGGCCTGTGACAACGTACTCGCCGATTCGGCCTCTTTGCCAGCTGAGGGCAACGTTAGTGTGGGAGTGAAGAGACGACTTGGGTTGACTTGCTAGTGGACATCACTGCCGCAAATTCCGGTTTGTGAGACGTGAACGAGTACATCGTGGCCGTCATTGAGTTGGGGTCTTGGCCTGTCTTCGATGACAACCTGTTTGACATCCTTGAGGACGAAAGATGGGTTCTGTTCAAAAGTCAGAGGAATAATGAGATTTTGGCGAATCTTTGGCGTACCTGCATGTTTGGAAATGGTCCTGAAAGTGCCCACGTTGTGTTCTGTTGATATCTACTTGGTTTTCCCCTCATGACCAGTGAGCGCGACCTCTTTATGTCGAAGCCATCTATGTCACTGGTGCATAGAATGCTGCTTTAACTGCTGAGCAAAAGTTCTAAGCGCTTCCCAAAGTTCTTTTGCAAAAAGGACCACTTATGCGTCTTGGCTTGTCGTAGCTGTGATGTCGATCGCAGGTATCAAGACCGACATCCCCACTCCCTCGCTCGGTATACGAGCCGCCTAAAATTCCCGAAACGGAAACTTTCACGACGGACGGCCTGCGTTGAACAAGTGCTGCGAACCCCGCCATTCGGTTGTCGCCACGTTTGTGGAACAATCGATCATATGTTCTTCGCTCGTACGCACAGTCATGATCTTTTCGGCATGAAGAATCGCTCTCATCCGCTAACGAGCTGTGAGGGGGCGTCATGAAATCAGAAGCTGGGCACCAAGCACAGCAAGTGACGGCGGAAAAGACTCGCAGCTCTCCCGCTGCTTCCACAGCCCAGAGCATATTTATTCTTGGCACATATTCTCTGTGCATATGCCGAGATTCCCGGTCATCAATAGTTCATCCACGGCCATGGCTGAACTGAAGTTCTGGTGATCAAGGTGATGCAAGGCTCAGTAAATCATTCCCAACCCCCCACTCCTGAAGCAAAGCTTCGACCCGGTACCCAGTAGCAATGCCCAGATCATCTTGAATCTCCCTGAGCATTTCCACCAACCTCCTCCTATCCTCCGTTTGAGTACAACACCTCCCAGCAATATACAGTGGCTGGACAGCTCGAAGCCTTACAGCATCACAAGGTGTCCCACGCGCAATCGAGACCACCTCGGACGCGTGGCGCTGCAGCCTGTGTTCAACGTCACGAAATGCTCGCAAGAGATCAAAAGAAGCACGAGCTCCTACCGAAGACTCGCCCGGAAGTAGTTCTGACGGGCGGTGAATAAGAAGCAGCATGCAGGCCATATGATAGTACATCATTGTGGTGGCGCAGAGGTCGTTGCTGAACCAGAGTTCTCGACCAAAGAGATTAGAGACGTCGACGCTTGCAGGGCGGTGCGTGAAAAAGGTACCATCAGCGAGGAAACATGAAGAGATGGTCTGGAACCAAGCCTGAAAGTGGTCCTCGAGATCTATGAAGGCTTTTCTCGGCTGAACAAGCATAGTCTCGAGGTGTGATGTGGGTGCCAGGTAATTGACCAACTTGCATAAGTAACGGATGAGGGTGTATGACAAAGCCTTGTCCCTCGCGTGCTCGGCTGTGTTTGCGAGGCTGTTTGGGCTGGCGTCGGTAGTTAGGCTCCCGTCATCCTCGATCAAAAGGCCCATGTTGCGCCATAGTGCAAAATTCTCCGTATCGATGCGCGTTCTTCTGTGTGAGACGACTGCAGATTGGATCAGCCAACAAGCAATACTGCCTTGGACCGTTGCTCAACTGACAGGACTCCTCAAGGTCATTCACCACGAAGTTCCAAAATGCAGCTTTGACCTGCATGACGTCTTTAGTGAACGGATAGACCGCCTCGAACATCGGGTCTGGGTGGAGCAGCCTCCTATCATCGATGAGGTCAAGAAGCTTGGAGAATTCAAACAGGTGACCTGACCACGCGTCTCTGTTTGCGCTGATCTGCTCATATTGGATAAGGATGCATGTCCCAAGTAGTCTCACAATTGGATCTTCCCCATCTGCTCGTACCATCAGGTTACCCGAGGACAGCGACGCCGGTGAGGAGGCGTAATTCTGGGCAGGATGTTCTGATGTTATGGATTTGACCAGTGTTTGAATCGCCTTTTCGTAGTATTTCGCTCCGTACCATATCAGGCCAAGCGGGCCATGTTGAAGCTTAGCGGCGATCTTCTGTTGAGTCTTGCCAATAATGATAGTTGATAAGGGGCTTCGCATCTGACCCAGTTGTTTTGCAGCAACTGCGCACGCTGCGTAGCGGAGTATTGGATGTTCTCGGGCTAGAGTTAAGACTTCCCGGCTGAAGACCTCGTAGCGATACAACAAGTCCATCCTGTTCAGGGACCTCAGCCAATAATCATACAATAAATCGTCAAAAAGCCATACCATGGAGCTATGCATTCCGAGTAATGCCTTAGAAGGAATAATTCCTCTGGGGTATTCCTGAGAATGTCGATTTCGGAAGCATTGAGCTCTGCGGAAGCCTCTCCGACATGATTTCCCGTGCCTGACTCCGAGTTGACTTGGTCTGAGTACCCAATATCCTCGGACAGCGAGGGTTGCCTCGCGATGGTACCGGCAAGCGTTGTCTGCTCATTGGCGATTTGGGAGTCGTTTCCCCCCGATATCTCCGCTTGATTGATTCTGGGATTAACCTGTGAACTATCTAGGTCGAACACGGATGCGTTTGCTTCAACCAATCCTTAGTCTTCAGGAGTCGGAGACCGTGAGCGCACAGAAGCCTCTCGCTTACCGGATAGGTGTGTGCTAAGGACATGGCCTGGTACAGCTTTGGAAATAGCAGCAGCTTCATTCAAGTTGTCTCGGTCTCCTTGATCACCTTGAAATGAGTTATTGAACCGAGTCGAAAGTTCATGTTGCTTGAATATTGAATCTTGCAGTCGGCAATTGCGGTTGGCCCTTCGACATTGACCGCACCGGGGCTGTTGCTCGTCACATTTGATCTTGCGCTTGCGACATTCTGGGCTGCATGACCATCAGCGGATGCCGTGCACAGTCGAAACAAACTACACGACTTACCACCCTTTCCTTGATCGCTTCTGACCCCGATCTCGCTCCGAGGATATGGGTCTGCTTCTTGTGTGCGGCATTATTTGGTTTTGACACCATGCTGCAGACTCGGCAACAACAACGTCGCACAAAATTCTAGATTTGGCAGGAAAGGTTGGGAACCGAACAGAATAGCAAGTTCGTTGTCCCCTCACTAGCTGGTTTGCTCGATCTCGCGTGAGAAGACGTCGCATAATATTCCCAAAACCGTTAGCTTGGCTTAACGGAAGCTAGACCATTGGTAGGACAAGGTCTACCCCAGCATTTGTTCCTATGATGTGACGGCAACCCCATGGGGAACACATTTGTAGGCTGTCCCACCCCTGTCAGTCATGACCCCATAATGTTATTCCCTGAGAGCATCTGTATATAACTCAAGGAGAGCCTTCAAAAGTCAGTGGTTTTTGGATATATGATAGCAGTTCGTCCTGACACATTCGGAAAGCAATTCACACGACTCTTGGAAATTCACCCCTTGCAACCCACAATCATGACTGTATCGAAACAAAAGCGACCGTATTTCGGGCTAACGGGAAAATGGCTGACGTATTGGATCACCTTTGCCTGCAGTGTTGACATGCTCCTCTTCGGCTACGATCAAGCGTAGGTAGCCTCTTACAAATTTCGCTACTTGGTCCTGACCATGGTGGGGCGGAACAGGTCATTCAGCGGTGTCATTGTAACCGACAACTTTCTTGAACTTCACGATCTCGTCGGCCCTGAGAAGACTCAGATGCTTTCCACCGTCACAGCAATCTACGATATAGGCTGTTTCGTGGGAGCCGTGGTGGCCTTCACGATTGGCGAACGGCTAGGACGAACCAAATCCATAATCGTTGGAACGATGATCATGAGCGTAGGAGCCATACTCATGTGCTCGTCGTTTAGTCTGGCGCAAATGTTTGTTGGCCGCATAGTTTTGGGGTAAGTGATGAAAATTCTAGTCACCTTCTCAGCGAATAGTAAACCCGAAGGTGCTAACCTTTTCCTCCACGGCAGTATTGGCAACGGTATCAACACATCCACTGCTCCGATCTGGCAGACTGAGACTGCTCCTGCGCATTGGCGAGGCAAGTTGGTCATGTTCGAGATGATGATGAACATCGCGGGGTTCTCCTTGTGCAACTGGATCAATTATGGCCTGTCATTTGCTGGTGGCGCTGTTGCATGGAGATTTCCCCTCGCGTTCCAGTTTATCTTCATCATTGCGCTATTTGCAACCGTGCCCTGGCTTCCTGAATCCCCTAGATGGCTGATGTCTCATGAACACGAGGCCAAGGCAACCAAAGTACTGGCTTGCCTAGAGGCGAAGCCCGAGGACGATGCCTTCGTCGTTCTGCAGAGAGACGAGATTCGATTTAGCATCAACTACGAGCGTGAGCACCAGATCAGATGGCGAGATCTTTTGCGGCCTCAACCCGAGGCGACCAAGCCACTACGGCGACTTATTCTGGGAGCCGGCACCCAGTTTATACAACAATTTGAAGGTACGTGACTCGTTTGAAATACATCAAGGTACTAACAGTTTCGAAGGAATCAATATCATGTCCTATTACCTGCCCACAGTTTTGATCACGGCTGTGGGGCTACCAACCGAGCTAGCTCGGCTCTTGACAGCAGTCAACTCCGTGACATACTTGATCTTCTCCTGCGTCTCGGTTACTCTTGTTGAGAAATGGGGTCGCAGGGGCTTGATGCTCATTTCCACTACGGGACAGGGTCTTGCATTCCTGGTCATCACCATCCTCCTCAGATTCGGCGAGGCGGGAGGGAACCGGAAGGCAGCAGAAGGATCCATCGTCTTCTTCTTTTTGTATTACATCGCATTTGGCTTGGGCATGTTGGGAATCCTCTGGCTTTACCCTACTGAAATCAATTCCATCGCCATGCGTACTAAAGGAGCCGCTGTAGCAACTGCCACGAATTGGTAAGATCTGTTGTGTGACGGAGAGGACTCCACGACCAGACTGACAATTTTGATCAGGATCACGAACTACGTAATAGTTCAAATTACACCGATCGGGATTCAAAACCTAGGTTGGAAATTCTGGATTGTCTTCACAGTCTTGAATGCTGCCTTTCTGCCTATCATTTATCTCTTCTATCCGGAAACAGGTTCGTCTTGCCTATTGCAAGTAGTGGCGAGAACCCAGACTGACACGAAGCTCCTAGCCGATCGCACACTGGAGGATCTTGACGAGTACTACCGCAACAACCCACCACTAGTTGTAATTGGCGATAAAGACGCCGTTGCGAGCAAAAGGCCTCAGAAATACTTTGATCATGAAGAAGCTCAGATGGAACGCTTTGTCCACGAGGATGGTGTCATTGATGTGGCAAACAAGAAGGCATCGCACAGCGAAGCACATCATGTAGAATGAATTTCTGGGATCCGCGGGTGCTTCGGGAGATTGTTTAAGCCATGTCGTAACATCTTCAGTGTCAGTTTACAAGGGTAAAGCCTCAATTTAGTCAGAGAAAGGACATCACTGAGTCCAAGCCTGAACTTTGTCAACTTTAGAAGTCTTGCTGGATTCCATATGCCTCCATAGTATCACATTTCATGTTCCGCGTGTATCTCCTGTTTACATATCTCAATGGTGTTTGCTTCTTTTGGATGTTCTCTGTTTTTTGTTACGTGAATTTGCAAACCGAAATTATTCTCGTCCTCGTATTGGCATCAAGGCAACAAAAGCGACACAACTTGGAGAACGAGACTTGAAACATAGTGGCGTTTACTCGTCAAACTATCTGCATTACTCGAAAAAAGCCTGATTTTAAAATGAATCTAAGATCTAGATGTAAACTCTCTCTATGTCAGTGTGTATCCTCCATCCACGATGATGTCCGCGCCCGTCATATAGCAACAAGCATCGCTGGCCAAGAAAACATAGACCTTCAACACGTTCTCGTCAGCCTAGGCTCATTACACACAATTTGGAGGGGACTCACGCCTTTGAGTTCTGATGTCTCAGCCATTCGCTTGCCAGGGATCATTTCCATCCATTTCTTGAACCGTTCTTCTGGTTGTGTGTATAGCACTAGGTCGAGTAAGAATCTGATAAGCCCGGTTTTGGCGTTGCGTAACTTACTGTCTGTTTCAATAAAGCCCGGAGACACGCAGTTTACTCTGGCGAAGTCCACCCACTCGACTGCAAGACTCTTTGCCAGGTGCACAGCCGCCGCCTTGGAAGAATTGTACGCAGCCTGTCGCTGTGGGATGTTGACGAGGGTCGCGCTGACCGATGTTGTTATGATCAAGTTACCCCGTCCTTGCTGTTTGAAAACCTTCCCAGCGGCTTGCGCAGTCCACATGACTCCATCGAGGTTGACACTGTTGTTTTCTTTCCACGTCTCCTCCGTGTACTCGAGACTTGAAATGTCAGCACAGACGCCGGAGTTAGCAACCATCACATCCAAGCGCCCAAAGTCGGCCACGATTTGGTCAACTGTTGCGGCTATCGAGGCGCGAGACCGCACATCGCTCTGGTAGGCCAGAACCTTTACCCCCGTGTCCTTTGCGATTTGAGTAGCGGTGTCCTCAGCTTGTTTATTTGTCGAATAAATGAGAGCAACATCGGCGCCGGCTTCAGCTAGACCCTTTACGATCTCGAGGCCAATGCCTCTGGCACCTCCTGTGACAGCAGCGACTTTCCCTTTCAAAGAGAACTGCGAAAGCACAGGTGTGTTGGGGTTGGGTGGCTTGTACAGAGGCATGATGGTTAGAGTCTGCCCGTTGGATTTCGATGAAAGAAAAGCTATCGTTGATGAAGTTAAATACCTCCCAGGATGGAGAATAGGTACTTGACTCTTTTCATTCGGCCACGCTTGCCTGCAAAACAAGAGTCAGTCGGTCAGGGAGTTGAGAAGAGCTCGGGAGTTTGGCCCCGAGTATTGCCGAGACCAGTCAAGTCTCTCCCGCCTCTACTGCCGAATACGGCAATTTATGCGCCTAGCATCACTCTGCGGGGTGCACGGCTCCACGCCGTGCTTGCTCCACCACAGATCCAACGTCATGCAGCAATTTTGAATGTTCCTCGTTCAATACTTTAAAAGCTCTACATGCCATTCTCCAAGCGCATAGACGTACGAGTTTAATATTATACCCGAGCCCTTTGTCTTGTCAATCAGCATATCGGCACTCAAGACGCCTTTGTAGAGCGTTCCTAAGACAAAAGCCGCGCAAGCCCAGTCTAAGATATTTTGTTATTCTTATTGGAAGGGCCTATGGATGCAACCTGCTTCATGCGAATGAGGAGCGATCAAATGCAGAAGGAGCTCCTCATTTCAATCTGTTATCGAACCGGGAGGTCGCAAAATCGCCAAGGCATCCGATAGCCGCGCTCCAAGATTCGTAGCAGAAAGCATTGTGGAGGGCCAGATGCTGAATCAAAAACATCAGCTGGCCTCGAAAATAAATAATGTATGCTGCATAGAACGCCTGACACATGTGTGACTATGCCAGTGAGTTCTCGGAATCTCCGCCTCAGTAGAAGCGCATTCTTCATTGATTCTCATACATACTGGACGACACGTTTTCATGCGCCGAAACCTCTTGGCTCTTATCATTTCCGGACGAGACATTATGGAAGCCGTCATTATAGATCCATTTTCGTGATTATAAACAGCGAAAACAAACCCAAATAAGCAAACCTCTTTCCCCTGGGCATATGTCTATCACACAGTGGTAAAGGTAAAAGCAAAAATGAAATTTTGCTGCGTTGGCGGAAGCTGTCAAACGTCATGTTACCATTATGTTTTGGTGATTCTATATTCTGCCTGCATAGGAGGCGTTGGGGAAGGCTCGTTTATGAAGTCTCCGAATGCATTCAATGTCAGCTTGCTCTTCGAAATGTTCACGATGAAGTCATTGTTTTCGCTTCATTGTAACGGGAGAGTAGACCGCAATTTTCATTCTCATATAAACTTCCTTGTTTGCTATTCATCTGTTCCAAAGCCGAGCTCTCTCGGGCCCTCAACAACCCTGACAAGATTCTGGCTTGTATATCACACCGCCACAAGGTATGGGTGCATTTAGCAAGCCCCCTCGCAGCCAGGGAACCTGTCCATGCAGGTAGTGTTGCAACACTGCTCCCGACCACCGCAATCATTGATGCAGCAGGCAACAACGCCATCACAGTCACAGGCGCGGCGGAACAAGTACTTAGGCGATGCTTCACGCGCCTCTGTTAGACATCAAGTAGTCAGATTTATTGTATCAAAGATCAAGGGGTGAATAATTCCATACCGGTGATACGCTCGTTGGGCCGGGCAGCAGCGAGGCCCATCATAGTGACGGCAATGGAGAAGATGGCGAAGAAACGCATTTTGATAGATTTGAATTGTGGTTTTCTCTTAAGATTTTTGATGACTTGGTAGAATGAAGCTCGTAAGTCGAATGATGATTATGATGATGCGATTTTGAGTAGATATTGCGTGTCTGTTGTGGTCTCTTTTATATTCTTTTCTCCCCTCAGCTAATGCATTATTGTTGCTCTAATTTGATGTTCGTTGACTAAGTTGTTGATGCTGTATCCGAGCTCACTACCTGTAACTATCCGAAGGGGCTATGCCAACTGTTCTTGGCTTGTACGTAAGCTGATCAAACGTCAGCTTCACCAAAATGTCTAGCAACCTATCAACATGTCGACTTCTCTTCTCAAGGCTCTACTACCAGAGTTCAGCTTTGTGCAGTACTTTAACTCGCACAAAAGTAGGCAGATCATCGTGGGATTCTGTCGGCCAAGGTATTCATGTCTTACAAGATCGGCACTTGAGGACCTCCTGAGACCAACAACCGCCGAAGGCAGACCTGCTGCGGTTTTCAGCTCTTCGGACTCATCTCGTCGGACTTTGCTCGAGGATTCAATGTCTCACACAGATGCACCATGATGCCGCCATTACGAAATGGACTACGCCATGCAATGATTATATCCCTCTCGGAACCAGAGGCCAAGTGCAGCAAGTCGCCGAATAGGCCGACAACTGGCCTCGAGGCTGTGGTCCGAAGGGATCATGGTTGTTTGCGAGGTGTCAATCTCTCCAGAATGATCTGCAACGAGGAGAATCCTTTGAAAATCTTACTGATCAACCCGATTCTCAGGCTCGTCTCAGGCTCGGTCTTGTTCCTGGGCATTGGCCGAAGAGGGCGCGGAGTGCTGTGGTGACCGAATGGGGTGGTAGTGCGACGAGAAGAGACTGCTGGCGGAATGGAGATAATTGACTATAGAAGGGCATTAGCTTTGCAGGTTAGGTTCGACTTCTCGCGTCTATACGCTCGGGTCTTGTTTCTCGTTCTTGGTCTTGTATCTAGCCTGCATCCTTTGGACTCGACGGAGCACAAACAGAGGCAAGATCGACAACGTGGCGGACCCTTGCAGATTTCGAGCTTGCTCTCGAAATGATTTGAAATGCTGACCTGGCCAGCCTATTTCTTGAACGCGGCGTGAGCGTGGATGATGCAGACGCAGATAGCAACACGATGCTAGGTCGAATACAGCGGATCGAACTCGGTTAGTCACTGCACCTGCTAGGATAAGAGCGCGGGCAGTGAGCCGGCGTCCGTTGAGCTGGCCAGTGTTGTGAAAGGTCTGGTACTGTAAAGTTCCTTTCCGCTAGAGACTTTCGCTTAGGCTTTGCGAGGGCATCGCACTGGCTAATGTGACGCCTGGCGGCGAGCGATGGTGCTAAGATGGATGGGGTAGTAAGGCTGAGGGCGAGGATTGTGGACTGCGTTTTGATGTGGGTATTGTATGAAGCGTTTTAGTGTTTAAAGCTGTGAGACTCTCAAGCTCTGCGACTGAAACCTTGAGGGGGCTGTTTTATGTCAAAAGCTGGCGTCGTCCACTATACCCCTTGACCTATCTTAGTGCGTTGCTCTTCTGTCTGTCAAAATCGTCCACCGCTTGAAGCAGCGCCGCGGCCCCCCGCCCATCATAGGCGAGCGCAATCAATACTTACACCGCTTGGTACCTTGTCGGCGAGCACGACACGTGTAGGATCAATTATCAAAAGCAGGCTATCAGCCTGGATGACTTTAACTGGTGGAGCACTGGATTGAGCGGCACCTGTGGAGCTCTCTAGCTTGGGTATTATGTCTGTCTGCGTAGACATTTCACGGTACAGGCTGGACTGTCTCCGCGTGTATGTGGAGGAGAAAGGGATTTCAGATTTCGTAACGCAAAGTAATTGATATCTGCTATGTACCAAAGCGACTCCCCAAAATCTAGAAAATAAATCGGCCTCAAAGGGGCCAGCAAAAAAGCAGCTTTGAAAGTTGGCCTGTCTCTCGGTTAAATGTTTGCAACCTAAATTTGGGCAGCTAGAGCACTGAGGCCAAACTGCTGCGGTGGAACAATCACTTCCTTCTACAGTGTTCTAAACGAATCAAAACCCGTCCTTCGTTATGCGCTAATCGACGCTGTTTAGTACCGTAAGCGAGATCCGCACTGGCTTGTACCGACATGTTTATATCAATACTTACCCACCTTCAACTATTCTTGATATCAAGCTGAACCGAATTTCTCTCATTTGTGTAATTTGTGGATCTGCGCCCACTTTGGCCTTATGCAACTTGACTCCATCATCAAGACTGTCGATGGCTATGCAACCATCCCCTGTGTCAGCGTTGCGATACATTAAATTTCGCTCACTGCCTAGCTGCCCCAAAGATATGGATGGCTTTGGTAAGATGGTCGATGATGACGGCACCATTTTCTACGAGACCGAAAATGGCGAATTACTACTTGAGATCATCCGACTGGACGATGTTGGTGTTCTGGCCCGCTACCTGGAGACGAACGCGGCCCTTGGTCCTCGCGACGTACAGATGGATGACCCTTTCTGGAATGCCGTTTTCTACGGAAGTACGAATGTCCTCTGCGCGCTCCTGCAGCACTGGGATGCTACCCAGCCTTCGATTGGTACAGACATGCCTGCACCTGACAGACGGGGCTTCGGGCTGCTGCAGACGGCCTGCGAGTTTTCGCACATTGAGACTGTTCGCTTCCTGCTTAATGGCCCGTGGAGTTCTGCGTATGGGGATATTCATGCGAGAGATTGCCGAGGTTCCACAGCGCTCCTGGCCGCAGCTGGGGCCTTTTTTGGCCCTGGATTCATCCCTTCAAGGTCAATGACCGGCAAGCAAGATAGTCATGGCTCGATGCGGAGCCATCTCGTCCACGCTGAGGAAGTCATGCAACTGCTTCTTGACCGTGACGCTCGCGTCGGAGACGGGATAATCACACGAGACGGGTTGCAGGAAACGGTACTCAGCCGTGCCATCACCGGAGCAAGTTCCGCACTGGTGAAACGCCTCATCGACCAAGGAGCCGATGCGTATGCCAAGACGACATACGATTTCTTCGACGGCAGCCTTTATGGGGGATTTGGACCTGATACCATCACTCGGGATGTAAGTCCGCTTCACATGGGCAGCCTGTACTTCAACACCGCGGGTGTACGAGTCCTGCTCAACCATGCGCGAGCCACAGGAGGTGTCGACATGGTCAAGGTTCCAGATAGTCACGGCCGCCTTCCTCTCCACTGGGCAGCTTGGGGCCTGAACGAGTCGGACGAGCTCTACGGCCTTAAGGCTGATGAGATCGTGCCGCACGTCACCGCTACCATCGAGCTGCTCATGGCGGCGGCCCCTAGCACCGTGAACGCGCAAGATGATCGAGGGGACACGCCTCTGCACTACGCCGTGCGGAGACACGGGCGCTGTGGTGATAGGCATGTGGCGATCCTACGGACCTTGTGCGAGCACGGCGCAGACGCCGGTCTTGGTGGCCGTAATGGGGAGACTCCACTGCACGGCCTCGGGTTCCGCTTTCGGGACGGCGAGCCCATCGAAGCAAGGCTGATAGACCTGCTCCTCGAGCACGGTGCGAGCGTGGGCGATGCAGACGACGACGGCAACACGCCTCTGCACTTCGCGGCCAAGCACCTGGCGCATGTTGAGGCAGCACAACATCTGCTCAGCAGGGGCGCCGATGTGAGTGTTCAAAATAGTCAGGGAAACACGCCGCTGCATGAAGCAGCGCTTGGGTTCTATTCTGGTCCATTGGGCGGGTCACAGCCCCGGGAGAGGAAGCTCACACTGGAGAACCGAGTAAGGGCGCAGGACGAGATGATGAGAGTTCTCCTGCATAGTTTTTCTGAAACCAAGGCGAATGCTTTAATGAATCAGACCAATGCAGACTACGAGACGCCTCGACAGATCTGCCAGGAACGGAGGCGCAAGTGGCGGGACGAGGAGATAACTCACAAGCCCTTAGCCATGGGACGGGGTAGGAGAAGAGGATGAACAATGGAAATCTGTCGCAGCATTGCGACCAGTGGACATACTGATTTCCAAAACCAGGTCTCTAAACGCCATTTTAGCTAGCCATTTCGATAGCTTCTTTTGAAAGACGAGTCGCCAAGGGGCATATCGCATTAATCAAAAGCAGCGAAAGGCGATTGATGTTAGCAGTCGATCATTTTCAAACACATATTCATGAAGACTTAGCTACCTACTTAAAAAGCCTTTAACCAGTCAGATCCTGCATTAAATCATTCACATCATCGTCGAAGTCACTCAACAGTTTCTCGTCCTCGTTCGGATCGCCAGCGTTTGGCTGAACATCACCACCCTCCTGCCCAGCAAATGCGTCACTAGGAAGACCTACACCTGCGAGCTGGATCTCGTCCTCCTCACCCCTCTCCGTGTCCAAACTCCAGCTGTTAAGAAGTTTCAGCGTGGTGCCATTTCCTTTCGGATCCCATCCCACCTTCCGCTCCGTGCAATACGCACATCCGACCAGTTGCCACTGCGCGGCCCACACCTTACGGCCCAGAATTTGCGTCTCAGCGACTGCATCAGTGCCGTTAGCTAGCTTGATTGCGCCGTGCACTTGCAAACCCAGAATCGCCGCGGTGCCTGCCGGGTCGGGCACTGGGATGTTCGCGGACAGCCCGTTAGAAGATGACGTTGACACGGTGCGGAGGACCATGGCGTCCTCGATCAAGTAGATACCCGTCAGGAGCCAGATCTTGGGTGCGTTGAACGTGTTCTGCCACCACTTTTGGTACCGGTGGGCCACCGTCAAAATTACGCGAAGCCAGGTTCTAGCAGCACCCTCCTCCAGAAGACTTTTGAAGAAGTCTTCCGGGCTGTGAATTCAAAGAATTAATTTTGTGCCCTTGAAAAGGCGGGCTCTGGGCGGGGGCGGGGGGGGGGGGATGAAGATACATACTCGACAAGCTCGATCTTGGACCCATTTCTTCCGAAGACCCATCTTTCCATCAATTTCGACCACTTGGACTCGAAAACCAGGAGTGGGTCAAGTCCGATGCTGGCCTCTGGGGCGAAAGTCTTCCTTTGGCCCATGGTACAGTACTGGCGATGGTCTGCCGTCGCACGAGGCGGTTGCTCGAACAATTCACTGCAGCAACCTCGTCAGCTGATGGAGACTTCCCTGGATGTGCTTTATCAACCTCAGAGGGGTAGTGAATTGCTGCGTAATAGCATGTCGTACTACTCTTGTGCAGGAGCTACGAATTTATGGTCGGTGGACTCCGGCGCCTCAAGGGTTCTGTGGACAATTTCCGTGGCCAATGTCAAGCCGCGGCGTTCCAGTCACCAATCGAATGGCCCCGAAGCTTTATATATCGCTCCGATAGTTTGCATGCAGAGAGTGGCTCAAAATCGACTGACGAAGCCAGCCACGTCACGGCCGGGGTACTCACACACTTCAATCGGTACAGAGTGGCATTTATAAATTTGGTATGCAGATAGCTACTATGAAGTTCTTCGATGTTCTTATTAGCACAGTAAATTTGGCCTCGCATTCATATTGACACAGAGGTTTCAACTAATTATTAGAGGCCTTTGACGAAGCCAGACGACCATGGCGCCCCAAGAGAAGGTGACTTATTTCGGCTACAATGAGGGCATCGATCACAGCTTGCTGCGGCTGGGGACCACGGCACTCGACTATTCTGACCCAAGACAAAGATCACAGTACCGTCATCGCGAGGCTCCATGAGTAGTTTAACAGATTCGCCGAAAAGCCCGTAGCTGAGGGCAATCGTTGGACCTCATGGTCTGGATTGCTTGGCCATATGGCTAGGTAATCACCGGCCTTATACTTAATTGACCGATCTAGAGCCAGCTTCGTGATATTGGCCGCTACTATAGCACAAGTACCTGCCAATGTGGAAATCAAGTTGTTGGTTTTGCTGAGGTCGTGCAGTACCTGAGAAAATTGTAAAAATGGCCGATGGAGAAGAATAAGTGAAAAATGAAAATGCATACTTTGAGAGTAGTTAGCCTCATAGAACCATGGCAGGACGAGGCAAGCAGACCCTGTACCGTGGATGTGGGGAATTCGTAAGCCGTAGTTGAACCGTTTAATAGCGAGTAAACGGTTTAAAATTGGGAGGGGACGTTGGACTTTTTAGATTTCTGAGCAGTTTAAATCTCTAAGCAGTTTAAACCACAGTTAACGGTTTAGCCCTATATAAGCAGGTTTAGCGCAGTTTACACTTACCTACCACCTAAGCAAAAAAAGGAAATTGCTTTTTCTATATAAAATATTACTAACTTATAACTAGTAAGGCAAGGTGGAAGGGGAAAAAAGGGAAGGAAATAAAACTCTAAGAGCTTTAAAGGCCCTAACAGCAATCAAGAAAAGATCTCTAGAATATAAATCCAGCTCATAATTCAATTTCTTCTCAAGCAAAATCAATACCAAAAACTTTCCAGCTAAAATACCCTCCTTACCCCCTACTAACTGCTCCTTCCTTTAAACATTTAAGTACCTCTAAACTGCTTAAGGGTTTTAAACTGCTTAGAGATTTTTAAACCGCTTAAAAATCTAAAAAGTCCAACTTCCCCTCCCAATTTTAAACCGCTTACCTACCCCCCAGTCTGGCCGGTACAGCCTTGGACCAGGAGAGGTCGCATGGCATCTCTGGATGAAGGGAAACCGATTGCAGGATGAACACTTCAGGAGCCGAGATCTTGTTCTCGTCGTGATCAGCGAGAACTAGCTCGGCGGGTAAATCTTGATACCACTGCCACAGGTCTTTATGCATTTGTGATGCCAAAGAATGCAGTTGCGTTGCAGTGCGCTGCTTTCGTTGTCCATATAGGCTCACCATAATGAATTTCGACGTAGATATTTCATTAGGATCTGTAACAGATACAAAAGCCTCGGCTCTCTTCTCCGGGGACATTGGAGTTTGACTGCCAGTGGGGGCGTTGGAACTGGAGGAGTTGGCTGGGCTACTTAAGTAAGGAACGCAGATTGCGTCTGAGACTGGGCATCTGCACTGGGCTCGAGTACGTGTTGCGGATCGGGTTGTGAATTGGACTGATCTGTACAAGGCCTTTCGTTTGCAGATTTGGAGTCGGATATATTCTTGATCACGTCCTCCAGGGCTGCTATGCGTCGATATAATGCCTTTGAGTCTTGCGTTTGCCGGTTGCTGCGCTTGTCATCACCATATCGAACTTCACAATGCTCATTTCTGTTGCGGCAAAGAGTACATCGGGGTCCATCGGGGTCGTCGTCCGTCGCTTGGGAAATGTCGCACCGTCGCTTGTCTCTTTTGCAACGCACGCATGGGAAGGTGGCTCGGCGGGCGTGTCGGTCGCGTGTCATATTGTAGGGCAGTCCTAGTAAAATAATAAAACGAACGATGTGGTAGATCCACCCTAAACAAGAAGGAAAAATTGAGAACAAAAGAAAATCACAACGGGCAGGATTGGAACGGACTCGGTTCAGACAACCAACGAGTCGACAAAAGTTATAGGTCTGTTCTCAGAGAATGGTCAAACTTTGAGGTGAGCAGTTGTCACTCAACGATGTGGAGGTTCGCTGATCGCCTCCGCACTCCACATCAACCCCACAATCGCCGAATCTGGCAAGTCTGGTCCTTGCTGATTTCAGCTTACCAGATCTCAAGCTGGGGAAGGGCCGGGGCGCTGGTCTGTCATCTGTTGGTACCTAGGTAAGTATTGAGGCCTCTGTGCCGGGTCAAAGCAAAAAAAGTGGAATGAATGGCTTTGTTCTCACGGGATGCTTGGAGAAGGGAATGCCGCGGAAATGCGGCGGTCTTTCTCCGCAAGCCCCTAACACTCATTTGCATTCCACACTGCCAAATGTACGTTAGTAACACAACCATGTTACTACTAAAAACGGGCAACCACAGAGAATAAGGTATACACTGTGGGAGCCCCGCTCTGCCAGTCCTCTAAGGTACCTAAGAGCACACTAGCGAGGGGGTAACAAAACATCGGAAATAGGAGCTTTTAAGAGAAATAAAAGGTATCTGGGCTCTGATCGGAGCACAAATATCACAATTACACGCGATAGGTATTGGATTTTAAAAGAATGTGGGTTGGTTTGTTTGTAAAGACTGTGGTTAAAGCAACGCTCTTTTAAAGTCTTCGCCTAAGACTTGCCCCTTGATTATGTAAGCCTAAAGCTTACCCTGCACCCTGCAACACTACACAGAGGTTTTATATATTATAAGGTTATGGCTTAGCATTATCCCATGTCCCTGCTCCTTTAGACTCATCTTCATAGTAATAAATCTACCTTGTAGGAGTTATCATCAGCATAAATACAATAAACTTGCTCTTCACGCCCAGCAATAGTACACCAGCCAAGCCGGAAGACAGTATCTCGTCCCAAGTGGTCTCTAACCGCTTGCAAGTCAAGCGATTGACAATTGACCAAGCGCAAAAGCTCGATTAGATTACCGTCAACAAGAAGTGCTGCAGTATTAGCAATCGTGTTAGGACTTCGTGGAAGCGCCCCAGATCCCCCCGTAAGATAGATGAGATACCAGTTCACCAGGGAGCAGATAAGAATCCCGATGAGCAGACCTTGAAGAACCCGAGTTGAGAACTCGTTCTGGACAACCCGGTAGCGGTCTAAGGGTATTGAGCTGGTAGCATGGTACGAGGTTTCGTTGGTACCCGGAACTATTTCATATCCCCAATTATGCATGCTTATGTTGCCGCTTGGAATGCGTTCGAGGCTTGCCGCAGTGCGCTGAGCAGCAATGATTCTGTGATGAAATTTGATCGCCTCCGCCACAGTCGAAGCGTGGGACTGGTTGCCAAGCATATCCAGTGGAACCGCATAACGTGATGTGGTAAGTAATGTGAAAAACGGGTCGAACAACATATCTGTCGTGTTCGTGGACAGGTATGGAAGGCCGTTATAAAGATCGTAATCGGGGTAGTGCCCTAAATTGTAATCCACTCCCTCATTGATAAACCAGCGCATGTCCACACTGCTTGTGGCTGACTGATGCGGGATGGGGGGCCGACTCGGTTTAATGCTCAGATCCGGACCAAATAACAATGCTTCCACCTCAACGGTCTCCATGGACTCATTGCAAGCCAGTGCTGAAACGGAGATTGCCTGAGGAGAATCAACCTCCTGTATCGTTGAAGTTGACCACTGGCCCCAGACCCAAAGTCTCTGGCTGCATCCTCTGGCTTGTATACCACTTCCCCGGGTTCCTCCGCCAACCGCGAAATAAGCCTCAGCAGACAACGGAAGGTACTCAGGATGTTCATATTCATCAAACAGAGAATCAATGTCAGCCTCATCCTCAAGAGAATCGCCTGCAAGAGGTAGCGGAATATTCAAATTGCTCGAGACATCGCGCCCATACCATAGACATTCTTCTGAGTCAATGTTTACCCTGACTCCAATATCACGCCACGATGTGAAATTGACATGAATTTGAGAAGAATTGAAAACCCGGCATTGTGTAAAGGACGGGCGTGCAGCGAGAAGAGTAGTGTTAAACTCAATGGCGGAAGTGTTCGGGTGGGCGGATAGGAAGGTTTTGTTAACCTCCAAAGCTGGTAGAATCAGATCCTCGTACGTGAAAGACGAGTAGGATAGATTGCTGGCCAGAATGAGCGCTGCAGAGTTAATTGAGTAGTCTGGCCAGCCAAAATCGCAAGCGGCACCTCTTGTATTATACCATATAGGTTTGGTGACGTGTAGCTCTGTTGGCAGGTTTGAGGTGGCGATGGCGGACGTGAAGAGACCGGAAGAGAAGATTGTTAAAAAAGATGTTAATGTAACTGCTAATGTTGATGCTAACGATTCGAAGCTCCTTGTCTTTGTTTCTTCGTAAAGTAGTAAGAGGGTATGTTTGTTAACTAAATCGAGACTAATGGATGATATGAACCCTGAGCCCCTAACTAGGTGCAGATATGGGGCTAAGGAACGCGTGTCAAAGTCCAATGACGAATAGTATAGGCCGATGAGAGTAAAAACAAGACCAGGAAATGCGGACCAGAAGTAGCTGATGATCTCTCTGTTAAGAGGCACGTTGCCGAGTCCTTGATCGCGCTTGGATAACCTCAGTGTCGCTTCTAAAGAGATAATAGTAGCAAGCAGTATTATAGCTACTGTCAGACGTACTGATAACTTTAGACTGAAAGGCTTAAAAACAGACTGTTCGGGGGGCCACATTTCCAGATCGTCGTTTGGTAGGAGACTCTCCTCGGCGAGGACTTCGAAGCTGCCGTCGTTTCTGTTCAAACAAGTTCTGTAATGGTAACCGTCAATCACAGACTGTAAAGAGTCTCTCCCACGTCCACCCATCCCATTCAGCATTTCCATGATAGAGTAGCCTGATGACAAGCACATTGCAAGACCAATCATTGTGGTAGGGTTTTGTGGGAGTTCCAATTTGGTCGAAGCTCTAATAACCCAAATTAATATGCTTATCAATAAGCATGTAACGATAATAGCGGTCATAGAATTTGCAACTAGACTCTGTACTGTAATTTCAGGTTAGTTAGCTAAAAGTTCCCGCGGTTATTATACCAGCGTAGTGTAATGTTGGTAGGTATACCTAGAAAGCGACCTTTCACCTCATCTGCTGATCCCTTAGAGGATATTGAAGCTGGCTGCATGAGTGATGTGTGTGCGAAAAGAGCGCTGTATTGCTGATAATAGTTTGAAAAAAATTCTGTAAGTCCAACCGGGCCATCCAAAATCGTGGACAATGTGGGAGGGTTGCCAGACTTGTTGGCGAATTGATACGCAAGATATCCATGTTCGTCAAACCACACGGTCTGATTCGAGATTTTCGCTGAACTGTTGTGAAGCGTTTGGTCTGGAGGGACCGCATTGGCGTGGGTATTTAGAATATCCCATGGATGGACGTTCCTGAGAAGTCGGGAATCGCGCCCCGATGAAGGACGAAGAAGTCTGTCTGGCCCCTGCGCGCTGAGATCTAGCGGCAAGATCCGATATGTTGGGGTGCATATCAAGCAGTTTGATCTCGCGAATGTGATGATGTCTTCTCCCGACATTGCCAAACTTGCGACAATGATGGCAAGCCTATGGTTGTCTTTGGAATCAGAGTCATTGCACACACCGCTCTGAAGACCAACAATGTAGTCGCCATCCTCGATTTCCCCGTCCAAGCCGGACAAAACTCTGTTAGGATAGACTTGAAAGCTACATGAGCCAGCCGTGATCGGAATGGAATCGTTGTGATCGTATCCCCAGAGGAAGGTGCTCTTAGATATATTCAATGCCAGACCGTTCGGATACAGATTAGCTGGCTCACAATCAATCTCTCCGAGGAAGCCATCCACTGTAGTGTTAAGAGTCGATGGGGTGTCGAGTAGATCTGATTCGACAAGCTGATAGGCGTATGTATCAGAGACTCCTTGCGGCAAGGTCGTGTTGAAGTTCATCATCGAAGCAAAATATACAGATGCTAAAGACCCATTTGCTAGGATGCCATTGGAATTGTCGACAAATTCGCTCTTCAGATTCAAGGAGATATTATGTTGCTTCACTACAGTTGCTGGTGATAGCGTAATAAGTGAAGTTGCAAGGACGAGCAAGATCTTGAGAAGTAGCGAGGCTATTGTAGCGGCTGCTACTGTATAATCCTTGTATCTGAGCGCTGAAATTACCGATATTGGCTGAAGTTGTGATGTGTAGTCAAGAAGAAGCGATTGACAAGCTCTGGTGTTGCCCCGAGCCATACTCAACCAAGATGATGTCGTTTTGGCCTGGGTCTCCAGTCGGGCCCAGAATGAGGAGACAAGGGTCAGGATCGCAACTGGACCATACGACCATAGGACACGATGCAGAACGTCGTTCTCTCCAGAAAGGCCTCTGTTACGGTTGGATATCGCAAACACCGTTTGTACGCTGGCGAGGCAGGCCAAGAAGACAGTCGAAAACAAGGCGAGAGAGGCCGGAGTCAGGTACATTGGCCGCCAGGATGATGACTTGATCACCTTTTGAGCTGGTACACCACTATTGCTTTCGTTTGATCGCAATTTGTTCAGAGAAATGGCCTCGTGTGGCGAGCACGTCTGCGTTTTGGACCATGACTGGGTCCAATCTGTGAGTTGCATCTTCAGATAGTATGTGTCGAGGTTGCTTCAATTGATTATTGGATGAATGACAACAATTTTTTGGCAAACAGCTCAGTGAAATTAGTACTGCATAGAAACAAAAAACGCCTGAAAACCTGATTAGGATCACACCAAGAAACGAGCCAAGTGTTAAGGGACGAGGCAGGGAATCTAAATCATACCAGTAGACCACTAGGCTTTTAGGCTGTGCAGACGTTATGAAGATCCGTGGCATTTTGGTTAGGCAGATTTATGTTGTGCTACAAACTCAGCTGAATACAGGACGAGGATGAAGAGTATATTTCTGGAAAACATACTTTGGGGGCAATGCCCCCACGCAGCACAGTTCAGCTATCAGCGGTACGGTTCAGCTACACTCGAATGGCGACTGAATGCCGGCAGCTATCAAATCAGAGGTCAGGTCAATGACGCTGGATACCTCAATCGCTCAAGCATGGTGTTACAAGGCATTCGAAAGGTGTGATGAGAAGCAATTAGACCAGAGCCTTGAATGCTTGGCCCCTCAGGGGGTTCTGACACTGCATCAAGTCGGGGGCTGCAATACTCGTCTACCTGCCCGGGTGGGCTGTACCTTAGCCATCTAGGTGCCTAGGTAGGTACGCGAAGGAGGGCCATCTAATCGGCTCCGGTATCAGCTGAAGTCCTGAAGCCACACTTCAGATACATTGGGGCACTGCGACCGATGTCTGGTCTTTTGGCAATGCGGTGAGAAACCCATTTCTGGTGGCGCCATCTCCTGATCGATAGCGTATCAGTGTTTTCTTGCGCCTTTCTCCGAGAGACATGCAGGATTCCAGACGCGTCAGTTCTTCGAGTATTCACTTCTACATTCTAACGATGAAATTGCATAGATCCTGAGCCTCCCTTACGGTGGTGATTACCATCTTTTCAACCCTGCAATCGAGGGACTCGCTCCAGACGAGGATGATTATTTCTTTACTGTGCTCAAGCGCATGTACAAGTTCTTTGGGCCATTTCCTCCATCGTACAGCGCCAATCCAGACACGATGATAATCATGAATTTCTTCAATAACTCTGGGGCGCCTGAGAAGCCTTTTCACTTGGTCACGACCACAGAGATACCGGCTGCAGAGAAGGAATTCATTCTCAAAGTCATGAAGCTGGACCCGAGGGAAAGGCCGACGGTGGAGGAGCTACTAGACGATGAACTGTTCACGGAAAGGTCGGAGGACACTCGCGTACCGCTGTGAAGGGGTTCAAATGCATGCCTAGACATGCCAGATTTTGCCGACATGAGCGAAGCGTGGCATTGGACAATGCTTACATGTCACATAAAGAGCTTCAACCAACAACCTGTCGCAGGTGCATTTGCAACCAACAGGCCGTAGATCCTTGCAATTGAGGCTGGGTCTATGCAGGAGTGATTGTTGGCTGTGTTATCGAAGGCCATCTGGACAAGCAGCTGAGAATCTCTTGGCAAGCAAAGTCGAGACCTTTTCTTTCTCTTAGTTTCCAAGTGGCAAGATTGCCTCCTGCATCATCTCTGAATTTGCCCAATTATTTGAAACACGACTACCATGGTCGCGCAAGAGTCTTGCCCCCAAGCAGCGTGCCTCATCGCTGCCGGATTGCAGTCCCAAATACTACTTCCCAGCAATGGCGAGTACACCGAACGCATCGCCTCTTACTGGTGCAACAGCGCAAAAGTGCATCCAGCATGTATTTTGCGGCCACGCTCCGCCCTCGAGGTCGCAGCCGCCGTAAAGGCCCTCGCCGTCGCAGACCAGCTTTTTGCCGTCCGCGCTGGAGGCCACGGCAACGCCGCCAACAACAACATTAACGGCGGAGTGACTATCGATCTGGGCCTGCTCAACACCACTGAGTATGATGTTGACGCGGAAACGGCAAGTATCGGCCCTGCTGCCAACTGGAAGTACGTCTATGAGGAGCTTGAGAAGCACGGGCGCGTTGTGGCTGGCGCCCGCGTGGCTGATGTCGGTGTCGGGGGGTTCCTGCTTGGTGGCGGCAACACTTTCTACACTGGACGTCATGGTTTCGCCTGCGATAATGTTGTGGCTTATGAGGTGGTCTTGGCTGACGGGAGTATCATCACCGCCGACGCCGGGGGCCCACACGCCGACCTATTCCGCGTGCTCAGAGGCGGCGGCAACAACTTCGGCATTGTCACTCGCTTCACCATGTCCACCCTGCCGAGTGGTCCCATTTGGGGAGGGTTTGCGGTGCGGCCCCTGAGCGTCTTGCCAGCTGCGGCCGAGGCTATAGTTGATTTCACTGCCAATTCCCCGAGTGACCCTGACAGCACCCTCAACTTCACAATGGCTCATATGCCTCGTCTTGGAGGCGGCGCTGTGGTAACTATCTGTACTAACGTGGCTAGGGTGGAGGACCCTGCTGCGTTCGCACAATTCCAGAAGATGTCTGAGGTGGTCAACAATCTGAAAATGACAGCTCTGCAAGAGATCCTTGTCTACGCCTCTCTTCCACCCAACTACTAGTAAGTAAGTCTCCTGTTCTTCCGGCCAAAGCGGGAACTGACTATTCCTTTCCTAAGTAATGTTTGGTACACGTTGTGCATTAAGAATGATGCTTCTATCATTAAAAAGGCAAGCGAGCTCTATACCCAACTAGCAACTGAGGTAGGAGACAAGATTTTGGATGGAGACTTCACGACACACTGCTCCTTCCAGCCGATGCCAAGGATGATCGCCCAGCATTCGGCAGCTGCCGGCGGTAACATGTTCAACCTCGACAAGTATGCACATGACGCTATTTTGATCCAGGTGAACGCCAGTGTGCGCACTCAGGAATTGGCAACGTGGGCTCAGCCACGCGTCCGTGCCTTCGTCGCTGATCTGCGCGGTTATGCGGAGACCGTTGAGAGTGGAGTCTGTCCATGGCTATACATCAATTATGCGCATCCAGAACAGGAAGTGCTTCAGTGTTATGGCGAGGAGAATCTGCGCAAGATGAGGGAAGCGGCCGCCAAGTATGATCCCAAAGGAGTCTTTCAGCGACTTTGCCCGGGAGGTTTCAAGTTGTTCACAGTGAAGGACGAGGGCATATAGGTACCTAGTCTAGAATCGATACAATTTGTTGGCTTTTCTGATACGGTACATGCGAATGATAAAGCGAAGGTACCAAAATAAGACGGTCCATGCGTGAAATGTACCACGTTGTGGGTAGGTGGTTTCTCAATTTTGAATATGACCGGTACCTCAAATAGGATTTCCTGTCCGTTATACTAGATCAATCTTCATAATATTTGAACCATTGTTTTCAAATGCTTCGCCGTGCATCAATCCATGCACATACGCATCTCCCACAAGAAGAAATGCTTCATTATTGTGCGGGCGCAAGATGAATGGCACCTTCGATCCTGCAAGAGCCCAGACTTGGTCTCCTCGTCGAGCAAACCGGGGTCCGTTTCCGAGGTATCCCTTCTTTGTCCTGAATATCCTCCGGGTCTTGCTGAAAGACTGGAGGCGACTAAATTCGTGAGAGGTCTTGGTTTCCTTGGGAGGAAATTCGATCACTTCGGACGGCTCCGGAGCATCATGCTCGCTTTGAGCCTCGTTGCTCCCTTCGAAGTCATCGCCAGTGTCAATTTTGAATTTTTCACGAAATCTTGTCAACATTAGATCGACCTGAGACATAGCTGTGGGAGTTGTTGATTTCGTTGTTTGCCACCCAAGTTCTGCTTGTATTCGGCTTAAGTTATCCGCAAAGTCATCCCTACCAATTGATGTTAGCATTTATCTTCCAAAGGTATTGTCGAGGACAACTGAACAGAATCCATAGGTTGACTGACTGGTTGGAACGGTTAACAGAAACCTCATAGTGTTCCCGCAAAGGCATCCCTTTCAGCTCCTCTTTTGCTTTCCATTTCTCATTCAGCTCACCACCATGCGGAAATAATTTGCCTGTGGTGTGCACAAACCGATACCACTCCTTCTCTTTCTCCGGGTCATTTAACCCGTCTGTTGAATGATATTCCTGCGACGCCTTCTTCATCTCGTCCATCCACATATAATAGAAAGCCTCACCAAAGTCTCTTGCGGGGTAATACTCATCTTCACTATTTGCAATGAGGGTTCTCCAGAGAACTTCAGACCGGAGAAGGCTCCCATCTGCCCATGGGTACTCTTTCGGCAGCTCTGTTGCAACTGCACCACACTTGCTCAATGAAAAGTTGTCAGATTCAACAACATCGATAATGGTGTCAACAAAGACACCATTCACTGGTAATGTTTTACCATATACAACTGTCGAGTCCTCGGGCGGCACCCAAACAAGGTCCTTGGATGCAGACCAGTTGGAGTCTTTGTATGTCTGCAGACTCCAAAGTGGCGCCTCAGCCAGTGTTTGTCTCCAGTCCGGGACCCAGGAAGGCAGAGCATTGCCCTTGCCATCATTGACTTGGTCTTCATTTGTATCGACATACGACCTCATGAGCAGCTCCAAATCGTTACCAGACAAGAGAGTGTACCATGCTGCCTCAATATATACCTTCTCGGTAGAATGGTTGTAATTCGGGAGGATGGTCCTTCTCAAAGGCGAAACTGTCTCCTTATCGTGAGTGTCTCTTTGTGAGAGACTCAGGCAAGCATAGATCCTATCTCGCGGATCTGTTGCTTCAGCTCGTCGTGTGGAGTCGAACATATGCAAAATCGGAATGGAATCAATGATGTCTGTCCTCCTCGTCCCCAGTCGATACCCGGTGAAAGTGCCCAATCTGGAACCATCTCCGTCACGAGCTGACTGGAGCCTGATTATGTTATGAAATGAGGCTGCACGCTGCTTTGACGTCGAGAAGAGATTCCTGTCATCGTCCGTTCTCTCACTTGTTTGCATTATAGGCGTCATGTCGTCCAGAAACAGCGGCTCCTCAAATTTGGGACCCGACATCTCGAACCATGCAAAGTATTCCATCATATCGCCCAGCCTGCTCTCATACAACACTGCGGCTGCTTTTGGTAGCACAATCCAAGGCAGGGACAGGAGCCCAACTTCCACAGATATTTTGGGGGCCAACGCCACCTCCTGAGTGATCCACGCCCGGCGGAACCAGCTCCTCTGTAGAAACGCATAAAGTGCCCACCACTGAGTCGAGCTCTCCTCTGGCAGGCCCAGCGCTTTCGCAGTGTGCCCAAATCCTCCAAGCAGGGCTGCCGCACGGGTCTGGTTCTGCGATATGTTGAACATCCTGAAGATGAGATCTAACGCCGGGCGTGTGAAGACGTCTTCAGGCCCGAGCCACACAGTAACGCTCGTGGTGGCCGCGTAGATACGCCCCATCATGGCGACCTGGCTGGCTTTCTCGTCATTATCGGCCTGATTGATGCACAAAGCATCGATCCAGAGGTTCAATGGGGGGAGGAGGCCTGCCTCGCGGGCGCGCTTGGCTCTGCTCTCATCGAGAAGCATGGCGATGAATGACTTTGACCAGGATTGAATGAAGAGGAAAAGGTTATGACCGATTTTTGCTGTGCGTCCGTCGACAATGATATTTTGTTCGGGCGGTGCAGGGGCGTCTCGTTCCTCCGCGGTTGAGAAGACCGAGATGGGAGCTCCCCAGGTGTAGGAAAGAGCCTGATAACTCGGTGGAGGATCGTCATTCAAATCAACTGTGTATAAGGAAAGGGAAATGACTCCGTCATCTCTCCATGGTCTGTCAAGGCGGGCCAAGCGGATGGAACTTGATGTTGGCAGAGGAGTATATTCGTAGGGCAGATGACTAGTACCAGGGTCTTCTTCTTTAGTGTTGAGAGGTGGGTATTGTTCAGCAGTGCCATGGTCCTCCGGTGTTTCTGGATTGTCCATCGTTGTGGCTCGCTATAAAGTGCGTGTACGGTTTTTGTGCCAGATCCGCGGGCAAAATTTTCTAGATCGAGAGCTCGATGTTTTTTTTTTTTTTTCCGTCAAGAATTGTGCTGAGTTTGCACATTGATATTTATTTTCTGTAGCAGTGTCATTGGTTTATTTCTATTACATGTATGTGGAATCTCGGCATTAGTTAACTGTTCCTTCCTGCGCTAGTAAATAGGCAACAGTATGCTGTACTGCATGGTGTAATTCCCCCCTTGCTGTCTCATTCGCACCTCGTTCCGCGATTGGTGAGTTTTTTGCAATACCACTCAGCCTCACTAAGCCCCTCCGTAACCGAGAGCGGAGTGTCGTCGCGGACGAAGATAAGCTGATAAGCTGACCGCATGGATCGGTCACCAGCCGCCCGGCCACAAAGCTCTGAGGGCTACCAATTTTATCTAAGCCATTTTCCTCTTTTTGGACCCAGCTTCGGAGATGAATGGTACGATACCTCATGTAGCCCTTTGTGGTGTTGTCAACTTTGAAAGGTCCTTGAAATCCACATTTTATAAAATTCTGTTTCTCCTACACAATTCTATAGTGTTGCAGCTGTGGGTCTTGAGAGATTTGCTTCTCAAAGCTATAGACAACATCGTCAGACCACTGCTACGATGCCCGTAAATAGATACGTTGCGAAAGGTGAAGTTGTATAAGTACTGTCAACTCCCAAGCATCGCGTGACGTAAGGAAGGGGCGAGAAGTGGCAGGAAATTGGGAAAGAAAAGCTTGACAAACTCGGAAATTGAGCACACAGGATGTTATTGAAGAGCAAGGCCACTCTCCCAACGAGACTTTCCAGCGCGCATGCTATGGTCTGTCTTGCTTGCGATCCTCAGTCCCCTGATATTGCTGGCGGCTGCAATCTTGGCCTTCTTCCTTGTCATGCTGTGGAACTTGTTTGTCACAAGGGAACTACATAAGAAACGGTTGCAGAAAGCTGGAAACTAAAATTGTCAATACCTAGTCGTTCCAATGTTCTTGTTCCTTGATTCCGGATTTAGTCCGCTGCTGAAGCTACCTAGACGCACTGGTAGTATAAACAGTGGCGACTGGCATGCTCATTGGGTGCAATAACGTCCTTTTCAGCCTGAGAAGAGCATGGCGTTGGCGGCGGAGGATGACATCACCTTTAGTGGGCTAAGGGCCGAGTGTGTGCTAAATGGGAGCTGCTGTACACCAGGTTCGATGGCCGTCCCTTGGACTCCTGCTGCTGACCCTTGAGATTTTGGTCACAGCGTTTGGGTCTTTGACAGTTCAGAGAATCCAAAGGAGATCAGTGAGTAAGCCCGACAAGACTCATGTCAATGAAACGGAAAAATTATGAGAGGGAGGTGAAGCAGGCAATTCGTAGAGAGAAAACGAAGGAGAAAGGAACAGCGAAGAGTGAAGATGGGGGAAGTGGAGGTAATAAGACTGGGACCCGAACTCGAAGATCATTAAGCAAATCACCATTGCATATGGGGGCTAAACTTCTCAATCACGCGAATTCCACATGCGATCAAGAATTCCCTCCCACTTCCTCAGATGTTCTACCTCTCCCTATCCTTTCCCCTCCTCGAGCGCCTCCTCTCCTTCATAACATCATAACCGCCACGCCGCGTGTCGTGCGAGTTTGGTGGATAACGCGAGTCCGCTGGCCGATGCAGGTCAGTATCTACATCGGGCTCGCAGACGCTCCCACCAGATGAGTATCCCGAATCACGCGCTGACCCAGTAGACGGGATAGTGAAGCTCGTGGCCGGGGAGGAGGCTACTGAGGAACATGGGCCCCGTGCCCTAGAGAATGTCGACGAGGGCGAGCTTCCAGCTTGTGAGGACGACCTCGAACGGCTGCTGGAGGAGCGGGTTTCGATGTGGATATACAGAGGTCTTTTTGCATTGGGTGAGTCTTCCGTCTTAAGTGTAGGATCATGACTGGTTCGAGGTCCCTGCTTGGTCTGATTAGTCCGAGGAGATGCGCTCCCGGTCTTATGTTGAATTGAGGGAGAATCATTGCTGCCATTTCGCGACGTAGGAGATGTGTAAGCGCCAGGCCCTGGACCGGGATCATCAGCATCCGCCACCTCAGAGCCCAAGCCGGTATGGGAGGGCCTCCCAGATGATACCGAGCTTCTCTGGTGTGTCAATGGTACCCCTGACCGCTGTGAGGAAGCTCTCGCGCCACGAGATCCGGTGTATATTGGACGTGGTGCCATGCTAGGTGCGGAATCCGATCCTGGAGGTGGCGCCGCGGGCTGAGGTGCTTGATAGGCGCGCGCTAGATGGTTTGGAATATTCATGGCATCTCTTTCAGTACTTCCCGTGACACAGGGATTCGTAGAACTCGTGTTGACGACTCTAACGTTTCCTATATTGTGGTGTCGTTGCCTGCTCCGCGGTATGCGGGGGGCCGCTTCGCTTGGGACTCGGGGCGTCGGGTCTTGAGGAAGCCATCCGTGCCGAAGAGTAGGACCCCAGGTAGCAGACTGATAGTGAGAAACTCTGGAAAGAGGATCGTAATAGGGGTCGTTAATCCAGACAGGTTCGGCCCAGGCGTTGACCCATGTCCCTAATGGAGCACCTCTGACTTCTGGGACTTCTGACTCCGGATACCCTCCAAAGTCTCGATACGTGGGAATAGCATTCTGCTCATAGAAATAGGCCCGGGGAGGGGGATGCAAATGTGTCCCTTGACTACCGTGTTCAGAACCGGAGGGCGAAGCAGAAATGGCCATGGATGACGAGCTCAGATCCGAGCCTTCGAACACGGGACTATGAGCGATAGCGTGGGCATGGTGAGCAATGCACCTGTAGTCCACCCTAGCTTTGTTCATGTGCTTCATGCGTGCCGGGAAATCATCTCGGTACTGTTCCGCCTTTTCGAGATCGTGACGGAGCTGTTCTGCCCGATGCTTGTATTGCAGGCGCGTTTCGAGATCCGCCTGGGCAGCCTCCTGATTCTCGTTGCTTGATAATGGTTAGAGCGATAAGTTTTGTCAAATGAGTGAAAAAATCTGGAAACTATTCGAATCGAAATTATTAGAAACATGGACTCACAGTGCGACGGTAGCCAATGCAATGCGCAGCCAGTCCTCCCCTTCTCCAAGCCGTATTCTCAGGAGCCGAATCCTATCCTTGCCAAAGACACGCGCCACGTGAGTCATAAAGCGGAAGGTCCATGGATCGGCTTCAAACCTCTTGTAAAAATTGTCAGCCTTGAAGATGCAGCCTTTACAGTACTTGACAAGGGCCAAGCTCGCGCGTAGAAGGTCCTTCGGAACACGACGAGGCTTGTTTCTCAGCAAGCGTTTGAGTTCAGTCTCGACCTTGGATACATAACGGTCGAACTTTCTTTTCTGTTTCTTGAGCTCATAGCTATTTTGTTTTGAGGCGAGAATGTCCTGGGCACATTTGAGGATCTCTGGTAGCGCTTTGGCGAAGCCAGCCACTGTCAAGCCGAAGCCTCTGCAGTAGGTGAGGTGTCAGCAGGGGCAGAGACTGGTGATACGCGGAGGTCATGTTACTTACATGGCTTCTAGAGCCATGGCCGGTCATACTGTCAAGCAGAATCCTGGAGTGGCGAGAAGACACGGTGAAGAACACGGTGAAAGATAGGAGAAAGCAAGGAATATGACTGATATATAAGGCGAACTAAGAGCAACCGACCGAGTGGCCGCTTGCCGTGGGGGTGACTTATACTAACTCGGCTAAAGAGGGTGTGAACGTTTAGGCAGCTTTCTCTCCACCCCGTTCTGATGCGAACGAGGCTGCGGGAAGCCTGGCATCCGGACATAACATGTTCCTGAGCCTTTATTCAGGTCTCTTTTTTCCCCTCAGAATATATTTGTGGTCACAAGGGATTCGCATCTAGATCTCTCCTAATATTCCAAAAGAGAAGAAGAGGTGAGGAAAACACCCAGCACGCCGAGAAGCAACACTCTGCCTTTGCAAATTAGGGGGCTCCCGCGTTGTGATTCCAGCCAAGGCAGATTTCCTGTTCTGCAATAAAGAAGATGGGAGCCACCCATGCCACCGTAACGCGCATCTCGAGCGACGCTCGCCTCACATCGGGGCGTGCAGATCTGCCTGCAGGGATAGCGCGATCCTGATTTCCGCATCGAGCTGGGCCAGCGGCTCCAGGTCAGGGCCAGCATATGAATGGGCGTGAACGTCCGTCTGTCCACCCTCTTGGCTCTCCGGCAGAGCCAGCTTCACATCGCAAGGTGTAGGAGGACGCCACAAACATTGTCGCCGGCTCGCTCCCACTCGTTGGCAGGGAAAGAGCGTCATCCAATCCGCCGGCGGCGATGCGCTGACGCCCTGCATGGGTAGATTACCGCACAGCTCGCTCTCGCTTGGCAAGGATATTTTACCCGCCCACCACAGTATCTCAAGGCGGAACCGTTGTTGCTACTCTCTCCTCGTCCTGAATTCTCACGCACGACGTCGGCTTGAATAGCACATGACCGAGAATCAGCGGCGGACGCACAGGAGAGAACGAAGATTGGGCTAATGAAGTGTCCATCGTCGCCGTATCGTTGCGAGTCCATACGCGCGCATCAGAATACTGGTTTCGGGGCGACTGAATGACCAGCTTGCTTGTGCCAATACTTGACGTGTTGACCTAGGAACGGACGGGACGGCATAAAGCACAACGATGAGGCTACCACTCCAGACCCTTTATCCTGAGCTCCGTCCTAATTCCACAGACTACAGAATGGATGATTCCAAATTTGGGACACGCGAATATCGAAATGAACTGTTCCCTAGTTGGCATAATTGGGCTTGGCTGAAGATGCCTTGACGGACTTGAGAGCGCGAACATTTCTACACCGAGCCGCCGGCCGAGCCGGGCAGTCCTTCACGCGCCATTCCGCAAGCATGCTGGCGCGCGATTTGGCTATTTCAACGAGGAGCTCAGCTCTTGCACCTGGCCGGAATTAAGTACTTGCACGGTGCCCGAGCATCGGTTCTCCATCTCGCTTGCCAAGCCCAAAGTGGAGACCCGGATGTGACCTTGACTCGACTACTCTCCACGAGCCCTCCGCCAGATCTCACGATTCCCCGGACTTGACACGGCCTCCTGCCCGTGGAATCAGACCATAGGGTCGTGATTGATATTATATCGAGCCAACTAAAGCCATTTAATTAACAAGCAATGGTCAGCAAGTGTCTACTTTACCCATATATTCCACATGGATCCTCTATTCCACGGCCGACGAGTTGATCCGGTACCGAGCCTCACAACGTCGTACATCACGACTGTCAACCTCCTGCAACACCCACAATGGACGGTGTGGTGCTCCTCACGAGGCCTCGGTTTGGCGCGGGAATGGCTAGCCTGGGCTCTCGGCTCTCGTCGTTACGCTAGGTGCCCTTGCTTATCACCCTGAGACGTAGCTCATGACTGGGTGCCATGGACGACTTCTATCTCCGGTCTTCGTCGAGTGAGGCCGGAATCATTCCGGCCTCACAGGTATATCAAGGCCGGCTTGCTCCAAGCCAGAGAGCTGTGGAACTCGGCTCGCCAGACTCAACAAAATCCAACACAAACCATCCAACCCCTTAACATACACCAATTTTCCCCAGCTTTTCACACATACCAATCTTGCCCCCACCCCCAAGACATTCACATCATCACCACCACCACAATGGGGTCCGTCACCGTCGACGACAACTACACCGCCGCAGACTTCGGCGTCCTGGAGGACTGCCGGGCAGACGACACGTCGCTGCAGGCCTTCATGGTGTCCAAACCGCGGGGGTTCCTGCCGCGAGCCGACCCCGTGTGGAAGCTCCCCTCAGAGTTCGACCCGCTCGAGGACATCCTGCAGCGCATGCCGGTGAGGACGGCGTCCGGGGAGCCCGGGCTGCTGGCGCAGAACCGGCTGGGGCCGACGGTCGACGCCGACTTCCCCGACCTGACGTGGGCCGTCGACAAGTACGCCGCCGACAAGCCGCTCATGAACGCCCTGTACCGCGACTACTCGTTCCTGCTGTCCGCGTACCTGCTCGAGCCGTGCCATGAGCGGTTCCTGCGCGGCGAGCCCTATGGCCTTGGCCGTCAGAGATTGCCGGCTGTTATTGCCAGGCCGATGGCTAGGGTTGCTGAGCTGTGAGTTGACTGCCTCTTCCTTTTCGTCGTCATCTGGTGTTCCGATCCTTTTGTCTCTCGTGTGTCTGTTGTCACGTCGTCGCCCTATTCGCAGGTGGATGCAAGACTTACACGGCTTCCTTACCCTCTCATTGGCCTCTCGTCGTTGGGGCCCGCTTTCTTTCGTCACTTCTTGCACCTCTCACCTGAGTTGCCTTTCTGTACACCATCAAACATCCACATATCATTTCGTTCTTGTTGTGGACGCATCTTTTTGATTCACCTTTCCTTCATATCATCATCTTCTGCCAAGAGGAGGCTTTTCTTTCCTTCCCTCTCTGTCTCTCTCGCTCAACACGCACACACGCACGCATACACTTACACGAGACCTTTCTCAAAACTCTCTTTCCATCTCGCAACTCCTTTCTAATGCACTTGTCTTCTCTCTCGTCATGGCCCTAACAACCCCATAGGACCGGCTTCATGCCATTCATGGAGTACGCCGGCAGCTATGCCCTCTACAACTACAAGCTGGTAGACCCAGCCAAGGGCATGGACTACGACAACATCCGGCTGATCCGGGCCTTCGAGCACGGGCTGGACCACACATCCAGCGAGGCCGGATTCGTGCTCGTGCACATCGACATGGTCAAGAACTCGGGGCCCTTGGTGTCGGGGACGGTGGAGGCGCTGCAGGCGGCGCACTCGAGCCGGGCGGAGCTGAACACAGCCATGGCGAAGCAGCTGGGCGCGCTGCGGCGCATCAACGCGACGATGGAGACGATGTGGATGAAGTCGAAGCCGCGCGACTACACGACCTTCCGCACCTTCATCTTCGGCATCACCTCGCAGTCCATGTTCCCGGACGGCGTCGTGTACGAGGGCATCAACGACGGCAAGCCCATGTCGTTCCGCGGCGAGTCGGGCGCCAACGACTCCATGGTCCCGCTCATGGACAACTTCCTCCAGATCCCCATGCCCGACACCCCGCTCACCGAGATCCTCAAGGACTTCCGCAAGTACCGGCCCTCCAACCACCGCGCCTTCCTGCAGCACGTGCGCGATCGCTCCGTCGAGGTCAACCTGCGCGAGTTCGCGCTGCGACTGCAGGCGGCGCCCGGCGTCGAGGAGGAGGAGGCCGTCTGGGAGAGCAGGCGGCTCTGGCTGCAGCTGCTGGACCAGGTGCGCGAGTTCCGCTGGCGCCACTGGTGCTTCGGCAAGGAGTACATCCTGAAGATGACGGACCACCCTACTGCGACGGGCGGCAGCCCCATCGTCACGTGGCTGCCGAACCAGCTCAAGGCGGTGCTCAACGACATGGTCAACATCGCGGCCAAGGTGGGCGAGGAGAAGCTCGGGGGTGAGGTCCAGGCTATTATGGACCTGGTAAGGCGGCAGGAGGAGACGTTGCGGAAGGAGGTCGAGAAGTACTGCGAGGAGCGGGGTGTTGATAGGTCCTAAGGGCGTTTGCGTGTTTGATGGGAACTGTGTTGGAGTTCTTGCTTCTTGCCTTGCCACGAATGGAGCCTCCGAGGGACCAAATTTTTTCCCTTGTTCGAAGATACCTCAATTCAATTTCTGGCTTTTGATTATGCTTGTAGCACAACTTTCGGTGTCCAGTGAGCGGTGCAGCTGTGAACTGATACACTTTATACTGTGCCCAACACTCAGAAATACTGCCACACTCTGCCTATCGCTCAACAGTCCGCCATCAACATCCGCCGGGAGCGGACTCCGGTCGGAATCCGGTTGAGCTTACTTGAGAGACTGAAGCCTTAGCTTCCTCAGATTGAGCTTGAATTTGTTGCCTTGAAGTTACACGCTATATATCACGCCCCAACGGCCACCAGAGGCCCTACACGCGCTTGAAAACGCCGGACAAGGCAGAGGGGTGTATCGTGGTGCGATCCCGATTGCAGCAGCCCTCGTCCCATCCCCAGGTCTGTCGAACACGGCCAGACTGGACGGTGGTGGACTGCCTGGAGCCGAACAGAGCTTCATCTCCCGAAGCACTCCGAACTCTGCACCTCATCACGAGTTTCCCAGCCTAGCGGTCCAATATACGGACTGTGGGAGCATTCACGATACGCCTGTCTCGAGGGCAGTAGTCATGTTCTTGGCCACCTCATCCACCTGAGGACGGGGAGGTTTGAGCGCCGGAACCTTGAAGTTGAGTGGACTCACTACTACTTATTGAGGAATTGTATTCTGCGAGATGCATGTAACCAGGAACCGCGAGCTGGTCTTCCAGTCGACTCCTGTCCACAGGATCAGTATTCAGTACGTGTACGAGGCATCGTTCCACTGGCCGGCCTGGCTGTTGATACCTCGGGGAGTGAAGCTTTGACGACACGCAAGGCGATCATCTCTCTTAGGCTTATTCGGCCCGTCCATGTGGTGAACTGCGCCGTAGGCTGGCACCCTATTCAGTGCATCAGCCCAATTCATCTGTATGGTCTATCGCCGTTGGCGTGCGCGCACTGGAAGCCTTTGTGTTGTGGTTTTGGTGAGCGCAAGCGCAATTGCCGCCTTGCACTGAGCTGCGTTACAAAGGTGCACGTAGAATGGATGCTTGGATGGGCAAAACCGCATATTGAGATAGATACAGCAACGACACTACAACACGACTCAGGTGCGGCGATGGCTTAATCATGGCGAGGTGGTGCGAGATGAGCCCCGAATTGGGATGTTCAGAGGCAAGGCGGAGTCTTGCTAAGCGGTGGTTGACACGAGGCATCTCTCCTTTTCTCTACAATCAGGCATTGCCGGTCTGGCGTCTACCAGGGGAAAAGTGACACGCCGCCCTCTTGCGTGGTGTTTCATATTGCGTTGAGCCCAAAACCAGAGACGACGGAGAAATTAGGGAAAGGAGGCGCGATTGACCCTGCCGATCAGCCGGGTCGCTGACGGGAATGGCGGAGCTCCGCGTCGGGTTGGGCGTTTTGAATTATCACAGGTACATTATTGAAAATTCAGTCGGGTCAGTAAGCGCCTTAGGGGTTTCTTTGTCGGGTTGGCAGGTCCAAGTGGGGATGCTTCGCGAGACGGGCATTGACCTAGAAAGGATGGTTGGTAGGTAGATGCCGGGTTGGACGGCAGGAGGATGACGGAAGAACCAAGCATCATCGTCATCTGTTTGCCTTTTTTTGCGCGGCAAGAAGGCTCAGACAGACTTCGGTCTCGTGGCGGAAGTCGGGGTGAACAGGTTGCAGAATGTCAGTGAGTGGAGTTTGGTTTTTGCCCCGGGGCGTGCTCGGGAGTTGGGTGGTTGCAGACTCGGCGGTGGGTGGCGCTTTTGGAGAATCGCGAATCGTGGGCGGTGATGGACTCGTCACCCGAGCTGCCCTGCCCTGCCCGTCATGGTAACAGAGTTTTTCGGCGGTTTTTGGTTGCTGGTGTTGCTGGTGTGGTGCAAGGCTTGGCGTTCTCGGTCCCCATGGGTGCCATGGTCCCTTGATCCTACGATGGATGCTCACTGCGTCCTGATCGTCGTGTCGGATCACACTGATAGCGCTGACTTGGAGAATCAGAAGAAGCAAGGAGGCACCAGGGCAGTCTGCATGCAGCAGGGAAGGGAGAAAGAAGCGAGAGGCCAACGCCAGGCAGCCCCTTTGTCATGAGCGCGGCGGGTATCCGGAGATGAGGGCGAGGCCTGGTCATCGACGAGGAAACAGAGTGCAACTGAGCTGAGCTGGAGTGAGCGAAGCCGAACCTTGCCCTTTCCGTCGTCGAGGCTCGAGATGTGACACACTTGTAATGGCCTAACAGGGCCAGGAGGATGCAGGCGAGCCTGGTGGTGATGGTTCAGGGGCCCCACGATAGTGGCAGACCCCGGCAAAAATGCAGTCGGCTTGGCTGGCTGGCCGGTCCAAAGTCAATCAGCCAGAGAGCGATCGCGCACACGTTGCTGAGCCTGCACACAAACGGGCAGGTTGGTTGATCTGATCTGATCCATCGGGGCCTGTCCTCCTGCCCTGTCCTGTCCTGACCTGTCGTGCCGAGCCCAGACCAGCCCAGCCCATCTTTCTGTTCGCAGCTGGAACAGATCGATCCCCCATGGAATGAACAATGGCACCTCGAGTTTGAAGCATTCGCAGATTGTGTGTCTATTGTGTCGCGAGGTCATCGTCAGACACACTTACTGTAGAAGCAGAGAGAGAGAGAAAAAAGGTACATGTGGCAGGTACCTAATCGATTATGTCAGCCTGCCAGATGGGGCCGTGCTTTTAATAGCGTTCCCGGGAATGGGACTAGGTAAGCTCTGCTTTGCCCATCCCCATTGCGAGCAGAGAGCAGAGCGAACCTCCTCTCCGCGCGCGTGCGTGTGTGCAGCACCACAAGGCACAAGGCCCAAGGCCCAGCACCAAAAGCTGGGTTGCCATGAGAATTGGCTGCAATCACCACAACCGACCATGGGCCGTCCAACCTTTTTTGATCTAAAACCACAATGATGGAATCTGTTCCCACGCCCTCCCTTCCCATCCGCCTTTCTCTTCTCCACCACCATCCCATCCACCATCACCATCATCATCACCGTCACCGTCAAACTCCCTCCTCCATCGCCAACGCCATGCAAATTCCCACCGCACGCCGAAACTAGGATCCCACACACCATCCGGCCCCCTTACTGTACGATTCTGCAGTGCACAACCACATCAGCGCTGACTTGGCTTTTGAATTTGACCTGACTTGACTTGACTTGACTTTGTCCTCCAACAACAAGGCACACCAACACCGACCCAACACCTCGCCTCGCCTCGCCTCGCCTCGCCTCACCCTTCTTTTCCCGTCATCGAGCTGGCACACGGGTTTGGTCTCCCGCTCACCAACCCTTCTCTTTGACTGCGTCTCCTTTTTCTGCCCTTATTTAAAATCCCCCCAACACTCGCCGTTTTTCGACGGCCTAATTTCTTCAACACCACCAACTCGACACACGATGGCTCCATCAAGCAAATCTACTCCTGCGAAGGATCGACGCAAGTCTTCCACGAGTGCCGCCTCCACCACCTCCAAAGTCATCACCCTTAAGGTTGCTCCCGACAGGCTGCGAGCCCTCATCGATCCGACATCCGACGCTGCCAAGGAGGACACCCCCATGAAAGATTCCAACGACTCACCCTCAACCTCGACGCCTCTGCCCAACGGCGCTGCTGCCATCCCTGACAACGCCTCCGACTCCAACCCTGCGACGCCTGCCAACGGTGGCACGCCCGCCCCATCCGTCATGGGACCCCCAGCCGATGGCCAGGGCCCAAAGAAGAAGGGTGTGAAGAGGTCTGCGGCTGCTGCAAATGGCGATGCTCCACCCAAGGTCCGGGGCAAGCCAGGTCCCAAGAGGCGGAAAGTCAAGTAGGTGCTCCGCGGGATGGACTTGAATCTACGTGCAGAATGCTAACCTGGTCCCAGCGACGACGGCACCGTCGAGCCACGAGCCGCCGCCCACCGACTCGGCCCCAAGGCTAACCAGGGTGCCATCAACGCCGGCCTGCGCGCCCTCGACCGCACCGGGAAGCCCTGCCGGAAGTGGACCAAAGGTACCTTCCAGCTCAAGACCTTCACCGGCGTGCAATGGCAGATCAACCGGTGGACTGCCCCGCCCAAGCCCAGGCCCTCCGAGTCCACCCCCGAGAACGGTGTGCCGACCTCGACTCCCGCCTCCGCCGACGGCAGCAGCAGCAAGGAGAACAAGGAGAACGGAGTGGGCCAGCCGGGCAAGAGCGATAACAACAGCACCTCGGGTGCCGATGTCGAGATGCAGAGCCTGCCCAGCGTCCAGGCCAGCTCGCCCGCGCCCATGGCCATCGCGGCAGGCGCCTAGACGGGCTTTTTGCCCACTCACACATGTCACACAACAAGAGCTGAAAGCGTACCGCGTTCTCGCATTCAGCCTGTACAGCTTTTTTCTTTTCTGCGATCATATAGTCAAGGCGTTCCATGGAAATGGGGGAAAGGGTTCACTGGAAAACCGGCTTCAGGGGTATTGTGCAATGGAGACAAGACAGTTTGTCTAAGGGGAGATACCAGGTCCGGGCCCTCGTGGTCCCTCATTATGGAAATGTGGACAAAACGGCATGACGGGCGGCGTTCTGGATGGAATGAGCTTTTTCTGCGGTAGATCTGACTGGATTAAAGTCAACATTTGTTATTACTTCACGTTGTCATGCCCCGAAACTTTTCCTCGTGACTGCTGTATTCTTGATAGGCCATGCCTACTTCTGTGTATGTACAACGTTTACCGAAGGTACACATTCCCGCTGACAAGGAGGCCAAGCAAGTTGTCTGAGAGTCTTGTTGAGCCTGGCGAGGAGAATCTCAGGTGTCAACTACCCACCAAATAGTGCTTTCTCATGATGGCCCAACTGAGAATTTCGCTATCCCAGCCTCAGCCATTCGCCGACACACAACACAAGCCGTATGATTAACGCTCAGATCACTAATGTCAACGGTATTACCGAAGTTCTGCAGGCAATTGTATAACGCGATAGGTATCTCTATTCATCCTTTGGCAATAGCAGGCAAATGGTCTCATGGCATCCTATGGGGCTCCTATACATTACTAGCAGAGTTATCGATGGCTCGGTAGAGACCAGCATGACACAAGCAGAGACACAGATACAGTTACACGGCCAAAAAAGAATGACACGGCAAAAGGAGGTAGACAGAGCACTCGATCCGTCTTAGTTGAAATGATGACATGTTGATTGCTTCAGGTGATTGTTAAGCTGACTTCGATGGACAATTGCACTATCGACTCCACAGCTTGCCACTCAGGCCGTCCAGACGTGCCATGTGATAACAGGCCCGTTTCACTTGCAGGACATCAGGCAGCGGAACGGTGCCTGATTGTTGACAGCTTTCTTGATTCTGACAGATCGGTATTGAGAGTGCCAGTAATGTTTAGTACAAAAGTGAGTTTTCATGTCTGCGTGATGATGTGGTGTGTCTCTGGTACCCAGGCACACCATAGTGCAAGAGGATGGCTGCTGTGGCCCCCTGAGACTTATCCGGAGTTCCCCCCCTGTGTATCGCATGCTGCCGGCACCGGTCCTCTAACATGCACACGCCAACGCTACTCTCGCCCTGCTGTGCACCTGGATTACTCCGCAGACCATCCCACTGACGACATCACTGCGCCTGGGATCTCATGGATAAACCAGCATCTCGGGCAACCATCACAGGCCTGGCAACACATCTCTTGTTGTCCCTTTCTCCCTTCCAACTCATCGTATGCTGCACAAGAGACATTGCTGCCCCTGATTTGTGAAGACAGGCCCTCTTCCCTGTCGAGTTCATGCCACCGTCGAGTCCAGTCTAGTCCATTCCGCCCCTCATCAGTGAAGTGACTTGAGTTCGTAGAAGCTCCCAAGGTGCCGCACCCCCGTCAGGTCATCCATCAGTGATCCGGATGATTGCACAGCTGGCCCAGACACGTTGCCACAGCTTGCACCTGTTGTTGTTGTTACTCTTGCCGTCGTCTTCGGCTGCCAGGAAGCAGCACACTGACTCCCCTCGACACCCAACAAGCTTTCCGGCGGCAGCTCCTTGACCGGGTTGCCTTGAGCTCCGGCAACCAGCAATCAGCCATCCCAGGACGACCTTCGATCTGGACATCATCCTCCTCGCATCCCTCCATCAACCTCCAATCCCCCTCCACGACGACATCACGCCGCACCACGCCGCACCGCACGAGGGGCAGACATGACCAGCCCCTTCCAAAACTCCCAGAATCCCCAGAACACTCGACAAAGCAGCTTCCTGCCAGCTCCCCTCTACCCTCGATCCTCGTATGCCTCAGTAGCCACCGAGAGCCCTCGAGCTTCCTCTGCGACACAGGGAAGCACCCGCACAGGGCCTGGTTCCTTCAGCCACATCCTGAACCCCGTCGACGCAGATTGGGAGACCCACTATCCCTTCCCGCCCAGAGATCACGAGAGCACCGGCGGTATGACGCAGAACGGCTCGCATCTGGATGGAGGGGCGCCTGGTGGCCTGTACGCGACGAGAACCCAGCACCAACAACTGCCACACTTCTCACGAGCATTCGAGATGTTCATGAGCCGGACGCCCCTCGATAGCCTGCCGGGCGTGGACCTGTTGACCGCGGGGCGGGCGAGCCCGAGCACCAACGGCAGCAGCGCTAGAAGCAGCAGCTTACCAAGGCCATCGTACCTGCAGGGCTCGCACTACCTGGCGAGGTTGGAGCAGCAGAACCATCAGAGGGCACTGGCACAGAGGCAGAGGCAGGACGCGCGAGAAAAGAATGGGGCCAGCCTGCCAAGCGACAAGCCAACGGCACAACAGCCGTATCTAGGCATTGCGCGCGACGTGATCGAGCGAACACCACCACACGAAGACGACGACGCAATGGAGTCTCTGCCCACGCGGTGGAGCGCGGTCAAGGAGGACAGGGCCAGCGGGCTTGATGTCATGTCGGACGGGCTCGAGGTCAAATACACGGGGCCCAGGGACCCCAACGAGAGGGAGCACGAGGCGCGCGCCATCCGCGCCGACCAGCCCATGCCCGTGCAGTGTGGGCTATACTATTTCGAAGTGACGATACTGGGCAGGAAACATAACGAGTAGGTCTACTTTTTGAAATGCTGCCGTACTTCTCACACCTACAAACACACGACACATATCACATATCAAATTGGAGGCTATGCAGGACCAACCAGGACGTGGACCCGCTGACGCGCGAGGATGAAAGAGAGATTGCTAACGAGGGTCTTCTTCACAGCACCTTGATCGGCGTCGGCTTCTCAAGTAAAACGGCTTCATTAAATCGAGCACCGGGCTGGGAGCCAGAGTCCTGGGGTTACCACGGCGACGACGGCCACTGTTTCCAAGCGCAGAACGTGGGCAAGCACTACGGTCCGACCTTTGGATACGGCGATGTCATCGGATGCGGCGTCAACTTCAGGACAGGGACCGCCTTTTTCACCAAAAATGGACATTACCTCGGTATGTTTGACGAGAAACGGGTGGCAGCCACGAGCTGGTTCGCCCCGGTCATACTTGCCCGTGCCGTACTGACTCTTGTTTGTTTCATTCAGGAATCGCTTTTAGGGAAGTCAAGGGGAAGTTGTACCCATGTGTTGGGCTCAAAAAGACCGGAGAGCATGTTCGTGTCAACTTCGGCCAGACACCGTTCATGTTCGACATTGATTCCGTCATGAAGGCATGTTCAACTCTCATCACACTCGTTATTATATTCATTTTCATTTTCTTCATATACGCGTTGTCCCTTGCTTCTCTAGTCTACATTGTTTTCACCATGAGTGACCACTATCCCAATGGAATCCCTGGGTGGCTTCTCGAGACTTTCGGCGATCCCATCTGGCATCACGACCAGGCCCCGTGGCGACGCCACAGTTATCCGGCCAGGGCTCCTGAGGATTCTAAGGACGACTCCTCCACGGACGAGTTCCTTCGGCCGGGCTATCCAAACTCGGAGCCTGATCGTGATCCGCCGGAATGGTGCATGTCGCGGGACGCCTTTCCATAGGAACGAGAGCCCGCGGAGTCGTGTGGTGACCCAACAGAAACGACGCCCATCAACTTCTGTACTATCATGAATTGGGTGGCTGATCCATACTGGACGAACCGCGGCTGGGTTCTTATATCATTCATTAGCTGGGGCGAGACAAATGCTAACTATCGTTTTACAGAAGGAGATCAGACAACTCGAAAAGGAGATCGAGCAAGCAGATACTACCAAACTCGCACCACCACTCAACGAGACGGAGCTCATCCAGCAATTAGTACGTCACGAAGTAATTGAGGGCTGAAAGCCGCGGCTGACACTGCTACAGGTTCTACAATTTTTACAACACGACGGTTACGTAGAGACAGCACGAGCCTTTGCCCGAGAAATACAATCCGAAAAGCAATCTCTCTGTTTAGACCCCAATGAGCAGGTACCCGGCATTGACATAAAAGATGACGAGGATGCAAATAATCGACAACGTGGGTCACGCTGGTCTAAGATGATACAATGCCGACTTACTAACTACTCGCAGGTATCCGTCGAGCCATCCTGGAAGGCGACATCGACAAAGCACTGAAGCACACGAAGGCATTTTACCCCCAGGTCCTCGAAGAGAACGAGCAGGTCCACTTCCACCTCCGATGCCGCAAATTCATTGAGATGATCCGCAATGAAGCCGAGATGAACCTCGTAGGCGCAGGCGGCCCCAAGGGTAACCACGCCGCCGCCATCGCGACGGGCAACAACGGCCACAGCCAGCCACCGGGCGCTGAGGAGATGGAGCTCGACGAGGACCTGGACGACCTCGACGGCACGCACGACCAGCGGGATCTCACGCAGGATGCGCTGCTCTACGGGCAGACGCTGCAGGCTGAGTACCTGGGCGACGAGCGGCGGGAGGTGCACGTGGCGCTCAACGAGATCTTTGGCCTGATGGCATACCCGAATCCGCTGAAGGAGCCCAAGGTCGCGCACCTGCTGGACCGCAAGGGCCGGGTCGCGGTCGCGGAGGAGCTCAATTCTGCCATATTACGTGAGTTCCCCCCCCCCCCCCCTTCTCGTCGATTGTTCAAGCAACCCTATATCTTCAGGGGAAACGACGAAGCAAGATTTATAAGTCAACTAACAGTCCATCTCCCCAGAATCCCTCGGAAAGTCATCCCGCGCGGCGCTGGAAAACATGTACGCACAGACCTCGGTGCTACTAGACGACCTGGCTGAGACGGGCGGGCCCGGCGCGTTCGTCACGCTGCGGAGCGTCATCGAAGAGACCGAGACGCCTGGGCAATGGATCTAGGGGCCCAACGGCGTTCGCGACGATGTCGGCCGTGACCTGTATCGACTGCGCGCTCGGTCCACAGTGGCTCCCGAGCGCCCGCCGCCACCGAGCACACGGGTCGCTTTATCATCTAGTTCTGATGAGGACCTTGATCGGGAGGAGCCGTTGCTTCCTCGCCAATCAGAGCCGGAGAGGAATGGAGGGGGTGGCGATGCTGGTGTTGAGTGGACGCCGAACCCTGCCGCGCCTGTCTTTACCCCTCGAGGACATGGTGATGAGGCGGGTTCGTCCTCGTCGTCGCAGGCGCCTCAAGGCTAGGTTGGGCGTTGCTTTGGGTGTGCAAGCGACGGCAATCGGCAGATCAACGAAAGGCCATTGGGCTTTGTCGCCTATCTGCCCGCATGACCGTCCTTTTTTTCTTTTTCGGCATGGCTAGACATAGCCCTCCATCCGGGGCTGTAATGAAACTCATCACGTTCGGCGCCCCAAGTTACCAGCTCGGTCACATTGCATTTAGAGAGGAAGTCGTGGGCTATTCACGGCCTTCTTCAGCTTATCGTTTTTACCCCGTTGGTCTTTCTTAATTTCACTGAGGCGGTGGAATCATTAGTTAGCTCTCGGTTCGGCTAGAGAGAGCTATCTATCTCCCACCAACTCACAAACCAAGAAACATCGACCGACGAGCACCCGACTAGCGGCTGTGGCAACAGCGGCAGCGGCAGCAGTAAATACATATTCTTCATCTTTTTATCCGGTCGTGGGAGATGAGAGGACCGAGCTGGATGATTGCACAAATGCGAGCGAGGACGAGAGAGGGAGAGAGAAGAACGAGAAAGATGACAGGCTTGCGAACAGACAGACGGGCAAGTGCGCATGGAAGTAAGGACAGATGAATGGGTGGAAGCATTGATTGGTTTGGTGATTTGACTTGATTGTGAGGAGTTTCCCTGGCTCTGGTAAATTGGTTGGGGGAGAAAGAGGCGTTGATGCCTGGTCGTCTGTTTTATCTTTTGGTCTGCTCGGTTAGGTAGGTATACTGGCGTTTAATACTCTTCTCTCTCTCGCCCTCTCGGAGCCCTTTTTGGTCCCTTGTTTACTGAGCTTCTTGTTCTGTGATGGAGTGGATGGCGTTATTCGACTTGACTCGGCTTGATCATACCTTTTGGCGTTGGATGGGGAGACTCTCCCACTCATTTTCCCATGACTCTCACCTCCAGGTGTCGTTGGTTTCCATCGATGGGTCGTGTGTGTTTTCTTCGGTGTGGCACTCCCCTTTTCGTCATCTGATCATACAAGCATTACATTGCAGTCCCCATCCGCTTGCCGTGGAAGCAGGGGGGGGCTTTCTGGTCTGGTGTGTCCTCTTTCTTTCCTTACTCGTGTTCTTGCCGCTATCACGTACCGCAGCCGAAGAGAGGGCGATGCGATGCTTGAACACTGTAGGCGGGATGCTTGGGGTGCGGCTATGGCGTCTGTGAGGTGGAGTGGAGTTGAGTATGTATGGAAATGGGGGGGGGGGGGTGGTAATGATAAATGCAGACCGGATCGAAGGAGGGACGTGAACGGTTGCTGACGAGACCAATGCGCGAGTCGAGGATGAAATCAGGGAGAAAGAAAATCAAGACACAAAAAAAGACATGAGGAATCGCATAGTACCTTTGATGTATATATGCGTATGTTGAGCTTCACCACTTCGTCGTGTACATATAGATCTGCGGCTTATAGAGGGAGGAAGTGGAGGGCCAGGGGTGGATGGTGTGGAACTGAAGGAGCGGATTTATTAATCCAGATGACAATGAAACCGTCGCCCATTGTCAGTGGCATAGCACTCATCTATATGTCTATTTCTTGCGGCACCGGTTTTGCGGGAATAGGGTGTGTCGAGCACGTCTAGGGCTCGCGAGATAGGGGCTCTCATCGCTGTCGAGGTCTGTGGTTGCATGAGGACGCCAGCTGATTTGGTGTGAACCCTGAAACGGTATGATATTCGACAGTCCACATACGATGGGACAAGAGCAGATTCAGCGTCAGGCAAGGAGCTGGCCGCCTCGCCCGTGCAAGGTGCTCCCTTTGTCTCATCCACAGGTCCACAGCTCTCGGAGAATCACAAATGACAGTTGGGACTGAGAAGGGACCGCAGTTGTGCTCTCAATACTATATTTTTCTTGATCTCTTGTTTGGAAGTGGGGTATCTACCTTCGGACCTCATCTATCTGTGTATTGGATGTGAATGAGATATTGACGGTGCTCAGTACACCCGGCTAGCCGGCGTGCAGCTACTGCCTTATGATAATATGGTGCCTGGCCCTGCAGGATTGTCTGTCCATGTCACCTACACACACCTGTCACTCAAGCAGTCCTGCCGGCTCCAAGCTCTCGCTGTTTTGATGTGCTTTCGCCTCACTTTGCGGGTTGTGTATATGTGTGTGTATACTAACCGCCAGAGAACAGTCCAAGCCTTGGTCCACCCGTAGTGTCCTGACAGCCAACAGCACTCTGATGTGGGCAAGGCTGATAGATGGTAGACGGTCGAGGACGCGCGCTGCGTGGCTGGGGCTGCGTGGGCCGGTTCGCCGGAGAGTGGCTATAAAAGGTTGAGTTGAGACTCTCAAGGCTGGCTGCACTCAGACCAAGCGAGTGGTGCCGTATCGGATGTAAAGCCGATTACACTTCACCTCGTCCCTCTATTGATCGAGCGAAGCCCAACCGCCCTCACCCAGATCCCCCCAGTACGAATCGAGTATCCTCCGCGCGTGGCCAACGAGCCGTGGGCACTTCAGTACGATCCGCCGCAGCGTATCATCACCCCACGGCTCGCCGCCATGGAAATCCTCACCACCACCACCACCACCCGAGGACGCCCGCGCGCCGTGCAGGATCAAGTAAACATAGCTGAAGACGGCAGCATCGAAGAGCGTCGGGTGCGGCGCGCCAAAGAACCACCCACTCCCAGCCCGGCCATCAACGGCCTCCCGCTCAGCACCGGCATACAGCAGCGTCTCGAGGGCGTCGAGCGCCCGCCGCGCGTCGGCGTAGATGCGCTCCGGGTCGATGGCGGCGGTCCCGCCCAGGGCCCAGGCGAGCAGGTCGCCGACGTTGCCCTCCAGCTTCCAGCCAGCCTTTCCAGACCCACCACCAGCACCACCACCAACCCCGCTATTGGTGGTAGTCGCCTCGGCAGACTTGGCAACCTCGGCCCTGGCGGCAGCGCGCAGCCGGCGCAGCAGGGCGTCGCGGACGAGGGCGGAGCGCGAGCACGGGTCGACGTACCAGCGGCGCAGTAGGCCTTCGTTGGGCGCGGACAGGTACAGGGCGTAGAGCCAGGCGGTGCGGAGGGGCCCGTCGACCAGCGACTCGTAGGCCTGGCGGCGGCGGGATTGCGACTGCAGCTGGGGGGTGGGCGCCTGCGGGGTCACGGTCGCGGGCGGGAGGGCGCCGTGCCGGGACGCGTAGGCTTCTAGCCTTGAGGAAGGGATGGGCTGGGTGCTTCTGCCGTCGAGGCGGGCATGTTTGTCGCTGCTGCTGGTGGTGGCGGCTTTTGTTGTTGTTGGTGTTGTTGTGGTCGGGGCGAGGGCGGATAGAGGGGGGAGCAGGAAGGGGAGGGCGCCGGTGGGCGAGGCGTGGTTTGTTGAGGGCTTGAGGTGGAACTTGACGCCAGCTATTCGTAGGAAGGTCTGAATTGTTTGCCGTTGATTAGCTTGGTGAGGTCAAGATAGGATGGTGGTGCTGTTGTTGAAGCTCAGGGGAGACGAGTGACGGAGGGCAAGGATCGGAGTGGCCGGTAGTCAGAGCTCCGGGAGCTGGTCCTGTGGAGCTCCGAGGTAGCTGGAGGAGCACACAGCTGTGAGACTGAGAGACCAAGGCATACTGACCTGCCACTTCAGACACGAGGGGTTGAAGCTGGGGGCGCCCCGGGCAGCATCGTGCTCCGAGATGAAGACATGAAGGATGGGCAGCTCCGAGGGGCCAGGCGAGCGGTAGGGCAGCTGGTTGGGACCGTAGGTGACAAGGGGCACGGCGTCGAACAGGCGCTGGAGGGGCGCGGGCACTGGTGGGACCCAGCTGCTGCTGGTGCCGCCCGACGAGGACGAGGAGGTGTTGTCTGTCATGGCATTGACATGGCCCGCGGTACGGCAACAGCTGGCTGAGTGGCTGCAGAGGAGGACTGCTGAGCCTTGCTTTGTTGGTATCGGAGCGGGCTATGCGACGGACAAAGCTGTTCCGCCCGGATCAAAGGCCGAAGGGTCGAGGGTCGAGGGTCAAGGGCCAGAGGTGGGATGTCAAAGGTGGATCCTTGCTGCAAGAGTGACGCAGCCGATTGCGAGCAAGGCTAGGGCCAAGAAGGCTGGGTACGGCTATGGGTACAGATATGGGAACTACTGTAGGGGTGGGTGGACAAGGCTGTCAAGAATTGGCGGTGATAATGCTTCCGTAGGCCGAGGCGAAGAAAAAAAAAACTTATCGAAGATTCGAAAGTTCGGAATAGCCAAAAGCCAAAAGCCCAATGCCAATCCCAGCCCCTCCAAACCCTCTCCCAAACCTTGCAAGACCTGCAGCAAAGTAGAGATGATCCCTGCAGCGACCCCAAGGTTTTTTTTACCCAGGTTCCGTCTGCACGTGTGCACCGTGCCGCTGGTGCACCAGACAGCATCCAATTGTCTGGGCGACGGCGACTCGTGCATCTCCAGATCGTCGACCCCATTTACGTCAGGCGGGCATATGAGGCATGTAAGGGTGTGCGAGGCACTCTGGATGATGCGATTGCCAAGTGACTGACTATCAATACGTGTACAGTGGTGGATGATCTCTCTTCCCCCTCCCCTCTTCTCCCCAAATTCGTACAATATCGCCGAGAGAGGAGCAAGCAGAACCTGTTGTTGCTGGCGGTTGATGATGGCAGGGCAGAGACGATAGACGGAAAAAAAAACTCTGGAGGACTTATTCATGCATTTACAGGTGTTCCATGCCCACGCCATGCGCATGCCATGCCATGCTATGCCATGCCATGCCGTGCCGTGCAGAGCGGGACATGCAGGTTCTCGGCCAGGGGTCCATCTTTTGTCAACTCGGTCCTACTAAGGCCAATCCAACCCCATGCTTCCCCCGTCGCTTGTGGGTCAGGGACAACGAGGGAAGGGAAAAAAACTAATCAAGACCCTGGACCACATCTCACGATATCGCAACTCAAAGGCGGTGGGATGGGATAAGCATGAGGCCACGATCCCGAATATCCCCGGGAAGGAACCGGGATCTCGCTCATATCTCAGAACGGTATCGCATTGTTTATCTTATAATGCGATGGCGAGATGGCCCTGGCCCGCCGATATTCGCCTTGTTCTATAGGCGCGGCTGCAAATGCAGGCTGGACTACACTTGGACTGCACTCTGCCCTCCGTCCTGCTCCGGTCCGATACTCCTGTTACAGTAGTGGTGAACTGTTTTCTATCCTTTGTCGTGCCTCGTAGCGAAATTCAATTGCGACTGAGGAAATCAAACCCCCCTTCCTCTGGTGCTACCTTACCAAAGTGCAGCTCGTAATGTCGCGAAAGCAGCCTCGAATCTGCCCGGTGAAGCGAGGCCGCCTCGGGACCTAGCCTTGGCCACCGCCCTTCTCTGCGTTTCCCCCCCATTTTCCCCTCCGCCCAATGTTTTCCCCCCACCGGCGATATGGAAAAGCTCGAGATCGTCCCGCTAGTTTGTTGGAGTAGAGCCGTAGACAGAGTTTAAGAGACACGTGAAACCAGCTTAGCAGTTTATCCAGATAAGCCAGGCCAAGATGTGCGCTGTAGAGCAACAGTGGCTGATTTCCCCGTATCTCGGGTCAACTGGGCGCGGCTGCGGGCGCTTTCAATTGCCTGATTGGGGACGGGGGACGCTCGAGGCCATCGTCGATTGATCCGATCCGGTTCGATGCCTGGGAATTTTGCCCTGGCACTCGAATTCTTGACCGAGTCGGCGCCCAGGTTGCATGTAGACAGACCGGCGGACGTGCCTAGATATGTGGTCTGGTAGTATTCCGTCTCCTCCTCCTCCTTCCTCCGTGCAGCATTTACGCGAAGGGGTTGAAGGGGTGCATAGGGATGGGCGGATCGTCCACTGCCACCACACGCATCACACACATTCACACCCACCCACCATTCAGCCAGCCTCAGCCGGCCAGCGTTTCAGCCCACCGGCCACAGGCCACACAGGAGGACATCTGGGATGTGCATACACAATTGGCCTCCTTAGGTACACAGCATCAGCAGCATTAGCATCATCAGCAGCACCAGCAGCATCGTCATGTCGAATGATTCGATGGAGCTTGCACAACGTAAGCCCCCAGAGAACTGGGTCGCGCGGCAAATCAGAATCTGGGGGGGTGGTTGTCGATTGAACACTGGACGGCACACAGGTACAAGGGTACATTACCACCCAAGTCCCCCAGGTCTCGGCCGTCCGTCGGGAAACAATCGGTACTTGTGACTGTGGGGTCCCAGAGCCCGTTCACGCCCGTTCTCGCACCCGTTTGCCCGCCACTGCAGGGGACCTCGGTGGCTCTACGAGCCGTCCATCCGCCGTACCTGCTGATAACGCTTGCCTCGGCTGAGTACCTGATTCACCTGGGCCAGGTACCCTATGAGTGTGTGTACGTGCGTGCCTCGAGACTGGCTGCTTGCGAGATTTCGACTGCACCGCGACTCGAGTCAACTGGCTGGCCGGCCGGCTGGCTGGCTACACAGTAGTAGTAGGCTGACAGGCGACAAACCTGCCTGAACCTGTCTAAGGCGTGTCCGTTGCGAACCAACGACTTGGCCTGCCCGTGGCGGCCTGTCATCGATCATCGCCGGTTGTGAGGCGGACCAGTCGTCAGTGTGGGTGTCAGCAGGAAGCAACCTGGGTACTTGGTACAGGAAGGAAGCAAAAACGCTGACGAGCCTCGAGAAAATTCCAAACGAGGCTCCACCTCTATCTTTTCCTCTCTTCTCGCGCTCTCGCCTTTTGCACGCACACACGACCCAGATCCAGAGAAAACCAGGACAGGACCGATTAGACAGGACTGGCAAGCACAAGCACAGGACAGGACAGGGCAGGACAGGGAAGGCAGAGGCATCGTCACAACTCGGCATCGTCCGACCCCCACATTGCCTCGGCGAAATACCGTATCATAGTCTCCCATCTACCGTCGTCGCTCGACCGTCACCGTCAGAGCAAAACAGTCCAAGCAAGGCCCTGAATTAGGAACTTCTCTTCCGACGTTTCTCCAATCTCGCTCGCCCTCTCGCACTCTGTTCCATTCTCCCCCATTCAATCAATAGAACGAATCCAATATATGACCCTGCCGCCAGCCCGCCTCGGCCCTCTTCGTCCACATATTTTCCTCTCTTTCCGCCCCCTCGCTTTGTTCCCTCCCCCCATCTCCCGTTCTCCAAATTCACATCATTCACGAAACCGGTCTGCCCACCCTGATCAGTTCCTGTTCTCTTCCTCTCTTCCCATTCCGAGATACAAGACGCCTCCTCGACATCCTATCCTCCACAGTGGGCTGTCTTTGGCGAACTGAGTGACCGCATACCTGCTTACTCACCTGCAAACACATCATCGCGCATACTCGAATAAGTCGCAGCCTTGTCTCCAAGCCTGCTGCTGCCTACTACCACCACCAACAACGCCACCCACAAAACTTCCCCCAAGACCACTCACACGACCAAGTCAGTCGGCCACCTTGCGATAAGGACATTCCTCCCCATCCATCGTCCGACCCACTCCGTGAATCATCACCGCTATCCTCAGCAATCCAAATCGAGCGCAACAGGCTTATCTCTATTTGCCTGCCTCCCCTGTCGCACGCAGTCTCGAGATAAACTCACGACCCTCCAAGAATACCCGCGACCGCCGCCCAAAATGGAAGCCCCACTGTCCTCGCCCACACAACGCACCCAGACCGCAGCCTCGCACTGGCCCCAGGCCGCGACAAAGGGCTACGCCGTCGCCGCACCCGCCGTCGCCGGCCACCGCCAGCAGGCAAAGCAGGCCTCGTCGGCCTCGCCCTCCACCGACGCCTTCCTCAAGGACTTCACCCTCGTTGCCGAGGCCGCCAAGCGCGCCCAGGTCGCCGTCATGGTGAGGGACTTTGAGAACATCGGGCTGTCATAATTTAGCCGAGAATTCGCCGAGGCTGGAGAATTATTCCTTTGTCATTTGATTCAAACTCCTCCCCCTCCTCGCTCTTCAAAGAGAGAAAAGAGAGAGGTTTCAGCATGTGCCGGAGGGGTGGGGGAGTTTTGGTGGGATGGGATGATATTTTGCATGCATGACTTGGGCTGGCAGGGTGGTTTAGAAGTGGTTATTCTTCCCTCTTCATCTCCATTTGGGCCGGGCAAGTTTTCCATCATCCACAGCAGCCTTCTTGGGGGCTTCGGTCACGCCACTCGGTCTGGTTCGGCCAAATTTGGGGGGCGCGCGAATTTCCCTCGCATCTGCATCCAGGGTCCTTGCGGCTCCACCATACGGCCACTCTTGCATACCAGGGATGGATGGGGGGGGTAATGGACGGTGGCGCACAGGCCATCTTTGTGGGACAGGGTCGAGGTGGTATGTGCATGTGTCGCATCTTCGCGAGAATGTCCTGACCATCCGATCGAACACCGCGTCGTCGATGGGCTCGGCGACACATTGTCATCTCTGGGGCCATGTCACCGCTCCAATTCGTCCGCTCTGTCGAACTACCGATTTGTCATTTTGGGATGGGAAAAGAAGTGGCTCCACGTCCGTGCGCGCAACGCAGCGACCTGAGGCAAAGCTCATGCTCGAGACCGACGGCGTTGACAGGATGACAATCATCATCGGATCGGGAGCGTGAAAGAGGATGGATAAGATTCCCCGGGGCGAAACGAAAACACACACAATACTTACACACACCCACAAACAAGATACAATACACACGGCGCATAGGGTCAGCAGCATTTACACCAACAACGACATTTGGAGCAGGCGCACGGGAGTTTGCTGAGTTTTTAGGGGAACACGGGAAAGAGGCCATGCATCGATATCCCTCCTCATTCTGTTTGTGATTTCTGGGCTCAGCAAATCATCTTCTGCAATGGGTTTTTTTTGTCGTGCTGATTAGCTGGACGGCGGGAGATAGACCGGCGGTCTCTTGCGGCTGTAATGCGGACGGTTTGAGACCTGGGGCGGGGAGAACGAGGTGGGCGGGTTGGAAGAAGATGGATGGGACGCCGAGTCTCGGCATGCCTCGTCTCGACCGCTCGTCCGTCCGTCCGCCCATGCGTGTAATGGCCGCAGCACGTTCCAGTCCAAGCATCCACCATAAGCTTCTAGATAGATAGGACCCGAGCGAGTTCTAGTCACGTCCGGCCGTGGGTTGTGGGTCCCCACACGGCAAACGGGCAAGATATGTTTACAATAGAGTCAATGAAACTCGTCGGTGGCGTCCCTGCCCGACATAATCAATGTTTGCATTTCTCTCCTGACCTTGGTGCCTTGACTCCTGCACGATAGAGAGCCCAAGGGTGACTTCCGCGTGCCATGTCAACATTCATCTGTGTATGGACTGATGCGAGCATGTCCCTCGTCTACACAATGACAAATATATTTGGGCTGTGGACGAGCTTTGATGGCCCACATTTGCATTACATGAAAACAACATGTAAACGTTGGCCCTGCCTCTCGGCCACGTCCATTCTCAAGCTCGTGGCAGCAGGTGGTATCAGCACTCGCACGGCAGAATGCCTGACAGCTACCGCTTCCCGCGCCTCATTCGATCACCAGGCATCGAAATCAGAGAGACAGCCTGCCAGGGGATCTTGCATCTCAAACAAAGCAGCCGGCCCGCCTAATCTACAATCTCTTTTCACCCAACCCAACCAACATCCCTCAACACAACCCCCACAACCCAACCTCACAACCTAGCCAGCAGACTAACGCCCCCATCAAGCGCGAGCGTGGCCCCGTTGACAAACGCACCCGCGCGGCCACACAGGAACAAGCACGCGCCAGCGGCGTCCTGCGGCGTGCCGATGCGGCCGAGCGGGTTCGCCTCGGCGATGGCGTCGCCGGCGGAGTCGAGCACGGCGCGCATCATCTTGGAGGGGAAGGGCCCGCACGCGAGCGTGTTGACCGTGACGCCGCGGGGGCCCAGCGCCACGGCCAGGGTGCGCGTCAGGTGGTGCAGGCCGGCCTTGGAGGCGCTGTAGGCGTAGTTCTCCATGGTGGGGACGCGGAGGGCGTCGATGCTGCCGATGTTGATGATGCGGGCCGGCGAGGCGGAGGCGGAGGAGGAGGAGCCCGCCTTGCTGCTGCTTTTCTTCTCCAGCAGCGGGATGAGGAGCTGGGTGAGCGTGAAGACGCGCTGCAGGTTGAGGGTCAGCAGCTTCGTCCAGGCCGCGTCCGGGTGCGTCTCGAGCGGCTCGCCCCACGCCGCGCCCGAGTTGTTCACCAGCACATCCAGCCCCGCGGGCTCGCGCTTGCCCAGCTCCGCGGCGAGGGCCTTGCACGCGTCGAGGGACTGCAGGTCTGCTGGGAGGGAGGCCGCGCTGCCGCCTGAGGACTTGCCTGGGGGGGGGGTTTTATGTCAGTGGTTCCGGTCATGAGAGACGGCGTGGGTTGATGATATTCCATACCCAGGGCTGTGAGCTCCTCGGCGGCTTGGTCGCATGCCTTGCCGTCCCGCGAGGAGATGTAGACCTTGGCGCCGTTGGTGACGAAGCCTTCTGATATCATGCGGCCTATGCCCTTGGCTCCTCCTGTCACCAGGACGACCTTGCCCTGCGGTGATGGTTGCGTGTTAGCGAGAGCGGTCTCACATGCTGAGCTCGGGGTTCACTTGCCTTGACGTCAAAAAGACTGTTCACATCCATGTTGACTTCGTGAAATATGGCAAGTGTGTGGTAGATAAAGCTAACTAGATCAAGGAAAGATGTGAAAGTATTCAGGTCAAAGGTGGAACATCTGTTCCGTCCTGTGCTGGTGGTTCCTCATGCTCGGTGGGAGTCGTGTTGTCAACAGGGGGACCGTCCATCGTCCGAGCCGAGGCATCTTTTCTGTGGTCCGACTAATCAATGGCCCCCTGTCAAGCAAGTCTCCAGGGATATGGCCTCCTTTCTTATTCCCGGGCCAGGCCGTGGTACATTTGAGAAAATATCACGACGTTTCTTCTTGCCTCATTCAGACTGCTAAGGGACAATCGGATGGCCTTTCTTCGGTGTCGGGCAGTGAAATTTAAATGCAGGTGCCAGTGTTGATGTCTTCGGGCAGGGCTGAGGCGGAAGGACGGGGTGACCAGGTTGGAGCTGCCCGAGTTCGGCGATGAATCATCGTCCATTGTCTTCACCGTCGCCGTTTGTCCTGTCTCGCGGGCACTGAATCTCACTGCACCAGTAACAACCAGCATGGGATCCAATGGTTAAAACTTTCCTTAACAGTAAGTCAGATCTATAAGAGACGCCAAAAAGGTTCCAAAATTCTAGGTCTTTGTTGTTCTGCTTCGTCAAGCGTCAACTCCAGAGCTGGGTGGGAAGGTCCAGCCGGACTACTGCGGGACTGCCTCCAGAACAGAAGCATATTCTCTTCTCTCGTTGAACCAGAAGGAGCATCTGGACCACTGGTAAACTCCTGCCTGGAAAGGTGCACCTGGAAGTAAAGCAGTTCTCCTCTCCTCTCCTTCCGCTATGGCTACTCCAAGTTTGCAGGTAAGCTTTCTGACAGCTATCCTTTCGCTGCAATCCACCATTTCGAATCCATCATTCAAACCGTCACAATTATCGTCTTGCATCATTCTTCCATTCTTCCCACCATAATAGTCAAAGAACTTTTCCAACCACTCAATCCAACCCAATATGCCTCACCAGAACCGTCAGGCTGACGGCCGACAGGATCACTTCAGGAATAAGCCCCTCCAAGAGCACGGCTCGTTATGGAACCAGCTTTGGGAGCGCCAGACCACCAGTTGGGACCGAGGCGGTCCCAGTATCGCCCTTCACGAGGCCCTCAGCGTCTACCCTGAGCTCTTTGATGGCACCTATCCCGATCTTGGGCTGCTCAGCGACTTCGTTGGCCACGAAACCGCTCAAGCAGCCACCCCATCCACCACCTCAGCCACGGCACCCAGGAAAAAGGCTCTCGTGCCAGCCTGCGGAAGAGGCTACGACGCGGTTCTCCTTGCCAAGGTGTTCGGTTACGACGTTGTCGGGCTGGAGATCTCATCCACTGCACTGGATGCTGCCAGACAATATGAGAACAGCGTCAACGAGGTGCTCGATGCACCGGTGAAGCAGCAGCCGCCCTCCCACGACGACCCAGCAGTGGACTTTTGGATCAAGAACCGGAGCTCGTCTCCAGGACGCGTAAACTGGGTCTCTGGGGACTTCTTCTCGGACGGCTGGCTAGTTGATGCCGGTGCTGAGCAATTTGATCTCATTTTCGATTACACTGTGAGGCCCTTTTCTCTTCTCAAAATACCTCCCAATTCTCGATACTCGCAGGGCTGGGTCGATTATGCTCTTTTGCCTTCTTTTTTCCCGAGTAACCACGGCAAAACCCACAATGCTGACCAAATTCCAGTTTTTCTGCGCCATCCCCCCGTCGGCTCGACCAAAATGGGCAGCAAGAATGCAACAGCTCCTCGCTCGGCCCAATGGTAGACTTGTCTGTCTCGAGTTCCCAACTGGCAAGCATCCATCGACAGGTGGCCCTCCCCACAGCGCAGCCTTCTGGTTTTATCAGCTGCACCTGTCCAATCCCGGGAACGAACAGATCATCACGTACAGCGAGCCGAAGAATCCGGCTCAAAACGACCATGAGCAAGATGACCAAGTACAAAAGCAGAGCACTATTAACGCCAAAGCTGGCGCCTCTAGCGGTCCAGGATTGGCCATGATAGTACGCTTTAAGCCCAATGAAACCCATGGGTCTGGCCAGAGTTACGACGGCGCATTCGGTCGGGACTGGGTCTCTGTCTGGGGTCACTCCCTGAATGGCACACGAATGAATCCAGATAAAGGGTCTGAGGTCTCCTAGGAGCAGATAACGAGGCATGACTAGGATGATACTCGTAGCCAGGTACCCAGGCCTCGTAGTGAGAGGGCTCCAATCACCAAAGCGCCGGAAACCGAGAATGGTTTGAGCGTCAACAAAGAGCACAATGTGATTCACACGGCTTCACCAATTCGTGTGGGCCATTTCGATTACTATCTGAGATATAATCTTGCGGGCCGTGGCACGGAAGCGAGACAGGCTCAGCAGGGCCTACCAGGCTCGCTCGAAGACGAAAGCCCCATCACCGCGCGCCGCCCAAAACGCCCTCGTACCGGCGCCCAGGATCCCACTGCCGAGCAGGATGCTGGTGCAAGACATAAGCTTCCCTCACGCAAGGGTGCCCACTTTGACGGTGCATTGGATGACAACATCCGGTCAAACATTCATAGCGACCATGATCTGAGTCAAACGGCTCAGGAGTATGAGGTGGATGACATTTATAGCGCGCCAGTTGATACAAATGCTGGGAATACGAAGAAAGCCGGCGACCGAGAAGCGAAGAATCAGACCAGCGGCCGAAGCAATATTAGGACCACCTATACATGGGACAACAGAATCCCGGTTGACTTTCGACCCGCAAACAGCGGCCGAAGCAACGTTGGAACTGCCTATAAATGGCTCAACTTAACCGTGGCTGACTTTCAAGCCGCAAAGAAGCAGCGGCTTGATCGTATCGCCATGGGATCGGTAGGCCCTGTATCGCGCTCGGCTGATGGAAACATGGAACTGTACCGGCTCGTCATGGGCACCGAGTCCGTAGAGACATCCTCTAGAACCGATTCGTCAGACGCGGAGGCATTCATCAGCCGAGTTACAGAAACCATCCAAACAAAAGATGGTGGCACTGACCAAACTAGCGGAGGCTCTTCAATTAGGACACCAATCAGGCACAGACTCCAGGGAGTCGGGCCGGATGTTTCCGGTAGTACTTGGAGCGGCCGCTTGCGACGTCGGGCAGCCATTCGAAGTCGCTCTTGAAGATCGGCCTGTCGAGGTCACGATGATTGCGGGGTAGATTGTACACTTGTGTGAAGTATGCATTGTTGACGGCTGGTGAAGAGAGCTCGGTCTGCTACGCTGCTGGCTTTATTTGGCCTTTTTGATCATGAAGAAGTAGACAGGCAGTGTATCGATCCATTCATTCAAATCAAGATTTGCCTAATTGAAAGCAGAGGACCGGCGGCCTTTGGCGATACGACACGCCATTGTGTATCTGGTGAGCGCCTTTAGACTACGGTGTTGCGTGTAAAGAAGATTGCTCGGTAAATAAAGAGCACAGCTATCTTCAGCAGCACATATTTGTTTCCAAATGGAAACAAGAGCGGTATATCTCTTATTTCTCTTCCTCGCTTGAGAAAGTAGATAAATTAAGGGCTGTGACATGTTCCTCACATAGAGTCAATCTGCGGTTAAACTTGACCAATGACGCTTTGAATATGCCCACATTACATGTCCACATGTGTATGCATATTGTTCATATATTCTTCTTTAATTAGCACAGGCACATATAACCTGCCTGCCACCCTTTTCAGGTGCTAATCTCTGCAGGTAGCTATCTAGATGCAAGAACGAGATTGCGTCACCTCGTACGATCAGAAAATGCGTATGTATAGGCTGGGAAAGCAATAGGAATCGTTTCAATAGAGGCAAAAGCCTAGTCAGCAGCGGATAAATATGGGCAATTATTTGAATATGCAAGGAGTCAAAAGATCCCATACTGCCAGGACACTTGTCGTCAACCGAAGGTCTTTGTTCTTTTTTCCTGCCGTAACGAGCGGCCCAATTCCGCTTCTGGGCCATACTCGCCGTTCTGAGAGAGTACTTGGGCCGCCGACGGAACAAGGAACAAATCTGAACCCACGCCAGGCCAAGGTAAGACTACAGGCACTCCCATCGAGACGTGCGCATGTGGGTGGCAATGCAAAAACTCGACAGCCAGCCCAGCCCAGTCCAAACAAGCCCAAATGGGCATGCATGCCACCGGCGAAGCAGCATCAAAGACCCATTGGCCACCACCCGAGCCTGTGACCTAGATGCAGAACAGGCAGTCGGCGGCACCGAAGAAAGGGGCGGGCAGTAACGCGCCGAATCACACCGCAGGAGGGGGTAGGAAAGGGCCCGGGAAGTTTCGTTCCTGCGCGGACGGCACGGAGTTCCGGACGGGGTATACGCCGATGCGGTATAGGTGCCCGAGGGGGGGAGGATGGAGCGGAATAGGGGAGGATTAAAACTTGGTTTTCGGTAGGTGGTTGAGAAAAAAACAACAACCAAAAACCACTACTTGGCTGCCTGTCGTGTCCTTGTGTAACCAGAGCCAGCTCCTTCTGCATGCCCGGCTGGGCGTCTATGCACCGTCCTTCGTGCGTCTTGACTGACTGGTCTGGACTGCAGCTGCAAGATGGCTGCAGGTTGTCACGGCCACGAGCAGCTTGCCCGACGTGGTTTTCTTTTGGTGGACAGATGTGGTCTGCAGCAGACGTGTCTCTACGATGTGTATCATTCTCCTTAGTCCACGTATCTTGTCCTGTATATACACGTATTCATTTTCTCTCGGTATTGAACCCCAAACCAGATTCTGCGCCGACCACTGCACTCAATCACATACAAATTATAAGCTCGTGAGCGCGTGAAAATGTGCATTTGTACATCTCTTCGCACCACGACAGACGCGCATAACCATCCCCCGGCGACCTGTCAGAAATCCTTCCCCAGGCGGCCCAACATGCGGCCAAGGGGAGAGCTCCTGCACGTCGGGGACGAGCAGCTCGCCGGTAAGCTAAGCAAATCTGGCGGGATGAGATCTCGGTTTCCTCCCCTCCTCTCCCCCCCTCCCTTTCACTCTTGGGTACAGATGCTTGGGTGATGCGGGATGATTGGGTTGCGTGGCCGCCGCTCGAAAATGAGAGAGAGAGAGATCCGGCACGGCGAGATCGCGACCTTCCTGATGCAGCACACAGCTCTTCCTTCCTCCTACACCCCCCTTTCTTTGTGCGTCGGGCGCCACACCACACGAGATGGGATGGCAGCGGGCCAGCATGCGGTCGACCTGCATCCTGCAGCCTGCAGGGTGGTTGTGGTGGTGGTGGCGGCGCTGCATCTGCAGCAGCATCTGCGCCCGCGCCTGCATTTGCAGGAAACGCGATCGTCGTTGCTTCACCCTCCCCCCCTGTGTCCGCATGGGGTTTGGTCCTCCCTCGTCCGCCTCGAGGCCAAGGGGGGGAATCTCAGCTGCTCAGCTTCAGCTCCAGGTCTGAGGGCTTCTTTTTCTCCGGCGCGCGCGCGCACCGCATGAGATCGACGCGGTTGTGTAAAAGTGCAAGCGACCTCATACACCGGGGAATATCATGCTTTTCTTCAAAGCCCGCCAACACCCCCCCCCCCCTCCCCAATAAAAAAAAAACCTCCCAACGTTTCCTAACTCCCGGTGTCAACAAGAACCATTGGCGACGGCAGGGCCGCATGGTGCCTCTGTGCATGGGGTATCTGGGCTAGGCGCGCTCTCAACTGCAAGTTTGAGACCCGGCCGCGGCGCTTGCCCGGCTCTCAGAAGTGTGTTCCCCTTCTTTTTTTTTTTTTTGGCTGCCTTCCTGGGACCCTCGCCGACAACACGCTTGTAGATGTCGGCGTCTTCAGCTGAGGTCTGCCATAGTTGAGACAAAGTTGCGAGTTATTGAGGGGGGGGGGCGCCATAGGCGTGGGCGAGGCGAAACGCTGGGCATGCGCGGGCGATCTCAGTCGGAGGATTGCAGATCATGAACGAGGCCCGTGATAGCATTGCTCTTAAGCCGCATGGGGGATTTGGCAGACGGCCTCCGGGGTTTGGGTGTGGGTGGGGGGAAAGGGTTTATTTGTGTATCATCAGGCTTTCACTGCGGCTGTCAGTTAGATATCCCGCGTATTTGCCCACGTGGAGAGTGGCACTGGGACCGATTTGCTGACGCATCCCAAATCGCATAGAGGGAATGGGTTCAGGCGTCGAAGGAAGAGGTCCCTTGTTCCGAGGAGATGCGATGGTCTTTCACCGCAGTCCAAAAACAGGCAGATGGGTAGTCGTATAAGTCATACGTACACTGAATCACTGAATCCTTGCCAAGCAAAGAGCCCTGTCCATAGGACGACCACACCCTTTTCTTGCCCGTGGCTTAGCATTTGATAGCCTCCTCGCGTCTACGATGTCAACTCCTTGCGATCAGACTTACTCATTGACGTGCATTGTTCTGAGACAAAATATAGATACTCCCCAAGGACGTCTTGCCTCCCCACGAATCCCACACACTAGTCAGCGTGGGGGGAGAAAAAAAAAGGGGGGGGGGTTGGTTGCTCGTAATGCCCTGGCAGCATGTCTTCCAGTATCTGATAGGACAGGCCTCGGAGGTCTTCCAACCAAGCCCCACGTGCGGCGGCCACGGCCGCGAGCCGTTGACATGTGTCGAGCTGTCTCAGAATAGCCCACCAGCCAGCCTGCTAGCCCATCAAGAAAAGCAAATAGTAAACTCAGACCATCACAGGCTCTCCCGCCTCCCCGCCTTCCCCGGCCGTACACATATACAAACACACACTCTCTCTCAAATCCCCAGTCACTCACATGCACAAATCAAGGATGCATAGCAGATGCAATATGCATTGGCACGCGCCCCTCCCTCGTGGGGAGAACCAAACCCTGCCCACAAGCTCCCGCTCCCACGTGAGCAGCAGAGGCGGCTTGGGGGTCGTGCCTGCTCGACTTGAGCTTCCGGATTTGCAAGAGCAAAAGAGACTGCGGTAGTAGGGATTCCCACGTACCCGGTCTTGCCTTTGTCCGCTGGAGGCGTCTCGGCAACCGACTGCGACGCTCCCCCAGGGATGACGCCGGCTTGGAGGGTATGATCGGAGGGAAAGCGAGGAAGGAGGTTGCGGAGGCTGGCTTGCTGGGTGGCTGGCTTGACAATCAGATAAAAAGATACGTAGACATATGGAGACAGTTGGAGCAGCAGCAGGAATAATAACAACGAAGAACTATCTCGATCTGACCAGTCACAAATGTCACCCTCGTAACGGCGCATACACCTTCCTAATAGCAGGCAGTAGCCCAGGGTCTCTTAATGCTTGCTGGCACGAGGGGAGACCCTGCGAGCCCCCGTTGTAGTTTGGATGGATTTGCTATAGGAAAGGAACGGGGCCCTTCCCATCCCAAGCAAAGCAGGCAGGGGGAGCCAATGCAGGCTGATTTTGACGCCTTCGCCTATCCCTTCGCGGTCGGACGGGCGGCACCGAGGAGCTCGCAACGGCGCCGGGCACGGCAGATAGACGCTGTGGTGTTTTCCGAGGCATGTGGTCCCCGGTTTGTGTCTTGTGTCATGCCTTCTCCCTAGGGATAGGCATAGAGAAGACATTAGAATAGCCCTAGCTTGTTCCTTTCCTTCTCAACGTCGCATCCTCGGTCCGGCGGCGTGTAGATCCCCATGTCTGCTGTGCCGCTTGGGAGACTCACCGGTCAACGTACTGAGTAAAGAACGTCCCGTCTGGAGCTGGACCCGCTTGCCTCCCCAGACACACACACACGCACGCACGCACACGCACACAGGCCCCCCCCCCCCACACCGCTAGAGATGGAGACACCCGCGGGATATTCCAACATGGGGTGGCTGATCGCGGGAGACAACGAGATGTGACCCCTGCTTGGCTGGCGATAGCCGAGAAAATCACCCACGGAAAACAGCCGACATACACGCGAAGGGGGGGGGGGGAGAAGCAAGACACGACGCGGCTAGGGCGTGAACGAACGCTGCCGACGGGGACAGAGAATGGCCCGAAGCAAGCCTCTCGAACGCAACAAGGTTTGGAGCTATCAGCCAACGGGCTTGGGTGCAATGCCCAAAGATGTGTTGGGGCAAGGGGACAGACAGGACAGGCAGGGCGTTCGGGGGGAATCAAAACCATGTGGCATGGCAAGAATCCTACGAACCCAAAACTGCGGGACCCGGTATAGGTGCTTGGCCGTGCCTATAACTGAGGAATTTCTTGGAGAGGCATTTGGCAGGGAGGGGACTGGGGGCTGGGAAGGTGTGGTGCATGTTGGTGGGGTGGAGCTCGATTGATGAACGGTAGTCTAGAATGCAGCGAGGAACTTTGAGAAGAAGAAAAAGCAATGTTCCCTAAGCCCGCACTTTGCTGCTAACGACTAGTGTTGCGCGGGCGAGGTAGCACTTTCAATGCTCTCCCTCTTCCCCCGCCGTCCTTCCGGTCTCGAACCCTTGTTTCCACCCCTCGTCCGCCGGTGCCTTCTTCAGGGACCCGAGAAGCGAAAGCCCGGCGCGGAGGCGGGGGAAGGGGAGATGGCTAGTCGGGGACACCGACGGGGACCGGGGGCTTCGCCTGAGAATAAAACCGACGGCTCTGCTCCCCTGGCCCGGCCTCGCTTGCGGTATTATATTGTTCGGATGAAGTGATGATGGGCTTTCCCAAACCCATGCTCTCAGATAAGGGAGACGGGCCGAAGTGAATACGACTCATCCGCAACAGATCCAGGTGCCTGTTTCCAGCGTGGGGTTTGAGGTATCAGCATGTCCAGACTAACCAGCTAACAGGTGAGGGCATATCGACTAGCAAGGTGAGGACGCGCCACACCGCATTGGAGAGAAGGAGATCCAGGCAGCCAGTCAAACCCACGTTCCACTTGGTCACCGAGGTAGTAATGAGATTGCAAAGCTCGATCCCAAGCCGGGGCCCCAGCCCGAGAACGAAACGGAAAAGAAGCTCCAAAGAAGCTGTGGGATGACATCAGATGATGTCCCCGGAGAGGAGACACTTTGACGTGACCGGCGCAGACCAATCGATCTTGGCCCCAGGCTCATCTCGAGTGTAGCATCAGTCACCCCGTGATGATACTGATTGATGGTTGATGATGATGGTGGTAAAATTGATGCGTCCGAGAGCAGAAGCATAGCGTGCGATTAAAGCATGAGCTCAAGATTCCGCCGCCCTATGCCATGGCCACCCCACCTGCCCCACCCCTATTGCGATGTTCATGCAACGGGGCCAGGAGCTAGCATGCGACAGCGACCTGGGCGGGCCACATGGAAGTCGGGCAGCCTGGGGCCGAGGTGGTGTGGTGAGGCTTGCTAGCGTCCAGGGGTGGGTTGAGTTGGGCTGGGAAGGATGCTGCAGGCCCATAAAACAAACAACAGCAAAGTTGAGGTGATAGTGCTAGTGGTGTCGAAATGCATTTGGTAAAATACTGTGTATAACCGCGAAAGAGAATGAAGAATGATCTGCGCAGACGCCCAACTGGGTTGGGTGATCCCGCCTTGGGGTTCGAGACTCGGGCCGCCAGAGAGACCGGGGGGCAGCACCCGAGCTAGCTGAGATGATCTTCACGGGGGGTGGGCGGCCGGGGCCTTGGAGTTTGTGCTGTGGTATGTGTGTGTGTGTGTGTGTGTGTGTGTATGTGAGAGGGTCAACAACGGCGGCTCCAAACCATTTGGAGAGCACGCCTCATGTGTACGTGCGCGCGCGCAGCATCAGGCCTGTTGAACCTTGGGGCAGCGCAAGGCGGTCCATCGTGTTTGGCTCGATCACTAACACCTCGGCTCTATATGAAATTTGAAGGTGTGTGAGTCTGTGTTGAGTGTGTTCACTGTTCGCTGCTCGGGCGTGGCACGCGCTTGGGAGTTGAGTTGAGCCTTGGGTGGGAGCAAGCCCAGAACAAAAAGAGAGATCATCGCAACCCCACAGTCTGAGCACTCGTTCGGATGTGACCATCACTCAACCATGGTAGCTAGTGCGTGTGTGTATTATCTCGGGTACAATAACCCTCTCCTCGGCGCCCACTGGCGAAACCCGGGACCGCAGAGCAGAATGCGGAGGAAGCACGCGGGAAATGATCATCACAATCGGGGATTTTTACCCCCAGCCCAAGAGCACTGCAACAGTGAAAGCGAGCTAGCGCCAGCATATAGGCCGAGAGAGAGCAAAAGATCCTGCCGTCAACGAAAGCTGCATCTTGCGACAGGGGTGGAGGGAGGGGGAGAGGGGGTTGAGAAAAAGACTTTGGAGGCTCTCTCTCCTCCGCCTGCGGTTTCTTGTTTCCGTCCGATCATGTCGGCGAGGCGGCCCCCCAAGAGCTTGGGCTCCAAAGCTCGGAAAGCTTGAACTGCTGCCGTTGGTCGCATATGCTTTATTAGGGGGGCGTTCCGGGGAAGAAAAAGGCAATGCAGAGCATCCTAGAAGGGTAAGGGATCGAGGCGCAGTCGCTAGGGCTAAAGCTCAGGACCGTTGGTTCTGAATGTCTTTGGACTATGTTTCCAGATTCGGCATCGCTGCCGACACCACAACCTCATGTGCTGTCGTGTCGTTTTGATGCGCCATGCTGGAGATGTCATGTGGACTCGCTATGATCAGCTTGTAGGAGGAACTTCAGAAGATACGTAATTCATTGCCATGCATCAACGCAGTTGTGACTGGTCCGAAGGCTCAGTGCATGAATCGATAGAGCGGCGGGATATGCCACTCCAAGTGCTTCAAGATAGTCAAGTGTCCAGACTTAGAAAAAAAGTCGAACAGTAATGGAAGGGGAAGGAATTTCTGCTTGAAGGTTGCAGCAATCTGATTAGAAACTGGAATTTTGATATTGGGTAAACCGTCTATTGAGTGTCGCCTGAAAAAAGTCGGAATCCCAATATTGATAGCATGAACAACAGGGTAGGCTCGCTGCAGTCCCGTGCTTGGACAGTCCTCCGTGCGTGCTTGTGGATGCTTCCTCGGTAGCTTTATCTCGGTGGTGACGCTAGTCCGCCTATATTAACGAGGCCATGACTTCCTGTCCGCCACGCTACAATTATCGAGGTCTGCCTCACTCGCCCTGAACCCGTCCGCCGCTTTGCGAGCCCTCGCCCAGGAGCTGGATATTGTCCGACAGGCGAGCTGTTTCGTTTTCCTCGCGTAGCGACATCAACACGTCGTCGCACTTTGGGTCCCAGACCCATTGAACTCCGTAAACACCAGTAGCTGTCCTTTTCAGATCTTGAGATGGATGATCACCTTTCTTTCCTGGGTTGATTAAACCAGATCCTGACGCCCCAGCAATGCCTCTTTTTAAATCGTGCGCCGTTCGCCAGGTCGTCAAAGTGGTGGTTGGATACTTCGTGTATCCTTCGAAACATAGATGCCAGGCAGAAAACAGATCCGGATTTGGACTGTGTGTGAAAACTGTGACAAAATTCGAACAGTGAAGTTTCGAGAAGACGCTGCCGCGCTGCAGCGTGTTTTGTTCGTCATCGAGTTCTTCTTGATCCAGCATCCCCTATCCTCGCGTACTCGTAATCGGTAGCACGATCTGTACCATGTTGCCGTGGCTCGAAAGTGGAGGATTTGGGGCCATATTGGTTAAGAGATGCGCTCATAATATCACACACTTCTTGTCTCCCTTCCTTCTGTATCGCCTGTCCTCGGGCATGGTGTCACGACGGCCTGGGGCCGCGCCGTTGGCTGGCCTGGACCCGCCGCCTGAAGAGTACGAGGCCGCATTTTGCCGCCTTATTATTCTCACAACGTCAAAGAAGGCCTTCTCAACATTGATGCAGTTCTTCGCTGACGCCTCGACAAATTCACACCCCAGTTCGCGCGCCAGAGCGTGGCCTTCTTGCGTCGATACCTCGCGCTCGGTCACTCGGTCGCTCTTGTTACCAACCAACATGATGGGGACATTGATCGGGCCACCGGCGGCGGCCATCGGCGAGCCAGGATATGACGACGAGCCTCCTGTAGACTCCTTGACTCGATAGATCTGATGATGGAATCTTTTGATCCGGGAGAAGGACGACCGAGAGGAAATGCTGTACACCAGAACGAACCCCTCGCCGTCTCGAATCCATTGGTCCCGCAACGCAGTGTACTCTTCTTGGCCGGCTGTGTCGAGAACCTCAAGCATGCATGCTTGCCCGTCTATGACGACTTGTTTGCGGTACGAGTCCTCGATCGTGGGGTCATACTAAAAGGCGAGAAGGGGTTAGACTGGCTGAACATCGACTTTGGTGATATCGGGAGGGTGATGGGGAATCCATGGGCCCGAGACCCCTCATGGCGGAGATAGGCAGTCGAAAGGTTGCATAAGACAGTCTTGATGGCCGAGAGCGAACACGAAGAGCCCGTCGCGACGAGATAAAAATCGCGTGTTGCCACGAGGGCTGGGCCGGGAAAGAAGGGAAACGACTCACGGTCTCTATGAAATGTTGTAGACACAGTTGAATGGTCAGGGCAGTCTTGCCTACACCACCATCGCCCAGCACCACGATCTTGTGCGGTGTTGTAAATCTTCCAGCCATTGTAGGTTCGGAAGGGGGAGGACAGCGCGAAGGCCTGATGTGGCCGTGTAATCGTGCGAACCAGAGGGGCTTTCTGCAGGAGTCGTCGGTGTGTGTGAGGAGCAGAGATATTGGGCGACAGAGCAGGAAGCAGCTGCGAAGGAGGGGTCCGCGGTAGATTGAACGAGGTGGAGATCAACGGCCGGGTCAGCTAGCAGGGCGTAGGTACCAGGCTGGAGGGGAGTCGGGGCCAGGGGGCGGAGGGGATTGTTCTCGAAGAGACAAAGGGTGGCTTGTCTTTAGTCGCGCAGGTATTTGAGACAAGCGGTCGGAGGCGATCCAGAGGGCTGGAGACTGTTTTTGAAGTGTTGTGTTGTCGCCGGGTTCGGGAGGTGCTGGACCGGTTGGGTGGAGGAGGGAGGAGGTGGTGTGTGTGGTAGAAGTTGGGCAAGGCTCGCCTTAAGGAATTGATTTGGTGAGGGGGGGGTGGTTGGACTGGACTGGACTGGACTGGACTGGCTTGGACTGGATTGGACTGGATTTGGATTGATGCAAGGTGCGAGATGCAAGATGCAAGATTGCAGGCAGTGCGGGAAAAGATCAGGCTGGGATGAAGGGAGCCCACTTGATAATGAAGAGCTCGAATGAGTGATTGAACAAGCGAGCGAGAGAGTGAGTGAGTGAGTGATGGGTGAAATTGATTGATGGGTTGGTCGGTCGGTCTGTTGGTTGGTTGACTGGATGACGGACGGACGGACTTGACTTGACTTGCTTGACTGCGTGCTTTGCTGCGTCAAGAGAGGTAGGGCAGGGACCGTCTCTGTACCGCACCGTATGTAGCCCAGTCAGGGTAATAATAAGCAATAAAGTAAAGCGATGCTCTACCCTTCTCTGCTGTGCTGTGGTGCTGTGCTGCTCTTTCTGCTTGTCTGTTTGGTGGGAAGGAGTGTGGGAATGGTGGAGAACCTTGGAAGAGGGCGGGCAGGCCCAAGCTTTGGAGAGGGGGGGCACTGGGGGGCACTGGGGGGGGGGCTTTCTGTCTAGGACTGGGATGGCACCAGAGGGCAAAGAGGGCCTGAGAGGCAGGACCAGGGCCCCAGGGTTGCGGGTGGGAATTGATATGCCACCGGAATAACCTAGGGGAATTGGAAGTGGAATTGGAATTGGGAGGGCAAAAAAAAAAATAGGGCCCAGGCCACTTGAGCAAGGCGCAGAAATGCGGGTAGACCTGGGCAGGTGGTGAGGTAGCTAGGTACCTAGGTAGCTACCTCTAGGTGCCCAGGGTAGGGTGCTGCGGCAGACGGCAGAGGGCACAGAAGGAGAGTGGAAGAGTGGGTGGCCAGCCCAAGAGGAGAGCAACCATCTGCCCGCCTCCCCACCCTTCCTTTGTCAGTGCCACCTTAACAGCTTGGCATCGCATCTCGCCGTGGCTTTGGTGGGATGATCCTGTAGCCCTGCTAGAGCCACAGGTCCAGACGCGCGTGGTTGGTCAGGCTAACAGTAATAACTTGACTGCCCCATGGACGGGTGGTGCGTCTATGTGCTGTGGATTTTCTTTCTCGGTTTTCAGCAACCGACAAGCAGTTAGCCATCTGAGGCCTGCCTCGACTAGAATCGTGATGTGGACTGGGTGGACTCTGTGGCGGAATTCTGTGGCGGACTCTGGACAAACAGCAGCAGCAGCACCTGGCCACAAAGTCCGTTTTTCCTTGCTTACATACTGTACGGCACGGTAGCGCACGGCACGGCACGAGCACGTCTTCCTCCTGGCGCTGACCGTGTCCGTGACCTTGGTGGCCGACCACTTGCATCGCATGCTCCTGCTTTATCTGTCCGTATGTGGAGCCTTGGCCTACTGTACCGCAGTATGTGCAGGGTAGAGTATGGCAGGGAAGAGCAGGGCAGAGCAGGACATGAGCAGGAAGGACATGAGGTCGTCCAAGTCAATCCCAATATCAGCTTGATGAAAGAGCCCGACCAAGCAGCCAAGATGGGCTGAGAGGGAGCCGTCGATGCCCACTCGGAACCCATGCCATGGATCGTCTCCTGAATCGAGCTCGCCCGGCTCGACGACGACAGCCGGCACCCTTGGCATGTGGCATGGGGCCTGGGGCCTGGGCACAGCATGGCATGGCATGGGCATGGGCATACCCATCCACCATCCCAGCATCAATCACAATCACAAAATGACAGCAGCCCCCTCCATCAACAACCCTGGCCGCCGAGCGCCTCCCGGAAGGGTAGGGGTAGGGCTCAGATTCTTTCGGCGGCCATGATGGTATTGGCGGGAGCAGCACGAGACCCACGCTGCTCAGGGATCGGCGACCTTAGGCGAGGCGTTCCGTTTGATGAGCCCCGTTGATGGAGGTGGTCCCGCCCCGTCGGGACATGAGGTGCAAGTGGAGGCGGGAGCAGCTTGCGAGTTGACAGGTGGGCTGGTGGGCTGGTGGGCAGGTGGGCGAGCGGGCGAGCGAAGAGGCCTTGTCGTGGCTTGTCATGTCTTGTGTGTCTTTGTGTCGTGTTCAGGCGTTTCCCAATGTTTGGCACGCCAGAACCGGGGATCGTTACTGCGTACGGTTTGACGGGACGGGCAGGGCAGGACAGGGCAGGGGACAGCAGGGCTCGCTTGCAGGACCCGAGGGCTCTCGCTCCCAGAGATTGCGACTGTTGAAGCCCAAGGCCCCCAGCCCAAGCTTAGGCCCTCATCTGGCTTAATCTGGAATGTCAATTGGCAACCGAGGAGACGAGTGATAATATGCTGCGTAGGCTGGATCAATCTGGTCACAATAGGGGTTGAGTTGATGAGTGCGCTGCGTGCTGCGTCAACGTGCTGGGCACCGTGCAGACTAGCAGAAGCGGGCACGGTCAGGCGGGCGCGGAATGGCAGCCAGAACATGGCTGAGTTGAACTGGGCAGCACAGTCTGATATTTTTTGAAGGCACTCAAAACCGCGGGCGCCGTGGAAAGCGTGGGCCACGCTGCCCATGCACTTGGGCTTGACGACTGCAGACGGACTGCACTGCATTGGCGGGGGGAACGGGAGCTGGGTCCCCAATCTTGCAGGGGCAGGGATGAGTGCTGCTGGTGATGCTGGTGATGCTGGTAAATGCTGGCCGCATGGGCATGGTATAGTCAGTGATACCTGGAATAGCTTACCACATGAGCATGCCGACCTCCACCTCGCCTTGCCATGTCGAAACGTAGTCGACAGACTCATCGACAGACTGACGTGTATGTGCAAGCCCACATAGGGGAGACAAACATAGTCAATACGAATTGGAATTCACAGGTCTGTTGGACTGCAGCACGGTACATCGTCTAGCAGATATCAGATATCAGGCAATTGCCAACTGGCATCAGGCAGCAGGAGGTCAGGTATAAGGATACCTAGGTACTTGCCTTGACACGTCCATCACATATGCTATAAGGACACGAGGCAGGAAGGCAGGAAGGCATGAGTGCCCAGTCCAGAAGCCACCAGACAACAGAAATGGAAACAATCAAATTGTTTGCAGAGGCAGCAGCGGGCCAGGACAGAAGAAGGTGCCACTGCCAGCCCAAGCGAGGAAGCTCAGACCATCCTGCCCACGTGGGAATGGGTCTCTCCTCTTGCTCGCATCGCTGATGCGAAACATGGGAGACAATGAGATAATCAGAGCCGAATTGGACTGATAGAATGAATCGAAGCCCACGGGCCTGACGGGGTGCTTTGCTTTGATTGTCCTGTCTTGTCAGGACCGCTGGCTGGGCCTTCGACGCGTCGACACGAGGCGGTCACGACACCTCAATCTCCTCGGTCTCCTCCTCCTCCTCCTCCTCTTCCTGCTACTCCTGCTGCTACTGCGATCGCTGGGGACGCCATCACGACCCATCGTTAATAAACCATGCCGGCATAACTGGCGTCATGTTCGGCCTTCCGCCCACCGTGACACTACGCAGCACGGGACAGTACGGACCCAACGTAGCATCGTTAACGTTGCTCGACCTGGATAGACCTTGATCACTACCCATCATCACCTGCTGCACAGTCTCGACCTTCTCCACACGCAGCAATCGCACGCCCTCAATCAAGCACCTGTCGCTCCCTTCAGACCTCCTCCCTGTCGGCTGCCGCCCCCCCTGCCCCCTGGCCCTCCCCCCCTCTTCGCGCCTCCCCCAACCCGGACACGATATGATTGGTCTCCAAAACGCCAAGGTCAACGTCGCCATCGTCGTCGTCAACAACATCTGTAACACAGGCACTCACTGCGCTACGTAGAACTGGTAGAGCGCCGCTGTCGAAATGACCATCTTGCCGTTTTAAGATGCTGACCGGCGCTTAGGACCCGGACCCTGGCCCATTGTTCTAAAATCCTCATACAACATTTCCAATCGAGTGTCGGCTGCTAGATCTGATCAGGCGTGGCTGCCGTCAAAAAGCAAGGGGGGAAGCGTGTCAATCTCGGCAAAAGAACCATGCCTACATACCTCCGAACGACACAAGAGCAATGACAAACACAGCAACACGCGCCGGACCCTTCGGACCAACCTGTCGTACTTTCTTCTCATTCCAGCCTACGAAGATACTTTCTCGGGCCAGGTTTTGACTCGACGCCTCGGCCCGTTCACGACCTTTCTTTTACAGCCCGTCGGTATGCACAGCCACCATGCTGGCACGGAGGTCGCATGCCAGCCCTCACGAAGCTTCGGCCCAAGGTTTGAATACTCGCAGCAGTCCTAGATCACGTGGAGACTACGCTTCACCTCACCAAACCTCGAGCCGAGACAGGGGCCAGGGGCCTCGGAGATTAACGTGCCAAAGGACGAGGCAGAGATTGCCAAAGACGACGAGACCGACTCCTTCTGGAAGACGCCCATTTACCTGCGCCTGGCCGGACTGACATGACAAAATGTGACACGTCCTTCCTTCCACCGGCTGCCGGCGACTCATCCAAAATAATCGACCGAGCGGTTAAACCCGCTACTAGGGGGAGGGGTGTTGGAAAAGCAAACTACACATCACGCCCTCCGCTGTCACTCTCACTTGCCCTTCAACAGCTTGGCCGCGGAGAACCGATCGTTGAGATCCATGTCACTACAATTTCGGCCACAAGCTTTAGCCTGATAGGATCAAGAACGCCTACGACTGATAGCAGCGCTCAGGGCGACTGAGGCCGAGTGCCCAAGACACCGCGCGATGTCTGGGCAAGGCCTGGCGCGATTTGTCAAGACCGGCCGGCCAGGTCCTGACCGAAAGCCCACGTCGACCACCTCGGAGCTAACCGCCCTTATGTGCGTGTGCGGCCTGGACGGACGGCCGGCCTTCTCTTCTCGCCGAGGGTTTTCTTCTCTCGGGTGGCTGCTTCTGGGTTGGCCGTCGCACAAGTTTATTTGCCTCCATCGACCTCCCGTGTGCGAACAAAGCACATGAAATCTTGATCTCTGTGCCCGCTTGCTTGCCTCCCCTACTCCGATATGTCATAAAATGGCCCGGCGTGCTATATCGCAGACATTGCCGTGCAGGGCAGGTGGACAATAGATTGACAACGAATATCATGGTGGGCGATGGGCGCGTGGGGGTGGCTTCCGGGCGCCTTGCGACCATACAATACGCCATTATGCCTCAAAAAGTACCAGGTCTGCACTGCTTCTGATGCTGTTGGTGGGCAGATTTGAGATTTCTCCACCTCACAGTATCTCTCTTTCTCTCTCAAACGCACACTCTTCCTTTGTCTGTCTATGTGCCTCTCACCCCACGTCCCAGGAAGGCCACCCTGCTTATCACACGTCAACGATTTTCGGCGGAGAATCCCCTGTCATCGAGTCAGTCAGTGCCGGCGCGGGCACCCGTCAGAGTCTCACCCGTGTGCGAGCGTGCCACCCGGCACAGCATGCGAGACAGCCAGCGGCGCCCGCAGATCAGTCGGATGTTTATTATATGAGGCTCTCCTTGCGTGCGGTCTGCTGACGTGCTGCCGCCGACCCGAGATGTTGTGTGCAGGTCGTTCTTTCTTCGAGACTGCCTTTGGATACCATCGGTTATTCCCGCGAGTGCGCGTGGAGGGTGGCGCAAGTGCGCAGCGAGGACGATCTGTGCGGTGCATTGTGGAGTGCTTTCGCAGACATGTCACCATGGCCGGCTAAGGCTTGGTGGCCAGTCTCTGGGAGGACTGTCTTGATGCAGCACAAGGTCCGATTAGCCGGCTGTTGTTGGGTCCTATCCCACTGCGAGGCTGCGAGGGAACCGTTGACAGTTACACTGCTCTCCAAGACCTAGAATCCTGCTCCCAGAGCCGTACGGATAGTATGGGCTGATTTCTCGTTCCCCGGTCCACCCTTTGGAGGTAATCGAACATTTTCTTTCTCAGTTCGGGAGGGTGTCGAAGGTTGCCGAGTTTTGCTGGGGTTCCCAGATACTTGGCGCACAAGTGATTCCCCCGAACGGGTGCAGAAATCCCCCCAGAAAACCCTGGGTCCAGAACACGCGGGTTCCTGGACACATCGGGCACGAGCGCCGGCGCGGGACCGCTTTGGGTGGTCAGCTATCCAACGCATCACTGCCGCAACGGGCCCTTGATGACTCGATACCAAAATAATTGTCATTGATCTGCCGATGTCATTTCGAGATGGGCTCCCAGCCGCCGTTGTGGTTTTCACTCGCTTGTAATCCTACCAAGGCGGGAAGGGCCGGCCGGGGAGGGGGAGTTGCATGTTCTCATCGAGTGTCATTTTTTATGCAGGAGAGCTCATAGGCGGTTCTGGTAAATGTGGTGCATGCTGTTGATGACAATACCGCCGCTAGCATGTGATGTTGCTCTGATGCTTGCGTATGTAAACAACTCGTTCCCAAAGGTGCAGCATCCTCCGAGAGTAGCTCATGTCGCGCTGCGGGTGGGTGGTATCTGGCGGTGAGTGGGTGTGAGAGTACGTGGACGTGACGACTCCAGCCGAGATCACCATTCAGCAATTTTCCGTCTTATATGTTCATCTTGCGATCATTTTACGTCTAAATTGCCCTTCCACTTGCATAGCGTGTGTGATCTTTGCCGCGGAGTTGACCCTTGTTCCTACCATCTTGGGATCGTGGGACAACCGCTGTGTGCAGGACAGACTTGTCGAAAAGCCATTGATGGCCATGTCAACCCATTTGCAGCTTGGTAGCGGGTACGAGCGAATATCAGTGTGAAATATGGTGGCTTTTGCAGCCTCAAGTGGTGATCCTGGCCTTGCGCCGCCTCGCCGCCAGGTGATGTGATGTGCCGCTCCAATGTCTGGGAAGGGCATGATCAAATAGGCGACGAAGACAGACTCAAGGACAAAGGAAAGACGGGTGCACAGAAGAGCATAACCAATCAAAATACAACAACCTCTCTCCTTCCTTAGCGAACAGCACCTAATCTTCTCGCAACCTCCACAAACCCCCCTTCATCCACCCCAACCCAAAGATCAACCCAGCCTCTCGCAGCCTCATACCTCTCACTGCCAACATCCCAGTCCTCCTCCCGCTTCCGCTCAACATATACCGTCCGCAGCCCCAGCTGCCTCGCAGCATCGAGATCTCCCAAGTGCGCAGCAACCATAGCCACCTCCCCAGGCAGAACACCCAGCCTCTCCACCGCGCCGAGGTACACCTGCGGGTCCGTCTTATACGCGCCAAAGTCCTCCGCCGAGAACAACACGCCGAACTCCAGCCCCCCAAAGGCATCTAGGTCCGCCAGCAGCGCGCGATTCCCGTTCGACAGCGACGCAGTCACCAGCCCGAGGCCCCCCTCCGCGCCCTCCGCGCCCGCGCCGCCTCCGAGCGCGCGCAGCCCGGCCGCCGAGTCCGGCCACGGCGCCAGCCGGTGCCACACGAGGCTCAGGTCGCGCAGCGCGTCCGGGCCGAGCAAGCCGGCGAGCCCGTGCTCGTCGAGGAGCTGTACCAGGCTGTCGTAGTGGTGCGCGTCCACGTCCTTCCACGGGTCCGTGCCGGGGCGGAAGCCGCGCGTGAAGCGCTTGTAGCTGTCGCGCCACTCCTGTGCCAGGGCGGCGATGTCGGCGTCTGTCAGGGCCTGGGCGCGGGCTGCTGCTGCTTCGGCGGACGGGGAGGGTGATGGTGGTTTGGACCTTAGGGCTGTGGATAGGGCGGTTTGGACTGTGGTGCGCCAGTCTACTACTGTGCCGAAGACGTCGAATGTTAGGGCTTTTATGCCCTTTAGGGCTTGTATGCCGTGGTCTGACATATCGGTAGTAAGAAGTCGGCTAGCGTGCTTTGACAGTATCAATCTTAGGCACGATATACATGAGATGTTTTCGGATAGTGGCGTTCGGATAGTGGCGTGCGCGCAGGCTGTACGCGAACAGACTTTGAGTCAACGGCGGGGTGTCACCGATGTCTCCTCACTGGACTGGATTGACGTCAATTATTCTAGACGTTGTGCTAGCGGGATTTCGCCATCGGCTTTGGAATGCTTATCTTGACGATCCGAGATACAAAGTAATGAAACTTGTGGAAGCATATAGTGCACAGCTAAAAGATGTACATTAGCTATCAAAGGAAAGACATAAACAATTTGCTATTGCAAATGTCGACCATTCTCGCGAACAGCTTATTGCGATGGTACACTTGAGGACCGAGCGAGCCACATCGCTTCCCTAATTCACTACACAGCAGCCAGATGGCCTGCATATTGCTCTATCGTAAATCAACTGTCTCGCTCCAATGTTCTTTCCAGCTTTCCAGCAAAGCCTCGTCTTCTGGCGTGGGCAAGCCCACGCTGGTCGATTTCTGGCAAGTCAACGCCCACAGCCGCGAGTCAACACGTTTCAACAACTAGATATATAGAAGCAACGCAATCTACTCTAGTTCTAATACAATCAACCCATCCAGTGGAATAATCCAATCAGAAAATTTGCATTTCAACGGCTGGCAGATCATGTGTCTGGTAGCACCCTAGGGGTTGATGATCACAATTGCTCTAAAATGAACTGTGTGGATTCATACGGCATTGTGAATGTTTCCCAGGACCACCTTGTCCGTGCGTTCTCATCTTTGAGCCTCAGATTATACTTCATGAGCAACTGCGATACCACCATCTTGATCACCAATGAGGCATGAATCCTACCGGGACTGTATTGTTGCTTGTTAGCGAGCGGCAACTTAACCGTAGTGCAGCTCCTCACTACTTACCATGCGAGAGATCCATAACCCCACACGGGAAATGTCTCTGAGATTTCTGTGAATTTCCGCTGCTGATCTTTAGGATTATCCGGTAGAAATCGAGCAGGTTCGAAGGAATCGGGTCCAGGATAAGTTTCCGGGTTGTGCATGAGATTATACGCTGACACGCAGACTGTGGCGCCTTTCGGGACGGACAAGGTGCCATTAGAGAAGGTATAAGGCTCCAGTGCTTTTCGGCGGATGGCAACTATTGATGCGATTAGCACACCGTATTCTGATCCGGGGTTTGATGAGGCTATTCTTACGTGTATCCAGTGGGTTGAGCCTGACAGTTTCCTTGATAAAGCTGTCCAGAAGAGGTAACTGCTCCAAAGTTTCATAGTCAAGCGGAAGATGCTGCTCTAGCTCCTGACGAAGCGAGACTTGCCATTCCTTCCGTGCACATAGCTCCAGTATAATGAAGTGCAGATTCATCCACGGCTGATGAGAGGCCGCAAACCAAATTCCCAGGAGAGATTGCGAAAGTAGCTCAGGATTCCAGTAGTCGCTGTCATCAGCTAATTCAGTCATATTGTGCATAATGGTAAGCTGCATGGAATATAAGTCAATGTTCATAATTCGGATTGCGCCAAGCAACATACACGTTTAGTGAGATCGGGTTCATCCCAATTAGAGCGGCCCGGTCCCATGTACTCAAAAAGGCGGCCCTGGATCAGGCGCATGGCCTCACCCCGGTTTGTGAGAAACATATGCACAACACTGATCAAGTTAGATAGAATGAAATCTCCAGTCTCGCAAAAGGGAAAGGAGGCCATGGCCAAAGGGCGAAGACATACGGAGACATCAATGATGGCGTGATCTGAAAGGCAGCCATGCACCTAACTATATCTCGAGGATAGCGTAGGAGTGCGTTGGAGAATTTCTCATCAGAAGCTAAATTGACAGTTAAATTCGGGCGTCCATAATGAAAAGTTGATACATCCTGCCTACCAAGGTTTTCACCAAAGAACATGATGCTCATGAGCTTCGAGGCTAGCCGGCGGACTGTCTGTGCAACAGGCAAGGAGGTTCCTTCTGATCTATCAGTCAGCGCCATGTTGATCTCAAGAGTATCCGCATTGAGGGTCCAACCATTGAGTGCGCGTCCGTTGTGAAGCTCTTTGGCTAGACTGCTGTCCAACTGAGCGAGGAGACGCGGATAGAGGGCACTAAGGTGATTTGGTCCGTTGACTTGAAGAACTCGACTGAAAAGACGTGTCCTGATCACTCTATACGCATTGGTGTTGTGTTCATACTTGTTCATGGTGTGCTTGAAACCAAACATCTGCTCAAAATTAGTTCGGCACGGACGACTTGGAGCAAGGGGGACGGGTTACATCAGCGTAAACAGCTCGCTGTGAGAGACATCCTGCCTCGCTAAACTCAGCGATGTCCTTCTTTGTGGACACGATCACGATTGGGGTGGTTTGCTTCCAAGGCTTGTAATACTTTCCACATTGCTGCGATAATTTTAGTATTGAGTCCCCAAGTAATGTCAAAACGCGTCGAGAGAGGAACTCTGACATAATCTTGCAAAGTGGAAATGACTGAGGAAAATAGAGACAAGATTCCTTTGTACAACGAATATAGAAGCGCCTATATCGCAGGGTTAGACAGTTGGTATCTGCATGGTGGCCTGGATGCTCACAAGACTAGATCTGATATCCGGGTAGGCCGACAACCCGGTGATGACTAGGAAGAGCGCCCAATGAACCCTCTCATCATCGACAATGTGCTTAATATCCATGAGAGGCATGGTTGAAGGTGGATGTCTGGACGGATCCGAATACCAAATAGATATTGATCGATGTTTTCTGTTGTGATGGAAGTGTCAGGACGAGTCAAAAGATTGCACGTATGAGGTTTGCGTCAATTGATGAGATGCGCGAGACAGTCTGGACTCGCTGTGCCTGACCTTATGAATCATCAGCGGCGCCTCTTCTTGCCACCCGACCGACTGAAGCTCCTGAGTGAGCAAATGGAGATCCTTCGCCGCGCAAATAGCCAACCACTCGCTTGATCAGTGCGTGTGTATGGGGACATCCTCCGCCAAGCCCTGCGTGGCGGTCGACCTCAATGCATAGTAAGCCTGCTACAGCCTCGATTTGGATGCGTGAGAATTTGAAGTTGTGTTGATGAATGACTATCGCTCTGTTAGGAGATGGTATGCCAAGTCTATAGGAGGTGTAAGTCATCGATCGATTGGATGTACATGTGGCGGCCTAAGTGCTAGAGTAGGTAGGCGTCAGCAAGGGCAGAAGGCCAATGCATTTAATGTCCGCTAGGTAGGAACTTTATCCTTGTTCTGTGTACAGAAGGATTTGAGCGCGATAACGGGTCACAGTAGCGCTGCTCCTGACAACTCACTGCCTCAGTGGCTTGTCGGACTGCACATACAAAGTAATCATAGTGCGAGCAGTCCGAGCTTCGGGCTGTACAACAAATCGCGCTTATTGCGCAGTTGTACCACACCGATATGGGCTGTGTATTGTGACTGGAAGTGTGCCATAGCAATTCATTCTCAATCCAATAAAAAGTTATACATAGTGTATGTTCCTTTGGGACCTATGGCAACCAGAATTCGGATTCTTCCGTTTGTGAGGGATTTCCACCATCAAGCTTATACTATTAGCCCTTAGGGCTACGAAATGCTGTGTAACACCCTTCACGGCCAAACTTCGTTGTCTCTATCGTAATTTTTTCTTTGATCTCACTCGATATCTGGTTTGCCTTAGCGGCCACGGTAGGCACAGCATGACACCCTCGCATTATCTTTTCGATGCAGGTAACGCAAGGATTCTTTTTTTGCGGTGGACAAGCTTATGCAGATGGTTAGGCGTATTGGCAGTCCCATGCATCAAATGACCCTTTGAAATCAAATATTTTTACGTCTGGGGCATGTCTTTCTACAATATTGATGGGGTTACTCGCGAGACGCCCTCGCCACTCGTTTTGGCACATCAGTGTGTCACGCAGTGGGCTAAGGCAATAACGCTGTACCAATCGGAATTGATGGGTTCAACGTCCAATAAGATCTCCAAGTACGGGGAGTAACACCGATCGATAAGGCGTCGAACGTATATCGAGTTAGATTTGCTTGGTGTCTGAGAGCTTCTCATCGCGAATTGATGGTTCCAAATTGACCTAGAAACCTAGATTATAGGAAGACCCAAGTTGTTGTGACCTCCCTTCCTAATTTCCTTAAATTGCCGACAAGAGCAAGATGAAAATGTTCTTGTCACGACTTGTAGCCCAATCCGTCTTACTTCAAAGTATCCAGCCCACATCCAAACGAAACTCCAGCATCCTTTCCGCGGTTAGTATACTGAAAACAAGGAATTATGTTGGACTGACGACGGCGGATTGGGGCACTTCCGTTGCTGTTGTACTTTTTCGAGTATTTCAGCATTGATATCATACCAGAATCGGCCTGTGGTTCGATCTATAATCTTGTCCGCAACCACCGCTGTATATTCTGCTGTCTCCATCCGGGGCAGTTGGTCTTTGCCTTGAGCTCTACTAGCAATCACGTCCTCGATCCCCTTGTAGAGTGACTGATCCGGTAGTTTGAAATCGCCGAAGTACGTCTGACCCCTGGTTTTCACTGCTCCAGTAACCACTTCAAGCACACCAACGCCGAACGGCGCCAATTCAAGTTGCAAGGTCTCAGCTGCAAGCTCGAGTGATCTCTTGGATGCCGCATATGTTCCTTAGATTTGATGTCAGTTATTTGTTGGGATACAAAGCTCAGTAGACCTACCCATGAATGGGACGTTGATGTACCCCGAGACCGAGGTTATGTACACAGCCATCCCCTTGGCTTTGATAAGCAAGGGAGCAAAAGCTTGGGTGACGGCGAGCGGACCGTAGAAGTTGACTTCAAAGAGGTTCCTGACCACATCCAGGTCCTCGTCTAGAATTGTCATGAAATGATTGCGTCCTGCGTTGCTGATGAGGTAATTCAAAGTGCCACCCGTCTGCTTGGTGACTAATTCGACCGCAGCCCTGATGTCAGCGGAATTGACGACGTCTAGTGTCAGCGTCGTTATATTGGAGAGGTCATTGAGCTTCGACATTTTAGAGGGATCGCGAGCTGTAGCAAAGACATGGAGCCCACGCTTCTGCAAGGCGAGGGCCAGGGCAGAGCCAATGCCGCCATCGCTACAACCAGTGATGAGGACAGTCACCCTTGAAGTCATGGTAAGAGTGACACTACAAAGATATCAGAGCAGAGGGTTGGAAAGTGGTGAGTTTCAGATCAGAAAGATAGGTTAAGAGATGGAAGAAGAGAGCGGGCAGTCACGCTGGAAGTCTTATTCTTTCTAGTGTCTTGTCAGACGGGTCGAATCCCTGATACCAACTGCGTCGACCCAACGACGCCATCTCCATCATTCGGGCGCAGCAATGCAGTCACAAACAACTTGCATATTGTACCACAAACAAGCCAATTGGATTTATACCCCTTTCAGTTCGAGAGGAGAAATTGCTCCTATGTTACACGTCCAATTCTCTGCTAACCGCAGATACAACATCCATTTGCAGACAATAGCAAGAAGAACCTTGCACATTAATCACTCGACGCACGACTGGAGACGATTGATTAAATCTGCAGATGACCAAGTTGGTCACGTAGTTGGTTTCAAAGAATATCAAAACAATTTATTACATGCAATATGCTGCCCCAAAGTTCCGATTCACACTCGGGCTTGTTAATGCACAGGGGCGACCTCGCCGTTTGCATCTTCTTTTACCATCGGGCATTGGGGCTGTCGCCCTTGCTGTTCTCAGCCTCGTCGCAAAGATTGATAATCGGCTGCTCGCATTCTAGAGGCAATAGGCAAATCTATCCATGAATGTCATCAGTGCTGATGATGCCATTTTGGGTCTTATCCAAGTATTGAGTCAATATGAAAGAGAACCAAGACAACCATCTTCTATCAAATTGATCACACACCTAATTGTACCTCAAAGCACGGTTTCTAATTTGTGAAATTGATCACTTCTCATCAAGGGAGCCACAGCGCACAAGAATCCCAAAATTTTGCCTGTCCAAGGAGATGCAAAGTTCTCGAGCCTTCCTCAAGAATTATTACTGGAAGAACATGGCAGGGGAAAATGAACCTTCTCCAGAAATTTTGAAGATCTGCAGACTCTACAGTCAAATCGTATGAGAAAGTTTACCCCCACCGAAAAGGGTAAAGACAAAATGCATCTGTAGGGAAAATTTGGATTCCTTGTGCGCTGTAATTCTTGCCCGCTTTAACAGCGACTCCAATAACGTGAAAGGCATCTCAACGTCCATCCAAAATGAATTCCCCGGCTCGCCCTTTCTTTCGTTCTTTCCTCTTCTTTTTTACTTCTTTTTTACTTCTTTTTTGTGTATGTTTGAAACAGTCACAACAATACCGATTAACGGTGCTCAACCTCATTCTATTGTCATCGTCTAGGTCCTCCTTAAAAGAATAACAAATGGAGGGGCAGACCTAGTGATTATTACCTGAGCCATTTTCGGTTCTTGGCCCCTTATCAGGCCTTTTAAAAGTGATGCTATGCATTATACATGCGTGCACTTCTAGAGACCAATTGTGACTGCAGGTCTGATCCTTAGCCGTCACATGACCGTTCACTCATATTCTCGATGTTACTGGTTGAGTTGGGATGCAAGAGATTAGTAATATAGACATCAGATTGGGCTGCTATCGACCTGACAAGGCCGTGAGTTTGCACAGCTTCTTTCACGTTGGACACCAATACTAGCGTCGCTCTATCTTTGCATGCTTCTTCTGACTCGATCTCTAAGTCGTTGAGATGTCTGACACCGCCTGCCCGAGGATAGTAGGCTGCCTCCTCGATGTTTCTGGCTCGATGCTTGAGGCCTTGGAGGCGGGTCGATCAGACGAGCGCGCGGTTGAGCGCTTACTAGCCATACTGCGCGCTGCTTTAAAGGTTGCACAGGCAGAACAGCGCCACGATCCCGGATCCCTCGTGTTCGTGGGTTTGTTCGGACTGAACACCACCAAAAACCCTGGATGCCCTCCTGGAGTAGACCTGTGCAGTTTCACAGAAGCGATCATTGGCGACGAGTCGGACCACAGATCGGGACATGAACGTCTCATTACCCTGGCGAACGAGGAAAATCGGCCCAACATCACCAGGTACATTCGAAAGAAGCTCACAGACGATGAGGCACGAATCCTTCATGCCCATCTCCAACGGCATCCGGAACGTGTGCTGGAGTTTGTTCACGCAATACCGCCCCCCGAGGAATGGGAAAGTAAGCGAAATGAGGCCCGGACTGGAGGCAAAATATTTGGGTCAGCGGCCTCCGCCGCCATCGCGGTGGTTGGCGGCCCCTTGACACTCCCCGTCCTTGGAGCCGCTGCTGGGCCCGCTGGCTTCCTTGGCGCCGTTGCTGTCGGTTACATAGTTGGCGATAAGGGGGCTGCCGCCACCGTAGATATACTTGAGGATAAAAAGGTGGAGGACTCAGACGCACTACGGCTCGCGCGAAGCATTTGCAACGAGTGGTTGGCCGAATTTGCCAGCCTAACACCCCGCCCAGTGGCCGATGTCATCTTTCAACTGCAACGTCTGCAGAAGCGTATGGACACCAACAGCGAGAATATCCTGCTCGACACTCTGCGCCGTTACTTGTATGGCATGACACCGATGAAAGACACTCTACGCCAGTCCTTGACGGTGTTTCGTGAACATCGTACGGCCAAGCAACGCATTCTTCTCCTAGTGTCGGACGGCTTGTCGACTGATGGCGACCCCCTTCCTCAAGTGCGAGAGCTCGAGCAAGAGAAACCAGAAGTAACCATAGGCACAGTATTTCTTACTGTCAATCGAGGTACCGCCGATCGTCGCATCTATGACCGGCCCTGCAGAGACTGGCACGAAGGGCAGCAGATACTCTTTAGCATGGCATCGAAGGTGTCAATTGACACACATCCGATACCGGTACTTGCAACAATTGGTTGGGACATACCTTCCTCCGGCATTGGCGCACTTTATGCCACGGTGTGCAGCGCAACAGCTCTCGAAGAGTTCTGCTCCATGCTGGTATCGGCGCGATTCGGCGCTGCAGACGCGCTTCTGAATATCGTTGGGCGCCTCAGTCTCGATAAGGTTATCGATGATGGGCATGTGCGCACCTGTCGTCGTCCCTCCGACCAGAAGCGTTCTCCAACTTGCTACGCCCATGCCGTAGCGGCGGTGATTCACATGGCCCTTATCAGGATAATCGGTCGGGTAGGAGGTTATCCCAGTATCAGAAAGATCCGGGAGAGGATCTTGGCAAGCTTCCCACGAAAGCCCCTTGGACACTCCATCGAGGATGTCCTAAATATGACGACCGAATGGTACCCTCCGCTCCAATTTCGCGAGGTGAACGAAGACGGCGCACGTCAGGCTGTTTTGCGTCGACGCCCGGTGCTCGCAACCTTCTTTCTCTCTGCGGAAGGCTGGGAAGTATTCAGCGAACACTTTACGGCGACAGAAACTAGCAAAGTACCGCTGATGAGCACCAAAATGGCTGGACACCGCTCATCGCCTGCTGATGGCGGTCACGCCGTTGTGCTGATACGCTGCGAGCCCCAATCCCTCACGTTTCTTAACTCATGGGGAAAAGAATGGGGTGATAAAGGTAGTTTCAGCATCCAAGATCACACGGTTCTGGAGCTAGATGAAGAAGGGGCACATATGCGATTCTATGACGTCTATTGGGAGGAGAAAGACCTGAAAGATGCAGAAAAGAAGGCATTCGACTTCGAAGTGGACCAGAAACTGAGCGATGGAACGAAAAAGCACCCTAGCCTTCTAGATCTCGAGGCCCGCTGCCCGCATTGCAACAAAAATTCCCCCATAGCCAAGTTCCAGGGAAGTATTCGGGAGGCAAGGTGCCCTCGATGTAGCGAAACGTTTACGCCAGAGTCCTGCCACTTGTTACAAGCCATGTATGCTCGAGCAGGACTTGGAGATACCGAGTGAGAAGCTTCTTCCTACTAAGACCAGGTGTCGGTTTCATAAGGTGTGATTCTCGATGAAGTAAGTTAGGTACTCGTGCACTCTAACGAAGTTTCTCTCTCCCTCTCTCTCGATTTAAGGAAGCCTGGGTGTTGTAATTTCCATCTCGATGAATCACGACTGCTTCACGGACTCAGACTTAGGTTTTAGGCACTATCTAAGGTGCTAGGCAGAATGACATTTTTTTTCCGGCTCTGTCCAAGATACCATAGTCTCGCAACTCAATACAACAGCCAGATGCCAGAGTTTCACCGTACTCATATCCAGCGTCAATAATATTGAGTCGGATGGAGCCTGCCTCGACCGGAGGCTTCTAGGAGAACGTTTCCGTTGACAATTTGAATCGTAGTCTCTAGTAAAGGAGATGCGCAAGAGACCTCGCACATCAAAACAACGCTGAAGGTGGCAGCAGGAGTAAAATGATTACTGAAAAGGTGAGTCTACAAGATCAAATAAAATCAATCAAAACATAGACAAGCTACATGTTCAGCTTATCCAAATGCCGTAGAGTTGCAGACTTCAATGAGACATCAAGTATTCATCCAATCTCATGTACTGATATCATTTCTGTACCGGGCTTTGTCACTCTCAACCCTGGCCATGGCCATTATCCTCAGAGCCTCCATATCATTTTGAGCACGACCAAGAACCCACCCCTTCGCTTCGTTATCCTCGAAGAAGTAGTTAGTATCACGCCACGGACCTAACTCTTTCGGGCACTGAGGGCCAGTCACAACAAATGCTTCTTGCGAGAAGTTGTTTCGCCTGACGGTCTTCTCGGCCCGACGCGGAGTACTAGCCCCAGATTCGGGCTCGGACTGGAGCGTAACACCATGTCTGCTGAGGAGGTCATTCAGGTCCTCTTGGGATACGCTAATCATCCCGTTGTCTGATACTGGGTTGTCAGCGTGTAGGCTCCTGCGTAGGATACATGGGGTGTTCCACGCACCATCTTTGTGAGTCTCCAACAACATACCGAACTTTGGCACTGAATCGCCTAGCGTTTCGAGCTTTTTGTCTATCTTTTTGATTGCTTCCACGCTCAGTTGGGCAGCATCACGAATGCCGTGGGTAATGCCAACCAGCGAAAGTTGTACTCGAGCAATCAGGCCAAGCTTCGCATGGCTCATTTCCTGCATGATCTTGTCGATGGCCCTCCGATTGGAACTACCACGTTGGAGCTGCTGCAAAAATCGCTGCATCCAGTTCGTCCCGCCATTGAGCTCCTCGGGTTACGTTGCCGCTGCTATACCTATTCACTGCACTTGTGACCCATACAACCCTGACATCTTCTTTGGAAAGCACTTTGATAGTCCGTGAAGTAGCTGTTCGGTAGGATCATCCCATGCTCAATTGATATCTTGTCTCCGCGGGTGTGGGCTCTGGCGCAGGACTGCCCATATCCAACGGGCTTAATGATGAAGGTACCCGTCAAGGCGGGGGCCAGCCTCAAGAGCTGGGAGGGCGACCGATTATGCACCGTCCTTGCAATAATTGATCTTCTACCTCTAAGGATATGCAATTGTATATATTCATCTCCAATAGATGTTGAAATTACTTCCGCATTCTAAGTTCTACTGTCTACTTCAAAACCAGGGCAGACTTGTGGCCACGGACGGATGCTGTTGCAGCAGGTTGTGCTCCGGCGCGGGCTCAAGGGTTCAACCCTTCTCGGTGCTCGACCAAAATTCCTCCCGATGACGACGTTCGTACACGGGATGTAGGTTGGTGTCCCGATCTTGCCCCTGAAATCTCCAGGGGCATCTGGGCTAACGACTTTCAACGACCTTGGAGCTGAAATTGTTTGTGCTCAAAGCTCTTCACATCACGTCATGACACGTCGGAAAAAAACCTCGAACATATCTCGGCTCAATGACCGGGTTTTTACAACGATGCCTGGTTTTCTCATAGTATGAGCGCCGAAAGCAAGAGAACATTCCTCCAATGCACTGTTTCGTCGTCAACCGCACACATCAGAGTCGCGGGTCCCACCATTGCCTTTGCTTTTCATCCATTTTCAGGACTCCGGCCCGTCAACAATAAACACGCTCCACCTCTCCGTCTTGGCTTCAACGCCAAGCACCGTGTTCGAGCCCACCCAAACTCCACCAGCCTCCGTCTCATCCGGCCCCGCAGCGCCGGTCCTCTCGCGTGAGAGAACTCCCGGAGACAATGACGGACCGCAACACCAACCACTTCCGCGGGCGACACTACGCGGCAGACCACATCACCGGCCCCGTGCCCTTCTTAAACCCCACCACACGCCTGCTCCCGCTGCACAAGCCCAAAGAACAGGGCAGAGACCAGCAGGCCGCACCTCATCCGCCAACAGCTGAGGGCGATGAAGATGAAGCACCGGAGAAGCAGCCCGCCTCCACCCCAGACCTGACGCCGACCGCCACCCACAGCAGCGGGGTCTACCACATCTGGCGGTCCCGCGACAACCGCAAAGGCCGGCACGCGCTGGCGCTGACCCGCTCGGCCGAGGCATCAGCCGCCGTCGCCGTCGGCGCACACCAGCACAAGCCCAGGCGCACCACCACCACGGGGTCCACGCTGCAGGGCATCGCGCGCATGTTCCTGCGCTACCCGGTGTGGGACGTGTCTTACGACGTGGCGACCATCTTCACGCTCGGGTCGGTCGTCTGGGTGCTCAACGGCTTCTTCGTGCTGCTGCCCACGACGAACCCGGGGAGCTCGTGGCCGGGCGAGAGCGCGTGGGGCGGCGGCGTGTCTGCCGTCGTGGGGGCCACGATCTTCGAGGTCGGCAGCGTGCTGCTGATGCTGGAGGCTGTGAATGAGAACCGGTCGGACTGCTTCGGGTGGGCGCTCGAGGAGGCGTTGGGCCACGGTGGTGCTGAGGGGCGGCTGGTGCTGCGCAGGGAGAAGAGCCGGTGTAATCATCACCATCGCGATAAGCGGGCTTTCTTGACGGGCACAGGTGTCGACGGTAGCGATGGGAATATGGATGCTGGAGAGCAGGGAGATGCCAGCTCTGGTCAAGACGAGGGGGGCAGCACGACGGCCGGGAGGCGGTGGACGTGGTGGCCGTCATGGTACGAGCTGAGGACGCACTACTTCCGCGAGATTGGCTTCCTCGCATGTCTGTCACAGATGATTGGAGCTACGATCTTCTGGATCTCGGGCTTCACGGGATTGCCTCAGGTTCTGGGCGTTTTGACTGTGCCTGCTGAGAACGGTATCTTTTGGCTGCCCCAGGTAAGCAATATCACTGCCAGATGAACGTCCAACACCTCGCAAATGGGATCCTCACAAAGGCATTCCATTCTCATTTGGGCTGCGGGAACAGAAGATGGCAGACGACCATACACTGCTCCGTTGTCAATCGTGCCGTCATCTGCTACCACAAATGACCTCGAACTCCCCGTATCTGCTAGACAACAATCCAGCTACTAACATTACACTCACTCGTCAGGTCGTCGGTGGCACAGGCTTCATAATATCCTCCTGGCTCTTTATGCTCGAGACACAGCCAAACTGGCACACGCCGTCCCTCACAACACTAGGGTGGCACATCGGATTCTGGAACCTCGTCGGCGCACTCGGCTTCACGCTCTGCGGCGCGCTAGGCTTTGCGAGCGGCTCGTCACCAGCCTGCGAGACGGCCTCGCTGTGGTCGACCTTCATCGGGTCGTGGGCCTTTCTGGTATGTTCTCGCTCGCCTTTACCCCCACTCACTTTCCTACTCGTCATTATCATCATCTCGGAAGATGCACCCGCATGTGGGGATTAGTGCCCTGCTGGCCTGTACGCGCCCGCTCAGCCCCAGCGGGCGAAGCGGAGCCCCTGCCAGCCCTGTCCATGGGGCGCGCGAGCGGGCTGAGCCGGGGCCCTCTGCGGGTGATTCTCCTCACGAGGCAGGCCCCGAAACAAACAAGACCCCATCACCCGAGCTCGAAATGCTGCGGCGGGTGTGCCGAAACCTTACTGACGAACGTGTTCACCTCGTATCAGGTTGGGTCCATCATACAATGGTACGAGTCCCTTGATAAGTACCCCGTGACCGTGATCGACAAGAAGTTTGTGGGGCCGGGAGCGTCCTCGTCGGGGATTTTGGAGAAGATATAATGCAGGGCCTGTTCATAACACCGGGAAATAGTAGCAGCACCATCAACGCAATGCTCGTCATCTTTCGCAGCGTATTGCAGTGGTATGTGGATGCCCAACTTGCATATCCACCACGCAGTAGTCCCCAACAAGAAATAGCCCGAACTATTATGCCGAGTGGTAAGTCCCGGGTTTATGACGGGCTCATATGCAGTGTTTCCCAATACATCACGCCACGGACGTCGACCGCGGCCCCTCCTCGAATGGAACACTCAAGAACAGCTGCTCATAACCGATCGTGGTGACTTGGTACCCACCTCACTATCGAATTTCGCTTGTGTTCCTGGTATATGGCCAAATGTGTTGACAAGGCTGCGACACAGCACACGGCCAATCACCCAGCCAGGGATTGAGCGACAGAGGGTGGAGATAACGTGATTCCCATTGCATGCGGGCATATTGAGATGGCAGACGCAATAGGCGAGATGTCTCAAGAGTGCAGCATCGCGTCCCCTCCACCGGGCCTCACCCACAACCCGCTCTCCTCCAAGACGTTGCGAGATCAAAAGCAACAGTGCCGAATCTCTCTGTGCCCCTTCGACATTTCCCCGCTGGTGATCAGACAGGGAAAAAGCAAACCCGAAGGTGGTCGCTGGTTACTTGACATATGCAGTGGAACTTGGACCCAGGATAGTCATCTCGCACAGCTTGCCTGTGACGCCAGGCGGCGAAGGAGTCCGTCTGCGACCCTCAGACAGGCCACTTTTTCTCAGCCTATATTCTGCTTTTTGTGTATACTCGGCCTGTCTATAGAGGACATGCTACTGTGGCCGTGTGAAGTGCTTACCTAGAGTAAACTCTAAACCGGTGAAAGTCCCGCGCTTAACCTGCTCGCCGAAGGTGCCTCCTGCTATGCTACGGTGAAGAGGCACAGCGGTACTTCCCGTGGAAATATCGTTTACGTATCTTAGCATCAATTGACCATTCCAAATCCTTCTTGTGGACCGATCTAGCGGCGCTGGGGACCCAAATGCGACGTCAAGTCCGGCGGCATTCGGGAGGACATAGAGCGCGCCGCGATGCCGAGGTCCCGTAAATACGGCCAGCGCGTGTAAGTCCTTGGGAAAGGCAGGTAAGTAGTCGAGCGTGGGATCGTCATCTTATTCTAGGGTCTCGACCGTAGGACATTCCCACCTGCCGAAGTATATATCGAGCCACGGGACTGTTAGGCGGTAGCATCAGCCTACCCAAGAGTCCGACGCTGAACGAACCACCAGCCCTTATGGTCGTAGAGCAGGTTGACCACAGCAGCTAGGTGAAACGTGCGCGATGCGGCTAATCCTCGTCAAAAAGCCAGAGGGTAGTGTCGGGAAGAGAGCATATCCAGTTCACCGGAACTACTCAGCTCTGATCAGCCACCCAAAAATGTTCGGCAATCTGATTTGCCTCGCTGCACTGTGCCGAGTACCCTTGACGAACGCGTATGTTGCATGAGCCAGCATACCGTGCGTATGCGGCGGCGCTAGTTCTGGGTATCCTTGTGATTAACGTTGAAGTAGGTGGTACTGCACGTCCGGAGTATAAAATGAACTACGTCGTCCTGCGACCTTGCGAGGCTCCCAGCCCGAGGTTGCATAAATGCGACGTTATGTAGGCGCGACTACAGTCATGAAACACGGTCTTCTCCGATCGGGGTGACTCGCGCGAGCGAGATTGGCGCCTGTCGTTGGCTTGGGGAGCAGATATTGGCGATATATAGGTGATATGAGTGTTATTTCGCAGTGAAAGACGTCACGGATCTCCCACGACGCATTGCTGCGAGCTTCCAACTTCCACCTGGGCTTGTCGGACGCGGCAGTTGAGACAAGTCATCAAATTAGCGGAATCATGTCTTTTTTCGGTCGGCAGGTCCATCACTGATCGCTAATTGTCAATGTCCCGTAGCAAGCATGAGGTCAAGAAATATGCGTGACGTGCGTTGTGACCCAGACAGGATGAGCTTGCTCCGGTGTAAATACCTCTGACAAACCCTCGAGACTGCAGAAGCTATCTCAACACAAGCACAACCACGACCGGCATAATCCAAAGCCAGCCCTGTCGTCCAATATCCGCCGGCATGTCGGAAACCCAGCCGAGGAGCTTCCAGTCTGGCCGAGGTCATGACTTGAATTGCGATTCCACCTCACGCTCGTGATTCCAGGCGCTTGCCATTCTTCATGACGGGACATGCCGTTCACCCTGCGCGAAATAAAGGTATTTGTGTTGGTCGCATCACGTCCAACCGGAAACGATGAACGGTAGATATATGGATCTACACTCATCAACCAGGGCCTGAAGTCTGAACGGAACCCACGGGCAGCGTAAGCAGATTTCCGGCATCCGATCGGTGAGATCTACCCTGGGGCCGCAGGGGAAAACCTGCCGCGCCATGAATATCAGTGGGCTCGAGCTTTCTGAGTTGGGCAAATCGGCATGGGCATCCGAAGCTCCAACGCTGGATGTGAGGTCCGACATAACCCTATGGAAGCTTTGAGTACGGGGCAAATGAGGGCACACCATGAGCAAGGGTGGCTTGGCTGGCTGGCTCGTGCTGACATCTCGTTTCGCTGAAATTGATGATCGGAATGGAGCACGAGTGTGCCAGATTGTTTTCGAAATGTGTCGGCGTATCCGGCAGATTTCGAGGTCCCTTGTTTGCTGAAATAAGGGCGGAGTGATGCTGCACTCGCCGCAGATGTGCACATATTCTGATACTGCACCAGACGCGTGCGGGCGTGCTGTGAACAATCGACCAGGATTGCAGTGTGACATTATGAAAGATACCCGGCACTTATGGTATTCCAAAGGACCGGTCACTATGAAGCTTGCCGATCTCAAAGCTCAGACTGTAAATAGTCAATATTTTAATCGCTCAGACGTGTGAATATGGCGTCGGGCTTTTCTTAGGAACGCACGCACAGAGTGCCTAAGCAGCAAGGCTTTCCAGCGTTGTGGAAAAGCTGGGGAATTAGCAGGAACTCCGGTGCGCGCTAGCCCAGGGGCTACTTGGTCGGAATGTAAGACTCTGAGCCGCGAGCCGTTGAGGAGAATCCTCTCACATGGTTAATCGTGGATGGAGGTGTGCGCGGGGGACGGGCCGGCCTGTTAACCACTCCTTAGCGCTGTCACGAGATGGACGCGATCTCATCTCTATTGCGGCGTGATGTGTGTGGGTGTGTTCATCTATTAGGCACTCAATTACCTCAGTGCACCTCGTATGGAGTGTACTGTACCAGGACCGAGGAGGACTTGTATGACATCCCAAGCTCGGAATGGGCAGCGTCGCATCCGAATCTCAATTGAGGTGTACGTGCTCTGCCTGCTTGTGCGTCGAGGCTGAAATCAGAGTCAACTTCCTCGAAAGAAGGTGTCGTATACACAGATGCCCAGAGGGGCTCTCCTGCAAGGCGAAGGCCATTCTCAACCATGATGCTCCGCTTTCGCACAAGATACCGCGCCAACGTCGTAGCGACCATGGCCAGACGACAGGCCAACAACGCCACTCAAAGTGTAAAAGCTGGCCCGAACGCCGCTCGCCTGGAAGAATCCGCCTTCTGCAGCTACCGAGGCGCCTATGACTTGGTCCGCCCCGCCCAACCCGGACAGTTGGGTGGCGTGGGCTCTCGGTGGAGCTGCTCAGCTGCAGGATTCACCAGCTTCCGCCAAGCCAGGGTCAGGCTTCTTCCGGGGACGCCATCACGATTCAGAGGGAGCAATCGTGGTCGAAGTGGAATCCCAAGCTTTGATGGCGGTATTTGAAGGGGCAAACGTGGCTTGCGCTTGGTCGTTGGGTCTGGCCCGGCGCAGGCGCGCCCCCACTTCCGTCATATATGTCAGTTCGATGAGGAGCGACACCCATGACTGAAGATCGCGGTACACCGCGACAACTTGCTTCTTGTCAGAAGACGCCGAAAATTACTACTGTGACCAATTTGGTCTCGCAGCTTGAGACGATCGCTCATCAATTGAGGTTCGAGCGGGGCTGAAAGTTACCGGCCCACAACCATGGATGTCGTCCCAATGGGTGTTGATCGGCGGCACGATTTGATGACATGCGTGCATGGGGACGGCTCGCACGGGAGGACGGTACAGCGGCTGGAGGGAGCTCCTCGCCTGGGATTTCTCTGCTTTTGCCGCAGCCTGTATTTGATTTGGCTAGGCTGTGTTGATTCGGCATTCGTCAACAAGAGCCTGCGACCTCATGCGCAAGCCCGGATAGTTTGCATTGCCGTTGATTCCTTTCCAACGCCCCTCTCGGTTACTTTCAGGCTATACTCCAATAGTGAATACCGATCAGAGAAAAAGCAGAGAATGGTGCTCGATATGAGACAACCGTTCCGGTCAATGCTCCGGATGAGGTCTACGCAGATAAGCTCTTCAGATCGTTTACAGTTGCCTTGCAATCGACGTAGCGCGCTTGCCAGCACTGGGTGATAATGTGGCCAATTGCGCCCAGAGACTCGGTGTCAGGGAACACACGGCTTTTGTACAGCTCTTCTATCTCCTCGTCTTCCTTGCCGTCATAAGGTGTCTGTCTAGTCATGCGTTCATAGAAGACACACCCGAGCGCAAAAAGGTCGGCCTGGACAGAGAGCAGTGGCCCAGGGGACTCATGGCTGGCCGTCACCGCAACAAGGAGGGGCGAGCCGTCGAGTGATGACCCCGCGAAGTCGGCAAGCTTTGTATTGAAGCCCTCGTCCACGAATATGTTTGCACACGTCATGTCCTCATGTATGACACCAGCCGCATGGATGAAATCGACCGCCTCTGCGATTTGAACTGCCCAGCGCAATCGTTGCTGTTGGCTAGTTCCCTCGTTGATGAGCGCCCTGAGGTTGTGGTTTGAAGCGTACTCCAGGCGGATACCTGAATCGAAGGTGCCATGGTAGCATAATATTCCCATGTGACCCCCGAGTTCGGTAAATCGCTCGTAGATCTGCTACTCCCTCGAGATGAAAGACAGGCTCTCTTTGTCAAGTTGAGTCTTGATAATGGTATTTGACGATTCGTCAAGAACCACGAGACCAGTGATGCCCCACCCAACAACATCTGCTAGGTCAAAACCAGTTGGATACTGGATATCGTCCGTCTCCATCTGATCTGGCGGAGGTTTGAGGCTCGTCTCTACCCTGGAGAAGTGTGGGCTGTAAGGATGCTATAGGAGGATGCGCTCGGGGACCCGACCATGGGCAAGCTCGCGGTTGGGAAGGATAATTTGCAATAGTCTGTGGGTGATCGACCTTTCGGCGCTCTGTCTGTGGTCGACGGCGTGTGCACCTGTCAAGAAAGTATGTCGGCAGCGCACGAGAGAGCGGTACCCATTTGCTTGGATAGCCCTTGTATCTGTGACGATCCGTGCACATATGGCAGCGGTGACCATGCCACCAAGGCTAAACAATTAACAATTATCGAAACCGACCCTTGGCGGTGGGGGCCTCTTTTTCGATAGTACAAGCAAGAGAACAAGTCATTCCATCGCGACGAGGCGTCACCGTACGCGTCAGAGGCTGTATCTGTCTCTGTGGGGTGGATCGGGGGGCGCGGAGCTCGCAACTTGATATGGTCAAGTGTTCACTGCCGGATGTGTGACGACTGCAGTATGCGACGAGGTGGCCGTGTGTCACGCAGTATGGGAGTGTCAGTCTGGAGCTGAGGCTGAAATCGACTCGACGGGGTTTCAAATTGACACGTGCAGAGCGAGGGTAGTCGGGTATGACTCTCCGAGGAGGGGCATGACCTGATGATTGACCACCGCAGCCGCCGACGTTGGTGATCACTGGGGGGCATTGGGAAATTGGACGCGCCCGATAGAGCCATCCTTGCATACAGGCAGACAGACAGAAAGATAGGCACATGGCAGACGGCCTCTAAGGACTGGTAATGCCTGATATGACCGAAGCTGCGACCAGTGGGCACGTTGGTGCAGGAAGCCTCCCCTGGTCAGCGTTGCATTCCGTCTCGACCAGAACTATGCGTGCATGCTGCCGCTGCTGTTGCAGCAGCTGCTGCAAGACAGTCTGCTGAAGGAAAGAATGGGACAAATCGAGGCCAGCAAGGGGGGCGATCCATGGCTTGACGGACCGCTAGAGAACGGAAGTTTGGGTCTGGGTTTGGATCTTGGAAGGGCCAGCCAGTCGGGATGAGACAGGCAGAGGGACCAATTAATCAAAGGGCCGTCGAGCCTGTTTCTGGCGAGGGGCTCGGGTTGGACAAATTGGTCTCTCCTCGAGGAGCACAGCAAGGAGCGAGCGGGTGGGCGAGCGGTCGAATACGAAGGTGCGAAGCAAAGCAAAGCACCAGGTTTTGCTCCAAGGTTGTGCTGCGCTGCTGGAGAAAGCTGTTGAAGAAGCGGGAAATTGCAATGTGATGGCAGCGAAGGGCAGTGCAGCAGTCTGTGAGGATGGGAGGACTGGGGCGTGGCGTTGTTGGCTCGCCGTGTGGCCGTCTCAAGCTCAAGAGGGAAATGAAGGGTCCCTTTTCTGTGCTGGTCATCTTTCATGCCCCTCGTGCCCCGGCCATTAGTGGACACTGGCCTCAACTGGCCTTTCTCTTCTCGAGTTGTTGTGGACGTGCGCTTTCCCCAAAGAGGAGGAGGCAGTTGCATGACCCTTCCACGCCTTCCTTCCTTAGTCTGCCTCCAAACCCCAATCTAGCCCAGGCCGATTGGGGAGGTGCCACTGTCACAGGCGCCCGTGCGTGCCTTCCTGGATGGCCTGCGATGGCCTGGTCGGTCTTTCCCACACTGGTGACAATGTGGCCCGTACTGTACATGGGACTAATGCAATGCAAGAGGAACCTGGAAAGAACGTTCCTTTTCCATGCCCACTCCCACCCTAACCCCACTGCACCGCACCGCACCTGCAGCTGCAGCTGCAGCATCGGGAGTGGGCACCTTGTACGGATATGTGTGTGTTGGCCTTCACATTCTCGAGGCTCGATGGCTTCTTCCACGTCTGAGTGCTACACTACCTAGGTACATAGTCCAGTGTTATGTAGCAATCTGAAATCACTCATCAGCTTGAAGAAGCACATGCCCAGGAAACGGCCTTCAGCCGAGTCTCAGGCCGCAGACTATAGTTCCCAGGTTCTGGTTCTTGACTGGACCGAGGCAGCCGAGCCAGGAACGGCCCGTTTTGGCTGGGCTGGATCTTGTGTGCTGGAGATTTTGGAGATTGCTCTTTGTACCTGTGCCACCCCGTTTCGCCTTGACAGGTACAAGCCGCTTTCCGTACCAAGATTGGCCCATCCGCTAATTGAGCTCAACCCAGGTACCCGTAGACGGACCAAATGGTTATTTTGTGTCTTAAGTTTTTTTGCCCTCTCCTTGGTCTCCCGTAGGAACAATCTTGCAATGCCCCTGATCTAGCCCCCCTTTCTTGGGTTTCCTCGTACCAAACTGCCAGACGATCTGAGCCACAGAACCACAGGTCTTCGCCCTCGACTTCGGTATCGCAGAAGATTCTGTACACCCCCAGATGGGCTTCCATGCAGCTACCAAGCCCGTGCTGTCCATCCACTCACCTGCGGCAAGCGATCTCACTCCCTAATCGAGGTGCATGTGCTTGCGCCCGCAGTGCACTGCAGAGCACTGCAGAGCAATGCATTGGGTGCAGAGCAGACACGACACGAGCACGACACGGCAGAGAACGACCGGTTCGTCACGGCCAATGTCACATTCATCCAATGCCTTTCCATGCCTTGCCCTGTCCTGTCCGGCCCTGTCTCGCTCATGCTCATGCTCATGCCCTGCTGCCCAATTAATTCGACGTCTGTTCCCCCCGTCCCGTATCGGCGAGCATCGGGTTTCCCCTCCTTTCGAGCAAGCTTTGATCTCGGCTTCTGCCAGCCAGCCCAGCCAGGGCCAAAAAGGCGAGCAGGGGCGACGACATGGCGTATTATGGGTCCCAGGCTTGTGCTCCTGGCTCCTCACACCTCGCACCTTGCACCTTGCACCTTGCACCTTGTCCTGCCTGTATCTGTGCCTGTGCCTGTGCCTGGGCCTGTGCTCCTCGCATCCCATCCCACCCCAGGTCGATACCCTGCATTTCCCATTCTGCTACAGTACCGTACCTGCACACTACGACGGTACCCACTCATTCAATCTTAAACCTCGTGGTCTTTCCATCCACCGTTGTTGATCATTCATCGCCTGGTCTTTGAGGGGCCTCGCTCGAAATATCCGTGGGTCTAGTCTAGTCTGTTGTTCTCACCACTTTTCTTCCTCTCCTCTTCTCCCCATAGTCGTCACCCCGTCCCCCGTCCTCCGCAGTCCCGAGACTCATCGCCGTTCACCACACCGACCGCCGGCATTTGCACCTCCACCGTCGCCAGTGTATGGCTTCGTGATTGGACGACGTCGACCGAGACAAGAGACATCGCTCTGACTCTGTTCGTCTCAACTGTCGGTCCATCCAAAGGCACTCCTCTCTGCCCACGGTCTCCAACTCGACCCGGCTACATCCGTCCCGTCCGCTGTGCATGTGTCCGTGTCTGTGTCTGTGTTTCTGTGTCTGTTCTACAACTATATGCCATTGAACGTCACTCCACGCTTCACGTCTCCAATTCCAAGCCGGCTCTGTCGATAACTGGATTCCTTTACCTGCCCAAGTAAGTGTGCGCCCCTGATTTTAGTCTCACCACGTCCTTTATTGTGCCCAACGGCGCGGGGTCACTCAAGACTGGGAAGAGGGCCGAACACGGCGACCAATGCTATCGATCTTCGCTACCGGCAAGTTGAGGTGAAGATAGTCAAGGAGAGATATGTCGTGCTTCAAGCTGGTTCCCTGATGCTGATCCTGCTCGGCAGACGCGATCGTCATTTGATGGGCTGCTGCGGCACCAGCGTATAGGGGCTTTTTCTATATCATACAGACACCGCATTGACATATCTTGGTCACGGCCCTATTCCTTCCCTCGTTCTCGAAGGTTTGTGTTCACTGGGGACGCCCAATTCTCTCTCCTGCACACAGCCAAAAAGGCGGAGACTATTTCATTTCCCCAAACCACAAGCGACCCGGCCTTCCTACTGTCCTTTTCATCGAAGCAATTATTGCCCAAGCCTTTGTGCTGCTACAGGATTGTCGACTGGGCGGCGCCATTTCGACTCATGACTCGAATTTGATCTACCGTTCCGCAACTCAAGCCTGTGAGGCCTCGGAGACATTTCAAGGTTGGCTGACTTTCGTTTCCAATTTACCCCGGCCCAGACTTTGGCTCATAATACGGTCCTCTATAATCAGGGGGGATCCAAGGGGCTCTGCGTGGGCGACGAGAACCCGAAGCTAATTTTGTCGTCAAACCCCAGACACAGTTGATATGCCAATCGTTCGGGCGCGCAACCTTCTCCATAATTTTTCCCTGGCCAATTCATCTGATTGACTTTTGAGAAGCATCTGAAAAGACGCTGGCGCCAACTATTGGTTTCCACCTTTTGGTACGTAGGCTTCGGTCTCCACCCCGCCTCCCTGGATCCTATCTCGCTTTGCCAACTACGAGCGACTGGCGCCTTACAATTCCCGATCACTGGCAGATGTGCTGACTGGCCAGAAGAACGACCGTACACGACAGCGACTGCATGTGGCGTTTTTCTAAGTAGCCTCCGTGCTACGTATTCCGACAGGGGTACCCCCTTTGGACTTGGTTACCTCGCTACTACCCAGCACAACGCAGAGGGTTTGACGCGTATCCAGACCAACTCTGATTTTGATCCTATCCCCTTTTCCTTCTTGATCTCGCTCAATAACCACACACACCCGAAATGGCTGTGTGGGAGACTGAAGATGAGAGGAGCGGGCCAGCCAGGCCAATCTTGACCACAACCATGGACGCACAACGACCGAGAAGTTCCAGGACGCCGTCGCGTGGCTCAAAACGATCACGCCGCTCAGTGACGCCTCCAGGGAAGATCTCGTCGTCACCACCACCAATGCCTGGAAGCGACAAGACTGACAAGAGTGACCGAGTCTCAAAGGATATCGCCACAGACCACAATATCAGCATCCTGGATCCACGGCGATTTACACCCACCCTGCACGCCAACCTGGTTTCGGAGATATTGTCCCTGCGGAGAGACCAAGAAGAAAAGCTTAAACTTATTGAGAGCCTGGAGTCAACGCTACAGACGACGAGGGACGAGGAAGATTCGATCCAAACAACACTCGTCACTACAGCCAAGGAGAACAGATCCCTCAAGCGCCAACTAGCTCTGCTGGAAGGCGGTACGTCATCAGCGTTGGGCGAACTTGCCCGCGAGCGTGATGAGGCCGTCGAGGCAGCTGCAGAATCAAAGAAGAGGCTTGAAACAGCCCAGAAAAAGTTGAAGACGCAGGAAGATGACTCGGGAAGAACGCATGATCAGTGGGCGAAGGAGAAAGATGAGTGGGATGAAGAAAGGCGGAAGATGGAGCGGAAACTGCATGTCGCTGAAACGCGGCTGAAGACCATCCTAGAAGAGGTGGCAGCATTCCACGACGCTCAAGCGAATGCTGGGGAAGAGAGTGATAGCGAGGAAAAGGGCAAAGACAAGGATAGTGACGCTGGCAGCGTTCGCTCGATGAGCATTCGGGAAAGCTTGAGGTTCTCGCTAATGAACAAGGCGAACGGTTATTCCCTGGCGGATGAGCTCGACTTTGACGACGATTCAGACTACCAGACGGATCCGAATGGCCGAGACAGCGTAATGTCAACTCGAAAGCATGCACGAAACGACAGTCGTGCCAGTATGCTGTCGAAAACCCATCGCCGGCATCGCAGTAGTGAGAGCTTCATCAGGCCTGGTAGCGTGGCGCGCGGGAGGTTCCAGCCGCAAATGCAGCCTGAGGGGAGCCTTGCCAATGGCATCATCCAGGAGATCGAGGAGCCGCCGTCACCTGCACACCAAAAACCCACAGTCAGTTACACGGACACAGGGGTGCAGTACTCGCCACCGCCATCGCCGAAGTTACCGTCGAGCAAGCCTTCTGTGCCTGAGCCGAGCGGGGTGTCAGCACTGGCAGCGCGATGGGAGAAGCACCATGAAGCCGAGGCCACTGAAGCGAACCAAAGAAGGAAGCGTGTCGCTGCTGCTGCCCGGCCACTGTCGATCCAGGCGCCGGCTCCTCAGAGCCTAATGGTATCGTCTTCCGCGCAGACTGTGGAAACCCCCCTCAGTCCTCCAAAGACGCCCAAGACTCCTTCGCAGGAGCCTACCACGATACCAAAGCTACAGCCTGCAGACATGATCTCTTCTGCTACTCAAACTGACCCTCCCGCCCCGCCTCCTCTGCCCCGGCCAGCGACGCCACCCACTCTGGCCATTCCTAGTATTGCCATACATCCTCCCAAGAGCCGGCCGTCGACGCCCAAGAAGTCGCTCTTGCCGCAACTATTCAAGGATTTCGGTTGCCAGGTCTCGATCTCTGATGTGCCGACAAGTTCCACCGGTGTACAGACAGAGGAAATCCGCATTGACCAGCGTCTCGACAGGCTTCCCGCACACTTGCACCCCTCTGCTATCAACTCGAGGCCAACTTCACCAGCACAAGGGACTGAGATCCCGACAGACCCGGACCGTCACTTCACCCCGGTTCCTGGCAATTTACCTCCGCGCAACCCCAGAAGGCTGACGAGTCAGAGAAGCATTGGTGAACTTGCAACTTCGGCTCGCATGTCGGTGGAATCAGAGACGAAGGACGCGTACCCTGGAAATAACGACGACGGTCCAGTATCCCAGAAGGCGGCTGTGCGAAGGCCTCACCGGATTAGCAGTCTGTTTGCCGGCTTCGACGCTGTCAGCTCGGCGGACGAGGCTGACGATTTCGCCGACGCTGATATGAGTGATACTGAGTACAGGACGGCTCTTTCGGCCCCTCGGCCAGTCAAGACACCTGAACCTGGTCGAAGCACTCCGGGATCCGTACCGTCTTCGCCAGAAGAAGTGGCGCCGAAGAAGCTTGCCGACAAGATCTCTGCTCGTCATGCTAGTACCAATAATACTTTGGCTTCTCCCAGGCTTGCAGACAGCCCTGAGGGCTTTGGACCAGCCAGAAAGGGCTCAAAGGGCCACATTCGAGGGTCTGTCATGGGTGCAAAGTCTGGTGGAATGAGAAAGGCTGCCATGATCCAGAATGGCATCACGACGCATCAAGAAGATGCTAAAGACCCGCCGTTCCCTATTCCGACGAGAGCTAGTTCGCGCAAGCCTCTCAACGGCAGCGCGCCCAGTGACGGGAACCGAAGCCCCACAAGAAACGAGCCTTGGAAGAAGAACCGGATGCCGCTTCACCGTGCCAATAGTCTCCGTAAGAGCAGGTCGGGCACAGCTGGACACGGCAGGGGCAGGAGTAGGAGACAGAACAGCAGGTCACCTCCCTATACTCCTGACCCAACTCAGGACCCAAGCATTCCTCCTCTGCCACGCAATCAGCTCACCACGCCCAAGAACGATCGCGGGAGAGCTAGAGGTCACAGACACCAGCCTTCCACCAACACTGCGACGACAGAAGCAACCGGGTTCCAGTCCAACGCCAGCTCGCAGCCGGCTGCGAACACGGTGGTAGATGCCATCGCTCAGACGATGGTTGGTGAGTGGATGTTCAAGTACGTCCGCCGGAGGAAGTCCTTCGGCGTGGCGAACGACAATGTCGGCAAGGACGACTCGAGTAATGACAGGCACAAACGCTGGGTGTGGTTAGCCCCGTATGAACGCGCGATCCTTTGGAGCAGCAAGCAGCCTTCGAGCGGCAGCGCACTGCTTGGCAAATCCGGCCGCAAACGTAGGTCGTCACCATTCCCTTTCTCTGGTTCTCACCCTGCTGACAGTGCTTTCAGTCACCATACAGTCGGTGCTTGACGTAAAGGATGATAACCCTGCACCAAAGGGCCATTCTGTCGTCTTCAATCGCTCCATCCTCATCCTAACCCCTCAACGAGCATTGAAGTTCACCGCAGTAAATGCCGAGAGGCACTACTTGTGGTTGACTTCGCTGTCCTTCCTCGCTCATTCTCAACAGCAAGTACCTGATCTACCAGCACCTCCAGCACCAGCTCCGGCCAAGACACCGGACTTTGAGATTCCCCCAAGTAAGGCTAAATCCCGAAGACCACGCATCCGCGACTCCATTCGCCTTGCCAAGGGCCACCATGCCAACACCACGGCCAACAACGCTGCAATGGTCCACCCCAGTGGAGGCTTCGGAGGCGTAATGACATCCCAGCTGACAAACGGAGGTCACCAACCGGCGCCCATGCCCAGTATACCAGATGTTCCAACGAGCCTCGTCCCAGGATATAGGTCCCCACCCCCGCCAGCAGGCAGCGAGAGCGTCACGTCCGGATACTCGAACCCGTCGAACCCTTCGAACCACACCAACCAAGGTCAACATAGCCGGGAATGGTCCAGCGATGCCGCGGAACCGCCGTTCATCCCCCGCTTCCAAGATCGAGATCGCCCTCTAGGAACCGGCGGTCCCACCGTCCACGGGCGCAAGAGGAGTAATACAGGCGGGCACGTGCCCCCTCCATTGTCCTTCCGCGGGTTCTCCGGCCCCACCAGCTACCACGCCCCAACGAACAGCCAGTCCACAGGCACAGGCTCCTCAGAAGTGTACTCGAACCCTAGCAACAACAGCCACAGCACGCCTTACTCGGGGCCGGCGTCGGCGGGTCTCAGCAGCCAGGGCTGGGGTGGGATGAGCGTCATCAGCGGGCGGACGAGCGAGGCGTCCAACAGGACCAGCGGCGCCAACTTCTTCGACGCGATCGGCACGGTGAGGATGGAGGCGTTCATCAGCCCGCTGGCGTTCAGCCAATTCGGACCCGATGCCGACAACAACGGTGGTGCCGTCGGCGGTGGTCACTTCCCTGACCCGCTCGAGGATTCAAGATACCGAGCGAGGCGGAGGTCCAAGGAAATCCGCCGGCGGAGGAGCAGGAGCCGGCAGAGGGACAGCTATTCCTCGCGCGGCGCGAGGAGTGATTATTATAGCGGGAGCCGGACGGCGGGCGAGGAGGAATACATGAGGGAGGACCCCTTTAAGGGGTTCTGACAAGTCCCAGAAGTTGCACCTCGCCCTACCTACCCCTCTGGCCCCTTTTCGAGCCTCTCCTCCCAAATCCCGTCGCGCCGACAGCATAACCCATGATGATCTTACACGTCGATCTCAGTTTCTTCTTTGTTCCCTGCATCTTATTCATAATCTGGCATTTTCAACCGCCCGACCTGGCATTCTGGTCGTGGCTGCCTTCTAGCGTGGTTTTGCAACAAGCCTGCTAGTCTTCTTTTTGCCGTATATGCGCGCACCTCGCGGGATACCCCCAGTCGTTTCTGCTTTGTTATTGGTATATATTCTGTTATTTTTTCTTGTGTTATATAATGAGTGTGCCCTACCTCGGTTCATCTATTTCTGGCTGGTGCCTATTTTGGGCATTGTATTCTTGCCCATAATTATGTTATTATACCCCTTTGTGGGTCTGGCTTTGTTACCAGCTTGTTTCTACGGCCGCAAAGGGGGGATGCAGGCCGGCGGATCGGAGTTTGTGAAGTTATTGACACAACAGTCCATGGCGATGGATAGTGAGAAGGGAAAGGAAAAGAGGTGGGAAAAATCGAACTCGAATGTAAGAGTGAGGCAGGGCTCTTTTAGGTGGGAGGACAGGACCACGACAACGACACGGCCGCGGACTGGAGCGAAATAAGCGATTTGTCTACCGATACCACTGGCACTCTTGGTTCAGCCCTGGCTTCTGGTTTAGCCGACGTAAAATCATAGTGTAATCTGGGAAAAGTATGAGCTTGGGTCCTGTTATGTATAGTCTTCGCTTCTGTTGTATATTCTAGGGTAATTGCTCTCCCTCGGAGGGAGGGAGCCACACGACGGATTGGAGGGCCAGATAGCTCGATTAATTCGACACTGCCGCGATCTTGCCATAATTTGATCGTCAGGAAACTCTGGTTCGCCGTGTTGTACCAAGATAGTAGTCTCATGCATCTCGATTTTACCCGTAATGGGTAATGAGTGTAAGGTTTATGCGTGCATGCATGGTATGTTGCCAATCTGCATGGTTGGCGCAAGCCTTGGTCGTATTCGGTGGTTGAACTGGGCTAGGACTGACTGCTGGAGCTGCTGAAATCTGCCGAGGCCGGCCCGACATGATGGAGCTCCTCTGCCCCACCACCGTCATGCTGCAGCTCCAAGTTTGACTACATCGCAACCAGACGCCCAAAAAGCCAAGCCACGCATATCCTACAATACAACTCCGCATCCGACCCAATCTCGACCAAGGCCACATCCCACAAGCTTCCACTCCCCAGCTGCGCCCTCCGCCACCAAAAAGCATGGACGGCGCCGCCGAGACCGTCGAGCAGATGCAGGCCCGGCACCGTAAGGAGGCCAAGGACCTGCAGGGCCGCGTGACGAGCAAGAAGAAGAACGCGACCAAGAAGACGCGCAAGGGCGTCAACGACGAGTGCGCTGAGATGGAGAGGCAGATGAAGGAGAGGCAGGCCAAAGAGCTGGAGGCGCTGACGGGCGGGAACAATGCACAACAACAAGAAGACGACGAAGAGGAGGAAGACGAGGCGCCGCAAATACCGGACGATGAGGCGCGGGATGGCGGTGACCTGGCCGCGAAGATGCGGGCAATGGGCGTCAACGACCTTGCTGCGAAACCACCACAACAGCCATCACAGCCGGCAGAAAGCAACGGGCCGGGGCCAGGCAAGAAGCGCAACCGCCAGAAGGAGCGGCTCGCGCGCCGCGCCGCGGAGCAGGAAGCCGCCGCCGAGGCGGCCGAGCAGGAGGCGGCGGGCATGACGGACCACCGGGGCCGCGAGCGCGGGCGCATGCAGGCCGAGTACGCGCGCCACGGGCTGGAGGAGCACGAGATCCGGCCCGACGGGCACTGCCTCTTCTCCGCGGTGGCGGACCAGCTTGCCCAGGCCGGGGTGCCGCTCGCGGCGGCAGGGGAGAAAGGTGCGGTCGGCACAGGGGGAGGGGGAGGTGAGCCTGGGTACAAGGTCGTGCGGCGGGCGGCGGCGGGGTACATCGAGGCGCACGGGGACGACTTCGCGGGGTTCCTTGATGAGGACCTGGGCGGGTATGTGCGCAAGATCCGCGACACGGCCGAGTGGGGCGGTCAGCTTGAGTTGCTTGCGCTGGCGAGTGTATACGGGGTTGAGGTGTGTGTTGTGCAGGATGGGCGGACAGAGGTCATCCGCCCGAGTGGTGACGGCGGGACGGGGGAGGGTGAGGAGAGGAAGAAGGTCTGGCTTGCGTACTACCGGCATGGGTATGGGCTGGGAGAACACTACAACTCGTTGAGGAGGAAGGCATAGATGGGACAACGACGGAGATATGGAAATGAGTGGCTTGAGAAATGTTTGGTGGGCCTGGATGGTTCATCTATCACGAGTATCTCCGCCTAGTGGCGTGTGAGGACAGAGTAGCGAGACCCGAGCAAATGCTGGACTGCTGGGGACCTCACTGCTCTGACACGACCTGCCCTGGCCCTCCTGAGAACCTTGCTGCCCATGCAAACGACCTTGATCCCATCTTATAAACTGCAGGCTACGTTGTCTGCTACTGCATGTGTGGTGAAGAGCCACCTTGGTCGAATGGGTTGGGTGTCTAGAATCCCCTCGGGGTGCCTGGCCTGCCTGAGTATTCCACAGGAGTTCGCGGTTCAATTCCGTGCGCATGGTTATTTTTTTCCATTCTTTTCTTGTTTTTTTGCTTGACCTTTTCAGCGATGAGGTTTTCTGCGGCCCCTGCTTGGTCCATGGTCTTCTCCATGGTCCTCGCTGCTGGGGTATGCATTTCTTCACCACCTCCTCCAAACGCCAGCAAACGCGCCGTTTGGATCTGTAGGAGGCCCCGAGCGTGCCTGACGAGTGAATTTATGTTGCTACGGCCGGACGGTTTTCAAACAATTGATGATCAGTGACCCAGAGGGCTTGACGCATACTCTCGTCCTGGATTTCCTCGCCTTAGGTCACCATAGGCTCGTCAAGCTCGCGACTCCGCTGCTCACAGACAGCGAATTTGCCGCCCTGGGCAAATAAGAGTCCAAACATAACTAGAGGCAACCTACACTGGCGCTTCGGTGCCTCACACAAGGACGTCTTGGGTCCAAGCTCTCCCGGCGAGCCAGCTGGGTGATCGTAAATCATGCAACAGTCGTTCCTGGACGGTGACGCCAATGCCGCCCGTCCCACTGTATGGCGATTTCTACAGGAAGAGCCGCGCTGGGCGGTATTGGCCTCGCAGGGAACCTTCGGCGTCACGGACATGGGCTGCGGCTTTGCGACCCGCGACAACCCGTAAAGGGGTTCCGTATTTGGATCTTTTTATGGATGAATAATTTCACCACCCCTGAAGATTCCAATGCATCTATCTCAACCCCATTCGCTCTCCACGGACGCTGCGAGGGGTTTGGCTAATCAACACTACTTTCAAACCCAATTCATGGAAGTTGTTATCATATTAACCCAGATTGATAGAACACGAAGAAAATACCCAAAATGGCCACCCAACTAAGCCGACCAGGTGCGTATGAGGCCGTCATGGTGCCGGTAAAGATGCCAAAAGTGGCCTCTAGACCCATGCCACAGCACCTTTCAGTATCTATGGAATACGTAGACCTCAAGATGTAACTGATCGTAATGAGAAGAACTGAAGGCCAAACAGAACTCGAATACCGCTCTTCCGAGGACAATGAAGTCGTCGAGAGGAGTTCAAGTGACGATATTCCAGGTGCACCCAAGCTCACCTTCCTAGAGCTTCCATTCCATGCAAAAGACTTCTAATAAGACATTCGATAAGCAGGCGTAGAAGAGCAATAACTCCTAGGGTATGCCTGTAGTTCCTACAGTGTCTTGATTAATAAATTAGTCTATAGGAAATCCGTGCCCCATTGAGTGATTTCCAACGTTAAACTTTGCTGGTCAGAACCGGACAAGCGATTGGAAGCATCGACTCAAGTGCTCCCATCATCTGTCGTTCGAGATGTCATAGATGAAGGTGACCAGGGGCTCTCGGTAGTCGACCCGGTTTCGAGCAGTAGATCATCCAACGAAACGCGATCCATCGATCCGCACGGCGATGCAACAGGCGGAACACTCGGACTACTGCTGGAATCCCCCTGCTCGAGAGAATCATCGACGCCTGCAGCACTGCTGTCCGGCACATGATAAGACAAAGGCAGGTTGCCTAAAGTCTCTGTCCGTTTGGTCGTTGGGATGGCCCTGGTGTACCCAGACCAGGTCCCTGAGGCTATTCCTTGGTAGCTGGTGCGCTGTAGTTGAAGCGTCTCCGTGGCTGCCCATTCGAGATAGGTATATTCGCTGTATTTGCGCCGGCGATAGAGGCAAGCAAAGATGGGCTCGAGAATGTAAGATATCAGGATCAGGACCGTGCCGGTAGTGAAGGTAAAGTAAAGTCCAAAGAGGCTGAAAGACACGTATTGGGTACTAAGTATCTTCTGTGAAGTCAAACTTTTAGCATCAGTGAATCTAGCACTGATCGATCTTGGAAGCCTACCTGGCTATTGCACAGCTCTCTGACGTGCTGGTTTGGTGGCAATACCTTATACGGGTCGAGGGTGGGATCGGTCGTCCCCAAGGCAGTATTCACAATCGCCGCTTGTACGGAGGCCAGGTATGTCGCAAACCAATGGGAGACATCAAGCTGCCACTGATTCTCTGGCAGCTCTCCCATAACCCCTTCTGCCAAATATTGTTGAGACGCCAGGGCCCTGGCTTGGAGTACGGACAGTACGTCGCCGATTGGGAAGGTTGCATACCCTAGTTGCATAGTGAACCAGCTATACCTCGACCCAATTCGATGGCTCGGAAAACCACCATTCAGAAGTTCCTCTCCTGTCATATTGAACAAAGCCGCCGCCCCCAGCTGAGCGTCGATCCAGCTGGCCAAGGGCCCACATCGTCTATCCGCTGGAAGAGATGGATTGCAGACTTGAATTTGTTGAGTACATCCCAGGGGCGAAGAGGCTTCTTCTGGTCGATAGAGCTGTGTTTTCCCATCTTGTCCAGTGGAGTCGCTCGATGTATCTCCTGGGATGGTTGCTCGATACCAAAGATCATCAGTTGCCTGGAAGAACTGGACTCCATTTCCGGCAAGGAATATCAGAATTATATCTGCATCCGAACGAGCAAGAGCAGGGATGGGGACGAATTCTGATCGATCAGGCCGGGTGGCATTGTTCATCACAACTGCCTGAAGCCTCCTACCAAAAGTTGTAAGACCGCTGATTAGAGCCTGAACCATTGTGGTAACACATAGTAGAGTATGGAAAACTCACGCAAGGACGAAATTCTTGCCTCGCATTCTCTGTGGATTGCTTGCTTGCTTGAAGTACTGGGAATATATATGTTCTGTGATGTATGTTGCATTGCTGAAATTTGCAGTGCCATGTGAAGAGCCGAAGTGATACTGCGTGAAGTTGTCGGTAGACGTGGTTTCGTCACTCATGTACCCGTCTGTTTTAAGCGGCGCGCAATGAAGAACTGATCTGTACTGAATGCTTTCATCCTGGGGGCTGTTTACGCCCAGGTCTTTGACGGTGTCTATGTAGCCCGTGTCCAGGCGTATGTTGGATGAGTTGCTGCGACAAATATCACCAGGAAACGGACAAGGAGCTCTGTTGTCCACTATGCTGGGAAGATTGTTCTTGATAAAATGATTGCAATCAAATACGCCAGGGGTCGCCGTGTAGCATTGTTCGGCGCTAGATATAGTTTCACGAGTAAGTGACAGGATCTGGATCAGATGCATTCGGATGGAGACTAGAAGAAATGTGTAAATCAATCTCTGGCGTTACTAGACTTACTAATTTGCTGCGTTAGCCACTTGTCCGGCCGTGAAAGGGTAAACAGCGCTCATCGAATCGCCAGTGTGCGGGCCAGCGATCAAACCACAATTAGTACTGTTAAGAATGACCTCGTTCTTGAGCGCAGAAGATATCTATGACGAGTAACCTCCCACGACCGCAAAGGCAATGACACAGGAGGCAGCCGTTAAGAAGGCAGGAAAAGCGCGAGCGAAAGTGCCTTTACTGATATTCTGCCATGCCCACACGATTTGCATGAACGTCCACAGAGCAGATGCTGCAGAACTCGAGTTCCGGAGCACTGCTTGGCGCTGATGGTGAAGCGCGTCTCGGGGCTCAGATGTCGAGTAACATCTGTGAAAAATGTAACAGGCGATCCGCCACAAGCGACCAGTAACTATCCCGACGAAGACAGGCGTGAAGGCAATGAGAAGATTGCCGTCAGCTCGATTGAGAGTAAGAGTCGCACCCATAATCTTTCCTCGTGACCAGTTCGTCCACGTACCAAGATGCACTGAGTCTTGCGCCATAGACGCAGCTCCGCTCCAGTCCGTTGGAGTGCTCATGTCGAGAGAATGCAAGCGAAAAGAGGTCGAATCCAGGCAAACGACGCCAATCCGTAAGAGTGGTCAAAGACCTGGAGGGAAACGAAGATATTCACTGCAATATATCAGAGTGCGGGACAACGGTTCCAGTACCTGGTGTTCAAAAGCAAGACAACTGTCGCAAAGACCGAAGAAAGACGGAGTTTCGTGGAACCCATTCGCATTCCGCGACAGCAGATCGGCGATTATTATGCTACGCGACGGAAAGAATCGAATATCCAGCCCGCGTCCCCATAGCTTAGCACACAGTCTTTTGGCCAGGCAAGCTAGGCAACCACTGGCCGAGGATCAGGCAGGCTTGGGGGCGTGCTTTTGTAGTTGGTGGGTCGCTGCCATGCAGCCGTTGTGCAGCCTTCGCCACCATAAATTTTGCGATTGAAATGCTTCCGTTGGTGTTGATGCGCTATTCAATGTTGCAGCATCCCAGCGCAAACAATGTTCGAAGACAGGTCACAAACTCAGAATTCGTTGACCTGCTTAAAACACTTTCCTTCGAGTAGTCTTAACGGCAGGATCAAACGCAGCGTATCATGATTCAGATAAGTGTGACGTCTGAGATGCCTTCAATTTGTAGTTTTTCTTGGGCCTGGTGTATGGGCCTACGCAACACACCCGCATAAGCTGAATGGCAGTCGCGAGGCGAAGCCCACGGCAGTGCCGACATATTGGGGTCCAGAATAACATATATCTTAGTTGGGGCCGACATAGAAATCCAGGGTCATTCTGACTTTGATGACCGGCGAGTAAAGAAACTTGCACACGTGCTCAAAGAGTTCGTCCCAATCTACCATTTGCCTTTAGTTGTAGGTAGTGAGCCGTAATTGTGCAAGTTGAAATTTACCTACCTTTACAACTCTGTAAGCTATGCGTTTTTGGGCTGGTATCAACATGCATAAGGGCTGTATCGTTAGTGAAGAATACAAAAAGATGAGAAGCAAGCAAATCAAGATTGCGACAAGCCAACGGGTCTTATTTCAGAATTTCCTACCCTAGATATGTAGACCCGGCCTATTGTCTCACACTTGCCGAGCCCTCTTCTAAAGGGTCCTGGATCTCCCAGATTACATCACTCTTGAGCACAATTGTGAAACCAGCGATTCAACTGCCGAAATTAATATTGGGGTACTTCTAGGACCTAGGAAGTAGAATTAAGCTATAACATTGGTCCTCTTATGAGGCGATGTCTTCTCTTTGTCCGCGTATTCTTGTGTCGCAAATTGGGCGTGCGTGTGAGCTGCCGGGCCCTACGGCAGGTAAGAGCGCACCTGGCAGAGGCCCCATAAAGTGATTGCCAAGGGCTCGCCCTCAGCGGCAGGAAGCTTAGCTAGAACAACAACATTTTCAACTCGCCCAACCTCTCGCTACCTGTAGTCCACGGTGCTTCATATCTTGCTCTTCTAGAGAGGATGCTTGATGACCAACGTGATAATACTCACTCAGTATCAATGGAAACTGAATAACAATCAATTTCGAAGGACACAGGATTAAGTCATCAGTGATTCCAGTATGGTCAGTCATGTACGGAGATCGTTAAGTCACATTGAACGACGGGTTGTACAAATTTACCCCCCCCCCCCTTCTCTCTTGTATAGGGGGTTTAGGTCAGCATAAATGGAATCTAAGACGAATGAGTTGTCGCCAAAGCGCCATTGCATTGAATGAAGCGAGGCGTAGTAGCTGCTACATAACAATATGCATTATCTATATTATTGCGTCTCTTGATGGGTCTTGAAATCCTCTTGCAGCCCATAGCATGTTTCAATTCAAGTGGGAAATTTTTTAAAAAGGCTGGATTGCGGACAATTGTGGCAGAATGACCTCAAGCTGGACATCCGGCTGTGGTTGAGAGACGACCATGGGTGAAACTCAGAATGAGTACAATGAGAAAGAGGAATAGCAGTTGGTCTTAGCCAGATGGACTTGTATCCAAGCCCTAATTTTTGGCTTATTTTCTCTGAAATAGTTAAATTGGCTGCGTGCAGTAGGGGTGACTGGGTTGTACAGGTCTTGATCAACCTTGATGCTTGAGCTGTTTGTTGGCTTAACTTAGGAAAATCAACAACGTACCATCCGCTGAAACAAGTCTTGAGACCATTTCGTGGCATACGTTCACCTGATCCCCGATGGGCCCAACGAACTATAGTAGTTCCTGTTGCTTTGCTGTGTCCCGAGATCTTTGTTTATGCGATACCTCGCCAGTATAACTCTAGGATTAGGCCCCACGATTTGCGAAAGAGTAAGCGAGAACACATCATGAGATGGACTATCGTACAACACGCAGACGAAGATTAGAGGTCGAAGTCACCAGCTTCGTCAAATTTTACAAGTCGAGAACAGCGCCACAGCGTTGGCCAAGTTTAAATTAAAAATAGAAGTACGTTGGTCTTCTAACGCTAAGGTCTGAAATCCGTCAGCCATACGGCGTTTTGGAATGGTTGTTGGTAAAGTTTATGTGTACTATTTAGTGAGTTGGCGGCCGGGCCCATGGGCCCAATCGGTGGAAGCCAAGACCTCCCAGGGGCTGGCTGAGACCAGTAAGGCTTGTCTGGCTCACAACGTCCACTCAGATTGAGGAATTGAATAAGCTGGGAGTCGAATGATACCCATGTGTTATCCATTGGAATCGGTGCAAGACGTAACAAATGAATATTTAAACCCCCCTCCCCCGGGGAAAAAGAAAGAAAAGTCAAATACACACCATTGTAATCAAGGAGACGCATTGCCAGAGCAAAAAGACGACATTAAACATTTCATTGTGTTACTTCAGAGTGAATACCCAAAGGAAGCAGGAACTCAAGAATCCTATTCTGCATCAGTGACGTACAGTGGCAGGGTTCAGAGCTGCCAGCCGCGACGTACTCTTGTCCACTGCATCGGCAACATCAACGCCGAGTGAACCTTGATTTCTCAATCTCTCCACCCAATTACCAATCATTTACTTGCCAAGGCCGCCGAACCGCATCACAATGCCGTCTCCTCCCCATCACAACCTTGGAAAGGCGACCCCTCGTATGGATTCAGCAAAAATGCCGAGCGGACACCACAATCAAGGGATAGCGGGTGCAAAGCGGGCGATCAACAATCCTGTGGTTGGGCCGGGACCGCCTGCGCAACGGCAGGCCAAAAAGCCAGTCAAACATTCCAGTACAAATTCAGTCACAACATCGTCCAACAAGCCAGACTCAGCTGCTTCATCATCGCAGAAGATGACACAGATCACCCCAACGCGCCAAGTTTCTGATCCGGATATATTGCGCAGAGAGCTCGAAGAGAACTATCCTGAGCAGACATGGTTCGATAGCTACACTTCACTCGAGAAGTTGAGGAATACGAGGGGTAAAAGCAACAATACTGTGAAAATCTTGCTCGCAAATCTCTCAATTTCGGTGAGAGACAAGAACGGGGCTGAACTCGGACTCTACAAGGCTGTTCAGAACAATATTTCACATCTTCTTGATGTTGAAGCCGAGTGGAACCTCGTTACACCCATCAGCAGCCAGCCAAAAGGGTGCTCGTCTGCATTATGGAAGGGCAAACTTTGGCTTGGTGGTATCAAGGACTCAGTGAACAAGAACTGGCTTGATGGCATGGACCCAGTGAGCAAACAGAAAAATTTTAAGAATCGAATCAGTGCCGTGGTCTCTATACATCCTGAAAACTGGCTGGCGGCGAACGACTGGAAGATGCTGTTCACAAAATGGGATGAGGACCCCACTTCACTCAAACCTGGATGGACGGAGAAAGGAAAAAGAGGGCAATACGTCATTCCTTTGGAGGATGACTCCAGTTCGGACCTGCTTTCGCGATTTGAAAAGGCGTTCAAATTTATGAATTACTACCTATTGCAGGGTCAGAACGTACTGGTTCATTGCAAGATGGGCCAGTCCCGTTCGGCTTCACTAGTACTCGGGTACATGTTGACCAGGTACTACAAGTGCTATATTGCAGATGCACACCCGTCTAAAGAGAAAGCACTGGAAGATTTCAACGAGCTCAAAAAAATCCAAAACCGCTTCACTAATGAGATCTCAGGGAAACGCAAGGGGGTCAGTACGGCAAAATTCGAAAAGCAACTAGAGAAACATCTTGAAAATCTAGCCAAATACAACGGAGATCAGAGCACACCCGCTCAGCAGCAGAAGCCTCAGGGCAAGAAGGGTGGCGGAGGAATTATAAAGGACGCAATTCTTCTTCTCTGTTACATGCATAACCTGACGCCAACGGATGAGATTCTGAAATATTGGACGTCACAGAAGAGGAACAAGCACTATTGGGTCAGGGCATCAAAGGAGAAAACGAAAAAAGAAATTGATGACGAAAAGCATTTGGCCCAGGTCAATGACTTCTTTGTGGGTTTTACGGGGAAGAAGACCAAGACATGACCCAGGCAATGATGAGAGTTTCAGAAAGCATTGCGTCCAATCATTATAACTTAAAATTAGAAAGATTTTCACTGTAAAAGCTGCCTTTCGAGAATGTTTCTTGAATCCGGGGAGCCATCAATATTATTGACAAAGCTCTCACGGGCCGCACATGGGGTTTATTGAAAGCACTCACTCTCCCTGCGGGTTTGGCTTAGTTTCAGGCTGCTGCTGTATTGTGAGATAATGTTTGACTGTTCAGTGTTGATCTGAGATTTCCAAGTATCGTAGGCCGAAGATTCATCTGGCCGCTTCCTCATGCATTGTCTGAACTGGGCTTGAAGGGAGTTTTCGAGATCGATGCCCCCCCCCCCGGGAAGGGGGCCTGGCTGCTGCCTAGCTTCTGCCTGGACTGTCCGGTGATGGAAAACGCTGATCTCTTCTACCAGTAAGGTATTTGAGTCTTTACATTGCCAAGTCTTTATGTTGCATACCAGTCACTTATTGAGAATCAGTGTGACAAAGCATAGACCACGACAAACGGTTTAGCAATTATTTATTGTATAGAAAAGTTGCAGACTGTCTGCTTCCTCCCATCCCTTCTCAATCAGCCAAAGCAAGTTTTCTATTACTGCCCTTCGTGACCCCAGACCTGTTCTCTCCTCTGTATCTTCGGCCAGACCTTTGAAACCAAAATCCCCTTGATTCTTGCCAACATGTCCGAGAGCCAGATGTCAGATACCGCCAGCGACTCAGCCTCGATGCTTGCTGAAGAGGGAAAAACTCTCGAACTCGTGCACCAGGTTCTCGAATCATTTCAAAATGCCCGAGGCAGCATGGTCTTTGCCTGCGGCGGAACCGTGCCAATCCCTGCCGCAAAAGATACGACCCAAGAAACCGCCATAGCCATCGATCCAGCGCCAACATGTCCACCTGTAGTTCTCCGCTGGGACCCTGAGTCTGAATCCGTCCCAGCTGCGACATGCAAGCTCAAGTTTCCGCTCGACCACTCCGACAGTACAACAGTGCGCAACATATAGCAGCTGCTAGGCGTGAAGACGATTTAGACGAGAAGGCCACCGCAGCCGAGTTTGAGCAGATTGGTCAGCCAGCCGGATGCCGGCTCCTGGGCAATGATTTATCATTCTATGCTGACGACAATTCACCATTTGAAGATGAATCAGAAATGGCGGGCGTCTTGAACAAGTGGATGGCAAAACGGCCAAAAGGGCTTCAAGACCATACAGAGCAACAGGATCGCGTGCTGTACGAAGAGGTTGCCTGGCTCAACCGCTCTGGACATCACAAAGAGCCGCAGATCGCATATGCCGCCGTAAGTCGACCTCGTTATGGCTCTTCATCCTGCTTTTGATCTTTTGCTGATCTCGTGGCCGCATTTCTTGTGATTAGTACGGCAACGAGGCCAACGCTGCCATGATGTACTCCACTTGTGGTATAGTCGCTATGGTTTCCCCTTACACCACTCGAAAGGCTCTGCTAGGAGTGGATTAGATCAAAGGTTTGAACCTATCAGCCGACAAAAACCATATTTGCTTCATACCGTGGCCTGTACTACCTTGTCAATGCTTAAGGATGGTATCGTAGACGGAAGTGAGGTCCCTCCGGGGCTGGGCTCGAGCTACTTGGTAGGGGCGGTGATGCTAGCTTCCGCCTGACACAATGAGAAAACATGACAGCTTTCGCCTTCGAATTTATGGAATAAAAATAGTGCCCCGTGAAAAGTTGAGGTCTGCGCTAGATATTTCACAGGAAACATATTCTGTCGGTCGGATTTCTGGGATTCAGGTCACAAGCCCGATACCTCAGTATAATGACATGTTGTGGCTCAGTCTTAGTTGCAGATCGCCTGCCACCCTACATTTTGGGCAGATTTGACAAAGTATGGTGCCGTTTCCAAGCCTTGAAATTAGCTGTTGAAAGGCACTTCCAATCTATCACCCTCATATTGGTACAAATGAACAGTAAACCAGGAACATCCCTTATTAGTATAATCTTGAAAATGTGGATCGGCCGACTGACCTCTATGATCCTCATTCTGGTCGTTGATATCAGAATCGTGAAAAGTAACGATGGTTGATCGGATTTCCGAACGCGCAATGGTAAGAGCGCACAAATTCCGCATATCAATCGTAGACTATATCCTTGGCTATTCCCCCCCCCCCCCCACCTCAGCTTGAGTGTAAGCGAGGTGGTGCGCCCCCACGTCGCTGCGTTAGGTTGCGGCCTAAAATCCAGCCTCATGGATACTATTTGGCCGTATGACATGCAGGCTGAACCCAGCAATGGCAAAGTTTCAGCTCTAGTATGACATTCTCCGGTATTTACCACCAGACGAGGTCTTGTTCAGCATCCTATGATATTGATCCAGAATTTACAGCATAGGTTCTTGTATGTTCTTCACGTGACATCGAGAGAAGTGGTTGAAATATATATATAAACACGGGCGGGGTTATGCGCAGATGGACATGAGGACTTACACCGCCCGAATTCCGCCAAGGACAGTAAGCGCCACTCAGAGCCTCGTCATGGGTAATACCGCGCACACCCAGGCAGTAATACGCGCACCAGTCTCCCAAATCTCACGGGCACAGCTGACCAAACCTCTTCGCATTTGCATGCATGCATGTACTGTGGCTGCGTCCTTCCCTCTCCTTCACCTTCATACGTCGAATCGCGTGCGCACTATTTACACCACAGCCGGACTTTGGAAAACTATGGCCTTCTTTCTGACCGGTGAGGACGCCATGAGGAAGTGGCGGTTCAGCTTGGGATTTTCAGCAAATTATTGATCAAGGCATCGAGGTCATCTGAGGGGACCGCTGAATCAGGCTCTAAAGCCACTACTTGCGACAGTAAATAAAATGCGACTCACATGGTGCCGCCCTAAATCTACTACACTGCTGGAGCGTAGGGGATCTCGGTTGCCTTTGTGAAGGTGGACAACCTCTGATCTCACTGTGGTGCAGTTCCTCAATATTGCGCGCACTTTCCTGCTTTTGGCGACTGTCTTCAGTTTTGGTAGCCTAATGGGGCCAGAATGCCAACATTCAAGAGAGGTGATCATTGACCCATCCACTGTCCATCAAATATCGAAACTGGGTAATCGCTGACTATTCGAATGATGAAGTGAACACCGGCTTCGAAAATCACGTTGCAATATCAGCCTCCAAAAGAGACGGAGCAGATCACAATGACTCTGCCCAGACAGGTCTGATTGTCTTCGGTATTCTACTCGCTGTCGGTCTTGTCTTCCTTCTCTGGTTTTCTTGCTCCTACTTGGGTCGTCATCCGAGGCCACCACCGCGCGGGCCAAGGGGTTACCGCGGACGTGATGGCCTTCCTGGGCGTGATGGTCTTCCTGGACGTGACGGCCTTCCCGGACTTCCCGGACGTCAAGGCATACCCGGGCCTGAGGGTCGACCAGGTCTTTGTGGTCCTCCAGGAAAAATCGGTCCACAAGGCATACCCGGGCCAGCAGGAGAACGCGGGCCAGCAGGAGAGCGCGGTCCACGAGGGTGGCACGGGTGGCCAGGTAGACCTGGTCCCCAAGGCTCGCCTGGACATGACGGAGCACAGGGCCCACGTGGGCCCCAAGGGGGGAGGGGTCAACGAGGTCAGAGAGGAGCAAGGGGTGAGAGAGGGCCAGGGGGTGAAAGAGGACCGCAGGGCGGTAGCGGAGCACCGGGCGGGAGAGGAATGCCGGGGGAGAGAGGACCACGGGGCTATATGGGACCACGGGGCGAGAGAGGACCAGAGGGTGAGAGAGGACCACCGGGAGAGAGACCACCGGGCTGGCCGGGCTGCCCCCGTGATCCATGGGGCTCGAGGAGGAACATGATCATCAACCAGCAATTAGCCTGATATCGGCTGTGTGTCAACTACGCCACAATCCCTAAAGCGGTGACCACTGCTAGGGAATATGAACAGATTGTGGTTTACAAATTGCGCCGTCGGACAGGGGTAAGGCTTACTTGTGTTGACCTTCGTTACCACTGCGGTAATTTGAACACAACCATGTTACTTTGAGTCTCCTGGAATGAGTTGTTGAAAATGCGTTTTCAACTAATACCGGAGTATAGTCTCGTCGGTGAACGTTACTGGTGTTATTGTGGTTTCTACATTGATGAGACAGATCTGGCTCGTGACGACCAACCTTATACCACGGGAAGATAGACCAATCTCGATTCCAGGGGTGGTGGTGTTATTTCTATTAACATCCTCAACTGCTAGACCAGACCATTTCTCAGGAGTGAAATGTGCCATAGATATTTTGTAAACATTTGACAAGTCCAGTCGTGCTTTGATCGGTGATGTGTTCCGAAGAGAGCATGCTAATGCTGGCTTGAACCAAGGCCTCTGCGTCCAAATGCGTTCCAAGCCCGTTCTGTATACATTGCAGTATGATGATCGTCGCATCAAATATCGAATGTGCCCGCGTCCATGTCAAGCTGAAAACAAAACCCATACGACTCGATGTTGAATTCGAAGGCCGGAGCAGACAGCCCGCTGCACGTAGCAGTTCCTCGCAGACCAACATCTCGTCTGCATCCGACACAAGGATCTGACCGCGACGCTCGGCCGCAGCTTTGGCAAGAAGTAGAGCTTCGCATTGTTGGAAATTTCCGTAAAGCTTCAATGGTTGTTGGTCAGCCCCATCGTGAAGCACTGGAGACTCGATAAAGAGGGCATCAACTTGGGTGTTCCAATTCTCAATCCAAGTCTGCATCTCATGGACATAGGCTGACATCCACGGAGCATTGACTGTTGCAGACATATCGAGATTGTGTCCCGAAGATGTTCCTTGGTTGCCAATCATCTCTCTGTGAAAGCGACCCTTGAGCCGTGTGAGATGGTACACCATGGTCGATAGATTCATGTCTCCTGCCGAATTGGAGATGGAGTCGGGTGAGCAGGCAGAGACTGTGCTCGCGTCTGGAAGCTGAGAGGGTCTGCCAAATGCTATCGCGGCCTGGGTCTCGAGGGCGTATAGGGTGCGATAGAGAGCGCCAATATGAATGAAGTCTGTTTTACCAGACCCTTGCACTTCGATGATGTCCAAATACATCCTTGATGCATTTCCCAGTAATCTCCAAATATCCAGAACGTTCGGGCAAATCCAGGTATAGATGCACATTAGAAGTGTCATTTGCAGCGACTGATTTGTCGGATGAATGAAGAGATCATTGGAAACTCCGCGAGAGAGTGCTTTCTTGAAGTATGCGTCTGCGACCATTTGAAGCCTCCGATCCTCTGGACCCAGTAAGGCTAAGGCTATAGCAAGTATAAACCCGGAACGTGTTTGCGCCACGATATCCTCTTCTGGCGTTACAGGGATGTTGTTGTAGACTTGACTGATAGTCTGAATTATCATATCCTGGCCAAGGATTGGATAAGTAATTTCGATAGACCGATAATAAAGCCAGGTAAGATTCTGTGCCTTTGAATAGGGCATTTCTGCTGTGACATCGATCGTGAGCGGGCCACAAAATGTCTCGAAGAACCCTGCCGCTCGAGGGGCGGATAGAGAATATTCGCATAGCGTTGGTGAGGGGACACACTTTCCGCTACTGTTTGCGAGACGGACAAAAGAGCTCGTGGCGCCAAAGAAATTCAATTCACTTGATTTGTCGATATTTGACGGCCGTGGGCATAGTACACCCGACAGAGAAGCACCCTGAGCATACCCATCTAGCACAATATTCGACGCTGTAAGGTCCTCTGTGGGAGCATCGCTGGCATCCGTGGGAACACACAATTCTTCAATGTCACCCATCAATCGCTCTGCATGCTGTTTCAAAACGTCAAGATGCCTGTATTTGCATTAGCCGTGTCCTTATTAATTGGTCTAGTTGAGGCGATCATACTTGCGCGAGGTCTCTTCGGCTAATGCGTTGTCCCAGTAGCGACAGTCCTTGCGAAGCTTTGTGCAATTTCGACATGCTGGAACGTCTGAATCGCACTTGATTCTTCTTCTCTTGCAGTGTGAACATATTGGGAGCTTCTCCATAGCTGTCCTCAGTTGAGCTTTGTCAAATACTCGTCTCGGCGGTTGCGTTGATATTGGGGAGTTTGGGCTGATACTAGCTGCCGAAGGCTCTGCGAGTTCTGGGGAGACAACCTCGTTTTCAATAACGGTGGTATCGAAGCCTTCTATCTCGGGATTCTGGATGAGGTTGAAAAACTCTAAGAGATCGGCGTCGTTTTCTAGAGACAGGGGGTCAATTTGAAGATCGGGAAACATAATATCAAATGTTGATTGTCCGAATGTGTCCGCGGGCTGCTCTCGGGCGTAGAGAACGTCAGCGTTCTCTCTGAACACCAGTTCTTTCAGTTGTCTAGCCTCAAGCCCAGTGCTGGTATCGGGAGAACCATCTTCTCGAAAGAAGCTCAGAGGCCCTTTGCGTAGCCGGTCAAACAGAATGCCGCATCGCTGGGCTGCCGGCCATTGCTTAGCAAGAAGTATCTGCTAAAGTCAGAGGTTTGCTTATTATTGACGGTAAGTAGAGTTTCCACTTACAAAGAAGCCGGAAACCTGATGCACGACTTCAAAGACCTGGGCCGTGCTGTAGTGCCTACGAATGAGAGAACGGTAGTGCCAGAGTGCATATAAGATCAGATTTCCGGCCTCGTAGCAGTGATGGGTCGCATGCCAAGGGTCAGCCAGGTAATTGCAGATTGTTAGGTCCCAGTATCCTTTGGCGATGCACACGGCAGCGTCAAAGTATTTGAGAACTGAGCTCTCGGCCGGGCTGGGATTGCGTGCACAAGGCATATGGAGGAGCAATATTGTGTGCCATTCCATGAAGTTGCTCTGCTTAGCGGCCGCCACGCAAGCTTTGATCTCATGGATTCGTCTTTCAACATCGGCCAGCCACTCATCATGTGTTAAGTTGCTGTTAGAAATAGATCGCATCCCAATGTTGACGGAGCATATTTCTGACTGCAATCGCAAATATCTAAGGATGTCACCAAATCTCAGGCCAAAGTCTTGTTCTGAAGGCAGGATAGGCTGCGAATCGTGCTCTGATGATTGAACGAGATCATTTGGATCGTCTCCGAAAGTGGGAAAAGAGAGGTGAATCTGGTCTCCAGCCACCGCCAACGGCCGGTGTGATGTGATCGCAATGGACCTCTCCATGGCGTAAAGCTACAAATGTATAAGTTGTGTCGAAGTGAGATCTGGGAAATGGTATACTTGCTGTCTAGTAAAGCCTTTTGCGCGAAATGAGGACTTCTTCCGTCATACCGCTTTCTCGCGGGGCTTCTTGGTGCAAGCCGAGCGCCAAAGCTATTCGTGCTGCATCCCCAACGACTTGCCAGAGGTTCGTAGAAACTGGAAATAGGAAGCCGTATTGGGCAAGCAGCAAGAGCTGCTGAACTGTAGTAGTTGTAGCTCTGGTAAAACTCACTCCCAGGTCGAGTCGGGCAAATGCATCTCGCCGCAGTGACTCAGCTACCGAGACCAGTTTTTGGTAGTCTCTAGCCTTAGATGTGAGTGTTGCAATCGACATGACCATACATACGATAAATTGCTCGTCGGGAGTGATGCTCAGACCGTCGCTATTGAACGCTTTGAAGCGCTGAAACATGTCGGAAAGCTCTTGCTCTGTGAATAAGGGGTACTGACGCAGAATGCGATCGATATAGACAGCCATGAGCCGATCTGCGACTTCTTCGGGTAACTGGGTGAATGAGGCTCCGTCATGGTTGGGAATATTGACTGTGCGTTGATCTTGAAACGCGAGTGGAAAGGGAAGCTCTGCACTGAGAAAAAAGGTGCGATAGTATGGAAGCGTAAGCCGAGAAACATCGTGCACCGAAGTCAATGGTGCACTTTCGAATGCGGCGTTGACTGCTAGTTCATACGCAGCGGCGACATCTACAGCTTTGGCCGCCGTGACTCCTTGGGCTGCAGCATCTTGTTCGGGCTGCAAGACAGCAGAATTTGAACTTTCCCGGCCCTGAAGCAGGGCTTCTCGTTCTAGTTCAAGTTGAGCAATAGCGTTCTCAAGGTAAGAGAGGAGACTATTTTGGGAGAGTATCAGTAAGAAAATACAGGTCGAAGGCTTAAGTCAACAGTAGCATTTGGGCACACGTACCTTCGCGGAACCACAGTCTCAGAGCCTCGATCAAGACCCAGGCATTCAGCTTTTGCGCTCGTGCACTGAAGGCATGAAGGGTAGCTTCGATCACACTACGCAATGATCCAGTCAACAAGGTTTTGGGCATGTTACGCACTTTCTGTGATGAGCCCACCTTTTTCTTTCTTTGGTAACACCGCGCGCATGAATATGAAGATCGCGTGCTTCTGACCATGACGTTGTGGCATGACACAAGGCTCAGTTTGAGGGGTTGCGGACGATAGTCGGTCTGGCATAGGATTGCACAATTCCTTCAACAGTAAATAATGCAGAGGAATGATGTTGGCTCTGGAGGAGGATTGGGCTCGGCTCAGGTCGACAAAGAGAAGAAGCTGGTCACCTCTTGCGATGACCGTCCATACCCCATTGGTGCCAAGGGAGGGGAGGGCTATCATGAGCCGGGGTAATGTTATCAGCAGCGGGCGCTCCGGCAGAGGATACGATCATATGTTGACATCAGACCGAAATTCCGGAAATAGGACATTAGATAAAGCTCAGAAGATATACTCTTCAAATTCAGACTATCACATGGGCAGAGTTCCAGTTGATACGAATAATACAAGAGTTCTGCGACGCGAGCTGGCAGTTGCTTGTAAAAACACATCATACTTGATTGACATCACTCTACTCTCTCGAAGCCTTCATTACTCTCGTATCAATATCAATGCGTTTCTTTTCGTTAGAATCAACAGATGCCGGAAACGCTTGGACAACTTCCGTTCTGTTGCTGTCTCGCCACGTTAAGTACCGAACTCCAATCGTCGTTATAAAGAGGGATGCTCCCATGCACATCATGGCAATGCTACCCTCTGTCCAGTCCGGACCCTGTGTCGCGCTGTAGAAGACAAGTGACCAGAACATGTAGACGGCGATTGCAAAAGTGTTCATTGCTGCGAGAATCACCGCACGCTTGGCATCGTCTTCGCGAGTGACCGCATTCGCCCAGGCAAACAGCACAGTCTGGCTAGCATACTGGCAACCATTGAGGAAGAGTGCAAATAACTTGGTCCCTCTTGAAGGGGGCTGTAGCATAATTGCTCCCGAGATGATGGCCGTGGAAGACAAGATGATTCCAACATGCCAATAGCGCTTGGTGAAGTCCGAGTACCAGCCGAGGAACAGGGTAGCCACAATTCCGACTCCTGCTACACCAGTCGGGATGTAATTGACCTGTTCCACGCTGTAGTCACCCATTGAGGAGAGCCATAGATTCATGATAGCATTAGTGGAGAACATCTCGGTGTTGCTAGCAAAGATCCAGAGCAGGACAAAGCCCAGCCAGTGCCATGTCTTCAGAATACGGGATATTAAACTCCAACCAAGAGTGCCGCGAGTTTTCTCAACTTCTGGAAGGCGGTCGACAGCCAGCTTCTTCTCTTCATCGGTTAGCCACCAGGCACGCGTCGATGTCGGGGTATCCGGAAAGGCTAGAAATCCATAAATGGCAATGGGCACGGTCAGGCAGAAGTCAATAATAAAAAGCCACCTCCAGCCAGGCAGGCCTCGAACACCGTCTGTAGCAAAATGATTAGCACTGCCCGAGTTAATGCCAAAAATGGTCTTACCGAGACTTCGGTGTATGCCTCCTTGCAAGAACCCTGAAAACATTGTTCCAGCTAAGCCACTGCTGGTAAAGATAGCAGTCCTCTTGCCTAGCTCGTCTTCCTTGTACCAGCTTCCGAGAATGTAGTGACAGCCAACGAATGTAGAAGACTCGAAGATAGCCTGCAGAAATCTTAGGATCATGATCTGCCATGGGTGGTGAACAAGTCCTGTTCCGAGGGTCAAGAGCCCCCAAGCTATCATGCAAGCGGGGAAGTAGTGACGAGGTGGAAGCTTTTGCAGCGCGAGGTTGTTCGGAATCTGTCCCAGCACATAACCGCCGTAGAAGACTGCATAAGTCAGCAACGGTGCACATGGCTACGGCTACGCAGGACGTCTAGGAGATTTTGGTGGGTTACTTGTGTTGATGATGTTCAACTGGTTGCCCTGAAAGTTGAGATCCTCCTTCATTCCACTGACGTACGCATTGTTCAAGTTCATTCGATCGAGATAATTGACCCAATACTGATGACCTCTATTAGATTCATTCCAGTTCACAGAGATATATGCGGAAATCCAAGCTCACCATAAGACAGCAAAAAGACAAGATGACCACATCGAGCTTGACGATCAGTCTCCTTTCTGCGCTGGTCGCTGCCGGCTTCCCCCAGACAACTTCTCGAAGCTTTGATAGGATGAACATTGCAAGGGCTTAATGGAAGAAATGAGGTGGTGAGTGCTCGAAGTCGTCTCGATGAACCAATTCCCGGGCTTCACAGGACCACTTCTATACAAGTCAACAGCTTGGAATCCTATCTCCTAACCCCAGGTTGCTTCCCGTAAGACCTATCTGGGGTTGGACTCCGAGTGCCCCACTCCTCCCGTCGGAATAGAGCGCGCGTTTATCTCGGCATGTTTACTGTACCACATCGATTGCGAAAATGTCCTACATGCTATGAACCGAGTCGTGTCGGTGATTAGCTGTTCTTGACTTGGCACGGTATCAATCTAGATCGGATTAACCCGCACTCCTTAATCGCCACTTTGAGAAATGTGGCAAATAGACTACTTAATATTCAATAGACTCGTATGTGATCAGAGATAAGTGAGTGCTACACCAGCGCCTGTTTGAACAAGTTTTACGGATATCAATAGTAGGACGAGGAAAGATGCTCGATATCACAGTTGCAGGGAATCATCGCGAGGTGAGTGTTGTTTCCGTAGTTGTTGCTCTGCTTCAAAAACTGATAATCATGTAACGTCAGATTGGCCTTGCAGTGGGTCAACAAGCTGCAGCCCAAGTAGCTGGATCTATTGAATTCTATCGTGTTTTGTTTAAGGCCTTTAATGATTTGGAATGGACAACGGTGAGAAAGCGAACTCTTGAATTCGTGCCACACCTCAAATCCAACTTCCCTCGATACTATGAGGAGATGGAGGGAATCGCAGAGGGTGCTCAGGTGGACGTTCTCGACGTCGTTGCCTTGAACATCCGAAGCGAGATCGCATTTGGACTCTTCGAAGAGAGCTCAAGGCGGCCCATGGCAATCGCAGCAGTTGATACGGCTGTGGATGGCTGTACCACATTGGGCTGGAAGACTCCCAGCGGATCGACGTTTCTATCGCAAAATTGGGACTGGAAGAGCAGGCAGAAACCAAATTTGATCATTCTACGTGTCAAACCTCAAGGCGTTCCCAATCTGGATCTACCAGCTTTCCAGATGATCACAGAGGCTGGCATCATTGGAAAAATTGGATTCAATGAGCATGGTGTTGGCTGTCTTCTCAATGGGATCCGCGCCAAGGGTGTTGATCCAGGACGCATGCCTATTCACTTTGCTCTGAGGACAATCCTAGAGTCCAAGACGAAAAGGGAGGCTTTGGGTAAGATCGAAATCGTGGGGCTGGCCGGGAGCAGCCACATTCTCTTGGGGGATAGCACCGGTCCGACTGGCCTCGAGTGCACTAGCATTGGATTCAAGGAGCTTCCGGCCGATGATCAAGGTCGAGTAGTTCATGCGAACAATTTGATTTTGAAGCACGAGGGTGTCTTCGAGCCTCTCTGGCTCGAGGATTCACCTAAGCGAACTGCTCGGATGCAGGAGCTTGCAACCCCCGAGGTTGGCAAGAAAGCTGACTTCGAAACTCTTCTGGAATTGTTCAAGGACGAGCAGAACTATCCAGCATCTATCAATCGGAAGCAATCCGGCAACAACGATTCCAACACTCTGTTCAACGTTGTGTATAATCTGACAGAAAGGAAGGGAGTCATTACCATGGGCCGAACGACGGAGATTGAAGAACAGATTGAGATTGGATTCTGATGGCCGCGAAAAGAATGTTTATCGCTTAGCTCCTGAATCTTGAACAATACTTCTTCGTGGTTTTCGAAATTGCATCAACATAACACTTGACTTATCTATGGACATGGCGAAGATTAAGTTCTATGACGACGTTGTTTGGAACAATACTGATATCAAAGATGCGATGATAAGACAAACGCCGATGATGATACGAAACGGCGACAATGGAGGCTGAATCGCACGAATGTGACAGCGATAGAGAGATGACGGCGAATATGACGCCGAGGGTTACAATTCGAGAGTTCCTTGACTAATTATTTGATTATCCCGCCAGGGAAAGTAGCCAAATAGAGAAACGTTCATTGAGAAATTTTGGCTGCCAAAGGTATTTTTATCATTTGGCCTTGAAAAGCTCTTGGATTTACTATGCTATTTTCTTTCCATAGATTCACATGACAATACTCGACAGATAGTAAAATATCATATCCCGAACAAAAGGTCGAAATTTGAAATACCACCACTGTTTTTGGATTACTGAGAGAGGTCATGACTAGTCACTAGAACTGACACCCGCTTGGATAGTAACCCCTGGCAACGTCCCGGCCTTGAATTCATCGCAAACTTGGGCCATTGTGACGAACTCAACACCTTCCTTCGTCTTCAAATACTCGATGAATCGCTCGTGCATCAGCATGACATTCGACTTGCCGCTGACCTGTGGGTGACAACTGACACAGAAGACAAACGTGTCATACTCTCTATAGAAGAAGTCGAACTGATCCTTCCACTGCACCTCAATATCTCGCGGGTTGACGAAACCGTGTGTTCCAGGACGTCTTGTGTAATTCATTGGAGCTGTAGCATATTCAGAGCCTGGCTGGAATCAACTTTTAGGGATAACTTACGCCAGTCGTCCACATTCCATGATCCTGGAATCTCGACCACCTTGGTGGGCTTGTGCTCCTTCATAGGCACCATCCAAGTATCTGGATCCTTAGAGTAGTCCGTATGTACCAAAGACTCCTCGGGAACATCCGCGACGTAGTATGGTTGACAATCATGATGCAACATGGAGTGATCGTACTCGATCCCGAAGTCTTCCAAAATGGACATGGTCTTCGGACTGACTTCCCAAGCAGGGGCGACCCAGCCTTTTGGATACTTGCCAGTGAACTCCTGGTAAACTTCGATTGACTTGGCCATGACTTTGCGCTCTTGCTCTTCGGTCAGGAAACGTACGAACTCGTGCGTGTAACCATGCAACCCGCTGAGAATACTGTCAGCAAACCGACACAAGACACAAGGGGGCCCTGCTGAGCAACTTATACATCTCGTGCCCTGCGTCTCGAACCTTTGCCATCTGCTGAGGAAAGGACAGAATAGTGTGGCTAGGCATGTACCAAGAAGCCTTGATATTGTTGTCGGCAAAAAGCTTGAGCATACGATCGGTACCGACGTTCGCCCCAAAAATGCCCCTAGAGACATCAGTTGCACCAATCTTGGTTCCATCTCTAGTGTTGATCCTACGGACCGTCTTGAGTCAGATGTTGTCTACGATCCATGATGATTCTGACGATGACTGACCAGTTGGCGCAGGCGTCAACGTCGACCGCGTATGTGACGAGAGCTCTTTTCGGGGGCATATTGAGGCGATAGTCCAGGTCTAATTAGTATCTAGGTAGTGCTTGTTTGAATCGATGGGGCGAGTAAGCAGCTCTGGAGCAGAGTGACGAACATCCACATACATCACTTTTTGGCATGCCATCTTATCATTGTTATATAAGTCACTATCACTATCATTGATGGAATGATGGGCAGAGTGGCTGTCGGAGTTACCCTTGTGACTTCTTCATGTTGACATTGTATAACCGGGTGTGGGAGAGCGGGGCTAGGACGGCTTAGTCCGACATCCTCATGTCCGGTGACTGTTCGTACAACCGGGCGCGTCGCTTTCTTCCAGGCAATTGGCTCAAGCAAAGATCTGCAAATTGTCAACACGGGGTAAGGGGCGCAATGACTCCTCGCCAATTGAGCGGGGGCGCAGATATTATTAGGCGGTGCGTGTCAGCCCACGGCACGGTACTCGAATCCTCACCAAAGCGATTCAACTTTCGCAATGGAAGGCTCTCTGTCTTTTGCTGGACGTCAAATAGCTATCACGGTTAGTCTCACAAGAATCAGGCTCGGAAATCTCTGCTAATATCTTGCAGGGAGGGTGCTCTGGAATTGGACTCGCAGTCGCCAAAACACTGCTCGCACTCGGTGCAACTGTGTACGTGGCAGACATCTGTCCTCAGGCTCCGAAAGAGCTCCAGAACGAAGACAAATGCCATGTCACTCTTCAATGCGATGTAACGAAGCGACAAGATGCCCAAAAGTTCTTGGATTCCATACCTGGACGGCTCGATGGACTCGTGAACTCGGCGGGTGTCGGCAGCTGGGAAGGTAAGATCGGAGCCGACACCATGTATCAGAGAACAATGGACATCAACGTGACGGGGACTTGGAACATGTCAACCGAAGCCATGAGTCGCATGTCAATCCAAGACGACATTGAGGTACCAGGTGTTATTCCTGGAGCGGTACGCAGCGTCGGGCAGGGGTCAATTGTCAATGTTGGAAGCGGAGCATCTCGTCGCGGCGTACCTGGGATGGCTGCATATACAGCTTCGAAACACGCTGTTCTCGGGCTGACTAGGTCGTGGGCGCGAGACTTTCCTAAACTACGCGTGAACTTGGTCGCTCCAGGTAAGTGCTCGCATACACGCCTCCTACGTGATAAGCCATTGACACAGTTAGGTGCCACTGATACTCCGTTGGCTGAAGCTATTGTTGCTGGTGCACCTCAAGATGACCCTAGCGTTGCCGTGGGTAAAGCACAAGTTGGTTTGATACCCAAAGGAAGGATGGCGTATGCAACTGATATTGCGGATGCCATCATTTTCCTTCTTTCAGATTGGTCAAGCTTCATTACTGGCCAGTGCCTGCCAGTGAATGGTGGGAATTCGTAGTACTTGTCGACTATGCGTGCTAGGGAAGCGATTTCAACTTGACCAACATGCCTCAACAATGATGCGATCACCTAGACTAGTTGGAACATGAGTGAGAATTCATTAAAGAAAAATTCTAGCTCACCGTTCCAGTGAATATGCACTTTAGTGTTGCAATCAGCAACTTATCCCTCAGCACGTGCCTTTCACCGTTCATAGAATAAGCTAACAGTTGTAAGTAGCAATGAGCCGAGATTGGACCCCCTCTCCACCAATAACCTGACAGTCCAGTCTTGGTCACAAACTTTCTGGCTGGTAGGCCGAGTACTGGGGGTTTTGCAATTCTATTGTAGCTGGCGGCTTTCGGCTAGACTGACTGGATTCAATACAGCAAATTACCCCTGTGTACATGATGAGATATTGAAGCTGAAGGCAATTCGAAGCCTACTCTTCTACCAGATGCGGCTGCAGGCATCAATGGTTTGCTTACTGGCCCACCACCCTAGGCTCGCTTCAGGCATCACTTCAACAAATCAAAGCAACAACATTGAGGCAAGTAACCGGATGAGGCAATCGCACTTGAACAGTAAATCTGCTGCCACCATTTAACTAATGCGAACCGCACATCGGGGCAAAGCTATCAACTACTCTGTATCTGATATCTCGCCCCTCATCAGCAGTTGCAGAAGTCGGACTTAGCCGCGCATGATAGTACCTGTCGGACTTGGCCCTTAGCTTTCCCGCACTTTCTCGGCCGTACTCAACCGGCATGTGCAAGAGCTGCAGACTCTTGGGAGCTGGGAGTGAATCACTATACAGAACCAATCTTTCATCTTCTGCTACTCGCTGTCTGGTCAACTGTGTTCGTGTTGGGCAGTTGGTAATGACCACTTTGACAACACCATGGACCTCAATGACAAGACCCCAAAGGTTGCCATTGTTACTGGCGCCGCAGTTAGTGCTCTTCCTGGGACCAGATCAACGTATTTATTGTTAATGAGGATCTTAGTCCGGCATTGGAAAAGCTCTCGCAACGGATCTCGTCTCCAAAGGATGGCATGTTGCGTGCTGCGACATTGCAAGCGAAAATGGCGAGGCCGTAGCAGCTGAACTCGGCGAGAAGGCAGTCTTCTACCAGCTCGATGTATGCGACTACGATGCCCAAGCGAATGTTTTCAGCCTGGTATGGGATAAATGGGGTAGACTGGATGCCTTGCTGGCCAACGCAGGACATTCGGATCGTGGCTCAATTTACATCTTTGATCATAGAGGAAAGGATGAAATACCGCCAAAACCGGAGCTGAAATCAATCAAAGCATGCTATGAGAGCTTTTTGTATGGGGTTCAACTTGCGATTCATTTTATGCGGAGGAACGAAACGCCTGGTGGACAGATTGTCGCGACGTCAACCATCGCATCCATTCATCCACACCAGACGTTTCCCGAGTATTGCGGTGCTAAAGCTGCAGTAAGTAGCTAATGATTTGTGTCATCGGCCGTAAAAAAGTTGGTTGACGTTCAACAGATAAATCAATTTGTGCGAACGGCAGCACCGCTACTGAAATTGGTTTGTGCTTCTTTTTGTTTTTCAGCCTCCAAGCAGCATCGACTGACCGTCCGTAGAAAGAAAATATCACCATGAATGCCGTGCTACCCGGTATCGTGATAACTGGTGCCGTTCCCCAGGCTTCCATCGACGCCACTAGGCCAGAGCAGTAAGACCACCCTGTGATTTCATGCATGATGACTGGAAGGTTGACCCTTCGTCGCAGCATTACACCTGTTGAGACGGTGGTAAGAGCATACAATTTGTGCCTGGACCAACGAGATTTGAATGGTCAACTCATCGAGTGCTCAGCTGATAAAACTATGTTCTTGTCCGTGCCGGAGATGGCGAACGGCACGACGACGAAGAGAGCTTGCACAGTGTGGGAACCCCTGTTCAAGGCAAAGCATCACGAGAGGTCTGGGCTGCCAGATTCCATATCATAATCTATCGTACAAGACTTGCATTGTCCTGCATGTATGAATACATAGCACGGTACGCTGGAGCAATCAGCATGGGGTTGGGCCCATCACTCCCATTGAGAGAGCTCAAGAATATCTCTTCATGTCCTCATGTGACTAGTTGCGAAAACCTCGTGATTGAACGATAGCGTGCCGCCGCCTTCAAAACATTCTGATAGGATTTCATGTCACAGACCGCGATAAACCCCAATTCGAATTGAGACATGTATGTTGAGGTATCTAAGCTTCCCGAGAGCAGCTTTCCGTTCTTTCGGCGTGAGTAAATATCATGATGTTTACCCCGGAAGGAGGCAAGTAGACGTTCAGCGGAGGGAATGAATTTCTTGAGACATCGATTTTAGTAGCGTTGTTAAAATTGAACGATCATCAAAGTAAGGCTTGAACACCGGCATGTTTCTCGCTGTATTTCCTCTATCATTTTCATACGAGTGTCACTTAACACTCATTTTGCCCTTATATGCCCACCAGTCTGCCCGTGCTAAGCCTAATCTGATGGTGTGACGCAGTGTAACAATCCGTTCTGTTCACTGGTTTTCAATTGGCCACCAGTTGCAGCAACGCCTTGCTGTCGCAGTGCGACAGGTTTGCTGACAGCAGGCATGATCACTCAGGCGCCAAAAGGAATTCGGTCTCCCACAGCCCAAATGGCTGGCCTTGAACCTCTTCCTTCTTCATCCTGTTCATCTTTCTTATCCTGAACCTGGAATTTCAATCCACCTGCCTATCAACTTTCAATACTTCGAAACGCTTAATGACTGCCTAATAACAAAGCTCGAGCTTGTCCTCGTCCCTGACCGCTCACTCAAAATGTCAGGCCTCGAAGGGCTTGGAGCCTTGGGCTTGGCATGTAGCATATTCCAGGTCATAAGCTTCGGTCGCGAGACTCTGAGTCTGGTCAAAGACGTTTATCGCCATGGAACCCTCGATGAATCACTCATGGACAAGAGCACCGCTATACAAGGAGTGGCGTCCGACATTATTGCCGTGGACATCCCGCAACCGGGCAAGCAAGAACGAAAACTGGTAGATGTCACGAAGAAATGCACCGGGGTTGCAAGAGGTACGGCTTATGAGAGTCTATGGCCACTAGAAAACCCGAAGTGCTTCTGACAGCAACACGCAGACTTGCAAGAGGAGATAGCCTTTCTCGTCGGGCATAACGGGAAGGGCAGCCTCCGCACAACACTGAAAATAGCAGCCAAGGCGAATTGGCGTAAAAGGCGGCTCGAGAGGATGGAGAAAGATCTGGATGATTCGGAGCAGCTGATGCACACGACTTTGCTGGCCTGGGTATTGTAAGTCACTCCACACTCAAGTCTACATTCCTCCGAGGGAAGGCAGACTCCAATGGGACGTTGATACTCGAGCTACATCACCTTAAAACACGGTTAAATCAGTATTTAATACGGGGGGGTTTGTTGTGTCACCTTGGGGATCTTGCGCCCGTTGCTTGGTAATTTTATCACAACTCACTGACATAATTTTTCTCTTCAGTAAATCATTAAACAGAGCAAGCATAGACATCGATTCTCTCGGGCAAGAATTGCGGAACTTCGTGATCAAATATCAGCAGGGTTCCAGAACAACCTCAGAGCTCGTGTCTAAAGAAGCTCTTCAGGTGCGAGAGGTCATCGCACGAGAGTCCGAAAAGACCGAGAAGGGCCTCCGGGCCCACATCACCCAGACTTCCGCAAAATTTGAGCAGAAATTCGAAAGATATGTCGAGCAGTCCAGCATAGAACAGATTCGAGAGAAATTGCTCAAGAGCCTCAAGTACCCCGGCATGAACGAACGAGCCAACCAGGTCGAGGATGCCCATGAACGAACTTTTCGCTGGCTTTTCGAGGATGGAGACGAATGGAGCGAAAGTGGCGAGGAGAGATCCCACAGCAGCGGATCTGATGAGCTGGACGACGATGCGCGGAGCGAACATGGCTACACAGACGATTCCTGGGAAGATGTCACGGATCAAGAATACCCGCCCGAAATGGTCTGGAGCAGCTTCACCGACTGGTTACAGTCGGATCTCAGCATCTACTGCATTATGGGTAAGCCAGGATCAGGCAAATCGACGCTTACTAAGTTTATACTGTCCGAGCCTCGCACCAAGATTGCCCTCGAACGCTGGCGCCCCGGCGCAATCATAGCGAGCCATTATTTTTGGCGCCCCGGAGCTCGGCTGCAGCGTAGCATCAAAGGCATGCTCTGTTCACTTATCCACCAGCTGATAATGTCCATGCCTAACGCCTTGAGTTTTGCCTCAGTCAACGTGACCGGACTAAATCAGAAAGATGACGAGACAGATTGGTCGGTCCCGGAACTTGAACGATTGTGCATAGGGTTGATACGAGATTGCGGTCAGCCGATGTGTCTCTTCATTGACGGCCTTGATGAATGCGGCACAGAAGACAGCCACCAAAATCTTCTGGCGCTTATTGAGAAAATCATCTTGCTCGACGTCAAATTCGTCGTCTCGAGCCGAGATGAACCTATCTTTGAAAAGCGTTTCAGACACGAGCCACAGCTTCGTGTGCAGGACCTGACAGCTGGGGATTTATACGTCTATGCCAGAGACATGCTTCCTCTTGGCCTCGAAATTGACCTCCACAATGAGCTGGTAGAGAAAGCCGAGGGAGTGTTTCTCTGGCTGGCTCTAGCGGGCCAGAGCATCAACAGAGGCCTGACGAATGCAGATTCCCTCACGGAACTTCATGCGAGGGTTAAAAGCTTGCCTAAGGGCTTGGAACATCTGTACGAGGACATGTGGGAAAGATTAAACGAAGACCACAAGCTGTACCGAGAAAGTGCCGCTCTCTATCTCAAGATCGCCATGGGCTTTTATGACGAACAGCTCATGTGCCCCCGTATTCGCAACCACCTGGAGATGATGCTTGCCTCACACCCGAAGACTCATATCGTATTTGCAAAAACGCCTCCCATTTCGATTGGCCAGTTGCTGAAGGAATTTGACCACAGAGCTGAGGTCCGGTGCGCGGGGCTTCTAATTCGGCACAAAAGTACAGAGACACTCCCGAGCTCGACGAAAAAACTGGAAGAAACGGAAAGGGCACTTCACAAATATGTGATATATGGCCCGATCTTTCGGTTTATTCACCGGAGTGCATTCGATTTTTTAGCCTATACTGATGCGGGGCAGGACATTCTCAAACACGATGGGACTTCTCCGGCGGACATCACCGCAAGAATTATCAGGGCCAGTCTCAGGGCCAATGAGATCCTTGATTCAATGCTACGAAACAAAATGGAGAAACATGTATTCGAGGAATACTTGTGGACGAAAGACCTGCAGGGTTACCTTTCCGACCTGTCCCGCCCCGAAGCTGTCTCCGACGACGCTGCTAAAGAACTCTTTTCGCTCTGCTTCGAGCAATACATTTCAAAGCGTCTTCTGTTTTTCCACGAAGGAATACATTCCACACGAATCGCAAGCTTCTTTGGACTTGCTTCTCAGTACCCCAGCTTGAATCGCTACTCCATTTCCATCATCGACAAGCAATGCATTGGAAGTGCTAGTAGGTCAGCGGTCATGTTGTCTGTGGTCTTGTGCGCTGGCGAAAACATCATCGGACGCCATCGTTACGACCTCCCTGTTGAGCTTCTTCGATGGTTGCTTAGCCTACCTGGGGTCGATGTCAATGTCAAGTGCCCTTTGATCCTATTAGCCTCGGCCAGAGAAAATAATGAGCGGTATACACTTGAAGAGACGAGTCCGCTTGACCACATCAAAGTATCGCCGTTCATTGGGCTCCTAGCCACGGCTCTGCTGCATCTGGCTTGGAACCTGGGTGGAGCGAATGAGGACCGAAGTGAAGCAATGCGATTCATACAATGTGTTTCCAATTTTATTTACCACGGAGCGGACCTATGTAGTACATTGTTCCTATACTTCGTTCCGACGAATCCTTACCGGGGTTATCCGGGTGGAGTGTATCCAGTGTCCAGGTTTTTCCTGATCGCTGATTACTGCTACTTGGATTGGCGGACAACTTGGGCTAAGGATGGCTTTGTGGGCATTGTGGCCCTTCAGGCATCCACGGTGATACAGAAAATGGTAACCAAATTGACCAGAGCGAGATTGGCGGACTTGGGTGGCGAAGCCTCTGAGAAAGTTGACCACGAATTCCAGGAACTAAACAAAGAGATAGAATTTCTTTCCCAGCGGTGTCAACGGTTTAGCGATGAAGCAAACGATCGAGTAGTTGCCTTTCTTCAACCGTCTGGGAACCTGATCGACTTGCCATATCGACAAGTAAATGAACAGGACTCTGCACATCTCATGGAGATGATCTGGGAATGCTTGGTTGGAAACGGAGGAGATGCAGATGAACTGGAAGACGAGTGTAGAACGGTGCTGGCGAGGTGTCCATTTTCCAGCGTCGGCTTCAAGGATTACATGAGAGAGAAGGGGTGTTTTGACGAGCAATCTGCTCGAGAGCTCACAATGGAGTATTGGAAAGGTATGAAAATTCCCCTGGCCGCATGCACGTTCAAAGTTTTAGCAGTAGCTGATGACGGGTCGCAAATTCCAGAGATTAATTGTGATGTATGAAAATACTGGTTCGACAGTGAGGGCAACATGAACTGATATGTTCATAGTCTAAAGTTCCAGGTTCAAGAGGTATAACCAGTCCGTCGTTGAAATTGTGCAATCGTCATATTCCATAATCAAAATGACAGGGCCTGGTTTAAGGCTGGAGAGTAATTGGCCTGAAGAAGGACTTGATTTTTCATCACTGCACATGCCCGAAAATCCTGTAATGCTTTAAGATCGTAACTGCTATACCTGTGCAGCAACAGTCTGAGCCTTCCTACTAACCAACCTCACCCACCTCCTCCGCCTCCACTCGCCCCTCCGGCCCTCGCCCTCCTCGCCCTCCTCCCAGCTGAGGTTCTTCCGCCTCAGCAGCTGTCCCGGGGCCCCATCAAGCCCGTCCTCCCGCACCATGCCGGCGGCGCCCTCGCTCTCGTCATACATGTCATAGACCCAGCGCTCGCCCTCGGTCTCGACCTCGACGCCCGTGATGATGCGCTCCTCGACCCACTCGCGCGACCACAGGTCGAGCGCCCACTTCTTCTCGCTCCACTCCCAGCCCTCGGGGGCGCGCACGTCCTCGAAGAAGCGCGTGCCCGCGGGCCGCTCGCCCGTGATGCGCGCCTGCGAGAGCGGGTCGTACGGGGAAGGCGAAAACACCCACGGCTCCCACTCGCCCGACCCGCCGGCGTCCAGGTGCTGCAGCTCGAAGATCTCGACCTCGCGCGTCTCGGGCGCGCTGTCCAGGATGATGTCACGCGCCACGAACGACTCCAGCGCCGTCTGCGCCCGTTCCCCTTGCCGCCCTGCCTCGCCGCCTGGTGCGAAGTAGGCCTGCTGCTGTTCCTGCAGGGCCTTGGCCACGGCCGGGTGCGAGGACACGACCACGGCCCAGCCGGCGCACAGGGCGATGGCGCGCCAGGGTAGGAGGTGCGAGGCGATGGTCATGAAGAGGGTGAGGGCGAAGAGGCCCACGAAGAGGGCGGAGCTGAGGGCCTCGTCGCTGAAATTGGTCTTGGGCACGAGCCCCGTGACGATCCGGTCGTGGCCGCGCGAGAAGTCCTCCATGCTGTTCTGCAGGTCACGCATGTTCTTGAAGAAGTCACGGCTGAGCTCTTTGACTGGCTTGACCGTCCTGGCCGGTGCCCGCGGTGGGCCATGTGGGCTGTAGCCTAGCTCGCGGACCTCGGGCGGGTGCCTGGCCATAAAGGATGGGATGAAGACGCCCACGAGCAGCAGGGCCATGGGCAGGACGGTGAGCAGGTACGGATCGAGGCAGACCAGGGTGTAGACCGCGAGGAATGAGAGGGTATGGCTCGGGCGGCGCCAGGAGAGCAGTTTAATAGCGCGCGATTGAAACTTGAAGACGACACCGATGCGGGCGTTGAAGCGGCGGAAGTTGTTTGACATGGTAGGCAGGGTGAAGGGCGGGCGCGATGCTTCATAGCTGCTGAAGGAATCGGTAGGGATGGGTGTGTTCTGGATCTCGCCGCCGGGCGCAAGATCAGTCGGCATCATGGAGGAGAGGAGCCTGCGGGAGGTGCATCTCCAGTTAGATGGATGGTACTGATGATGTTGACGTATACAAGAGGAAGTGAATGATGGGAGTAGGCCAGGGCCTCACTTTTCGAGCATTTTGTCTTGCATGTTGGCTGAAGCCGACAGCGCAGACAGACCGCGCCATCTGCGTCCCTTGGTCTTCTCCTTCTTCACCTGCTCAGGCGAGGAGATATTCTGCGCATCGGCATCGGTGTGTGTGCTTCCGCCGGCATCGTCGTCGGTCTGGACGGCGTTGAAGAGGAGGTCATCGGTAAAGTTGTCCATCTTGGCCAACCCCGGTTCTCCGGATTCGAATCACTACCGACGGTCAGGTCTCATTCTGAGTCAGTGTGCTGGGTTTGCGCTCAGATGCGCGAGCGCAGTAGATGCGATGCGATAGGTTGTTGCTGCTGGTGGTTGATGTGGACAGCAGTGAGACGCGTGTTTAGACGTAGACAGCTGACGTCTGAGCTTGATCAGTGCAGTTCGGCATGTGACGCAGCCCACTGCAGCGCAATGCAACACAGGCGGGCTGAGCTGGTGGAGGGGACGAACGACCGCGGGCCGCTCCCGCCTGGCTAGGTGGCGTTCTGCGTGACGAGAGCGGGGGAGCTGTCCAAGGACAGTACATAGACTACATACAGCACCATTTGTGCGCATGTAGCTCAGTCTACCTGAATGAGACGCATGATACATTTGGCTCACACTTGTGAACCTCAGGTCCAATGGCAAAGCCGCCCACCCCGCCCTTGAGCTGGGCAAGATCGGATGTCGATACTTTCGAAACCGACGGCAACGAGATCCCGCGCTTAAGGTTCACACGGCTGGTAAGACCCTTGCCATGTCGTCATGCTGCCCTTCATTTGGGAAGATTCGGGGGGGGGGGGGCAATGAAGATGTCAGATCGTAGTGGTGGAGTAGAGAATTCCATCAGCACATTAGACCAGCTGAGTTGCTAGATGGACCCTTACTGGGCACCGACAGCTCCAGAGGTGCAATGTGTCAAGCGACCTCTAAGATGCGGCCAGTGCAGATGAAGGATGGTAAGCTGGCCCGTCAGCATTATCGGTCCAGAAGATTGCCAATTTCCACGCCAGAGGCCGGAATGCGAGCAGCGCAGGCTACGATAGACTATGTTTCAAGGAAAAAATAAGCCCGCCTCTAATGTTATTAGCCCCTTTTGATTTTGCCAATCTGGGGAAGAAGACCCTCCGAGCAGGCCAAACCATTTCGGTAATCCCATGTGTCCAATTGCCACGGAGATTTCTTATGGGCCACGGGCATCAAAAGCTGCATTCATTTTCTGGCAACGAGCTGAATGCTGGGGAGTACGCATTCAGGCGCATACTTTACCGCCCAGTGACATTCGTATCAACATCACAGCCCTTGATTGCGCGTGACAATGATGTGATGTGATGTGGGTGCAATGCGAGAGCGAGCGTCTTTTCAAGCCAGCGATCCATGGTCAGTGCAGTCTCTATCGTTCGTGTCCGGGGATTAGGCACTGGCGACGCAAATGCCGTTTGTGATGGGCGATGGCCGGATCCGTGCTGGTGGATGGCTGGGGCGCTGCTCTGTTGGAAGGCAAAAAAGGGTCCCTGACTCTTCTGGAAGGATTGGTTGGCCTTGGTTGTCCGGCTCGATCCAGGTTGATGGATGAACGGGTTCTTAATGCGTACCCACTCCTGGTTGCCCCGAAGATGCCCAAGGACCCGTCGTGCCGTGCTGCCCGCGTCTTGTTGGCGACATATACCAGCCCTCTTATATAGACAACAGCAACCAGCAACCCGCAACCATGCAAAACAGAGACGCGGTTCTGCCAGTCGCGGCGGCGGCTGCGGCCCGTTTCAGAGGCCGCTGTTTATGCTGGAAGCAGTGGAAAACAAATGGCCCTGGGGCCTGTCTTTAGCTGGCTCGATTATTGTGTGCTGTCACATAGGTGCGTGATTGTCCTCGGCTGCCCTTGCTTGACAAGTCCTTGACGTCGGCGAGGCTCAGATGTATCCTCGTCTGGTTGTTATTGTTCTGTGCGCGCGGTAGTGTTGACTCTGGGCGTCTGATGCTACTGGATCGGATGCCGCTCAGATGAGGGTGGGGGCCAGTGACACCCTTGCCCCCTGCTGTCAGACATTTGATGCTGCTCTTCATCAAAACTCAGAGTTCGGTCTGTGGCCTCCATGCTCAGGTTGTTCCCTGATGGTGCAGGCCAGTGAGGATGGGACATGATTTCCCAGCTGATGAATGACCTTCTGTCGTATTTTGAATTGCCCACAGCATTTAATAGCGTAGCACTGTAGAGAATGACAGGCCGACTTGGCTTAACAAGTGCGCGTGCGCGTGCGTGTACGTGCGAGAGTGTCCCTGCGTCTGTCTGTCCGCCCGTCCGGCCGTATGCAGGAACAAAGAAAGAGGCGGCCGGTCGATAAATCGAGAAGGCGTGGCAGGTTGCAGATGCAGGTACTTTGGTGCAGCAGATTTGAGTGAGTGCTTGATTGGGCAGGATGGCTGGTTGCTGAGTGCATTTGAAATTCAATACTAACATACTAGAATATCATCCCATGCTATAGCACCCATCCGGCACAAATAACAACAAAAAGGCAGCAACAGGCATATTGGAAGTGAGTGAGTGGCTGGAGTGGTCGAGTGGCCACATCTGGGGGCCCAGTTTCTGAGGGAACAGTCCGGATTTTGGGTTTTGGTATTGTTGCCTGCCAATCCGAGGCTCTCTCTCTGCATGTCTGCATGTGTGTGAGTGTCTCTTGCCTCTTTTGCTTCTCTCTGGTCTGGCAGGTGGAGATGGGTGGGCAGGTGGGGTAGGGGAGCTGCTGGGTCAGTTTTGCTTGTTGGGTTGGGCAGTACCAAGGTACCCAAGGTATCAACCAATCTGCGAAGGTACCAAGACTCACAGATGGCCCCAGCTCTGCACCTGTCTGGAGCCCACTGCAGAAAGATAGATAGGTGTGAAAGGTGCAAGTGCAGTGCAGTAGAGTGCAGTGCAGTCCATGCCCTCCTGCCATTATTGAATGTATGTAGCCCACATCCAACCTGCTCACAGCCAGGAGCTCAATGCTTCACGCTTCACGGTGACAAGGGAAAGGAGTGAGTGAGTGCGTGAGTGAGAGAGACTACGAAGTACCTAGCGTGACTGACTCCCGTGGTCTAGCTGTGCACGCTGTGGTCTACCTACACTGAACTAACTGCCTGCCCTTTCAATTCATTCGTTCACGTTCACCTTACCCTTCTCCGACCTCTCCAATCTCACCTGGCCTTCCTAGCCGTGTGCCCTGCCCTACCCTGCCCAGCCAGCCTGCCTGCCTGCGTGCCTTACCTCACCTTCCCTTCCCCATTTTCACTGGCACACAGACACTCTGACGTGCAACCAACAACGACCCAAGTCTGCCTCCTCCAACCAAATCCCCTTTCAATTGCCTCCCTCTTCCCTCTCCTTATTGTTCCTCTTGTTGACAGCAAAATACGACCCCCTTCCTCTTCACCATCAACGCGCACACTCTCGGAATGCGGACGGGATGTGGTAGCCCTGCCCTCACACTCAGATCCTCATCGGACTGAGTCCGCTTTTCGCGACCAGGGACGAGGGAAGGAAAATATCGCCTCCTTCCCCATCCAAAGCCCACACTTCCCTGCCGGGGTCGCATCGTTGCGGGCATAGCGCTTCAATTGACCGCCCGCCCACCTGTCGCTTGAAGCACTCAAACTCCATCGTGGCAGCGTGGCCCCCGCCCACTTGTGTGCTGCAGCAGCAGCAATTACTACGCCGCTTGCCCGACCGCCTCCATTCGATTCGCCTCGCCTCGCCTCGCCTGCGACTCGACCCAACTTGACTGTCTCGACACGCATCCCAACCCCCCATCTCCATCCCCATGAGACGGGAGCACAAGGTCCCTGCTGGTCCGCGACCAGCAACCGGCAACCAGTCCCCTACGCGGTATGTGAGCCAGCCTCTACAGTACAGTACACACAAGCACGCACACACTCTCTCTCTCGCACGCAGACAGACAGATAGACACGCAGATACGCACCCTCACGCACCCTATCCACCCAGCCCACCTTACCCTGTGCCCTGCGCGCTGCAGTCTGCAATCGTACGGTGTCGGTTGTCTACTGTTCAACGCTACAGCGTGGGCAGCACGCTGCACAAGCCCACCGTCCACCTGTTTCTCGCCCGCCCTATTGACATGCAGCAATGACATGACACGACCCTTTCCCGCCCCTTCACCATGGCACCTGTCACTGACAAGCTTGCCCTTTCTTGTTTCAGGAGCAGGCAACCCAGCAGAGAAATCCCCAGTCCCACCAAACGCCTCCACTCGAAACGCTCTTCCATCAGCGGCGCTCCAATGCTCAGCGCTTCCTCCCACAACAACCACTCTCTGTTTTCCTTCGGCCGCAGTGGTACCGTTCCCAGCCCTGCTCCGCTAGAACAAGACTCCCCCGCCGGCCAGTACGACTTTCTCCCCCAGGTCAGCTTCGATGATCTCCAGAGCAGCTTAGAATCCGCCTCGGGCGACTTCACGTTGACCCAGTTTCCCTCCCCCACGGGTGAGGGAAGCATCTTGGAGTCCCAGGGGCTGGCAGCCAGCAGCGCTCGGGACGAGACCAACGTCTCACACAACGGCACAATGACGCGCATCGCCATTCAGCACGGAAACCAACAGCCCCAGCCCCAATCGCAGGCCCCGACGCACACGGGACGGTCACGGACGGGCTCAATCCTCAGGAGGCCCAGTGTGTCTAATCGACAGACAAGCATCTCCTCGACTGCGTCGAACATGTCCACAGCCAGCGATAACAACAGGGCTGGGGGCACTATCCGCCCACGGCGTCAGAGCCAATACCCTCCAGTCTCAAATAGTCATATTCCAAAACAGCAGCCGAGGAAGTCAATCGGCTCCGGCGTTTTTGACTCCGCGGACTCGAACAATGGTCCCTCTGTGCGTCGGGTCCCCAGCCAGACGACGAATGTGGATCGGACTGGGCTGGACTCATCGCGGTCATCAGTCGACGGAGGGAATCATTACATCGATACGTCTCGCAATATGACTGCATCCAGAGCCGCAAAGCTCAAGACAATCTCGCAGCCTCCGCCGCCTCGGTCAATCAACACAAATGCGTCCACAGACAGCAATACCTTGTCGGTCGATCAGCATAGGTCTTCTACGGGATTCCCGAGCTCCCCCAGGGGTAGCAAAGCGGGATCCAGTACTCCTGGGTCAGGATCAAGGCGAATGTCGATAATGCCGGGCCAACAACCACATGGCCACCATGCGTCTGGACTCGGTGCAAGAACCGTGAGCCCCACTGATGCGCAACGAATGAAAAGACTCTCCATCATGCCCAATTCCGCTAACAGCTCCATGATCTTGGAGCCCCTGCCTCCTCCCCCGTTGAATGAGCCCCGACCATCTTCACGATCACCCTCGATGCTTCCACGAAAGACCGCGACACCCTCCTCGCAGAGGACGACGCCCGACCCCAATAGAAAATCGTATAGTTCCGGGATGTCTATCGGGTCGACAACAAGCTTCAACACTGTGAGGACGTCGACAGGGTCGCTGCAGCCTCGCGCTCCGCCGACTGGTGGCTCGCGTTTACCGGCTCCCAAGTCCGTACCAAATCTCCCGGCTTCCGGGCAGGATGAACCTGAAGACGTGCCTCCCGTGCCCGCGATCCCGAAAGCCTACGAATCGCCGAAGGACTCGCCCGCTGAGCTGCACTTCTTGGACAAGAAAAAGTCGAACCTTACACTTGACGCGAGTAGTATTCGCAGCACGTCAACAGGAAGTCTCTCTGGTGCACCGGTGCAAGAAGCAACGCCAGTGCAGCGCAAGCCGAGCACCCGGAAGATGGTCCCAAGAACAAGTCAAGATCCGGAGAAGAAGGCACAACCAGTGCAGCAGCCCAGGAAGAACTTCAAATCCATGAACTTGCCGCCACTCACCGTGGGACCCCTGAGCACCCCGACGGTGAACAAGATCGCCAGGTTACAGAATGACCAAGGAGGCCAGGCGCCAAGAAATATCAGCTCCCCGCCGGCGCGGCAGACGGCGAAGACCCCGACCACGCCAATGACGGCCTCGAGGAGCACCTTCTTCTCGAAGAATCGGATGGAGAAGGAACTTTCCCACTTCCGCAGCAGCAGTTCTGTTCATCAAAGCCGGATAGAGAGCCCATTGGTCCCCGACACCAGTAGCTCGGAATCCATCAGCGGCAGTATGATGAAACCCTCCGTCTCTCCTTACCTTTCCTCGTCCGTCCCCAAAGATGGGGCATTCGAACAAGCATACTTCAAGAGGTCTCAGACCGGCACTGAAATACGCGACACAGAAGAAGTTACAAACAACAATCCGATTGTCCAATCAAAACCATCAGGGCCCCGAGCCCAAAGGCAGCCATCCAAATCCATTTCGAAACCCCCGATCATGGCGACTCCCAAGTCCCCCGTACAGCAGTCCAGCCCCGAGGAACCGACCACACCGTCATCGATGACCACTTTGAGAAGGAAGCTGAGTTTGTCTTGGAAGCGCAGTAATTCCAAAGCGGCCACACATGCGCAGGAGAAGTCCGCCGACAACGTCAAACACGACGCGATGCCACCGCCTCGACTTCCGGTCTCAGCTACAACGGGGAATATGGCACACAAGTCCGGGAGCCCGAGCATATCATCCAAGCCGAGCTCGTCTTACCTCGATTCAAAGAGGCGGAAGAGCTCTGCGTCGAGCCTCAATGCTGTTATGGCTCACGAGAGGAAGCGAAGTGATGCTACGCAGGCCACGACGGTCAGGACAGTCAAAAACACTGCTGACGGTGCAGGAAACCGCCCAGCCGTGTCTCATTCCTCTTCGGTCATGCACAAGTTTCTCCGATCTAAGCCATCAGCAGCTTCCGTACGGCATCCCGATGTTTGGACCGCCGATCTGGATAAGGATGATTTAATAGCAGAGGAAGAGATGAAGAAGTTGGGCAGCCGACGCAAGGAAACGGAGCTTGCGGCGAAGACACTAGATGCCCTGCGTAAACGCGCTACGCCCAAGGAGCGTGTCAGCCCTCAAGACGCGATCCGCATAGCGATGCTCAACATCTACGAACGAGGCGAGATCATCGATTACAACGATATCTACTTCTGCGGCACACAAAATGCGCAGAAGGTTGTTGGAGACCTCAATTCAGATGTGCCGAACTTTGGCTATGACGATGAACGTGGGGATTACAGCATCGTCACAGGAGATCACCTGTCCTACCGATACGAGATCATTGATGTTCTTGGAAAGGGAAGTTTTGGTCAGGTCGTGAGGTGTATTGACCACAAGACTGGTGCTCTTGTGGCTGTCAAAATCATCAGGAACAAGAAACGGTTCCACCAGCAGGCCCTTGTCGAAGTCAACATTCTGCAAAAGCTTCGCGAATGGGTAAGCAATCTTGTGCCGGCTTGTAGAGAGAATGATTAGCTAACCTTCACTAGGATCCGCAAAACAGGCACAGCATGGTCAACTTCACACACAGCTTCTACTTCCGTGGGCATCTTTGCATTTCTACGGAGCTTTTGGATATGAATCTTTACGAATTCATCAAGGCGAATGCGTTCCGCGGCTTCTCCTTGAAGATGATCAGACGTTTTACGAAGCAGATGCTCAGTTCTCTTAACCTCTTGAAGCAGCACAAGGTCATTCATTGTGATCTCAAACCCGAAAATATCCTTCTACGGCATCCCTTGCACACAGAGATCAAGGTCATTGACTTTGGGTCAAGTTGTTTCGAGAACGAGAAGGTGTACACCTATATCCAGTCCCGATTTTATCGATCACCCGAGGTTATCCTGGGAATGTCATACGGAATGCCCATCGACATGTGGAGTCTCGGCTGTATTTTGGCTGAGCTCCTGACTGGTGTCCCGATTTTCCCAGGCGAGAACGAGCAGGAGCAACTGGCCTGCATTATGGAGGTGTTTGGACCACCAGAGAAGCACCTTATTGAGAAGAGCACACGGAAGAAGCTTTTCTTCGACTCGATGGGCAAGCCTCGCCTGACAGTTTCCTCCAAGGGCCGAAGAAGACGTCCCTCATCCAAGACTTTGCAGCAGGTGCTCAAGTGCGACGACGAGGCGTTCCTTGATTTCATTGCCAGGTGTCTCAGGTGGGACCCGGATCGACGCATGAAGCCTGACGAGGCTATTCGCCACGAATTTATCACCGGCCAGAAAACCTCTGTTCCTGTCGCACGAGTTATGAACCGCGAGCAATCCCCGATCAAGCGTCACAACACGATTTCTACCCCACGGCCACTCCCAGAACCCCCCGCCGCAGCCACATCTATGAGGGTCAGCTCCAGCATACGACCCAAGGACCCGACGACTATCCTTGGCTCGCCTGCGAAAGCAAGTACGGGTACTGTGCCAGGGTCTAGGAGGACGTCAGGTGCAATTGGCGTACCTCCGAAGCGCACCAGCACTGGCACCACTGGCCCTAACGGCGGACCTCTGGGCAGCAATCTCCCTCGCGCTGCAGGCCGGACTGTTAGTGCTAAGCAGGATCTCGCGAGCGCAGGGGCGACCGCTGCAATGAGTCGGAGAGCTGGCGTATGAATGCGCCCCTGATTGAGAGGTGTGGTTGTGTGGAGATGTCGAGCACAGCTATAAAATGATTTGGGAAACAAAGTCCCATTAGAAGAGCGCAACTCGCATAGAGAGCTCGTTTGCTGAGGCTGAAGAGCTTGGCCTTGTCTTTTGTTTGCTGTTGGTGGCTGTCGAAATATTACGGGCATGGGATCGAAGGGAAGCACAGGCGTTCGAGTCTGAGTACGAAGGCGTCAGACACTCTACTAGAAGCTGCTGGATTACTGTTCACGTTTGTCTCAGGTTGGAGACAAACACCAGAGGAGTTCTTGTGTGGGCACCCCTCCTCCCTTTATTTCATTTATATGGCATACTCACTCTATGCGCCATATCATTACTGCTACTGCTACTACTATCACCTTTCTCACCTGATCCTTGTCCCTTTCTGGCTTTTTTTGAGTGGCTTCGTTCATTCAGAAGGGGTAGACGGGCAGAGGGGCAGAGCAGGGTCAAGTTGAGCAAATGCTGGTGGGAGGGAGGCAGGAACGCAAGGCGTCATCATACATTTTTGCGCGGGTATTCATGAGCGAGCGGGGCAGTACGAAAGCAGGCACTGCTACAAAAACATATACTTGAAAGATAATGATACCACTTCTTTGTAACCTCAACTTTTTGCATATGGCCTCGTTCGCTTTTCTTGGCCCCTCTTCTTTCTCTCCCTTCTTCTACCACCATTCGTTCACTTACCGGGTTTACTTGAACGAAGACCTTATTTATTTTATTTTGCGTCATTCCTTTTGTTTGATCTCGTCATTGGATTACCTGGATCCGATGCAATCGGGGATTGTTGATAGGACGGTGGGAGCGCCCGTCCATCTCAATATTGCCTCCTACTCTTCCTCGCCAAATATTGCTACCAAAGAAACGGCCTCCTGCCTGTGCGTGTGACGGGCCTCTCTGTGTCATCTTGGCGCAAGAGCAATAGGTCTCAACTTGGGATACGGGGAGCGAAAGGGGGGAAATACGTATAGACGGTCTCTGGAGTAGAGAACTCGGGGGCACGGTGGCTTTCGCACTTTGGGTGCCTCCCACACGGAGAGAGAGACACGAGAAGAGGATGAGCAGGAGCGTACACTTTGGAAAGGGTGGGGTTCGGACGGCTTCTTTTCCTATTGTGCTCAATGATAGATGTGACGGGGTTTAGATGGGCTATAATGACGGCGTCTGCTTTCGCAACGGGGGAATGTTGCCGGGACAGGCGAGACATATCGGTAGTGCTCAGGTCTCCTCTGAGGATGTTGGCACGGAGCGGATGATCTTGGGAGCCACGTGTCGTTCTTGTCTGGCGTGCTCTGGAGCAGAGGTCATGCATGTATGCGTAGGAGCAAGAGAGGGAGGACTACCGCCAATCAACCGCACTTCAGGACATGAATGTTCTTGCCTCTGTCTCTCGTGCAATCTGGATTGCTACGGTGTTGTCATATGGGTTGGGCGAGTGAGCATGGCGAGTTCGAGCGGGAAGAAGGAACATTAGCCGACACCTCGGCCGTGAGCATCTGCAGCTGTTGCCTGAGTCTCAAATGAGTGAGCACTTAAGGTAGTCCTTTCTCGAAGTTCGCAGTAGTCTTACAAGATTCGGTAGATGGCAAGATGTCGTTAGCTTTCTTTCCTGATCGCAGACAAAGTACGCCGGCTGGAGACCCCAGGTTCGACACCTAGGCATGAGGTCAAACATGAAGAGATAGAGCGCATAACGACTGATCACTCATCGAAGATAGGTAGGTAGCTGGCGGGCGCGCATGCGAGCTTACTCACATCGGCCCGAGGCCAAAGAGGTCTCGATAACTGGCCGTTCCGAAGTCCGACAGCTAAGGAACCCAGGCAGATACTATAAGTCTCGCGTGTATCTCTGCCAAGCTGCGCAGAGCTCACGTTAGCCAGCTGTGATCGACAGACCATGTCAACCTTGCCTCTGGACAGATCGCCGAGGCGCAAAGAAGGCATCAACAAAAGCAAGAGAAAAATAGGGCGATGGGGGATCACGCCAGCTCAGCGAACGGACTGAGGCCAAGAACTATCCTGCCTGCCTAGACAGCCAGCAGTCGATTTGATAGTCTGCTAGCCCTTTGGCCCCATTCCTACCCAGGAGAAGAAAAAACAAAGGCGTGATGATTTTCAACCTTCCTGAAAATCCAAACGAGCAGGTGGGAGATGAGGTACTTCCAGCCCCCGGCGCAGGTACAATGCGGGCCCCCATATCGGCGGCCTGCCTTGTACACCACCATGACGGGAGAAGTACCCCCCGCCTCACCCCAAGTCGTCGTCGTTCATTTGAGCCAGCACGGGTTCAAGCCACAGTCTGGGGATGATTTGCGTGGGGGCCTGGTGAGTCAGGCCAATCCTATAACCTTGAATCCTCCTGTCGCCAGTGAGTTGATGTTTTGAGTGTGCCTTGCCTTGACCTGCCTTGCCATTGCAGTTTCCACGGCAGGCAAGGTCAGCATGACTCCTTTTCCTGGCATAAAGTCTGTGCCACGCATATGTGGCGTCTAGACGGACTGTCGATATCGTGATCGTGGCCCAGCGAAAATCGATAGCCCGTCTGATCGGCCACGATTCTGTTACACAAAGTGTGCCTGCCCTTCAGCAGTGGCCGGACCGACTCAACGCCGAACAAAAATGCAGCCTGGAGTAGCTGCTTATCCTCGGTGAGCAGCCTTTGGACGCATCACCAGCATATCCCCTCATCCCTGTTCCGGCCATGGGAAGTGAGTGCCTGAGCTGTCTCCCTCCGCCTCAGGCTCCGGTGAGTATTGGATTTATAGCCACCACCGGTGGCGACCGCTTGATTGGACATGCCGGCAGACATGATGTGGCGTGTCCGTACCAGCGGCCCGACAATAGCACTGGGAGAAGGCCCCCGACAGGGCCCGGCCCAACACCCTCTTCTTCTTGGAGCAGGTGGTTACGAGCCCAGAAGGGGGAGATAGTGTGGGCGGCGATGATCCAAGCCAGCCAAGTTGGGGACGGCCCGCGTCGCCTTCGATTCCTTCATTCCACAGCTAATTACCGTCTGTCCTTGCTTCATTTGTTTGACGGTAGGTCGCTTCTGCTGGCCGGCCTTAGAGTGGGTGTGCTCTGGGGTTTGGAGGGGGCTTATGACATCCAACAAGTCCAGTCGTTCGTCCGCAAATAATTCTTGGTCAGCATGGAGACAGATAAATGCCCATACCTCGAGCAATATTACCACAAATGGATAGAACAGGCGCGAAAAGCGCGAAAAGCGCCCGAAGGAAGGACGTGCAAGGAGATGGGTGAAGAGTGTGACAGCAGGCCATCGTCGATCCGGCCCGAGGGCCGCAACAAAACAAAATGGCTGGCCGAGCCCCTCGATGAATCCCCGAAATAGGGAACGAGAGTCGGCTACAGCAATCCTCATCGTAAACTCGCAATTCAGGAGTGCAGAGATCCCCACAAGCACGGGATACGCATGTCGTCAAAACCCAGATTGATTCTAGGCTACCCTGATCGGCAAGGCATACTCCGCGGCTGTCGCCTGGTTCCGGATTAGGACAAGCGCCGCCAAATCCCCAGTCTTACAGGGGCTGGGCTGGGCTGGGCTGGGCTGCATATACCGGTCGGTGTAAATGGCACTCCAAGATGTTTTTATTTTTGGGGGCGAGATCTCGTCCTCACAGATGTCTCTGATGGGACTGTTCTCAGGGGTGAGTGGGGCGAATGCGATTAGGCATGCGATATCATGCTCCTTTGCTCCTCTGTCTGCCTTGTGTAGGGCTAAGACAACCGCTTAGCCGCGCTGTGTCACAAATGCCTTTCCCGGTGAAGGGAGATACAACCTGCTGCGCTTGTGTGATGCTTGACAAGACGTCGGGGTACCGAATCGTCGGGAAACGATGCCCTGCGTGTCTTAGGTTACACTTGTGTAACACTTCTTTTTGGCAGGCTGTCACCCGCGACCACCTTGAATTTCGGGAACACAACTTGTCTCCAGGCGACTTGAGAAACATGCACTACGTGGCGAGTTGGGGAATTTTCATCTGCAGCACCTTTCAGCACCTGTCAGCATGAGAAACAGGCAGTGCCCAAGTATGCCAAAGATCCTTACGCTGGCTGGCCTTCTGGTCTCCTTCTTGTACAACGTCAATGGGCAAGGGCTTCTGATTCAAGTCATAACCTTCTGCTTGACACATTTTCTCAGCCAATTCAGAATGATGAGGTCATGGTTGCCCCGTACACAAGGCATACACCGTGGCTAATCTCGGTGCCTTGCGATGCCTGGTTGAGAATCCATAATAGGATCACATTATCGAGTGAAACATATGATCTCTGTCGGAGAGCATGTATGCCATCTATTGTTACGGCACCCGCCACAGTCGCTGACGTGAAGTCTCGCCGGGAGACGACGGTGTGTGAAAGGCTAGTGGAAAAAGGGAAAGATTCCGCTCCTGGACCCTGGGACGGTAGTCCAGATCGTGTGTGATAATGGGGTATGCGGGCTGGCTGGCTGCAGCATAAACAATTCATCATCTGCAGGCTGGAACTACTACGGTCTGTTCCTCGCCGACACTCGTTCCCCAGACCGAAGCGGAAGACGATGGCCAGGTCCGGGTTTGCAGACGAGCTAAATGTGAGGCTAGGCGGCCGCTGTGGCACCAAGAGGTCCGTCGGGCTGAGGTTGAGACGTTGAAGCTGGCCCCTTAGAGTTGATGATTGGCTGAGCTTGAGGGTGCTGTGAAGGAAGGATGGTGGAGCAGGCGTTGGCCTTGTCGGCTGTGGCATGACAGTGAGCTGCATCATGATTAAAGTTCGATGTACGGACCTCTTGACCTAGATAGAGGCGAAAAACACAACGGCTACGAGTCTCGTGGGGGCCGAGTCTCAGGTAATAGTGTGAAGGAAGCCTGCCGGCCCGCCAGGCTCAATGCCATCGTGTCCAGAAACAAAGGATCTCGATAGAAAGTGTGGCGAATTTCTTCACGCACGACAATTTGTTGACAAGCTTTGCTGGCCAGAGATGAGTCGATTTGGGGGCCGGAACTCTCTCCGGTCGACTGCTCTGAGCCTCTGGTGATCGACCAAAGGATGGACTCCTCCAAAAAGGCAAGCTCTAAGAAAGGAGTCATGAATTGTGGCCACATGAGCCGGCCGTCTTGATCTGTGCGCGCCATAGAAAGGAGACTGCGGAAATGGTGTGGACGGATCGCTTGATCATCCCATAGGGGACTTGGGTGAGTGCAGAGAAGATGTGAGGAGAGTGGGGGCCGGCGCAAACCACAGCGAGGAATGTCGCCTGTGGGGATTGCGGCAATGGCTGAGCCCGGGAGAATGCCAGCGATACGGAGGAATTGGGGCAGGTTGTTTCAGCAATTCAGCTTCAAATTGAGAAAACAATGGGATATGAGATTCGTTCTCCAATATAGACCTCTTGGTGTATCGGTAGGCCAGATACAGTGCACCCCGGTGGGTCGAGTTACGGCGGAGGGAGGCAGACGGAGGCCTTTGGCTGATGAAACGGAGGCATTAAAACCACCGATGGTGCCTCTTCAGGAAAGGTACGGTAATTGAGCAGAGCGAGCAATCCTGTGATGGGCCAGCATCACTAGGCACAGGTTGGTAGGCGCACGTGTGGTTTCCGGATGGCCAGGAGCTTCAACCGTTGTCGTTTCCAAACACGGCGTCGCTAATCGGATGGAGTGCCAGGGTCCCCGATCTGTCATGGCTTGTGTGAGCAGAGCGAGAGATTGCCGGATTCACAAGTGTCTGCCTGGATGCCTGGGAACAGGAGGGAGAATTGAGCCTTGGTATCCAGGTCATATGAACTGCCTGTGGGTGGGAGGAAGGAAGTAGAATATCGATGATGAAATCATAAGCTGCTCCGAATGCTAAGATAAAGCGTGATCGACGGCGACCCCGGGTGAGATCGTAAAATGGGAAGCCTGATATTGGTAGGCCGTCGTGCGGTGAAGCAAAGGTTAGCTAGCTAGCCAGGACCCCGGAGCGACGGTGAGATAAGCGTGATGATGTGACTGGCTGCGCAGAGAGGTTGATTGTTGGTCGTAGCACAGCCACTGCGAGCAGGCCGCAGACGATCAACGAGCGACATACAGTAGTCCGGGACAGGGGATGTATGGGTGCCGGTAAGGCAAGCGATTGGGCCGTGTGCGAAGCAAGCCTGCAAATCCCCCGCAAATTGTGCTGCGTGGGTGCCTTGACTGCGCAACAGCTTGTTTCGAGTGGACGGGTGAAGCGAGAACGACGACTTTTAAGATTCCGAAATCATGGGTGATTTTGTCCGGTGGGTCGCTGAATCGGAGCTGAGTGTCGCGGAGATCGCCCGGGCGAGTAACACGCCTTCCGTGACAACGGCCGGGAAGGCAGCTCCGGTGGGTCCGCGGCACCTGGTCTCCGTGAGGATTCCTGATGGATCATGGGAGACCTCAATATTGCTTGCACTTGTCCCATAGACAGGCAGCTGATGGCAGGCACTGCACCACAGAACCAAAAGCAGTTGATCCTGCACTCTGGAAAATGATGCTGTGCGGGCTGTCATCAAAAAGCGGTGGCGATTTAGGGCTGACCATCTGGGTCAGTTGCGCTGCATCGCAGGAGTCGAGCTGCATGCCGAGGCCCCAGTCCCTTGCAGCTTGGGCGCAGGTGGGCTACCACTGTATGCGTGGAACTTGAAAGAGGCCTCGCTCGGTGCGTCTGCGACTCGTTTTCAGCTTGTTTCAGGTTGTTGCTCATCCTGACGCTTTGCGTGGAACCCACAACTCATCCAGTATGTCTATCTGACAACGTAGACTAACCTCAGTAAAGGTCAAGGTCCGTTGCTGGATCTCATCCACGCCGGTAGTAGTGATGCAGGTCAGACTCATCGCGACCCATTATCAATACACCGTGGCGAGGGCTGCACCGTGCAACGTCGGCTACGCTGTTGAAATCGATCCGGCCAGGGATGCTTGGCGCCGGAGGTCGTGGGAGCTCTCACCATGTTGGCACTGCCGATGCATGTAATACTGGTCATCGGCCCTTCTCGTTTGTAATAGCATGACAGTGTGCCGGCTGCAGACCTCCAAGACATGCTTTCTGGGTGCTGCGGAATAATGGCATTCGTAGTCGCGGTTGCGGTTGCAGTCGCAGCCGCTCACTGCTCAGCGCGCCCTTGATTGCAAGGCAACAGTGTTACCTCAGCCGGCCGTCGAGTCATCCAAGCATCTGGGGAGGCATGTGGCACAAGGCATGGGCGTGGAGTTAAGACGCTAGGATCGGGGCTTTGCTCTGACCATGCAGATTCTATCGCTTGGGCCACGCAGTCCCGTACAGTCCGGTGCATTGTTGTCGTGATGCAAAGTCGACGACCGCACGGAGTTAGGTCGAAATGGTTGGTCATTGCCGGTCCGACCCGGTGTCTCGATACTAATCGCCGGCAGCGCGAGAGCTTGCGAAGCAGTGCTTGACGACAGACTTTTGCCACTCCGCTACGGGATCCAGCTCGGTCAGCGTGGGAACATCGCGATTCGGTTCAATTCGACGCCCGTTTCCTTGAGCAGGTAGCAGGTGACATGAGTAATTGCGAGCATGCAACGTAATCTGTCTGGATGTGTCGACGCAGAGCAATTGCTTGCTGACGGTAAGGTGGCGGAATTTTGGAAGGACAGCCGACGCATACAGTCACGACGGGATGTGTGGTGGTGGGCTTGGAGATGGAATTGAAGGTGGAATTGGGGGTGCACGGGTGGATGGGTGGACGGTGTGCTGTGGTTGTGAATTGTCAGGGCACAAGGTGAGGTAAGGTCCCCTCCTCTCACCTTCCAGCTCCCACCTTCCAGCTCCCACCACCACCTTCCAGCTTTACTCATCCAGGTCAACGGTCGAAAGTGGGGGAAAGAGGCCATGCACCATGCACCACGCACCATGACAGGCAGGCAGGCAGCAAGCATGATAGCGTCATTTCTTGCTTCTCGTCTCTGCCCCTGCAACTTGCTTTCTTCTGGTCTTGAAGCCCTTGGAATAACCCATTTTTGGACGCTTCGTCAGCTTGACCTCTGTTGTTCGTCGGGGTCCATCTCAAAGAGCGCCTTTGTCATCAGCAGCAGCAGCACCACCACCACCATCACCGTCCTCCTCTTCATCAGCATCGTCATCATCACCACCGCCGCTGCTGCCGACCTCTGCATCATAGAACCAGCCACACACGGGCTGCAGGAGTCATCCTCGGCTTAGTCGGCGAGGAGTCGACGATACTTGGATTGTTCAAACGGCTAAGCTAGCCTGTCCTGTCTGGAGGGAAGCAATCGTGAATCGAGTTGCATCGTATCAACACCCCCAGACCCGGCAAGCATCCATCCGTTTCCGTATGACAGCCAATGCAACGGCTCGCATGTCATGTACCCAGTGGACTACTCTGCAGGGATCTGGGCACGTCAAAGCGAATCTCCATTTTCCACTCTCCAAACCGCAAACCACAACCCACAACCCACAACCCTCGATCCAACTTTGGAGCCATGGACTTGGCCCTTGCAGCTTCCGTCTGACCCCGGTGCGTCTCGACAATACGGATGCAGATGCAGAGTGTGTGCCAGTCACTGCACTGCTTTTGGTTTGAGACAATGACTACCCAGCTCTCTGGCTCAGCCTTATGCAGTCATCCTGCCCTCCTGCCCTCCTGCGCTCTCCTGCAAAAGACTCCCAATGATACCAAGATACAAGACTGGCGCATATGAGGACTGTCTCTAGAGCAGTACCACAGCACCACCGTACCACCGTACCACACATCCCATCCATGCTGTACAATCCTTCTTCTGATCGTATTGCGTCATCTCACCAACTCGACTCGCTCCCCTGCCCATCGGCCGACCTTGTTGTCGCTTCCTCTGAAGCTGCCATGCGATCCGCGATGCAGTCTGTAGCTCTCACCACCACCATCAATCGGTGCTTGCCCAGGTACGGGCGACTAACCTCCACTCCACCCCTCGCATTAGCTTCCCCTGTTCCAGACCATCTGCTTTGTCCAGGTGAGCGAGGTCGCCAATCGATCTGTTCCCTGACTAGATCGTGACCCAAAGGGGCCGTCGTCCAACAATAGGCCATGATCCCGCACTGCCTTCTTCGATACCATATACATCTCATACCATTGTTGCAGCTAGACATCGGGAAAACACGAACGGTGCTGCATCTCATCATCTGACTCACCGAAGCATCCAGGATGCGCGTGAGACATGTCAACGATGGTGATTACAGACCAAAATGGACACACGATGCCGTTTCGGGCCCAGCAAAGTGACAGGATTGAAACAAAAAGAAACAACCCAACAAACAATTGCTCACGCCCTCGGTACTGCTCCACGGCAATGGGCGTGGACCCCAGGAAAAGTCCCTTGCATGGCCTTCCTGCACCACCCACCACTCTCTCTTTTCTCCAGCCACACCGAACCCTTACTGTAAGCAGAAAGTCTTGGCTTCCTTCTCGTCCGACCAAAGCCATACCTCAGCCACGACTCCCGCCGAAATCTGAGTATCTCTCAGACTTGGCTTGAAGGAACAGACATATCCACAAAGTCGAAGCCACATCGAGACCCCAGAACGGGCCGAAAGAGGCAGGGGCCTCACAAACTACCTCCGTCGCGCCCCGGGACTCAGCACCGGACTGTAGGGCTCTCCAGCGGCCTTCAGCACCGAGTCTGCTATTTCGGCCTCACTTTTGGGGGCAGTCTTTCTCGTCTTACCTGTTCGAGGTGACTTGATGCCTCCAGCTGCGTATGAGTCGAATCTAGGCCGTCAAATCTATGCATCTCACACCTGGACTTCGCCAGTGCTCCCCCACGCGCGCAAAATGCGCCTTTGATGGGAGCTCACTTCTGAACTCGGTCGATCTGTCCATGTTCGCAGGGTCAATAGTCAGATCACCCTGGGCATCAGAGTCACTGGTATCGCTTCATGTGTGCTTCTTGGGCCCGCACTGCTGGATTTACCGGCCTTGGGAAGCCAAGCGGGAAGGAGTGAGATCAACGAAACCGCAAGGCACAATAAAGCCAGCAAACTCATCCTCCCGCAATCTCTAAACGTGTCTTCTAAGATCCCTGGCCACGACCTAGGTCTTACCGAGACTGTACCGTTCACAAATCTGCTGCAAGTACTTGGCTATGGACGCGCTCTGGTCGCCGATGGGCGTATGCCAGTTCCTCAAAGTCGTTGTTGCTCGGCGTTCTATGTAACGAGACACAAACAAGGCTGGACATGCGTCCCGGCCTCTTCTTGGGGCCTTTTCCTAGATGGACTCATGATTTCCAAGTGGCAAATACGCAAGCCATGATTTCCAGCCCACATGAGTCTAGGCAGAGCTTTGAAGGTCCTCGAGAATCATCGTCAATCTGCCCGAGTCCTAGAAACGGACGGTAGAGACAGTGCTGGACGAGGTGTGGTCCGTTGGTAAAACGGAAGTCGCTAAAGTACTGCTCTTTCGGGTTTAGACCAAAAAGGTAGCGAGCACAGTTGGGAGGGGGGGTTCCATTTTAGATCCCTGCAGGTCTCTCGCTCTGATTCACTGTGGGCAATCCGGTCGGATCTCACCTCTCACCCCCCGCTGCTCCGTGTTTTGTTCCTCAGCGTACCAACCTTTCCCATCGAAACATCCAACAACATCCAGCTTGAGCGCCGACTGCTCGTCCTCAGAGGTGCTCCTGCTGTGGGCCTCGAAGCGCCTTAGAACCCCCAATTGCTTGACTGCGCCTGATCCATCGTCCCGGGGGGGCCCTCTGTCCGCTGCCCGCAACAGCAGGCAGAAGGTTGGGGGTTTGATCGCTGGGCTTTCTGGATGTCGACTGTCGAGGTACGGGGAGTCTCGTATCTGACAGGAGACTGACAGACTGACAGACTGACAGCACAGACGGGACAGATCGCTCTTGTTTCTGCCACACATGGCACATGGCACCTGGTCACTCGAGTACTGCAGGACCTGATATGCTACAAGATGTACATGCGGTCGCAGACCTTACACCTCGTACCGCGTACCTCTTGTCTACGCCGGACGCTGCCCCTTCCCCACGTACCCTTCCCAATGCTGTGGCTCGTCTGCGTTCAGGGTCCCATGTTACTTTCGCCCTCTCGACTGACCTTGCAGAGCAACACGCCCTGCGCCCCATCTACATTTGTCCTGCACCTGCATCTTCTTGCATTGGTCCTTCCTTTCCCCTTCCTAAGTACTGGCCGACCTGGCGACTGCGCATTTCCTAACTTAGTCGGATCAGTCATCCCATGGAAGGTCAGACTCCACTCGCGTCACTGTCCTCCTGCTGCTGCTGCTGCGCTGCTGCTAGACAGACTGGTGCGTGCTGCTGCCTTACAGACGGCAGTCCACCTCGACGCTTCTGTACCTTGTACCATGACCTTACCTTTTTTCCTTTCCTTTCCTTCCCTTCCCTATTCTCTCCCCTACCCTTGGTCCCCAGGCTCCCAAACCTATAAGGCTGCGATGCCTTCCCCCTTGACGGCTGTCTAATCTTCCTTGTCACTATCATCTTCTCCTTCGTTCTTCGCCCAGGGTCATCTGAGCTGCTCTCACTCGCTAGCTTTCCTAGTCTGGCTTTCCTTTTCGTCGCCTGTTCCGCTTCTTCTCCTTTGACTCATCTGTATTGATATCCTCGTCGGTCTGCCTGGCGTTCGATTCTTCCTTATATTTGTTCTTGCCTTCTTAGAGTGCCTGAACCATCTGATCAACAAGCCACTCGACTCTACCACAACCTCAGGCCTACTTGATCTCACCTGACACCGAGTTCGCAACACACGCCATATCAACCACCTATTCACGAACAGTACCATCGTTCACCTCGTCATCATGTGTTATCAAGTCCTTGAGCTCTACTCGGCATGCCGCTGCCTATACTACCAACACGCCGTCGACCGATGCCCCAGATACGGCACACGGGGTCACGGTATCACACAGAGGACGATATTAGTCGGATATGCCTGCATTGACCACTCAAGTCATTCCGGCCAGTACTCATCACAATATGACGACCACAGCTATGCAGACTCTGGTTATGCCAGCCGGTCATCCAAGAGCTCACACCGCAAGTACCGATGAAGTGTGTCGTCTTCGGTGATAGGCTGCTGTGCATGGCATTCTCCGGCCCTGGAAAAGTTCAGCGTGGGACAGTGGATCAAGTACCTCTACTCCTTCAGACAGAGGCCGTCGTCTCTTGCACAACCACCTTCCCAGCTGTCTTTACTCTTCATTGGCCATGACGGTCTGATGTCGACCTCCGCCCCGCCAAAGCTCGGGTGACGACACCACCGCTCAAAGCGGAGGCTCGGCCGTGCACCGAATGCCAAGCTGCCAAAACCACAGGAGTCTCTTGTCGAAGACGCAGAGCCCGAAAACTTCAAAGCGCCGATCCAACAAAACACCCACAGACAATAATCGAGCGTTAAGCAAAACGACCTTTCACGACACGAGCCAACTCACTCCATCGATACCCGGCTGACTCCCTTCGCGCGATACCGGCGGCTACGTCTCGTCATTGTGGACCTTTGAGATTTCTTGCCCTGCCGGTCTCTCGCAACTCCGACCACTTTTCTTTTTGATTTCCTGCTTTTGGTTGATTTTCTTGTGTTTTCGATGCTTGAGCGAGCATAGCGATGGCTTGGAGCGGCCTGTTTGTGTTTGGAGGGAATAGTGGCGTTTGCATTCTAGACCTTGTCTCACTTCTATGGGGTTTGGGCTATATCTTGCCTCACGGCGGCCTTCTGGTTTTCCCGTTTCATTTCGTCTTGGAGGGATCCTTGTGCTAAGGATCGTTTTATTTCATATGGTGTCTGCGTTACATTTGCTGTTTTCTCTATTTTCTCTTTCATGTCTTCCTTGTCTTGGGACAAGGACTTGGGATTTTGGGTTTATACTGTACGATGAACTGCATTGGACGGAGGGAAAATACCAGGCGTTTTGGAAAGTGAAGCTCGGCGGCAGCACTGAGCAGGGCGGTGAAGCGATTTCTGGGTTTGACTTTCTTTCATGCTTCACGCTTTATTTCATGCTCTCTCTGTTTGATTTCTCTGCTCAAAGTTTTCCTTTGCTCTTGAATTCCAAGTTCTACTGTCATTTCACTTTTTCAATTACTTGCCTGTGTCAGTATTGTAACTAACCCCTGACATCATCGTCTACATGCCTGCTCTGGGAGCAGCAGTTACACTGCGGCACAGGGCTGGGGCTTGGGAAGGAATAGGAG